TCTTTTCGACCAGTGGAAACTATACCTCATCATGGCCTGTGTCACGCTCAGCTCTCCAGGCGCCCAATCCCAGAGTCAGCTTGCTGACGCTGCTCATGCACGCAAGACATCCAAGAGCGCGATCCCAGCGCAAGACAAGCTGAGCTCCGCTCGGGCGTTATTCTCTGCGATTATTCCAATGCTGGGTGCCGCGCCCGACGCCATTCGTGATGCGGTAGTCTCGGCTCTCGGATCAATCAATCGCAAGCTCTATCGGACACTACTCGAATCATTACAGTATGCGGTCATCAAATGCAATGAGGAGGCTAAGGCGAGAATCACCCATCACAGGACCCCAAGCAGTCCACAACGGTCTCAGCAAACCGAGCGCCTTCGAACTGAGGTGACGCATGTATACAAGCTTACGGCGTCTTTTCTCCGTCATGAGGACATTTACAACGATGACTGGATCTTGAACAACCTGGTGATATACACCAGAGATCTCCGCATCTTCCTCAGTGATACCGACGTGCAGAATGACTGGCGCTTCCAGAAATTGAGATATCACTTCTGCGGCCTCGTCGAGGAAGTATTCGAAGGTGTCAACCGGTCGCAGACGCCTTCGCGCTGGATGCCTTTTGAATCGCGCAAGTCTGCGTTCGCCTTGATGGAGGACTGGTGCGGCTATTCAGCTGAGCAGACATCGATTGATCAAAATCACAACAATGCGCGGGCCGTGCAGGACCGGATCAATGCCAGCGCCACGACCGAGAAGGAGAAGAACAATTTACGAGTGGCCGCTCTCAGTGCAATGGCCACGCTCTGTGCCGGGACGATCAGCATCAGAACCGACAGCAACGCCATCTTATCATTCAATTTGCCAAGAATGCTCTCCTGGATCGACACGATCTTCGCCACGAACAATCACAAAATGCACACCATCGGTCAACGAGCGCTCAAGCTGTTGCTCATGCACAATTCAGAGCATCTTGTAATCGTGGAACATGCGGTAGAGCAATGCTACAGGACCGAGTCTCCCATGGCGTTGGAAAGCTATTTTGGAGTCGTGTGTGATGTCTTGATACAGCACGCGGACTATCCCGTACCGTTTTGGAAAATAGTCAGCATCATCGTTGTCACCTTGGGGAACGAGAATCGCGAGATCAGAATGAAGTCGGCACATCTTATCCGCACTCTGGACGAACGCCAACATAAGAGAACTAACCTTCAGGAATTTGATATCAGCATCTCTGATAAGACACGCGCTGTGTATAAGCTGGCTCAATTCGAATATTCACGACGTCTTGCAAAGGCCAACTCCGACATAGCATTCATGGTGTTTTCGGAGTTCTCGCTCCATTACAAGACCGCGCGAAACGACCATCAAAGAAATATGGTCGTTGCCATACTGCCGTGGCTGCAGACTCTCGAGCTCCAGGTGGATTCGGCGACCGGATCTCCTACGGCCGTGTCGTACATGCTTCTGGCCAACATGTTCGAAATCACGATCTTCTCTAGCAGTGCCATGCACAATGAAGTACAGGCCTTGTGGCAGGCGTTGGCCACAGGACCACATGCAGGCAACGTGCAAATGATCCTTGACTTCATCATATACCTCTCCCTTGACCGACGCGATCAGAACTTTGTCGAGTACGCCAAACAGATTGTTGTCTACCTTTCTTCCACTCCTGCCGGATCTCGAGTGCTGGAATTTTTCATGTTACAACTATGCCCAAAGAACATGGTCAACGACAGAAAGCATGCAGAAGTGGTAATGCCGGACACGAGAAGTCTTCCATATGTCGCTGATCTGACCTCCTTGCTGCCCATGGGCACCAAACAGGTACGCTTTTCTCGTTGTACGAAGGGGCACGACTAACGAACGTGTAGGTCGGCCTATCTCTAGGCCAAGTCTCCTTGATTTTCCTGGTCGATCTCATGGTTGCGCTTGTCACCCTTGTCAGAGACGAGGCCACAAAGCTCATTCACGCAGTACTGATCCTCTGGGATCACTACACTGCCTCGGTTCAGGAACAAGCAAGGGAGATGTTGGTACATCTCATACACGAATTGGTGACCACCAAGATCGAAGCTCAGACCCTCGACTCTGCCAAGTCAAAGATCGAAAGTCTGGTGGACGCGATTCGAACGAATAGTCCTCGGATCAGCTGGTCCTATGAGAGCAATACCAGGAAGGATGAAGATGATGGCGGCAGCCGCGTGCCTCCTGCGATGACAGCACTAACTACCGAGATTGTCGCTATCTTCAACCTGGCATTCGACAATTTTAGCGATGCTTGGGCTAAAGAAGCACTACACTGGGCCTCCATCTGTCCGGTCCGACATCTGGCCTGTCGGTCCTTCCAAGTTTTTCGGTGCATCTCTGTCAGTCTGGACGCGAGGATGCTAGCTGATATGCTTGCACGGCTTTCCAACACGATTGCCGACGAGCACACGGACTACCAGACTTTCTCCATGGAAATATTGACGACGCTGAAAGTCATCATCGGAGCACTCGAGCCTAAAAACCTGCTACGATATCCTCAGCTCTTCTGGACCACCTGCGCATGTCTCAATACGATTCATGAACGAGAATTCTACGAGACCCTAGGCATGCTTGAGAAGTTTCTCGAGAAGCTGGATCTCTCAGATCCAGATGTGACAGAATCAATGATGAAGGGACTGCCTGGGAAGTGGGATGGCGGCTTCGAAGGGCTGCAACCGTTGCTTTACAAGGGCTTGAAATCCGCCGATAGCTTGGACAAGACTCTCCTGGTCCTTCAACGGCTAGCGGAACTTCCGGACTGCCAGCTCGTTGGAAGCGACAACCGTCTACTCTACTGCGTCTTAGCAAATCTCCCGCGATGGCTGCACAGCTTCGACCAGGATGCTACCGACCCTGCAGCAGTAGCTTCAGCGAAGACGCTCGCTAGGATCGCAGGCGCTGAAGGTCACGAGCTCCTCTCGATCTGCCTGGCACGTTACGCCAACAACGAGCTAACAAGTCAAGAGATGCTTACGGCCACCGTGCAATCTATCAAGGCGGCCTACTTCCCTCTGTGCGATGCTGCAAGTCTGATTTTCATGATTGGACTGCTGACGAACAAGACGGCTTGGTTCCGCGTCAAGCTTATGGACATCCTATGCGAGATGATCCCAATCGTCAACATGAAGAGTCCTTCTATTACAACTCACGGACCGGACCTCATCTCACCACTACTCCGGCTACTGCAGACCGAACACTGCACTCAGGCATTGGAGGTCATGGACTACATCATGGAGGTCGCCGCCACGCCTATGGAGAAGCACCATATGCGCATGAGTATGGCTTCTGGCTCAGCAAAAGCCATCCGAAAAGAGTACGAGCGAACTCAAAGTCTCTATGGCATTCCGCACTCCTCGGGGTGGTCCATCCCAATGCCTGCGGTCTATTCTGGCATGACCAGACACAACGTCCACGCCGTCTTCTACACATGTGGAGATTCGGAATTCCTCAAGGATCAGGAAACTAGCACGCCCGATGTTGAATTCCAGGGTGACGATGGATACACCGACTCATATTTCCCAACCCAAAGCAGGGCCGAGACGATTCGAACACTCGAAGCTGCGGATACCAATGTCAGCGATCTGGTCAACACTCTCGACAGTCTCGACGACTTCTTCGACGATGTAGAGGCTGACGACGTCTTGACGCCCATGGGAACAAGCCAGCTGATGGGATCCGCTATCTCAATTCCCACCCTGACAGAGCAAAACACGGATCTGTACGACGAGCAGACTGCCCCAATCCTTCGACAGAGCCTCTCCCGGGCTATGCCATCGACTAATGTGCAGGACGGTTTTACCGAGGCGGGTCCGCTTCCTGGCATTAGTCACCGGTCCCAGCCAAGTCTCTCATTTCAGAGTTACAGCACATCTGCCCAGACCTCATTTTCTTCGATCGACGAATTGGGAGGACCAGGGCCATCGATGCCGAATTCGACGAAGAAGCCACCCCTCCAAACTTCCATCAACTCGGTAATCCATCAACGGCCAGGGCTACACGCCAGGTCTATCACGTCTCCGGCGAACCAATTCTCCGTGTCCCAGCCGACAGCGGGCGGACTTGCTACCATGCCCGAGAACTTGTCGTTCAGGTCCCAGGAGGAGTTTGCTGAGCAATACGACGAAGCCGTTCTCTCAGATGGAGAGAATAGTCCCTTTCCTTTGCTGGGCCTGACTATCTCCAATCAGAGCAAATCACTGTCAGGCCCCGGTCCTTCGGAGTACCAGACGACGCCCACTTCTGCCACTGAGACGGGTGGTGCCTTCAGCCTTCAGGGCATGAGAAGAGGTATGCGGCGCCTGACAGGTGGAAAGAGTGAGAGCCAGAAGGAGAAAGAGAAGATCAAGGACTATGCACGTCTGCGTGGGCAATCAGGAGGCCCAGGGCTGGTACCTGCGGCGATGCAGAGCCCCCGAGTCCCGAGAGTACCTTCCGAATACCTTACTGGCGGTGCCAGTAATATCAGCAACGTCAGTCCCACCGCAAGCCCAGGGCTTTAAGCGCTTGAGGTTGCACAGTGCTTTCGCCCCATTCGAATTTCCAGCACAACGATACCCCCATAGAACGTGATGCGGCATGAGAGCAAAGCATTGTCGGCGTTTCTTGCAATTTCAGCAATTGCTACGACCTGTGTACAATATGCAAGGGCTTTTCTGCATTGACAAGACCGAAAAGTTGGGTTTGTATACCATCTCCAGCGCAAATGCTGCGAGCAATGTACCATTATGACAGATACCTGATTTCAATCCACACAGCCGTTCTGTTGATCCTTGCGCACGTTCTCATTCATTATCTGTGTTTGCGTCCAGGCAATGCGGGTAAGACATATCACTTGCGCACTGACCGTCCCCTGCATTCCTAGGTATACATTCCAGACAATCTGCCTCAGTTTGCCTATCCCCGCGATGCGCGTCTCACGATTCTGGCCTTTACAGCACACCAGTGAGTGAGTCTTTGGAAGAAGGGACGTGGCAAGATGCAGTTCACGACGGGCGCGAGGTTGATGTATACCCTGGCGGCTCTGCACAGTCAGATTGCGGTCACTGCAGCGCAAGCACGTAAGAGACTAGATCCTTACGGGGAAGCGCTTTGCTGACGACAGACAGTCTCGATAGACTCGAACGGCTGCTACTGGACGTCGACCGTGGTCTTTGGCAATATCACCAGCTCGAGCACTGTCCCGAACACGCTCAGCACTACCAGTGACGGGCGGTCGATATCGGCTATTCTCCAGTCGTCGACGACATCAAATCCCGACACCAGCGAATCAAGCGTTCCGACCACCAGCGGGCCGCCAATCATCACGACTACACCTACCGAGCCGGCGGCTTCTTCTTCCTCTACGAGCAACCTACAGACTGCTACTCCCGCAGCGACCTCCACGCTACCCCCAGCTCCTGTGTCGATCCCTTTCCGAATCACTGTCAGCGGCTTCAACGCCAGACTCCGAGCCCGCGCGCCCAGCTACATCTCTTTTAAGGGAGAAAATGCCTACCTCATCGCAGATGAAGAGCTGTCCGCGATCTTCGTGCTTACTTCCGACGGACAGCTTCGGACAGGCGACGCAACCGTCGGCACAGATGGCAGAACGGGATCATTGCCTCTGAGGCGGTTTCTGATGGCCACTCAGCCCAGTGATTACATCTGGTATTTCAATGACACGAGGCTGGTGTTTGGCGACAATCTCGCCTTCTCGGCACTCAGCGACGGGCAGATGTTGGTCACATTTCCTGGCAGTCAGCCGCCTATGGAAGCTGTTCAGCTTGGTCTGGAACCGGAGTTCGTGGTGACAGTGACAAGTTCGATTCTTTCCACGACCACGAGCCTTGCTAGCATGAGCCCAAGTTCCGGCGCAGGAGCAACGACAACTGCCACATATATGGAGACGAGCGTGTCGAGTCCGGTCACCGACGGGCCTATTCCTACTTCCCTTAGCACTTCTTCAAGCCCCGTAACCAGTCCCACGACAACACTGAGCGGATCATCTTCTTCACACATGACTCCAGACCGGCCTCTGACCTCGTCGACAACAGCGCACACCACTGCTGTTGTGATACCACAGTCGACTTCGATCGCAGCTAGCGTCGCGCCACCTTCGAACTCGCCATCGCCCAGCAATTCTCCTTCCAGTAACGCGCTCGTCTCAAGTTCAAGGGGCAGTACGACAACAGTACACTCTGGCGTACCCAGCTCGTTGTCTGCCACGCCAAGCACCACCACCGTTCCAGTCAATTCCATGACCCTCTTGTCCTCGACAACGACAAATGTGTTGAGCTCCAGCGCTATAGCTTCGTCTTTGGCTGCGTCGGCATCATCCACGATATCTCATTCATCAAGCACAACCGTCTCAAACGGCACACCGGCCTCCCTCTCCGCCACGTCGAGAACTGGTGCGTCAAGTTCTCCAGCGAGCTCCAGCACAAATAGAGTCACATCGGCGGTGTCCACCCAGCCTCAACCAACCTCGATCAGCTCCGCCTCCCCTTCATCTTCTCAGAGCACGAATGCCGTTTCGTCATCGAGCATCGCAAACCCCACTCCATCCGGCATCACGACCACAACCACAACAAGAAACCAGAGCAGCACCTCTTCATCCCCATCCACATCCACAACCACAACCTCGCCCTACCCCGCCAAACGCGGCCTGGCGTACCGCAACGTGACCACCCTGCAATACTACCCCCCTCCCTCACCCTACATCTCCTGGTCCTACAACTATTACTCTTTGCCAAATGCCTCTGACGACGTAGGACCCTACCCTTACCCCTTATCACCCTACCGCTTCATCCCACTCCTCTACAACGACGCCGACTCCCTAACCTCCATCTGGCCCGCCAACGTCAACTTCAGCATCGAGAATTACGGCACCGACGCCATCTTCGGCTTCAACGAGCCCGACGCCAATTTCAACGGCCAGTCCGCCAACATGCCCGTCGCGCAGTCCATCACGGGCTACGCGAACTTCATGCAACCGTTCGCCGGGCGCGTAAAGATCGGCGCCCCCGCCGTGACAAACACGGGCGGCGGGATCGCGTACCTTGAACAATTCCTCGGCAACGCCACCGCCACGCAGCACAACTTGACGCTGGATTTCATAAACATCCACTGGTACGCCAGCCCGTACAACATCGAGTATTTTCAACAGTTCGTCACGCAGGCACATAACCTCAGCGTGGTGTATAGTCCGAACATTACGTCGTCGTATGTGGATACAAAGGGTGGCGGTGTCTTGCCCGTGTGGATCACCGAGTTCGGCATGGACAAGGACAATTACGACGAGGCGACGAATGTGGCGTTCCTCAAGAATGCGACGAGTTGGATGGACGCGCAGGGGTGGGTGGAGCGGTATGCTTGGTTTGGAAACTTTCCGGGTGGCCTAACGAGTTATGGAGCCCCGACGACGAATATGTTGTTGAACACGGATGGGAGTGGGAGGGGTGCGTTGGGGGAGGTGTGGTATCGGTTTAATGGGACTAATTAACCTACCCACCTACCTAGGTAGCGCTGTTGCTGTGACTTTGGGTTGGGAGGGCAGAAAGGGGAGGCGTGCACGGGCTTCGCATCGCAAGGGAGTGGAGTGCGTGTGGAAGGATACCTGTGGTGTTGGTTCGTCTCGGCAGTAGACGTCGTTGTGTTCGCGATGTTTTGGCTCCGGAGATTCTCAATTTCTTGAGCAAAGGTGTGAAGGTCCTGTTCGAACTGATATCACGGGTGAAAGTATAGCTGTGGCGTGCTTCGTGTGTAGGAGTTATTGCGGTCTTCGGGTTTTGCATTTCCAGCATTGGCGTTGAGGTTCAGTTCGACACAACATTTGGCGTATATCGAAACCGTAACCGATATTCATTTCACATGATGTTCGATTCCATCACCCTTGTTGCTTTCTGTACGCTCTCTGCTTCTCTGGGACCTCTAGCGGATGGCTTGGGTTGAGATGGGGTGGAGGAGGAAATATCGGCTGTGGTTCAGGTGTAAAAGTAGTCGCATTCATCCTGAGTTCGGTGCGCTGGTGGTGAATTTCTTGACCAATCCCATAAATATCTTGTTCGAACATCGCATTTAACGTATTGGCCAAATTTTGATTGATACAAACTTCATGTGATGCTCACTTCGATCAGTCTATTTACTCTCTGTACTCTACCTGCTCTCTGGGACATTTATGTCGTTGAGCGCAACACACGCTCACAACACAAACCACGCTGGTTCGAAACGCTCAGCACCGCTCAAATACCCGATATAGCCCTTTCAAGTTCGCGACCTCAACAACACCTTTCAACATATCCTGCGTGGCCACTATTCTCGACCGGAAAGCCGGGAAGAGAACGTGTTCCAGTGAATATTCGATCTCTTTTCTTCTTCTCTCGATCGCTTCATTGTTGGGATCAGGCTCGCCGTCTTCGGCATCATCCTGGGTCTGTGCCTCGACGTCTGGCCGTACATCCTGAGCCGCCTGCGAGTCAGTCATCTCTTCGTCTTGCGCTTTTCCCTTGCCCTTGTCGGCTTCGTCTTTGTGAGGTGGCAGCATTTCTGGGACATAGAAACTGGCTAGCTCTCTCAGGAATGTTCGGAAGCAAGCTTCTTCTTCTGTCCAATCCACAAACGGTCCTAGTCTTAACAGAAAGGTCGGTAATTTCGCCATGCATGGCATGTAACCCTTTAACAGCAGCGGTATGGTTTCCAGGTGGCCGTCGTCCGCGATGTTGAGAGAAAAATACTCGGCAAGCATTTCTTTACTCTTCATCAGTTGCTTGTACACTTTGTCCACGATCTGGTCTTTGCTCAGTCCTGCACAAGAAGGATCTATTTCGAGTTGATACTCTGCCGCAATATTGAGCAACTCCCTTAGATGCGGAGCGGGTTGAAGTTGAACAAGCCCAAAATTGCCAAAATCGGTCAAGCCGACCTGATAAAAGAACTCGTTGGAGGTCATGCCATAATCGACAAGGTAGAGTCTCACGCCGGATTGAATGGCCGCGAGGCGTCTGGTGCTATCGACTACGCCGACGTACGTCAGCGAGGCAAAGACTTCGGTGAGACTGTTGTGCATCGATTCGCGAACTTCAGCGCGGAGCCTCTTGACTGAAGTGAGACGGATTTGGATTTGTTCGCGATCCGTGGTTGTGTACCAGATTCCATCTGTGGCGGGAGTGTCATCTTGAGATGTCGCTGTCGTCAAAGCTGGTGGCAGCATTGACGTGATCTTTCTCATCTTTGAATCGGTTCGGACGAGGTTATTTTCATAAGGCTTTTTGGTTGTCGATGGCCTTCTGGCAGTACTATCGTCCGTCGGAGGAGTGGCGTCCCCAGGAACTACTCGCTGATTCATGGGTGTCATTGGAGGAACGCCAGGCAAGAGCGTTTGTGTCTTGAAACTCCTGCTCGTGTCGACCTTGGCCAAGTTTTCTCGGATATTCGCGCAAACTAGCTCAACGATCTCATCTTCATTCAAGAAGTGGACTTCTCGTTTGGTCGGGTGTACGTTCACATCGACTCTGTTCGGCTCGACCTCGAGGCTGAGGTAGACGAATGGATGGCCGCCTTTAGGTAGAAACAACTGATATGTCTGCTCAATGGCCTTCTTGACCGTAGATGACTCGACTGATCGGTTATTGATGAACAGCAATAGCGTCGTTCTTTTGGCACTGTAATTGGCATTGGTAGCATGGCCAGATGCTCTGAAACCCCAGCGAGAATCGTCGGTGCTGAAACTCATAATTTCTTTGGCAACAGTTCCGCCATAGGCCTGCTTGATCCTATCGATCTTGGTGGCAGCAGCTGCTACGGAGAAGCCGGCGCCAGTTTCACCGTGCTTCTTTATTGAAAAGGCGACACCTTCACGGTGGACAGCATATCGCGTGATGACATCGAGGACTTTGGCATACTCTTCTGATGGAGACCGAAATGCTCGTCGCCGGTTTGGGATGTTGTAGAACAGGTCCTCGACTGTAATCTGCGTCCCAAGACGACCAGCGGCAGCTTTTGGTTCAGCCGACTGACCAGGCTTGGCCGGTATGAGCTTTCCGTCCTGGTAGTGGGCTTGCCACGCACAGCTAGAGTTGGCCGTCTTAGTAGTGACACGGAGGTGGGCAATGTGACTGATGCTGGCGAGAGCTTCTCCACGAAAGCCATAAGTGCCTATGGACATAAGATCTTCGAAATTCTTGAGCTTGGAAGTGGTGAATCTCTCGCACAGGATTGGCAAATCGTCTCTCTGAGTTGTTGTCAGACGCTGCATGGAGTTGGAAACAGAGAACAAACCTCGATACCGTGGCCGTTGTCGGTGATCTGCAACAGCTTGAGCCCGCCATCCTTGACCAGGATCTCAATTGAGGTTGAGCCCGCGTCAATGGAATTCTCAAGCAGTTCCTTGAGTGCATGCATCGGCGCGACGATGATTTCTCCCGCCGCGATCTTGTTGACGACATCCTGATCAAGAGCCTTGACAGAGGGTTAGCCATGTTCTCTGCCTTACCGTGAAGACGCGTCGACGTGCCTTGATGCGACGTGGAGCTTCAGGTGGCAAGCCTGCTTCTTCAGCAGTACGCTTCACGCCTCGAGGAGGCTCAGAGTCTACATCCATGGTGTCGGCCATGTTCACATCAGCCAGAAGCGGAAGTCTCCTAGAATGAAGTGAAGCAGAAATGAAGCAGGCAGCGATTGGCTTCGGGTTCGTGCTCGCGTAAAAGTTGCAGTTTGTGGGGCGAAGCCGCACCTCGCAGGTGGATTCGTCGATTCCATGCAACGTCACATGCTTCATGCTTCTTTCTGAAAGTCGAACTGACAGACACTCCAGACTGCATTCTGGCGTCTGGTCCTTGCCCTTGGTGTCCTGCGTTTGCATAAGAATATTTGCCGGCCTTCAACTTCGAGCACCGCCGACTGAAGCAGTCGGTGAGTTTGATGTGAATAAGACGCCAACCTTCCGATGGAGCAACGCCACCGGTAGCGACCACAGCAGCAGCTGAAGCCGAGCTGTCACCATGGCCATGAACTTTGTGACATTCAACCAGGACTACAGCCACCTGGCTGTAGGTACGCACTCACTCCCTACAGCCATCCCGCCGCCGGTGAGCTGATGTTGTACAGGCACCTCCCGAGGCTTTCGCATCTTCACCACCGATCCATTTGCGAAGACCTTCGATTCCCGAGATGCCGGCAACGTTGCGATCCTCGAGATGCTCTTCTCGACCTCTCTCGTCGCTCTCATCCTATCGCCGAGGAGGCTCCAGATCAAGAACACCAAAAGGGACCTGATAATATGCGAACTCACCTTCCCCAACGCCGTGCTGTCGGTGAGGTTAAACAGGAAGAGACTGGTGATTGTGCTGGAAGATCAGATCTACCTCTACGACATACAGACCATGAAACTGTTATACACCATCGAGACTTCTCCCAATCCTGCTGCCATCTGCGCACTGTCACCGTCTCAAGACAATTGCTATCTGGCATACCCGCTTCCGCAAAAGGCTGTGGCCTCGTCGTTTGCCCCGCCGTCCCACGCACCACCCAACAGTACACATATTCCTCCCACGACCGGCGAAGTCCTGATCTTTGACGCTATCAAGCTAGAAGCTGTCAATGTGGTAGAAGCGCACAAGTCACCCCTATCATGCGTGGCCTTCAACAACGAAGGGACCCTGCTGGCGACAGCCTCGGACAAGGGTACCATCATTCGAGTTTTCTCGGTCCCAGACGCACACAAGCTGTACCAATTTAGGAGAGGGTCCATGCCTTCAAGGATATTCAGCATGGCCTTCAATATCACGTCCACTCTGTTATGTGTCTCATCGGCAACCGAGACCGTCCACATATTCAAGCTTGGACCTCCGTCCAATAGATTACCAGAAGATGGCCATGAACCAGCTTCACCCAGCAAAGCCAGCAGTGCATCTACCAGAAGGCTCAGTCAAAGTAGCGACATGCTGATCGACCAACCGGGTGATGAAGAGGACGGAGTCGAGTCCCCTACAGCTCTGGCGCATCGAAAGCCAAATGGGACCTTCATGGGCTTGTTGCGGAGGACGTCTCAGCACGTAGGCATCAATCTGGCCTCCACAGTCGGCGGATACCTTCCAAAGGGTGTCGCCGAGATGTGGGAGCCCTCGAGAGATTTCGCATGGATACGACTCCCCAAGTCGAGCTCAGGTGCGTCCCCTAGCCAACTACGCAGTGTGGTCGCCATGAGTGCAAACTCGCCGCAAGTCATGGTTGTCACCAACGAAGGCAACTTCTACGTCTTCACCATCGATTTGGCGACAGGGGGCGAAGGGACTCTGACCAAGCAGTATTCGTGAGTTTTCCCGGATGTTCGGCTGCTGTCATCAAACTGACACTGTGCAGAGTACTTGACATCAACGACAAGATGGGCGCTTCCGGGATGGAGTTTTAGTGCAGCGAAATCGTCCGTCGGTGCAGTTGATCTTGCAGAGTGTGCGATTCAGGCCACGTTCGACTTTTTTTACAGATTGATTTAGCGTCGGCGTTGAGGCCATGGCTGGTCTGGTCAAGTACTGAATGTCAGCGACCATTCTATAGAGTACATCTATATCCATGTTTGCGTATATCAGGTGAACGAGCCTTGTTGCAACGGCTGAGTCTAACAACAGGGGACCGAGCATCTCCGCTATGGCATGCATCTTGAATTTGTGATCGACGGTAATGTACTCTGTAGGGCGTATGTTATTGCGCCCCTCAAGAATAATGTAAGCGACGTTGAGAAGCGAATGAATCGTCACTCCGCTCTCTGGTGGCCTACACTGCAGACCATTTCCCATTCAGCCATCACCAAGCTCCTATGTCATAGAAATCGAAGGATCGACCCGTGAAAGGCCTTTGAAAACCAATTGTCCTTCCTCCATTCACTCGTCCCCTTACACCCTCTCCCTCTCTGCGTCTGCTGCGTTTGCCGTCCCTCTCGCTCCGATATCTTCTGGGCCAGCACACGCAAGGCCTGAACACCCAAGTCAATCGCATGAAACCTTGCTTAAAAACCTTATATTCGAGTCTTGAGCGAGAAGAGACCACCTGCTTGAACCTGACTCCGAACCCCCAACGCTGCTTGCTTGTACGTTCAACTCAAGAGTCAAGTCTGACCTCGCTTACTTTCGCTATCGACCGACCTGTGAAGAAAGCTGAAAACTCCATTTCCCTTCGTGGACAGCCCCTTGAAGGGCTTGGTCGCCTCTCGGCTTCCCGGCGAACACAAGCCGACGTCTGTGCCACACTGCCCGCCGTGGCTATTGAGGACAAGAGACGTGCCTGTCATTTTTTTGAGGCTTGGTGGTATGGAATATTTGGAGTGCTGAAACGACGTTTATCGTCGAGTTGCGCTGGCGACGACGGCGTACACGGCGGAGGGAGAGACAGCATGGGAAGGACATCTGGGCTGCTGTTCTCAATTTTCTCATTATTGCAGAAGGCTCAGTTAGAAACCTCCATCCCGCATTTCGCATTTGACTTCGATCTCTAATATGGGTACCTGGTACTGAAGCTGTAGCACTCATTGTGCTGACCGTCTCAGCCACGTTTACATCGCAACCTCACCTCACTTCATCCAACTTTCCTCACTCCTCCCTCCTCCCTCCTCACTCCTCATCTTTATCCCCCATCTTCGCCCTTTTCGCTCTCCACAAATAATACTCCCCCGCGGTCATGACCTCGTACTTGGCGGGCCGTTCTTCACCCACACAACTCGGGATCGGCACCATCGGCATACGCCTATCCAACCCATAAACTAACGGGATACTATATCTTTCGCCCCCAGACTTGTTGATGACCCTGCGCACCGTGCTGACAAAGTACTCGTTCGTCTGCCTCATGAAGCAGTCCGCGATATTGACCACGAACGAGTTGGGGACGGGCTTCGCGCGGATCCACCGCCCGGATTTACTCAGCACCTCCAACCCGCCGTACATGTCCTGGTTGACGATGGTGAAGCATTCAAAGTCCGTGTGTGCGCCGATGCCGTTCTGGTCGTCCACGGACGCCGCCTGTTCTGGGTAATGCAGGATGCGCATGCCGGCTTCGGGCCGCTGGGTCCTTTCGTCAAAGTACGTCTCCGGGAGGTGGAGGGCGAGCGCGAAGATCTGGGTCATTTTCCGCGCGAACTGGAGCATGGGCGTGTGGTATGCGTAGAGACCTTCCTTGAAGCCGGGCAGGGTCCCTAGGCCATCTTGAGACGTCCTCGTCGGTGGCTGGGTTCAGGGGGTCTTGGGCGGCAGAGTATGCGAAGTTGAAGGCTTCGCTGAGGTCTGTTGCCACATGGAAAATCAGCATAGATATACATATACACAGACGCATGAGCTTGTGGTGGGCAGGACGAGTCGACGGCATTGCCACGCACCGTTGTGCTTTCTGCTGGCTTTGTTGTAACTCGCCATGGCGTGGTAGCCTACGTTCTCCTTGGGCACGAGGTCGTGTCGACCACCAACTTCTTTTCCATGGGGAGTTTGAAGAAGCGTTTGGCTTGCTCGAAGACCCCGTCTGTTAGTTTCACGTCGAAGCCCTGCATGCCCATGAGTTAGCAGCCAGCTCGCCCATACCATTATATTCACACACATTGGACGGAACTCACGTGGTTGATCACGTAGAAGAACCCAATGCGATGGGCAGCCTCGCGGACCTTGTCCGCCACGGCTTGTCGGTCTTTTAACTTGTCGCTGTAGATGCCCGCCACGTCGATGATGGGGATCTCGTCGGCATCGACGGCTTCGTTGGACTCGACGTGCAGAGTTTGGCCCCTGACAAACCAAAGCGACTTCAACCGTTTCGCCGAAACACCAGGGGGGCAGGTTCCGGGCCAGATATACTCCACGGTCATCATGGGAGCGGTTGTGACCCTCATGGGCACATTAAGAATCTCTGCCGCACAGAAGATCTATGGCGAATCGATCTGGTCTCCCGCTGAACTGGCGATCCGCTGGATGCAGGACGGCTACAAAGCCAAGTCTCGTGCAGGAGCCTTCTTCGCCGGATTGGGGTTCTTCATCTCCCAGCTCAGCATCAACACAGTCGACAACGCTTGGCCAGGAGGATTCGATCTAGCCGCATTGTTTCCTCGGTGGATCAACATCCGTCGTGGTGCCGTCATCACATTCGTGCTCGGTATCGCGATCAACCCGTGGCAACTGGCTGATACCGCCAACACTTTCATCAATGTGCTGGACGGGTATAGCGTCTTCCTGGGTCCAATGACGGGCATGACGGTGTGCGACTTCTGGGTCGTTCGTGCCAGGAAGCTGAAGCTCTCCGGTTTGTACGTCCCGCACAAGTCGTCCATCTACTGGTACAACCACGGGTTCAACTGGCGGGCGTATGTTTCGTGGCTTATCGGCATGGCGCCCGCATTGCCTGGCTTCATCAACGCAGTCAACCCGTCAATCAAAGTCCCCAAGGGTGCACAGGAGATTTTCTATCTCGCATATATTGAGGGCTTTGCCTTGGCGTTTGTCGTTCACTATGTGTTGAATTGGATGTTCCCTGTGCCGGGGCTGGGAGAGATCGATGACGAGGACATATTTGCAACTTTCACCGTGGAGGAGGCCCGCAAGTTGGGCGTATTGCCGCACCCACGGCGGTTGGATGGCATTGAGGTTGCATGAAGGAGTGGTCTCACCGGCGGAGGATGTCAGCGAGACAAAGGTGGTCGTCGTTGGGGAGAAGTAATAATCAACTGAAGCTGGAACCTCGAAGCATTAGAGCTCATGGGCTACTTCCGTCGAAGCCGCCACGTAGTTCTACGTGCTTTCCGTGTGGGATGACCGCCCTGTCCAGTAGGTGCATATGGGAAAAAAGGCGACAAGCACCCCATGGTGCGGTCTCTTGTCCTTCAGTCTGTAAGCCCCAGAGTTAGGCGCAGAGATTTCCGCCGTTGATCACCGTAGCTCTAGTGGGATAGACGCCCACGACCGACACAAAGCTCTGAGGGTGTCCAGGAGGTTCGTGGAGCCTTAGTGACCGCTCAGCGATGAGATACCCGGCGCCGCATCTCTTCCTCATACTCGCGCAGCAGTACGTAATGGCAATGGCTACCAGCTGCTGTTGCCCGAAGTCAAGTTTACTGTAGAGGCGCCAGGGCTCAGGCTTGGTCCAGAAACCCTGATTAGAGGATAACGTGATCTCGCGGTAATTTCGCGTCACCTCACAGCCCTCTTACTCTTGACACTGAAGCAACCGGATACGCTTGCGCTTGATGTTCGTGGCTTGAAACGGGTCACTCTTTCCAAGCTACTCCCAACTGTGTATGTTCCTGAGTCCTGAAGCCCCCAAACTCCTAAGCTCTGAACGTGTGAAATAGTGCTCAACGCTGAGTGCCGGCCGCCCTTGCTCACTTACACAACACACCCATAATGTACATAGTAGGTGATACCTACCCGCGTCGACCACCCTAACGTCAGTGCGTTGGTGTCCAAGATGCTTGCAACAAATCCACCGGTCAACCGGCCTTCTTCTACCAAGACATCCAGCTCAAGGTGGCGTTTCCGTTGCTGACGCATCCGTCATTTCCCTCTCCGTGGACGGCTTAGTAGCAGTACCCAGATCTGCTCGAGGTAGGGCAGCAGCGTCCGGCACATGATCCAAGCTCCCTTGCTCCACAGGTTCTTCCTTCACCGTGTCAGTTGGTGTATGCTTGGTCTCGATCTCAGCATCAGGTTGTGCCTGGGTGTCCGGCTCCGCTGCTGATTCGGATTCCAGACCGACAGCTCGCTTGAAAATCGTTTCAGCACTATCGATGATCTCGATCACTGCCCGCCGCATCATGCGCTGATCGCGGGGGAGCATCTCGTTGCTCCTGCCCTGCTCTTGGCCAACGACGACGCCGGTGTAGTCTCTCTCAATGGCCATAAGCACGACATCCACCTTGCCGAGAAGGATTGATTTTACGTCTTTGAGCATCTGGTCAAGGAGTTCGCGGACGTGTTCCACAGCATCATTGAACATTGTCGACTTCTCCTGCTCGACATGGCGGTCCATGTAGCCCTTCATTCTGACGAACTGGCCGGGTCCGCTCTCTGCGGTGCACAGATCATAGACCGGCAGCATGTGCTCACGAACCCGTGGCTCGAATTCGCGGTTGATGTTCCGCTGCCTCTCAGACATTAGGTTGCGTGCTTCGCTGATTGCATCTTTCAGGGTCTCCTTATACACGGCGATCTGGTGCTTGAGCATCTGAAAGGAAGCGATCGAAGCCCCGTTACGGATGGCTCGCCGCTCAACTTCGTCGTGGAAGGTTGTCAAGATCTGGCCGGCGTTCGTCGGTAGTGAGTTGAGAATGCCAGGCAGCCTGCGAGCAAAGACTGACTCCCAAGGCCCCGCGAGATGACGAATGACGGGTTCGGTCAGCTGCTCGTTGAAATTGTTGGTGGCCCAAGCACTGCTAAACACTCCGTCGCGCCGCACGACAGCCTTGTACGTGGCCCAATAAAGCCCTCCCGCCGCCCGGTTTTCGCGATTGACGGGGGAGCTGGGATGCTGTTAGCTCCCATACCAGATTCGGAGTCAACGGAAGGTTGGCGCATTCTGGGAGGTCGAGCAAGGATTTGGATTGTACTCACGCCCATTTGTAAACAGTATCGCTCGCTTCGGATCGAGCGGCTCCAGTGGCGGTTGGATAGGCGTCATACACCTTGTCTTGTAACTCTTCCTCGATTCCACTGACAATGGCCGTAACAGCTTTCTCAAGGGCCTGGCGCAAAGTTAGAATAGGCACGGTGTATGACAAGGTAACCAGAAAAGTGGATGAGACAACAGTCAGAATGAGGTTACTCACAGAGTCGAGTTTGGCAAGTCTTTCTTTGAGGATTTCAGCTTCCCTCTTGATTTGACCTTCCGTAAGGTTCGTGCCCGTACTCTCATTCGATGCCCAAAGACGGAGAGAATTCAAAAGCTGAAACATGCCAGTTAGGAACTTGCGGCACACCGTCACGCGACTCGCTGTTGTCAATTGGATACAGTGAGCTTGGAGTGCCGGCATCTCGGTCTCGTCGATGTGGTTGAAGCCCGGCGGGGACTTGTCCTTCTGCAGGCGGCCTCTCAACTTCTGGTAGGCTCGAGAAGACACGCAGAAGACTGGCAACTTGCGGGCGACCTCGTCGTAGTTGCGACGGTCGACCTGGATTGTCAGCAGTGAGTACGAGTATGGACACCTATGGTGGGTCAAGGACTTACCTCCGGATCGAAATTGGCAGCGTCCTCCTCTTCGGCAATTTCCTGGTCAAGTTCGCGGATTCCTGCGGCGTAGTCCTGTCGGATCGCAGCTCGCGAGTACTCATTGCGCCCTGAGATACACTTGGCAGACAGCGTACCATCGATGTCCTCAGATTCTTTCTCAATCTCGTTAATCTGGTCTTCCAGCTTCTGGATTTCTTGGTCGATCCGGATCTTCTCGCGGCGGCCTTCCTTGCGAGTGCCACGAAGGTCTGCAATTTTCATTGCAATTTCATCTTCTTGAAGAGGCTCGCCGGGATCCTCGCCAGTGACGGAAGATGCGTCATCGGATCCTGCCTCGCTGCTTGTACTGTCTCCATCGTCGATGAAGTCGTCGTCTGAGTCCGCTTCCTTGTAATTTGGTCTCTTCTTCTTTTTTGACGGCCCACAGTCATCCTCGCGCTTGCGCTTCTGTGACTTTGATCCTGGTTTGAACACAGTTTTGCCATCATTGAAGTCCTGCTGCAACGCTTCCCAAAGTTCAAGATCTTCCTCGGCCGCTTCCATGGCAGCGTTAATGTCGAGCTTGGTGTCTTTGAGATCACTGATCTGTCTCTTCAGATGGTTCTTCCTCTTCCGCAACTCTTCCGACTTCTCCCACATCGGTGTAAACTCGTCGTCGAGCCCTAACGAGTCCTGTGCCTCGGTGATCGAAATGTCGTCGGTCTTGCTGCAGATAAACGTAACTGAGTCGAAGCCGCCGTCCATCTTCAGTTGGCGCTTAAAAGTGTCGCCAAGGAGGGTCTTTGCAGACTTGTCATCAACTGCTCTTGTGATGGGCGCCACGATCCAAAGCCCAGTACATTGTTTCATGTAGCCTTGTGCGACAGCTGCGCGAGCCTGATTGCTATCGTGGACACCAGGGAGATCGACGATGACCGCACCGGTAGCCAGGGCGGGAGCTTTGACATACAGTCTCACCACTCGAATCAATGGCCAAAATTCCATCTCACGAGGCTTGCTGTCCTTCTTGCTCACTTTCTCCTTCATCCCTTGCGTCTTTTCTTTGCTGTCAACATAGCGTTGTAACTTTTTGTAGAACATTGCTGGGTCGTCGGATTCAATGTCGCGCGTGGTGCCTAGGCATGCAACATTGTCATGCTGCATTAGTCTCTCAATCGTGCTGTTTTCCATGTCGTCTTTGGTCATCCTCGGGTAGACTGCCTTGATCTGGGCATATGCAATACCGCTTTCCGAATCTTCGTTGGTACATTCACGAGAAACCTGACCCGAGTTATCGAGAAGATCTTGGAACAGGATCTTCAGCATCTTGTGCCAGTCGTCGCGAGAAATAAACTCGACCTCTGCTCTGTAAGGTGCACCCTCCTGATGATTGTAGCTGATCTCAGTAACGACGGCGGTACAGGCTCGCATACAATTTGTGGGCACCAGACGTTCTTCATCGAGCATCGCATTGATGACTGAGCTCTTCCCGGCCCCAGTTGCACCGACCACGCCGATCACTGTCTTCGACCGAGTGGCCTGCTTCTGAACAGTGTCGATGGCTTGAAGCCATTGAGTGGTGTCCTGACTCGGCTGTTCTTGCAGGGCACTCTGGATGCTGCCGAGCAACGCCACACCTTCCTCGACACTCTTTTCGAGCTGCTCGGGAGTGCGGCCATCGAAAAGTTCAGCCATGCTCAGCCGAGTTGCAGCAGCATTGGCGGAAGCGGGCACATCTTCAAGCGCGGCGTGAAAATCGATTTCAGTGGCTGGGCCGTCGAAGCGAGGGATTTTGTCGTCGTCAAGTTGGGGACTTGGAGAAGACTTCTGCTCTGACTTGATGCCTGTGGCAAGAGTGTCCGCTTGACTTGGCGGAACTGGACTGGATGGCCCCTGAGGCTGGGTAATAGCACCTCTCTGTACTGCAGCATAAACGTGGGGCCGCACGTCGTCGGCCCATCTCTTTCTTTGATTGGGTTTCATCACCGTCCATATGGCCAGAGAATTCTCAATCTGTCTGTTGCGGGTGTCAAAATCGTGGTGACGATGGCAAGGGCTTGCAACTTCCGTGGCCCAGGAGTTCCCGCAATAAAAAGACCAGAACGCCCAATGCTCTGCATATCGATCCTCAGGCGAAGCGGAGCGCAATGTGGCTGCGATTTTGGCTGCTCTTTCAATGAAGTAAGTCTTCTGCCCTTGATCCAATCCCAGCCACTCCTCCTTGATCGCTTCATCAGTGGCGGAGAGCTCGTCCGTATGCATCAATACTGTCGGGCCGAAACTGGCAGCTATTCTTACGATCTCCATGCGCTCGAACAAAAAATCCTCCCACGCAGTTCGTTCGGCGGGACCCAGAGTGTCCGGCGCCGAAAGAGGATGCGGCCAAGCACCAAGGCTAGGAGGAGGACAGGCAGGTTCAGGCTTGGACGGACTGCGTGCATTCCATCCTTGAGGATGCTGAAGTGGGCGCGGCTGGGACTCTTTGCTGTGGACTTCATTGTTGAACTTGCTCGACGTCTGCGCCTTGACTAGTGAACGATTAATACCATTTGCAACCTCACTCAAAGGCGAGCGTGCGGCAGTCAAGTATTTGCGTTTGTCGAGGTCCTTCACTGTGACAGCTTCGAGAGCGACGAAGTTATTCGGAACACGGTTCGCAAGGGCAGAAATCTTGGTTCTTTCCTCAACGACCTGGAAGTTGTGCCTCAAGACAAAATCTCCCGCTTCTGGACACTCTCTTCTGTAAGCATTAACCAGAGAAGAGACGTCCTTCTCTCGCGGGCATTTGATCCACAGGGCGTCTGGCTGACCGAATGGGCCATCGGGCGACTTGTCGTAGTGGAGTATGGCGACAAATACGACGCCCGGCTTCAGCTCATCCTGTGGCCTAAGCGTCCGCAACTTCTCGGAAAACTCACTGGGAATGTTAGCGTGGAACAAGAGCATCGGAGCGGCCAAGTTTCTTACAACGGCGTCACCATGTCAGCACAGAACCGTTGCAGGAGCTCAATGGGGCGCCTGCGGACTCCCAACGGCTGTACGAGTACGTTTGTCAACTGGTATTGGCCAGCACAGGGTGGAAAGGCTGTTCTGACGGGAGACAAGAAGTCGATTGGAGGAGACGCGTTGGAGCAAACAAACCCGCGTTCTTTGTGGTTGCGCTACGTCATGGCGCGTAGCGTTGCGCGTTATTGGTCGCGTGCTGGCTAAACCCGATAAACTCGCCAAGCGCGGCCCGAGAGCTGGCTCTAAACCTCAAATGGATTTCGACCCACGAACCCCACATCCCAGTGACATTCCTACCGTGCCTCGCGTGCATAATTCAAGCGAGCAATTCCGCGAGCTTCATCTTTTGGAGGATTTGCCAGGATACGCTTCCACATTTGGCCACAGCGTCCCGACACCACGGCGGTCCGGCATCCCTTTTTAGTGTCCAGCTGTGTCTCTGACGGTTGATCTTCGGGTTGTGAGATCATCCTCATCGCGGCGTGTTCTTGAATGGTCTCTCATGGCGCTTTTACCGCAACTTATCGGGCGCTGAGCATCACATGAGAAATTCGAACGGCTGGGTTGCCTCATTTGCACTACAACCTAGGATTCCACCTTCAGAGTGTGAGCTTGGCCGCTGCTCAGCACCCATGTACGAAGTTCATGGGTTCTCTTAAGTGAGGATCACGGTCACGATTTTCATTCCCTCAAATCTCTCTTGACTTTCACCACTTTTGAGTTTTGGCCATAAAGGGTACCAACATGCGGATCAACAATTCTTCGTCGGGCGGCAGCTCTACGCTTGTTCTTGAGATGCCATCGAGGTCTCAGCAGCCAAACCATTCAGAGAAAGACGTGCCTGTGTTCGAAGATGTCTCCGCCGGAGCCTTGCCGTCCCCGACGACTGCTACGCCTCGATTGCAGAAATGGAATTCACCTCGCATCAATATGTGGCGGTGTCTAGCGACCTTCTACTCCTTTATCATTCTCGGGGCTAACGACGCCGCATATGGCGCCTTGATCCCGTACCTCGAAACATACTACCATGTCAACTACACAGTCATCAGTCTTGTTTTTCTGTCGCCCGTTGTCGGCTACAGTCTGTCGGCTTTATTGAACAATCATATTCATACTGTGTATGGGCAAAGAGGGGTTGCGATCCTCATGAGCGTGTCGCATATCTGCGCTTACAGTAAGTTTATTGACTTCGAAACGCGGCATCAGCTGACCTTGACTCGTAGCTGCCATCTCTGTTCACCCTCCTTATCCTGTCCTGGTGATAGTGTTCATCCTCGCCGGGTTCGGCAACGGCTTAGGCGACAGTGGGTGGTACGTTCAGATCCCCCACTTCCTTTTCTGCAGACAAGGGCTGAAATTAATGCCAGGAATGCTTGGATTGGCGACATGGCCAATGCAAATGAAGTGCTTGGTTTCCTGCATGGCTTCTACGGACTCGGTGCGGCTCTGTCGCCTCTGATAGCAACAACGCTGGTGACAAAAGCGAACTGGCAGTGGTACGAATTTTATTACCTCATGATTGGCGCAGCAGTTCTCGAGCTTGTTCTTCTTGTCAGCACGTTTTGGAAAGCGGATGCTCAAGCCTATCATACTGAACACCCTCGGACTGCTGATGACACCGACTCCTCGGGCTCGAGCACTCCAGCCGGTATCGAAGCGAACAGCGACAGCGAACCAACGGCCAAGAAACAAGGTATCTTTGGCAGAATGTCTCCGTTCGGAAAGAGAGCAAAGCGCAAGAGCCAGACAGCTGAAGCGGTCAAGAACAGAGTGACTATTCTCGCCTCGGTATTCTTACTTATTTATGTTGGAATTGAGGTTAGTATTGGTGGCTGGATTGTGACTTTCATGCTCCGTGTCAGAAACGGGAAACCCTTTGCTTCCGGTCTCACGTCCATGGGATTCTGGCTCGGGATTACCGTTGGTCGGCTTGTCCTTGGCTTCGTCACAGCTCGACTCTTCAAGAGCGAGAAACACGCCGTGGCCACCTATCTTGTTTGCAGCGTCGCGTTGCAATTGCTGTTCTGGCTCATACCGAATTTTGTGGTTAGTGCAGTGATGGTTGGGTTCTTGGGATTCTTCCTGGCACCACTATTTCCTGCCGCGGTTGTGGCACTCACAAAGCTGCTTCCGAAGCGGCTGCACGTTGCCGCTGTGGGGTTTGCAGCCGCTTTTGGTGCGAGTGGTGCCTGCGTTCTGCCGTTTGCTGTCGGTGCAATCGCCAATGCGGCAGGAGTCAAGGTGTTACAGCCCATCATACTGGCAGCGCTAGTGCTATGTTTGGGTGTGTGGCTGTTGATCCCCACGCTGCCGAAACAGAGGATGGCATGATTAATCCTGGATAATGGGCGCCTGTCTTGCCGGCGACTACGAATCAAGGTGTTGAGGTATGCCAAATCAGCTCGATCGAAAAGTAATGTTCAATCTGGTGGAAGCAAGGCTGAATAGAGCGCGACACGCTTCCGACTCGTCTGTCTAATGCAATTGCCCGACACCGAAACTCCTGCTCGGGAGGCTATCCTGCTAGACAGCTGCGAAGCAGCAGTTCCAGCATGAGAATGGACAACGAGAGGGGAGGATATATCTAAAGTATATATGCTCGTCTCAAAGGGATGCCCATATACTATTGTCGTGCAACGCGGGGCTTTTCAAGGTTAGCTGCAGATCTCCGAAGCAGGGATCTCATGCAAGTCACCGCATGGCACCGACGGTCATCCAGCACAAATGAATACGAGGCAAGCTCTATTCTAAGCCGACTCTCACGGCAAAGAGATATGAGTACGGCGGCAGAAGCTCAGCTATTCTTAATGGGCATGGCGATGTGACCCAATCTTAGTTGAAAAGGGGCCCTCCAGGGGCCCAATGAAACAAGTGGAGGCGAGGGTCCAGGCGAAGGGCGGTCCACGGCTAAACCGCAACAGGGCAGAATGGAGCAAGGGACACACGAGACTCTTCGATCGGGGCTTCGCTTGATTGAAACCTGGCGATTCTGGCTGCCCTTCTCTTACCCTCCTTGTTCAGCACGCCCAGCTCCTTTTCTCAACGACAACCCTTCACGCCGTCTTCTGCCATCATTCTGGGCCAGGCGACCGACAAGCAACGACCATGATTACGAGCGCGCATCCATCTTTACCTGCCAGATAGACTAGATCTGCAGTTTCTTGGATTACTCGCCTGGCGGATATCTCGAAGCCCTGTCGCGTCTGGAACGCGCGCTTCGCCACTGGACAGGCTGTCTTGATCTGTGGCTGGTGCCTCGACAATTATTTCGACATCAACTCCTATCGCCAGGATTGACAGTATCCTTTAATCAACCACTCCGCACGTCCACCGATGCGGTCGCCCGGAGCAATGTTCACTCCAAAGCATGCGCCGTTAAAGGAGGGCCGCTCTCTTCCCGGCTTACCATATGCTGGGCCGCCACGACGGAATCTCCGGTCACGCCAAGGAGCTTTCGCGATACTAATTCTAATATGCATACCTATAATATACCTATTCATGTCGAGCGCTCCCACCTCATCAATACAACCACAGATAGTACCTGCTGGCCAAACAGATAAGGGGTCAATACCAATTTCCGATAATCTGTTCCACGCACCCCAAAATGAGGTCCCCAATCAATGGCGACAACCACAACAACCACAACAGCCCCAGCGTCTTCCGCCGAACCAAGCATCCAACGAGCACAATGAAGGACGGTTTGAAGTCCCTCCTGCAGAAGCGTCAACCCTGCGGCCCGACTCTGCCGGTCAAAATCTGAATTCCGCGCCGCAAAGGCCAAGAGGCCCTTCGAAAGCGGATTTTCAAGACGAACCTTCCATCGCACCGAGCGACGATGACACGGCTGCACAACCCAAGCCTTACTCCAACAACGCCAAAGGATCCGGCCTCTCCGGCTCCCCCCGGTTCCTGTCGAACCCGAGTTCATTCTCTGAGCGGCCCAAATTCGAAAAGGCGCTCGCTCGCGTCATCAGCTTGCTCCCCGGCGAGATGGAAGGCAGGGACTTACTGCGGCCTGTGGAAGGCACGGGCAAGGAGAAACTCCGCGAGATGGGCCTCCGCGTGCGGGAGTACAAGAAGTTCTTCGAAGCGTGGGAGAACCTCCACCTCACGTTCGACGAGGAGGGCGGCAGTTACGTGCGCGACGACGTGATACAGTACCTGAGGCATCACCAGCATCAACCCGTGGACGACGAATTCGGCGAGACATCCCTCGCGCAGACGATCCACTCGTACGAAGCATACCGCTACTTCCTGGTCAAGTTCGGTCAGCTGCTCTTCCCTTGGACGGCCCCATATTTCCCGGACCACATGACCCTGCACTCGCACTTTAAAAAGGGCGGCCGCGGCATCGTGCTCACCGCCGGCGACGACCAAGCGCCCTTTTTGTTGACCATCATCCCCACGTTCCGCAATCTCGGCTGCGACCTGCCCATCGAGATCATGTACCTGGGCGACTCGGACCTGTCCGAGGACTACCGCTCCGACCTGGAGAGCCTGGACGGCGTCATCACGCGCGACATCGCGCAGATGGTCAACGACGAAGGCTGGAAACTCGCGGGCTGGGCGGCCAAGCCGTTCGCGATCCTGTACTCGAGCTTCCGCGAGGTCATCTTCATCGACGCGGACAGCCTGTTCTTCGTCAACCCGGCGACGCTGTTCGAGGACCCTGCCTACCAGAAGAGTGGGGCCCTGTTCTTCCGTGACCGCCTGATCATGCCGGAGAACAAGAAGCGCTGGCTGCAGCAGATCCTCCCCAAGCCCATCTCGCGCCAAGTCAAGCAGAGCCGCATGTGGACAGGCGATAGCGGGCACATGCAGGAATCCGGCGTCATCGTCGTGGACAAGTGGCGCCACTTCATCGCCCTCTTGTTCGTCACGCGCATGAACGGGCCCGACCGGGACGGCAACAAGGATGAGGGGAGGGTCGGTGTCTACGACATGGTGTATGGTATGTGTCATCGTCGCTCTATCCCTCACCCCCATCTCCATGACGCGCTAACAGCTCTCTCCACAGGCGACAAAGAAACCTTCTGGCTCGGCTGGGAACTGGTCGGCGACCAAGACTACACCTTCCACCAAGGCGACGCCGGCACCATGGGCACGGTGCAAGACCCCGAGCCCGACACGTTCAAACCGAAACTCGTCAAGAAGAAACGCCCCGTGCTTGACGAGGACGGCCAGCCCAGACTGGACGACGCGGGCCAGGAAATCCTCGAGGACTACGAAGTCGTCGTCGACGAGGACCCGGAGGCTACTTCTTCGCCCGAGCAGTACGCCAACCGGCCCGAGCCGTCCAACTACACGATCTGCGCGCCCCAATTACTACATCTCGACTTGGACGGCAAACCGCTGTGGTTCAACGGGTGGCTGCTTGACAACAAGTTCGCGGACAAGAAGCAGAAGCGGTTCGGCAAGTTCGAGCACTATCTCATCGAGCCGCGGGACGTGCGCGAGCCGGGGGCCTGGCAGCTGGAGGAGAGCAACATGTGCTGCTTGACCACGGATGCGGAGCTCAAGCGCGATTTCACGGCCCAGGAGAAGGACGTCTTGAACATGATGATCGGTCAGGCCAAGGAGGTGGGGGTTGCCTCGTGACCGTGACCGTGACCGTGATGGCGTCGTATTGTGTCATCTCTTTGATCTTTCTGAACTGGAGTCAAACAGAACGGCATTCAAATGAAGGAAATGTTATTTGGATTGATCGGTTTGGAATGGATAGAAAAGCTGAGTGCAAGGACGAGGACTATTCCCTTGTTCAAGCATATTATTCAGTACCCTTGAGGCTTGGCGGAAGATTAGACCAAGGCGTCACGGTGTTTTGGTGGTAGAGGCTATTTGGTTGTACTGGACTGTGTTGGCACACCCATGATGTGCGGCTAGACATGTAGGGTTGCTCTGCGCTTGGCCGCGGGTGCATTCTTCGGAGGCGTGTCTTGAAAATATTTCAGAAAGTGCGCGTTATTTCCTTCCCCTTGTGCGGTCGCACTGGCCATGTTTGCTGCAGTGTGTAAATTACAATCACTGGTTGGATTCTGTCCTCGAATGCAGTGAGTCCATGAACCGGGTCGTCGTGTTGGAAAACAATCGAAAGAAAGCGAAACCAGGATAAATCAGACAGGACAGAACGAGGAGCAGCGTGCTGGCTGGCAACAACGGATGCGAACCACGGGAAACGGTCGTTCCGGACACAGATGATCCCGATGGTGATAAAGGCGAGAATTGGGAGGCTGAGTATAGAAGCTGAGCTGCCGTGCAGCGTCAAGATCCTTAATCGGCACGACGAGGATCGTGCCATAGGAAATAGCCTGCACTTGTCACTCCGGCTAGATTACGGAGTATAGGAACCGATAATCAATCTCCTGGGACAGGCTTCCCTGACAGGCTCCTTACATAGACCGTCTCAACGCGCTAATGTTACACTTTCTTTTCACGCCGCCGGGTTCCTCTCCGAAGCATGCTCAAACACCGGAACGCCATGCAATCGCACTCGATAAAGACACGTATACTCCGCGCCGTAATTCTCAGTAACCCTCACCACGAAATTCTGCGCCGCATACGCCAATGTGTCTTGATTCACATCCAGCGGGAAAGCTTGGACGTGACTCGCCTCGCTCGAGGCATCATATTCCATCTGTCCGACCAATGCGTATGTCGGGCCGATTGGACTTCCGCCTTCGCTCTGCATCTGTCGTATATTCAAAGACTTCCATTCCCGACTATCGAGATGTCCGAAGTCGGCCCAGAGCTCAATGACCCTGGGGGTCGATCCAGGTAGAAGCGATCCCCCACTAGGGTAATTCTCCACCACAACCTCAGTCGGATAAATCAGTTCTGTGACCGTGACTCCTAACCGCATCGTGTCTGCCTGGTCAAGCTCCGTGTCCGCACCTGGTGCAGAAGAAGCGCACCAACAATCACCCACGTCTTGCCACGGTGATAGTGCTGTGATGGGTGGCTTGGACACATATCCCGCGGCGAAGAAAACACGGAGCAGGACTCGCTGAACGAATGCCAGAGGCCTTTGCATTGTGGGCGAGGTAAGTCGTGGTTCAAGCATTGCTCCGTTATTCGGGGCGAGGTAGTTGATTTTGGGAATGACTGGAGAGGCCACATCGCCGGATGACGGATTTGACCGGCCACCACCCAGTTTCAGGTTGGCGACGTGATTTGAGAGTTCGGAGTGTTGTTTTCTCAGAGCGTCAATGCCTTTATCCACTGCTGCATGCTGTGAGTCGACTTTGTCATTGATCCGTGTCTCGAGATCCCGTAGCTGGTGGTTGATCTGGTTGATCGCTACGGAGAGCTTGGACAAGTCATCTCCACCGCCAAGCGTGAAGTTGAGAGGTGCACGACCTGGGCTTCGAGCACAAGTCCCACAATACCTCTGTAGCATTTGGCCTGGCAGAGAAGTGGGAAGTGGATTGCACACGTAGGTATTGTAGACGTAACAGAATGAAAGGCTGGCGGCCCCGATGAAGAGAAGCGTGAAAAGCAGAGTCGTCATGATCGATATTAAAGGTGAATTTGGAAGGTTTCTGATGGACTCGCCAATAGCTGTCCAGAGCCGTTGCAACCAAGACTGTATTGAGGATGCAAATCCGAAGGAAGCGCGGCGTGCGCGCTGAGTTCTCTCTTTGAGTGCTCTCGAGATCGTCACTGAAAAAGGCTCTTGTGGTTGTCGTATTGTGATATTTGGTTTCCGAAGACCACGCTCGTAGTTATAGCTATGGTCGAACATACCGCTCGGAAAGCTTGATGGGTCTGTTCCTTTGTCGGAGGCGTTATCAGGAGTGCTCCGAGCAGGACTCTCCTCTTCGTGTTCTACTTCCTGTTCGTCCTCCTGATCTTCTTCTGCTATACCGTTCAGCTGAGGACTGTCGACCGAGCTAGCCCAGGCAGCAACACGCTGGCTTCGGGACTGTTCACGTTCGTCACTCGCGACCGAGCCTTCCTGGGATGGCTCCCGTGATGCTCTCCGACGAGCGCGTTCCTCCCGAGCGTCTTTCTGGAGATTCGCCCGAGTTTCCTCGATATGATGCTGAAGATGTTGCTCGGCCTGGTCCACCCCAGCATCAATGGTTTCCGCCATTTGTAGAAGATTCATGCGGCTTCGCGCTATCAGCTGAGTCGGCAGAACGGGTGCCTTCGTTGATCCATAGGCGTAAGACTGTTGGATTTGCACTTCGGGAAGTCTAGGATTATTGACATCGCCATTGGCTATACTCGGTTGCTGTGACGCGCCCCGATTGGACCTTCGCGGGATTGCATCCTCTGGTTCTAGGGCACTGCTTGCTCGTGTTGGTCGCTTCGCTGGCGTTGCGCCGCGCACCGGAGTGGCGCTTGAAGCTCGTGCGGTAGATCGACGAGGCGCCATGTTCTCTCTATTTTGTCGCCTGCGCATCAAGAAGCTCTGAGATGAGACTCGATGACCTGGGTAGAGGGCCAAACAGCAGTATCCAAAAGTGGCTCCAGATTGGTCATTGAGGAATGAGGTTTTGGTGAGGTCACGAGGAGGAGCAGTTGCCGATCTGCTGCTCCATTTGGCAGAGACCGGTATAGAAAAGTTCCCAGCAAGGCCGTCGAGTGAATGCCTTCAGGAGCAAGGCTGATCAAGGTGAGTTCCCCTCCCAGTGTTGCGCCAAAAGTGTGGCGGCTGTGTGGTTGTGCTCGAGTCGGTGAGGGTTCTGTGACAATGCTGTAAGATCTGGTGGAGGTGGCTAGGAGTCCCGGGCTGCCGCTGCTAGGAATCGTGTGAAGAATCGCGACAGATTCGGGAATCACTCGATATCGACGCCAGCAGAAGATACAAGCAGTACAATACACGATTGAATCTAGTGGTGTTTGAACTGGTTGTGAATTTCTTCTCTGTTGTGTCTTTGTTTGGGGCGCGTCAAAGGTCAGGCCGCTTTCGACATTCCAGAAAGAGGCTTATTACGTAAGCCATCTTCGGCTAAGTTGCCAATCAATGATCCACCAAGTACTGTAACAACACCCATGAACCACTCAATCAACCGCCTCTCCTGGCCTACGAGGCGTGATATATATCGGCCACGTTAAGATCGATTCTCCCTCATCACTCATAGTTCCCCCGGTATAGCGAACAGGCGCTTCAGACTCCTTGGGCAGCTCATGCTCTGATAGCTGCCTTCGCTGCTGAATACCTGATTCTACATATAAACAAATTGCATTCCTACCAGTTCCAGTGCATGTAACGATTGCTTGTCCTTCGAACAACGTGCGCCGAGCGAGCAGCTAATGAAGGGACTACAGGTTTGACAAGAGATCAAATTCAGGACAGTCCGACCTCGCTTCGGCGATTGCTCATAGTCACAAACTCGGCTCTCTGGAAGCAGGACGATGTCTGCAGCCAGGTATTGTGATGTACAGACTCTTCCTGCGTGCTCATTTGCAGGTAAACTTCAGCATTTGGCTAAAAGACAGGTCATTCACGCAGCCCATCGTGTATTTGTGTATGTAACATCGCGGCCGAGATGCTTGCGCTACACGTGAATCATAGTGACTTAAGAGCTTGACCGAGAGCACGAGGGGATTATGGAAGAAGCACCAGGAAGTGATAGAAGCTCGACCTTCGCAGAGGAAGTTTGCTACTGTGGACGAGCAACTGTTCACGCCGCGGCACGCAGGGCAACTTAGCCGAGACTCTCTTGGATGACGTCATCGCCAATTGTGCCAGACGCGCTTTGCTTCGGCACGGTCCCCGCAGGCTCATAGTCCAGGCAGCGATTTGTAGCACGTCGCCTGACGGTCACCTGTCGCCAGAATATCTGACCTTCTTCTATTCAACCGGGCCATTTCTGTAACCGAGTCCTACATCCATCATGGCGCCCACTTCAAGCACCGTATTGAGCGCAGACTCCATACTTGATTACATGGTCAAGAGCCTCCGGACCCCACCCTCGGACGCTGAACAGACGGCCCTCATTAAGGACCCATACGCGGCCATCGCGCTCTTCTCACATGCTTGTATGCTTGCTGTCGGCTTCCGTCTAATCGGCCTAGGAGAAGATCACAAGATAGGTAGGACCACTGTTGAAGGTCCTGTGTTGTCAACATACTCATATCCAGTAGATGCGCAATCGGACCCCCAGGACACTCAGCCCTTGCCCGCAGAATGGGACCAGTTTTCCTCCTACGCCTTTCGCTATGCGCACTCGCAGTCTTCGATGGAATATCTTGTCAAAGTGAACAGACTTGGAAGTAAGGCTGTTATACTTGGGGTTGGCTTGGGCGACGACAAGACAGCCTCGTTAGAGGTCAAAGCCAACGACTACATCTCCGAAGGATCCATAGAGGAGGCATCGAGCAGCTCAGAAAAGGTCTCTGCACTACGAAACGTCTTCATCTCGAACGGCCGAATCACAGATCTGGCGTCACTGTTTAGGCTGAACATTATTCAGAAATTGGCGCCTGGCATTCACAAGGCGGGCTACGAAGATTCAACATCAAGTGTGGAGCAGCCACGACAACGTGATGAAACTCGGCCACCCGACCGCGATCCTTTGCGAGATGACCATCCTCCTCCGGCACGCCCTTATCCCTTCGACGACCCTTTAGCCGTACCTCGAAGACCTCACCCGTCAGCAGATTTCCCGCCACCTGGTTTTGAAGATGAATATGAGCTCAACAGGCCGCCGAGAGGGATGCTACCTGGGCAACAACCTTTCGGCAACATCGGGGAAAGAGATCTGTATCCGCCCGGACTCGGTCCTCATGACCCTCTACGAATCGGACCTGGAGGCGGTGGTTTCCGTGGCGGTGGTGGTATGCATCCGACCTTTGACGACCCTCTGTTTGGTGGTCAAGGAGGACAAACGCCGTACGATCCTCGAGCTCCTCCCGGTGCACGTTATGATCCTATTGGACCTGGAGATGGGCCACCAAACCTTCGAGGAGGACCACGCTTCCCTGGGGGTGGTGGCGGTGGTTCTGGGGGCAATCCATTTGGAGGCTTCGGAAGTGGCGACTTCATCTAATGTGTGTCCAACAAGGATGAGAGCATGGCGATGGCAGTAAATGAGTGGACGAGGAACGAAAACTAGACACCCTGACCCTTGAAGGCCTGCATTGAAAGACGAAAAAGAAGCCTGCTAGGGACTTTATACGGTCTTCTTCTTTCCTACCCCCCTACCTTCTCCGTAACTCGTAGGAACACTTGCTGTCGCTCCCAGGGAGAAGAAGAGAGTAGAAGGAGCGGTGGCCGGCAGATTAAAAAGCAATAATTTGCCTCTTGGCGGTGGTTGTGGTTGTCCCTATTGGGCTAGGCGGTGATTAGGTACATACAGGATTCAAGTTCAGCAGGAGGTATGTCATGGCCCGCATGAACACAATCTATCACCAACACTCACCCTAACAGCCAGTTTTCCAGACACTCAGCTCAGCTTAAACTCACCTGATATCAATTTGCCTGGAGTGCGCGCACGAACGCTCCTCTTTCAGTCGACTGCGCCGTGACGAGTTTCGAAATTGCGACCATAACAGCCATCCCACCTTAGCACACGACACCTTGACCGCTCGTCGAACCTCCTGTTCTCACCTCGGTCCAAAGTCGCGATTTGCAAACAAGAACGCCTTGATCCAGTGCATGCTGGGACATGGACTCAAAAATGGATGTTGACGTCGGCAAGCCGGCCCAGCCTCATGGCCTGTCTCCCGCTACAGATGCCCAATCAATACCAACGTTGGACGGCTGGATAGAGAGCTTGATGGACTGCAAACAATTGTCAGAGGCTGATGTGTCGAGGCTTTGCGATAGGGTGAGCAACCCCAAAGGACCACAAGACACAGTCGGGTTAACTGCAAGCGCAGGCAAGAGAAGTTCTTCAGGAGGAGTCAAATGTACAGCCAGTGGTAAGTCAACCGTCGTGGTTGTGGTTCATTTCTCTAACAAGTCTTCAGAAATGCCCTGTCACAGTCTGCGGTGACATCCACGGGCAGTTCCACGACCTGATGGAACTGTTTCGCATTGGCGGGCCGAATCCTGACACGAACTACCTCTTTATGGGTGCGTCAAGACAATCATTTCGAAGCTGTACGGACTGACGATGAGTTACAGGTGATTATGTGGACCGTGGCTACTACTCGGTCGAGACCGTGACTCTGCTCGTCGCCCTCAAGATCCGCTACCCTCAAAGAATCACCATTCTCCGTGGAAACCACGAATCCCGACAGATCACCCAAGTCTACGGCTTCTACGATGAATGCCTGAGGAAATATGGCAACGCCAACGTCTGGAAGTACTTCACAGACCTCTTCGACTACCTGCCTCTCACAGCCTTGATCGACAACCAAATCTTCTGCCTCCACGGCGGCCTCTCCCCTAGCATTGACACGCTCGACAACATCCGCTCTCTGGACAGAATTCAAGAAGTGCCGCATGAAGGACCCATGTGTGACTTGCTATGGTCTGACCCTGACGACCGGTGTGGATGGGGAATCAGCCCCAGAGGTGCAGGGTACACCTTTGGTCAGGACATCTCCGAGGCTTTCAACCACAACAATGGGTTGACACTCGTGGCCCGAGCCCATCAGTTGGTCATGGAGGGCTACAATTGGAGTCAAGATCGAAACGTGGTGACCATTTTCAGTGCGCCCAACTACTGCTACAGATGCGGTAATCAGGCGGCCATCATGGAGATTGACGAGCATCTGAAATATACCTTGTACGTTTCTCCCTTGCTACATTTCGTTGCGGATACTGACAAATCATTCTTCAGCTTGCAATTCGACCCATGTCCCAGGGCTGGGGAGCCTATGGTCAGCCGCAGGACGCCAGACTACTTCCTCTAAATGCGGACGGGCCTCTACAAGACCCAAGCCACGTGAATGAAAGGAAGCGTCGAACGAGCATGATGAGCGTTCCGAATGAACCAGACAGGCATTGTGGTGCCTTCCAGAGGCACACTGGAGCACAGAAGAAGAGAAAAGGATGTTCAATAGACATACACCACCATTTGCATGTGCAGGCAAGTGGTGCCAGATGCCCTTGGTTGCTGTCACTGCCAGCGCAGTGGCTGCTGTGTACTAGAAAAAAAGAGATAATGAAAGTGAAAAGTGAGAAAGCACGTGTGCCCGCAGCCATTGTTGAGCCGTCCAGATGCGATCTCTGTTGGCCCATAGGGTTTCCGTTTTCCGCGTTCTTGTCCTTAACCTCTGTCACTTGCGTCTATGTACACACGTACAGTGAGATGTTTTGGTTCCTGGTTCTAATCCTTCGTGGCACATCGTACTGCCACTAACTGCTCCCTACAACTCCATCTTCTCAGCCTCGGCCAACAACCGCGCCACGTCCTCGCCAACGACATACTCGCCGTGACTGACCTCCTTGGTCAACGGCCCCTTCTTGACCATGATAGTCATGACCTCATACAACACATCCGCCGCCGCCATGGTCGTCAACTCGGCATTGGTATCATAGGCGGGCGCGACCTCGACCAGGTCTGCCGCCACGAAATTGATCCCCTCGAGCCCACGGATGATGGTCCGCAGCTCGCGCGTCGACCACCCGCCCGTCTCCGGCGTGCCCGTCGCCGGCGCAAACGCCGGATCCAACGTGTCAATGTCAATCGAGAGGTACACCGGGTTCGTGGTCCCGACGCGGTCGCGGATGCGCTTGATGATCCCCGGGATGCCGATGGTGTCGATCTCGCGAGCCTCGACGCGCGTGAAGCCGCAGTAGCCGTCGTTGTCGTAGTCGCTGGGCCCGCTGAGCGTCGTGCGGATCCCCGCGTGGATGCTCGAGTCGTTGGCCAGCAGCCCTTCCTCGCTCGCCCAGTAGAAGTACGTGCCGTGGTTGATGGCCGCTTGCTTGGACGGGGCGCCGCCGAAGACTTTTGGTTTCCACGTGTCGAGGTGCGAGTCGAAGTGGATCACGCTGATCGGGCCGTAGGCTTTGTTGATGCTGCGGAGGAGCGGGAGCGTGATGGTGTGGTCGCCGCCGAGCTAGCCACAGCGGGCCCCTTGTTAGCACGACGCCGCACATCCGGACGCACACACACAAACACAGACGCGCGCGCGCGCACTCACCGTGATGATGCGAGGGAGCGTCTTGCCGGACTTGGAGATGCCCGGCTCAGAGGCCGACGTGTACGGTTGGCGGGTCAGCAGGGTGTTGTGCCCGTCCTCGATCTGCTGGAGGGCGTAGTGGTTGTCGTAGCTGCGAGGGGTGTCAACTTGAGCTGTGTCTCTCGCGGAATGTCCCGGCTGGTTCACGTACCTCGTGACGGGGATGTCGCCGCAGTCGATGACCTTGCCCCAGAAATTGAACGGGTTGGACTTCATGGGCCTGTTCCACGGCAGTCAGTCTCATTTCTCACCTACAGTATCTCTCTCGGGCACTGCACTCACACGTTATACCCGCCACTAAATCCCAACTTGCGTGAGCCTTGAATTTCCCCGAGTAAGCGTATGAGCGGGAGACGTACTAGAGATTGAGGCGTCTAGAACCTTGTCTGATCCCGCTGGGCCCGAACCGGGCGCCCGGTCTGTAGGACGTGCCGGTGTCGAAGGGGGCGCCTGTGTGGCAACCGTCAGCTCTGAACTCTGCCGGCCGGAATCAATTGACACCCACCGATGAACGCAATGTCGTATTTCTCCTCGTCGCTGCTCAGGCAGGGGAAGTAGGGCAAGCGGCCGAAGGTCGAGATGCCGGAGAAGACGGCGTCGGCCTGGACAGTCTGTCAACATTTTCTTTTCTCGCGTCTTCTCCCCAGGTGAGTGGGCGCTCGTTCGTGTCTCACCTGTGTGCCGCCGTCACCTGGCAAAGTGTTATACCACAACGACTTGTGCGGGCCGGACACGGGGGTCTGGTCGTGGGAGCCATGCGCGAGAGCACAGCTGGCACAGGCCGCCACGAGGGCGACTGAAGCTGGTTTGAAGAGCATTGCGACGAGATGTCTGTCCCAGGAACGCAATGCAAAGTAACGCAGGGAGAAAGAAATATTCAATGAAGAGGAAGGAAATGAGCTCGTCAGAAATCCAAGCTCGATTGATGTGTGTGCACAAGCTGCTTCTTTTTTTCTGCCCCTCCAAGCTACTTAGCTAGGGGAGCTCTCTGCATCGAGTTCCTGCAGATCGGGTACGTAGCTCCATGTGTCCAATGGTGCTGGCGCTGACCTCTATCCGGCACGTTGGTTGCTCTCTTACCTAAAGCTAGGTGGCCAGGGAACACGTCCGGAGGCTATCTTTGCTGGCCCCGCCGCCGCGGTGACTGGGTGACAGGACGAAATGGCTAATCGTGACGGCATCATCATGGTTAGAGCTTCTGCCACAGCTTGGAACTGCAGGTCTGAGTTTCCGGCGTGCCAAAGAAGACGCGCATATCGCGGGGCATGTCTTGCGAGCACAGCATCGGAGAAGAGTCGGGGGGGAGCCACATGGTCCGGAGCAGCGCGCAAGTCCAGCCGGAGGGGCTCTCCAGGATATGTGCGAAGGCTGACAGCAGTGTGAGCCAATGCTGTGTGTCAAGGATGGGCCATGCAGGTGAAAAATTGCTTATCAGTTGGGCGGAGCGAGAACCGTATCAGTGAGAAAGATGCGTTTTGTAATTAAGACGTCAAGTCAAAGCATCCGGGGTGGAGAAGACGGAGCTAGCTGGAAGGGGAAACTTGGGTCGGGGAGCGACAAGGACGAGATCCGGGCTCTCACGCCTCTTATCCATGTGCTTTTGTAGAATCTACAGACATCACCTCATCGAAATCTATCCATGTAGGATACCGACGTTCATTGTGGGCCATTTCCGGCGGGCGCTGGCACCGACGCCCCAGCATGCCCGTTCTCCACCAATTCGTCCTTGTCCATGCGGGAGAATGCCTTGTCGACCTCGTGCTCCCAGTTGCTGAATGCCACGATGGCCCATTCGGCGATCCCGACTAGATACAAAGCAATGCACTGGCCGACCCACAGCCCGGGAAGGCCCCAGCCGTGAAAAGCCAGCCAGATGCCCAGCGGTAGGGCGCCGCAATAGTAGCTGACGATGTTGACGGCGGCGCCGATATGCTGTCGGCCCATGCCTCGTAGAGATCCGCCGCAGCTGCCATTCAATCCGTCGGCGATTTGAAACAGTGCCACGTAGGGTAGGACATGGGCTGTGAGCTTCACCACCCGCTCGTCGTCGTTGAAGATCTTGGCGAAGACGTTCCTGGTGCCCATCAAGACCGCAAGGACCAACGCGCCCATGATCATACTCAGCCAGGCAGCAGTATTCGCGGACCGTGACGCGCCCTTTGCGTTCCGCGAGCCCAGCATGTTGCCCACCCGCGCACTGGCAGCGACGCCGATGCCGAAAGGGATGGTGTTCATGACTTGGTCGGCCGTCATTATCACACTCTGTGAGGCCAGTGGAATCTCTCCCAGTCGGCCAGCAGCCAATGCGACAATCTCGAAAGCCCACCACTCCGTGCCGACATGGACGAAACCGAGGGCAGCGAGTTTGGCAAACACTCCGAGATTCTGCAGACACCTCTTTGACCATCCACCCCAGCATTCGCCGCCCGCAACAAACTTGGCGTACAGCACCAGCCCGAGGAACGAAAGCCAATAACCAATCCCCGTGGCAAAAGGTGCGCCGAGGATGCCCCAACCAGCCTTGTAGACGAACAGGTAGTTGAGCAATGCGCTGATCGGTGATGTGATCAGCAGGACGTATGTACCCGGCCGCATGATCTCCTGGGCCTGGAGGTATTTCTTCATCGTCTCGAAGTAGATATAGCCTAGGCCGCCCGGGATCAGGCAGCTCAAGAACTTAGAGCTGTCGTGAGACAGTTGATCACTCTGACCGAGCGCCTTGAAGATGGGTTCCGAGCAGAGCCAAATGATCGCAACGGGAATGTAGAACAGTGTCAGAACGACAAAGGCGCGCTGCAGTAGGATGCCTAGGTCGTGCTTGTTCTTGCTCCCTGTAAACGTTGAACTCGCCAAGGTATCAAGGGCTGTCGACCCGCCCATGCCGATCAGCCAGCCCGAGCACATGGCGAACATGTACGAAAAAGCAGCCGTCGAGAGATCCTGTGGTGATGCTCGGCCAACAATCAGGATGGACACGGTCTGTAGCGAGTTCTGTAACGTGTATGCCAGGATGACTGGAATAGAGCCTTTGAGCAAAACCCAGAATTCGTGCAATATCAGCTTGCGAGTCGGCGTCTCATCCTCGGGGAGGATGTCCATGAGTTCTCCTTCCTCCTGGCTGGGTGCCTCATCTTCGTCGCTGCGCTTCTTCGGCAGGAGCCCTGTCCGTTCGTCAGGCTCCTGCCGATGGATCTCCTCATTGATCAGCGCCATTGAACGCCTCCTTTCGTGGTCTTCTTCTGCTCGGCCACGCGTGTGAGCAGGACGCTTCCCGTCACGAAACAGCGTACTTACCGGTTGAACTGTATCGTCGCATGGTTGCTGCAAGATGAGCCAGAGGCGAGGGACAGCAAGCTGGCTGTTAGCAACAAAGACAACCGAAAAGCTGGTGGATCGGGTAGGTCATAATATCACACACACCGGCCCACCGAGATATTGATGCCGGCCTACAGCACCGGCCATGCATGATGTCGTCTCAGTCTTCTTGAATCAATCAGCCAGATGTCATGGCGAAACGTAACCCGGCAAAGAGGTTGACCACCGACTATCGGCTGTTTGTGTTGCTGAGCAAACCCCCCGCATCAGCCAATAACGAGCCATGTCAAGCCTTATCTATCGACTTGTCTCCGCCATGGGCCAGTGGCTGGAGGATGGACGAATGAAGAGACCCTGTCTCGTTGGAGCTGCCGCATCCGCCAAATGCTTGGTATCAGCGACGAAGCACAGCCTTTCTTTCAACGACAAATCGCCTATCGGCTGTCCTTATCTCACTCTTTTTCACCAATCTTACCCATCAGCGCCCTGCCTCGAGTGTCGTGATGATCTCTTCGGCAGGATGCCTTGGTGACGGCTATTGCATCCTTCGCGGCACCGTGGATCAGCAGCCGTCATCAAATCTTGCAGTCACACGATGAGGTCGTCTAGCTGGTAGGCAGATCCGCACGTTTTACCTGGCGAAATGCGTCACAGCAACCGAGATAACGTGCCATGCAAGGAGCAAATCTGGGGAAGATCCTAACAATGGCAATCTGTGGACCGCCGCCTAAGTAGTGCGGCTGCCGGGTACCTCCCAGACGGTGGCAATGGACAACTTTTCAACAAGATTTTCCTTTGGCTCTCCCTCTTGATAAACGTCTAGATGTTTCGTTTCTGACTTTATCCGTTCATTCATCGCATGGTGCCGTCTCCTTGCACGCTCAACTCACAATGGCAGGCCTCGAGAACGAGAAACAGGCCGTACCGGTGGAACCCCAGCAGCCCTTGAAGGAGAAGCTTGAGGGCAGCACAGTCGCCCCTCATCCGCCGGCTGTAGACAATGTCGTGACGCGAGATGGATTTCGACTTCATCCCCAGCCGACGACCGACCCGCTGGATCCTCTGAATTGGTCCAGCTTTCAGAAGCATACGATCCTCGCGATTGTCATGTTCAAGTACGTCCCTGGCTGGTGCATTTTGGGAGCCAACGACTAACCTGAGCGCGACAAGGTATTTCTTGTTCACGTACATCACGACAACAACTGTGCCGAGTTTCCCAGACCTACAGGAGCAGTTTGCCATCAGCTACTCGCAAGTCAACTGGACCGTGGCCATTCCGGCATTGGGTCTCGCCGTTGGGCCTCTAATATGGAGCTCTCTCGCGGACATCGTCGGTCGCAGAGTCATCTTCATTGTCGGTACTGTTATGGCGTTCGGCGCCACCATTGGGGCCGCCAAATCGTCCAACTACGGCGGCTATATGGCGGCGCGGTTCTTCCAGGGGCTCGGTGTGGCGCCGGCCTCGACCGTCGGCCTGGCTGCCATCAACGACATGTTTTACGAGCACCAGCGTGGTCAGAAGATCGGGCTCTGGGTGTTAGCCATCGACAGCGGCCTGCTCGTCGGCCCGATCTTCGGCGGCTTCCTGAACATCGTCTCCGCGGAATGGATACAGTGGTTCACCGCAATTTTGTTCGCCGTTCTCCTCGTCCTCGAATTGGCCTTCATGCCCGAAACACTGTATCCGCGGAACCATATGCTCTCGAAGCTCCCGATGGCGACCGCGGCGGACGAGACGGCCGTGGATATCGAGAAAGTGGGCCGTCGTCGAAGCGACGCCGGCGAGGTCCACCTGTCTCGCACCAAAAAGCTCTTCTTCATCAACTACAAGCCCGTGCCCGGGATGCGACACCCAGCAGTATACGACGCAGTCCTCCGCTTCATTCTGACATGGAAGTTCCTCGCCGTCTCCATCGCCGTCTTCACCTACTGCTTCCTGTGGTACTGGTGGGTGCTCAGCGTCATTACCATGCTACCCGCCGCCTACCTGGACTACACGCCACAAATCCAGGGCCTTCTCTTCCTGGGCCTCCTCTTAGGCACCCTGTTCGCCGAAGTCTTCCTAGGAGGGCATCTCAGTGACATCGTGTGCACGCGTCTCGCCCGACGGAATGGCGGCGTGCGCTTGCCCGAGATGCGTCTCTGGCTAATCTACCCGGCGGGCTTGTTGAGCGCCATCGGCCTCATCATCTGGGGCATCAGCGTCGACAAGGCATACCATTGGATGGTCGGCCAGGTGGCGTTCTTCCTGTTCGCCGCGGGGATTCAAATGGGCAATACAGTCGTCTGTGCTTACATTGTGGATTGCTACCCGCTGCAAAGTATGAGCATCATCACGTTTTATGCCGTGCTGTTGAATCTGTCGGCGTTTATTGATCCGGTAAGTCGTAACCCATGCAAACATATTGATCGATCGACGGACTGACCGTGATCCTAGTTCTTCATTGCCCCCTGGCAAGTGGCCTCCGGCTGGACATGGTGCTTCGCGGCCCAGGGAATCATTGTCTTCTTCGGCGCTTTGCCAATCTTTGGCCTCCTGCACAAATATGGCCCGATCTTGAGATCCAAGACCGGGACGCCAGGCTGGGTGAACCCGGAGTTTGACGTCCTGTTATAGATAGAACACAGTACGTACGTACTAGTTGGTAGACAAGCTGAGAACCTTCACATCACCCGGCATCGTTCTTCCGAGTAAGCCCAGTCGAAACGCTCACCCCACTTTCCGTCGACTTCTGCATCTCTGCGCGCTCCATTCTCGAAGACGCGGAAGACGCAAAAGGTCGTGCGCGGACCGTGTATGACCGCGAGGAACCAAAACTCACACGACTTGGACCACCGAACAAGCACAACAACATTTGATTTGCCAGAAATGTACTTGGTCAGTCATGACTGCGCGAGCTCGTTGTAGTCGCTTTTCCTTTAAGCCAGTGTAGTCAATTTTTGACAAGTTTCTTGGGAACAGGCATGGTTGCACTAGGGAATAGACTTATACTGGACACAGTGCTTTGAGCACGCGAGTCCCTCGTCACTAGTCCCAATAAGCTCGATAAGCACGATTACCCAAGGTATATAACTGACAATACCACGTTATCTCCCGCAATCGACCATAGGATGTGGAAAACAGGGCTTCCCGTTCGCTCAGCCGTACTTAAGCCACATGCCGGTCAGTTAGTACTAAGGTGGGTGACCACTTGGGAATCCTGGCTGTTGATTGTTTTTTGCAAATTTTTTTTGGCATACGGTATGTTGTGGGTACTGCAAGAACGTGATGTCTGAGCCATATTGTCGTAGTCTTGAAACGGCTAGGCAAAATATACGGTGGAACACGGAAAGAGGTTGACCGTCAAGCGGCCACCAGGCTGTTGTGTTTCTTCTAACCTCTCTTGAGCATTTCCTGGTGTTGAAGGTTCTAAAGTAGACGCCCGAATCCAACAGCCGATCCTTGCTTCTCCCCACACACTTCAATTATCTCCGTTCGTCTCGGCCATGAATCAACGTCGGTGCACATGGTGGGAATGCCAATGATGATGACGGCGGAGTAGTCGCATGCAACCGGCGAGTGGCAAAGCCAATGAGGGGGCCAAGAAATACTGATGCCTTCCTTCGGAATTCGACAGCGCGCGACACTTCTCTCACAATTCCAATCCCGAGGGGATCCTCAGCATTAGCCATAATGTTTGCCTTGCTTCAGCCTAAGCGCCCCAAAGCCGCTGGAGATCGTACGCCCTCATCCGAACATGCTGGTACATGTCAGCAAACACGCCACCATTATGGATCACGCACTTTGAACCCCGACGACAAACTTGACTCAACCGCTTCAAGCCGCCATGATACTACTACCTCGAACACGACCTCTTCGTATACTCAGGTTTCCGAGGCTTCATCGAATCGCTGACGGCCACTACGGTAACAAACTCGAAGGCTAAGAACTATAGTAATTTCGCTTGAGCCGGTCACTGGAATGCAGGTGTGCGATTATATTGTATCCGGTACAATTACTGGGGACAGTTACGATCACGTGCCTCGGAAGATGCTGCCCGTCGAGGACTAGCGCGTCACGCGTGCTTGGCAAAGCCGGATGCGCCAGGACTTGAAGACGCAAATTACACCCTGGACACGTACCCTCTCAGCCTCGACATCCCCACCGACTATCGAGGATCTTTGCATCAATACCGTGCCGAAGATGTCTCTTAAGTGCCCACTGCACTTAAGGAGTAGCATGAAGCGACCTTTGTTGTCATCGAAGTGGCTCTGACCGCTTTTGCTTCAAGTCGGAGCCTGATGGGTACCGGATAGCCGGGTATGGATTTTGGGCAATTGCTCACTGTACGGAGTACATATATCAGAATTCGAATTCCCCTTCGAAAAATGGCCTTCGTCAGCCCAGTCCTTCGAGCATCGTCTGCGGTCCTCCTGTCAGTGTCACCTTGGCCCTCGCGTCAGTTTCAGTATGGGCCGTCTGCGGCTACGACTTCATCCAGTCGCCTGCTTTCTCGGAGCCTTACCTGTCATGGCCAAAGACCTCCAGTCTCGTGTCGATGAAGACATTGCAACAACATCTCACCCTTCAACTGCTCAAAGCTACTTCCGAGAACCGACTTCCTCGAGTATTCTTTATGGCCATATTGGACTGATGTTGCTGGCATGGATAGGATGTTTTCCGATTTGTATCTATTCGGCTTCCAATTTCTTTCGTTATCCGTGAGCTGATAGTCCCATATGTGACATTGAATCTTGCAGGGTCAAGATTTGCACATCCCTCCCAAGTACTCTTCTTGGTATTGAACGTCGTTGAAACGGTCTTTGGATTGGCATACAACAGCCTAACGCGGAGCCTGTATCCCGGCAGCGCACATCATACAATTGGCTGGGCATTGACAGGGCTTGCTGTTTCTCAATCCCTCGCAAGAGCTTCGAGAGGCTACTTGCAGTACGGGCACACGAGAGCCGTTCCCGCCACGGCATATCACGAAGACGGGCCGTTAGTGTCATCGTCGGCATCCTGGAATGGTTCCGATCAGCATCTTTGCGAGGATCTATGTTATTGACCGACTTCAGATTCACACCGTGCACGATACTTGTCTGGGGAAGGGAAGGGCGCCAACGGAACCGGCCTCCAAAACATGTACCGGATCCTACTTCGGCCTCGGCGCGCCGTGCTTGGTGCACGACGCCGTAAGAACGGCACTTGGATCAAAGGCGAGTTCAAGTTCGTTGGATCGCTGCAGCTCGATTCAATCATGACCAAGACATCAATGATCTTCAGCACCGTCTTGATGGTGCTAATGTTTGTGACGATTTGCACCGGGCAGAGAATGGATTATGGTAGTTATATAACTAGACCGACGGCGATAGTTATATAACTACTAGTGTCCGTTACCCCTTTTGGGTAGTCATTTGTACAACTGACCTCTTCAGGGCAGTCGTGATGAGAAGAGTCATCAAAAGAATCGATTCACGACTCTCAGACCTCAAGATCGGAGTCGAGATCGGAAGAGTCACTAATTCGGAACGCCGATGGATTCGCGTGGAGGAGGATCTCCTTTTCGCTGATGAGTTCCATACGTCCTCAAAGGTTCATCGTCCCTCACACCTTTGTCACGTGTACCGCTGTGGCGTCTTCCTTGGACGGGAGGCTGTCCTTGACTTCCGCTTCAAGAGTGTTGTCCGTCAAGTTCGTTGCAGGCTTCTTTCCGAACAGAGCGTCGATTTCTTCCAACGCCATCCCGTTGGCCTAATAGATTCAATGTCAGTCCGTTCTGGTTTTCTTATATCCCTGCGACATCCTGTCGTCGGAGGGTTGTGGAAAAGCTTACATCTGGAAGGAAGAAATATATGTGGACAGTATGGGCGAGACCGAGGCACACAAAGACCAGGTAGTATTTCCACCCGATCGAGGCTTGAGCGGTGGGCGCGAGCTGCAGCCACAGGACGTCCATGAGAAAGATGGCCGAGACGGAGTAAGAGGTCGCCTCGCTGCGAAGGTAAGATGGGAAGATTTCGGTCACGGCAGTAAACTGGTTGATGTCGATCAAGCCCCCGTACCTGATGAGCAGCCACGCGCCGGCGGGTCAGCATACGCCATCAAGAACAAGCATGGGCCTTTCAGATCTTTCCACTCACGCGATCACATAGAGATAGAGAAACACGACAGCCGCGGCTGCGATGCCTTTCGAAGCGGACGTGCTGTACTTGGCGATGAGGCCCGTCGCGACGATAAACATCGACATGTTAATGCAGTAACCCCAGACTTGGTTGGATAATGTCAGCCGATGCTAAACGGGCACAGGTTCAGACACTTACCGAGTGCCTTTCGCCTACCGAGTCTGTCGCTGTAATAGGCGCCCACGAAGTTGGCAATGGCAGCAAGCGTGTTGTACAAGGCGCTGAGCATGAGCGAGATCTCATTGTTGAGTCCAAGCGATCGGTACAACAAGACCGTGTAGTTGTTGATCACGAGCGTTCCGACGTTCTGTCCACCAGCCATCACGAGGAAAGCCAGGATGAACCGCTTGCGGTACGTCTTGGTGGTGAACAGCTGCCATTTGCCGTCTCTTGCCAGGATTGCTGCGTCGTCAGCCTGTTGACGTTCGATCTGAGCAAACTCCCGCTGAGCAAAGTGGTCTTCCGGGTCACTGGCGCTGTGGTGCAATTTGCGGAGCAGCTCGTACGCCTCTGCACCTCGACCATGCTGGACGAGCCATCGAGGGCTTTCGGGAACTAAACACCAGGATTCATCATCAGATCACCCGCTCGAGACTGAAAAAGTGGTCGTAATAATGGCGGCTCTTACTGAAGAAAGTCCCAATCATGAGGATAATGCCGAGAAGCGCGAGCACCGCATTTGGGAATCTCCATGAAAACGTCGTGTCCGGGGCATGAAAGCAGCCAAAGCTAGACATTTGTCAGTCTCCCGAATCCGAAAATCTGGGCTTAACAAGGGATTTCTGCGTTCTGCGTGTTGCGTTTTGGGCTTACCCGATCCATCCTGCCAGGAAGTATCCAAGATTGATAAAGCTTCCGTGAGCGCCAGTCATCAACCCACGAGAGTGAGGAGGAGACACTTCGGCGTAGTAAGTCGGCATAGCAGCTAGTGTGTTTCCCGCTGCAAGTCCCGTGATGACGCGCGCGACGAGATACTGATAGCCAGGGAAGGAAACACTGCGTTAGCAAAGCCAAGCGAGCCACGACGGATCATGGCCTTACCATCGCGACATTAACAGAGCCGGTCTGGATGACTGCCCCTATGATTCCAAGGGCACTTGCAATGCGGAAGCCGTTCAGTCGACCGAACCTGTCGGCCGTCCACCCGGAAAGGAGGGTGCCGAAAAAGCCGCCTCCGAAGAAGACGCCATTGACAGCGCCGATGATCGTGTTGGTATACCCGTAGTCTGGGTCGGTGGGATCGGCCACCAAGGACAGAGACTCATAGAACGTCGGCTGCCCAAGGGTGGTCGTGATGACCGCCAGGCCGAACCCTGCGAACAAGGAGCCAGTGGCGGCGAAGAGGACGGCCTATTGTAACCACATGGGTGAGCAATCCCTGCCTAGTGCCTCTGATCTGGAACGTGAAGCACTCACTCGCGAGTTGTAGCTGGTATATCCCTCCATGCCGTGCCTGCCTGGGTCGCTCAAGGGGATCTTTGCAGTTTCAGTGATTCTGGGGATGCGTCTTGAAGTGTTGACAAAATGCGGAGGGAGGCCGATCTTGACAATCCGCGAATCTTGCATGTCAACGCGACCATAAGTACCATTTTCCGGCTCACGCATTGCAAGCGGGGCTTCTTCACGCTTCCCGGGTCCGAGACCACACAGGGCATGGGCTAGCAGTAGTGAAAAAGGGGCCCCCGGTTTCGCAGGTGTTGAGGAAGTCAAACGCCACTGCAAGGCTCAGCCGAGGGACGAAGCGCGCGTTCGCCAGCCGCTGGATATCAGCCGTCCCGCGGCTCAATTGAACCATGTCTTTTGCAGGTCGGTCGAGCGCTGCCGCGACCTGCTGTGTTGCCGGCCGTGCAACGATCCACACGCCCCGTTGGGAGCGACAGGCACGGAACCTGGAGTCACACGTGGGATGATCATTCGCCGCGTGAAATAAGAAGAGAATCGACAATGCACTCGTTTCGCATGGAGCGCCCCACCAAGCCGGGAGACGTCTCGGTTATCGCTGTACTTCTCAAGTTCCAGCATCTGCGATCCTACTGACCACGCACGATGAACAAGCATGAAGATGCTTGGAAATCAGAGCTCAGTGAGACTTCGGACTCTATTCCGACGTCCTGCACAACGCGCAGCGTTAGACGTGTCTCATTTGCATCGACGACGTCAAATCACCGACTTCCCTGTCAATCGGTGACTCGTCTTGAGTACTATTTCTTGCCACTCCTTGAGGAAGTCTCCCTCCCGATAGTCATCATGGTCTACATCTGTATACCCCAGCGGTGCCCACATCCGGGGCACAATCCCTAAGGATCGTCCTGGAAGCGGTCAGATTACGGCCTGAGGAGGGACGAGATGGGGAACTGCGACGATCTCCTAGGAAGGGCCAATTTGAGCTGTCAATTAACGTACCGTGCACGGTTGTATCGGAAGCGATTCTGACGAGGGCCTCGGCGGCATCGTCTATTGATGCGAAGACGGCACCTTTATCGGTAATGCGCTTCGCGACAGCATCGCTGATGATGTCGGTCTTGATGTACCTAGTCGGTGTCACGGACGAAGTCAGTGTCCGTGAAGGAGCCAAGTAAAGGTACGGGTCCGTCGAGGCAGAATGCAGGACGCTCACCAAGGGGCAATGTAGTTGATCCTGGTGCCATGTTGCAAGGCAGTCCTTCTGAGGCACCGCATGGTCCCGCGAAGTCCAAACTTGGAGGCGTTGTATTGTGGCGACCCCGGCTGATCGACGTATCCCGCGAGACTACCTTGAAGGACAAGGCACGTATCGGTACCGGCGGTGGAAGTGTCGGCCACAGATTTGAACTGTTTCCTGAAGTAGAAGAGCGCCAGTTTGATGGTATACATGACTCCGATCAGGTTGATGTCGAGGATTTTGAGGTTGGGCTTCGTTGGCTCCGATTCAGACTCTGCGACCAATATCAGTTGGCAATTCATCCTTCTGAGCCGAGCCACCACGTACCCTGGTCGACAAAGACGGGGTCTTGCCCGCTGATTCCCGCGTTGGCCACGACGACATCGACGCGGCCGCTTGGTGATTTTTTAATGGTATCTTGGAACATTCTGGCCTGGTCGTCCCAATTCGTAACGTCACAGTGGGTAGACCAGACTCTCCTACAGAGAAAGAACGGGGGATTGATTAGATGTATTAAAAAGATAACAAGTGCTTCCATAGCAGATGAAAACGGTATCAAACGGGTCAACGTACCCAGGGTATTCCGAGGCCAGTTCGGCCGCACGAGCTTCGTCAATATCCCCTATCATGACGAACGCTCTTGAAAGGGAGAAAGGTGTGGTCAGTAACGAGCTTTTCGGTTTGACACCAGTTGAGGCATTGTGCCACAGAACGACACAGGACAGGCGGTTGGACTGAACTCACCCAGCCTCTGCCATAGCTCGAGTATAGACTGCTCCGATTCCATTCGACCCTGCAGTTTCATCGTCAGCCAAAGCTGTCCGCAAAGCCGCGTGGCCTCAAGTCACAGGACTTCAGGTGGACGATCCGGCCTACCGCTCGCCAGGGGCTATGCGATACGGAATCAAATTTGCCTACCGCCGGTGATGATAACAGTCTTCCCCTGTACTTTGGCCCTATCTGCTTTGACCGTGCAGTCAATAGGACCTTGATCAATGTAGGTTGCCATTTTCCCCTCAGGAGTAAGTTCGCTCTGGATCACTCAGAGAGCTGCAGTAATAATTATTAACCTGTAGACCGTGCAAAGAGAAGGCTTTGTATACTAAGATGGATCGTGCATTACAGGTATCATTCGAATCACTCATCCAGTGAACGACTTCCCACCGTTCTGCACCGCCAGACTTTTTGCACCGTCCGAAGTCTGGGGGATCCGGCCTCGTACCATGCTCCTCGGTTGACCGTGGGACTCTCGGCTGGAACGACGGTTTACAGTAGCTTGCGGCTGTACCCCGTACATTCTTGTCGACCACGCCGCTGTTTGAGCCGCGGCCGAAGCTCCCTCGGCGACCTGTCTTGCTGCCGATTGGTTGCTGCAAGAATGGGACATTACTCTCAGCAATACGTTGTCAAGCCTTTCGGATCCTATGGTCGTCGGCTACGTGAAGAAGCGTAGGATCCTAACAGGAGCAAGCTCGCTTCCACACTCGCCCTGTTCTACCGTCCCAAGCCTTTGCAGTTGCGTAATAATACTGCACTGCTTTACCAAGCAGAGCCACCTCAGTGGCATTTCGCGGTAAAGACTACAGGATAATTCCTGTAGGTCGATGGCAAGATGCGCGTCCTCTTGGTTGTGACGCCCGCGCTGGATTGCACCTCTTGACTGAGTCTCTCAGCTGACCGGGGTGCGACGAAATCATGTGGGCTTCCTTTATTGTTGCTACCGTTCTCGAAGGGCGGGGGGCACACAAATGCACACGGCCTCCAGCATTTGCACAGATTCTCTCTGCACATATGTGCGAGATCCGCGGCTCGGGTGGATCCCACTTTAATACACACTGACAACCACACTCTGGAGCTCGGTGTGCTTAGCTTGTACCATTGGCAATGCACATGAAGCCGGCGGAGAATTCCGGACTGATCAATTATAAAGTTGAAATGTCTCCGAGCAAAAACGCCAGCTTAGACTGATTACATCGAGGCCGAAACCCGTCTCGGGAAGTGGTCAAGCTTGATACGATGGCCGAGCTCCAGCTTCCGGATTACAAGACATTGTCGAAGAGGAGATACGGATCCGCGCCCGAAGGCAGCATCTGGGGCTTTTGGGACGAACTTCATGGCGGCCCTGACAAACTCGGTTGTAGGTTATCATGGCTGAGACACGGGATTTGCATTGTGATGATACTTACCCGAACTCATAGCCCTGAATCTTCTGACGTCGGAGAGGGTCCTTGCAGCGAAAGATGAGATCAAGACCGGAAGCCGTGTGCAGCTCGACTGGTCGTTGAACAACCTCCGCCATACGTTGCATGACAGGCAGAGGCTCGAGCAAGAGATCATCGATTACCTGCCCATTGTGGGAGTCCATGCTCACGACGACGTGCTCAAGTTCAATACCCAGTGCGGGAGTCAATGGGTCAGTTAGTCCTCAGCTCCGGTCAGGTCCTTTTCTTAACAGCAATAATATAGGATGGGTTTGGCCACTACGGTCATCCCACAGGGGTCTACTACAACGCGGTAAAGCACGCTGACGTCAAAGGAGCGCCGGGCTCTTTGGGCATCAACCGTAAGCTCACGACCGCGACCCCAACGATCAATCTGTTCATGAAAATGATGATGTGGCTAATAAGATCTTCACAGATTGGTGCGAGAGAGGCGGCATCGTCGGGCGTGGCGTGCTTCTCGACTATGTGAGGTACCTCGAGGACAAGGGCCTGCCGGTGCCGGATCCTACCACGAATCACGGGTTTACGGTCCGCGACCTCGAGGCTGTTGCGCAATACCAGAAGCTCGACTTTAAGGTTGGGGATCTGTTGTTCGTCCGCACGGGGTTTGTGCGCTGGTACGACAATGCGCCTGACGGGGAGCGACAGCGATGCATGGGCGGAGAGAAGTCCACATTCATCGGCCTCCAGGGATCTGAGGAGGCCAAAGAGTGGCTCTGGGATCATCACTTCGCCGCGCTCGCCTGCGACACGTTTGCGTTTGAGGTGAATCCGCCTACTGAGGTCGTGCTGCACGAGACAGTCCTGCCTCTCTGGGGCACCCCGATTGGGGAGATGTTCAACCTGGAACAGCTGTCCGACATGTGCCATCAGCAACAGCGCTGGAGCTTTTTTGTGACAAGCGCCCCCTTGAATGTCCCAAATGGGGTCGGGAGCCCTCCGAATATCATAGCAATTTTCTGAGCCGGAAGGGCCATTTCACAGAACTCGGCCGCACACTTCTGAAATTGTGTAATAAGGTCAAATGAGACGCCGAAGTTAGGTCGTAAAACAGATCAAGGGCAAAGAGACTCGGGGCTGAAGAGTCACATTGCTAGCATTATCACAAATAATTCATGTCTGGCTGGGAATAATTAGACCTGCTACTCAACAGCGAGCTGTACCTCAAAAATCAGCGACGGCGAGTCCACTGGTCTGGCTATCAATGAACATGCCCAGCACTGCAGGGCAAATAATGGCAATAGCAGACAGTTTCCCAGCATTATTGGAGTCCGCTACTACTGTACCCCCGAGGAAGATCGAAACTGCCGAGGACCAAACACCACCCAGGGCGGCTCAATTGGCCTCCTGAGGTCCGGCTCGTATATACTCGTAAAATATAGTGTCAAGAATCAACTCTGGCTGCTAGATACAATCCAGGGGCAGCAAAGCTTCGGCCGACGCGATGGCATTATCACCAAGCAATGGCAAAACCGTCCTGGTCACAGGCATCAACGGGTTCATCGGATCAACAATCGGGCTTCTGGTGCTGAGCAAGGGCTACACTCTCCGGGGCACAACAAGAAGGCTGGAAAGTGTCCGGAGCCTACTTGAGGGTCCATTCAAGCCATATGCAGATCGAGTCGCGATATTCGAGATTGCAGACATGACGGCGGCCGATGCGTACAAAGACGCCGTCTCTGGTAAGCAAGCAAAGCGATTACATTCATAGGATCCGAGGGCCCATCGGGGCGCATTTGCTGACTTTGCCCAGGCGTTCATGGGATTTTTCACGTTGCATCGCCCGTGGCTTTTGACCTGTGCACGTGGGATCAGGTGGTCGAGCCCGCCGTGCAGGGGACATTGTCTCTTCTCGAATCCGCACACCGGCACGCCGGTGGCCAGCTGCGCAGCGTTGTCGTCACCTCCTCCGGCACCACGGTGGTGACACCCGCGGAAGATGCACCGCCAGGCTACGTCTTCACGGAAAACGACCAGAATACTTGGGCCGTTCCGCTCGCGAAGTCGGTGCCTGCCGAATTTCCCAAGAGCAATATCGGACCGCTCATGTATTCGGCCTCGAAAGTCGCGGCCGAGCAGGCAATGTGGCAGTTCAGACAGGACCGGCGGCCAAGCTTCGCGATCTCCAGCGTCCATCCCTCCGTCGTGCTCGGCCCGTCGTTGAATCTCCCCAGGAATCCCCAGGATCTGAATGTGAGTCTGAAGCCAATCTACGACATCTACTCCGGCACCGAGTCAACGTATCCGCCTCCAATCGGGACGGCCTCATTTGTCGACGTGAGGGATGTCGCAGCCGTGCATTTGTGGGCACTGCAACATCCTGAAGTGGCGGACGGAGAGCGGTACATAGCATCCAGTGGATTCGCCCCAACGCAAGGCATGGTCGACGTGATGAGAGAACAATTTCCGCCTAATTCACGCACCGCCCCGGGAGAGCCCGGCAAAGGTTATGTCGAAGGCATTGATTATTGTGATAGGCGTGTGCCGGTGTGGTATCCCAAGGATAGGATTCAGATGTGTGGAACCAAAGCACACAAGGTCATGCAAATCCGCTGGAGAACGCTGGCTGAGACAATCCAAGACACGGTTCTCGCTTTCCAGGAGTTCTATGGCCAGAAAGCGGGCCAGAGCAAAGGAGAGACAGACCCTTGACACGGCCGTTGCAGACCGGACCGTGGGGAGGGGACATGCCGGGCTGGAAAGCAAACCAGCCGCTGCAACCGGCGCCGAGGCTCGGGTTCCATAGTACCACCTTGACGTCCTTCGCTTGAATTAATTATAGAATAGAACCGGCCCAGACAGAGCTGCGACTAGGAGGGACTTGGACTCTACCTGTTTTGACGTACGGCTTGTCGAACCCTGCAGGGACAAGGTGGAACAACATTGGACAGATAATGACTACGTTTGACATCGACGAGCGCCTTTTCGAGGACCTGAAAGGCAAAGTGGTAATAATCACGGGTACGGCCCCGCCATGTTCGACTACTCGCTCCATCTACTGTACAACGTCGAAGCTGATCCAACGGTTGACCAGGAGCAAGCAGCGGCATTGGCCTGGCCACTTTGAAGTTTTTGATTTCCCATGGGGCCCGAGCGGTTGCAGCGGATATCAATCCCCTTCCGCCAGACATTGAAGGGGCAGATTTCCGAAAGACGAACCTGACGTCCTGGGCGGAACAGGTGGCGTTGTTCGACGAAACCGTGAAAAGGTACGGTCGGATAGATATCGCGGTTCTCAACGCCGGGGTCGGTGAGATTGAGAACGTATTCGTCGACAACGTCGACGCCAATGGAGCCTTGGTGGAACCGGATTTCACAGTCCTCAAGGTCAACTTGATAGCCCCGATCGTGGGCACCAAGCTTGCGATTCATCACATGAGGAAGCAACCGGGCGGTGGGTCGATTGTCATTACTGGAAGCGGTAAAGGTATGGATGGGACACGGGCGTGAAGCCCGGCCTTCTGCAAAGTCGTGTGCTGACAGACTGAAACCACCAGCCTGGACGGGCGTCGGGGGCACGCCAATGTATGCTACCGCCAAACATGGGGTGAGTTGCACGTTCTGCCTCCTTTGCCCAAGGCCTACATAATCAGGAGCGCTCGCAACATTGGAGTTCAAAGGCGAAAGGCTAATTAATGCCTTTCCCATATCGCAGGTTCTTGGCCTTGTGCGGACCTTGGGCCCGGATCTGCGTCGAGTCAACGTGCGGATTAATCTGATGTGTCCTTTCTGGACCGACACGGGCATCATCCCGCCGGACTTGCTGGCCAAAAATGCCAGCGCGAAGCGATCAATGCAGCCTCCCAGCGCCTGTGCACGCGCAATTGCGCACTTGGGCATGGACCCGAGCTGCTCGGGCAAAGTCATCTATGTGGCGTCGTCAACGTACACAGACGTTGACGCGGGAGTGATGGCTACGCGCCCACTGTGGCTTGGGCAGCGGAATCACGAGGATCGCGTGGTATGGGAGGAAGATCCATCCAACGCCGAGTTCAGCACCCCGCTCTGATAAGCAATGCACATACTGTACATACTCAGCTCAGACTGCCGGGGAGCCCGCGGTCATCGCGGTATCCCTGGCCCGGAAATCCGGTGGGGGGAAAGTAGAGTGTAGTCAGCCGTCGAACGATGGATGGACCGAAGAAGCATTTCCTCGCTGACAAATCACCGGTCCGGTGGCTGTTGTATCATTAATCAAGAGAGGGTGAGGGACAGGCTTGCTGAGGAACAGGCTTGCACGGATGCCACAATAAAGAAGGTACCAAGTTCTATACATACACACCCACGGCTAGATGCATAACACGCCGGTCGAGTGAAATGTGAGCCGCGGTATTGGCCGAGCAGCGCTCGTGATGGGAGATAGATTCCTGGCATGTGGGACATCCTCGGCTGTCCTTCAAGGACTTTTTAGATGAGTATGATACAAGCACAGCATATTAACTGTGTTTCAAAGGGCCTTTCTTAGCCTGATATTCCGCCACTGTCGTCTAGCCTGACAGGTCGGGATTGAAACTTGTGCATCAATCTCCGTCGAATGCCCATCATGCCCAACGTTAAGATCGTCCACGTCCCCCACCTGGGCGGCATCGACGCCGCCTACCAGATGCCATTTCCCTTCCGGGCGGAAAAGCCGACTTTGGTCCTCGTTAATGCAATGACCACTTCGTCCGAGCTCTATCGACCACAGTTTGACGACTCTGGATTGAACGGCATGATGAACTTGATCGCCATCGAGCCGCTTGGACATGGTCAAACCCGTGCCAAGAGCGAGCACTTCACCTACTGGGATACGGCCATCATGAACCTGCAAGTGATGGACGCATTGGGGACTAAACGCGCGTTCGCTCTGGGTACGAGTCAAGGTGGATGGATAGTCGCGCGCATGGCATTGTTGGCACCCGAAAAAGTATGCAAGATTGCCTGATGTGTGAGTTATTTGGGTCCCTTTGATACTAATTCAGGTTGGTGTGCAAAGATCCAAGGCATCATCCCTCTTGGAACATCCATGGACTATGAGTCTCCAAGGTCGTTAGCCATGGGCAACTGGGACGGGCTCACGCAATGTGCGGCCAGTCGTGACGCCTTGACCTCGGCGGAGCCCACTCCCGATTTTCGTCTCGACGACAGCTACTCTAAACTGATGATGAAAGTTGGATTCGGGAAGGCTGCCACGCCCGAGCTGGAATCGTTTTGGACAAACGAGCTAAGTGTCAATTATGCCGGTGACGATGGCCGACGACGCTGCCGCATGTGCTGGATCAACCTGGGCGAGCGTGATGGCTTGCACGGGCGACTCCCAGATATCAAATGCCCGGTCTTGTGGCTACATGTACGCAAAGACTGACTTTGTCATCACGCTGGGTGGACTAACTTGTGCCAGGGGTCGGACGATGCCGCCTTCTCTGTGCGAAACGCCGAGGATGAAATCAAGATGTTTACCAATGCCAAAGTGGCAAGCTTGATAGTTATTCCTGGAGGTGCTCACTACCTCAGTGCCAGCCATCCGAAAGAGGTCCGCACAGCGGTCATGGAGTTTGTCGACAAGCACTTCCAGCGAGAATGAGTCTCCAAGGGCCAGTCTTGCTCAATCCGGAGGAAGTGATTGATTCCAGGGGTCTCCGGAGTACTCCGTACAGTTACGCAAGGCTGTATAATATTACGGGTGGGTCTGTAATGAGGTTGCCCAAGCGTTATTGGTCAACAGTCACGTGCTGCATCACGTGCGTAGCCCCCACGGCAGAGGACGCTGCCAGGCTCGGCCCCGTAAACAGCATCGGACCACTCTTTGCTCCTTTTCCTGGGGATAGAGTTTCCACAAAAGGGGGGGTTGTGGCTCGCACGTGGAACCTAGTTTGCTCCAGACTCGCTACTCCATACTCCACCGTTCTCAACCTCGGCTCCGCCATTCTCTGCACAGATAAAGTCATGCGGGCATGGGTAGAATGGGAGAAGGTCCCGCTGGGAACCATCGCCTCTCTGTGCTCAAGCTGCGGCCGAGGAATAGTTATCGGCTTGCGTTCTTCTGACATCCTCGACATCGAACTGTCCCAGGCTACCGTTGCATCCCACCCCAGTTTCCTGCCGGTCGAATGGCGATTCCCGCTCCCAGCTCGCCGCGGCCGAGCCAGTCGGCTGCTTCAACTCATGTGCCCGCAAAACCGAGAAAACGTGCTACGAAGGCGTGTAAGACGTGCCATGCCAGGAAAATCCGCTGTGACGCGACTTTGAAGTTGGGTTCAGGACCATGTTCGTACTGCTCATCACTCGGAACCGAATGTGTCGTGGAGAATGTACCTGCTGGGTGAATATGCTCTCCGCGTGAATGTCTCATGGTCGAACGCTTACTGACTCTTCCTACTGTGTCTCGGGAGACTGCAGACGGTCCAAAAAGCGCAAAATAGACGGCACGCAGCCGGAGTCCCGGCCGTGTGGTGCTGACCCTGTCGATACCCAATCGGACGAGCAACATGGCTCGTCCAAGAATGATGATGTCGCCGCTTCTTCTTCTTACCCACAACCAAGATCGGAGACACGCTCGCCGCATGAGGAGACGATGTCTCATCGGGCTCATCTGGGTTCGCTGCTATGTGTGGCAAGCGGACGTGACACGTCAAGGTCGCCGTCAACGCTTGAAGGTGGTCGCCAACCACCGGCTCGAACTGGAACTGACGAACCCCCAGCCTTGGACAAAGTATGGACCAGTCCGTTAGATTTCGTCGATGCCCTGGATGTGTCGAGCCCTTCGGCACAGACAATTCAACCGCCGGCAAGGCGCTCTGGCTCTGTGGCGAGGTCCAGCAGTAACAAACGCATCGTCTATGCGGACGATATACTTACAAACTCCATCTTGCCTCACATGACCGGCCATCGCTCGTTCAACGCATCTATACATCAAGGCCAAGATGATGGAGCTGTGGACACCAGCGACGTGGCACTGACACAGGTCACGATTGTTTCCCCGCGACCGCCTTCTGCAGACTGGTACGGTCGTCAATTGCAGCAGTCAACCAACAACCCTTTCTCCCACTTGGCAGTAGAGGATGTCGCATATGCTTGCAACGTGAAGCACATTTTGACGTTTCCACCTTTGGATGTCTGTGACATCCTGATGGCTTCTTTCGTGCGCCACTTTCTGCCAGCCTATCCCGTGGTGGACAGGATGCAACTACGGGATACTTACTCGAACTTTCGCCGTGGCACCATTCTCTCGCCCTTGCTTATGCACTCAATCTTCTTTGCAGCGTGTCAGTACACTCCTGAATGTACTCTTCAAAAGGCTGGGTTCAAGAAGAGGTCTATTGCACAAAGGTATTTCCACAGCCGGGCGACTCTGCTTTATTCATTGAATTGCGAAAAGGACCAGCTCGTACTGCTCCAGTCCCTCATTTTCATGAGCCCATGGTGGACAGACTATAGCGAGGAGAAAGATATTCGGTTTTGGACCACATGCGCCTGCAACCTAGCTTTCTCCATGGGCCTTCATAAAGCCATTCCTTCCACGTCCACGCCGCCCAGCCAGCGGCGGAGTCTGTGGCGGAGAATCTTCTGGACCCTTTTTGTAAGGACATATTTCAGCTCCATCTCCTCTCTGTCATTCCGCACATTTTTGCCTTTCCAGTGCTAACATGGCTGGCACAAAAAGATACGCGATCAAAATCTAGCTGTGGGTCTTGCTCGCCCACCGGTGATCAACCTCGACGACGTCGACGTCGAATCACTCTCCGAGACTGATTTTTACGAGTCCCAATATGAGGGAGTCGAACAAGGGACCGATGATTGTCCAGTCGACTTTTCCTTCTTCAATAGTATTCACTCGGCTTTCATGATGGATCTCATTATGCTCTCAAAGATCAGTATGTCGTCTATTCGCGCGGCTATCACACATTCTCCCCCGGCCTGCTTGCTTTCAAACCATGCAATTGCCCATACCCGACTTCCACACCGTTAGAACTGCCACACGTGGTCCTACGTACAAAGTAGTCGCTGACAGATACTAGTGTCCGAGGTTTTCAAATTGCGTAACGCACATCGAAAATGTGAGGGCGACCTCTTACCACGTCTTCTCTCTGTCAAGGACCGCCTGGAACAATCCGACCTTGCCTCTGAGCGTGCGTTTCGGCTCCTCCAACCCTCCGAAGACGTGTCCAAACAATTAATATGGCCGATCTCTGCCAAACTCAACCGACAGCGTGTTGTCACACTGATCTTGCGGGCCATCCACCGGGTGATGCTCGAACAAAACCTCGAGGTTACGCGCGATGTGACCGTTCAGCAAATCTGGGAAGGGATTGTTCGGAGCGCCGCGAAAATGATGACACTATACGAAGAGCTTCTGTCGTCAGACCTCCTGAAGTACGGTCATAGTTTCTTGTAAGTCGTGCGCTGTATCTGGGTCTCGTAAGGATCTATTTTTTGGGACTAGCCGTCGCTAACAAATGACCCGGGCTATCTTCCAAAGAAACACCTCCCTCTTCAGCACGCTCATCACCTACCTCGAGGAGGTGAAGAACAATCCGAAGGATTCACGCCGGACGCGCATCGCCGTCAACAAAATCCAACTCGGCCTGTTGGTGTTGACCGAGCAGCGCCAATACTGGAACGCGGCACGCTGGGCGTATTCCCTGTTCAAATTCTGCCTCGATCGAGATTTCAGCTTTCTTCGAAACCTGCCCCGGGTCTCTCGCTGGCATTCGCCGGAGCCTGGGGCGGAGACCGATGCCATGCCTACGTCGTCCGCTCCTGTGCCCCTTTCGGCACCCATCGAGGGACAGACCGACACAGATGAAGGGCAGGATGATCTGATTGATTTTAATCTGGGCGAAATGCCCCATTGGGACGCCTCGTTCTATGACTCGCATCAATGGTTTACGGATGCCTTCCCGGTTGGTCTGGACCAAGCATGGATCTACGAGACGACGGCTGCTGGAAAAGAGAATCGAGAGGTCCATCAAGCAGATGGCCATGTCGCTCCGTGAAAGATAGGGCTTTAATATAATATTCCCATGTACTTTTTAAAGGCGTTATGAGATCACCTCTCTGGCCCATAAAGAGTCTGCAGGGTCTCTCTCTAGATGATCCATTCGAGTTGACACACACATACGCGCGAGTCAATGCCCAGCCGTTTGCGGGCGACGAAGCAGATAGGAAGCATCGAGCTCCCCGAGTTTATTTCTGGACGGCATTCAACACACCATTGAGGCCTGGCTTCAAACCCCCCCGGTCCGCTCAGGCTCTTTCAGCTACCTAATTTTGCCGTCAGGAACTTGATCATAAGGTCCCAACCGCGACGGGTCACTTCGACCGCTTGGCCGTTGAAAGTCATGAAACCATGGCAGGCCCCGGGCACGAACTTCACGATCGCTTCGTTTCCCGCCAACTGCCACCGCCAGGCCATCAGGACGGTGTCATCCAGCAGCCCGTCCTTGGTGCCGACTATAAACAAGGCAGGGACCAGACCGTCGAGCTTGTCATATGCAGGTGACATGGTGGGAGCCTTTCTTTGATCAGGCTGCAGCCCCGGGATATAGGCGTGCAGAAAGTTCTCGGCGTCCTCATGGCTCAAGATCGGGACCTCCGACGGGCCGAGCTCTCTCAGAGACGGCAAGGCTGAGAGATCGAAATTGCCGTAGCTCAAGACCACGCCCTTGATATGGGACAGGGCACCGCGTCGTTTCAGGTGGAGGAGCACAAGAGCCGACAAGGTTGCGCCCGCAGACTTTTCTCATCCGTTAGTACAGTAGACCGTTATTACTTCATCGATCGATGATATGTTCGCTCATTGGGTTCTAGTCAGGCCTACCTCGCCACCGATGAAACTCAACTCACCGCGCCACTACAGGAGACAAGGTGTGAGCGAAGAGCACTTTAGTCCTGGACTCGATTCCGGGGGAGATGCTTTATCTTCACCTTTTCTCGCGCGTGCTTCACGAGCCATTCCGCAACGGTGCAGCAGTCCTCCAGGGCAGCGGGATAAGGATGCTCCGGCGCAAGGCGATAGTCGACCGAGACCACGACCAGCGATAAAGAGTGGCAGATCTCGGCGAGCAGGAGATCTTGACTGTATGTATCCCAAGGCCATAAAACGTTACATCTGCTGCCCTTGACTCCCATGGATTCAGGGGATTGATTGACTCACTCGCTTGCCGAACCGAGCACGTAGCCTCCACCGTGAATGTGGTAGAATACTCCCCGTGGCTCTTGACTTGGAGGGCGGAATACGCGACACTTGATGGCCGGTCCGTGTTCAGACGTCACGGTCATGTCTTCTGCTGCTCCATCGAGGCGGACGGACGCTGGGAAAGGCGTCTGTCCTGCAGCTCGATGCCGACGATACTCGGCAGCTCCACACTGGCTGACCGTTAGTTTGTTGGGAGCCCACAAAGGTCATGTCGACGAGCGAGAATGAGTCGCATGTCATGTTCCATACCGTCCACCACTTTGTATCTTCCTGTCCCAGTTGAATCAGACGGTCATTTAGCAATGTCGTGCGTGTTGATGTTTCTTCGGGATCAAACGCGGCGAGGTTCAGAGACAAATCAGATGTCAATGGCCTACTACCTCCATCACCTCCATTGAACGTGCTTTCAACCATCTTTGTGACTTGCTGGAGCGTGGCCAAAGACCTGATCAGAAAGACGACGATGAACTTTCCGTGAGAGACGCGACGATGATCGGGTGGTAGGAACGAGGAAATACGTGACCACATTCAGCCCGCAATATTTTCTCAACTACACTCTTTGCCATTCGCGGTCAAAACGAACTGATGGAGAGATGAGTCGGCCAAGCTCAGGTGCGCCTCTCATGCGTCCCCTTCCGCTCGCATACGCCGTCCTCAGGTGAAGCGGTCGGTCGGCTGGCTGGCTGGCGCAATGAGCCGCGCTCATCAAACGTCGCCGTGGGCGGCTAAGTCAAACATGAATTGGGGCCGCGGCACGGCCATTGTTCACCAGGCTGGAAGTTGCCGCGGCAGCTGGGCTTTTTGCCCATGAGCCAAGCATTGCTGCGCAACTCGGCCGATGTATTGAAGAGCATGCATATCTTATTTCTCATTTCTCTGTTGTCGGTCAAGAGGGCGAGAAGACGCTATAATTAGTCAACGGCGTCGCTTTCTTTCGCTTCCCAACTGAGAGACACTCAGATCCAGCTACCCACCCGTGGGACTTACTTCGAACTCACTTCAAGATGTCTCCTGGAAAGGACGGCGAAGGCTTCGTCATGGGAACTGGTTCCCGATCAGATCCGCAGTACGACAGCCACGGATGGAGGATCCAGGATGAGCGAGGCTACAGGATCATCGAGGAGCACTTTGGAGCACGCCGAAAGTTGCGGGTCATCCACATCGGCGCGGGGGCGTCGGGCATTTGTTTTTCAAAGTTCGCCCGGGACCGGCTGGAGAATGTCGAGTTTCAGGTTTACGAAAAGAACGACGATATAGGCGGTACGTGGCTCGAAAACAGGTATTGTAATTTATCTAATCGCCCAGCAAGCTCAGAATCCGAATGGTACACTAATCTATAGGTGCGCGTGTGTGTGGCCACAGGTACCCGGGATGCGCCTGTGACATTCCTTCTGTCTGCTACCAGTTCACGTGGGATCGGAATCCCGAGTGGTCGCATTATTATTCGGAGTCCCCCGAGATCTGGAGGTATTTCAAGAGTGTCGTTGAAAGGCACGATCTCATGAAGCATATCAAGCTTCGTCACAAGATCATCGCAGCCAAGTGGGAGGAGCAGGAAGGCCTTTGGCATGTGCGGATTCGCGATGAGGAGCAGGATCGCGAATTCACCGACACGTGCAACGTTATTGTCAACGGCGGTGGAATCTTAAAGTGGGTCGAGTCCTATTGATATCCCGATGATCTGATGGCGAAAGCTAAACGTGTTATTGCCCCAGCAATTGGAAGTGGCCCGATATCGCCGGCCTTCACTCGTTCCAGGGCGTGCTGCAACACAGCGCACATTATACCGAGGGGCTCGATCTCAAGGGCAAAAGAGTCGCTGTCATTGGGACTGGCAGCAGCGGGATCCAAATTGTGGCAAAGATTGCCTCAGAAGTGGAGCATCTCTACACATGGGTTCGATCACCGACTTGGATCACCGCCGGCTTTGCGCAAAAGTTCGCCTCCAATGGCGGTGGTAACTTTGAATGTAGGACATATCCTTACAGGTTTGACGGATCTCGCTGGCTGACCATGATAATCAGATACTCCCACCCAGAAGCAGCTCTTCAAGGAGAACCCAAAGCTGTACCTCAAGTACTCCAAGATGATTGAATCCGAGCTGAACCAACGGTTCAAGTTCATTCTGAAGAACACGCCCGAGTCCAGGGCAGCTAAAGAAGTAAGTGTCTTCCAAGGGCGGATTAAAAAAAGGCCGTGCTTTGATTAACGGTTTGGACTGCAGTACGCAACAGCCGAGATGAAGCAGAAACTCGCAAACAACCCGGAATTGATGGAGAAGATGATACCCAAAGACTTTGACGTAGGCTGTCGAAGACCAACTGTAAGTGTGCTCTTCTGCTACGGCGGGCAGTGCATGATCTGTCTTTGGTGCTTGACTTCTGACTATACGCCGTGATACAGCCGGGGAACGGATTTTTAGAAGCGTTGAACCAGGAAAATGTCACCGTCTTCACGAAGCTCATGGCGACCGTGACGCCGAAAGGGTTCATCGACCATACAGGCCAAGAACATGAAGTCGACATCATAATCTGCGCGACAGGGTGCGTACACACACACACTCACACACACACTCTCTCTCTCTACCCCTCTCTCTCTGTCCGCCATGTACCTGCAGTGTCTTCTGCTGATGCTGACTGACATAACTTCATGCGCGCAGATTCGATACGACGTGGATCCCCAGATTCCCAGTCGAGGCCAACGGGACCACTCTGGCCAAACTCTGGCGCGATGAAGCGCCGTCCTACATCTCCGTGGCTCCTCCAAGCAGTACGTTTTCTCGCAAAAGTGTTGAATATCTGACCTTTGGTCCCGTTACTGACACGTGACCGTCAAACAGTCCCTAACTACTATATGATGGGCGGACCGTACGGACCGCTGGGCCACGGCTCTTTCCTACCCATCCTCGAGACCTTGGCTCGGTACATTATCCAGATCATCGACAAGATGCAGACGGACCGGATCAAGGCCCTCACGCCCAGGACCGAAGCCATCGCGCAGTTCAAGCAGCATGCAGACCTCTTCCTTCAGAGAACGGCATGGGTCTCCGGGTGCAGCAGCTGGTTCAAACAGGGACGCGTCGACGGCCCCTTGCCGATGTTCTCCGGGAGTCGCCTGACGTACCTCAACATCCTGGAGAAGCCGCGGTTCGAACACTACCAGATCGAGTATTGTAATGAACTCAACATGTTCGAGTTTCTCGGGGACGGCTTCGATGTTCGCGAGTTCGATGGCCGGGACCTGTCCTACTATCTCGGACTCATCGACGGAGAGGACGTCCAGATCAATCTGGAGGCTGAACTGTCTACCGAGATGGCATCACTAGTTCCTCAGGCATCAGACACGTCGAAAGTGGACGAGTGACTATAGACAAGACGATCGACACAAGAACAGAGGGTATAGACCTGCTAGATAGATTACTTACTGTAGCGACCAAGGTGGACCAAGATTAACCGAGAAGACTGTTTGCAAGCAAGGTTGTCGTGGCCGATGAGCCCTCATCCAATGACCGATTCAGGTTCGATCCACGTCTGGCCGCGAGCGACTTCTGGACCTGCGCCATTGCGAGCAACCTCATATCATCTTCTTTGTTGCCCTCCATGCCTACCTTGTCATATTGAATCTCGTGACTTTCTTACCACGGCACTCCGTGTCAACAACCGTAGCACTAGTAGACACGTCCAAGTAGAGGAGCATAACAGGGACCGGGACTCTCCTTGATTTCGTGATTACAATGGAGAAGGGTCCTCCTCTCTTGAATTTCAATCCGAGGACACGAGAGACGAGCACCGTCTAGTCACCAGTCCAAGAGTGGGGGGAAGTGGCGTCTTCGAGGTACCAGATAGTCTGAATTGCATTCGTGGCACCGACACGACTATGTGAAGAAACTGCTGGCAGAGGTGCGCATGCAGCACAGAGAGTGGTGACAAGCCAGGCAACGGGTGCCGCGACGTGCCTGCGAGTAGGGAGATGGTTTTATCCACCGTGTCGAAAGGTTCGAGTATCGTAGACCTTCGCGATTGTCGTACTCGAAAAGTGTAGGTAGGCCCGCGAGCTCTATGAGCATTTCACGTCCGAGGAGTTCTCGGGGGCTCTCGATCCCCTTGTCGACATCAAAGCCACAATTTGTACAAAGTAAGCATGACGTCGTCGAGTCAAGCCAAAAGTTCACAGCACTGAGATCGCCACGAGTAGCTGGGCGTGGTGGGTGCTCTTGTTTCTGTACTGCTGTACGCATACATAGTACTCCGTAGTACTCGTACTCCTGGCTACGCGCACGAGTACTTCATAAGAGTGCTCATACTGGACGAGCAACTCCAGTGTGAAGCGCTAGCAAAATACGGCAGAGCCCTGAAAGACCTCCAGAACATCCTCGCCAGTGACAGTCTCGCGCTGGAGGAACAAACTCTGGCGAGTGGCATGATTCTGAGGATTTTTGAGGCTTGTCACCCCACGTATAGTATGATTTTCCTGCGGCTAATGTGGAATGCATAGGCGATGGAACCGTCGGGAGGTAATGTTTGTGGGTGGGCAAGCCATGTCGAAGGTATATTAAGGCTATTCCAGCTTCGAGGTCCGGAAGTGCATGTCGCTGAACTGAGTCACCGTCTGTTCTTGGGCTTTCGACCCACTGCGGTAAGTGTCTTCAAGAAGACTCCATAATCGGGGGGCAAACAGCAGCTCATTGAACCCTTCCCAGATCATCCACGCCCTGGCTCTACGCAAGCCGACGTACCTAGCGGAGCCAGATTGGCTGATGATACCGTGGGCCAGGCAGTCCAGGACGGATTTCAACTATCTGCTAGACACCATGGCGCAAATTCCGATCTTCATTGACCAGACGGAGCGGGTCCACAAAGTCGCCCAGTCCGACATGTTTGTTGCAAAGAGATCGGAGCTTCTGGAACAGGGATGGGAACTACACCTCCAACTTAAAGATTGGTATCATGCACTTACAAGAAGGGTTTCCGAGCCGCTCTACGTCGAGTAGCCCTCCTCGCTCTCCTGGCCCAACCCAGCACCCACGGACCCTGAAGAAGAAAATGGGTGTCCGACATTCCTACACTTTCAAACATTCCAGATCGCACGGATGCATCTCTTCTACTGGACGGCACTGCTCTTGCTGTATGATTACATCCTAAGAACAATACCCCCTTCTCTGGGTCCAACCAAGCTTGATTCTGCCTCTTCCTGTTCCTCCATCTATCCGACCATCCTTCCCATGACCGACAAGGCCGCGATTCAGAGACAAGCTTTGGATATCGCGACACTGGTTGCACAATCAACAGCGTTTCTCCTTTCGGAAGAGCAGTGCCTCCTGTCGGAAGAGATGCATATTCCCGGACTGCTGAATACATTGTTCCCCTTGCGGACCGCGATACATGTGTTTTCAAGTGCACAACAACGTGGGATGGAGGCGTGGTGACGCTCCATGTTCGACGGGCTCGCCCAACGAGGCTATCCCTTTGGGCAGATTCTGTATGGTTGGGAATGGGACGATATACCGGTATTTCTGTCTGGGTTTCTCCATCTTAGGAGCATAACCTTGCTACCTCGTACACTGTTCATATACCTTGATTCCATGATGACTGTCTCTTCAAAGTCCTTGTGCTATGCAACATTGTGCCAGTCTATGGAAGAACCCCCAGATGGGTAGATGGGGCGCCCGAGGGCAAAAGCAATGGCATCCATCAGACATTAGAGGAGTAGCTTTTCACTTGTCAATGTCTCACTTCAGCTCCGCGGCTTCTCGACTGGAAGATCGTTACTTGCGTGCTCCCCCACTTCACCTTGTCTGGAATTCTTCAGATATTCGAGCCTCGCACTCGCAAACGTCGGGTCAAAGGCGGCAGTGGTACCAGTTGCGGTCGATGCTCGTGGGATCATCCAGCGGACTAGACTCTTTGCCCGTGTCCCGTTCCGTTCAAGGGCAAGGGAGCATCTCACCTAATGACAATAAGGCCCAGTCTCTCCACCTGGCTACTAGGGGATTTACAAAGACTATCAAGCTAATCACCTAATACTACACGGTATCCGTAGCTATAATTGCGAGAGGACATGGAGGACTATGTCACAGGATGCGACACCTGCTAGAGGGCAAAACACGTAAGATGCTGTACCCATGATATGATAGTGGCAATCACTCGAGATGTATTCTGTGCAGCCACCCAGGGCCTCAACTAGAGCTGTTGCCTTGCGCTCAGGTGCCATCTCTCGACCCACGCCTGATGAGGCACCATGCTGATCTGCGAAAGGAAGTCAAGAGCGGTTTTCGTGCTGCAACAGACGAGGAATGAAAAGGTATAGACACAACGGGTTCCCACCGACTTTAGAGCTTCTTGCTCTTCCCGTCTTACACCCTTCCCATTCTACAGTTGCGTGGATGAGACGACCTCGCTTGGCAGAGCATCTGTCGCTGTGGGCTGGGGCATTACTTGGGATTTGTGCTTGACCGGTTTCAGGAGGTTGTGATTACCATACAGTGTAACCTTCTCATGCATCAACTGAAGCAGGCTTCAGTCTCGATGAAGTTCGTGGTCCGCAAGTCTGAGCAAGGGCGTCGTAAGATTAACTCAGTCGCCAGCATGATCGGAAACGGGCACTTAATTACAGTACCGTTTTCTCATGTCCAGGCCTCACTTCTCCTGATCTTCGTCTCAACCTCACCTCGTCCCTCAGAGGCGATGCATGCTCTGAAGGCGCACGTAAATTGTCACTCCGCCAAGGTCCTTGTACAGCATAGACGCGTCGTAGCTGCCTCGTTCGATTGTGGAAGGGACTCGGATTCTGTTATTTATGACTCCGCACGAGCAGCTTCACCAGGCTCGAACCTGCATGAAGCCCACCAGTCATATACAAGTATCATTGGCAATTTCGCTCGTGCACGAGCTTCCTCTCTCACACATCCACTGACCCGGAGAAGTCGAGTTCGCAAAGTTGATCCAACACCTTTGTTGCGTGCCACATTCCGAAACGAGCGTCACGCACAAGTGAGAGGAACAACCCCGCCGCCACTCAGTCAAAATTTCATCCCACTACGACATCCTGCGAGATCGCGCTCTCATATTCACCGTGGCGAGCGTGGTGAGAAAAGCCTTTCTACCGCACCCTCTCAGGCCCTTGAATCACCCATGACGTCCGAGGTGACCTCGACTCCCCCCTCCCAAGTCTCTGCCGCAGCACAACATAAGCCCCTCGTCGTTGGCCGCACGAAACCTCGATCCACGCCTACAGCCATGGCTGACTCGTCGGCGCCTGAGAAAGACGTCCCCGCCGACGTGAAGGCAGCTCTGAATCATGAGATTGCCGACAACGTCAAGTCGAACACTTCCGCAGCCGCGCCCGACGCCCCTCCAACGAACAAGCCCAAGAAAGAAAAAGCTCCCAAGCAGCCTAAACCACCCAAAGCCCCGGCCGCTCCAGCAGCCCCCGTCTCGCCAGCTCTGATTGACTTGCGAGTCGGCCATATCCTCCGCGCCATAGCACACCCTAATGCCGACTCCCTCTACGTATCGACGATAGCGATGGGCGACGCCGAAGGAACCGAACACACCCACGTCGACGAGGAGACAGGAAAGGTGGTTCGAACAGTGTGCTCCGGGCTGAATGGGCTCATTCCGCTAGAAGAGATGCAGAACCGCAAAGTGGTCGTCGTGGCGAACCTGAAGCCAGTCAACATGCGGAGTATAAAGTCTGCAGCTATGGTCCTGGCCGCTTCTCCGCCCGCAAAGGAGGGAGCAGACCCCCACGCAGCGGATCGTATTGTGGAACTGGTCAACCCGCCCGAGAGAGCGGAGGCCGGTGACGCGGTGTTCTTCGAGGGCTGGCCGTACGGCGAGGGCAAGGGACCAGAGAAGCAGTTAAACCCGAAGAAGAAGGTCTGGGAGAGCGTGCAGCCGGGGTTCTTCACCAGTGACGATCTTGCGGTTGGATTTGATGCGGGTCGACCAGGCGTGGAGATTGACGGCGAAAAGGACAAAAAGGGATGGCTTGTCGTCGAGGGCAAGGGAAGATGTACGGTGAAGACGCTCAAGGGAGCCGTCGTAAGGTGATTTGATCTCGGTGATCATCCATGCAAGACTGCTAGATCAAGCTGTGCGAAGTATGGACGAGATGCGTGGATTTGTCGAGAGTCCACGATTCGACTCTGACGGAGGTTGGACTCGCATCCTACGCCATACACCATACACCAGAACAGTCATGACCACTGAGAGTGGAATCAACCACCATGTTTGAGAAAAGACCAGCATGCTAGAGCAAAGAGCCACTTGCGCAGCCGAACAGGAGGCCGGTGTTTCGAAGAGAACACAGCAAGCACAGGCAGAATCGGGCGATAGAAAAGTCTTTACTCTTGTTCCTCCACTTCAGACTAGGTCAAGTCAGAGTATGAGATTGTATGTTTTCGGTGCTCTGCTCTACCTTATTATTCTGCTGTACGGGTGGCAATCTGCTACCACGCCACGCGACCAGAGGTACTCCGTACAGCCCCCATGTATCGAGCTCCAGAAGGAGAAGAAGACGCCTTCCTTGCATATCAACAGGGCGGCTCTCCGGTCGTTGCTCGCTGCTCGATGCGAAAATACATACATATATACTTCGTTCCTGGCATATAAGGGCGCTCATGTCGCGTCCCATCCCGGGTTAGACTGGTCTAAAGCACCCGTATGCTGTAGTGCACGAATGGCCGACACCTAGTGGCCGTCAAACCTGAAAACCCTCAAACGCTCACTTCAACGCTCACTTCAACAAGATGATCAACAGGACCAAGATGACGATGAGGACAATGATGGTGGTGATGCCCCAATTGTCCTTGGCCCGCTGACTCACGCCCTTTAACCGCCGCTTCGCCCCGTCCAGACGGCCCTGATGCCGATCCACGCCGCGGTCCACCTCGTCGAGCAGGCCGATTTGGCCCTCGAGCTCATCCCCAACTTGCATGGCGAGTTGCCTTTGTCGGCCTATGCTTTCGCCGAGCCGGTCCAGCTGCTCGTCCTGCTCGGCAATGACCTGCTGGTGGTACGCGTGGATTTGCTGGTTCGACATATCACCCGTCGGGTCCGGTGTGCGCGCACGACCGTCGTGATCTTGGTCGTCGACGTCCGTGTATCGCGCGGGAAAGAGCGCCGCGCGGTTTGCCTCGTCCTCGGCATCGTCAAGTGATTCTTGCGAGGGATTGTCTCGGAAGCGCACGTTTTTGGCGGCCTGAATTTGAGAGGCGTCTTGAGTTCTCCTTAGGTTGGAAGTCTTTTGCTGCTGGCGGGCCGCGGCGTCGCTTGACGTTCGTGTCTTGGCTCGGGCAAAGTCTTCTTTCAGAGCCGGATCGTTTGGGGAGGCGAGGGTGTCGTCGGCCGTGGTGGAGCGCTCGCCCTGGAACTGCCGGGAGAGGTCATTGTATTGCGAGCGCAGTTGGGGTAACGATTCGTCCGCGGGAGTGCGGGATGAGAGTGCCTCGATGCCTTCGCGGAAGGACTCTAACGAGCGGGCGATGTTGGAGTCTTGCGACGGGTTCGGGTCGAGGTTTAATGAAACGGCGCGCTGGCGTTCGAGGAGCGAGAGTTTGATGTGGTCGGCGAGGAGGAGGAGTTGCGAGGGATTGGACATGGCGGGTTGTGGCGGCAGAGAAGGGTTTGAGGCGAGGGAGCAATGGGAGCTAACGTGAAGTTCTATACAGCGAAGTGTTGGTCAGAGCGACCGAGTGTGTCTCAGACGTGCACGAATCGCATGGGACCAAGCGCTTGTCGTGGTGTATCTATTGCGTACCGTGCTTGCCGCGGCCAGGTGTACTGCGGTAAGCTGAAGCTGAAGGCTGCAGTGACGGTGGTGGAAGAAGTCCGGGGGAATTGCGCCCGGAGGCTCGAGGCTGGCAGGCCGGGTGGGGATTGCCTATGCATGACTGGGGGTGCCTGGGCAGTTTACAGTAGGGACCAGTGCCAAGCGCCCGAGGGACAGCGCATGAGCCTCCGCTGCACCAGTGGGCGGATTCCAGTGGCCCCTCAGGGTCCAACAAGCCCCGACCCGATCAGATCCGACGAATGCCTTCTCCACACGTCAAACCTCGCGACTCGGTTCCAACAACAAACTGACTTCATGTGCTGTCGTCCCCGACGCCCTTTTAAACATGCTGCTCCCCCTCCCTTTCAACATCTCATTCATTCTGGGTTGTAGAGCCGACCGTCAGAATGGACGACGACCACGATCTCCCCGTGTCGGACTTTGGCCTCGACAGCCCCAGCCCGCTTCAGTCGCAGTTCAACAGCCTCTTTGCCGAGTTCGCTCGGTCTCGTCCCCACATCTCACCTCCTAGATCCCCCTCGACCCGCCGGTCTCATCATGACCGTCCCAAAGAGCCCGAGCAGTCAGAGCAGCCCTCTTTGGACTTGCGCTCGCTCGAATACGCCGAGGACTACGACTCCCACTTGATGTGCCCGATCTGCCATGTGCCGTTCGTCGATCCCGTCGTCCTCGAATGCGACCATACCTTCTGCGAGTCCTGTCTGCACGAGTACCGGCATGGTGGCCAGAGCGGTCAGCGCAATCAGTGTCCTACCTGTCGAGCTTTCGTCTTGTCAATTTCCCGCAAAGCCTCCCGCCTCATCGTCAATATGTGCAACGAGGTCAAGGTGAACTGCCCCAACGAGGACTGTGGACAAGTCGTCCCTCGAGGCTATATTGAACGACACGCAACACGGGAATGTCCCCAACAGCGACTCAAATGCCCTGATGCAAGTTGCGGCAAGATGGTTAAGAGGAGGAATTTTGTTCCGGAGCAATGCATTCATTCCTCTCACATCGAGTGTGATTGTGGCGCCGTCATCGAGTTGGGCAAGGGCGACTGGCTCAGGCACAAGGATGAAGACTGTCCCAACACGGGCGTCAAATGCAAGCAGTGCGGCCAGAGGATCTCAGCCAGAGATTATTTGAACGGGGTGACTAGCCATATCTGTGACCGGGGCCATGCCTGTCCGGGAAAGGAGTACGGGTGTACAGACGATGTCCGTCCCGAAGACCTGGACCACCATGTGAGATCCTGTCCGTTAGCGAGAATGGCTCCGCACCTCAAGAAACAATCACAGCTCTTGCAGTCTCTGCAAGAACAATTGGCCATGGTCAAAGTTCGGAACGAGGTCCTCGAAACGGGCTTGGACAAAATCAATGACATTGTCAACGACCGAGTGCTGCCCCACATCGACCACCTCGACCGTTCTCCTCCTCCTGAGTCGGACATCGAGGAGATCGAACGCGATCACATCCCGTCAGCCATTTCGCACCGCGATCTCCTGATGCCGGCACATCTTCGTGCCTTGACCCCCTCGCCCGTCCCGATGGCTAGCACAGTCTCGCAGACAGAACAGCATTTGCTGGCCCTGCACGAATCGTTGCGAGGGACTGTCGACGGGCTAGAAAACGACATCACCGTCATGGCCGGCAATATAGCCGACCTTGACGCCCGAACGTCCATGCAACTAATGAACGAGACGCTACGAATCAAAGAGGAGCTCGCTCATATCAACGCGGCCTTGTTCAGCACTCGATCGCAAGTCCAGTGGCTCCTCAATCGCGAAAGGATAGGCCAACAGCAACAAGCGATGGGTATGCGTGGGCGCACGCCTTCCGTTCAGCCTCAGTCCACGAACCTAGAGCCATCCGCTAGAAGTTCCGTCTCGGAGAGCACAGATCATTCGGCGCAAGGGTCGAGTTCCGAGAGGCAGCCATCCCCAGGATTTGTCGCGTCGAGTCCAAGTTTTCGGCCACAGATGAGGCGGCCGAGTGGTGGAAGCCAGGAGAGGGTGAAACTGTGAACACAGTAGCTTTCTCGAACGGACGAAAGCATTGGAAGTTGAAACAGTCTAGCAACGTAGGGGTGGGTGTGCAGTCCTCTGAGATTCATCCTGCGGAGCGTAGCATAGCAGTACAATAAACAATCCTCACGAAACGCCAGTGAATGAATCTGATGACAATGACGATCCCACCACAAACATGTGCTCGACTGTATCAGGCCGCGCTCCTTATCTCCCAGAGCCTTGCCGTCTCGCTTGTCGTCTCGCTTCCCTTCGCTTGCTCTCGCGTGGACATACCATTTAAAGATCCCCCCCGCATGGGTGGGCGGTCTTCTGCGTTTCGCAACCACCATTCAATCCACTGACCCAATAGATGACCAGCAGGAACGCGAGATAGCGTGATCGTGATTCGTCCCTTGTATCCCGGGACACAGGAAACCCACCGCGAGGCTTCCTTCCTTTGTGAACCCGCGGTGATAAGGATACGAGCAGTGTATCTAGTACCGACTTAAGACTTTCGAGTACATAATTACTGCGGCGTCTCGTTGTGCTGCTCACGGGAGTATCTGAATATGGCTAGAGATAGCGATATGTGTTTGTGTGGCTACACAGTATATGTAGTGCCATCCACCGCAGTATCAGTCTGTTGGTCCAGTCGGTACATAATTATCGTCACCTTGCTACCAACATGGATGGGTAGTAATTATCGGACCCACCGCCGCGAGCATTGTGTACTGAGTACCGAGCACTACAGTGTAGACTGTACTCAGCTCGGATATTCTTCACGAGCATTTTCTCATACCCGATCATATCGTAATTATCGTATCATATCACTCCAGCCGGCGGATTTACGATCCCTTGGAAACAAACGCCTGTACTCGTTGCCGACAGGGCAGCACCAGCATCTATCGCAGAGGCGGATCACCCACCCACACGGCCCAGCGTCAACGTCAACATGGGCCACGGACGCACGCTCCAGTATCCCAAGACGCCCGTCAACAAGGTGAACCGGTATAATCAGCGAGGTGAGTGCGAGAATGTCACTTTGAGCGAAGACAGCGAGATTTGGTATTCCGGTGTCCATCCCTGCTGGAGCAACATGCTGTACTACTCGTTGGTGCTTTGTGAAAGTGCCACCCCCGGACGATTGAAGCAAAGTCAAGGGATCAAGAACGCTCTGCGTTACCACACCCTGTCGTGTTGTGCTGTTGTTTCGTTCGATGGATAGCCCACGCACCCGCCTGCCTGCCTCTCCTCCTTCATTTCAATTCTCAATTCCTCGCTCATCCTTACTAACTCTTTCTATCTCATCACCCAGCAACCTACGATCTCGAGCAGATCCACACCATCATCAACACGAGCACCGTTCTCCATGTCTCGTTCAATACGCCTGATCCTGGAAATCCCTTTCCCGTGACTTTGCCTGTAAGTTGAGTCGAGGCTGTGGCCTAATACTTCTCTGTTCCCCAACCCTTTCTTCCGCCCCCATCGCCTCCCTCAGTGATCATCTCTCATCCCTGTAGATGGTCGGCGTGGCTGCCTCGTTCGACCACCCATCCTCCTCGCTGGGCGAGCCCCTGGACGTCTACCTCCACGGATACGTCAGCTCGCGACTGATGAATCTGTCGCGCCGCGCCGAGACGGGGACCGAAGCCGGCACATCACCCGACGCAGGCCTCCCCGTCACCATCTCAGCCACCAAAGTCGACGGCCTAGTCCTCACCTTGACGCCCAACACGCACGATGTGAATTACCGATCCGCCACCCTCTACGGATACGCCACACTGGTGTCCTCGGTTGAGGAAAAGCTGTGGGCCATGGAGATGATCACCAACAGCGTGGTCTCGGGACGGTGGGCACATACGCGCGTCCCGCCCGACACGGCCGAGATGACGAGCACGAGTATTCTGAAGGTGAAGGTCGTGGGGGGCAGTGGGAAGATCCGCGTCGGCGGACCCCGGGATGAGCGGAAGGATCTCGAGCGCGGAGATATACGGGCTAAAGTCTGGACGGGGACGATCCCCGTCTGGGAGTCGTTTGGGGAGCCTGTGCCGTTTGAGGGCGTCAGCGTCGGAGACGGGAAGGGTAATTTGGTGCCACGTGTGCCGGAGCATGTTGTGGCTTTCGTGCAGGGGCGGAGGATGGAGAATGAGCGGTATGCGTTGGCGGCAGTGGAGGACCGGAGCCAGGATTGATTCAACGTCAAGGCAAAGGGTCAAAGACATGGTTAGCAAGTAGAATTGAAACGAAGAGTTTCCCCTGGGGTCTTGCGTATCGTGCCGTGTATCGTTTTCGATTGCTTTCAGGGGGGCAATGAATTTGAACCGTGTGAATTAGGAAGAGTGTGGAAGGATACTGTCTCACCGGCCCGCGGTATTGTACACACGCCTCGACGACGGAAAGTGGTTGAGTGGCTGTAGGAGTTGGCGACGATGCCGCACATCCAACTAGATTGCATACTCACTCGCGAGTAAGAGCGCAACTTGACGGCCCTGTCTGTCCTGGTCATCGTTCCTCCCTACTCCTGGCAATATTTGGCATTCTCCCCCAGCGAACAGAAAATCTCCCTTGAGTTATTCCTTCCCACGAAGCAACCGCTTCAGCTTCAAGAGAATTTGCACGTTCTGAGCTACACCTAACGTGGTCTACTGGACCACAATTTGGATCGCCGAGTTACTGTTGCTGGCTCGCCCTGAACGGGGCCGCCGCGGGAGTCAGACCCTCTGCCGTAGGAGTACGGACACTTTAGGCTGACCTGTTGCTCCTAGCAGCGTGGGGGCAATTACTCCGTACAAGTCCTGTGATATTGTGTGATCTCGAGTGGGTCCAGACGGCGACGTTCCCGATTCGCGCCATTTCGCATTCTGCTTCGCGTTCTGCTTCGCGTTCTAATTCGCGTCCTCCTTCGCGTCACTGGGCGCTTTTCCCGTCCGTACGGAGTAATCGGTTCGCTTTTGGGATGAATGGGCAGTGACTACCCAAACACATGCACGAGCATCAATCGGGAACCTGCAAGACAGAAGCGAAGTTGAGACACGCCAATGACTCAGAAGCGCGTGGTACGCATCACTCTCTATTGAAAGCCTATTATCGCCCGGCCTTTCCGTTGGTGGCCCAACTCCCTCCCCAAAGAAACCTATTATGTACACCATTTGTCCGAATTCTAACTTTATCATTTGTTTCAGATTTTATCCGCCTGTGGATCCCGGCAACATAGCTCGTTGCGTCTTCTGCAGCAACCACTCAATGTTAAAAAAGTCGAAGTCACATTGGCGAGCTAGTTGCTTCACGGTAATCCGAGAGTGACCTGTGGCGAGTGTCAAGTTAGCCAGAATCCCCAACAACTTCAAGGTAGAACGACAACTGAGGTAGGTTTACGTACAGAGGGAGCGATGTTGATGGGAATAGAATTAGAGGCTGCACTGTTCAGACTTACAGGAACGATCTCGTTGTCGCTGGCGACCGGGTTGTCGGTGGTGTTGTTGTTGCCACTGAAAGCGTTGCCGACATCACCGGCGTTTGCTGCCGTGACATCTCCACTGTTGGCGACGCCACCGAACGCAGCGTTGTCTCCACTGGTTTCAGGGCCGCTGACGCCGCTCAGCGTAGAAAGGTCTCCTCCAGAGGCACCGGCGGTCTGTGGGGTAGGTGCGGCCTCAATGGTGAGGAAGAGGAGGAAGAGGGCGCGAACGACACTGGTGAAATGCATGTTGAAGGATGTCGGGTGCGATGTATATCGGAAAGGCTTCTGATTGCGGCGAAGAGGTCAGAAATGAGTGACTGGTGGCTCAAAAATGAGTGACTAAGGTAAGTTGATGAGTGTGCGTATGCAGAAGAGAAAGGTGACACCCGTTGACCAGGGCTGCCTTTTAACACTGCATCGAGAGGAGGGCAGTTGCCTCCTATTTCGTCGCCGGAGCAAAGATGAAACTGCCACCCCACGACCACCGCGTTAGGCTCATGTCAGTGTGCTGCCACATTTGATTGCTGGTATCCTCTTCTGGTAGTGACACGCATCTCGGCAGGGGTGTTGAGATGTCAAACCGGCGAATCACCGCTTTACGTCCACAGCGCGCCGGACCATGCGCCGAGCCTCAGATCGACAGGATGATGTATCCGAACGATAAACGAGCTCCGAACAGATCTGCAAGCCACACCCGCGGCCGGACATCGTATAGTTCACGCCACGTTTTCAGCCGCTCTGCAACCCTCAATAGGTCCCCGTGCATAAGGGTTCTGATATGGACAGCGATCAACACCACCGTTCCCTTGTACAGAGAGCAGCACTTACTGCCTTATCAGACAGCATGCTGTCAGGTCCGCATACGGCCTCAGTGAAGCCTCCTTCCGCCGATAGCGGTGTGCTCGTTCCCCTTCCACGGCGATATCACTGCAATTTTGACTAAAGAATCAAGGAGCCATGGTCGACGCTTAGAAACGATAAGATTGAGCAGGGGAGCTCGAAGCACATGTGATTCCTGGCTGGCCTGGGCGACGACAACATGACATCTCCTGTCCAGGACTCATACTAAGTCATGGTCACTCGCTACCTCTGGTCGTTTCGCTATATCTTCGGTCACTCCCTTACACTTCCAGCCACTCTTTCAATCTGGTAGCCAAGTTCACTTCTCGTCACACTTTTGCCCTTTTGAATGTTTCTGCCCATCCGCCATGGGTCCTCGGCAGATCAACAACCCGAGGGTTCCTGATATGATACATCGGACAGGCTCTAGATCTCTATCCTTGACTGATGCCGACGACTATTTCTTTCCAGCACCTCCCCAGGTACCAAGGTCATCTTCGTTCAATAGCGAACGAGTATTACTTCCCGATGCCGGCGGACCATCGACGCCGTTGCCCGCGTACAAGCGTCAGCTGTCAAGCGACAGCACCAGCCGCAGCCGGACGTCAACTCTCAGAGACAGAAGTCTGGTGGATCTCAGCGATGTAAAGGCGAGAATGTATGAGAAGGTATTTCGTCCTCACCAAATGTACGATTTTCTACTGACAGACATGTAGGGCTTTGTCCCTGCCGCTGAAGAAGAGGCGATGCCATTCAATATCAAGTACAACTCATCTTGCTATACCGTCGAACGCCTGGCAGATTTCGATGATCTCGAACTCCGGCCGACCCTCGTCAAAGCGGTACACAAGCTGATGCCTTTCGTGACCGTTGCAGCCTTGGCTGCCAGCTTTGGTTATTTCGGCTTCCGGGTATACTGTACGCTTGCCACCCAGAGAGCGCGGGACAAAATTTACCCCATGGCATGGGTGTTTATCATTGCGGAGGCGTTCGTCGCGTTCCCGCAGCTCTTCTATGCCTTCTATTCCTTCCTTGCTCTTCGGTCGCGGAAACGGCCCAAGCTCCGTCTTCGAGGCAATGCTGTCCCCACGGTCGACGTCTTTGTTACCTGTTGCAAGGAGGACATCGACGTCGTTCTCGATACTGTCCGTGCAGCATGTGTGATCGACTACCCCAGGGACCGTTTCCGAGTAGTCGTCTGTGACGATGGCGGCTCTGAGGAATTGCGGCAAGCAGTCGGTACCCTGCGAACATGCTATCCAAATCTTCTTTACTGGGCACGAATCAAGGAAAAGGGCAAGCCCCATCACTTCAAAGCCGGTAACCTCATCGCTGCGACAGATATGGTTGCCACCCTTCCTGATGGACCCGGAGAGTTCATCGCCGCTCTGGATGCCGACATGATCCCCGAGCCTGAATGGCTGCGCACTCTGACGGCCCATCTGGTCATCGACGATAAAATGTCCTTGGTGTGCCCACCCCAGCTTTTCTACAATACGCCCAAAGGAGACCCTCTCTTCCAGAGCTTAGACTCTTTCGTCCGTGTGCAAGAAGTCATCAAAGATGCCAATGGTGTTGCATGGTGCACCGGCTCCGGGTACGCAGTGAGGAGGGCTGCTATTGAAAGCATCGGTGGGTGGCCCACGGGCTCGCTGGCCGAAGATGTCTTCACCAGTTCCATGCTGCTGGGCCACGGGTGGAAAACCGCCTTTGTGCACGAGCCACTCCAGTGGGGACTCGTGCCCGACACGTTCACCGGCCACCTCAAACAGCGGACGCGCTGGACTCTGGGCACGCTGCAAACGGCGGTCAAGCTCAATTTCTGTCTTTACGGAGTCGGCGCCCGGGGCATGACCTTCAGTCAACGCCTCTCCGGGTTTTTGTTCCCTGTGGATAACTTGCTCCGCATGTTTATCGCCTTTGCGGTTGTCGCCATCCCCGTCGGTCTAATGTCCGGCAAGGTCCTTGTGCTGTACGTCAGCGAGGAGCAGCTGCGGTGGCAGATTCGTCTCTGTTTCTTGGGCTTCGCGCTAGGTCGACTGGCCGAATACATCACCTTCTTGCCCTCGGGATACCGGCTTGCTCGACGAGACTTTGACGCCTCTCTGTGGATGCTCCCGTACAATGCCGTCACCATCGTCCAGTCTTTCCTTCTACCGAAATGGTTAGGCGGCAAGCCCATGGCCTTCTCACCTACTGGCTCTCTCACCTCGGAACTCAACGAGCGCGACATCAAGCAGAGGGCGCCTCTCTGGAGACGCCTCAAGGTCATCATCTGGGACTGCAAGGCTTACATCCACCTGGTGTACGTGGTGTTTACCGTGACTGCCGTCGTGTTGGCCTTTGGCCGCGCGCTGTCAATCACGGGAGATGTCAGCGCACAGTACCGCTACATCTTGACCCACATTTGCTGGCCACCGATGTTGTGGGTGCTGTCCGCAATCGCCTTCACCGTGCCCATCCGATACGCGATATGGCCTCCAACAGTGCCTGGTCGGGAGGAGCTACTCGAGCGGGACCCGGACACCTTTATCGCACACCCGAAACACGAGTCCAAGCAAACGAAATGGAGCAAGTTGACGTTGTTCCATGAGGCCGTGTACGTTGCTGTCACAGTGTATACCACGTTGGCGTTTGTGGCGACTCTAGTTTGGGATTGACCGTCAACCCAGTGGGTGCATTAGTCGCAAGGTGTGAGAGTAGAATAGACGACCATGGGGTGTCTCAATGACCTAGAACCTGGAGTACATAATGTTAATTAAAGGGATGGGTTCATGGGCGTTGGACGGTTCACGAGCAAGTTCTCTTGCACCACTTCATGTCTCTAGAATATTTGTGTGGAATTGCCGCTTACCCTGGTTTGAGGTCAATGAATCTCGCTGCTCAATACCACATATAAGTACAGGAGATCGCAGGCAATGGAGAACATGAGAAAGCATTCCTCCAGAGCTGACCAATTTGGTTTGTCGACCACATCGGGAGTACTCCATACCAACAAGAAGCTAGATTCCAACTCGTTAGTACCTAGAAGGGAGAGTCCTACCTGGATCCGAAGAGGCCCGATCCATCAGCACTTCTCAGAATCAGAAACCATACAGAGCTAACCCTCTACTTCAATGGGGATCCCCCATCCGAAGCAGAACGGCGTCTCGTGAGGCAAGCCATTGAAGAACGCAATGCATATATCAGTATAATTGAGCGGGAAAAGATATGCTCAACTGGGCGACATAGACGGGAACCACTTAATTACAGATCTCTGTCACGAAACGACGTTTTTGGTCGTCTCCCTGTCTGTAAGTAGGTACATACCTCGTACCTAGGTGCGGTGCATCCAGGTTCTGGGCCTACAGTAACTCGTAACAGCAGTCACTCACTCTTACCTTGTAGGGGACAGTAGTTGCAGTAGAGCTGCCACTACATAGTGGCCTGCGCTTGCCGTGAACGAGCTGAGCTGGTGAGCGAGTCCTCCCCTCCGTCTTTTCTGTCATCACCTCTCACCCTCACACTCGACCGACCCCTGCACTTTGCACGCTGCACGCACGCCCCCAGAGCTCCATAAGAAAACCACCTACAGTAGCTTCATCAAGCCTCACCATGGGTAAAGAATCCGGTTCCGGCAGCACGGGCTCCTCGAGCTCCTCGTACACCCCCTACACCATCAACTCCAGCGGGACCAATTCTCAGGTACGTGCCAATTAGTCACTGGTGGAATGGAATACATGCCCGCTTCGAGATCCCGCTGACATGATGTTTCTCCGCGCGTAGGGCAACAGCTACGACAATCGCACCCAGCCCGGCGGGAATGCATATCATTACTCCAATTCCAGTACGTCACATTTCCGATGGATACTGGTCTCCGACATCCAGATGAGCACATGAGCTGATGAAAATCATCTGACAAATGTAGATGGCTCTTACTACTACTCCAACGCCAACGGGTCCTCCTACTACAACATCGGGAGTGGATCGTCGACGTATACTGCACCCGACGGGAACGTGTACAAGAAGTAGGTAGGCACGCAGGCACGCACGGAGGTCACGCTGGTCGGGTCGACGACACGTGAGGAAGCGAAGAAAGAATGAATAGAAGCTTGAGAGCAGGATGATTATGGCTTCCAATTCCAAAGTCGACACCTTTTTGGTTTGCACCGATAGGAAGTGACTGCTGAAATGCTTTCCCGGTCCTGCGTTATACCTACACAACTGTGCTGGAACCGAGACGCAACAAGGGACTCGATACTGTAGCTTCCAACTCGAAAGTCAATACAGTATCCTTTTGGTTCACGGGTATAGAAATTGACCGCTGAAATCCTCCTCGCGTCATGTGTCATCCGGTGTACCTCCACATAGATGTGCTGTGGTTCCGATCTTTTCACGTTGGGGCCATGGAGTACCCCTTGCAGGACATCCCTAGGTCGGAAAGCTGCGGCGATCTTCTAGAAGCTCCCACTCTCGCTCTTTGCCCGCATGCCGTGTAACTTCGGAGCCCGGCATTTGCTCATCGGCCTGTCGTTGACAGCGACAGCAACAGGAACAACACATGCTATCTCTGTTTGCCGTAGCCCGTACGCGTGCGAGTGCGAATAGCTTGTACGCGGTCGTTACGCCACACCCCCGTGCATACTGTGCTGGACCCGTCCGAGCTTGTCTCCACGCCAATGGATCAACCCGAGGAATGGGTCGCACAGACACAGACGCCTGGCGTCAACGGCATGGCATGTGAGCGGCTGAAGCGCGAATGCCACGCAAATGCTGCTCGTGTCGGCGTCGGTGGCGCGTGGCAGTGGCCGGTCGTGATTGAAATGCATATCTTCGGCCCCTGTTCCCTTTGATAAGCGTTCATGGAGCTCTCTCGTGGCGGGCCACCAGTGCGTCAGTCGTCGTCGCAGTATCCTCGGATGCTATTTAGAGCCCGGACAGCAGTGTGCTCCCCCATTGTCCATTGTCCCATAGCATGGAAATGTGAAGGTCGAAAGGCCCGCGTTCAGAACCGTGGAGGCTCCGCATATTCTGCCATCACACTTCTGACTCTGCCTCTGCACTTGATTGTCCCTCACAAGCCGCCCTTCCCGTGGCTATTGACGGCCATCTAAAGCAATGGCCTGAATATCCGCGACTGTCGCTCTTTGATCCATATTGTTTTTAGAATTGCCATTCTTGCAGCGTTTCATTCTGTGTCCAACTCATTGTCGCTCATTCGTACATGCTTATTCACCACAAACGACGTCGCCCGTCGCTTCACCTCGTCCAGCAAACGGCGACGGCGAATCAAACGGAGTCGTCGAGATCCGCTTTCTCACAGCGTTACGGCCCTCCTTCTGTGGTATATCTTCTGTGTCGGTCAACGCTCACTTGTGGCTGATTCGAACCAGCAGCACTCTGACCGTACATGCCCAAGACAACATACAATCCAGCAACAGACCAAACGATACAACATACCACAGGCACAATGGCCTCTTTTGGAAAGTTCAGAGCATCAATGATGAAGAAGATCGACTGGTTGAAGGGCAAATTGAAGCGTCGTTCAGCCGAGGCAGCTCCAAAGGAAGAGAAGAAGCTAGTGATTGTAAGTCATCGCTTCTGAGACGGACTCAAGGAATGAGACGAGACTGACAACTTTTGCTTGAAGGGAAACCCAACCAACTTCCGCCGAAAGGAGGTGACCCTCGGTGTTGATTGTCAAGGGTAAGATCCGTCAAGATAATGATCGTTTTCACAGGGTCGACGCTGATATCCAATGTTAGGAAGCCTGCTTTGGTGGAGAAGGCGCGGGAGGACGCGCAGCCGATGCACAACGCGGCCAAGTCCGTTGTCTGAACGGGCGACATGCGCAACAACATGGAGACAATTGGCATGGACGTGTGCCTGTGCTCTCAATGAGCTCTTTCAACGATGACCGATAGCAGGCGATAGCATTGGATAGCGACCAGGAGCGTGCTGCACGTAAGATGAGGCCACATATGAAATGATCATAACCACATTGGCACTTCATCTAGCCTCGACTTTTTTTCCTTCCCTTTGTCTGACAGCAGCGCTGGCCTCGACTTCCGTCTGTCATCCTCGGATTTGATGACTGTTTCTGGAGTATCCCAGCCGTCATCAAGGTCAAAAAAGAACTTGCGTTTAGTCAAGGGACGCGTTGCGGGCTCACCAACGGCTGGAGCAGGTCTGGATTCGGAGGAGTTCTTGTCGACTACACGAGTCACCGGGATCGTTTGAGAGGTAATGGCATTGACCACTGCGTCCCGTTGCTGAGGCGCTTTGCCGTGCACATCGTTTAGTTCAAGAGCATCACCCTCATTCCCCCCCCTGGTCTCTTTTCGGGAGCTCTGAATTCTGGTGAGGCCTAGCCCAGCCTTGGTGCTGCTCGATATGCCCTCCAGTCCCACCAAGGATCGCTTCTGTTCGTTACCACCAACCATTAGGGGAGCCAAACTGGTACCGGACCATAAATTGGCCACTTTCTCGTCTTCGCCTTCTTCTTCTCCTTCGCGTGTTTTGTCAGCTGTGACACGCCGCAAGGTATTCCTCTGCCTTCTTTCGAGAGCCGCAGTTTTCAGCCGATTCTTTGCTTCCTCGGACATGGGCGAGGTCGGTGCAGGGAGAGCTTTCGGAGGAGCTTGACGAGCTTGCTTGACCAGTCTCTTGTATTCGGCGTGGTGTAGGTGTGCGGTATATGACTGTGCCACCGTCTGCAATTCGTCTTCGACCATAATATAGCCGTCATCTCGGTCATAACCCTGGTGCATTAACCTGGTGAGTGTGTTAGCGAAGCGTTCTCCAAATCCACACCAAATAGCTCACTGGACAGCCGGCGGTCCTCTGACGGGAGAGGAAGAAGGCGTTCTCCCTGACGATATTAGTGTAGTCCATGCGCGAGTGCTAGAGATACTAACGGCTTGATTTTGGTGTAATATCCGGTCGAGACACACGACCACGGGTCCTCGATGTTCCTTTAGTCTCGGACCTGTCATCGTCTGTTGGGGCAGACACTTGCTCTTTCTTCAGGCGAGGCGCTGGTGTTACGCGTGGCTTCTTTGCCGGTGGCTCATGCTTTACGTTCCAGGGTAGGGTACGGGCCATTGATCAGGATGGTCGGCTCCGACTACGGAAGCCCAGATGAAGCAGGAATTCAAGGAGGATCGGAGCGCTGTGAATTATTCTTTCCTAATGCCAGTCTATGCATTCTGGTGATCTTTCGCAGTGCGCTGTAGGCAGGCAGTGACGGGGAAAGGCAGCTCGGTGGTAAAACCATAAAGACATGTGTGCGCGCGGGAACAGAGAGTCAAGAGTGCAGGTGGGCAGGTGCCGTCACTGCCACAGCGACTCCCCGCCGGGAACTTTAGCGGTTCAAGAGGCATTTCATGAGCAACGACGACGAAACAGGCAGAACAAATAGAGAGAAAAGAAAAATGAAATCTAAGATGGACAAATGCATCTCTGCGAGTCTTGCCATTTGAATGATTGCAGATTAATGTCTGCGACCTTTGCCATTTGCGCATAACTGCTCGGGGTATCTATTTTGTGCTCGCCGTCGAACCATAATTCACGTCAATGCCACCAGTCCGGTTTAAAAACAGTAGTCCCTCGTAAAAGTGTGTGGCGATCCCAATGGACCCCGTTGGTACGTTGGTATCCGTTGCGCCGGTGTCCCATGCTATCCAGGCGAATCCCCAGACGCTCTCAAATTGATGCATGCAGAACGGTCATGCGTGCTTTCCCTATGCTTCACCAGGCTTCTTGGAGTTGCAGCTGACGATCTTGACCTTGTCTGCATGGAACTCCTGACCGCCATCACTCTTAAACCTCACATCTTTTACAAGGAAGGTCCAAACATCGTCGCAGAACCGGTAGGTTTCAAGGTGACCCTGCAGACTCTGTCAGCCCGTCCCAGAGCGAGATTTTTCTGCAGCGCGGACCTTGAATGTCAGTCTTGACTTGACCTTCTCTGCAAGCGTTTCCGCAATGGCGCGGTCAAAATTGCTTAGGATCTTCATCGCCAGTTGAGGTTCAATTCGGCCATCGTTGATTAGGTCATCAATCGTATCGATGAGCGCATCGCCAATACTGCACAGTTCTCGTCAATCAATGAAGCAGTCTACACTTGCGAGTTCGACAGTGATGAAGGCAGCAATTCTCAGAGGGTGGCGACCTGCACTGGGAAGCCTACCTACTGCCGCGATACAGTTCATAATACTGTTGAGCGGCCATTGCTGACTTCCTCGATATGATGATGTCGCCCGATGTTGTAGCGCGACTATGCAGGCCGAGGACAACAGACCAGCCGGATCCAGAGAGCGGTCCAAAGGGAGGCAGAAGTGATGTTAGAGAGAGAAAGGTATGTATATGGCTTCAAGGGCGGTGTTGAAGGGATGTCATTAGTGATTGGCAGGACGAAATCCCCGGCCTTGGCAAAGACCCCACCAGACCCCGGCTGCCTGGCGTCTGGCGTCACTGCTGCATGAGAGGAAGCGAAGCAAGTCGTCACATCATTTCCTCACGCTCTTCGAATCTATCTGCTTCCCATAGTACTCGTACCTCATAAGCTCTTAATCAGCCAAAAATTCAGGATGAAACTGGTATCAATATCGAGATTGCCTGTGGCCCGGCTTGGTGTGGTTAGGCGGGCATTAAGCCAGGCACGACTTGCTTCAACGACTACTAAAAGCGAGCAAAGCGAGCCCCCTGCTCAGCCACAAGATCCGGCAAATTCAACCAAGAAGAAAGAATCCATGGATAAGCTCAAGAAGACGCACAAGTCCATGGCAGAGCTGGACGAAGAAATGAGGCTGGCCATGGAAGGCATGTCAGGCGAAGGGGGCGAATACGGACTCGAACTTGAAGGCGGAAAGCCTGTGGCGATGAAGCGATCTGTGAAGGACAACATGTTCAGATACATCTGAACCAGTGTCAAGGAGCAAAGACACCTGAAGCATGTTGGGTGGATCATGCCTCCAAGCAAGCGCACCGAAAATCCCCCCCAGGATATCATGCTGTTCCAACAATATCAAGCTCAGATCTGGCAACAAAGGATCACTAAGATAGCTGTCTCAAAGGCTGGCGTTGTACAGTTTGTTGATGTCCCCAACCAGGTCGTCAACAGAGCTGCCACCGGGACAATCATACCACTCTCCGCCGTCACGAATACATCGGATTTCGCCTGCAAGTCTGACTGTACAGCTCTTTGTGACGTTGTTCTCCTGGCTCCTTTCAATGCTGGCTCGAAGCAAGTCGATGCCTTCTCCTTCATCACTGATACACGAATTGAGTTTCTGGAAGTCAAGACCATGTTCCATCGCACAGCTTTGGACCAGATCTCGTTTCGGGATGTCGGGATAGTCGGAGATCAAACAATTGGCATACCCAAGCCATAGTTTCACGTCGGGGTAGATTTTGGCAGCGCAGAGGAGAATGATGTCGCCGAGACACTCGGCTGGGCCGTGTACACACGAGACTGCATCGGAGTTTGGGTCAATACTGTAGACATGTCAGACAGGCTTCACTCTGCAAGGAGGAGCGAGTCATGTACCTTCCAATAAATGACATCGTCAAGTTCACCTTCTCCGACACTTTCACCATGGTTGGCACTATCAGTTCGCGCAAGCAATCCCTTGCATCTGGACATTTCGACATGACATGTATCTCCAGCGGTACTTTTCCTTCGGTTGTGACCGGTCTCAGGGATAGAGCGGGGTCATCGTGATGGTGGCAGACAAAGGTGGTCGGAAAGAGGTAGAATATTGCCAGGAGCGTAAGGAAGACGGGGATTGTTCGCTTGAGAACGTATTGGGTTTGATAACTTCGAGGACCGTAGTTGTTGACTGGTGGTACCTCAGTTGCAGTCGCAGATGGGTCGTGCAGCAGGTGTTGTTGCTTTTCATTGAATGATGGCGTCTGGCTATCCATGATGAAGAGCCTAGATATCACACTCCACCACAAACGTAGTCAAGAAAACATCGCAAGTTACGGCAATGTTGAGAGCCGCAAGAGCGATTGAGGATTACCGAGAGTGGTCGAGTTTCGCGCTCGGTGTTGCACCTTCCAATCGTCGAGCGAATCTGCATGTGAAATGCAAGCGCAGGTTGTCCAGACTCGGATTAATTACGGATCCATGTCGTCCGGGGGAGCCGCGGCAGGGCTGTAAGGCCTACGGGCAACTCCGTCCTGCTGCCCGCGCCACTCTAGACCACCTCAGCAGTGACAAACCTCAAGCAGGCAGGGAACCATGAGTTCTTCACTGTTGGATGGATCACATTGAGTAGTTCAAGTGGTCAGAAATAGGAATTGCAGGAAAGCAGCTCACACGGCGTGACTCTGACCATACAACCCACTCTCACGTCTCGACCGGAGGCTGCCGTCGTCCCCCGGTCGAACGAGGGCAAAATGGATACATAGTACTCTTGTACGGAGTACTCTCGACGGGGTCAGGGATGATTCGCCCTATGAGTCATGTTGATATGCTCCGAAGAACGGCGAGAGCCTCAGTTTCCACGTGGCACATGGTATGGAGCTTCAGATCAAGTGGGAAGTCCCCCAGCTTGAGGTCCTCATACGTGGGGTTTAGCCCCAAGCCTCATCTGACTTTCACCAAATGAGTGCCGATGGTGGGAAGCGGTGCGGGTTCTACATGTCCTGAAACGACTGCTTAGATCGGTGCTGATTCGTACGCGAACACGCTTGAGGCTGGACTTTTCCCTTTTCCTCCTCTACCCAGCGTAACATCCGACCACAGGGTCACATCTGAACAACAGAACATCACCAACACATCCCTCCTTATGAGGACTGCCTTCTACCTTGTGCGTGAACTTCTCTGAGCGTGTCAGAGTCGCGCTTGCTTTTGACTTTTCGGACAACTGGATTCATCCACGCCCTGAAAGATCCGTACATTCAATCTCGGCCCCGACCTCGGATACCATTTTTCTCGCCTCCCCAATGCTGACTTGGTTGCCCTGCACGTGAGTCCGAAGTACCGCCTTGTGAAACCATCGCGAGCGACGAACTACAACCTTACGACGCGTCCACCATCATGTCAGAGCTAGCTTCGGCACAGTCGGCTAGCAATGAGAGTCCACCGCCCGACGACCTCGAAGGCGAACTGGATGCGTTCATTCAACCTCTCCTCATCGACGACAATGTGGTGCACAACCTGGCCTATCAGTTCTCCAAAGTTTACGAGGAGCTCGCCATACGATCCGATGAGCAGTTTCTGCCAACGCCCGTCACAAAGTTGCCCACCGGACAGGAGACTGGTCAGTTTCTTGCCATCGACGTCGGAGGCACCAATCTGCGAGTCGCATTTATCGAGCTACTAGGCGACGCCGAGGAGCTTCTCCCGACGGCCAATGGAGTGGAACGGTCACGTGAAACAATTAGAAACGCCCAGCGGCCACGAGTACGACGGACCTTGGAGAAGGCGTGGCCCATAGGAGAGCATCTGAAAATGGACAAGACTGAAGACCTCTTCGCCTGGATTGGTGATTGCATTGCTGAAGTTGTAAGCGACCGACTGACTTCAGACAACGACAAAACGCCCGTACCAGAAGAGCTCGCAATGGGCATCACCTTCAGTTTCCCCATGATGTAGGTTCTTGCCAAATCTACATTCCCAGCTTGCTGACGGAGAACCAAGCCAGACAGAACTGTCCTCTGCGACACTGATGCCTATGGGCAAAGGTTTTACCATTAGTTCCGACCTTGATCTTGGCTCGACATTGTTGCAAGGCTATATCAGGCACACCCGTCGCCAGTCACCCACGAGCTCGTCTCCCAAAGCAAAGCGGAGGAAGCTTGGACCCTTGCCTCGACTGAAGGTTACCGCCATCACCAATGATACCATCGCGACACTCGCTTCTCTGGCATACAGTGTCAAATCCTTACCTAATTCACGGGTTGTTGCCGGTATCGTTGTCGGCACGGGAGTCAACGCTACCATTCCCATGAAGTTTTCCAGCCTGGGTGAAGCCAAAGTCGAGTCAATCAGAAAGAACAAACCCGATGCAACAGAGACTGTCGTTAATACCGAAGTGACGATTGCCGGTGCTTGTGGTCCTCTGCAAAGTATGACCACGGAATGGGATCGGCAGCTCGATAAAAACTGTGCTCGACCAGGTTTCCAGCCGCTGGAGTACATGACTGGAGGTCGGTATATCGGAGAGCTGGTCCGCCTCATCTTCTTCGACTACATGACCAGAGCACACAAACCGCCTGTGCCTGCGGCATCCCTTCCTGCGACGATTGTCCACAGCTACAGCTTCACTACGACCTTCGTAAGTGCCGTGGTAGCACGAGCCCGGTCGGATTCGGAACTCGCGGGCGAGTTGAAACGTCGGATACCACCTCCTGAATCGTCCAACTGGGGATGGACACCTCATTCAGCCGGAGCCCTCCGCAAGATCGCACATCTTGTTCAGGTTCGATCCGCCGGGCTGATTGCTGCTTCAACAGTCGGGTTGCTGGCCACCGTGGGTGAGATCGCCTTGTCGGAGCCCGGCAGCCCTGCCTCTCTTCCTGATGGCATGGTCTTGACCGACAGCAAGCCATCATCGCCGAAGTCGATTCTTTCGTCCCTCCAGCGTGATACGCGAGATGGTTTGTCGCCAGCTCCCGGCTCGAGCGCATGGAAATCGGGCCCTGAAGAATTGGTCATCGCGTACACTGGTGGCATCATCCAGCATTATCCTAACTTCAAAGAACAGACGCAGCGGTTCATCGACCGACTGGTAATGAGAGCTGGCGTCCAGGATGGTGGTAAGAGCGTGTTCTTGAGGGAAGCCCGCGATGGCGGCATCATCGGCGCTGGTGTTTTAGCGGGTATGGAGACTATGGAAAGAAATTCGTCGTGATCCGAGCTAGCTTTGTGTCTGCACAGTACAAAGCAAGCCGCTTACTGTCTATCTTGACGCGACGCATTCAACGTCCAGTATTGGGAAGCTTCCTCAATTTGCGACTGCAAATTGAATGTGGATGGATTCTGGGGAAGTCAGAGTATGCGCAACGCAGGGCGAAACCCTTGCATGGAGGCACTTTGACAAATCTGCTGGCCGCAGCAAGATTTGAGACGGAGAGTGAAGAGGATTTCTCACTTTGTCACGGAGCTATCCAGCATTTGATGCGGAGGATCAGCACCGCTGAGACGAAAGACGCAAAGCGGAAAATGGACAAGCCTCATGGTTGGCCCCCGACAAGCGGGCATTTGGTGGTGCGAAGTGAAACCCAACCCCGTGTGCTTTAGCCGAAGGATCTCAGGGTCTGCGTGGCATTAGGGCCCCCGCATCGCCTCTCGAACGCTCAACACAAGCGTGCCGGCTAGAGCCAGGTGGTCGGATTGCTCAGCAGGAACATGGAGAGTACCACTTGTCTACATAGCTGTATTTGTGCAATTGAGTTCGGGATATCCATGAGGAAATGGTTATAATGTTGGGGCGGTGAATCACTGCAGAATAATCAACATTCACTTGATGATCACACCTCAGGTCATGAGACGAGTCATGACAACCTGCATTGAGTACGAGTAAAAGGAGCGTGACATGAGTGTTTCAATCCCACTGACAGTTCTCTCGAATTGAACCTGGACCACAGCGGAATTTACGCCATGGTGCGTTTGACGAGGAGCTCCCATCGATCGGGTGCAGCACCACAACACCGTGGAAGGGTCCAGACAATTCGGAGAGTTCTACAGTTGCTCACCGTTGCTGTGGTTGAGGTCCAAATATTTCATGCCACTGGAAAAAAGAGCTTGGCTGTGCTACCGGACTTGACGCTGTGATGAGGAGCACTGATATTTTCTGCTGCCACGTCTGGAGCAGAAGCATTTGAGAGACAGGGTCAAAAGGACGGATATACTGTACGTACGCAGGATTAATGGCAGGCGTTGTCGGCGAGTTGAGACAAGCTCTCGTGTGCGTCCGATTTACAGTTCGATCGAGGGACCCCGGGCGCCGAGCAGGGCACGCGAGCGACCCAGGAGGCTCCTGCGTGCGCCTGGAGGGCCTAGCGTGGGCCGCTTAAGCTCTCGCTTTAAGCCGAGAATAGGCCTGACGACCGAACAATGGCGTAACTGGAAACTGTTTGACCACTGACATGCCGCTCTGGCTGTGGCAACCCCGGTCGACGGACTGGGAGATTCTCCAGGACCAGGACTGGGCGTGCCGATTGCGTCTTCCGTCCCCGTGTGGAGAGCGTCGTGCTTCGGTGCTGTGGCTTTGTGCCCGGCCGTCTTTCGCCCTCGACAAAAGCTGAGTGATGCGCAGTCCACCTCTCACTCACCCGCATTTGCAATTCTCATCTCGCTGCATCCTCGCATCGCTCAGGCCTCCTCATCAGTCAGCTCCGTCCAATCTTGCTCTACCGGCTGCTCCCTTCACTCGCGCCGTCTCGCCACTGTCCGAAGACGGTCGTTTCCTTCACGGCTCATTTGCCTCTGCTGCCAAAACTCTCAGCCGCTGACTACCAAATTTACCCGTCGAATTGCCGCGCAGTCTCCGATCTCAAACTCAATATATCACCGACCGTCCTCGACTGCGAGCCGCTTTCGTTGAGGCGGCTATGAACACAGTGGTCGAGGCCATTGCCGCTTGATGGGCACAATCAGGATAACGACCTCTTGTTTCCCGCGCACCGGTCGCTGTATTTTAGGACGGGCTTAAGATGAGCCCGGTACCTGCGATTGAACATGTTTTGCACACTCTGGTGAGGCGCGCTGAGCCTGACAATCCGGAAGACAGACCGAGTGATCCAAATGGCCTGGTTCTTGAAGCATGGGGTGAGTGCCCTTGAAGCTCGTTGTCCAACCCGAAGATTAAGATCCGCAATCTGACACCACAACCACGGGAACAGCTCAAGGATACATGGTGGGGTCACTCATCATCATGTCCTGCATCACACTTGCAAACATGCGAAGAGGTGTCCTGCTGCACAAGTTGATTTTACTCGAGGTATGGTTAATCCTTACAAGAGGCGATCCGTCCGGGCTGAACTGATGCTTTCGATAGCTTGTGCTGGGATACTGGCAGGGTTTCTTCATCCTGTTTAACCCTCCAGTGTACGCGTGGTGGCTTTCAGTCGCTGCGATTCCTCTGAACATATCCTGGTGGCTGCACAATGTAATCGCCTGGATGAAGCTTAGGCCTTTTTTGAACAAGGTAGGCAGCCGACTATTCATCGGTACCATCATCCTAGTCATCCCGTACTGGATCGTCGAGATATACGCCAATTTTACCTATTTCCACAATGTCAACAAGGTCTTCCTGAAAACGAGGCCGTGGGAGGCTTTGTGTCGAGATCCGTGGTGGATATTGGCAGCATGCCTCCTGATATACAACATCAAGACGAAGTACGATCTAAGCCTGACGCAAATCGTCCGAATATCGCCCCGGTTCGCTGTGATGCTGGGCGCTATGGTCCTCAGTATCTGCTTTATTGTGCTGGACGTCCTGTCGGTGACCTCGGCTCTTAAATCCGTGCTTCCGGTCGGGATCAACCCTTTCTGGAAGTTATCCTTTGTTTTCAAGTGCTTGACCGACTCGGTTGTCTTAGACGACTTCAAGACAGCATTGGACCGACTCCGAGCATTCAAACTGAGCAGGCTTGGGAGCTTTGCCATTGATGGCGCGGACAGCCGAAGCAAGAAGCACAAAGACGCCGTAACGAAGGCCAACAATTGGACGAATCCATCCCCAGTAGCAGACAAACCTCAACCGGTCGCACAACTGCCCGTTCTGCCCAGTCCTGATGGAGATTACGTCAAGCCCCGGTGGGAGGAGTTGAAACCAGGACGCTCCCATCATGTGGAAGATCCTGATCCGACGGAGGTTGCCCGGAACGGCTCAAGAGATCGTGATCCAGAGGAGAATCCTTTTGATGCGATCGATGCGATCGATTACGCCGATCCTCAACGGGAGGCAAGCGACAGTCATATGCTCCAATCCCAAACGAGTTGGTTACATAGGCGGTCATCGGAGGAGACCTCAGACGCCGATATCGAATATGCAATGGCCGTCCGCGAGGTGACGAATGAATCAATGGAGCACCAACGCACTAGGGCCAAGGGAATCGGCGTGGCGAAATGAAGCAGGCATGGAACGATTTTCTGGTTCCCTGCCCTGATTGCGATTCAATGACACGCGCCATACACCACGAGAAATGTGGTAAAGTAGGCAAAAAGCACTCGATTGCCGCCTTGATGCGATCCCCGGCAGCCTCCAGTTTGCACGAGCCGACCTGTACGCCACGTCGGGCTGAGACTAATTGATAGCCATGCTACTGAACACAGACTGTTGGGCGGGCGGGCTGATCGAGAACGAAACCCCCACGATACAGGCACACCGCATCGTCGCGTTACGAGAGCTTGTTGGAAGCCGTCACCGGGTGATGTACATATTCGTGTGAGGACACGATGCCGCGGAGACCGGAGGGCATCGGCCCCAATAGAGGGACTTCCATGAACGGACCGACAGGACAGGGCTTCGCCTGGAGCGATTTTGAAAAAAATGATGGATGAGAGACGAATCTTGGGAACACTTGGCTGGTCTTTTTGAGTGCAATGATACCCCTGTATGGTCGGATGTTTATAGCGAGGATAACTTAGTTTCAGGGGCACTCGTATGAAGTTCACCACACGCCGCGGGCATTTACTTAAGTGGGGCTCGTGACGCCTAACGGCCGGTGCCACCAAACTTTAGGCTGCGAACGCGTCCTGCGCGAGTCCAGGGTTGATGGCCAACAACCCAAAATCATACACACCACTGCGAATCATCAACGCTCTGGTTCTTCCCTTTCACCGCGCATCCCTCGCACATCGGTTCTTGTCAGCATTGCGCCGGCGTTGGAGGACATAGCGTGCTGGCAAATGTCTTCGTCCTCGGATTTTCTGTTTCCTCAGACCAGTCGATGTACCTCCCATGGACGTCCTATCGCCTAGTACTCCCAATGGGGACTCCGCTCATACCTCGTTGCTGGAGCCGGTCGATCCTCTCCATGTTCTCCATCACATCGCTGCATTGATCGAGACGACCCTGGGTGCGGCGAGGCGGGAACTGGAGGCGGTCGGCAGCTTACTCTCGAAAGGCAGCCATGCCGAAGCCCTCAGCAAATGTGCTCGATTTGCGGTTGACCCCCAGGTGACGCTGTATGCTCAGAAGGATGTTCGGGAAGAGTTGGTTAATGGCCATAATGACACCCCAAGTGAGTCGAAGAATGGTCCTCTGCGGCATGACTCTAATCGGTCGGCAGAAATCGAGCACCTCTACACCCTATCGTCCGAACTCAGTCCCGCACCCACGACGGTTGCCACCATTGCCTTCTTGAAACTGTCCGGGCCTTTAGATGGTCGAAAGTCGATAGCCAGCCAGATCCAAGTCTTTCACCTTCCAGGCTCCTACAACATCAGCGGCGAAGCAACCACGGCTGGAGATGCCATCTCGCCCTACGAAGTCGTCTACTCACTTCTGCACAATGTCCTCAGTCCCTATTTCGAGGCCTATACCCGGCAACAGGGCTCCGCGACTCGGAATTGGTATGACCCGCAGGCCAAAGGCGGCGTCCCGGGAGCAAAGAGAAGAATTGCCGAACTGGAAATGAGCCTGCTTCACTTGCAACAGAATACCGATATTCCCATGATACATCTTCCAATGCACGAAGTCGTGATGGGCGCCATGCAAGATGCAGAAGCTCAGGGCAAAGCACCTTCCGTCCAACTGATTCCGGCCCATGTTCTCGAGAACACCACCGTCCTGAATAGCATTCAAAACCATGTCAACACGTGGATCAAGTCGATACAGAATATCACAAAGTTCACCAAGGACGTGAAGGATGCCGCTCCTACTCAGACATCGGCAGCTCAAGAGATCAGCTTCTGGCTATCTATGGAGGCGGCCTTGAACAAGCTGGTAGAGGAGATAAGCCTGGACCACGTCCGTTTGACCCTAGAAATCCTCAAGAAGGCCAAGCGGCAACAGGCCGTGGTAAGTTTCGAGACTGACACTGGCTGGAGGGACTCTCTTGACGTTGTGCGAAACTATAATACTCTGATGCGCGACTTTCCCCTCGAGGAAATGTCCTCGGCCACCTCGCTGCCAAAGCTGGCCGAAGCCCTGGTGCTGATCTTCACCCATCTGAACAAAAAGTGGAGGGTTTGCAATTATCCTATCCGGCGAGCTCTGAGGCTGGTGGAAGGCATTTCGGAAGACATGAACACCCACGTACTCCGCCTGCTCCAAGGCCGTTCCATCATGTTGTTGAGCTGGGTAGAATTCACTGAACTGATGGACTCGGTCAATCAGGTTTGGGAAACCTGGGACGATCAGATGAAGAGCTTTACTACCGTTGCTCGAGAAATCACCCGCCGCAAGAATGCCGACTTTGTGCCGGTCAAGATTGTCCCTAGACATGCCCAAACACAGGAGCGACTGCGCTATGTCTACCAATTCCGAAACGATCACGAACAACTGCGCCGGACCATTGTCAATGTTCTGGGACCCAAAGCTAGAGCGAACGACCCAACTCAACCGGCGGATGACAGCGCCGTGGCGGTGGTTGAAGAGCTTGGAGACGTTGACGCCGTGGAAGAAGTAGCTGCAGCCTACGAAATTGTGCGCCATGTAGACATCCTTGATGTGTCTCCCAAAGGCACGGAAATCTGGGTTCAAGCCGAGATGCAGTATACTGAACGGACATCTCGTGTCGAGGATTCGATCATTACGAGGTTGAGAGACCGACTAGGAAGAGCGAAGACGGCAAACGAGATGTTTCGCGTCTTCGAGAAATTCAACGCTTTACTCGTCAGACCTAAGGTTCGGGGCGCTATCGGAGCATATCAGACCCAGCTTCTGGAACACGTCAAGACCGCAATCGCCGCGCTCCACGAGAGGTTCAAGCAGCAGTACGGCGGCTCGGAGGCACAGATGATGGCTCAACTTCGTGACACCCCTCCAGTCGCCGGAGCTATTCTGTGGGTCCGCCAGATCGAGGTACAGCTGGAAAATTACATGTCCAAAGTCCAGGCTGTGCTCGGAGAAGAATGGATGCTCTATACCGAAGGAGAGAAATTGCAGGCCGAGAGCCAGATGTTCCGAAAGAAGCTCACGACTCGCGACATCTACGAAGCATGGCTCCGAGACATCCAAGCCAGAGACATTTCCGTCACCGGTAGGCTGTTTACCATTTCGCGAAGTCGCGCTTCCAACGGAGCTATGGAGCTCATCGTAAACTTCGACAACCATGCGATCTCCCTTTTCAAGGAAGTCCGCAACCTCAGCTGGCTCAACTATCAAATCCCGCATCGGATAGCGACGACTGCGAAACAGGCCCAGCGCGTGTATCCCTACGCGCTTAGCCTTATGGAAAGCGTGGCAGGATATTTTGCCGCATTCCGGGCAATTCAAGAGGTACCTGACATGGCGCCACTGATGGCAGGCTACGAAAAGGAGGTTCAAAGCCTTTTTGGAACGGGCATCAAGCTAAAATGGGACTCTTTCATCCATTCCTACGAACTACACATTAAGGGAAAGGCCACGTCCAATGATTCGGCACATGTGCAATACGTCCGGGACTTGGCTACGGCTGTCACCACATTGCAAAACAAGACAGCCACCGTGCGAACCCTCGAGCAGACCATTCAACAAGCGATCTCAGAGATGAAGACATGTCAATACACGGCCAAGAAGTTTCATGCCCAGGTGGACGTCATTCAGAATGCCGTGGACAAGATGAATCTCGAAAATTTTTCGAATCTCTCCAGCTGGGTCTCTCAGTTGAACTTGCAGTTGCGCCAGATCTTTGAGAACCGTCTCCATGCGGCTCTGAAGCACTGGACCGCTACGTTCACGTCGGTCGGAGCGCAATATCCCGCTTCTGAAGAAACAATCTACAATGTGCAGTTTCCTCAGATACAGATCGAAATAATGATGAACAATCAGACTGTCTTTGTCGACCCTCCTCTGAATTTCGTCAGAGCGTCTTGGATACATCAACTCGAAGAGTGGTTGGATATACTGTGCCACTTGCCTCAGATCAGAGCGTCGCGCTATCAAGTGACCGCAGATATTGGCGCGCCACAACAGATGCCGACCTTCACCGACTTACCCATGCTCAACGTGGGTGCGCTTCAGGCTGCTTACAACGCCATCGACGCCAGAATCGAAGACATGGCTGTCTACCTCGAAGAATGGTACACTTACCAGAATCTATGGGATCTCCGCAGTGACCAGTTTCGTGAAGTTCTTGGTGACGATCTGGCGCAGTGGCATCAACTACTTCAGGAAGTCCGTCATGCACGTTCCACCTTTGACACGTCTGAGGGACGCAAGACTTTCGGCAGCGTTGTCTTCGACTATGAGCAGGTTCAGGCGAAAATTACTCAGAAGTATGACCAGTGGCAATATGAGATCACGACCAACTTTGGCGGAATTCTTGGGAACCGTATGGCAGAAGTCTACTCTGAAATGAAGCGATCCCGTGCGGAGCTCGAAAATCAATCTCTGGAAGCCTCTTCAACTGCGCAAGCGGTCGCATTCATCACCACCGTCCAGCAATGTCGGCGCAATGCAATATTATGGGAGCCTGAAGTCGAGATCTTCCGGCAAGGTCAGACGGCTCTTTCCCGTCAGCGGTACAACTTTCCCAGTGACTGGCTTTATGCAAATCAAGTCAGTGACGAGTGGGATGCATTTGAGGAGATTTTGAACCGCAAGAGCAAGGTTGTCGAAGATCAGACGGACGCTCTCCGTGCCAATATCATTGCGGAGGATCGTGTCATCACTGGCCGGATAACGGACGTGGTTGCGCAGTGGACCGAAGAGAAACCAGTATCCGGTACCATCCCACCAGCCGAAGCCGCCGAGCTTCTGCGCATGTACGAAGGACGCATGCAGAAGTTGCAGGGAGAAGCGGAGACTGTGTCACGAGCGAAAGAAGCACTTGCTTTGCCCCTGATTCGGGACAACGCCCTGGCAGCAGCGCTCGAAGAGGTGAGCGACTTTAAATCTGTCTGGTCGGCACTGTCTACGATATGGCAGAGCATCACCGAGCTCCGCGATATGCTATGGACTAGCCTTCAGCCCCGTAAACTGCGGCAGTCACTGGAGGGCCTGGTGAAGATGACGAAAGAGATGCCCAGCCGCATGCGACAGTATGCCGCCTTCGAGCATGTACAAAACGTTCTTCGACAACTGATCAAGGCGAATCCTCTCCTGACGGACCTCAAGTCTGATGCGATCCGTGAACGACACTGGTTGAAAATCTACAAAGCCTTGAAGCCCAACAAGCGATACTCGGAGGTCTCAATGACTCTGGGAGATGTGTGGGATCTTCAGCCTGTGGCCAGCGAATCTACAATACGAGATATTATCGTCCAAGCACGTGGAGAATTGGCACTCGAAGAGTTCGTTCGACAGGTTCGAGAGACATGGCAGAGCTATCCGCTTGACTTGGTCAACTATCAGAACAAGTGCCGTCTGATTCGGGGCTGGGATGACCTGTTCTCCAAATGCAGCGAGAACCTGAATTCCCTGCAAGCCATGCGCCACTCGCCGTACTACAAAGAATTCGAGGAGGAGGCTTCATCATGGGAGGATAAGCTGAACCGCGTTCATGTCCTGTTCGACGTTTGGATTGATGTCCAGAGGCAATGGGTCTACCTCGAAGGCGTCTTCACCGGCAACAACGACATCAAGCATCTTTTGCCTACTGAGTCAAGTAGATTCTCCAACATCAACACCGAGTTCTCGGCGGTCATGAAGAAGGTCTACAAGTCCCCGTTCGTGATGGACGTCCTTTCGATCCCCGGTGTTCAGAAGTCCCTGGAACGACTGGCCGAGCTTTTAAGCAAGATCCAGAAGGCCTTGGGCGAGTATCTCGAGCGCGAGCGGGTGTCGTTCCCGCGGTTCTACTTCGTTGGTGACGAGGACTTGCTCGAGATCATTGGCAACAGCAACGACAGCACCCGTGTGGCCAAACACTTCAAGAAGATGTTCGCAGGGATTTCTGGCGCCAAAGTCAACGACGACAACACGATTACCGCGGTGATCTCAAAGGAAGGCGAAGTAGTCATGCTCAAGAAAGAAGTGTCTCTGATCAAGCTGCCCAAGATCAACGATTGGCTTTCGGCACTTGACAGCAGTGTGAAGCAGACCTTAGCTGAACTGCTTACAGAAGCCGTCGTGGCTTTCAGACCGCTGTTTACCGCCGACGACCTCGACGTGGAGCAATTCCAGGATTATATGAGGCGGTTCCCTGCGCAAATCATGATACTCGGTGCCCAGGTCGTCTGGACCGACTTAGTCCAGGAAGCGCTGGAAGCCGCCGGGCAAGGTTTGTCGAAGCTCCATGAGTACGAAATCAGACTGCTCAACCTGTTGGCCGAGAGTGTTCTGCATGACTTGCCCGCTTTAACTCGCAAAAAGTGCGAGCATTTCATCACCGAGGCGGTGCACCAACGGGATGTCATCGCAAAACTTATCGCGACCGAAGCAAATACGCCCGGCCACCATCTCTGGATCCTGCAGATGCGCTATGTCTATGACCCTAACGCAGATTTGATGGGCCGCTTACGCATTCAGATGGCTAATGCAGACCTTGACTATGGGTACGAGTACCTGGGCGTGCCAGATCGCCTTGTCCGGACACCGCTTACCGACCGCTGTTTCCTCACGTTGACGCAAGCTCTCTGTCAGCGACTGGGTGGTTCGCCCTATGGCCCTGCTGGAACAGGAAAGACCGAGTCAGTCAAGGCTCTGGGGCTTCAACTGGGACGTTTCACGCTGGTCTTTTGCTGCGATGACACGTTTGACTTCCAGGCCATGGGCCGCATCTTCCTGGGTCTGTGTCAGGTCGGGGCTTGGGGATGCTTTGACGAATTCAATCGACTTGAAGAAAGAATCCTTTCCGCTGTCTCTCAGCAGATCCAGAATATCCAGATTGGCCTCAAGCACACTACCAACGAGCAGAAGGCACAAATCGAACTTGTTGGGCGCCGATTCAAGGTCAACCCCAACACCGGTTTGTTCATCACCATGAATCCTGGCTACGCGGGCCGTTCCAACTTGCCTGATAACTTGAAGAAGCTTTTCAGGAGTGTTGCCATGTCCAAGCCGGACAAGGAACTGATTGCCGAAGTCATGCTGTTTTCGCAGGGTTTCAAGCAAGCCAAGCAGATCTCACATCAAGTCGTTCCGTTCTTCGACCATTGCGCTCGCCGACTCTCGAAGCAACCTCACTATGACTTTGGCTTGCGAGCACTGAAAAGTGTCCTCGTCAGTTCCGGCGGCCTCAAGCGTATCCGCATGCAAAGCTCGGAAGATACACTCAGTGATGAAAGCATTCTGGAGCCTCAGATCATTGTACAGAGCATCAGAGAGACAGTCTCTCCCAAACTCATCAAACAGGATGTCGAGACACTTGTTGACCTGCAGGCCCAAGACTTCCCTAACGTCGAATATGTTCCTGCTGACATGACTCGGCTCGTCGACGCCATCAAGGAAGTCATGCAAGAACATCACCTCACGGAAAGCGAGGCCTGGATGACAAAGATTCTTCAGCTGTATCAGATCCAAAACATTCACCATGGTGTCATGATGGTAGGACAGTCTGCTTCTGGCAAATCAGCAATCTGGAGAGTCCTGCTACAAGCTCTGCAAAAGGTCGAGGGCATTGAGGGCGTCCATCACGTTATCGATCCAAAGGTTATGTCTAAGGAAGCTCTCTATGGCAGCCTTGACAGCACAACCCGGGAATGGACCGACGGTTTGTTTACTGCCAGCTTGCGAAAGATCGTTGACAATCTCCGTGGCGAAGATAGCAAGCGGCATTGGATTGTCTTCGATGGCGATGTCGATCCCGAGTGGGTGGAGAACCTGAACAGCGTACTTGACGACAACAAGCTGCTCACCCTGCCAAATGGTGAAAGACTCAACCTGCCGCCGAACGTTCGAATTATGTTCGAGGTCGAAAGCTTGAAGTATGCTACACTTGCAACGGTCAGTCGCTGCGGTATGGTGTGGTTCTCGGATGACACCGTCAGTCCGTCCCTGATGATCGACCATTACTTACAAACGCTGGCAAACCGTACTTTTGAAGATCTCGACGACGAAATCAAAGCGGCGGGTCTTGGTGCAAAGGCTGAGGAGACCCAACGCCGTGTGGTGGAGACACTGAAAGCACTGGTCGAGCGCGATGGTTTCATGTTGAAAGCACTATCAACAGCGAGGAATCACAAACATATCATGGAATTTACCACCGCGCGGGCTCTCGACAGTCTCTTCAGTCTCTTGGCCAAAGGTTGCCGAACAATCCTGGAGTACAACATGAACCACCCTGAATTTCCCCTGGAAGTGGAACAGACCGAAGCCTTCATCTCGAAGAAGCTTTTGCTGGCAACTGTGTGGAGTCTTGTGGGCGATGCATCTTTGACCATTCGCAAAGAATTTGGTGATTTCCTTTCGACGATGACCAGTATCGACCTACCAGGCTTGGACGGCAGTGCTTCCCTCATCGACTACGACGTGATGTTGCCACATGCGCAATGGGTGCCCTGGCAGTCTCAGGTACCTACGATCGACCTGAACACTCATTCCATCACCCAGACCGACGTTATTATCCCCACGATGGACACCGTGCGCCACGAAGACGTCTTGTACTCGTGGTTGGCTGAGCACAAACCCCTGATGCTCTGCGGGCCCCCGGGTTCTGGTAAAACAATGACTCTCTTCAGCGCACTTCGCAAACTCCCCGACATGGAAGTTGTCGGTCTCAATTTCTCTAGTGCCACTCAGCCAGAGTTGGTCATCAAGACGTTCGAACAATACTGCGAGTACAAGAAGACGCTGAACGGGATGGTGCTATCGCCTACCCAGCTTGGCCGTTGGTTGGTCATCTTCTGCGACGAGATCAATCTGCCAGCGCCTGACAAGTACGGCACCCAACGAGCTATCAGCTTCTTGCGGCAGCTCGTAGAGCAGAATGGTTTCTGGCGGACATCGGATCGAGCGTGGGTGTCCTTGGAGCGTATCCAGTTTGTCGGCGCTTGCAACCCGCCAGAAGATGCGGGTCGTCATCCAATGGGTGACCGATTCTTGCGACACGCACCCGTGGTCATGGTCGACTACCCAGGTGAAGTATCCTTGACACAGATCTACGGCACTTTCAACAACGCAGTCCTCAAGGTTGTGCCATCCCTGCGTGGGTTCGCCGATGCCTTGACACATGCAATGGTCGATTTCTACCTGAAATCACAAGCCAGATTCACACCTGATATTCAGCCGCATTACGTTTACTCACCTAGAGAATTGACTCGATGGGTTCGTGGCATTTACGAAGCAATCGCGCCTCTTGAGCACCTTTCTCTGGAAGGCTTGCTCCGCATCTGGGCTCATGAGGCACTGCGCTTGTTCCAGGATCGACTCGTTGAACAGGAAGAGCGTGTTTGGACAGCTGACATGGTCCGTCAGACAGTGCTTCAGCATTTCCCTACGGCAGATATCGACCAAGCTCTTCACGGACCGATCTTGTTCTCGAATTGGCTGTCCAAGAACTATGTGTCTGTTGAACAAGAGCAGCTGCGGGAGTTCGTCAAAGCACGTCTGAAGACATTTTGTGAAGAAGAGGTCGATGTCCCGCTTGTGCTCTTCAATGATGTCCTTGAGCATGCTCTACGCATCGACCGAGTATTCCGTCAACCTCAAGGCCACCTTATCCTTATCGGCACCAGCGGGAGTGGCAAGACAACACTGTCACGATTTGTGGCCTGGATGAACGGGTTGAGTATATTCCAAATCAAAGTCCACGGCCGCTACTCCGCAGAAGACTTTGATGATGATTTGAGAACCGTACTGAAAGCTTGCGGCACACGGGGCCAGAAGGTGTGCTTCATCATGGACGAGTCGAACGTCCTCGATTCCGGGTTCCTCGAGCGCATGAACACTCTACTCGCCAACGGAGAGGTCCCTGGTCTCTTTGAGGGAGATGAATACTCCGCGCTGATGACTGCTTGCAAAGAGGGAGCTCAACGACAGAATCTCATGCTGGACTCGCAAGAAGAACTCTACAAGTGGTTCACGCAGCAGATCGTCCGCAACCTGCATGTTGTCTTCACCATGAACCCGCCACAAGAAGGTCTATCATCCAAGGCTGCTACCAGCCCAGCGCTGTTCAACCGGTGTGTCCTCAACTGGATGGGCGACTGGTCGGATCAAGCTCTCTTCCAGGTCGGCTACGAACTCACCCAGTCCATCGACCTCGACAAGCCAAACTTCACCGCCCCTGACAGTATCCCTGTCGCTTATAGGGACCTGGCTTTGCCAGCCTCACACCGAGATACTATCGTCAACGCAATGGTGCATATACACTACTCTGTTCAGAAGACCAATGATCGGTTGGAGCGCCAGCAGGGCATCGTCACATACCTCACGCCCCGCCACTACCTGGACTTTGTGACCCAATTCGGCAAACTCTTCAGAGAGAAGCGTGAAGACCTCGAAGAGCAACAGCGACATCTCAACGTCGGTCTCGAGAAGCTCCGAGATACTGTCGACAAGGTACGCGACCTGAGGGCAAGCCTGGCGCAGAAGAAGCAGCAACTGGAGTTGAAAGATGCTGAGGCAAACGAAAAGCTGCAACGCATGGTGGCCGACCAGCGGACAGCGGAGTCACAGAAGACGACTTCGCTCGAGATCCAGACAGAACTAGAGAAGCAAGAGAAGGAGGTAGCCAGCCGAAAAGAAATCGTGTTGGGCGATTTGGCCAAAGCCGAGCCAGCGGTCATCGAAGCGCAACGAAGTGTCAGCAACATCAAGAGACAATATCTCACCGAAGTGCGATCGATGGCCAATCCGCCGTCTGGTGTCAAGCTTGCTTTGGATGCAGTATGCACGTTACTCGGTCACAAGGTCGAAAACTGGAGGGCTATTCAGGCTGTTGTGCGAAGAGACGATTTCATCGCAAACATCGTGAACTATGACAACGAGAAAGATATGACGCCCAGTCTCCGGCACAAGATGCGCCACGACTATCTGTCCGCTGAGGACTTTACGTTTGAGAAGGTTAACCGCGCCAGCAAGGCCTGCGGTCCTCTCGTCCAATGGGTCGAAGCACAAGTCAACTACTCTGAGATCCTGGACCGAGTGGGACCGCTGCGAGCCGAAGTGGAGCAGCTCGAAGACAAGGCACTGCAGACCAAGGCGGAAGCGAAAGCCATTGAGAATACAATCTCGAAGCTTGAAGAAAGCATTGCGACGTACAAGACAGAATATGCGGCCCTTATAAGTGAGACACAGGCGATCAAGAGCGAAATGGCGCGGGTCCAGACCAAAGTCGACCGTAGCCTTCGTCTCCTGGACAGTCTTTCTTCCGAACGGGTCCGGTGGGACGCAGCCAGCAAGTCATTCGAGACACAGATCCAGACTCTCGTTGGCGACGTTGTTATCGCGTCGGCATTCCTGGCATATGGGGGCTTGTACGATCAACAATTCAGAAAGTCCATGAGTGATGATTGGTTACACCATATGTCTCAATCTGGCATCTCCTGCAAGGCCGACGGCTCCGTCCTGGGCTATCTGTCGTCCGCGGACGAACGTTTGGAATGGCAGCGGCACTCACTTCCCGCGGACGACTTGTGCATGGAGAACGCCATCATGCTCAAACGCTTCAACCGGTATCCCTTGATCATCGATCCGCCAGGCAGAGTCACAGAATTCTTGAAGCAGGAGCACCAAGGCAGGAAATTGACAGTAACAAGCTTCCTTGACGATGCTTTCACGAAGCAGCTTGAGAGTGCATTACGTTTTGGCAATCCGATCTTGATCCAGGACGCCGAATATCTGGACCCCATCTTGACACACGTTCTCAACAAGGAATACCAGAAGACGGGCGGGCGGGTCCTTATCCAGCTAGGCAAGCAAGAGATCGACTTCTCTGAGCACTTCCAACTGTATCTCTCCACTAGGAACCCCTCGGCGGCTTTCGCACCAGATGTATGCAGCAGGACTACTTTCATCAACTTCACAGTCACGCGAAGCAGCTTGCGGACGCAATCGCTAGATGATGTCCTCAAGGCAGAGCGGCCGGACGTCGACAGGAGACGGACCAACTTGGTCAAAATGCAAGGCGAATTCGACACCAATCTCCGACAGTTGGAAAAGAGGCTGCTACAGGCCCTCAACGAGTCTCGCGGTAACATTCTCGACGATGACAACGTCATTCAGACACTCGAGACTCTGAAGAAAGAAGCTGCCGTCATCACCAAAAAGGTTGCCGAGACGGAGGGCGTCATGGCTGAAGTCGACCGTATCACCCAAGGCTACAGTCATATTGCCAATGCGTGCAGCGCCATCTTCGCTCTGCTCGAACAGCTGCATCATCTCAACCACGGATATAGATTCTCGCTACAATACTTCATCGACATTTTCCACACGGTGCTCCACCGAAACCCTCATCTGACGAACAAGACAAATCATGAGGAACGCGGCGAGATCATCTTGAAGGACATTTTCGTGGAAGCTTACCGCCGAACCTCCTTGTCCCTGCTGCAAAAGGATCGCATTACGCTGGCGATGCTTCTTGTTCGAGCCACTCCCTACCAATTTGACCAATCTGCGATGGAGCTCATTCTGGAGGATCGACCCCACTCCCGTGGCGCGGTGCCTGCGGACGGTCATGACGAGGACATCATACCGGCAGTCAAGCGAATCCCAATCTTCCAACAGGAGAAGATTGATGCCACAAGCACAGGTTGGAAACAGTTCATGTCGGCTGAGCGTGCAGAGCACTGCGTCCCGATCCTTTGGGATGAGACTGACAACACCATGGACCAGAACCTGTACAAGTTGTTACTGATCAAGCTGGCTCGACCAGACAGATTCTTGCCTGCAGCTCAAGCACTCGTAGCAAGCGTGTTCGGATCAGAGATATTCCAGGGCGATGATGACTTGAGAACAATCGTCGCGCAAGTCACGTCTTCGATTCCGATCGCATTGTGCTCCAACCCCGGCTTCGACGCAAGTTACAAGGTTGATGCTCTGGTTGAGAAGCAGAATACATCATGTGCCAATGTCGCCATGGGATCCGAAGAAAGTGTCGCCAGCGCAGACAAAGCGATCACGAGCGCTGCAGCAAGTGGCAGCTGGGTGCTGATCAAGAACGTTCACCTGGCTTCACAGTGGTTGCAGAGCTTAGAGAAACGTCTGTCGGCACTCAAGCCACACCCTGATTTCAGGCTGTTCTTGTCGATGGAATCAAGCCCCAAGATCCCGGTCAACCTCCTGCAAGCGTGCAGAACACTTGTGTACGAGCAACCTGCCGGCATGAAAGCGAACATGAAGGACACCATGACGGTACTGTCGGACCGAGGCTCGCGAACGCCGGTGGAAAAGGCTAGACTCTACCTCCTGCTATGCTTCCTTCATGCTGTGCTGCAAGAACGGCTCCGATACGCGCCAACACTGGGATGGAAAGGCCTCTGGGAGTTCAATGACAGCGACTACGAATGTTGTTCATTCATAATAGATTCCTGGGTCGAGGCAATCGCACAAGGACGTTCCAATGTGGCCCCAGTCAAACTGCCATGGGATTTGATTCGGACGCTAGTGACGGAGATGTATGGTGGCAAGATTGATGATGAGGGGGATTTCTCGTTGCTGGGTCAAATTGTGGGCAAAGTTTTCGACCCTGCTGCGTATGAGACTGACCACGAACTGGTGTCTGATCCGGATGAAGGCCAGGCGCTGAAGGTTCCTTCAGGGACCACGATTCGTGACTTCATGGGTTGGGTGGATACACTACCTGAACGAGAACCGCCTGCATACTTGGGACTCCCCGCCAACGCCGAGAGATTGCTGTTAATGGGACAAGGCAGGGAAACAATTAGCAAACTGGCCAGGATTACCGATTTGTTGGAGGAAGGTGAACAGACCATGTCGGAGGCTTCACATAGGGCTTGAGGGAGGTTGGGCATGGAGTTGGGTCATGGACAGGAATGGATTGGTTGATTTCATGAGGGTTGGAAGAGTGCTTCCGTCATGACCATAAAGTGTCAGCGTCCACATGGACACGTTTTCTTGTGTTGGGACGGACGGCAATTTGACCAACCGCCTTTTGAGCGCAGAGTGTACGGCGTTGGGGAGGCATTCAATCATGGGTATACCCCGTCTTAGTACATTCGGCTTGCTGCCTTTGTCTTAGATAGATTTCAACGACAGAATTTCGAAATGTGCTTTTCTACTCCGTAGCTTCTCTGCGCGCTCGACTCTCAACGCTGTGCGCGACGAGGCTGTGCCATGCACAAGGCTGACCATCACGTGTGGTGCGTCCGGCCTACCTTCCTTCCAATTGGCTGCAGCCATGTCACTGCGAGTCCACGCGACGGAGGGCAGCGACCAAAGAACCAGGTGTTCATACTGGCTAATAGTGTAAACAGGTGTCCTTGCCTTCCTTCAGCATGCTTAGCACCATCTGCGTTTGTTCTTGCATATTAATTCGAGAGCAGAGCCTGCGATGTGACTTGGTGGGAACTCAGTAACGCAATGACGACTCCTACACCTCGGGCTCAACCTGCCACCATGGGCGACGGGCTCAGCAGCGACGTGCCGCGTCCCAACGTCACAATACCGGCGTCCGTCCTCTCACAGACACAGATCGTGACGCCTCTTCCTGCGGACGTGCCGTTTGAACCCGCGATGACCATCGCCATTGACCCGATCGCCCTGATTACCCAAGAATGCATAACGATCACGTCCGCAATGCGCAAGCACGCCCGTTGGGCTCAGTCTTCGGTGTCGGCCATTCTAGGAGGAGGCGCAACAAGATTACAAGAGAGGGAACTGCTCCGGTCATCGTCACAGCCACGTCGCACGAGCAAAGGCCCCGTCATGCTGGATCCCGGAATGGCCAGACTCAATGTTCCCAGCGCTGGCGACGACGACAACTCCAGCCTAGCTAGCAGATGGGGCCTTCGGGGGCGTAAAGGGAAGAGCATGCAGGATAACCCGCTCCTTACAGCCTTTGCACGTTTGCGGCGGGACCTGGCTGGTTGCCGGGATGTCTCTGCGGTCGACGCTCCCGAGCTCCTCCACCCATTCCTGCAAGTCATACGCAGCTCGTCCACGAGTGCTGCGATTACGAGTCTAGCGGTCATATCCATCACGAAGTTCTTCGCATACAACATCATCACAATCCGTTCACCAAGGATTTCCCAGGCCATGCATTTGCTCTCGGCGGCCATCACCCACTGCCGCTTCGAAGCTAGTGACACGGCCGCGGATGAGGTCGTTTTGCTGCGGATACTGCGGCTGATGGAGTCAATCATCTCGAGACCCGAGGGCCAGCTCCTGGGCGATGAGAGCATCTGCGAGATGATGAGTACTGGGCTGAGCATGTGCTGCCAGGCCCGCCTTTCCGAAGTTCTTAGACGGAGTGCGGAGATGGCCATGGTCACTATGTGTCAGGTTGTGTTTGGGCGCTTAAAGAGCATTAGAGTGGAAGAGATCCCAAAGTCAAGGAGTCGGTCGAATACCAGAACTACATTGGCCAGTCCCGCCGATGAGCTGAAGATTGAACCGCCGATGACAGGGAGTGTCATGGGGAACGGCCAGCCAGAGAGACCAAGTGTCGACGTGGACGGTCGGGCAAGTGCTGAAGGTGCTGCGGAACCCAAGACGCCGTCTACAGAGCCGCAGAACACGAATGCTCCTGCGACCGAGGATGAGTTCGAGAACGTCGAGCCTTACGCTTTGCCTTCTATCAAAGAGCTTTTCCGGGTTCTGATTGATCTACTCGATCCGCACGACAAGACACACACCGACGCTATGCGCATTATGGCACTACGAATCATTGATGTTGCACTGGAGGTTGCCGGCCCTTGGATAGCAAAGCAGCCTGTGCTCGCGGCCCTTGTGCAAGACGATCTGTGCCGCCATCTATTCCAGCTAGTTCGTTCGGACAACATGGTGCTGCTCAACAGCTCGTTACGAGTTGCAGGAACATTGTTAGCCACGTGCCGGAAACTACTCAAGCTTCAGCAGGAACTATTTCTGTCCTACCTTGTGGCTTGTTTACATCCCCGAGTCGACATACCACAAGAGGCGGGGATCGATCCGTCGCTCTACGAAGGCGTGCCCCAAGCTCCAAAATTGGTCAGGCCGGCGCCGTCGCAGCCAAGCAGTGGCCGATCGACGCCGGTACCCATCAAAGACCGGCAGAAGTTGGGCCTGGAAGGTGGCGCTAGGAGACCAGAGGCGCGCGAAGCCATGGTTGAGTCCATTGGCACCCTCGTCCGGATGCCAAGCTTCATGGTTGAGCTCTTCCTGAACTATGACTGCGAGGTTGACAGGCAGGACCTTTGCGAGGATATGGTGGGACTTCTGTCGCGGAATGCCTTCCCGGACTCTGCGACCTGGAGCACAACCAACGTACCTCCACTGTGCCTCGATTCTCTGCTGAGCTTCGTGCAGTTCATAGCAGAAAGGCTAGACCAGGAGGTGCCGTACTGGGGGGAAGAACGGATACGACAGCTTCGTTTGCAAAGAGTCAGGAAAAAGATCATCAAGAGCGGGGCGTCCAAGTTCAACGATGACCCCAAAGCCGGCGTGGCATATCTGGTGAAGAACGGCATCATCAAGAACCCCGACGATCCAATACAGGTGGCGCAGTTCATGAAAGGCACTTCCCATTTGTCGAAGAAAGTGCTGGGAGAGTTCTTGACCAAGAGGTCCAACGAGGCGCTCCTCACAGCCTTTATTGATGAATTCGATTTTGTGGATAAACGAATCGACGAGGCACTGCGGGAAGTGCTTGGTTCCTTCCGTCTCCCAGGCGAGGCAGCACTCATTGAGCGAATTGTCAACACCTTCACGGAAAAGTACATCGAGGCCACGGCACCGGAGGACATTGCAGACAAGGACGCGGCCTTCGTGCTCGCCTATGCCATTATCATGCTGAACACGGACCTGTACAACCCCAATGTTGCCAAGACTCAAAAGCGAATGTCCCATGAGGACTTTGCTCGGAATCTTCGTGGCGTCAATGCAGGCAAAGATTTCCCTCCCGAGTTCCTGCAGGACATCTACGAAGCCATCAAACAAAACGAAATAATCCTGCCGGATGAACATGAAAACAAACACGCCTTTGAATATGCTTGGAAGGAGTTGTTGTTGAAGACGCACGACGCCGGCTTCCTGGAGCTGTGTGACACAAACGCCTTCGACGCCGAAATGTTCCAGGCAACGTGGAGGCCTATCGTCGCCACGCTCTGCTACGTCTTCATGTCAGCCTCGGATGATGCTGTCTTCTCCCGGGTCGTGGTTGGATTTGACCAGTGCGCGCAGATTGCTGGCAAGTACGGCATCACTGAGGCCTTTGACCGCATCGTGTACAGCGTCAGTCAGATCAGCGGGCTGGCGGCTGAAGTGCCACCAAGCACGTCTCTGAATACGGAAGTGCAGGTGGGAAAGAAGAAAATCATGGTTAGTGAAATGGCTGTTAGGCTCGGACGAGACTTCAAAGCCCAGCTGTCGACTGTTTTGTTGTTTCGCATACTGCAGGGGCACGAGAATGCGGTCGGAGACACGTGGATTTACATCGTGCGCATTCTACGGAATCTCTTTGTCAACTCTTTAATCACCTTGCCGGCGTTCGAACAGAGCAGACTTGGAGATATTGGTGCGATCCCTCTACAGCCACCTTCACAGGTCATCGATCGAGACGGCCGACTCGGTGAAAGCGGTATCTTTTCCACCTTCACCTCCTACTTATCCAGCTACGCGGCAGATGACCCGCCCGAACCGTCAGAAGAAGAGTTGGAGAATACTCTCTCCTCCGTTGACTGCGTGAAAGCCTGTCGACCGGATCGTGTGCTTCAACATATGTTCTCGCTGCCTGCGACGCAGATCAAATACCTAGTTTCTGCGCTACTGTCTCAACTGGAGGAATCCTCCCCAGTGGTGACAGTCAAGCCGGAACGACCTATTCCTGTTACTGTCAGGGTAAACGGTCATCGAATGCCCAAGGCTGGACCGGAGTATGATCCTGGCACGGTATTCCTGCTTGAACTGGCAACACTACTCACACTCCGAGATGACCAGACGATTGCTGCAGCGGGTGAACAACTCACCGGCACACTCCAAACTGCCGTTAGGGACGCCTCGAATCTTCACCCTCTTGCTGCAGCCCGGGTGGTACACTATCTCCTGGAGTTGCTGCGGTATAGCTACGTAAGTTAACATGTGTCTCGTTTTCCGGACCCTTCATGGCCACTGACGATATCACAGACGCACGACTTCATGCGTGCCCCCGTCGTCCTCCACGCCATCTCGTCTTTTGACGACCAAACCCTCGATCGCACCGCTTCCACAATTACTGCCGGTCTTTCAACGGCAATTTCCGGCGCCACCCCTCTACGCAATGAGATTACCAAATCGCCCGATTTCTGGTCCACTCTACAACGTCTACATCAGCATAAGACTGAAGCGGAGAAAGTCTTGGATATTTTGAGCCACCTGGCCACGCAAGATCAGGCGCTCACGGCAGACAACTTCGAATCCGCAGTCAGTCTGGCGAACGACTTTGCCTCTGCGGGCTCGATCGGGAGTATCCAAGAGAAGCGCAAAGACTTTGCGGCCAAGCAGGGACGCAGAGCTAAGGATGCCAGACCCGAGGACGCCGCGTTGGTGACTCGTGCCAATCAGGCCGTCTCATTGATCTACCAGTTAACCGAGCGCGTGCCTAGCCTGATTGACCAGAGCCATTTGGAGAGAAGTGAAGCGTGGGCCGCGTATTGGAGTCCGATATTCCGCGCGCTGTGTTCTCAATGCGTCAATCCCTGCCGCGAGGTTCGCTATCGCGCCATCTCGGCTCTCCAGCGAACTCTGCTGAGTGAGAGCGTGGCGGATACAGGTCACGAACACGCAGAATGGACCGCCATCTTCGATGAAGTGCTGTTCCCTCTTACGCTGAGGTTGTTGAAACCCGAAGTCTACCAGCTCGACAGTCTGGGCATGAACGAGACCAGGGCCCAGATGGGCGGCCTTTTGTGTAAGGTCTTCCTTCGCTATCTTGATCGACTTCACAATATCCCTCTCACCACCACCGAGATTCCCGCGGCCGGCAAGGAAGAAGAAGAAGAAGACGACGAAGAGGGCGGGGACGAGGCCACGACAGAGAAACAACCCAACGAGAAGCCAACGGACGATGCACCCTCGACCACAGCACGGCAACAGGGCACAGGAACCAAGATGGCAGACATCTACCTGAAAACCCTATCCCTCCTGGACCGCCTCATGAATGCCGGCACCATCGATCCGAAATCCTCCCAGACGGACGCTCTGTCAGAAGCAGTCCGCGAAGGCGTCAAAAATACGCTGCTAGTCATGGACGGGGCGGGGTATCTCCAGCGCTCCACAAGCCCTAGAAGTCCACGGACAACGGATACCAAGCCTCGCACCACGCCTGATGACGAGATCTGGCCCGAGACCGTGCGGCGATTGGACAGGTTCCTGCCCGGTCTCGTGGCAGAGTTGTTCCCCCCCGAGGCGGGAGAGAAGGACGCCCGGGAGGGAGGGGGAAAGATCAAGGAGAAGGAGGAAAGGGAAAGTGATGCTGGCGCCGGTGCTGGCGGTGGTGATGAGAATAAGTAGCCTGCGTAAGCTTGCGTCGTGACCGCACACGAGGAGCGGGAAAATGCGTGGGGCGATCTTAATACGTGATACAGTACGGAGTATGTACTGTCTATTGTCTGGATGAATCGAGACAGGCAAGGCGGACAAAGAAGGCGGGACAGGCACAAGGGCACAGGGGCAAGCGTGTAGTGTAGTGCACAGGGTGTGGTGGCACGGCTATAACCCTTCCTTGCAAGCACTGTATATGGAACAAGAATTGAATAGATACTCCGTACTTCCAATGTGCTCGTTTGTCTCACTCCATGCCGTGATCCCCTTTCTCTTCCAACGGACGGATTTAGAGTCCCTCGTACTCGATCTCCGCTTTCGTCGCATCTAGCCTCCGGAATGGTTGGTCGAATCTTGGGAAAGAATGGGGTTCGTTCTCGGTTTCTATGCCCGTCTACACCTACTCACCACGCTTATGGATACTCGTGTGAGAATGAGGTAGATATACATAACTCATCACCCTCGTCCGTCAATGTCAATCCGCACCTCAACGTCCTCTAGGGGGTTTTCCATGTGTTGAGGTTCTACGACACCGGCATGGTCGCATTCTTGCTTTCTGGGAACCTATTACAATGTTTGCCGCAAGGACAACGCGGTCGCCTACTTTGTCTGTGTAGGTTGTCTCTCTCTCTCTCTCTCTCTCTCTCTCTCTCTCTCTCTCTTTGTCTGTCTGTCTGTGTGTGTGTGTGTGCGCGCGCGTGGTACGTCTAGGAAGACATCAAGTCGGGCCTCGCATCAGGTCTAACGTCGTCACGGACGGGTTACTTCGGTCCCGTCAACATCGCATCTACAGTAATTACTTAGCAGCTTCCATGATGGGTAGAATCTTGTCAGTGGCTTTGTCGTGACGTGTATACCAACATACTTACACCTACGCTTATTCGTACGCTTTTGAGTATTGTGGTATTGTGGTATCATTACGTTATCCAGTCATTGTCAACCTGCATCCCACCGTCCCTGCGATTCATGTGTCTCCGTTCTCCACGGCTGTCGTCGTCGCATTCTTACGGCTCGGTAGGTATCGCGATGCACTGCACGAGTCTCCTCTCTCTGTGTGGGATATGTAGGTGTGGGATATGTATAAAGAGGCATCAAGTCGGGCCACGCCTCATTTCAACGTCGTCACGGACGGGGTACTCGATCTACGCAGTATATTTCCGTCGCATCTGATCCTCAAACTATGGGTGAACGGGGAGGGGATTGTGGTTCTCTATGCCTACGCATACGCCGACGCTGGTTCGCACTGGTAGGAATGAGAATGTAGGTTTCCATCAACGACTTGCTCGCTCGTTCGCTCGATGGCGGATCCATCCTATCCTAATTACCATACCTAGTAGTTATCGTATTCTGTGCATGGTTTGAGTTCGTCGGCCAATCGAGGGTCCTACATGCCTACGCCTACGCCTGCGCTGACTTGGACCGCGTACGAGTGTGTGGGTTTCATGGCTTGCTCGCTCGCCGGTGGTAGCCTTCCTGCCTATCCTATCCCGGTCTATCATGTTCCGTGCGTGACTTGGTCGATTCAGTCAGTCATTCCTGCATAATTAGCTAGACAGTGTCCCCTTGTCGACTGCCTCTATTTACTATTAGACCGCGGGTGAATCCATCCTGTCCTGTCCCGTCCTAATTATTCCATGCCGTGACTTGATTTGATCGTTCCATTTAGGGTTCTCTATGCCTACGCCTATGCTGACTTGTACTGATGTGAGAGAATTATGTGGGTTTCATGGCTTGCTTGCTTGCCTGCTCGCTGGTGGATTTGTCCTACCCTACCCTACCCTATCCTTTTCTAAATCCATGCATGACTCGATTCAATCAGTCACTCAGTAATACAGGTGTGTCCACTTATTGACTGCCCTCATTTGATGGCTCGCTGTGGATCAATCCCATCCTACCCTATCCTATCCCGTCCTATTCCGTGCTGACTTGATTCGGTGAGTCAGTCATCAGTTGAGGGCTATTCCCTGGCTCCCTCGTCCATTGCCCTCACTTGCTAGCTAGCTCGCTGGTGAATCTATCCTATCCATCCTATCTTATCTCCGTGCGTGACTTGATTGAGTCATGGCATTCATTTACGCAGGTATCCCCTTGTCCCCTTGTTGATCGCCCTCACTTGCCACTGTAGCTCGCTGCTTCGTTGGCGGGCTGGCTGGCGATTTCAAGCTCACGCTCACGCTCACGCTCACGCCCCGTCCGCCACCACCGACTTGTCAGCCGCCCTCCGCTCCTTCCCCGTCTGACAATCACATTTCCACTGCTTTCTGAACTCCTCGACTGTCAACTTCCCCAGGATCTTGAGCGCAGCCTTGCTTGCTCGCACTTTTGCGTACTTGGCGCTCTGGCCCTTGCCGTGAGCCACGATCTCGCCGTGCACCATCCACCCCAAGTGGCATTCCACGCCTGTCATTGCGGCATCGCCTTCATCGGCCTCACCATCTTCTCCTCCTTCGGCATCAGCATTGGCGTGCGTGGTTGGCGGCACCGATCCTTCAGTCGGAACGGGCACGGCTTTACGGCAGCCGAATTCCTGCGTCAGGAGCCGGACTAGATGAGTGGTGGGATGACGGTTGGCGAATGTATCGTAGGCCTCAATGTCCTCAAAGTGCCACTTGACATGCCTCTCAAAGAACTTTTCAATCTCTCGAAAGTCGAAGTCCGAGTCCACGAGGACTGCTCCCAAATAGCTCTCCACGAGATCGGCGAGGACTTTGGGGACATTGGACCCGGTGACCACGCGGGTCCAGAAATCGGGTTTCACGTTGGCGTCGGCCCAGGCTTCTTGCACTTTGCGTGCGTAGCTGCCAATCTCTTCGTACACGGCGGTACTCGTGGCGTAGACGAACTTGTTGAACCCCAGAATGACGGCGAGGGCGGCCAGGAATTTGTTGCTCACCATGGCCATTTTGTGCTCGGTCAACCATTGCGGGTCTCGGGTCGGATTGGTCGAAAATAGCCACCAGATACACACCCAGTCGAGACATGCATCACCGAGGAACTCGAGGCGCTGGAGATCTTGCACGGGCGAGTTCTGATCGGATGAGTGGGTCATGGCTGAGCGGATCAAGCGTGCATGTTTGAATCGATAGCCCGTGACTGCAAAGATCTTGTCCGCATAATCATTGGCGATCGGATCATTGAGCTCCCCGACCCAGGCGGCCGGCTTGTACATGGGCAGGACCTCCTTCCACGAGTTGATCGCGTGGTCTGGATGCTCGACGAGCTTGGTGATTGCTTTGATGCCGAGGTCGAACTTCTCTTCCGCGGGGAGATGCTGGCTCGTCATGATGCATGCTCCGATCGTCGCCTCGCATACATCTGCGATGGTCTTCTTGCCCAGGGCATGCTTGCGGTGCTTGTCCGTCAACTTGATGATTCGGCCTTTGCCAACCCGCTCCAGGAACTCAGGGTACCAGGTGTCTCGCCAGCTCTCACCGGGCGAACGGATGTAGCGGTAGAGCTCGTAATGAGGTGCCGAGGCCGTATCGCACAGCCGACTATTTGAGAGCAGGTTCATACGTTTGCAGTGCATGCCCTCCTCGTTGCAGGTCGTGCGGTTGAAGACTGTGATAGTGGTCATCAACTTGAGAAGCGAATCTCCAATGAATTCAAGCCGTTCGTAATTCATGGCACCCGTTTCACTGCGGGCATGAGGCTGCTCCTCGCCTTCCGGCCGATATCGGCTCCCAGCATCGGATCCAGATCCAGCAATGTCTGCCTCGGCGGAAGGATTCTGTGTATAAGCCTCCAGAGCCAGGTCCAAAGGTACTTGTTCCAGGTCAAGCTTCTGGAACGCCTCCCTTACGATGAGGTAGCCTTCCAACCTGTGAAGAACGGAGGGCCAGAGTATGCACGTTTGGGCCACTGAATAAGAGATCCGGCCGAGTTCCAGTGGCTGTGGAGCGATGTGGCAAAAGGCATATCGCTTTTCTTTCTCGGGACATTTCTCAGTGTATTTCCGACCTGCTACAAGTGCTTTGGCGTCCAGTACAGGCTGGTGTGCATCGTACCGGTCTTTGACATCTTTCTCAAAATCCTTCGACTTCGCCCTCCAGGTACTGTCCGAGAACTCAATGATTGTCTTGTCGTACTTTTTGTTCAACCTCTCTGCACTCTCAGGAGTGGCATCGAAGATCGTCTTCCCGGCCAGAATTTCTCCTGTGAAATAGCGGAACTTTCCACTTCCTCGGTCGACGAGAAAGGCGTTACACCATTTCTGTGCATCAGATGAACTGGTAGAAGGGTCCCACTTCCCTCGTTCAGGTGCCCCAGCAGCTAGAAGCTGTTCCATATGTACGACCTGTTCGAAAGCGCTCGACTGCCCTGGGTCCCTGGGAGGCGCCAGCCAGTAGCTCATTGAGGTCGATTTGTGAGAATATTGCTTGTTAAAGATATCGTAAAAGATGCCATTTAGAGTGTATGTTGTCAATGCTTCGACCTGGTCTGTAGTGACGACGAGTGGCTCCGCGTGTTGGTAAAACGTGACTTGCTTCTCAACATTGTTGTCCACATAGACAGAGAATCTGGGGATCGCTGGGAGAAGCGCGCGAGTAAACAGAAGCACACCATCGGAAGACCATGAGCTTGATTTGGGTTCGATCCGTATGTGCGTCAGGAACAGCTTGCTAGGTAGTAGTGGTGATGTTGTTCCGCTGTCGACCCAGAAATCCGGTTTCACTTTCTTGTCGTACTCATCTTTCCTCTCGGACACTGCAATACGAGCATTGAGATTGGGCGGTTTCACCTTTGAGAAGATACTGTCGAGATTGTCGTCCAACAAATGTGCTTTCCGCAGTTTGTAGATGCAATGCCATGCAGCGGAGCGCTTCGCCAACACCTTGTTTGTTCGTGGTTCACCCTTGGCCCCTTTCACTTGTGCTGTTCGTGGGTCATCAGTAGGAGGAAGGATGACCTTGTACTGGAACATGTTCTCTTGAGCGCTAATCATCTCATCATAAATCTCAGACGAAGGCGCCCCGATCTTCTTCAGCGACTCGGTGTAGCGCTTGAGCAGCAGTAGCGAGTTTGCATAATTTGCTAGAACGCCAGCACTAGTGACGAAGCTCTGGCAACTCGCATCTCTGGCCATCAGCTGTTTTAACTTCGAGCCTTGGCCCAACAACCGATCCGGAGGCAGCTGCTGACAGTACTGTCGGATATATTCGTCCTGTTGCATGGCAAAATCGATGCCCGCTTCCTGGGAGAAATTTCCTTCTTCCATCATATGCACAAAAATCGAATCTTTCATTCGCGCTCTGCCCCGACTCTGCATATATTGGATGGGAGTCTTGTAGAGGTCGAACCGGATGACGAGGTTGCACTGCGGAATGTCAATGCCCTCTTCAGCGACGCTGGTCGCAAAGATGATGTTAATGGCTCCAGTTCTGAACTTCTCCATGACGGTTTCTTGGTCCCGCCACGAACCTGCCTCTATTCCAGACTGTGCAACTCCCACTAGGACGCCAGGGCGGAGGCGGGGGAGAGCGATGGACTCGATGAGGTCGCAAAGGATCATGGCGGTCAGTCTCTCCTCCACAAATACTATCGATCGAGTGGTTGGCACCGTCGAATATCGATTTCTCAGCTCCTCATACAGCTTTCTCACCTTCGGAGATAGTCCCCGGTCCTCGTCGACCTGCGCAGGACGGAAGTCGTATCTCTGCACGACCGAAACAGCGTCACGAATTAAATTCATCTTTGCCTGTCGTTGCTCGGGGTCCGTTATCCCCATGTATGCTACGTCTCGCTCGTATTTTCTGACGATGACCGCTGACTGGTGCTCAGAGGTTGGAAGTGCATATTTCCAGATTCTGTCTGCCGCCCACGCCCCCAAGTGCTTGGAAGCTAACCGCGAGAAAGTAAAGTAGTGAGCCAAGTCTTTGACGAATCCGCACAGCGGCTCCAAGGCGGAACACAGATCGGTCTGATATTCACCGTGTAGTGGAGGGTAGATCCAGATGACGTCCTTTGCTCGAGGCGCAAACTCGTAGATGGAAAGATCAGTCGTCGTGACGATCTTGCTCTGCAACAGCGCCTCCAGATCAGAAACTACCTTGGCAATGTCTCCCTTTGAATCGACAGGGGAAGCTGTCATGGCGAAGATTCGCGGTCTGTCCCCTTTCCATTTGAGGTAGTAGTCCCTAATGATCCTGGAGTATGGGTGGTTCTTCTTGCAATGGTGGGCTTCGTCAAAGACAAGAAGAGAGATCTGGCTAATTGTGAGGTACGAATGCATGAGACAAGAATCAAGCACAGCAGCTGTGCAGACCACGACACTGTTTTCGGCAAAGATTCGGCTCCATTCCGCTTTCTTCCACAGATCGTCAGATGTGTCCCCGAAGAGAGGGATAACCTTCTGTGGTAGATTGTTGCTAAGAAACGAGGCCTGTTGTCGCGCAAGATGGACACTGTTGACCAGAAAGAATACGATCTTCGCCGGCTCGCCCTGGTTTCGAGTAATGATTTCTCGTTGGAGATAGTGTCGAATCAGCAAGGCGGCGATGAGGGTCTTACCGCTGCCGGTATCGAGAACAGCGATGACATTCTCATCTTTGGCCTTATCAAAGAGCTCTTGCTGATACTCGCGAGCTTGGTCGATAATTCTGTTGAGTTCACCATTTTTGATCTCTCTGGCTGCCCCGGTTTCGACACCATCATTGCTGTGGGCGATGATGTAGTTGTTCAAGATTGCTTTGTTGAGATCCAGGTCGACCTGGCTCGCTGAGCTCAATAGTTGAGATTCGGATTCATCTTCTGATTCAGTGAGATACTCTTCGTCTCGTTGTCCAAGATTCACTTCAAATGTATCGGCCAATTTTGAGGCGCTGTCATTGATCGCCATTGGGACAAAGTAGGAAGTTCAAGGCCAATTAACAGAGATCGGAAGCGAAGACATCATTGGAGCGAGTCCAAGGCGCGGTTGAGGAACTGTGAAATCAAGGCAAAAGAAGGACGGTGAAAGACGAGTGAAGTTGGCGGGGATCATGCAGACGAACTTGAAATTGAAGCAAACAAAACCCACGAGACAGATCGAGCTCAGTGATGGTAGCATCTAGGCTCACAGGAGTCTTCGTCCAGCATCCTATCCATAGTGGTTTTCCGCGGCTATTTCCCTCCTCGCCATCTGCCAACATGATGTAAGAAGTAGGACCAAGGGCGATGTGGTCGAGAAAAGAGGTTGTTATCCTCCGCGTTGCAGGGACGAGGTCTTTATGTCTCACTGGCTGGGGGCGATGCCCAAGTAGCCGGCGAGCTTGATTTAGGCTGCGTCGGGTAAGCTCGCGGATCGCCAGGCACAAACCACTTAGGTGCCACTACTCCGCATAAGTTAAGGGAAGCGATAGGCATACTGTGTACGGAGTAGGTGTGCTAAATTCCTCCATGGGCGACATTATGTCATTCCGCCGCTGCAGCAACACCAGTAAATCAAATATTTGGACCACAACTTCAGCGATTCAAGCTACCGGTGTAAGACGAAAACTGCTTGCAGTCCACGATGAAGAGCATCACTGCTGCGCTCCTCGCGCTTATTGCCGTCGCCAGCGCCCATGGCGTCCATCCTGACGAACGAGTCAATCCCGCGGACGACTGGGCACTGTACCATATGCAGGAAGAGCATCGTTCGTGTCCCAGTCTGCATCTGCACAAGAGCCACTTGTACTGACACGGCGCAGACATATCCAACTTCGACCCGGCCTCTTTCTTCTCGCTACACGACTTCAACAACGACGGGTCGTGGACGCCCGACGAGGTCCGGCGCATCTACGGTCTGGACGACGAATCTCTAAAAGATACACCCGCAGACCAGAAGGACAAAGCCGTCTTCGACGTCTTCAAGATCTTTGACCCCTATCAATCTGGTGTCATCACTCGAGATCAATGGACCAAGAAGATCAATGAGGGCAAGAAGCTCCCCGACTTCGGCTTGGGACCTGGTCATCACGGCGACGATGAGTATGAATACGAGATTCACCATTTCGAGAAATACCATGATGAGAACACAAGGGAAGAGGACTTGATCCATCCGGAAGATATCGCGCACTTCAGGAAACACGACCTGCTGGAAGATCAAGCGGACCGGATATATAGAGAGCAACAGCAGACCATTGTCGAGAGGAACATCCCTCAGAAATTCCGACGGCGGCCATGAGGTCAGGGACAAGACGAGATAACGTGTACGAGTATGACAAAAACAGGGATGAAGAATGATGGGTTTAACCATTTGATGTGATTTCGACATCAAAAACACAATGCATGACTCCAGGCGCATACGTCTTGACCTGCTCGACATGTTGGCAAGATACGTGGTAACGACGATCACCCGAGTTGTTCTGAACCAGCCCCGTGACTTGGTCGACCACTCGTCCAGCCACACGCTCGATCTCTCGCATATCGACATTTTCATGGACGTGAAGCCAGCCACCTTTCCCACCCTCGCTCATGGTTGTGAGAGTCACCACGGCGTCAAGCCAGCTCGCTCTCGATGTCGGCAGTAAACCCAGGTTAGCATGCCTGATGTTCCAGCTCGACCTTGTTACCGCCTCCATCCTCCTGAACTCAACCTGAATCTCCTGCAAGACTTTCGCAGCCCACTTGTTGTCCCCTAAGAATGCCACACATCTCACCACGTTCTGTGTTTGATCGCCTTCTCGAATCCGTTCCGCCAGGTCCCTGGCGCCTCCTACCACACCCCCATCCACGTCCACATTAACAACCAAACACTTCCATCCATTCCTATCACAACCCCTTCTCAACCCCTCGATACTCCACGGATTGATATCCCACCCGTAAACCCTCCTCACCCCTCTCTTCAAATAGCAAAAAGCGAAGTATCCAATCCCGACATACATGTCGACAACATCCACCATACTGACATCGTGATGACTCACGAGCTCAACCTCACCATCGCCCTCCCCCTTACGTGCCGCGATCAACCCCGGGAACCAAGACCGCAACCCCAGAATGCGCGCCTTCTCAGACACATTCCCCCGGCTGAACATGGTGTAGAGAGGCGCCCAAATCTGCGTAATTCCTTCATGTTGCGCCGTGGCCGTCCAGAATGTGGCCTCGAAATCCTCCGTCCTGGGCGTTAAAGTACGTACTCTATGCTGCTCGAACGGGAGCACGGGACCCCAATCACCATACACGGGGATTAAGCCCGAGGGGCTTCGAAGGACGTTTGGATGCCTCGTGCACTGCTTGCCCTTTGCTTCGTGATCATATCCATCTCTAAGTCTCTCCTCCGCTACCACTTGATCACCGACCTCCCTCTCCTCCGCAACGATAGGTGCATTGATGGCGATCCGCGAGATGCAGAGCCCACGGAACCCCTCCTCGGCAACACATCTGAACAGAGCTGCCTTTTGGGTTTCCGTTAGCGTGCTGTAGAAGCGTGGCCATGCTGCGAGAGAAGGAACCTGCTGTGCCGCGCTGATGAAAGATGGGGGAAGGAGTAGAACGGGCGCGTAAGCCGTATATCTCTTTGGTAGGTCTGAGATGGTAAGCACGACGGGTAGAGTTGTGCTTGAACTTGAATTTGCACTTTGATTTCTGTCGTCGCCAGTCGTGGTGGTGGTTACGGTGGTAGATCCAGTTCTGCGTACGATTCCTACATGTGGGTTCTGATCGCAAAAGGCCACGATCCCTCGGACAAGGGGGTTAATGGGCTGGGCTTTCTTCTTTCTCGGCATTCGCCCCGGGGGAGGCGGCGGGTTGTTTTGCGTATTTCCGTTCATCTCATATCACCCCTTTTCTTCTGAGCGCTAGGGTGGTGTTTGACTTTGCTGAATACAATTCCTGGTTGATTGCCGACACTGGGCGAGCGGCGGCGAATGGTCAACAGGGCCAGCTAATCTAGAAGGGAGATGAGAAAATGATATAAAGCGAGAGTTAAGAGCATATTCTGTACGAGGCTACCGCCAGAACCACGCCGGATGTGATTGGTTATTGTGGGCGGCCTTCGCCAGCCTTGTTCATGGAAATACAGAGTACTGGCTCGATTTTTTGTGTCTAGACGAGATGATCATGTCCGCCCATACCCAGTAATGCTTCATAGAGAGCTCCTGTTGTCTGATCTAACCATCAGCTAGCCCTCCCCGAACAGCGTCATCAGTGCATAAGTTTTCAAAGTTTGGGCTTTGCCAGCTCTGCGCCTCTCTCGTTGATAGTTTTCCTTCTGGCGTACCAATTCCAGAGCACCTCCCAAGAAGCGACCGTCGCCATTAGAGGCGGACAAACCAGGAGCAGCAGGCTCCACCATCGAGGACTCCCTGATTTCACTTTCTGCATCATGTCGGCGATCTGGAGCTTCAAATCTTCCTTGCTGCCATCATTGTAGAGCACGAAGCCCTTCCCTGCGTCTTTCTTGCCATTATTCCGCCGGTCACAGCGCGCGGCCTTTTCACGAACGTCCACCTGGCTTTTAACTCTGTTTTCTGCGTCTTCCGCCGACAAGTGCGGATCTCGCGCTCGTAATCTCTCCATCTGGATCTTCGGATCTGATACAGCAACCACGACGACAGTGGTGCAGAAGATGTCCAACCCAGATTCAAATAGCAGAGGAATATCCAGCAGGACGGCCCAGTGTCCTCGCAGGTAGTAGTACAACATAGCTCGGGCCATCAGAAACCGCACTGCAGGGTGTACAATGGCATTCAGCTTTTTTCTGTCTCGAGTCCGTTCTTCGCTGTTCCCAAATACTCTTCTTCCCAATGCGGGTCTATTCAACGGTCTCCCTTTCCCCGTAGGGCCATTCTCTTTGCCCTCACAGAGCGGATCCGACGGTGGAAGGAGCAGATCTGGTGTCGTGGGTCCAAATGTAGACACTATGCGACGATATCCCCATGTTCCCGGTTCCACGGCTTTCCGTGCTAGCAAGTCGGCGTCTACCAAGGGCAAGGAGTAGGGTGGGGAGGATAGTGTCTGGGAACAAGTTGATTTGCCTGTTGCAATCGAACCTGTGAGACCGATTACGCGCATTTTGACCGTTCAGAGGTTTCTTACTGCCCAGGGATTGTTAGGCGGCGTCGTACCGTTACAGGTTTGCGCGACGAAGTGTAGTATCACCTGGTTCAGGAAGTTAAGTGAGCACGCCCCTCCGTTGTCGAGTGAGCTTGCGCCGAGGTAGAACCCGGCTTGCGGAGAAATGATACCCCGGGTTGGTAACAAGTTCAATCGCGCTCTCAGATGAGGCTGATGTGCAGCCTGATGGAAGAAGACAAAGCTTGTTGCGAAGTCAAGCAGATACAAACACCGCCCCAATATCGTTGAAATTCTCGGCAGTGATACAAACAGCTGGACCGACTCTGGTCAATTGGACCAACCTAGGACATCGTTTGTGTTTTCCTGATTGCGGTGATTCACTGCTTGTTAAATGGGAAAACATCACCCATTGTTCATGCACGCTTGCCGATTCAGACAATGTCAACAAACGTGATTTACCCAAAGTCGCAGTGATATTCACTTCTGGCTTCAGGCCGTAGGTAAAGAATGAGGCTGCGAAGTCTGCATACAACCAAAAGGATTTTACGCATCAGGCGGAATATCTCTCAGTCAAGGACACACCCAGCCATGACCTCCGTCCAACTTCCGTTAACACCAGCCGAGAAGCTTTTCCGACAATGTCTGCTAGACTGCCGGGAACAGATGCAAGATATTCCTGGAATGAAGGATCTTGTGCTGCGATGGACAGGAGGCTGGGTCAGAGATAAGCTGCTGGGCGTCCAGAGTCACGACATCGATGTGGCGCTGAGCTCTATGACCGGCTTGCAGTATGGCCAAGCCATGCAGGCTTTTATGAAGGAGCATGGTTCCAAGTATGAGGAAGAAGCCATCAAGCAAGGCATTAACCCACAAGTCAAGGACATCCATACAATCGCGGCCAACCCGGAAAAGTCAAAGCACCTGGAAACGATCACGACGAGAATGTTCGGTCTCGATGTCGATTTCGTCAACCTCCGCAAAGAGGTCTACGACGAACAGAGCCGCAACCCACAGATGGAATTCGGCACGGCTGAGGAAGATGCGCTGCGTCGAGATGCCACAGTCAATGCTCTCTTCTACAACCTGGACACACAGACCATCGAGGATTTCACCCAGAAAGGACTGGATGACATGAAGAAGAAGGTCATCCGCACGCCGCTTGCACCGTTCCAAACATTCAAGGACGACCCGTTGCGAGTTTTGCGCCTGATCCGCTTCGCTTGCCGATTAGGATATGTGATCGAGTCCAGTGCGCAGGAAGCGATGAAGGACAAGAGCATACACGAAGCTCTTCGCCTGAAAATCAGCCGAGAGCGCGTAGGGGTAGAGATTGGTAAGATCATGGCAGGACCGGATCCATACACCGGATTAAGATACATCAACACATTCGACCTCTATGCAACGGTGTTCGGTGATCCAATGACATCTGATGGTGATTTCGCAGTTGACGCAGACCAAGCACTCGTCGCTTATGAAGGATTGTGCCGCATCCTCGAGGAGAAGTCGTCGATCTGCCTGGTTTTGAAACCCAAGGAAGATCAATCCTTAAGCTGGTTCCTGGCTGCTTACACACCTTTCGCGAGGTCGTCGGCACGCGCTGAACAGGCATCAAGGGAGGGCATCAAGGCTACGAACAAGATGAGCAAAACTCTTAAAGATGCCATCGATCTGCGACCAAGGATCCTCAAGGCGGTGAAGCTGGTCAACGAGGACCAAGCTACCCGAGCAGACGTGGGTATGGCGCTTAGACAATGTAGGGAAGCGTGGCGGTCGCATGTCCTCTTCTCCCTCCTCTGTGGTATCGTGGAGGAAGACTTCTCAATAGTGACAGATCGATACCAAAAGTTTGTCACTTTCATCCACGACCAGAAACTCGAAGACGCGAATACGGTTGTGCCAATTCTGAACGGCAACCAAATCAAGGATGCATTGGGTGGTCCGAAGGGCGGCCCTTGGCTCAAGAGAGCAGTCGACATACTTGCGCAATGGCAGTTCAACAACCCTGAGGCGCCAAAGGACGAAGCGATCGAGATGATAGCGGGCAAAAAGCAGGAGCTTCGTCTAGTCTGAAAGTCTTCTTACAACTTCGATGATGCTGCAAGCTTTGTTGCTCGCAACTTCACATCTCTCGCCTCCTGACGGACAGCCAGATCGAGCATGACCTCCTCGCTGCCACCTCCCACGACATGCACGCGCACATCGCGGCTGATCTGTTCGATTCGAGCACCTCGGCCAGTCTTGGAATAGCCAGCTCCACCCATAATCTGCTGTGCCTCGCGACAAACCTGCTCCAGACACCTGGTGCTCATAACCTTCAACAAGGCCGTCATGCCTCCCACATTGACTTCCTTGCCTGTGACACGGGAAGTCTCAATGATGAAGCAGAGTTGCTCTAGGAAGGAGTGTGCGGGTTCGATCAGCAGTCCGAACGTAGCCACTTTCGACTTGATGCCGGGGTGCTCGATCAATTTCTTGCCGAAAGTCTTGCGATCGCAGGCGTAAGCATATGCGTCCTGGGCGCAAACTCGAGCTAGACGCAGTGCAGCGGTCGCCAGGGACAGTCTCTCGGGATTGAAGTTTGACATGATCAATTGGAAACCGTGGTTCTCTTGACCGATCAGATTCTCCACAGGCACCTCAACATCCTCGAAAGTGATGAAGGTCGAACCTAAAGAGGCTTAGTGAATACGCATATAGCTGGAAAGGGATATCATACCGCTGGCATTGACACCCTGATTCTCCATCCGTCTGGTGGAAGCGCCTTTCGCCTTCAGTGGGACAACCAGCAAGCTAATACCCCCGTGACCCGGCCCGCCTGTTCTAACGGCGGCCGTGCAGAAATCGCACCAGATGCCATTTGTAATCCATTTCTTACTGCCTGAGATGGGTGTTAATCCATACCAGGTAATACCCTGGCCAGCTTCACTCACCATTTACGATGTATTTGTTGCCTCTCCGCTCGGCCGTGGTCTTTATATTGGCCACATCACTTCCCCCATCCGGTTCAGTTATCCCTAAACAGAACCTGATCTCCCCTCTCGCAACCTTGGGCAGCCACTTCTGTCTCTGCTCTTTCGTCCCAAATCTACTGATCGGAGGACATCCAATGCCGTTTCCACCTCCTAGTCCCCAGATCGGTCCACACCACCCCAGCCTAGCAAACTCGTCGCCCACAATCACACTACACCAGGTATCCCACTCAGCAAAAGGGATACCAGCGGGTTGTTGAATACCGCCTGCATCTGCAGGATCAAGCACGGGGTGTGTGATCGCAAACCCCAGTTGGCAGTGTCGTAAACGAACGCTCTCGGGGACTTGACCCGCTATTTCCCACTCTTGCGCGAAGGGAGCGAGCTCAGTGTCTACATAGTTGCGGACGAAGGCGCGAAGACGATGGTGTTTCTCGGTGTAGTACGGGTTCGTTGGCAGGTCTAGCTGAGGGAGCAGTGGCTCAGAGAACGGAGCTGGGGCGGTGGGAGCCATGGGTTGATATGCTCCTATGCGGTGTAGACAGCTAGGAAGCTCTGAGCTTCCTCCTGATTTCGTCGCTACATCTTCAACATTAAGGCCACCGAGGGTGAATGCTAGAACCGCGGGGAGAATTGAAGTTGGAAGATACGCGCCGAAAGGAGCCTCGGTCAACTCGGCTTGGCAGGCTAGTCCCAATGGAGAAATATTATCTTGGCAGAGCTAGTCCCACTGTAGAAACAATGGCATCATCAGACATGCGATCTCTCCACGCACAGGTCTTTACTCTATCCTCCACCATCTCACCAGCTGTTAAGGTCTAGACCGTACAGCTGCATTCCATATTAGGAGCTGGTTGAGGGGCGCTGTAACGATCTGCGGGCTCCGTCCACTCTACTGGGATTGATCAACAACGCATGAGTCCCAATGGGGTGAACACTGTCTGATTACTGCCATTTTCGGCAGCACAAAATACGTGGACGTCGGACTAGGGTGTCACATGCCTTGAGCTCGCGTTGGCATACCAAGATGGAGTCCTTCAGAGAATTCGTCGCAAACCAGGTGTCAGTTAACGCTGGCGACGACCGTCCAGCGCATGAAGGAGATCAGGCCACCAACGATGTTAGTGGAACAACACTGAACGACGATGCGCCTTCGCAGAACGTCAAAATAGAGGATGGCCTTCCTCGTGCTTTAGAGGTCAACAAATCCGATTCAGATGAGACGGAGAAAGTCGTGCCTCAGAAAAACCCTCATCCGAGTTTATCGAACAATCCTCCCGATGAGCCACCGCTGGCACCTGGCCAGAAGGATGTCGACGATGAGGAGGATGAGCTAGATCTTTCCAAGTCCTTCCATCGCACCACGATCCCATCTCCTACCGCACTTCAACGCAACAAGGGTGCTTTGGTCAGCAAGGTAGGAGATGAAGGGGTCGTCAAAATGCACAAGTTCACCCTCCATGAGACCGCAAATTACTATTACATTGTCGGCTCGGATCTTTTGGACTCTGCATTCCGGATCTTGAAGATTGATCGAACATCAGAACCAGGCGAACTAAATATCACAGAGGACGACATCGTCTACACCAAGAAAGAGACGCAGCAAATTCTCAATGCCATCGACGAGGGTAATCGTGCCACGGGCGGACTCAAGGTCAAGACCAGCTTTTGGGGCCTGCTTGGTTTCATACGCTTCACCGCGCAATTCTATATGCTGTACGTGACTAAACGAAGTCAAGTGGCTATGATTGGCGGGCACTACATCTACCAGATCGACAAGACAGAAATGATGCCTCTGGTTACGGCAGCGTCTACACGAGCAAAGACAGAACGGCATCTCGAAGAAGCACGCTTCGTCAGCATCTTGAACAACCTTGATCTCACGAGGTCGTTCTACTTCAGCTACTCTTACGACGTCACACGCACGTTGCAGCACAACATCATGCGCGAACGCCAGGCGTTGCAGGAAGATCTGGTCGCACCCCACACCCCCGACCACAACGACATGTTTGTCTGGAACCATCATCTTCTCAAGCCTGCGAAGGAAGCCCTGAAGAACCCGTATGACTGGTGTCTGTCGATTGTCCATGGTTACGTCGATCAAAGTGCCTTGTCAGTATACTGGGGAAGAGTGGTCTACGTGACGATCATTGCACGTCGATCAAGATTCTTCGCCGGCGCGAGGTTCCTGAAACGGGGCGCAAATGATCTCGGATATGTGGCAAACGATGTCGAAACGGAACAGATCGTGTCGGAGATGTTGACGACCTCGTTCCACTCCCCTGGACCAATGCTATTCGCGAACAACAAGTACACCTCACATGTGCAGCACCGAGGCAGCATCCCCTTACACTGGACGCAGGATAGTACAGGCGTGTCTCCGAAACCTGATATCCATCTCAACGTAGCAGATCCGTTCTTCAGTGCTGCGGCGCTGCACTTTGATGACCTCTTTAAACGATACGGCACACCAATATACGTGCTCAACCTTGTCAAAGCCCGCGAGCGGACTCCTCGAGAGTCGAAACTACTTAAGGAGTACACAGTCGCGGTGAATTACCTGAACCAGTTCCTCCCCAGGGACAAGGAGATCCTGTACCACGCCTGGGACATGAGTCGAGCGTCGAAAAGCCGGGACCAAGACGTCATTGGCAGTCTAGAAGCGATAGCCGAAGACATCCTGCCGAAGACGGGATTCTTCCAGAACGGCAACGACGAGGAATCCGGTCTCAAACTGCAAAGCGGCGTTGCACGAACCAATTGCATCGACTGTCTCGACCGCACCAACGCAGCGCAGTTCGTGATCGCGAAAAAGGCCCTGGGCTATCAGCTCCAGGCATTGGGCGTGATCGAGGAGCCGTCGGTCGAATACGACTCGGACGCCGTCAACCTGTTCACCCACATGTGGCACGACCACGGCGACACGATTGCCGTGCAGTACGGCGGCTCGCATCTCGTGAACACCATGTCGACGTACCGCAAGATCAACCAGTGGACGAGCCACTCTCGCGACATGGTCGAGAGCTTCAAGCGGTACTACAACAACTCGTTCATGGACGCCCAGCGACAGGAGGCGTACAATCTCTTTCTGGGCAACTATGTGTTTGCGCAAGGCCAGCCGATGCTCTGGGACTTGACGACGGACTACTACCTCCATCACTCCGACCCGCGGTCCATGTTCGGCAAGCGCCGACCCAGCTACCGGCACTGGTATACCGACGCGTATCTCGAGTCACCGCAGATGCCGCCCTCGCTGTGGCCACGAGAGCTCCGCGATCGGCCCCTCGCGTACTTTGACGACTACTGGATCGAATACTACAAGCCGCTGGCCATCTCGTCGTTCCGCAAACTGCATTCCTTCAAAATGCACTCGAACCTCCGATACATACCCATCAGCTCCACGTCCGGGGGAAAGTTCGACCTCAGCCCATTTAAGGTGCGGACGGCCAACGAAAGCGACGGAGAAGGAGGACACGACAACAACAAGCGCAAGGGCGTCAAGATAGTTGCCCCGTCGGACGTTAATTCGACCGCCGACGGACGTGTGGAGCCCGCGCAAGTTGAGCCGACCCCGACCCCGAAACCGAACACGCTGGGCCCCTGGCTCGACGCGCAACAGCAATTACACAACACGTTGACCCGCCGGACGAATTACACGGGCATCATCAAAGAGGCGTCGTTTGAAGTGCAGTCCCCGTCGGCCGTGCCTCGCGTCCCGAAACTGCCAGCCGCAGGGAGCACGGACCTGACCAACAGCTCGCTGCTGCTGAGTCCGCCGACCAAGGAAGAACTCGCCCTCCAGGCGTTCACCTCGCTGATCACCTCTTCCCTGAACCCCGCGGTGCGCCAACTCTCCGAGTACGAGCGCTACGTCACGCATCCGAGCAAGATCCCGCTGATCACCACCTCGGTGACGGACTATTCGGCCGCCCCGCTCGAATATCTCGAGTATTTGTCCAAAACCACATCCTCGCAAAATCCCGCCGAGGCGTACCCGCAGGACTCGATTCTGCGTCAATATGATGACGAGCGCGGGGCCGTGACGTTGACCATGGACGAAAAGGCCGAGGCCAGCCTGGAGGAGTATTGGGAGTACGTGCTTTCCGGGAAAATGGAGGAGCCGCTGAGCGTGACCGAGGAGGAAGAGATGGGCGGCAAGAAGCGGTATAAGGCGTATAGGAAGTGGTTGAGGGGGAAGAGTCTGTTCAAGCAGAGACCCGTGATGGGCGAGGACGTCGATGGAATTGGTCTTGATTGACCCTTGACTGAGCAGAGCGAGTAATGGGGTTTTTCTCTTTTTGGTTTTGTCGCGATAGCCGTCTTTACGATACCCGAATAGATTGGAATAGGTTGGAAGGAGAGGAATTGAGGGCGACGTTGATTGGTTATACGGTTCCTGCCGTGTTGAAGTGTGAGTTGCTTGAGTTGCTTGAGTTGCGGGTTGCTCCGGACGACGTGAGTATTGTTGAAGTGTGAACGCCTTTGCAGCGAGAGTCGCTTGAATCGTGAATCGCTTGGCCGGTGAGTCGTAGAGTTGGACGATCATCAAGACTGCGACCCGGAGATCGTCTCCCTGGCTGTGTACTGCGACTTGATGTGTACCACGTAGTCAAGCTTTGCAGCGCACCTAGGCAGCTATTCGCCCCAGCCATTATGCCTAAGTAAGGCGTCGCCGCTGCCTCATCGAGGCTTTGCGCTCCTTTTCGGGAGGCTCTTGTTGTATTCCCCTGGATCTCGAGCCATATTGTTTTGAAGGCGTCGGAGACCTTGTAATGCCGGAGCTTGGTCTCTGTGAAGAGGACTTGTAATGCTGAACATGTGTCTCTGAGCGCGCATCCGTGTCTACAGTGCCAGAATCATCTCTCCGCGAGATTACTACCCAGCACTTACGACACTCCCCCTTGCTCCAGTGCCGACCATTCGCACTTATACTTGTTCCTCTGCCACCTCAATCGCCAAACAAGGCCCTCAAATCGTCTTCCTCCTCGACCAGCGTTTTCTTGACCTCGCTCCACTCATTCGGGTCGACGATCTCGCCCAGCGATTTCACCATTCTCCTTAACCGCGCCATGATGTCTTCTAGGTGCGTAGCTGACGCTGCAGTCTTCCCAGCTGGTATTGTCTCCTTCTCATCCACACAATTCACCCAACACCCAATCAACCCTCTCAGCACCTCGGGCCACCATTTCTGCTGAATCCTCGCCCTCGCGACATCACAGACACAGTCCACGACGTCCAAGATCGCACCTACCATATCCGGCGCAGCTAACACAAACGGATCCATCAACGAGGCCCTCAGCGTGGGCAAGAGGCCCCGGAGATGTGTGACGGAGTGGATCCCCATTCTGGAAAAAACGGGTGGGATCTGCCTTAGGAGCAAGACGGTAAGGGGCACGGAGATTGTGTTTGAGAGGGATCCAGACCCTGCGTTGCTCGACGCGGACAAGTGTGCCAAAGACGCCATGATTCCGTGTCTGTAGACTAGCGTGAGCATGGCCTGGTAGGGGATGAAGTCGGCGTCCTTGGCAACGTCTGACCCTGCCGACGCGTCTTGTGCCTTGGCTTGAATCGACGGAGACCCAAGCTTACGCATAAGCACCACGAACCGCGCATCCACGACGCCCAAAAACGCAGGATACACCTCCCCCAGCAGCGCCAGGCTGTCCTCCTCGGGCGTCAACGTAGGGAGAGTTAGGAAATTCGTCCTCAAAGCGTCAACCATCACATCCGCTAGCCCCGAGCGCTTGAGAATTTCGGAATGGGTGGACGTGAGGACTTCGCACAGCGTGGCCAGAAACTTGCATCCGGCGGACTTGTACGGCGTGGGCGCCGCATCGTCGATCATGTTGAGGATAGGCGGGACGAGGAGGTGGAAGTGTGCTTCGACGGTCCGTCCGCGGAGAGTATCCTTGGGAGTGTCGGCATCCTCAGCAGGGAGGGCCGAGTAGCTGGTTAGAATGTATTCCAGGAGCGGTATTGTCAAGGGGGTTGATGTTTTCCAGGGGGGATCATTGAAACCGGACCCATCAGACGTGTCTAGAAACCGGTTGGCAATTGAGGCCGGGGGAGCGGCTACCTGAGATTTTCGCCCGGTGGACGTTAAATGCGGGTGTCTCGTCCTTGTGAATAGAGGTTTGATGATTTGCGTGAGGAGGTCGAGAAGAGTGGCTGGTATCTGCTCGATGGTGGAGGAGTCAATAGTGGAGATGATGGCGTGGGCTTTGTGACGGAGGGAAGTGGTATCTGGTGGTTCAGTTTTCGGTGTGGGTTTTAGGGTAGCTAGGATGGCGTCTCTGTTCATGTTGGTGTCAGACAGAGGAGAGTAGGTGAGCTATGTAGTATTGGCTCGACCAACAGTGTCTCAGAACGGAATGAAGAGAGAGTTGCGATGAAAAGCAGACCTTTCGAAGTATGGCAGCAAGGCGAGTAAACCGCAGCCAATCAGAGATCCGTCTAGCCAGCCTTGGACCGCAGCCTTGTCGACTGAACTGTGCGGCGCAGCTTTGTGGGAGCAGCCTTGCATGAGAGATGTCTACGCCCTACGCCCTGGTTTGACTTGGTCCTGGGGGTGATTATGGAAGGATCTTTCTTCTTCCTTTCTGTCCCCCACTGCATCTTATATGCCTCTCCGAGAAGCGCCAGGGACAAAGTGTAGTCACAGCTAGCATCCATGCGGAATGCTGTTTTCTAAAGGTCAGTCTACATGGTACCGATGCCCCGTAAGATCAGGACCACCGGTCCAAAGAACTGCTTCAAACACCCGTAAGATAAAACCGTGGATCTATTTCCTCTTTCCTCTCTACACCGCCCTCAATTCGTCCTGAAACCCCATCAACCGCGTAATCCTCTCACTCACGGCCGTCCTTCTGGCCGTCAAATTCTGGTCCTTCTCTGCGTCGACGGCTTTCGCGAAGAAGTCTTTGTCGACCTCGAAATCGCCGTGGAACAACTTATGCAGCGGGCGGAGGAGGTGCCTCTCGACGACCTGGATGACGACATTGTCGATGAAGACATCGCGGGCGACCTGGCGACAGCACCACACAGTCAGTATGCTGAACTTCTTTCCCTGAAGGGGAGCAATCGCAGAACACGGGAACACAATGCACGTACCTCGTAGTAGATGATCATGCGCCTGCCCATTTCCTCGGCCGACTCGGCGCGGCTGTCTTGCGCGAGGACCCGGTCCACGTGCGCAGGGGTGTATCGTATGGGGTTCCCGCTGGCATTGAGACTGGCGCGTCCTGGCGTGCCGGGGGTCATGGGCACGGCATCTCGCTCTTTCTCCCACCCATCTCTCCGCTGCTCCTGAGCATGAGAGGCGGTGGCGTTGGTCTGCTCCAGATACGCCGACTCCTCCTCGGTCACGCGATTAATCATGGCAAACATCTTGTTGGCCCGCATCTGCCGCGCGCGCTGTTCGACGCGCTTACTCTGCGTCTGCGCGGGCTGGCGACGATCGTCCTCGATGGCGCGCAACTCGTCCTCCGCTTTCCTCTTCTGCGCCTCGAGCGCTCTCTTCAGATGCTCTTTGATCGCCTGGGTGACTCGCTTCGGCAAGCCCGGTAAGTGATCCTGCAGGACGTGGTCGATGATGTGGTCGACAAAAGTGCCGCACCGCTTGTGCGCGCGTTCGAGGTGCTTCTTGGCGATCTCGTTCCAGGGCGCCGAGTGCTTCTGGAACAGCAGGTTCATGCGCTTGGGGTCGTAGCTGTCCTTGAGCTCGCGGCCGCGCGTCGACTCGAGCATCTCCTCGACGTACACGCGAAAACTGTCCCTCTCGTCCGTGAGGCTGCGCGCGCCACTGGCAGATCGCAGGCCGTGGCCGTTCGTTTCCACGTCGCGCGCAAACTCCTCGTGGTCCTCCTCGATGCGCGACCGGAGGTAATATTCCGGTGAGCCGTCCCAGTCGGCCGAGCCGTCGTACGTGCCGTCGACACAGCTCTTGGCTTCGACGGCGAGGTCGGTCCGTCTGTCGCAGAATCTGGACCAGATCTGGTCCGCGTCGGCCAATTTCTCGTTCAGGTCGTCCCGCTCTTTGATCGCCTTCTGGAGTCGACTGTTGATGTCGTCTTCGATGATGGGCAGTTGGCGCCGCGCGTGCTCGTAGTAGATGCTCCGTAAACGGCCCTGGAGCGAATGGATGCCCCAATGCGCCGGGTCGACCTGCTGCCATTGTCGCGCCGGGTCCGTGAAGAACTGGTGTTCGGCCTCGTCCCGTTCGCTCATCGACGTGTCGTTGCCTGTTTCCCGCACTCCGCGGTTGCGAAGGACATGCCATCCCTTGGCGAAGTTGAATTCGGCCAGTCTGTCAGGGAGGTTCTGGGCCTTTCGGATCCAAAAGTCCTCGAGTCCAGACGGCGACTCGACGAGATCCGGTTTCGTGATGATGCCAAACGTGCGCTCCCCTGTCGGATCGACTTCCTTTGCAATCGTGAGGACCGACTGCTTCTGCGGGTCGAGATTCGCTTCCACCACAGCCAGAATCAATGTCCTCGGCTGCTTGATCCAGTCGTCCACGATCTGCTGGACGAGGTCGATATATTCTCTGCCTTCATTGTGGGATGCAATCAAGCCGGGCGTGTCGATGAGTGTCAGCGGTTGCTGGTCTGGTCTCACCACCTCTACCTTGAGGACATCGGCGGAGAATCCTCCACGACCGCCCAACAGAACGGACTCTGCTTCCTTCACGAGCTTGCCCAGCTCCGTCAGCCGTCTGGGTTTGAATCTGACATTCCGGAGCCGGGCCTGATCGTCGGGATTCCTGGCCGCATCAGGAACTATCTGAATATCAATTGATTCCACATTCCCGGGCCGGAATCTGAGTCTGGGGAAGGAAGTTAGCAGGTAATTAGCATCTCGAATGAGGGCGGTTGAACTTACTCGGTCACGAATTTGGTGCATGTAAATTCTCCTCTCGGGAACGAAAGGCCACTGATCGCCTCCAGCACCGAGCTCTTACCGGAGGACTGGCTCCCACATACGACGAGCTGCGGCAGCTGTAGTTCCCTCTGCACATCCAGATCCTTGAGTTTGTCAACGAGGTCGAAAAGCCGTCTTTCCTCCTGGCTCTGCAGCCCTCTTAATCTGTCGCCTGATGGCTTTGGGACACTGACGTATCCGTTCATTGTCGAGGATTGCGAGTCAGGCGAGTATGATCCTCGGCCTTGCTGATATGCCATTCCAGTACCGTATTATTGCAAGGCGGCCGAGATATTGAAAGATCCTCTATCAACCCAGCCCAGTCGGTGACAGAAATCGCACAGGCTAGATCAGATGAACGGTATCAAAGAATGAATCCGAAGGAGACGGTCCGGACCAGCAGGCGAAAGGTACATAAACGTGCTCGCAACACAAGCAAGCGCCACTCTCAGAATCAAGGGTGCCTCCTCAGCCTCATGGCGGAAACTCCGCCCTATTGCGCGGGATCCTACGACAGTACTCGCACAGGCAGGGCAATCTAGACTGTGATTCCTGGCAAACCCTGGGCCCAAACGGGCAATGATCAAGACGGCGAAGGGCAGAAATGATGATGCCTGGGGAAGGCGACGTACGTCGCACTATCCACGACAACGACGTGATTGGTCGAAACCAGAGAGCAAGCGAACTTGCCTCGGATTGACGGTGGCGAAGCAGCAACGTGGCAGCCTATACAGCAATCACCGTCGAATCGCAATCCACGACTGATCGGCTTTGTGTGACGCGTGCGCCCAGAAGGGGCACAGGTGAGCCTCGGATTTTTGCACATCTTGCTTGACTCAGACTGAGAAAGAGGATCGCCTGCTACGAGTAGTCACCTGTGGCTCGGCTTGCACGGATTCCGCCCATCCCTTGCGCGATCGGTTGTACAATGCATCTGATGCCTGGACATCATGTTCCAAACCCTCGCAAGCTGAGGCAGCACAGTTCTGCCGCGCGAGTGGCGTTACTAGTATGGCTTTTCAGCCCAGCCTGATCCAGATTTGCTTTCAACCGCAGATGTAGAATAGATGCACATTCACACGCATGTGTCTGCCTGTGCACGGCCTCTACACTGTGCAAAGCAAGGCAAGGCAAAGCGTGAAACTTGCCTCTCGCTGCAGAACCTAGGGGTCGCACGTCCTGTCACACTCTTCTGGTGCTTTATTCGTGGGGCACCAACATTTCTTGCGGGCGTCGCATCCTCGCCGCTTACCAACTACTCTGCTACTTCGATTCTTCTGTTTAATATCGAAGTCGACGAATCTGTGCCTACAAGTCCGTTATCCTGTGCCCCGAGATCACACCATGGCCGACATAATGGACGTCATGGACCTCACCTACTGCGAAGGCGCCCGCCTCCTCCAGCATTCCCACGCCGATATAGGCTCGATTCTCCTCCAACGACCCAACGGCGGTCTGATCTGCCAGCATTGCTATCTCGTCGTCGCGGACGCCAACGACGTCAATGCCATTACCCCAGACCAAGACTGGGCGTTGCTAGTGAGCTGCCACGTCCAGGCATGCGGGTCATTGCACGACAGGCGGGCCGCATACTCGTGCTATGCTTGTCTCGAGACGGGCAAGGCGTCCGTGGAAACGACCATGGCGGAACTGAAGGCGCATCTCCAGGTTTGTGAGTTGATCAGGGATATCAGGCTCAGTGGGAAGTATAGGGGACAGGTCCAGGGGTACCCGACGATGTCTTCCCCTGTGAGCAGGGGAAGTGTTCGAGAGCCTGAAACCAATCCGTTGTCTACAGCAGCAGACATGGATTCAGCAGCCTCAAGACATCGACCTGACAGGACGAAAACAGCACAAAGCCTCATCAGTGCTCGAGACGCGCCATTAGACCCTTTCGCTCACGCGCAGGACGTGCCAGGCACATCGGCTCCACAATCGCACGTTGAGACGCCCCAGGAACACAATCCACCGCTGCCGTCGCGACTGAAGTCGAAGGCTCCAACGAATGCAGAGACAATCTACAGCCCTCCGATGGTGCGGCGACCTGAACAGCCCGTTCAATCGCACACCACGCGTCAACGCGCACCGGACATGTACAACATCCCGGGCGGTTTTCCTGGTCCTAATGCTGCGGCAGTCGACTCCCGAACATCGTCGTTGCATGACCACTCGTCGACGGTGCCTCGAAGAAAGGAAGTCCGAACGGAAGTGCCAGGACCCTCACAGGCTTCCTCGGCTGAGACCAAATCGTTCCCAACAGCACCGAGCCGTGCGCCGCCCGCTCCGCCAGTATTATCATCACCTGCACCACCGCCGTACCATCAAGGCAGAGACACGCATGGAAGCGTCCAGCATTCTGTTCCTGTGGGTCCACAGAGTCCATCATCCAACACGAACACCGGGCCCGATCCTGTCAAGATCCAGCAGCTCGTGTCGTTTGGGATACCCCGAATGGACGCAGAGTATCTGCTGAGCCGGACGGGAGGAGATGTGAATGCTGCGGCAGAACTCCAACTCTCAGAGATGGGCAGTTTGAACGGTCATGCACGCGAAACTGCTCCTCAAACTCCGCAGGGTGGTACGTTTTCAGCGCCGCTGGGTTCGAATCCGGTGGATAGGCGAAATCACTGGCGGTCAAAATAACCGCGGATTCCGATATTCGAGGTGACGCTGCGGAGTCATCTCACCAGCAGTTTAGGACCAGATGTCCGACTACCTGAGTGTGAGAAGAGGCGGGGATTGCTGTCATAGGGAGCGGGAACCAGACTGACTTCGATAGTGGGTCATGCATTCTGCTCAAACGTTCAGCACTTGCAATGATCATGGAAACGTAGTTTGCTTAAGAGATCATCATATCCATGTACTGGATTGGCTTTGTTTGGAATTCCGGTGACATTCATTCCGTGTCTGCTCAAAAGCAAGATCTGTGGGTAAAGCAATACATCTTGTTCTCCGCTGCCCTAACCAGGTGTTGAGGATGTTTCACGTTGTGATTTCTCGCGTTTATGTTCACAGCCGATTCATATACCGGGAAGAGCCTTCTGTGGCAAGTCGCGCAATATGGATAGTTGGCGTCAGTTCGCGAAACATGCTTCAATGTACACTGGGTGGTATCCTCACCCCGACGTGGGTGTACCTGCAATAGCCGTATGCTCGACTTGGTAAGATCGGGAGGTTCGTGGATAAATTCGTTGGGAGAAGCTGGGGTCGCCGTAGCCTTGTTCATTTTATCAACAAGTTTTAGAGGATACTAGCCTCTGCAGCGCCGGAGAAGATTCTGCACTTCTCATATGTTGTCAAAGTGATTTGCACCGGCTGAGAGTTCGATCTTCATGGTACGGGGGCCTGTCAGGACATTTTGAAGACGTCGACAAGCTGGCTGTGGTTCAGATATGGCAAGTCTGGTGGGCACTAGGCACTTTGATCTACCAAAGGCCCCAGCAGCGTGGCGCACTGAGCAGCTGCACGCGGAGTACACTTGTCTCCATTCGATAGGATCATATTGTTACGCAGGGTTGCTGACCTCGCAAACTGCCCTTTCGAACACTTGCGCCTCTCCATGGGCGGGTGATCAAGTCTTGTCGACGAATCTGATGCCCAATGGGGGCCTCCGGGCACTGTTCGAAATGAAACCAGTGAATGAAGACTTAGGCTTCATGTGATACTAGACATTAGCGAGGTCAGATGCTCACAGTTCGAGGTCCTAGCTGTTGTAGTCAATGGAGGAGACTTCATACGAATAATAGTAAGCGGATCGAGAATCAAAACCTTTGGGTTTGGCACTAATAGGGACCATAGCTGTCAGACACGTTTTTTCTCTGGGGCATTGCCTTGTCCAAGAGGTGAATGATTTTGCCAGACGGGATAAAAAGACAGCCCGGAACTCATTCACGCCTCACTGACGCGCCCTCATCCGGCGACCCAGCCACCTACAGCCGTAGGCAATCCCCAACCTGCACCACTCGTACACGCTTACAGGAGCAACCCACGCATACAGGAGTAACCCACGCATACAGGAGCAACCTATGCACACAGAAGCAGACTCGTAGCGTCGTCACTGCGCCCTTCCTACCTTATCATATGGCCTGTCATGACTTCTGTATGCACATTCTGTTACCGGCCATGTCTTGCCAGCAGTCATCTCGGGGAAAAGGCGGTGTCAAGTACTCCTTTATATTGTGAACCAGGCTCACCCACGGTCCGTGTTGTCCGTGTTGGAAGTCGAGGATATGAACATTCTGAGAATATAAGAATGCACGTTAGCTATCCATACCATCTTCACGGAAGATAGGGTATTTTTTGGAAATAGTTTGTGGAATCGTGTGACGTCGCGAAACGCCGGTCACTGCCCATTTCCAATGTCACGGCCGGTAGTTCGTAATCGAAGCTGATGCCATCGTGAGAGAGGATGTCGCCTACTCTTACAATCTGTGTATGGATCCTCAACCATGATCCAAGGGCTTGTCTACAGCGAAGCGCTGCTCAGGGCCCGTACACGCAGGAAGCTGCGTGACAAAGACGGTGTTATCATCCAAGCCGATCAGAAACCTCTGCGATCAGAAACCCCTCCAATCACTTAACCCAACGAGGAAGAATTTCGCGTGGAACACTGCTCCGATAATCACGGTTGACAAGCATCCTCAATCTCGAGTCCAGAGAGGATCGCGCCAAGAGGGTCCGGGTGGACTGGACAGCATCCAATCTTGCAACGGAAGAATCGAACTGCGAAGTGAGGAAAAAGGCGAATGCAGGAAGGGTAGCCGTGACAAGAAAGGCCGATAGCGTGCACTGCGAGATAGCGCAATGCATCACAAGGTAAAGAAGTATCGATCGCGCCGATAGGTGTAAGGTGTACTGTGTACTAAACATCTCATCAGGACGGCCGCAGTTGTCGTCCGAGTACACTGTGGACCTGCGAATGTGGGATAGCATGAAAATCAGCGGAACCTTCATCAACCTCACATAGAATAACCTTCCCAACACTCATATTGCATAATTACCCGTACCTCGCGCCTCTCGTCCCTCCCCACAATCTCAGCGACGTGCGGATGCGGATGACGTCTTCCATTTACTGTGGTACCTCGTAAGCCACATCCGCGGGAAGGTGTGGAACGCGGCCGGACTCTGGGCTTGTTCCATGTTGTACGTATGGGTACTCGTACCTTGTAAGGCTGGCGATTGAAGTGTCAATGAAATGTCGATGATGTCAAAAGCCACACCCCTCCAGCCCACCCCACAGACCCCGCCCGCCCTCCGAGGCTGGAGAGTTCCGTCCGATACGAGTAGTCGACCCGCACGAGTGCCCCACGCAGCCGCCGTCGATCTTCAAGCGAGCGACATCTCTACTTTGGTAGCTCGAGGGTACCACAGGACGCATACTGTGTAAATGGTACGGTGGAGGTTGCGTGGGCATGTGGCACCAAGCCAGCCTTGCGGATGGTGTACTGTGTGCCCGTAAATCCACAACATGTATTACTGGGCTTACTGTATTCCGTACTCGTACACACCGTGTACTGCGTGGGATGTTCGTCGTGTCCTCACGCAATGGACAGCAGCCATGCCCACAGATTGTAGGAGCTGCGAACCTCGAATATCGGTAGCGTTGGTGGTACCTACACAGTAGTGCGAGTACTGTTACCGTGTACTCCGCAGAACTTGTCGGAACGTACGAGATCGGTCTACGCCGAGTTCATTAGCGGCGGCATTGAGGTGTACTCAGTACGGCGTAGACCTGGGCTGGGATGCACGGAAGGTTCGAGCACCTTTCAAGAGCATGAACTTTGTGGGGTAGCCTTGGACGTCTCGAGCGCCATTCGGACTGCGTACTCGTACTGGGTACCCGGGCTCGCACAAGCTTCGGATTACCAGAGCTTCTGTCCCTGAGAGTTGCCGGTCAGGGATGCGGTTGCGACCTACATAGTACAGTAGCAGGAAGGTTAAAGGACAAGCTTAGGTATCTACACAAGTATGAAAGCGATGCAAGTGGCGACCGTAACAAGTGGCGCACTGCAGTCTGCAGTGAGCTACAGTATTGCCAGCCTTGAGGGACTAAGAGTACAAATACTGGGTACAGTACGGAGTACCCAAGCACCTTTGTGGGAATTTGCATGTTGTAATTCAAGCAGACGCACGATTCTCAGGACTCCTCTGGTTCGATGTGTACTGGTTTGATGGGGTGAGCAAGTTTCTCTGCTGTACAGGAATCGTTGCAGCTGTTGCATATCAGGTTTTAGGGTCGCACGTCGGCGCCGTGTAACCTCGGGTTGAGTCAAGGTACTCCATCCGCGGGCCCTCTCTACCCGCGCTTGTCAAGTGGCGCTGTACCTCGTAGTATTTTCACCATGGGAAGCTGTGCCCGAACTTGACTCCGAACCAGCAGATCAGAAATCATAAGTCGATGCCTGGGTATCACGTGATGATTTGCAGGAAGGTAAAAGGTTTGGGTTTCATAGACATTAATACATTTCTCATGCTTCATTCACTGCAGCTACTTAGTAGTGTCATGTCATTTCTCCCCAGTAGGGTTTCCGCTGCTCCACTGGCAGCTCAGAGTCAAAATAAACTCATGCGCCCCCGGAGGATATTCTTGTTTGTTGGGCAGAATTTCGTCATTTCCCCATAGCAAAAGTAAGCGCTCCTGACTCAAGCTGATTTTCTGGATATCAGCGCTTTCTGTCGGGCTCTTGACGCCTCAACTCTCGCAGGTAGAACTCTTGCGCTTGGTCAGCACGCCGTAACCCATCAACGATTTGTGGCCCCAAGTCGCTTCGATTGGTTGTCGGTTACCAGCACCGCCACACTCAGCGGGGTAAACGAGCAAGGTCAACCCCGCCAGGAAATGGGAGCTAATTTTCCCGACGTGAGTTGCTGCTGCAGGACCTGATTCGATGGCCAGCATCCTAGGTGTTGGCGCAGGCCATACCAGCTGAAGTCCACAGAAGAAACTTTCTGTGAGGGGTATCTTGGATCGCAGTCTCCTCGAACGGTCAAGGCAAAGCAAACACACATTTCAATGCTGGTCGTTCCCGGAGGCAGAACAAATCAGGTCGTAGATAGTACATGGGTAGGAAAAGTGGTTAGCCCGTGTCCGTGGTTTCAGTCGGTTGGCAGCGGAGTGTGAACTTCGAATTCTGCTGACCGGTTGAATTCTGGTAGGGGAGGGTGTAGCATTGGATCTGCAGCTGAATTGGAGAAGAAGTTGTCTGGCAAGGTAGGCAATCCTGAGAAGTTCATCTGTTGATAGTCGGCAAAATTGGTTCCCGTAAGTGCCAGCTGCTGGTTGAAGAATTCGTTGCCGAGCGCTGTCACATGAGCTTGGATCTCTTCTGGCGATTTGCACCCATCGCAGTTTGCATGTGCAACAAGGATGGCATTCATCTGTTGGATCTCATCTTTCAAGCGCATGACCTGGTCTTTCAGGTATGCGTTCTCGACTGCTTTGGTTTGTGAGTCCCGTTGGAGTCTTTCAGTCTTTTCTTTCTTGTTGATGCGACACTTTGCAGCTGCCAACCTATTCTTTTCGAGCGACTGTTTCCTTTTCTGGTCGTCTGGAGCGCCATCTTGCTCATCAGGAGTGGATGCCTTTCGCGTGGACTTGCGCTTGCGGCCTGCAGTAGTGGTCTTCGTGGGATTGGCAGAAGCTGTCTCCGCAGATTTGGTACGGGGCTTGCCTCTCTTTCGTGGTTCTGCGGGCAGAGTCTTTGGTGACAATTTCTCATCTTTGCTGAGTGTGCTGGCTGTAGAGTTGGATCTTGGAGGAGTCATCTGGCCAAATCGCGAAACTGCTGTCTTGGTGTTGGGCAACGTGGATGCGATAAATTTGTCCACCTCGTAGATATCCATATTGACCAGGTTCTCGGTGGTTGGCTTCAGCTCATCCTCACGTTTGAACTCTGGCCATTGCGACGAATAGTCGTGGGGAGGACTGTAGACCGTGTAGTCATTGTGTGCTGCATTGGGCCTTGAGGGCGGGTCGAATCCAAAGTCATCATCTTGAGCAGAGGCATAGCTGGGCGCGGCAGGGAAATGATAGTCCCTGAAGCTGTAACCGTCAAGGTCGCTGATGCTAGGGGTTGCTGAAGAAGCGCCAGCTGAGGACATGCCGGAGTGACTGCCTAGAACGGCCATGACGGGGGCGCCTGTGAGCTTCGATTGCCAAAGGTACTGACGATAGCAGAAGCGTTGATGTTGGTGGCGTTTCCTAACGGACTAAGAGTCGCAACTGGCGCTGATGCTGGTAGTGGCGCAGGCTCGGATGCAGACGTTGCGTAGTGCAGTCCGTTTGGCGTGAGATGTTTGACTGGATCAATTTGGAATGGTGGTACAGGAATGGGAGATTTTTGGTTCTTTTAGAAGGAGGGGTATGAAATCGTTAAGAGGGTGCCTGGGAGAACTATCCGGGTGTGTGTGGGCGAGCTTGAGTATTATTTGGATCAGCAGTCGCCGAGAGAAACGGTGGGGAACTCGAAGGAAAGATCCTGAGTGAAATCCGGTGAAGGGTCAGGGCTGAAAATAGTGAGGCACAGGTGAGGGTTGAGCGACGTGTTTGATGCGGTGGACACGCGGTGGGCTAAATGAGCCGCGGTCGTTGAGAGATTGTACACAGAACACACGATCGGGAGATGCCCTAACGGTAGCGCGGCGGATTTCCCAGCCGGTCTGGGTGGTAAACAGCGGATAGGATGGGGCAAGAGTGGCTTTAACCTGGCTTCAAGCGTACGAGGTGCGAGACGGGCGGCGGCGCTTCGCAGGGGTAGAGTGGCTGACCCGTGTCGGAAGGGAATAGCGAACGGAACTTGATTCCATGCAGGAAAATGTCTGCGAGGGACGAAGACGAGAAAGGAAGTGTGCGGGAAGCTGCATGCAAATCAGCGACGACAAAGGAATCTGAGAAGACCTTGGAAGCGGCTTTAGTGTCCTGGAATGGTATCTGCAGGATTGCCGATGGATCGTTCTGCGGGGGGGGTACAAGGGTGAGTGCGACACAGTAAGGTCAGAAACTGCTGGTCCATTCCGATGCACGAATTGAAGGACACTAGGTGGTCACTGCTTGGGATGACCTGTTCACGTCTATCGGGGTTCTGTGCCTGCATCTACACAGTACCAGTACCTCCCCTCAGCAGCAGCTTGATCGTCGGTGGAGTTATCCAGATTTCTGGCGTGTCACGGCCTGCGCTGCAGGCATGGGAATTGTTAAGATACCCATAGTAGGGCAGATCAGCAACCGTCTAACGCCCCCAGGGCTGTGGGTTCCGCCCAATAGGAATGCTTGTGAGATCGCATCGCCGATCCCTTGGAATTCAGAATCGGTGATCGCCGCTTACATAAAACAGGAGCTGTGCCAGATCTCTGGGCTACGTCAACGTGCAGCAGACCTTCTCGCTACCTGCCCTGAGGCTCTTGCGGTCCAGGGTTTGGACCGATCGAGTAGAAGAGGGGCTGGGAAGTCACTTATGGACGAGGAGACTCTTTAGCTTTTCAGCTGAAGAAAAAGAAGAAATAGCAGTTACAGACTCCCAAAGACTTATTCTTCTCGAGAAAGAACGTAGCTGAACACTATGTCATAGCCAGGTACGTCACTACACAGTACGCTCGTCTTCATGGTCTCCGGGCCAAATATCCGGGGGCAGTCTCATTCTTCGAATTGGCAGCCATGTGGGCAAAGGGCCCGCGGTAATGGGTGGTGGCATGTGCCTCACCCTCGCGCCACCGCTTATTCTGTCCCTGGCGGCTGTCGTGGCCGACCCATTCCCACCCCAATCAAAGCACAGGTAAGCCAGCCGGATATGTGATCCACGGAGCGACTTCTCATCGGCGCCACAATGGTAATACCCCAGTTTTGATCAGAGCCATGCCGTCATATTAAACGGCACCCAGGCGAGCCACGGCGACTGTACTCCGTATACTGTGTATACCTCGTACCACAGTACTCGTGCGAGTTGCGAGTACCCAATACGATACGGAGTGCATGCTCGTCCAATTACAAAAATATGGCCAGAAGCGCGAGAACCCCGGCACCCGACGCGACCCATCTCAATTGCCAGCCGCTTATTGTAACGGCATCGCCGTTCTGGGTGGAGGTGGCGTTACCTCCACTGGCTGTGGCACTGGCGCTCGATGAGCTTCTCGTCGCGGAGGCACCCTGGCTTGCGCTAGTTCCTGCGCTTGTGCTGCTGGCGCCATTACTGGGAAAAGCCGTGAGTGTGATCGGGATGAAAGCTCTGGTGGGGCGTTAGCATCAGACGTGATTTTATTTTATCCGGTAGGGAGAGCCTTGCAACGCGCACAAGTCATTTGCAATACGGATTACTCACATGTCAGATGAGGAGAGTGCCGTAGTAGACACAGACGTGGTGAGTTGCGTGTTGAAGGACGCATCGGTCGCTGTCAACGAGTCATCCGTTGCTGTGTCGCTTTCGAGGTAGCCTGCTGGCCCAATGTACGTCTGTGCACATACAGCGGCTGTCGTTCCCGTCACGGCGCAGTCGAGCCCCAGAGTTAGCGAATCGAATGTCTGCGTGTATACGAGCGTTGACGATCCGAATGTTGCTGTGACTTGTCCGAGGCCGAAGCCACACTCAGTGGAGTCCTCGCCCTCAGGACAACCGAATGCAATGGTCGTTTTGGTAGCATCCTATATTGAAATGTCAGCATCTGGGGAATGGCGACGTTCAGAGTGGAACGGCATACAGATGCCACGAGAGAGCCCACAAGCGATTGCTGATCAGTATCTGGGAGGAAGACACTAATGACGGAAGACGTCTGAGCGCTAACCATGCCAGCAAAAACCAGCGCTGTGGCAGCAGTTCTTATCAGGCTGGCCATTTCTGTATACTTGCTTCTTTACACTGATTTATGCTTGACCTCAATAGTAACGAGAATGAGTGATCGACTTGAACGGATGTGGAGAACAACGGAAGCCGAACAGAAAAACAGCAACAGCGTTGCGAGAAGGGCCCAAACATTTTTATTTTATCGTCAGGCATTTGGCCGTCGCCTGGGGCAAGGAGCATTCTTGGGAGATTGGCATTCATTCCACTGAGTGGTCGAGGTGCCGTTGCGTTTCAGGACATTTTGAAACTTGGCCCCTTCGGCGAAGAGTCGAACCCCTCAAAAGGGTCAAGTGTTGCTATTGGACCTCAAATCAGACGATTCAGGGGCGACTCGATGGGGGGCCCTTGACTGGCATTCCGTATGTATGCCGTAGGAGGAGACAGATGTTTTCGGTTGGCACGGACCGCTTTCGAAGCCAATGCGTTGAGATGAGCATCCCCTGTCGGAGTACTACAGTAACCCGTGTTTGTCCTCAGGATACGCAGTATAGCATCACGCCCCTTCTCTAGCCGGTGGACATCTACAGTAGCAGCTTCCCAGACACCCCACCATGAAGAACAAACGGCGTCAAGCAAGGTACGAGCTCAACCTACAAGTACAGCACCGTCTTGATGGACAACCCTTCAGGCTGAGCACTGCTTGAAAGACGCGATCTCCAATGCACCGGCGAGGCTCTTACCAGAAAGGAAGCTCGGTCGAAAGTCTCTTTCGACCTTCAACTGTCGAAAATAGTCCACCAATATGGGGCTCTAAAAGTAGAGGCAGGAGCTTCTGACTATTGCTACTCTGTACAGATAGTGCAGCATCCTTCCACGCGCCGCGGGATCTAAAGGCGGGCTTGAGACTCGCCATTCCATCTAACTCCCTTTCCGTCACTGGTAGGAGCAGTCTTGCGAGCTAGAACGTCTTGTACCTTTTCTCGCACCCCAGCTTTGTTCTTCCACTGCTTCAGAACTTCGTCTGCAACCCTCTTCGGCCCTTCATTCCCTACTTGCTTGACCGCCGCCTGGATGTCAGACTCCCGTGGTAAAGCGAACCGGGCATGTGGGTAATCAGTGTACCGCTGGTCACGAGCACCCTCGTGAGGATCAACCAGCTGCAGAGCCTCGTGAAACCCGGGCGGTTCGAAGAACGTGTCGACATCTGCATTGGACACATCTTCCAGCTTCGCGGGATTCCACTTTGGCTGTGTGGGAGGCTTGTTAATGAGCCGAGCGGAAACTCCCTCGACGAAATCCGGATGTGCCATAAATCTGCTGGCGATCTTGTGTTCGCGTACGAACGTCTCGCTGATATTCCAGTTCTTTCCTTCTCTTAATTGGCGGAGTGTGACACGAAGACTGGTTGGCGATCTGATCGAGATGGTTTTCTGGGTTGCTTTGGCCCACTCGGCAAGGTATTCATCAGATGACTTGGTCTCCTTCTGTAAAGCTGCAAGGATCTCTTCTATAGTGTCAAACTTGAAGATCCGGTCGATAGCTTCTCGAAGAGGGCCCGTCAGGTTACCGTGTTTGGCGGCTTGGTAGGAGTCAGGAGACGGCAGGCTGCTTGTAAATTCGGAGATGGTCGAGTTGATGAGTTCCAGTCGTTCGTTTAGATCTGCGTAGTCCTTAAAGACAAGTTCGGAGAGGCGCGTGGTCATTTGTGCTAGTACGGAGCTGTCGATGTAATGTGTCGCAATGCCCGCAAAGAATGCCTGCACGCCATGAAGTCGCTCGGAAGTCAATGCAAGGTATGTGCCAATCTCTCCATCAAGACGAGGAAGGAAGAAGCTCCCTCCAACGTCAGGGAAGAATCCGATGGTTGTCTCTGGCATAGCAAAAACCGTCTTCTCAGTAGCAATCCGGAAAGGCGCATGGACCGACAAGCCAACTCCACCACCCATGGTGATACCGTCTAGAATGGCAACATACGGCTTGCTGTACGTTGCGATAAGGTGATCCAGTTGATATTCGAGGGCAAAGTAATCCGACGACTTCTGCTGTCCTTCTGGCCCATTCTTGTTCTGTAGAGCAAGCTCTGCTACATCACCGCCTGCGCAGAATGCCTTGGGTCCAGCGCCGCTGATCAATATCACGTTTGCCATGTGAGACTTCTCCCATTCTCGAAGCCGGGGGAGGATCTTTCGAGCCATTGAGCCGTTGAGCGAATTGAGTTTTTTCGGTCGATTGAGTTCAATCGTGCGGACGCCGTAGAGGGAGTTGAAGAGAACATCGTCCGGGTCGTCCCCGGGCAGTTCCTTCGGCATCGCGCCGTAAAGGATCTTTGTAGAAGACATCTACAACACAGTGAGCACAAACCTCAGCTTTCTGCCGGAGTTGGAACGTACAGCTCTTCGGCCGGCGGCCAATCCACTGGATTGGGCGTTCGATCTCGCTGCGAAGCTTGCTGTCCTTGCCGCAGTATTAGGTATAAGAAGAGATGCCGCGTATCTTGCGCAGCAGGCCTTCATGTCGAAGCTCAGACAGAGCGTAACCACGCAGGATATGTTGCCCAGGTCGATTGCGTCGGCAACTCTTGGGCAGCGGACGGCTATTTGGCTACTTGGAACGAATACGAAGTACGGAGTAGCCTCGGATGTTTTCTGGCGATCCCGAAGGGAAGGTAGACCGACAGGGATAGCGACCGGCACCCGCGTCACGTGCTCTGTCAGTGCGGGAGGCGAATTTGGATATTCTGAGTAATACAAGTCACTTTTTCTAAAATCTTTAGAACCTTCCACCTTTGCCAGACCTCCCTGCTGAGGCGATATCCTCGAAGCCGTTCTTGTTTTCAAAACATCTCCTTGCTTGTAATTCTAGCATTAGGCCTATATCCACCCTTACCATGTCGATGGACTTGGACGCATCAGTCGCCCTCCCTTCAAGGCATGCGCCCCAAGCAGCGACTATTCTGTGCTGCAACTGTGGCGTGCCCATAGATGGGACCGCTTCGGCAGGCGCTCTATGTTATGACTGCATCAAGCTGACGCACGATGTATCAGAAGGGATTCAGCGGGAAGGAGTTCTTCATACCTGCAGAGATTGCGAACGGTGGTTACACCCGCCCTCACAGTGGGTATCAGCAGCGCCTGAAAGTCGTGAATTGCTTTCTCTGTGTCTCAAGAAACTTAGAGGCCTCAACAAAGTCCGGATAATCGACGCCAGCTTTCTATGGACGGAGCCCCATTCGAGACGGGTTAAAGTCAAAATCACTGTACAGCAAGAAGCCTACGAGGGAACGATTCTGCAACAGACCTTCGAGGTTGAATATGTGGTCGCTTTCCAGCAGTGTCCAGAATGCGCAAAGTCATACACACCCAATACCTGGCGGGCCTCAGTACAAGTTCGGCAAAAGGTGCCTCACAAACGCACCTTCCTGTATCTCGAACAGCTCGTCTTGAAGCACCAAGCACACAAAGACACGATTAACATCAAAGAGGTCAAAGATGGGCTCGATTTCTATTTTGCTCAGCGCAATCAAGCTGAGAAGTTTGTCGACTTCCTCACCTCGGTCGCGCCCGTCAGAGTCAAGAAGTCCCAGGAGCTGATATCGATGGATGTCCACACCTCGGCAAAGTCATACAAGTTCACCTTCTCCTGCGAGTTACTACCGATCTGCAAAGACGATCTGGTCGCTCTACCCATCAAAATGGCCAAGGCCATCGGCAATATTGCACCACTAACGCTCTGCTATAGAGTGGGCACATCAATCAACCTGCTCGATCCTACTACATTACAAACAACAGATCTACCGACTTCCACTTACTGGCGGGCGCCGTTTAAGAATCTAGCGGATGTTGGGGAGTTGGTGGAATTTGTTGTTCTCGACATTGAGCCGACCGGTCAGCAGAATGGTCGGTTCTTTGGAGCGGAGGCCACAGTTGCACGTGCTTCAGACTTGGGCATGAATGACAAGACCTACTATGTCAGAACGCACCTCGGTGGGGTACTGCACGCTGGAGATTCAGTACTTGGCTATCATTTGACGGGAACGAACTTCAACAACCCTCAGTTTGAAGAGCTGGAGCAGAGCAACAATCATTCGTCTACGATACCAGATGTGTTGCTGGTCAAGAAGTTCTACGCCAGGAAGAAGAAGCCGAAGTCTCGAAGTTGGCGCCTGAAGAGGATGGCCAAGGACGAGGGCGAACTCCTCCCGAAGAAGGCCGACCAAGAGAGGATGGATGCGGACTACGAAATGTTCTTAAGGGATGTGGAGGAAGATGCTGAACTTCGGCAAACACTAGCATTGTACAAGGCCAAGCAGCAGAGGAAGAAGGATGCTGACGAGATGAGCATGACGACGGCGCAGACTGATGATGAAGTGCCTAAGATCAATATGGACGAGCTGCTGGATGACTTTGAGGACTTGGATGTCAATGACGACGAATGAGTAGACGCTTTCATGTAACTGGAGCAGGCTGGGAGGCACAGTCACCAGCATTAGGTGCCCAATTTACTCTCCGGATGTCGACGATCATGGATGGCCAGGAAGCCGTCACTGGCACCTGTAACGTTCATCGACCGTACTCTGGGTCTTTTATTGAGCAAAACCCAGGTTGGCCTATCTAGTCACCAGGCGACTGAACATATCGTCAGTGTCCTGCACTTCACATGCACGTGAGCCACCACTATGATTGTCGAGTAGATGCCTTAGCAGCTTTCCTAGCACTCGTAGCTAATCAAAACAGTAGCCTTCCTGCACAGCTTCAAGGTTATGTTGTGGCGTTGAGCTTCCACCACGTCGCTGGGTGTGTAATTAGGTACCTACTAACACAATCTCAATAGGTGCTCGCCACCCACTCACCACTCCACAGGAGTCCGTTGCCAGTATGACGTAATTGCTCGAATCTCGTCGACACATCGGCCACATCAAAGTAGATTTAGTATGGCCGGTCAGATGAGTCAATGAAGCTATCCTCGTGTCTTCCACCTTCGGAAGAGTATGCCGTTCGCTTGCAGGCACCCACAGACTATTAACACGTGTCTCTTCAACTTGGGTCCTTTGTGTTGACCTTGTAGAACACGCCCTTTGAGCTGGACTGAGGTCGGAAGGCGCTCGAATCGCCTGGCACCTTTTGCCAAGAGATGGTAAATTCACATCGAGCGCACCCCGCATCGGGCCTAGGGTGATGCCGCCCTGTGCTCCACCCAGCCGCGCGCGAGTCAGGGTGAGACGGGTGAGCGATCACCCGTGTCTCACCGATCGTGGGGACCATTACGCCTTGCGCCTTGGCACCGGGGGGGTAAGGTTCGGTCTCCGGCTGACCTTACAATTGGCCTCTCAGGTCGACGCGCCGTAATGGTTACCACGGTTACTCGCTGGTTCAATCAAGCTGCAGGAATCACTCAAAGCATTGTCGTGGATCCTATGCTTTGAGGCTCGCTGCTGGCAGGAGCGCTTTCAGTTTGAGTCGAAACGACTCCTACAATGATACGAAGGAGGCAGAAGATATATGATAAAGAGACTCTTCCTTTCGCTGCTTTCGTAGTCTTCTATTCTTCCATACAGGTTTCTCTACACTCCATCCTATCCAGTCGCGGGTCCCACTCGACCGTCTCAACCATTTGACTACTAGGAGTAATTAAAGGTATGCGAGCATTTTCTGCCCGTCCTCGTTGCATTCCACCTTCTCCAGGTAGTTTTGATAGTGCAGTCTGCAACTCAAAGCGCCGCGTTCTGGAGACTGCTTGCCGCCGTTTCGGAGCGCGATAATCTTCTTGTCATCTATCTACTTACTCTTTCTTTTCCCTTGTTCTGACGGTCCCGTTTCTCCTATGGGTCTATTATATACGCCTTCCTCTCTGTCTATTAGGATCTACAATTAGCCGCTATCGATGTAGACCATCTCTAGCAAAACCCCCCGCTAACCACGAAAAGACAGCCACCACCGGGTTAGGTGGTTTGAAGGACCCTCCCCCAACCCGCCAGGGCAGCCAGCTAACCTACCGATATTACTAAGGCCAATACTCGAGAAGTCGCTCCCGATATTACGCTACCCGGAAATGAAGGAGCCTGCATGGCTGTGAAATTTACTCACTCGCTCACTAACTCACAGTAGCAAGCGTTGCGTTGGTCTTGGTGCCAGACGCACTCCAACGTGTAACTGTCTGTTTGGCTCGCCGACTTCATTTTCAATCCTGAGTCTATTCGAACCATTCTTCGATGCCGATAGTATCACTTTCAAACCCGCGACTGAACAATCACGCAAGCAATTTCCTTGCAATGTCGGCTGGCGTCTGAACTCCGCCTTGCAGATCAACATACCCTATCAAGTTCATTCTCTGCGCCAGGTTGGTCTCGATTTTGGCCAAGTCACTTCCAACGCCAGGCAAGACATAGCTAAGCATGTCTCCCATCTCCCTGCTTGTTCTGCAAATCGCTTGGGTGCGAGGGCAACGTACCTGATCGTACGCCTTGAAAGCCGCCTCGATTTTAGCGTCCAGGCCTTGCACGGAATCAGAGGGTATCCCTCGTTTAGTCTCGAGGACCTCTCCCAGTACACCGCTCATCACCAGTGAGTCTTCGAACGCCATACCCGCGCCTTGACCTTGATGCGGTGTCGATGCATGTGCCGCATCACCCAGAATTGCTACCTTACCCTTGACATAGGTTGGGGCAGGTAGATGATCGAATAGAGACCACCTTTCCGGGTGCTTGATATGCGATATCAATGCTTGAATAGGTTCGCCCCAGCCCGCAAAGTCGGCCATCATCGTGTTCTTGTCTACAGCTTGAATCCAAGGGACGTCGTCGTGTTTAACATCCAGTGTACCGCTGGTTTCACTAGCTGCCAATTCTCGTAATTCGTGTGCATCGGGCATCCGCTTAACAGCTACCATGTTGATAAACTGGCCTTTCTCTACGGGATACATGACGATATACGCATCCGTACCACAGAAGATGGTGCCTTTGTTCGGGCTGATTTGCCCCTTCGTAATAGATTGGAATTCTTGTTTGGTATACATACCTCGATACGCATACTCAAACGTCGACTGTGGGCGAGTAGTCCGTGCATTGGGAGTGTCGGCTAATATATACGATCGTCGCACTACTGATTTGATACCATCACAGGCGATGACGGCTGCCGTTGTAACAGTCGTCCCGTCCGCGAAATGAAGAACAAGGTTTTGATCGTTCGTTGGCTCGATTGACTGTAAAGTCTTCCCGAAGTGCACAATCGATGGCGGAATCAACTTGATAAGCTCGTCGAGGAACTTAGCTCGATGGAAGCAAGCACGTCCTGGCTTCTCAGAACTCGAATGTGTCACTGTTTTAATAAGATCGTGGAACCTAGCCTCGTGTTAGTAGATGATATCTCGCGGCGATCAATAACAGTAAGCCAGGAAGTCCCACCCAAATTTCAAACCAACTCGCACGTCCATTCACTCTGTACTGACCGGGCCCGTGCCATTGTTATACTCGTCGGTTTCCACACCCTCGTTGTACGTCACACATCTCTGAAAACCATCGTTGATCCTGGGATCGATCTGCTCAAGTGCCCTCACACTGTTGGGTCCGAGTGCAATCCCAGATCCGATTTCGGCGAATGCAGGGGCTAATTCGGATATCTGATGGGGGATGTTGTTGTGGGCGAGACCGATAGAAAGCGTCAAGCCCGCCAAACCACCCCCAATGATGACGATCGGCGGCGTAGTAGTCGACATAGGCGACGATTGAAACGTGGACATCTTGTTCAGATCAGAGCAACCACGGATGCTGGAAGTAGATCTGAACTTATCTTACACTCATCAAGAACAGATCAGCCACGATGGAGTGGTGCCCAGACTTATTCTTTGTGACCATGAACACCAGAGGCTGGCCATCCTCGACTGGGAAAGGTCTGGGAAAGGTCAGGTGAGAGGACTAACGTGAACAATGAACCTTTCCCGTTGCGGCAGTCTCTCGTCCGCAAAGAACGTGCCTGGGTGCGGCACAGTATGGTCATGGACCATCAGCAGCAGCCGCAGCCGCAGCCGCAGTCGCCAACCGCTGATAGAAAAGCTCCACCAGGTGATGGCCGGGGATCGGCCGTCACAAGGCTGGGCACAATGTGTTGGAGTACATCAACCGCAATGATCCTTAAGCACAGGCTCAGCAGACTATACCCCTTCGCTAGCGAAGGGGTTTAATATGTAATTCGTGTACCGCCATCATTCCTCCATTCTCGTTCATCTCCACCAAGGTCCAGCGGCAACAGTGGTCACCATGCTGTCTTTCCTCCGAGCCTCGAGCCCTATTCGAACCAACAACGCTGCCAACAATCCCATGCTCTACGAAAACGGCCAATCTGCAGTCAAGTTTGACGCGCCAGAGTCTCAATATGTCATGACGCATACAATTCCTCCCACGGGTGGTGAGAACGAAGTTTCCATCATTCAACCGCCGTTCCATTACCACATCCACGAGGATGAGTATTTCAATCTGCAAAAGGGTACGGCGGTTATCTTCAAAGGTGTTGACCCTAAACCTTTTGCCGTTCTGTCCGAAGAGGGACAGACCACAGCTACCATTCCAGCTGGGAGATATCATCGTTTTGAAAACCAATCCCAAAACGGATGACCTAGTCCTGGACATTCATTTGACCCCAGAGACTTACGAGAACGAAATGATGTTCTTTCGCAACTTCTTTGGCTATTTGGACGACTGCAAAAAGGCCAAAACAGCCCCCAGCCTCTTCCAACTCATGGTTTTTCTCCACAGTGCTGACACCCCGTTGGCCATTCCGCTGCCATCGTAGACGATGGGAAAAGTCGTGAGTCGAATCCTTCTGACAACCGCGGCGTTTGGGGAAGGTGGATGCTCGGGTACAAGCAGAGCTATCCCGAGTATTATGTTGCGCCAGGCAAGACAAAGTAGCTCGAAGGAGGTCACCGGGCTGTTCAGCAATCTCTTTGAGCGTAACGATATTTTCAATGAATTCGACACATAACGTTGAGGTCAATGAACCACACTGAGTCTGGCCAATGATCCGCACGAGCCTACGTGTACATTGTACTTCTCTGCCTGTATATGTAGCATTGGCATTTAAAGTACATGTAGTGTGCAAGCCGCTATGCCTGGGCTGTTTGCCTGAAGCGAAAATCTCCAAGACCCTGACCAAGAGCACACAAGGCCTGGGAGTAAAGCTTTCCATCACACCGGTCTGCAGACTGGCGCCGATCGCGCAACTCTTCTGTAGCCTCCAGTTTGTCACATCATCTTCCTCGCCTTCTTATTTTCCTTCTTCTTCTTCTTCGTCTTCTCCTCCTCCTTCTTCTTCTTCACGGCCTGACTACCCGGACCGTGCAAATGTCCTCCTCTTCCCAAACCCCTGCCCAATGGGTCAGCGACATTACCTACAACGACGACGATTATCTACAAACATGTGACGTCTGCGTCCCGTCAGCTACAACGCAGGCTTCTGGGGGTCTCCAAATCGTTCCGTCCCGCCGTGTCACTGCTCACTCAGGCGCCAGGGTCGGTGAACGAATACCCTGCTGTAGGATACGCTTCCGTCAACTACCGATTCTCTCCGTCGGACAAGCATCCCCAGAACCAGTCAACCCCGGCCTTTGAGAGACGCAATGCCAAATGGCCAGAGCATCTCGAAGATGTGTGTGCGGCTGTTCGGCAGCTGCAATCCAAGTACTACTTCGGAACGAACTACATCATCGCCGGTCACAGTGTCGGCGCTACCCTCGCTCTACTGGTTGCGCTCAAGGCCCGAGAGTTCGACCTTGCGCCGCCGACAGCGGTGCTAGGACTGAGTGGCATCTACGATTTCCCATTGCTTCATAAAGCTCATCCAGAATACGAAGCACTCACTTACAACGCCATGGCGAGGGAAGCAGAAATCGCCTCCAGCCCGGCGCTCCACGATGTGCAGGCGTACCTGACCGCCGGAGTATCTCATGTCCTGTTGGCGCACTCACGCGACGATGGCCTCGTGCCATGGGATCAGGTGGAGCGAATGGAACAGACGTTGAAAAATGTGCGCCCCGGCTACGTGCAAACGCTCGAGCTTTTTGGGAAACATAACGATATTTGGGCCGACGGCCAAGAGGTCGCGAGGGCGATCAATGCTCTCCTGGAGAGTTTACGAGTAGGTGCCTAGTCAGGGATCTCAGCGTCGTGTCTCGATTAGCGCGGAGATGGCGTGGCGTGCGCACTCGATCTAGCTACTGTATGTGGAGTCCGAGTATCTAAGATGCAGCTGCGGCTGATAGACGGTAAATGCACAACAACAGTTGCGGATCTGCCGCACCTGCGGGTGGGCCCCTTGACCCACTGCGGATGAGACACTTCTGGATGAAACCCTTTCCGGGTGGTGGGCGATGAACCTGGCTGCCAGGCAGCCAGGTAGACAGAACGATGGAAGCATTGGCCACAAGTTGTATTGCAGGGCGATCATGGTGGTGGTGACTCTGGCAGCGTCCGATGGCCGATGATAGATTGTATTCAAGCAGCCTGGTGGCAGCCCTGCTTCGTGCAGTATTGAGGCGATCGCCCAAGAGACACCAGGAGCAGCTTCGGGCCCTTTCAGGATAACGGTATTTCCCCTGCACCTCGGTCAATCTACCGCTGAGCTCGACGGATGTCTCCAACCTTACATTGCCAGAGGCTGTAAACAAGCGCGGAAGCCCAGAGCATGAGGTGCATTCCACGGGGCAATGGCAAGCACCACTCCATAAGGCTCTTTGATCACCATCGCCCGGCCGTCATCCTCTTTGCAGACAGGGGCTGTCGAGATTGTCGCAGTTTGGATGAGGCCGGCTACACTCAGGCAACCCTCATACGCAAGTCCCAATTCGTTGGCAAACACAGCCGCGGGTGCTCCCGTCTCTGTATGGCTGTAATGGTTGAGTTCATCTCTCCTTCGCTTCATCACCTCTGCAGCACGCAGGACTATATCTCGACGAGTCGCCGGCCTGCTATCTGACCAACCTTTGAAGGCCTCCTGGACTGCTTCGATCGCTCTGAGCACATCATCTTCGTCAGCTGCTGAGCACTGGTACAATAACTTCTGGTCAAGGGAGAAATGACGTCAAAAGTCGAGGAATATTTGACGACCTGTTTGCCCGCGGGCCAGAAAGGAATTGTAGAGGAGTTGAAGTCCGAGACTGACGCTGCTGAGGGTCGTTCCGAGGGACCGCCATGGACACCGCGGGCCTCCATGATCCTCTTTGCACACATCCCTGACCGTTGTAGTCAGGCCACATGCCCAGCAATGACCAAGGCATGTTTATACACCAGATATTAGGGCCGTCGTTCGTGCCAGTTCCACACGAGTAGGGCGGCGCGGACACAGTCTCAGTCCAGGTTCAGACCCGCACGTCGATGGCAGGCCAGGAAGCGGGATCCAAGACGCCGTGTATAGTTTAGACGCTTCGACCATCTGAGTGCCAATCAGCACTGATAAGCGGTACGGTACCGAAGCCATCAGTTCCCTCTAGGGACTCTCGGTATCGCATCCGGGTCATTTCCCGCAGGACAGCAGCGGGTAAATGCGGACTGTGCATAGAATCCTCAATTATCCGCACCACCCTTATCTGCAAGCAAACACGACGGATGAGAATACGACCCTTGAGTTCGTACACCTACTCTGGCCTAGAACATGACTACAGAATCGAATACGTATCGGCCCAGGTTCTCATCGCTCCCGCCCCCCTCTTCTAAAGCCGAATTCCTGACCAGAATATCAGGATTGTCATCCTTGAATGGCCCAAGCTTCAGCAATTTCTTTGCGTTATCCCGCCCAATCTTGATTTTGTCAGCCGTGTCAAGGTCGACAGCGTCGAACCAGTTGCAGGCGTCGGGGAAGGATTCGAAGGGGTAGTCGATGGAGAACAAGATCCTGTCCACACCGATCTCTTCAATGCAGTATCTTAGAGTCGGCGTGGAAAAGTGACCACTGGTTGTAATCCAGATGTTTTGCGCGAAGTATTCTCGGATGGTCTTCTTGCAGCTCAGCCCGAGAGGTTTCTTTACATCCTCGAACCAATGGTTAATAAGCCAGAGGTCGAAAGGAATGTGTTCTCCAAGGTGCCCAATAATGACCTTCAAGTTGGGATGACGATCAAAGACTCCGTTGGTCACCATCCCGAGAAGATGAAGACTGACCCCCTGGGCAAAGCTGAGTGGAGGCCTAATGAGCCATTTCCTTTGAGCCCACAGCTTTTCATAATGACTCCCTGTCGGGTTGCGCGGGTGGAGGTAGAAGGGAACATCGAGCTCCGCCACTGTCGCCCAAAACGTGTCCCACGAAGGGTCGTCATAGAAAATCATCTCGTCGCCGTCGAGACCAGCAGGCTGCGTGTCGTTCACCAAAGCACCCTTGAATACGTACTCTGTGACGCACCGACGCAGTTCCTTGGCCGCGCTTTCGGGGTCGTGCATGGAAAGAGTCCTAGTGTCGTGGGCGTCAGTGTATAGACAGAGATGGCATGGAATTTAGGAGCTTACGCGAAAGCGCCAAACCGATCAGGCATATCCTTGATGGTTGCAGCAACGTAGTCGTTGATCTCGATGGCTAAAGCCATCGCCTCCTTTGCATCCCAGATGTCCTGGACTCCAGGGGCAGTGTATGAGAGCACTTTGTAGCCGACACCGTATTTTGTCCATGTATTCGACCCGGAGACTTTGAATGTCGTTCATCTCTTTCGCGTGTTGGTCTGGATTGACTGCAAACATGCCTGCCCACCAGCGGGTCTTTTCAGCGAAGCGAGGCAAGGCAAACGCCTCCTCGAGCGCAACCTTGCCATGCATGGTCCGATATCAAGTCGGATCGTAAACTTGGCAAGATGATAGACCCGAAACAGATCAACAGTCGCAACTGCACCAGCACTTCCAGGATTTGTGTGAGAGACTGGCCTTGTTGTATGCGATGGAATGGCGAGTGGCCTCCAGTGCTGACTGACTAATGTCCATCGGGGTTGTCTCGAGATCTTTTGCCCTGAGCGGCAAATCCGACACGTCTCATTATGTGACGGTATGACTGATGTGAGTCCGTCGGTTCTGTGGTTCGCCGGTGATAAATTGCGGATGGGTGCCTGATCCGCCGCAGCCGTTCCACGCCGACACTATCCGCACGCGGTTGGTTTCGACACCCTATAGGTACGTCCCACGAAGAATTCGTGACCGGAAGAGGGCGTATCCGTTAGTCCTCTTCAAGGTGATAGCCGCTTCGCGGCCGCGGGCATGATGGTGGTCCGCCTGTCTCATGATTCTGGATCGGAACGATAGACAACACAGCTGGGGATTGTTTTGGGCTGATAAGTCTGTAACCCCGTCACACGTTCCTCAAGGGCAAACTCGTCCAAGTCCTGCGCCGAAAGATTCGAGACAAGCGCTTAGTGCAGCATACAACGTGCGACATGGGCTCTGTTCGGGGCTGGAGGAAGCTCAATGTCGCGGTCGTGGGCGGCGGCATTGGAGGTATCTCAGCAGCAATCGCGCTCCGTCGTGCCGGACACGAAGTCACAATCTATGAGCGACTCGACTTCGCAGGCGAGGTCGGTGCTTCAGTCCCTTGCGCAGCAAACGGGACTCGCTGGCTACATGAATGGGAAGTTGATGTTGCAAAAGGGGACCCTGTCGTACTCAAACAGCTGATCAATCGCGACTAGCGTCTACAGCCTCGACGACTACGAAAGGCGATGGGGGTTTGTCTATAATATGTTTCATCGACAGTACATGCATTAGCATGCTCAAAGACTGTGCTTTACAAGAAGAGGGAAAGGGCAGTCCAGTGAAATTAGTGGTGAATCACCCTGTAAGTACTACTGACTGTGGGGTATCAATTGAATATCGGCTAACAATCCGGGCTTAAGTGTCGAGATATCGACTTTAAGACGAATCAAATTATATTCAAGGACGGTTCTATATCGCCACCCTGTGAACTGATCGTTGGCGCCGATGGTATTAGGTCGGCCGTGCGCGGCACAATAGGAATACAGCCCAAGAAACAGCCATCGAACCAAAGCTGCCTTCACGCCAATGTCTCTACCGAAGAGGCAGTAAAGGCGGGACTAGTCGACTATTCTCAGAACAGTGCTCTAGAGTACTGGGGGGGGGGGGGACAAGAAGGCAAGTGGGATAAAATTGTCTTGTCTCCTTGCAACGGTGGTAGATTGCTCTCCTACTACTGTTTTTTCCCTCGAGAGATTGGTGACTACGTCAACCAGCAGTGGGGAGGCGAAGACCGGCCCGTTGAGGAGCTTCTCGCCCCGTATCCTGATCTGGACCCCCATATGAAGGCACACCTGGCCATTGGAAAGGATATTCAGCCCTGGCGGTTGTGGATACAGTACGTTCTCGTCCCTATAGGTAGCGAAAGCTAGTCTCGATGCCAACATCAGTACTGACCATGTCTACAGCGACCCTTACCCCAACGTCAACAAAGGAGTCGTTTGCCTCTTAGGCGATGCCGGCCATCCAGTACGCTATTTTCTAATTCTTCTGGGGGTCAGTCATGGAGCTAACGCCGCTTAGATGATGCCTCATCAGAGTCAAGGCGCCTGTATGGCGATCGAGGACGCGGCTGCCCTTGGAATCCTGTTCCGAAAGGGGTATTTTGACGGAAATGTTGAAAATGCATTGGCCGTCTACAACGATGTTCGCTTACCAAGAGCCACGAGGGTGCAACAAGCTGCTGCAAAGGCTGTTTATAACATCAACGAGCGCATCGGTAAGGACAACCACAGCGCCTCGAGAGAGACATGTCAAATTATACTAAGGAAACCTGCTAGGATTCTCCAACAACACCTCGATAGCAACCTACAAGGTGGAAGATGAAAAGGCAAAATTGACCATCGAGGAGATGAACGCGTACGCCACACGACCATTCCTGAAGTGCCCCTTTCCGTGACCTCTCTGACCAGACCCACAGATACGATATGTACAAAGATATTGAGCAGAAGTTGGCCGCAAGAAGAGGTGAGGCTTTCAACGAGAAGTTCCTCAATGGGCTCCCAATTGGGCTCGAGCTTCCCAACGGGGTTGTCATTGGCAGAGCCTGATAGACACAGGATACCTATGTCAATCATACCTGTTCATGTAGACGGTGGACAGAGTATCAGGCCAAATAGAATCAAAACTATTGTCTAGTATCATAGCAGTATAGCATCTATGCACGACTATCCAGCACAGATACGGAGTATCAATGCTGGTTTCATCTCCAGACCTGAACCCTTTCCTTATTGCTTTACTTGAGTGGTCGGCGAGAATGAATGGGAGTCTCACTGTGCCTCGCATATCTCGTCGCTGGATACCAAACGGTGCAGAACGCTGTCGTACGGCTACACACTTATTCGACCTGGTTTTCTCTCTTCCGGCTCGGGAGCACGAACCAACCTACCGCCTATTGATTATAGTCGTGAAGCCGAGACTTTAATCTCTGGACACGTGTAAACGAGGAACTCGTATGGCCGTTGCTGGCCGATATAATGTCCACATCCCTTGTGCAACACCTCCCTCAAAGATGACTGAGATCTATAGTTCCACTTTATTGATAATCACGACTTCCCTCGTACGCGGCCGAGCGTAGACTCGTTTAACCCTCGCGGACGCGTCCAGTCTATAAATTTAACTAGATGAGTTCACTAGCCGAGTTCCTAAGTAAAGTAAATGTGGCAATAATGGATGTCGAACGGTTGTCGGACGAGTTTCTTCGCCATATCTTAGCGGATATATATCTAAATATAGTAACTACGTCGGTTCTTGAGTATGGTCGAATAGAAAAGATATAGGCCCTAGGCAGATGGTGGGTGAGTTAAAGGTAAGTGAAAGTTAAGAAGGTGAGTTAAAGGTGAGTTGAAGGTGAGTCGGGGGTGAGTGTTGTTTAAAAGCGGCGCAGGCCGGGTGAGTGTCGAAGTGCGCTCGGTGTCAATTTACCTCGTCTTTTGCCACCTTGAAAAAGTAAATAAAAGTTGCCGCGGACTCGCCCTTCTTTGACACGCGGAAAAGGTCTCCCCCAAGCCTCGCTCAAAGCCACTCAGGACATTCTGCAACATCTTTAATGATGCAGCTGCCCCATGTTACGAGGCGTTCTCGGCGAGATACGATCTGAGAGATCTGTGCATCTCCATTCGCTTCGGCCGCCTTCATATGTAGCTATCCTCATTTAGATGCTTGGGCGGTGCAATACTACACCGAATTGCTTGCCATAGGGTTTCGGCCAAGCATGATCCAGAGCGAGTTTTAAGGTCCTCGATGAGGATCGTGTTCGGTAACAATCTGTGTCGCTACATGCCACGTATATACACTCATTACCGCACCCCTTCCTTCTCTACGGGGAATGTAAAAGTAAACTCGATAACATGGAACAAGCAACGCCTAAACAGATCACCGCAGCCGAGCATTTCAACAGTTACGCTAGAAAGTACGAGGAAAACACTGGTGGCGCTACAAGAGTCGTAGTACATCACCTCGCGAAGATCAGCTCGCCGCTAGCATCTGGAGCGCGTCTTCTTGATAATGCATGCGGAACCGGCATCATGATAGACGAGGTGTTGGCACTTATCAACGATCGCGACGTGAAAGAGAGCATCCGAGTCACCGCCGTGGGACGCAGCGCCGGCTATGATTGAAGTCATCAGATCTAAAAATGAAGCACGATGGAACTTTACCCATGACCAGCTTTCGGCAGTAGCACTTCCTGCAGAGGAGTTACAGTCACTCCCAGACGACTCTTTTACCCACTCCTACACCAACTTTGGTTTCCAGTTCTTCAAAGATCCTACTCTTGCGGCTCGTCACCTGCACCGCACGCTGGCACCGGACGGAACTGCGTATGCCACTGCTTGGCCGATCTGGGGTACATGGGCGTGATCGAGAAGGCGTCGAAGGAGATTCGACCAGGGCAACCACCCCTTACCCTGCCGTTCCAGCCGGACTGGTACACGCCATCACATATCGCGATGGTCATGAGAGACGGCGGGTTCGTTGACGTACAGGTCCATCAACAGGATAGCCGCTTCACCGCACCCACTGTCGAGAGACTTGCCGAGATGTTGAGTGAGGGCCTCAAGACCCTTGCGTCGATGCAGGGATGGGCCGAGGAGGATATTGCAAAGCTGGTTCAGACATTACCGACATTTTTGGGTTGCTTGGACACTCTAACTTGGGATGGTACAGGCGTGTGGATACCCATGCTAGCAAATGTCGCTGTGTGCAAGAAATCGGATAAGGGATGACGCTGGTCTGGAAGACCAAGCGTTCACACCTTAGTGCTGCCAGCCCCACGACACAGGATTCTCTTTCGGAAGCCTCTGAATTCGATTGCTCATAAGCACATCGAAGCTGGATATCCTCTTGGGCCTACCCCGTCGACAACAAGTAGCCTACTTCGAGTGACAAGCTGTTCGCAGAAGTGCGAGATCTCCACTCGAACTCTGGAGAGAAGTGCACCATAGGATCCGGCCACGCCACGGGCAGAGTTTTCTAGGCTGGATTGTCGCATCGTCATGAGATGGATATAAGGAAGCCTGTATCAATCGAGACGGGACTATACTGTTACCTCGGAAGCAATGTGCCTGCACTTACCATTTCGCGTTGGTCGATTGAGGACCTTAAGGTCATATGACTGTACCCTTGTGAACAGCAATCGAAGGTTCCTCCCTCCATACCTGATGCGTCCCCATACTCGAGCGGAGTGCCCAGAGTCAAGACCAGTCGGGCCTTGGTTGCTAGAAAATCACCGTTGTATACCTACCTAGACTTGGCGCTGCTCATTGCCCCTCACCAGAACGTGCGATTAGCAATGAAGCCCGAAACCCTGGCCAAAGCGGCCAAAGCGGCCAAAGTGGGGGACAGGATAACGGGTAAGTAGCCACAACGCCTGCTTCAACAAGAGGAAATGGACAGCCTTCCGGAGGACGACAGGCTAGAGCTGGCCGTCCTGGACGAAGCCTGCGGCATTGGCATTGTCTCGGCGCATCTGATGTCTATGCGAAGGGACAAGTACAAGGAGGAAGTCGACCTCACCAGGGCCCACGTGGCGAAGCTGATGGGCGAGACTTGTAAGGGACGGATCCGAAGAGAAGGGCGCAAGAGTACCAAGCGCATCCCGACAGATGTACTGCGATGTCATCATCGGCCACGGGTTGATTGCCCTAACGTTCGTGCTGCGTCGGCGACAGGTCCGAAACTTTCCTAGTGTACCGAGTGGGCAAGAGCTACTAGGCTGTTCCAATGGGTAGTAAATGGGGTACCAGAATAGATTGAAAGCGTTCTGCGAAAGCGTTCAGCTGGAGTTCGGGTTCTAGGATATCAAGATCAGTGATATGCCGCGGACGAGTGTGTCGATAGGTTGGGAGACTTCATGGTCACTGTTTCGTGGCCCTTATGCATGGAGATGGGTAAGTGTTGGTTCCAAGGTGGACACTGAGGAGCGTGGTTAGTGAGCCACAGAGTCCTTGAGCGAAAGTTTACAGAGGGAAGGATAGGGAAGACACTTCTGCTTGCGTTCTTTTTCAGCTGGCTTTCCGAAGCGCCAGGGATGTTGTGCTGAGCTAACTGTGTCAATTGCATTTATCATTCATAATTACTTGTAGGTGCGTATCTCTGTGCGGTAAACGCGTCGCTTTTGTTGCCAAGCTTTGATGCACGTGGTTTACACGTGACCATTAACGCCAGGTCGGGAAAATTTCTCTAGCACTCATCTTTGGCCCTGTTGATAGATACAACCTCAATACCGAGTACGGGGATGCGCCCGATCGTTGTTGTTTCGCCTCTCTTCCCGCAAGTGTTGAGCGATGACCCTGTTCATGGTATGCTGGGCTGAGGATCAAGTGCAATGCACGTCGCCGTTATCATGAGTATGGCATTCCTGCAGCCGTTAGCCTCGGACGACAATATGTCTATGAAAATCACTTACTGCAGCTGCTGAGGTTGTGGTCGAAGCCGATCCCGAACCTTGCGTCGGTGTAGCGCCGCCCTCCGCTGTGTCATCCGGTCCCGGACACCCAACTCCTGGTACTGCAATGTCATACGCGTACACTTCCAGAGCAAAATACTGCAGAGCATCGCTGTCTCTGGTCGACAACGTTGCATTGTGCTCTGCGTTTTCAAGGAGCTCTTGGTAGTCTTCCGAATAATGGCTGACCGTATCTTCTCCGAACGCGGGCATGTGGTACAAGCGATGCATCAAGTCCGAAGCCCAGAACGTGTTGGTTTTAGATTCGGCGACATTGTACCCCAAAGCGCACATTTGTATCAGCGACTTTCGAGTCTCAAATGACAGCGGACAGATGACGGTCTCGTCGGTGGCGTTCGCCCCACGCCAGTGCCCTCCGTATCCTAACCCTACGTCAGCAGTTGGAAGCTAAGGGCCTCTTTAGACTCACCTTCGATTGCACAATTGCCGTCTGGATTGTCGCACCTGAACAGAGATGAACCTCTGTCACCGCTCACAATTTTGTCGAGATACCCAATGACTTCACCAGAAGGTGCATCGCCGAAGTACTTTTGATACTGCTCCGAACTATTAGCGAAACGAAGGACATGTTGCTTTGCATGTTGTGCTAGGTCGACGGTCTCAGCGAGAGCAGCACGAAGTTGTCGGGCCTCGCTAGCGTTACAAGACGCATGGATTTGGAATTCGGTCACGGCTCCTTCATTCCATGCTGTAGCACCTTGTTTAGGGGCGAGATCCTCATTCTGTCGTGCTTGAAGGGGCAGGGCTGATGTTGGAACTGCAGCTACCAGAAAGAGGAGAGCATAAAGCATGGTTGAAATGGCTGACATTTTCACAGATTTGGCAGGACTTGAAGCTTGCACAACACCTCGACCATTTCCTTGCGGCTCCGCCAACTATAAATACTCAGAAGCACCCGGCCGTATTTCGCGTAAGTCCGCTATGATGTCGAGATAGAACGACGGCTCCGTTCACTCGACGTCAGTTTGCCCCTCCCACCCGAAATTTCGGCCATCCTAAGTCCCTTTGAGCAATTGCGACCGATCAGGATGTCTAGCGTATGCATTTTTCTTGCGCTTCGGGAGCAGCCATGTCCACAATATCTGGTCAATAACCTTCTGTAGGTACCGCTTCATGCAGAACTTGGCATAGCTGCCGAGCTTCCTTGCAGACCTTGGCATCTCCGCCCAGTTGCCAAGGTGAGGACCCTTGGCATCCCGCCGAGCTTTCCAAGATGAGGACCTTAGAGGGATCAGCCAACCTCCTCCGAAAGAGAGGACCTTAGCGAGCGACAGCGACCACGTTTCCTTGGCATTTGCACTCGCAATGGCGCCCGCCGACAATCCAAGCGATATGTGCTCGGCCATGGTACATTGGATACCTCGGATCTAGTGAATTTGTTACTCAATCAATATGAAAACCGAGCAAGTGGCAGATCTGATGGCACACGGACAAAGCCGTCCGCTCTGATATTGCGTTCCGCTGTGCGCTCCTACAAATTTCGACAGCTCTTCGATCTTTGGATAATGTCACTGACCTGCCGCTCGATTCACCATGATACTAATTAGGAGCATCCTTTTGCTCGCGTTCGCCTTGCTGGCAAGATGCCAAATAACATATACAGGATGTCACAATCATAGCACGGTTGAGTACGCTCACGGATTCCAAGCTCGGTCGGTGCTTGCTGACATCCCAGGTATTGCTACGGTCCTGATGGCGAAGAGACTCCTCTGACTACCTATTCAACCCCGCCTCCAGCTACACTCACAAGCGCACCAGACTCTATATTCAATGCTGTAACAACTACCGGCAGCGGTCAGACTACTGCTGTTACTAGATGCGTTTTGCAGGACTCGGAAATTGTGTGCATTAATGGAAATGGCGAAGAGGTGTTCGTCGAAGCGTCCGCGACGGCAGAGCCTCCATCCCAGTACACCGGCTGTCACACACATGGCGAAGAGCAGTTCTGCATCGCGCCTGACGGCGAGGAAGTCTTGGTACTATCGCTTGAAGACCATTCGGATGAACATGAGGGACATGATGATGCCGAAGAAGGTGAAGGCGGAGGAGAAAACTGCCACTTCCATGCTGGCGTCGAGCATTGTGTTGGCGCGGGCGAGTCAGAGTCATCTACAGAGTCGAGCCCGACTTGCAACTTACGCAAGCGAGATTATGACATCCCACTCAGAGTGGGAACCCTCTTCGCTGTCCTGGTCACCAGCAGCATTGGTGTGTTCGGACCCATCTTTCTCAATCAGCTCCCATTTGGAACGGTAGGAGGGATCGCACTATTAATCATGAAGCAATTCGGCACAGGCGTCATTGTTTCCACAGCTTTTGTGCATGTAAGTCTCTCAACTCTGGCCTGGGAAATAGACTCTGACAAGACCAGCTGTACACTCATGCATCCCTGATGTTCGCAAACGAATGCCTTGGGCGACTCAGCTACGAAGCTACGACTTCAGCCATTGTGATGGCAGGCATTTTCCTCGCGTTTCTTGTCGAATACGTTAGTCATCGTATTGTACTGCTACGCGCTCAGAGTTCCGATGGATCAGCAGCAAGTCAAACGGCCGACAGGGAAACCTCCTCACCAGACAAGACGGCGCCACAGCCAACCTTGGCGACGTTTGCTGATCACCATCTCCCATCATCTGGTCTCAATCAAAACACATACCTCAGTGTTCTGGTCATGGAAGCCGGCATCATCTTTCATTCCATTCTGATTGGACTTACACTCGTCGTCGCAGGGGATTCATACTACATTACGCTGTTCATCGTCATTGTATTTCACCAGTTCTTCGAAGGAATTGCGTTGGGTTCACGCATTGCGCTGTTGTCTGGCTCCCGACACCCTATGATACACAAACTCTTGATGGCCACAGCGTTCGCATTAATCACACCACTGGGTATGGCGATTGGTCTAGGCGTGCTCAATCATTTCAACGGCAACGATCCTTCGACCATTGTGGCAATAGGCACACTTGACGCGTTGAGCGCAGGGATCTTGTTATGGGTCGGCGTAGTCGAGATGTGGGCGAGAGATTGGGTGATCGCGGGCGGCGAGCTAGTTGATGCAAGACTCGGCAAAGTGCTTTATGCTGGCCTGTCGCTGGTGTCCGGAATGGTGCTGATGGGCGTTTTGGGTAAATGGGCGTGATGCCGCATAACAACAGCCTCCAAACCCTCGCGAAATGGTACAGCCAGGGAAACAAGACGGCAACGTTGATCCAGACCTGGACGCGGTCTGGCTCGCGGTAGACACTGAGATGTTAGAGAGTCCAGTTCTGGAGTTACGTCGGAGAGTGAAATCACTCAGGGTGTACGAGGGAGATAATTCTCACCGGAGTTGCATAGATGAGACTGGCTATCAGGAACAAGATTCGGGCTGGAAAAGACGACCAGGCACGAGGCACTATGAGGCCAAATAGCATACGGAACTCTTGTGATATTACACGTAGTAATCCCGGACGTCGACAAACAGCTGGGCAAGAGATAGTCATGTTGCTGGTGGACTCAATGGATCTCATGCTCATTCCAGAAAGGTGCTGAGCTGGTGTTGGTGCGATTATCGTTGTCGCCAAGGCGCTGGAGCTGGGTCCCTTTTATAGGATTAAGGGGGACCATTTCCAAGTCGAAAACCGGTCGACGATATATCGGTGGGAAGGCATCCACGGACCCGCACGCCAGACTACGAGACTGGAGACTCTGGACGGCCACAGAGTGATGATCCATGTTTAGCGCGAGGGACCGAAACGGTCGTCGAGGGGGCAGAGCGAGAGCCGGCGGGTGAGTGTGGGTGAGTGAAGGTGAGTGAAAGGTGAGGGCAGGTTAGTGGGGGGCGAGTGGTGTTTAAAAGCGGCGCCGGCCGGGTGAGGCGCGAGGTGAGCTCGGCGTCGATGGAACTCCTCTTGAGCTGCCAAGATCATGCATCGGTGCAGGCAACCTGGTCGATGTTCGACGTTGAGTGATAGCATCGGCATTACGTGGTAAGGTGAAAGGTGCTTCGTTGCAACCACGTGGATGCCGTTTCCAGGGGGAGTTGAAGTGTTCCAAGAACACTTTGCTTAGCCTGGTCCTCCTAGCTGCAATGGTCGTTCAATAGTTCTGCCATTGCTCAACACCATCACGGCTTCTTCGGCTCTGCAAGATGACTTCTGCCTTCTTTCGCCGCCCAACCGACGGGAGCTCTAACTCTAGCTCAAGCTCAGACGTTAATGAGTCCGACGAAGAAGAGCTGCATATTCTCCAAACAGATGTTGGAAATGAAAGCGAAACGCAGACCCTTACCACAGAATCATTGCCCAGCCATGGAAGTGTGTCTCAGGGGGATGATGTCGATGCAACAGCGGTCTCTAAAGTCGACCGACACCGCACCAATCTGCTGAACGCCCTCCTCGAGGACTTTGCCCGAAACAGAGCCAGTGACTACTTGAATGAGGCAGTCCCGGGGTCCAAGTTCGACAGATCATCACCTGAAGTCCAGGCATTGGCAGGAACCGTGTATCAACAGGTCAGCCAGTCACTGGCAATTACTGGCATTCTGCCAGCAAACAATGCAGCAGATAGCAATGCGCAAGTACGAGCGGCATACTTGGCAGGCATCGAGAGCATCGCGATAGCTGAGGTCCATGGTCACAGCATCCTGCCGGGACAAGCTCGGTCACAAATCCCACCACCCGGCCAACAGCTTGCCGTCACCACAGTAGGAAGCCAGAGACAGGATCTTGCCCCACAGTCCCGTCAACGGCAGCTCGGAAACCTCTTTTTACATCCAGCCGAGCATCCTTCGTCGACACCGTTCTCGGAACTGATCGTCTCGGCCCCTGAAGCGCGTCGCAGCCACTATGAGTCGAGTTTTCAACAACTTCGGTTGCTTGGGAAAGGAGGGTTTGGCCGAGTATATCACGCTTACAACATATTTGACAAGAAGGAGTACGCTGTTAAGAAGATCCCTTTAAGCCCTCGATTGTCGCGACGATACCGAGAGTCCGGGCACCAAGAGCTGGAAAACGTGCTCAGGGAAGTCCAAGCATTAGCCCAGCTGGAACACAACAATGTGGTTAGGTATCATGCCACGTGGATCGAGGAGCCAAAGCACACGCCCGACGCCATTTACCAGAGTAGAAACCGGAACATTGCAGTGCCGGGCAGGAGACTCATCGCTGATCGTGCAATGCACTCACCACCCAGTGCTCTTCGCACGCAATCTCCGATCCCCGATCACAGCGACGGCATTATCTTCGGTTCCGACAGTCGGTCAAGTATGCCTGTCTGTGAAGTGGAGGGCGACGCCCCAGCACCGGTGTGGTCTGTAGGCGACACTGATCCTGAACCTTCATCTGCACGAGCGTCGGAGATCTTCACGGATGGCAATGCTCGACCCGGTGTCACCCGTGACTCAGTCATGGACGATACGGTGTATGTACTGCATGTCCAGATGTCAGTGTATCCAACGACATTGGCACAATATCTAGCACCGGTACAACCGAACAGCAGGAGCGCGCTCAGCATACCAACCAAGAGACACTGTTTCCACCTAGTACCAGCGCTTCGCCTGTTGATGGGCATTCTATGTGGGTTGCAATACATCCACGCGAGGGGACTAATTCATCGGGACATCAAGCCCTCGAACATTTTCATTTCAACCTTGGATACTTCCGCGATAGGTCTTATCCCTGACGGCTATCATGACGTGGGATCCTGTGTTGGGTGCCCAGATCCCCGTCCGTACTTTGTCAACCCACGTATTGGTGATTTCGGTCTCGTCGCTGAGCTGGCGAGAAACGATGATGGCAATCAAGCAAAGAGCGCTGCGAAGCCTGTGGGAACGGAGTACTACAGGCCACCTTCAATGAAGACTTTCAAGGATAACCACGTTGATGAGAAATTGGACGTTTTCGCACTTGGGGTCATTCTTGTCGAGCTCTTGTGGCCATGTTCTACCAGCACCGAGCGGATGCACATTTTACGAGATGTGCAGAAAGGAAAGGTTCCACCTCGGTTGGGTGAGAAGATCGGACAGGAGGGACACGAAGCTAGCATCGGCCATTCGGTTATTCAGTGCATATCAGGAATGATCGAGAGGGATCCAGGGCGCCGATGGAGTTGCCCGCAGGTCAAGGAGTCAATAGAATCGATGCTGGAAAAGTGCAAGACATTAGCACCTATTGACAGTCATAGCGCTCTCAATGGGAGTGACGCGGCTGGCCTGGATGGGATGACCAAGGTCTTGAGCATAGATGAATCGACAGAGCAGGAGTCGAGGCAAAGCGTGGACGAGGCGGTCTAATCGACACATGCAGGACGGTATCTGTGTGACCTCCGCTGCTTCTGACCGCGCTTGCGGTTACCGTTGGTTGGACTGTACTTGCCAGGTTGTAACTAGGTCAGTGACTGCACGTGTTCAATCTGCTCCTCTGCCTTTTGAGATTGACAGTCAGCTCGCCGTTGGGAAGGACTGAACATGCTTTTGACCGCCAAAAGGTAGGATCCCACTAAGCTGGATCGTTGAGCTTACGGGTCAAAACCATACTCCTGTTGAAGCGGAAACCCTGACTATATTGTGACCACGTAAAACGCATGGCCATGGGAGAGCAATAGGTACATATATCTCCTTAACCGTGACTCGTGTCCAAAATGCAGAATCTCAAGCTCTCTCTGTAGTGGCTCAGGTGGCACAAGAGCAAGTCGTAGTTTAAACACTCCACAGTAGAGAGAGCACATACGGTCTAACATTCAGCCTCTAAAAGCGTTATCCGTCAATTTGCCGATGTTCGCCCGCGAAAGATTTCCTCTGCGGTCACTTTCGCTTCGGTTGAGGCCTAGAAATAAATTACTTTCCCAGGACAATGGCGACAGAAAGGCGAAATACATACCTCGACGCCGGAGTGTCGGAGGAATCAGACCGCGACACAGGCTACGACTCGGAAGCCGCGGAGATCTCCAAAGCCAGCCGAACGAGCAAGCGGCGGAAGATCCGGCACGAATACGCAGAACAAGATGATCAAGACGATGAGGGCGAAGTTGATTCCAGGATTGGGCAACGGACAAGCAGTCCACCCGTGGCACACGGCGCAGTTTACGCACACGCAGAGCCAGAGCAGCAGAGGGAGGCAAATGAGAATAATGACTCAGTGGGGGATGAAGACAATGCAGAGCCGGAGGAACAAGACGAGGATCTCCAAGGAAAGAGCCGTCAGACCTTGACGCAGCCGCAAAGCGAGCCTTTCCCCGTCCAGGAAGAAAAGACGAAGAAGAAGAAAGTCAAGGACAAAGACAAAAAGAAACCCACGCCTGGTGTTGTCTATCTTTCCTCGCTCCCTCCGTACCTCAAACCCTCGGCACTGCGCAACCTTCTCGACCAGCGCGGCTTCTCGCCCATCGCGCGGATCTTCCTCTCGCCGGCTTCAAAATCGAACAAATCACATTCCGCTGGTGGCAAGAACTCGCGCCAACTCTACACGGAAGGGTGGATTGAATTCGCGTCGAAGAAAACGGCGAAGAGATGCGCAGAGACGTTGAACGCCAGTACGGTGGGAGGCAAGAAGGGAGGGTATTATCGCGATGATGTGTGGAATATGAAGTACCTAAGGGGAATGAGGTGGGAGGAGTTGATGGCCGGCGTGAGGGAGGAGAAGCGGGAGATGGAGGGCCGGAGGGACGAAGAGAGGAGAACCATCGCGAGGGAGACGAGGATGTTTGTGGAGGGCGTGGAGGAGGGGCGGAGACGGGAGGGGATGAAGAGGAAGAGAGAGCAGAAGAGGAAGGACCCACATGCGGTGGGAGACGGTGAGCAGGAGGGCGAGCTTAAGAGAACGTGGCGTCAGAATGAAGTCCTCGGGAGCACGAGGAAAGATCACTCGGGAGGAGACGACAAGATTAGCGACGACGTCCGCCAAGTGTTGGGCAAGATCTTCTGATCTGGACATTTGGAGCTTCACCAGGTTCTAAGGGATATGCTGCACGGCCGTTGAATACGGTAAATTATGAAGCTATCTCGCCGTCTCCAGTCGGAACGGGTGTGCCTCGGTGTTGAACACAAATCGATCCAGACTCACGACGTTTGGCTCCTCGAACAGCAACCACATGTACTTCAAGGTCTCCGCCATCCAGAAACTCTCCATTCTGTCGGTCTTTTTCGACTCCGACAGCGTGACGTCTTCGATGCACGAGAAGCCATATGCCGTCCTGGTCTGCTTCATGATTGCCTCGAACATGTGCCACGCATCGTCGCGCAACGACTCATCACCCGTGATACGGTAGAGGACAAAGATGGACTCCAGGGCTTCTGGACGCAGATTGTATTGACGATCTGCGATGGCGGAAACGCCCTTTGCCAACCGCAGGCGTTGCGACTTTTGGCGGACACGCACATCATGCGGCAGGAGTTTGTCCTCGGGCGATTCGTCCTTGGTGTTGAGCTCAAACATGGCTTCCGCCCAGAGATGTTCGTCCCAGGGGCATTCGAGTTGCTCCGCGGGGCAAGGAACGGCATGAAACATCTCCGGCATGATGCCAGTTGCCATCTGGTCATACGCCCAGATACAGCCACGGACCAATTTCTTGGCCGTCTCCATATCCTCTGGCGTGCTGAATATCTTTGCTGCCAATGCAAACATGCCGCCTGCAAAACAGGCGAGATGTTGCGTTTGAGGTATCAGCTGCGTGTGTCCAGGTCTATAGGCCTTCACCAAGCCCGCTAGAAGAATGTCCTCGTTTGTCGGAGTCATTGGCCTGAAGAGGATCGAGCGTTTGATCGGGCCCTTGGCAATCTCGTAGAGCTTTCTATACTGTTCAGCACCGTCTCCCAGTAGTCGATACTCCTTGGGGAAGTACTCGTACACCGAGTCCGCGGACCCGCCCAGGGAGAAGGAGACGCCATCGAAGAAATGGCAATCCCTCGCGTTGACGATATGGGGGAATAACCCCGGAAACCGTGTCTGATTCTGCTGGCTTTCCAGGCAATCGGTCACGCGCTGCACGGCATCGTAGTACCGTGGATCCCCAGTCAACTGCGTGAGCCTCGTGAACTCGAGGCTGAGCGTGCCCAGCTCTGCAATCAACGTCTGCGCATTGGGTGCCTCTATCCCGGGCCCGATCTTCGACCACTTCGTGACCGGCATGTGATTCTGCGTGTCGAACGCCTCGTACAGCATGTCCCCCAGCTCCCTCGCCTTGTCCAGCAAGACCGGATACCTGCCCTCGCTCACATCGTACGCGCCGATCAGACCACCGAGGTATCGGATCGTCGTCTCAAACACGTTGATCGGCAGCTGCGTGGCCGTGGTGAAGTCAATGTCCGCGACCGCCGCGACGGCCTCGTCAAACTCGCCCGTCATGCCCATCAGGTAGAGCGTGTCGAGCGCGTCGACCAGCGTGACGGACCAGCCGCCCAATGTCTTGCGGGACCCGCCCGTCACGGGGGCGAGTTCATCGTGGAGCCAGGCTTTCTGGCGGTAGCCGTGCCACGAATGGACCATTGCCTCCTTAATTATTTCAAGACGAGCGAGTCGAGTTTTGTCGTCCGCAGCATGGCCGGCGACTGCTGCCTTGAAGTCATGCTGGATCCGGGGCAAGACCCGCGCGGCGACCGTCCGCAGGGGTATGTAGCTGGACACCGGGTTGAGGAGGTGGTTTGGTCCGATGCCGTATTGGCTATGGTAGTTACTCACCCTGTCGTAGGTTGTTTCTACGAACCGTTCCTGCAGGCCCCAGAAGAGGACCAGTAGCGTGCAGGCGGCGGTGGAGAGGAGGATAATCCTTCTCAAGCGGATGGCCATCGGAAGTTGATGGCGAGGACTTGAGCGTCGAGATCAGCACGATCCAGCATGCCGATGTCCGTGCCAACACAGTATACAGTACGCAGAAGCCGCCGTAGGCTCCTGCCTGCCTGGATCGCTGAATCCAAGCCACGAGGACTTTTACGTCTCGGTGCTCATAGTCTGTTACGGCTCGTGTCAGAGCCTCGTCGCCGAGCCAGCCTTGAGCTTGGCCTGAGGCCCCAAGGCGGGAGTTCCGGATAATTAGGGCACCTCGTACGGCGTACATATTGGCTCTCGTAGGCGCGACAGGCTCGCGTCTGCTGCCTCGCTTGCCCAGGCGGCAGGATGCACGCAATGCGACCCGACGATCGGGCCGCCTAACTAACCACATTATTTTTATCACACTCCAGCTCATCTTCTTCCTTGTCTACGAGCTTCACCATGTGTCTCCACGTCGCAGTGTCTCATGCTCTGAACATCTTCGTCCCCTCGGAAATAACGTGTCTAACCTCACAGTGCATGCTTGAAAAGCCGAACACGATCATTCGCCGATGCCGCGATCCGCCCAATCTCGCAAGTCCCGCTAACTCAGGCACAGCCGCAAACACGGGCCGCTGATCTTCGCCGGAACCATGGGCTTCTGGGTCGCGGAGGGGTTTTCCATGCCTTCGGGTGGCGCCCCTTTTTATGCTTTGGCTTGCTTTGCTCCACAAGGCGAGCGCCGCTTGGGTATGTTCTGTCTGTCATCACGAAGTAGCAGGGACCGGCCTTGAAGCAGGGGAGGTTGGATGCCCGATTTCTTTCCCATGGCATGAATGCACTGCTTGCTGCTTTCTGTCGTCGAGTTATATACTGCTGCAACGTCCATACCAGTCAGTCCTTTGAGCATTCGAAAGTCATTCTTTTGAGAGCAGTTCCTCTCACTCACTCGCTTGAAAACATTCGTTATCACAGTCATTCGTTTGCTACAATCTCGATTCTATTCATTTCCGGCCGGTCGATCTGTTTGAATATCCAGGCCATCCGCCGATCTTAGTACTGGTCCATCATTTCACAAAACTCCCAAACCAAGATGAAGTCAAGTCAACTGATCGCCCTCGCGGCTACAACGATCTCCGGAGCAGACGCCTACTTCCGAGGTTTCAACATCGGCGCCAACCTGCCCAGTGGAGCCTGTCGAAGCCAGTCCGACTGGGAGTTCGCGTTCAACAAGATCGCCAGCTTCCCCGGCAACTTCAACAGCGCTCGCCTGTACGCCTCAGGCGACTGCAATACCCTGGCCAACGCCGTGCCCGCCGCCCTGAACACGGGGACCACGCTGCTGGTCGGCATCTGGACGGAAGATAACGCCCACTACGAGGCGGAGAAGCAAGCGCTCCTCGAAGCCATCCAACAGTACGGCAAGGACTGGATCTTGGCAGTGTCTGTGGGCTCCGAGGATCTCTACCGCGGCGACACCGACGCCAACACCTTGGCTTCCCAGATCAACGATGTGAGGGGCATGCTCTGGGGCCTCGGCGCCAGCGACAAGTCGGTTGGGCATGTTGATACGTGGACCGCGTGGGTGGACGGCGCCAACACCCCGGTGATCCAGGCTGTCGATTGGCTGGGTAACGACGCATACCCGTACTGGGAGGGCGTCTCGATCGACAACGGTGCCGCCAGCGATGCGTACTGGGCGGCTGTCGAAAAGGTGCGCGCCGTCGCTCAGGGCAAGGACGTCTGGACGACCGAGACGGGCCAGCCTATCTCCGGGGATACTGTGGGTAATGCGGTTCCCTCGGTCGAGAGTCTCCAGACGTACTGGTGGCAGGTCACCTGCGCCAGCTTGAACAGCTTGAACTATTTCTTCTACGATCTCGACGACTTTACCGCCTCGCCCAGCTTTGCTGTTGTCGATGCGAACTACAACCCGTTGATTGATATGACGTGCGGGTCGTGAGGGGGCAGTCAGGTCGGCCCGAAGCTGCCGTATATATACAATACTGTCCAGTGGCTCAACAACATTGAGCCGTCCAATCCCTACATTGAAACAACATAGACAACTCTTTCTTGCATAGCGCGGTTAGAAGAGGGACCTCGGCCATGATATAGACTCAATTTTCTTGTACACAGTACATACTACATACGCTACGAGGTATTCTATGGATCAATCTGTTTTTCCAGATTGAGCAACGCTGCCTCCACCGTTCTCATACCTCATTCTCGGGCGGTGATATGGAGCTCTTTCTTTTGAATCCAGAGCCAGTGCCGCACCCAAATCTCTCGACCACGTCACTTCAAGCCAGTACTCCCGGCGGCGTCTCAATAGGGCCATTGTTATAGGGCATGGTTGGCGTATCTGGTCCAGGTCTCTGTCAAAGTTGCTTGCTGAGCACTTGCGGCTGATGTAAAGGACGCAGAACCCGTGTAAAGCTGGCAATCGAGGGGCTCGCTTTCTGGTTTGCGTGATCCTTATCTCTTTGTCAGAACAGTCGCGTGTGAGGAAGTTGCTGGTGTTCGATATCGTGTTTGTCGTGGCCAAGGCGGGAATGCCCTTATGTATCGTGTTCGTGGACCTGTGTGGTCAATAATGCGTGCTATATACCCGGTTACGGCCGAGTCAAGGAGACCAAAACTATATCCCATCCCACATGACGAGGGACCACGACCCACTGCTGATGAAGTCCCGGTCTATTCCTAAGCCTTCACGTCCCTCCACTCCTCGGAACAGACAAGTAACAAAAGAAGTTCGTCAAGCAAAGAACAAGGAAGAAGAGGTAAAAGTGACACAACTCGCACAGCTCAGAACGGCAAAACGGCGTGATATCACGGAAGTATCAATTGATGTCGGCTGGACTGTCGCACGTCATCATCGCTGCTGGTTTTGTTCACAAGGAACGTTTCCAACAGTGAGCGTGACGAGCGACCGGCCCCTTTTGAATCGTTCTTGCTCGGTAGAGACGTCGACGGTGAGCCAGCCTCCTGATGGCCGTGTCGACGCCCACGAAAGCGGTTTGGGAATATGGAAGAGTACCTAGCAGGGAGTGGTAGTCGGTTGAGCCGTGGGTCGAGTCGAGTCGAGACGGTTGTGGTATGTGGGAGTACGGACAGAGGCTGTGAACGCTGTGTTCAGATGAAGGGGGAGTGGTCCTCACTCCTGCTCGTAGACTTGTCGCATTCTCATGGCGCACTGTGTACGCCGTGCCGGTTCTAGAACAATGCTCGCACTCCGGAAGAGTGACGTTGAGGCGTTTCTCTGCGCGGCATACGGAGTAAATCAACCCGTCTTGGCCTTTGGTCCTCCTGCGGATGAAGTCAACACACTAATAACTCCGCTGTACCACTCGAGGAAGTCGAGCCCAGAGCTCGCACCGGCTGTGACTCATCCGCCGACGGGAAGCAGCATATTGTCTGACACGGTAACATATAGCAGCTCCACCTCGTTGAAGGGTCGAGAGGGGGTGAAGGTCATCAGAATCCCATCGTCTGACACGCGGTTACACTCGGTCCAAGTCCCAGTTACGCAATATGGCATAGTTCAATGCGTTCGATCCGCCTTGGCCGACGAGCAGCCCAGTGTGACTTGAACCTCCTCCCACTTCCACTTCCCCTTTCCTTCTCTCTCTCTCTTCATACCTCTCACATCCCGCCTTGCGGACCAGGCAAGCAAGCAAGGCACCCAGATCACGACCCCGTCCTGAGCAGACGTCAACTTGGAAAATAGTGAACAATGGCTGTCAACGTCTTCGTCCGGCCTGTTCGAGAGCTCGTTGCCCTCTACCCGCCATAAGGATCTCCTATGGCCCGTGTGGGAATATCAATGTCCGGTCTTGCAAAGTCAATATCCTCGGTCCTATCCTCTGGTCCATGTCAATCGTCAATGCCATGGCCAGCGACACGTTCAATCGTCATACAGCAACAACATTACCAGTCATCCCGTCGGTGACTATCAGCATCATGCACCCTTGCTAGGGGCCTGTGACTTTGATCCCTTTGTGGATCTCAGTAACAATGTCTACGATGAAGACGCAGCCCAGGCGCTACAAGTGGCCACGCAGCATATCCCTGTGGAGGAAGAAGAAGAAGACAGGCTTCAGCAGGGAACTCACTCTTCGTTTCCCAGGGACGAGGCAGTAGAGGGGCACGGATCACACGGCATGACCTTCTCGTTTGCCGAAAGCTTCTTCGCGAACCCTTTTGCTGTGTCCTTCCCAGGAGATCTCCCGTGTCCGTCGGGTCCGACGTTCCAAGCATCCTGCGGGGATATGTCCACCTCCGCCAAGGCCGTTCAATCAGGAGAACGCGATATGGCGGCTAGCCCATCAGCAGCTGTAACAGCATCGAAAACACCACGTTCTTCTCAGAAAGCCGACACCGAAGCCGATCACTTCCAATTTCTGACACCACCCACGTCGATGGCGAGTACACCTGCCACTCTCTGCGGCGGCGGCAGCGTTTCGAAACCCAAGAACGGCCCTTCAAAATACGGACCACAGATCCATTTCGTCGACATGGCGGACAAGAAAGGCGCGCAACGGATCCGCAATACAATGAACTCGCGGAAACACCGTCAAAACAAGCTGGATAAGATTCGAGAGCTGGAGAAGAAGTTGGCGGATTTGGTAGCGGAGAAGGATAGCTGGCAGAAGGGAAAGGTACAGCAGTAGCGGGTAACGTACGAGTACTGGGTAGAAGGGACGATCATGGGCTGGATGGCGTGCCTTGATCCTCATCTTATACAGTACTGTGTGTGCTTCGAGATTCATACACTCGCCATGTACACAGTATGGACGTGGCCAATTTTCAACCAAAGCTCGGCTAACGGCAGATGCGATCCGCCATGTGCTGTGTGCTCGTACTGTCTACCTACAAAGTAAGATCCACAGCCCCACGGGCTGCTGGACCTCCTCGTAGGTGGCCGAGCGAACAGTCCCTAAGTTCCTCATTATTCGCGAGGATGTACTCGAGTACTCGGTACAAGGGTACGTCCTCCGGATGGACTACTGTACTCGCAGCGATAGGCCCGGCTAGACGTCGCCGACAACTGACGATCCTGCAGGCTCGGACTGGCCTAGTACAGTATCCCCTTCCCTGGCGGGTTCCTGGCCGAGCTGGCCGAGCTGGGCTTCCCCCAATCATCCATCCCCCCAATCATCAGAACCACTGCTCTGCGTGCCCCTGATTTCCGCCAGCCAGAGGCGCGTCTCGCCCCCTGTTTCCCCTTGCAGCTGGCGCCACCATGGCATGAGCTTCGCGATCGCTCTTCTGCGCCTAAAGGTTGCCACAAATTTTCTGCGTCGCGCATGCGTGATTTATGGTTTTCCTTCCTTTCTTTTCCACCGCCACTGTCACCATCACTCTCGCTCCTGCGACACTTTGCTGCCGTACCTATTTATTTTCCATTCGCTGAAACCCGACGCCTTCGTTCTTTTCTTTGCCTTTTCGCATACAGCACAAAGCTTAGAGCATAGAGCATAGAAATTCACTCAAGTCTCTCGTTGACGAACCGCACCTGCCAATTCGGAAATCAGAACATCAAGCGATAGACCTAGACGACACACACACTACGCATTCCTGCGCAACCAAGTCAAACCCACAAACAACAAAACAACATGTCCCACTTCACGATCGGCACCTTCGTCGCCACGACGGCCACGGCCTTGGCTCCCTTCCTTGCCGTGTATTACTTGCCGAGGCAGCAGACCACACTTCAGACACCCACGGCCGCACTGGCGACGCTTCCTAAGCCTCGACCGCTGGCTGCGCTACGGGAGACGCGGGCGCAGACCGCTGGTGTCAACAACGCCGCGGCAGAGTTCAACTTGCTCTGAACGCACGACGCGGTGCGTTGCCTTACCTTAACATTCGATGACTGAGATTAGCGATGCGAATGGAGTGGGGTGGTATTTGAGTTGATGAACGAACGGAGTATACATAAGACAAGTGGTCAAGCGAATTGAACAGCATGGCGTTGATTGATGGTGTTCGGAAGCTGCGCGTCGTGTGGGTTGTCCCGCATGGACTATATGGGATGAGATGAGAGAAAATGGATTACAGCGGGGAGTTGAGATGTTTCATGATCGGTTGGTGGTTGTGGTTGTAGATGGGTGTGGTGGTGCCCGACTGGCGAGATCAGAGATCAGACGTGCGAGGATGAGATGCGCGCTGCAAGCAGCAGCAGTAATGGAGCATGAGTATGAGCCTGGTCACCCATGGATAGCGCCTGAGAAGGGGACACAGGGAGTGTTGGCTGTCCCAAAGGAATCATCATCTATTCCAGTCCCTATTTCAGTCCTTTTCTCCCATTGTTGGGCGATCTCTACGCTTGTTCCTGCTCCTGCCATTTGCGGATATCGCCATCACCCCATTTACAATGGCTCGTAGGATCATAAAATCTTGTCCCGCCAATGGCTGGTATTATATACTACGGAGTACTAAGAAGATGATCAAGGTATCACAGGTAGAATAAGGAAAGCCATTTGGCTTGCTACACAGTATGGAGTATTTCGTAGGTACTTTCCTGGCTCGAGCGTGGATACAGATCCAAGGTAGACTTGGCTGCGCTGCACGTTTGTCTATGATCGTTGTGTCAAGTTCAGCCATGGATTCGAGCTCCAATTAGGCCATGATACGGTGTTACCCAGTACGATACGATAGATGTGCTTCGCTTTGCTGCATTCGGACTTCTTAAACCATAGCATAAAACCAGAAGATGACCCGTATTCTCTGAACTGTGCGTTGAGATCACGCTGCGATCAACAGACCGGCTCAGATGATGTCTATCTACCTGCCAAGTTCTCTGGTTGATGACCTTGGACTTACCTTCATCCGGGAGCATCGCTCCGCTTGCTCAAATGGCTGAGCCATCGTTGGTGTATGAACTCCAGTATTTCTGAAGGTGCGGGAATTCCCGAAGTAGCATCTGGACTCGCCCGCGCACGCCTCGTCCGTCGACCGGCAAGGAGGGTCTGACGGAGGTGTCGCAAGGGGAGTGTGAGCGGAGGTTGTAACATTGTGAAAGGAGGCGGTGATCATGTTTCTTACCTTCTTCAGATTCATGCTCGGCAATGACCTGCATCCACAACGCATCCCGCAACCAGAATACACTGGTGTTCACGCTTGTGTCCGTCTGCAAGGCGACTTGGCCAAGCGGTACGGCTGCCCTTCTGGTGACTTTCTGTACGTCACCTTGCAATCTGCGTAGATGGTCTATCATCATTGCCTGGGCTGTAGCAGCGTCTTCGCAACTCGTCACTATCAGAGAGAAACGGTGCCGAGGCTCGATCCCTTTGTAGAGTATACTCGGCCCGGAAGAATGTGGTCACCGCCATGAACCGGGAGTCAACTATCTTGGGACCACGGTGGAAAATACCGGAAGTGCCTTTCGCCAGTCGAACGATGACTTCGGTACCCAGAGAAGCATTACTTTTAAGGTCAGAGTCAAGACGTCCCGTCACGGCAGAGCCGAAGACTTTCCCAGCTTCGTCGTCAGGAATATTGGAGGGGAGAGGAAGCGTTCTCGAGCGAGTACTAGTAGCCCGTCATAGAGATTTCCTGTCACGAATATTCGTGTGTTCGGTCTTCTGCAGGGCCTTCTGCATATCGGGTGTCAGAGGATCTGCGGCCTTAAAAATCTGGCTTCACCTGTACCGTAATACTCTCCTCCATGATTAAGCATGATCTTTCATTAGCACTGGACTAGGTGTATTGACGGTTGACCAACGGGCAAGGGGGAGATATTTGAAACCCCTCCTATGCATGATCTGCGTCGCTTTGTCGTATCCGTCTCATTTGGCAACTGGGACTCGGTCTCGCAACAGTGCCGGTGCTGGGCGCTGTTTTGACCTCAGGCCTGACGGGCACCTGTGTAGTCCGCTTGGTAAGAAGGCCAAGGAAGAAGCTGCAGCGGCAAAGAAGAAGGCCAAAGAAGAAACGATTCTCTGTCAAGACTAAAGGTATCCCTTCGAAAAGTCATAGATCAGGCTGCCACAGAGGACAAAGATGCAAGTGTGATCGAAGTCACGCAGCCCGTCATGGGGTCGTACTGTCTTGGCAGCCTGAAGAGCCACTCAAGAGCCTCGTCTTCATGTCTTGAAGAGCGGCTGAGCCACAGCACCACAGCTGGTGCTTCATATCGACGTACTGGAAGATCCTTCATCTACCGTTTAGCAACACCTTCAAGCTGGCTAATTATGGAAACACCCGCACGACTGCGTCGGATGCACAGAGAATTTCCAGATTTATTAATGTGCTAATAGCGACCATTCTTCCGTCCTTTGTACTCCGGTGAGAGCGGCGAAGGTCTTTTATACCCTCACATCATCAGCGTACTCCCTCAGGTTGTGTTGAAAAGAGCATATGCCTTCCTTGTGGCGCCCACATGCACCATGGCTTGCTGCTTTGTCTGGCCTTCCACAAACATGCCCCATGATGCTAATATTTACCCGGAACTGGACCAAAATTACAATTCTAGGGGAACCTAGCGAACATCACGTTCCTACTTCAGTTCGCGCACGTAACCATTGACTGCTGGACCACGCGATGGATCGGATGGGTGCCTTTGTGGAGTCCGTGCTGCGCCCCCGTGCAAGCAGCCTCTCATCCAGCTTTGCCGAAACATCTCTTGGCTGGGGACTGAAGCTGACTTCGCATTCCACGCACATTCGCAAGTGGGCTGATCGTGGGCGGAAATACCAGGAGGAAGAACCTCAAACGATGTATTTGTCTCACTGTTTTCCAGGTGTAATCGAGCGCGCAGTATTCAGCAACACAGCTACACTATGATTTGGTCGTACGTTCCAGGTGCTGCCTTGCGGGTCAGTTCCCAGACTATGCATCCAGACCTGCGCATCCTTAGCACGATCCTCCCAATTCCAACCTACGCCTTCTACCCATCCACGTACGGACCTTCCTCTCTCCACACCTATCGGTGACGATATCCAAGGCCCCCTTCAGAACGTAATTTTTGACCACCTCAACCCGAGCCAGCAACCCCACCAACCACCTCGGCCACGACCTCCAACGCCGTCTTATCCTTGCCCTGCATCTTCACCGCCGCCATCCCCGTCACAACAATGACATCCAACAGATAATCATCCGCTGGGACGAGAATTACAAACTTGGCCGCCTGCACTCCCTTGAACCCACTCTGAGAATCGTATCTCGCCAACTGAATCCGATTCTCATCCTGCAGCACCAGCGCCCCGCTCATTTTGCTCTTCCACTTCATCCGCCCAAGTGGGGGACACGTGAATTTATACCCGTCCCCCGCGCCACTGGACGTCAGTTTAATGGACTGGCCGGCCGCGAGGGAGATCTCCGTGGCGGACTTCAGAGAACTGTACCTCGAAGAGCTGATCAATGTGGGATGGATGGCGTGGTTGCCCACGCCGATGCGGTAGATGTGGACCTCTTTCGACGATTTTTGGCTGGAAATGGAGAACAGTGGCGTCGTGGTGTACGCTTGCGGGTAGTTGGGGTCGTAATTCGTGCGCTCTATCAATGTCAGGTTCGAGTCGGACGGAGACGGCCGGAACGTGAGGACTTGAGTGGTTTGGCTCATGTCGTAGCTTGGAGGCGGTGGGTTGTGGAAGTGCGAGTGCGAGTATGAGTGTGAGTGAGGCGAATGGCCTCCAAGCAGGCGAGACAGTGAGAACGTGCTCATCGTGGAATGAGTGGCCTTGCGGATTTTGGCGGAGAACGGGCGACCGTTGGGTCAATTGGGTCGATGTTTTTCAACAGTGGTGGAATAAGGGAGCGTCGTACTGCAGGAATCACAGAAGGAGTGTAGCAATACGTTCTCCTTGCTGGGTAGTAAGAGAAATGGAATGTTATGCGCGCGCACGATCACAGCGGAATAATTACTGTGTGGACGGTTGAGGTGTGGGTGAGTTATCTAGGTTGGTAACAAGGCGATTCATGTAAGATTGAGATCCATGAAGCAACTCCATCCTCGAGTCCATCTCATATACACATCCACCAGGCCGATCATTACTACACAGTTGTGCTACCTCGTAGTTCGTGTGTACAGTATTGGTGGTAGCCACCTCTGCTGCGCCCTGATACGGGTACTGCAACAGAAAGACGATCATCCCTCCCTATGACGATTGAAAGTCCAAGAGCGCTGCGTAGAACCATATCCGGTTAGAGCTCTCAGCCTCGTTAGACATTCACGAGCCCAAGCATTGGCTTTGGGGCGGCTGTGTTGGTATACAGGATAGCTTACATAGGGCCTGAAAGGGCAGGGCGCCGTACGCTTGGCCTCACTGCGTCATTCCCCAGCTCCACCAGATTCCGATCTACGCGCCATGGCCACGGCGTGGTTCCCATACCTCGTGTTGGAGGCCTGGCACGCCTGGTCAAATCAGTAATTACTCGAACGAGATGCAGCATCTCGCGAGACGTTGGCTACTTGGTCATACTCCGGATCCGATCGCGAATTGATCGAGTTGATGGGTACGAATTAATCATCGACTGCGACCAAGACGGTCGCCTCAGAGGGAACGGAGGGTGGATGAATCGAATTACCTTATTGTGCGAGTGAGGCCACATAAACAGCTGATCTACAGTATGTAGCTTCTTGGTCTCGGATGGGGACAATGTCCTTTTGCTTGTCCGCCCTCTCTCGTCGGGCGCCCTGTGAGTCCTGCACAACGCCGCAAGGGCAATCCAGGCACAACGCCCCGGTGGACAGGGCGTGCAAACATGGAAAGATCACCTCTCAGTGCCGCTGTGATGCATCGATTCTGAAGTTCCTAATATCTCCGCAAAGCAAAGCAAGCAGCCATCGTGACTGCTGTTCGTTACGGCGACTCTACCACCCTGAGGGCGCTGCTTCGACATGATCAAGGTGCTGCTGGATGACTTCCCCGGGCCGACCAAGGCGGGCTCTGAAGCGGCTAGGAGTGTGAATGAATGACACGTGGAGGAGATATGTACGCTATGTTTGAGTCTAACTGCGTAATCTAAGAGATCGTCCATACTACGCTTGCTTGAGAGATGGAGTTCGTACGTACTTCAAGTTGCGCGTGACGCGGAAGCTGGTAAAACGATGCCGCCTACAGCGTCGAGAGGCCGGTCGACATCGCTGACGTGTGACTCGGCAATGCTTCGCAGCAGTATGCATAGCTGTGAGCATTGTATGTGCCGATGATGTGACGACGTCAGAAACATCTGTCTAGTGACAGAGTCTACAAGTCTAATCGTCGACAAACAGAAATCTTGCTTCTCGATCTCGACCCCCGCCAGAACCAAACAGAGGTATGCTTCCCGTCGCTGCTCCTCCGAGCGACTCACACCAGCATCGTACTCAAACCACCTCGGACAACTCGTCGACGTTGACCTGGAACTGCTTCGTCGCCATACCGTAACTGCTCCTGACCGCCTCGCTAGCATAGACTCTCATCTGCTGCTCATACTCGGCCGTCAAGCCAGGCCTGTTTCCCCCCGCCTCACGCAAGAGCCGGCCCAACAAGGCCGAATCTCTGACCGCGGTGTTCGCGCCAATCCCTCCTGCAGGGGTCATCCCATGCACGGCGTCGCCAACTACCGTCACGAGCGGCTCGTTAGTCCACTCCGGCACCCCGGTCGGCGTCGAGCAAGTGATCTTCCAAAACGCAGCCTGCCCAACATTCATGTCGTCGAACAGCGGCTTGAACCGTGGGTGCCAGTCCCGTGTCAGCTCTTGGGCAATCCGCGCGGCCGTCTCCCCTACGATAGTGTAGTCGTCGTTAGGCGCCCTTATCGCGCCAGGCACACCGACCATCGTCCACCCGAACTCGACGCTCGGATCGTCCATCTCATTGGGCCGCACGTTCGTGATGATCGACACGCGGCCGCGGGTGTTCGTGTCGTCCACCACGCGAAACACACCCTCGCCTAGAGATCGGAATGCCGTGGTGGGCGCTTGGCCGTGAATCCCGCGCGCTCCAAGATCATACACTTTCAAGAGACCGCCACTAACCTGTTTGGCCACCGCGGATTTGATCCCCTCACCGCCCACGAGCAGGGAGCCGTCCTCGGATTTTGTCCCGTCGGCGAAGAGCGCGCGGACGGCATCGTCGCGTCCCTCAACGAGCTCATACCCCACCACGTGCCTGTTGAAGTGCACGTACGGTTCACATCCCTCCATGAAGAGACGGCGCATATCCCCACGCGCGATGCCCACGACCTTTCCGTCGCGGGAGCCGAGGTTTCCGGGCCCAGAACCGCCACCGCCGCCACCGCTACTGCCCTGCTGGTCGAGCGGCTCGCCGGTTCGGGCGTCCAAGTGGGTGAAACCCCCGCCGCCGGTCTTGCCGCAGTGGTCGTAGAAACGCTGGAAAGAGGGCTTGTCGAGCACTGACTCGATGGCGTCGAGGCCCTCGGTCGAAAGGCGCAGGCGGTATCCCTGGCCACGGAATGAGAGGGAGGCGTCGCGCTCGAAGACTTGGAATGGGATGTTGGCGCGGAGAAGGGAGCGGGCAAAGAGGAGTGACGCCAGACCCGCGCCCGCGATGAGGACGGGGAGCTGGGACTGAGACATTATGGGTAGATGGCGGTCTCGTGGGGCGACTGGTAGTCAGGTGAAGTGGAGCGTCGCGTCGAGTAGAGTAGAGCTGCGAGCAGAGTAGGTTCTCCGGACAATTTCCCAAGCTCGCGTCATATTACATGGGCAGTTGTGCATGGGAGCGTCTACCCTGAGTATTATGAGGACATATCGTGCCGTGGTGTCCGTCAATGTCGGAATATTACCTTGGTGGTGGTGGAGGTGTGTCAGGTTGTCATCTTGATGTACTGTCAGTTCCCGTATAAATTTCTAAGCAATTGTCACGAGTATCGGCCTGATGTGGCGCCGGACGCGAATGTGTGACGCGGTCGCTGCGATATCACTTACTCAAGCGTCGCCCTTGCTTCACTCGGCTCGGCGAGTTTCATGCCGAGTCCGGCTCGAGCCGTGAGGGCGTACTGATGGGAGGTATGGAGTAGGTACGGAGGCGTGCACACAAAGGCGTTGCCACGCTAGTGGTGGAATGACGGTGCTTTAAAAGACAACCCTATTTACTATTGGTTGTCCGAGGCAACCACCCCTGAGTTTGTTTGAGCTGGTTAGCGAGCACCTACCTTCACGCCTAGAGGCGCCCCTAGTATAGGATAGTTCTAGGCGTGCTTTAGGCACTGAGCCCCTAAATGGTAGCGTCGTCACATGAAATTGCTCTGTCATTGAGCGAGTGGCTGTCATTTTAATTAGCGCGGCAACGCCTTTGTGTGCACGCCTCCGTACTGTAAGCTGAATTGTTGAGACGGATGGTGACATAAGACAAGGGAGCGGTCACATCATACAACCGTCGCTTACCAAGTTACGATCGTGGAGGGCCAATGAATATACAGAGTAGTCGTGTACATAGGTACTCAGGTGCACCACGACCTTTATGATGCCGTCTTTCATGGGAAGACAGAATCTGTGTACAGCTACCGCCTTGCACTCTGAAGGTGGGAACAGGTTGTAGTCTCCAGGCTCAAGAACAGGTTAGAGGAATAATACGGCCACACAAACAGAGGACTACTTATGCCAATGGCTACTTAGTACCTCTTTCACCTACTGCTTTACAGCGCATCTACGTGCCCTGAGGTATTGAGGTGCTGGACTTTACTCGCCTCGCCCCGCCCACTATGTTCCCTTACACTGTGACCACTGTTTCTCGTTACTGCCGACACTTGCCCACACGCCCCATCATCAACTAATTCAGCATCCTGTCGTCCCACTGCCATTGTTGGTCGCCATGCCCGGGTTTATTCCTGATCTCGATCTGAACCCGAACGTCATTGTTCTGGCGGTAGCATTTCACACGCCCCTTGGCACTGTTGATGTTGACCGAAACACTGAGGCTGACGTTGTTGAGATTGCTCGTGTATGAGCCGATGTTGACGCCCAGAATGTGGATCTGGATCGAAATCTGGAACGAGGACGGCTCATAGTATCCTTTGCACTGGGTACAGAATGAGACATTAGCTCGGACAGAAGCCTATGGTGTAGGTCTGCCACGCCTGCCACATAACGACAGCCGCGCACGGGCATGGGCTAGGCTTACATAGACAGGTTTCTTGTCGTATTCAATGTATCGGCGCGAGCCGAGCTCGGTGATCCCTCCTGGAGGGGGCGGGATCCGATCCTGGCCCTCCACCTGGTTCACCTCATACTCGCCCTCGGACTTTTGCGTCACGGCGAGAATCACACCTGGACTGTTAGAAGTGGCGTTGGATGTTGTGCGAAACCATACCTGTTGTGTATTTGGTGTCGGTTTCGGTCACGCTGCCCATGGTGGATAGTTAGGAATCGGTGCGTGGAGTGAGATCAAGGAGATGGCTGTGAGCAGGACTGCTTTGGTATGAGGATGTGCTGCGTGTAGGAGGCCCTCCATTTTATGCTCAGCAGCCACCGACATGTCGTACGCCAAATCGCAATCCTCCGCACTTGGCAGAGCTTTCAGCGCTCAGCCCCCCATTGAAACCATTGCAATGTTATTCCGGGTTTCCATCACGCAACGTCAAGCCGATCACGACAATTGATTTAAATTTAGTGGCGAGCGGGACGGCGAAGATCTTGCGCTGAGGTATGTCTCTCATGGTGGGCCCAGTAAAGACGGGACAAAGAGCTCAGCTCCGAGTCATCAAGCACCGTGGCTGCCTGTAGTTGCAGTCCTGTCAGCTTGTACTTGGAGTTGACAGAAGAGGAGTGCGGAGGCTGGTGGACACCATCAGGAATGATGGGCTACAAAAACTTCAGCAGCGGTAACAAGCGAGACTCGATTCATTCATCACCTCAGCTCGAGACGTCGGTCGTTGCAGGCTATGCTGTGTTTCACACGAGTGACACGAGCACTCCCGCACGGGCCAAGTGGCCGAAGGTGCGAAGCTCCGTAGGGCTGAAGTTCGTTGCAGACACGGCAGCGCATGATTGGATGCTATGTTATTCTCTACTATTCTCTCCGCATCTTCCACAAGCCTCGGCGGCACCGTGATGCATGCGGTGAGAAAATAGTGGTTGTTGTGAATTGAGAGCAGATGATCAGAGAGGTCAAACAGATGGTAGCGAGTTTCGAGCGCGAGGAGCGCCAAGAGTCTCTCCTTTAGCGCGGTTTGCTTCGATAAGCCCGGGTCCCGATTGGTTAAATATTAGCTAGGCCTGCCTCGAACGCTAAGCAAGCTTGTGCCTTTCTTGCAATGCTTCACTTTTGGACATCAAGCAGCTCTCAGTATCCACACGAACCAGGAGTTGTGGCTGCTCCAACACGAATATCTCTGTGCAAAACTTCAGCTTCCACTCAGCAAGCTGTCAATATCACTCCTTCTCAATTGCAAACCACTCCTCATCAGCCCATGGAGCGCACCATGCAGCCAAGTTCAGTCAAGAACTCTTGGCTCCTAGTGCCGTAAAGAATACGAGAGTCGATTCAGCTCAAACATCCCCCCGCCTATGTGGTATCTTGATGAGCCACCTGAATGAGCACCTACTGAGGCGGTCTGGGCCTCTTGTCACAAAGGAGCGAGATTATCTTGTTCTGAGAGCCAATTGATCTGCACTCATCACACATGAATCCGTCTTGTGCACCATAAGGCGATGCACCTGCAGGAGCCGGCCTGTTCCAGTCGAATTACCTTCGTGCTAGTGTGCCCTCGTTCTCTGACCTATTTACGGAGTATTTGATTAAGAGAATCTGTACTCTGTATGCAGCTGCAGCTGGGTGGCAGCGAAGGCCATACATCCTGTAGTCCATCGTAACAGGAAGCCCATCATAATGCGGCGAAGCGTTATTTCCTCACACGCAACAATGTCAGACGCGTCTCATGTACGCGCATGGTGAAATTCTATTCTAGACTCGCATCTGCCCGATTATGGCTGTATGAGGTTCAGCTTCGCAAGATCCTCGTGAATGTCTCCCTCAAGGTCAATCTGGTGGTCTTCGCCATGCAACAAGCCAAGATAGTATGACAAGTCGCGTCCGTCAAATTCCCGCCTTGCGAAGCCGTTGCCCAGGAATTCAAACATGTTCAGAGGATTGAGATATTCGATGTTATAGTCCTCAAACCTCGGCGTGGCTAGCAGATCCATGTACACTAGGCGGGAAGCTGTGAATATGCGTTAGCTCTGTCGATAGTGACCCAAGCAATAACAGTGGCTTGAAAGACAACGTACCTGGAAACATGGGAAGCGGACCATCGATTCTTCCTTGCTTGAACCACGAACTACATCCCTGCAGCACACAAGAAAGTCAGCCTCGCCAACACGACCGGTCGCACAGCTTTGAGCAAATTGGACCATCTGCATCCATCACATGAGGAGGGTTACTCACCGAAGTCCACGCCGTCCTCTTCAAGAACAGTTGTGCATGTTCTCTGAACTGCTCGGCAATCTCGGACTTGGGTGTCAGACTCTTAATGCGGTCTTTCTGCATCTTCTGAATGACCTGGATGATATTGCCGGCAAGCGTCTCGATGATTGGGAGGAACGAGCCATGACCAAGAGGACCGTATGGGCCACCCATCATGAAGTAATTCGGCACTTGTTTCTAGTCAGCAACTGCTAATGTCGACACATCGGGGTATCTCATACTGTGCGAAACTCCAAGGGAAAGATATGACGTGGGTTCTTTGGCCCACATCTTTTCGATGCTGTGGCCGTTTGCCTCGACCGGAAATCTGGGGATCCAGCTGGTATTGAAACTGAAGTATCGTCAGCAGAGGGTTCTTAAGCTCCTCTTTGGAATCGGCTGCATCAGATCTCACCCTGTCGCACAAATGATGACGTCCACGTCGTGTTGCTGACCTTCGCTGTCGACGAAGCCTTCTGCATTGATCTCTTTCATGGGCGAGGTAAAGACGCAGACATTGTCCTGGTTCAGCGATTCGAGAAATCCGTTACCGGGCTATCACGGCCCCAGTCAGCCATGCTCACACTTCTCCCTCAGATCACTCACAGTCGGCCTCCTGCACCCGACGCCAAAGTTCTTCGGAATTATCGCTTCGAGGAGTTCCGGTTTCGTCGAACCTAGCTTTTGCATCATTTCGTTCCGGGCAAACTGCAAGATGTGTGTCAGCAGGTTCCACCCCATCACCATAGGCTAATTTACCTCTCTGGCGCCTTCTGCCTCCTGGGTCCCATTCAAAATGAATTTGAATCTGACATTGAGCTCAGATTCAATCATCTTCGAATACTTGAGGAACAGTTCCGGATTTTCAGCAAACGCTTTCTGCTGTTCCGGAGTATCTAAGCCGACGTCAGCTTCAACCCAAGACAAGTGGCTTGTTGTACTTGCAGTGGAAGTTCGCCCCGTTCGGGCCCGCAAATCTCTGAGCAAAGCCCGCTGTAATCCATGTCGGCGACCTTACCCACAGGTACAGCTGCTTGACCTGGGACGCGATCTTGGAGATAATCTGGATACCGCTGCTCCCGATACCTATGACGGCGACGCGTTTGCCGTTCAGGTCCAGCGAGGTGTCGTAGTTGGCGCTGTGCACGAGGGTGCCTTTGAATGAATGTAGGCCTTTGATGTCAGGCCATTTCCAGTTGCTGCCGCCGACAGCGCATCAGCATCACCCCATCGAACTCGCAAGGAACAACATACTTCAAGATCCCGCCACCATTGACAAGCACATTACATCGATCCACAAACTCGGTTCCATCTGGTCGTCGAACTCGAACCTCCCACTCTCCCGCCTCGGGCTGCCAATACGCGCCTACTACTGCATGCTCCAGCTTCACATACTTCATCAGCCCGTGCTTGTTGACAACACCCTTGAAGTACTGCCATATCTCGGGTGATTCGGAGTAATACTGCGTCCAATTGGGGTTTCGCTCCCAGGTGAACTGGTACGACGCCGAGGGAATGTCGCATGCGCATCCTGGGTATCTTCGTCGCCACCAAAACAGATCAGCCAACATGACTCACGGGTGGCAGGGCGCGCCTGGCTGGCGCGCCAAACCAACTCAAGCTGACGCGACGGAGACCTACCTATTCTCCAGCCAAGTGCCCCCGACGTCCTTGTTCTTCTCATAGATCTGCAGGTCGACGTTCTTGCACCGTTCCTCGACGAACTTGGAGAATGTGATCCCCGAGGCCCCGGCACCAATATGGATGACCCTTATCTTGCGCGGCGTGTCGTACGGTTCTTCGTGGATCCGATACCCCCGCGCGTTCTGGACCATCCAGCCGCGCTCGTTGAAGACCTCGCCCGTCTCCGATGACGAGAAACCCTCGCCATCCTTGGACGGCGCCATGCTGCGATGACAGCGGTGCTCCTGAATGAGTAAATGTAGGCTGCGCCTATGACGGACGTCCGGTGGTGATATATCAAGCGCTACCAGGCCACTCGCGAGGCCAAGGGCGAACAGACAGATATGATGACGGACAGGACACGAGAGCGACCCGATATCACACCACCCGTGCCTGCGTGTGCTTCTATTGATCTGATAAAGTCAAGAAGTATCCGCGGGAGTCAGTATCCACGGTCGTTATACCGTGGCACGGCTTTTGCAGAAACCCATTTGGAGGTAAGCCTCGGCCTCGGTTAAAGTGGTATGTGTCGCACCCCATCCCATTCCTGGCTGATTCTACATATCTCCAAAAGTCTCGTAATGCGGGGATCTACTGTACGAACAGGAGTGAGCGCCGCCAGCGATCCATCCGCGGCACACAGCACATCTGCACGGGGGCGTGGCAAGATGTGCTAAGCCGGATATCGGCATCGAGGGCGGTCGGAGCGTACATCGGACGGTACGGAGGACTGGTAGGTCTGCCTAGAGTACGGAGTATGATACTTGTTACGGTACCTCCCAGGCAAGTAAGGCCAAGGTATTGCATTGCATTGCCATTGCTCCACACAGTACAGTACCTACAAGCACCCTTACCCATCGTTCTGCGAGGCTGTTCTGTATTTCATACTGCAAAAAGTTCTAATCTGCTGGCCTTGCCTTCACTTTTCCCTTTCTTCATTCTCTCTCGAAAGAGTATGCTCTCCTACGGGGCCAGGCTCGACCAATTCATCGAATGACTGACTGGACGTCCCTGGCGAGACGATCTCCGTATGTCTCTGTCTCTGTCCAGACGGACTTAATGCATACACCGTGGATCGTCTGACAGAGCGGGCCGGTAAACGACTCCGGGCGGCCGTCCTGCAGCTGCCCGTAACCAGCAGCCAACACAAGGTACTGGGGTCTGTAAGTACATGTGCTCATTGCATACGAGGGAATATCGGCACGTAGGAGATTGATGATATCGACGATATTGATGATATCGATGATAGTGATGGATTCCATGGTTTCAATGGTAAGAGTGGGACGGGCTGAGCACGGACTCAACAAAGTACTGGTCCGACTGCCCATTTACAGGTAGGCCATGCTGTGTCAATCGTGTCCAATGTCTTCCGCGGCATCCAAGATCGGTTGTTGACCTCCCATTGGTTGGCTTTTGACTCTTTGTTCTTGATTTCTCCCAGCGCTTGCTGATCGGGTTTTGCAACGGTGACGGCGAGGATCCGAGCACCAACCACCGGAACGGTCATGATGCCGCTGTGCCCGGTTCAAGCAGTTCCACCGGTGCTACATGCCCGCCCATGGCCGTTATTCAGCTCAAGCTTTTCGATCGGGCGTCCCTTAGTCGACACACCAACGAGCCTCAGTTGATGCACGAGCGGAGGTCTTCGAACTCCTGTTGCGCTCATGACTGGGCCTCCGGGATATTGCCACCCTTCGCCCTCTCGTCTCGTCTCGTCTCAGTCCGGGTATTACAACACGGAGGGGTGATGAATGTGGTCGAGAATGCTCAATCAAGACGAAGAGCCTGTGTCCGTTGCGATACTATAAAGGCGAGATGCGCCTGCAGGGGGCAGCGAGGGCAGCGATCGATGTCAGCGCTGAGAAGGAACGGGTTCTCGAAGAAATCCCGTGACGCAAGAGGGAGAAGCAGTCCACGAGGTCGATAGCTCGAGGAGAAGGTCGACGGCCGTCCTTTCCTTGCTAGGTCCCGATAGAGTTCCTGGTGGGATGGGCAATGCTGCCACGATAGACGCCAGGATGTTTGTTCCCTCTGGGTATGGCTGTCCCCCTTCATGGCCACTGGAAGTGCTAGAAGCAACACAGCACGGTCGACGGTTGAAGAGGACAGTTCAGATGCCTCGATGCCATTTGATCATGGCCTGCTCACCATGGTGGAGGCCGACGCACGCCCTGCTGAGCAAGTATAAATGTGTACATTCAAGAATACTTCCCCTTTTGGTCATCGTGGCCCCACGGACTGATGCGGCGACCCTCGGGACACAATCTTCCGTGCTCGTCCTGGCTACCTATATCGTGACGGCTTGTATCGAAGGAGAACCACATGCATCTGAGAAGGCTGGAGTCTTAACCAAGGAGTTCCTCAAGAATAAGTCATGGTTGGCAATGAGAGGAACCTGGGGCCTGTTGCAGGAGCTGGACTCTGCTCGTCCTGCTAGCTGCTGGCATGGAACCCATCGTTTCCACTTCAATCCCATGAGCAAGCAGCTGTTCATGTTCATGCTCCTGCAATGGCCGCCGGGCTTGTGACCGACCTCGACCTTGACAGGTGTCCTGCGCATCGTGATCAGAGGGTTGTCCAGCCTGGAAGCACCCAGAATCCACAAGGACAGGCCACGTACCCGGTCCAGTACTTAGTATCGAAGGTCATCGGCTAAGATCGCCCTTGAAGGTTACTTCTACCTTTGCTCATCGTGAGTACGCATCGTCTCTGGGCACGCTTGGTTTGTGCTCACCTACAGAGGATGGCGGATGATGCGCAAAGAACTGGCAATGAGACATACAAAGTGAGATTGACGGCTGCTGCCAGCCACATCATCGAGGCGAGACAGCGATAGCCGACGGACAGTATATGTGACGGCCCTCATCAGCACGAGGTGTCTCGTCCAAAGTGTCGGCGGGAGTCGAGAGGCTCCCATATGACGACCATCACTCTGGTCCGACTTCAAAGTGATGTTGTGATCAACATGTCTCTGACCGACTTCAAGAAAGCAGTCACCGAACTCGAAACCCCTCCTCCATTTTCACCTGCCCGGATATTTGGGAATGGGGTCAACCACATCTACACGACGATGATGGAGAAAGCCGTGGCACGACGCACTCTGACACTGCTGTTGCGAATGCCTCTAGGCTCCCTGCGCGCTGAGCTGAAAGGTCTACCAATTGTCATCCACGAAGTCACACTGTGCCGTGACTGAGCCAACGCGCCGTCGTCTTCTTCCTCCTCTCGTTCTCATCTTTGGGATCTCCTGACCTCGTCCCCCGACGTCCTGATCTACGTTCTCAAGATCCTGAATGCATCACGCATCAACGTCCCTTCCACTTCTTCAGCTTCCCCCCTCATGCGCTGATCGTCCTCTCAACAGCCGCCCGCCTATCTTCCACAACCGACCCCAACAGCGCGACCGCGAGACGCGAAGCCGACGCCACGAACTCCGGCCTGCGCATTGAAGCCAAGGTCGGGGACGGACTCACAAGGACCTCCGTCGAAGCGAGCATCGAACAAAAGGACGTGTGGCAGTACTTCGCGCGGCATCGCGGGCTGGTCGCGTGGCATCGACGATGCGAAAAGTCGAGCAGTGCAGGGGGAGCCGAACTTGAGATTCTCCTGGATTCGCCGTCTGGGGTGATGAAGTGCGGTTTGGCGCACGGTGGAGCGCTTTCTCGTCGATGTGGATTCGTAGACCGATGCCCCTTGAATTTCGGGAACGCGATGCGGAGGCAGATGATTGCCAATGTGGCGAGTGGCAGTGATGGAGCCGGGGGAGAGACGGGTCAGATACTCTCCTGCCTCTGTGGAACATTGAGGCGTGGCAGTCGATTGTGGATGCCTTTGTCTTGTTCCCTACCCCGGCGGGATTCCCGGGCGGACAGCAATAGCGGGATAGAACGTTGAAATTAATGTGTATGGAGTAGGGTGTGACTCACGGGGACTGGCATCAGAGAAGATCATCCAGCGTCGACAGGCGGAGTGCGCCAACTCGCAATGAGTAGCCAGGACACACCTTGTACCTCGAATGTAGTCCTATCCTGCTAGAGCCCTGCAGCACTCCCTAAAGTCTGTCTACAATTCCCCAAAGCTATTCGGCACGTTCGGCGGAACCCCGAAAGCGTGGGAGTGGATGATCCGAGTCATCTCGGCGTACGCGACTGGCGTGAACAGCAGCGGCACTAGAATGGCTGTCTTCGGGATAGGCGTCAACGCAAACTTGACGCCGATATGTAAGTCTGCAGGCCCGGGTGAGGAGTCGAGGATGAGGGCGAAGATTGGGAGTGTTGGTGACTGGCTTGGTTGGTAAGATGATAAAAGACCATTGACAATAATGTAATGGTGTTTGCCAGGACCTGCGGCCCGTTAATGAATGATGTACTTCCACACGTGCTTGGATGCGGCGAAAGCCCATGCGCAAGCAATGACAAGATCGAGTCGGTCGTTTGTGGAATCATGCGTGAGTCCACAACTCTGGCACTGGAAGTGGGCTTGTAGCAGCCTGGCCCGTTTTTGAGTTGATCGAAGTCTAAAAGAGGAGGCTTTGAGACTGTTCCTCAAGACGTGAGTGAATTGTTGAGCATACCTGGTAAGTAATGTCTCGCACAAGGTCTTCCCTCAGTTGGGAAGCTATCAGCGTGTGGTTACCGGATGGTCCTCACGAAAACTGATTCTATACCAGGCCGCGGTGTGCTTAATCCGTTCAACCATGGGGAGTCAAGGGCTGCTGCTCTGACCGAGAACAGCGTCTCTCCAGGATCTGGTACACTCATTGATGAGGCCTTGAGCTCTGATATCACCCACGGCATCTGGGCTGGTAGGAACACATGTGCTCTGGCAGGTTCTCTCAACCTGGGCTTCTCAAAAGACGCCGAACAGAGCCTGTTTAGTAAGGGCCGGGAATGAAGCAATGGTACATATATGATATCGCAGCCTGCTTGATAGAAGGAGATGGGGATGGAGAAATGGACGTGCCGCTGAGGTAATCTGCAGCTGCGACTGAGACTCGAGAAACACAAGAAGGGACCGATGCGGACCCACGGGGCCCTGAGATGTATATCGAACTTGAATTTGGCGCTGGATGCGCCCAATGGCATCGCCGACGAGAATTTGAGCCAGGTTCCATGGCCCATCTCACCCACTTTCCCATGAGCCTGAGTGTTGTACGGAGCGAGGTGCGTTGTAGATGGCTAGACGAGACCACCTTGGCGTGAAACATGAGCAGCAGAAGAGCAAATCTGGCGATTGGACCGCCGCCGTGCACTGTCATAGCCAAGTCGGCAGATGTTGGCTTCGTAGGAGGGCGAACACCACTCGCTCAACACCAGGCGTACTTCTCCTTGGCTAGCCAGACCACATCCACGCCAGGCCCACCAGTCCATCGCAGACTGCATAAATGCTCCTTGTCACGAGTAATGATGTCCACTTTACCTTGCTCTTCCGTTCGCAGCCTCTGAGCCGAAGTGACCACGAAGTCGGAAGGGTCCCATACTTCAACCCCGCTAGCCATTTCCCATTCATGTGCTTCCAACTGGGCCCTTGCAAGCAGAGCAGCCATCACGGCTTCGGCCTCTTGAGAACTCTGCATGGAAGGCGGAACTACGGTGTGGAGGATATGTAATTGCCAATCAGGCTTCTTGGCCGCGTAGATGCGACACCAAATTAGAGCGAGACCGGTGGATCGGTGGATAGCTCCCTTTACTTCCGGAAAGCGCTTTCCCATGACCTTAGTCTGGAACTCATCTCGAGCAAAATGCCACTCGAAGTGCTCCAAATCAGGACGAATGGCGACGTGGGTTTTGCCTTGATCTGTTTTGGATATCTGCTGCAAGCGGTGTTCAACGTACTCGACGGCCGGTATGGTCTTCAGGTCCTCCAACGACAAGTCTTCGACTGTAGGGAGCCCAGAGGTGGCTCGTTGGTAATCCAGCCGATTGATCTGTTGCAGGTGAATATGGGTAGACGGAAAGACTTTCCACCCAAACCTAGCATAAAACGTCTGTCCAATATCCGAGAAAAGCACAGAGAAACGATTTTTCGAACCGTGTGATGACTGCCAGGTCTCCAGTCTCTTGCCCAGTTCTGCCATCATGCGAGAAGCATAACCTTTGCCCCGGTGTTCCGGTCGATTATAGACCGAAGCGATGCCATGTGCCTGGACCTTTTCGACAACGCCGTCGCGGGCAACATAAGCATGGATGGGGATAGTCTCGCAGCTGGCGAAAATAGGTCTCGATCCGTCCGCATTTTTGGGTAGTGAGTCGGAGGTCAAAATCCACCCAGTGATCCGTGCGTCTTTTGTCAAATCGGCGGCCTGTAGGATATCTTCGCGCTGGAGGTATTGTTTGATGGTCAATGGGCCCTTCCACTCATCGGCGTTGAGGTATGCCGTTTGAACGTACTCGAGAGGCGTGGCAGGCTCGAGCTTTAGAGCTGTGGATTGACCAGATGGTAAAGCGCCGGCATCGACGACAGGAGGCTGGGATGTCGAAAGGGAGGCAAAAGACTGAGCATTTTCTGGTGTAGCCATGGTGCTTATTGCTGTCTGTCTCTATGATAGTACGAGTAGTCACCTAGATGATGTCTGTAAGTGCTAGAGCAGGCCGACTCAAGATGAAGGAAAAAGTTTCGCAACACCTGTCACAAGGCGTGTCTGAACCTACAGCCAATAACAGTCACAGGAGGATTAGACACGGCTCCTCATAGACACTGGAACATGATAGAGAGTGCAGAGACGTGCTCTTCAAAACACTCGCGGCCGGCTGCACAGAGTAGAGAAGGATAACATAAAGAACATGATGGCATTCAATGCACTGCGGCTCAACAGATTTAGCCGAGAAGGACCCTAAATGGCTACGTACCATCATCGACGCTACCATGCGTCTGTCTCACCCCACGACGCTGCCCCGTGGTCATCTGCGAGGAGGTTGTTTCTTGGGATGAATGTTGAAGAAGGCACACATACCAAGAACCAAGACTGAATCCCAGACAATGGATGGCTTGACAGCTGTTGCATGATGTGACCTGCTGACTGGTGTGTTGCAGTGGCAGTGGCAGTGGCAGAACTGATGGCTGTCTCTCTTTACCCCTCCCAAGCTGCTTCTCTACGCCGTCCAGCAGCAGCAGCAGCAGCGACATGCTCAGATATTGGGGGCAAGACCTCACCATAGTCTCGACCGAGCAGAGCAATCGAAGCATGAAACCAAGCCATCGAGCGGCAGTCGCGGTGACTCAATCAGATATAGTTCTGCCAGACCAGAACTTCACTGTCCGCGCACTTCACTGAATCGAAGATGCCGGAATTGCAACAGAAAACAATCAGTGAATAACACGCGACAGCCGCACATTCTGCAGTATTTATTGCGACAAGTTTGCCGTGTTCTTTTTTTACTCTCGCAAACTTGACACTCACTTTCTTCTTTCCCGGCCACCTCGCCGGCACTCTTGGACTGTACCCGCCGCGACAATCACAGGCAGACACAGTACTTCCGTTCCTCCTTCTCTTCAAGTCTCTGTTCTAGCCTGATCTCAGTCCCTCGCAGCCCTCCGTGTCCAATTTGGGGGACTCAGCTCATACCTGCGGACAGCCACCTCTGAACAACCTGTGAATCTCGACGGTTCAGCTCAACATCCACAATGTCGTACGAGCCAATGGGCCCAGGGTAAGTGACGATTGGAAGAAGATGCCCCTTATGCACAATCAGACATGGTGTCTTGGACCACTCCATTACCATCGCTCAGCGACGGATTTTAGAGGTTATCCTCCGTACCCCTGTCCGATCCCGTCGGCTCTACAACTTCGAAAGCTAACGGTCTCAATTCTAGATGGAAGGAGATACCCCGCGAACTCGATGAACTTCCAAACACCACTGTGTATCGATCTCCTCGCCGAGTACGAGAGACCCTTGAGGAACGGAATGAACCTGTCATCGAGGTGTCCGATGACGATGAAGCCGTAGTCGGCCAACCTGTACAGCTTCCCCTTGCCCAGCAAATTCCTGCAGAAGCCGGCAGAGAGGTCGTTACAATCGACTCATCCAGTGATGCTGATGGCTCGGACATGGATGTTGTCATACTGCCACCTGGCCCAAGTCACAAGCGACCGCGCCCGGATGGCAGCTCTCAGGACGGTTCTCCTCAGCCACCACCGACCCGAGCTAGCATGAAACGCCGTGCACCTTCAGTTGATACACCCACCGTAATGGACCCAGCGCCGCTGCAGGTGCGTCCCATCTTACAACACAGACGTGATGTGCTGGCTTCGGATCTACAAAACCAACAGTATGCCTGGCCTCCAACCTTTAAGCTACCTGGCGCAACTCCCATTGCCTCCGGCCCAAGTTATACGACACACCACAAGTCACAGCCTTCCAAGCAGAAGGAAGAACCCATAGAACCACCATACTATGTCGACAGCCGGCTCGAGGTAAAGATGTATCGAGGGCCTGGCTACGAACGCTTCCCGGTTGCGCTTGGTACCGTCCAAGGCCATCAGGAGCTGTGTGATAAGTGGGATGCCGATCTTATTACAAGGAGAGAACAGAGACTGGCAAAGCTACAACGAGAACAGAAGATGGGCTACACGACCTACGACGTCAATTCAAGCTCTGACGACGATGTTGCAGTCGAGCACAGCGCCGCATTCGAGAAGCGCTGTCTTGATAGTCTACTTGAGGTCTTTCCCGATATCGAACGTGCCTTCATCCAGAAGAAGATTCGAGAAGAACGTCCAAAGTCACGACACGTTGAGGATGATGCTGACGACGATCTAATTGTTCTTGGACCGCCACCTCTTGCTGAGAAGATCATCTCCGAGATCGTTGAAATGCAGTCGTATCCGAAAGAGCGCGCTGCCACGGCTAGCAAGACGAGCTCAGCAATCGATGGTACAGGCATCACAATCACATGGAACCGAGAGCTTCCGAAAGACGACATGTACCTGAAAGACGCTACTATCCTGGTCGCTAAGCACTTCCCGCATGTTCCTACTCATTTTGTTGATGAGATGGTGAAAGAGAAGAAGTCAATCTTCGATACTTACGTCGCTATCCACGAATTGGAAGACCAGTACTACACGGTGCATTTGAAACCTTACCCACGTCGAAAGCAACCAAGACCTGACATTGAGAAGAAGTATCTGTTGAGAGCCAAGGACCACCGCATCCCACGAGAGTATGCAAACCGTGTGAACGAACTGCAAGCCGCGAAACAGTACGTCATGCGTGAAGAAATCAAAGAGGCGGCGAGAAAGGCGAAAGAAGAAGCCGAAGCGTTGAACTTGGCCGAACATATTCAGTCTGGCGCCATTATAGAGTGTCAATGCTGCTACGACGCCCAGGTACCTCTCAACCGCGTCGTGCCTTGCACTGCAGAGGTTCCGCACAACTTCTGTTTCATGTGTGTGGAGGGGCTAGCAGACACACAAGTCGGTATGTTGCAACATGAGATGCTTTGCATGGACGATAGTGGTTGTGAGGCACAGCTTTCCCATGAAGACATCGGCAGAGCAATCCCCATCACCACCTTCGATCGCTTGGAACTTAACCAACAGCAAGCTGAGATCATGGCCGCCAACATTGAAGGCCTGGAACAATGCCCGTGCTGCGATTACAAAGCCATTTGCGGAGATATCAAAGAAGAGCCTGTATACTTCTGTCAGAACCCAGAGTGTTCTCGCGCCACCTGCAGACGATGCAAGAAGGACGACCATGCACCAAAGACTTGTGAAGAAGCCAGTGTAGACAAGGTCTTGTCGGCGCGACATCTCGTCGAAGAAGCCCGATCAGCAGCTGTTATACGGACATGTCGAAAATGTGGCGCGCCAATCCTCAAGGACTTTGGTTGCAACAAGATGGGTTGCACGCGATGCGGCAGTGCATTTTGTTACGTTTGCAACGACGACATCACCGACTTTCCTGGTGGTTCTTACAATCACTTTGACCCAAGTAAATGCATCCTCTACGACGAACCGGGTTACGACAGACATGAAAAGGAGGCCATCGAAGCCGAGAAGGAAGCTATCTCTAAAGCCAAAGCCATAGATGCCGATCTTGATGAGAATCAGCTGCGAATCGACCCTGAGATCAAAGAAACTCGCACTGTCGCCATGCAAAACCTCCTCGACCACCCTGCCGGCGGTGTCTTCATGCGCGACATCAACAATCGCGTGCTGCAAATCAACGACCGTCAAATGCACATGCACAACCTGCAGGCACGTGTTGAGCAGCTTGAGGCACGCCGGCCAGATCGTGAGGTCGGCCAGATCCTGGCCGAGGCACGTGCAATGGCCGGGGGGTTCGGGATGGACAACATCCCACCCCCCGAGGTCAGATTGCAGCAGCTCCGGCAGCTGCAAGACCTGCAGCGACGTGCGCGGGAGCACCAGGGAGGTCGTGGCGCGCAATAGGCGCCAACAGCATGATTCGGTCGGGTGGACGCGGCGGCGATGGAGCGCTGTATTGTCGCCGTCGCGGGCGCCGTGGCCATCCGGCGTCATGTTGTGTCTCTCTTGCTCTTCTGTCGGCGTCGCGGGCGCCAGCGACATCCAGCGTCGTGCTGGCATTTTGACGACGGCGGTGTGCCAGGAACAAAGGCACTTGGACACTTGGAGTCTGTGTACTCAAATAGACAGGAATTGCACTTGATTGTAGATGATGCTTTCTCATTGCGCCTCACGTTCTCCCCCAGGGATGCCTTCCCTCGTCACATGCTTTCGTGCCTTTTCCGCGGTTGGACGCGATGTGTAAATTCGCCTGTTGACGTCACTCGATCAGGCCTCGAGATCAACGTGGTTCGTGTTCTGGGCCGTGTTCATTGTTTGAGGCGCCACGCAGGTCGAAAATGGTCTGGGCTACGGCCATTCGTACCCGACGTCTGACACCTTGAGCCTTCGACCCCTCATGGCGAAGTTGCAGGCGGCGACGGTGTCTCGAGTGCCCGTCAATCGAAAGCGAAAGCGGCAACCCAACGACGCTGAAGCGCAGTCAACTGACGCTGATTCGGTTGCCACTACATCGACAACGGCTACGGTTCCGACGAAAGGGCACGATGGGGGCGCAAAGCCTAGGCGGACCAAGGCATCCTCAAAGCCAGCAGTGCTGCGGCGGAGTTCCTCCTCTAACCTCGTTGAAACGGAGATCGAGTGGCCAGAGCACTTCAAATACCTATCTCAACTACACCGCGCCTTGAATCTAGTCTACACATTTTGCTGCACCAGGAAGCACTTCGCGACGACATGGGACAATATCAAGGCTGCGGTGGAAGGACATATCAAGCGGCCGCTGGTGGAGGACGATGTGGCGCAGGTGAAGGCTTTGGTACCTCGAGCCATCAACTTTGCATACGTGGACGAAGAACACCTGCTCGTCACACTGATGGGTGAAGAAGACGGTGTCAAGGGTGGCAGGGCAGAACACTTTCGATCGCTCCAAGAGGATGAGAGCGGGCCAAAAGACCCTCCGGGAGAAGCCAAGGAGCTGCTTTTGTTTGAATTCATTGATGGCGATCTGAAGAGACAGGTCATTGATCCCAAGACAGGGCAGCCGACCAAAGCCACGAACAAGTTACGCAACGAAGACCTCAAGATGCCTGTGTTCAGCCAGAAGTCCATGCTGAGGCTCATCGAGAAGCGCAACGTCAAATTCACCTCGGCTATTAATTCATTTCTCAATCAGTGTGCTGAAGAGCAAAAGGACGCGGTCGAAAAGATTATGGAAATGAAACAACAATACATTCCTTATCCCTCCGCATCTCACCACGAAACCCCAGCTCCACAAGTTGAAGGTTTGCCCAAGGTGATCCCGAAAGAACGAAGATCCATTTCCGACATCGTCAAGGAGATCAGCGAGTTGGAGTGGTATACGCACCAGATTGTGCCAGATGGACATCGCGTCTTTGATCCCCAGCCTGCGATATACGGCGATCTGAGCTTCCCGCTGTCCCAGAACTTAGTCAACGCGTTATACAACTGCAAGAACATCACCAAGCTTTATTCTCACCAAGCGGAAGCAATCAACAACCTGCATGATGGCCACCATGTTATCGTGTCCACGTCAACCAGCTCAGGAAAGTCGCTGATATACCAGATCCCAATGCTTCACGAACTCGAGAAGGACCCCGAAAGTCGAGGCATGTATATTTTCCCGACCAAGGCACTCGCCCAGGATCAAAGGAGAAGTATGAAAGAGCTACTGAAGTACATTCCTGGCTTGGAGCACACCATTGTCGAAACCTTCGATGGCGATACCCCGATGAGGGAACGCAATCAGATCCGGGATGAAGGTCGAATCATCTTCACGAATCCCGACATGTTGCACATCACAATACTGCCGCAGGAGAGCGGGTGGAGAACATTCCTCCAGAACCTGAAGTACGTCGTCGTTGACGAACTGCACGTGTACAATGGCCTCTTCGGCGCCCATGTAGCATTCATCATGCGTCGGTTGCGGCGAATATGTGCCGCGGTGGGAAACCGCAAGGTGAAATTCATCTCTTGTTCCGCCACAGTGGCGAACCCACAAGAACACATGAAGACGATATTCGGCGTCGATAAAGTCAAGCTGACGGATTTTGACGGGTCGCCGTCCGGTCGCAAGGAGTTCATCTGCTGGAATACACCGTACAAGGACCCAGGTGACCAATCCTCGGGGCGAGGCGACGCCTTTGCCGAGACCGCACGGCTGATCTGTCAGCTCATCTTACGCGGTGTTCGAACCATTGCATTCTGTCGCGTGCGGAAGCAGTGCGAAGTCCTGCTGGCAGCAGTCAAGGCCGAATTCACCAACCTCGAGAGACCAGAATGTGCCGCACTGGTCATGGGATATCGAGGCGGCTACTCAGCCCAGGACCGCCGGCGCATCGAATCAGAGATGTTCAGCGGCAGGCTCATGGGCATCATCGCCACTACCGCGCTCGAACTAGGCGTGGACATTGGCTCCCTCGACGCCGTCGTCACGATGGGGTTTCCATACACGATTGCTAACCTGCGACAACAAAGCGGTCGAGCTGGGCGCCGAAATCGCGATTCACTTTCGGTACTGGTCGGCGACGCGTTCGCCGTGGATCAATACTACATGCAAAACCCAGACGAGATCTTCACCAAACCTAACTGCGAATTGCAGGTCGACCTGACCAACGAACTTGTCGTGGAGGGACACATCCAATGCGCCGCGTTCGAAATGCCTATCAAACCTGACGAAGACGAAAAGTACCTGGGGAAAATGGTGACGGAAATATGCGCGGACCGACTAACGTACGACCCGATGGGGTTTTACCACTGCAATGCGCGGTTTCGACCTTTGCCGTCCCGATGCGTGGCAATCAGGGATACCGAAGAGGATCACTTTGCAGTCATTGACATCACGCACGGCCGAAACATCGTGCTCGAGGAAGTGGAAGCGTCGCGGGCCTTCTTCACGCTCTACGACGGCGGCATCTTCCTGCACCAAGGCCGAACATACATGGTCAAGGAATTCTCGCCGGAACGCAAGATGGCACGGGTGCAGCTCGTCAAAGTCGACTGGACAACGCAGCAGCGCGACTACACCGACGTGGACCCCATCGAGACGGAACAAGTCCGGCGCGTCTCCGCCACGTCTCTGACAAAGGCATATTTCGGACGCATCAAGGTGCACGCCGTAGTATTCGGGTTCTTCAAGGTGGACCAGAAGCGTCGCATCCTAGACGCCGTGGCCGTGGACAACCCGCCTATCATCATCCACTCCAAGGGCCTGTGGCTCGACGTGCCCAAATACGCGCTCCAAATCTTGCAACGCAAGCGCCTGAACCTTGCGGCGGGAATCCACGCCGCGGAACACGCCCTCATGAGTCTGATGCCGCAGTTCGTGGTCAGCATGCCCGGCGACGTGCGCACCGAGTGCAAGAACGCGCTGAAGGAGTTTGCCAAGAAGGAGACGCAGCGCAAACGGCCTGCGAGACTGACGTTCTATGATGCGAAAGGTGGCCCCGCCGGCAGTGGGATCGCGGCCAAGGCGTTTGAATTCATCGATAGCTTGCTCGAGCGGGCGGTCCGGCGGGTCGCGGCCTGTCATTGTCTCGAGGGCTGCACCGAGTGTATTTGCGATGAGCGATGCAAGGAGAAGAACATGATCATGAGTAAAGCCGGGGCGGAGGTGATCTTGAAGAGTCTGCTGGGGATGGAGATCGATGTCGATGCTTTGCCTGAGGGCGAGGAGGAGCGCGTGCCTGCTGGGGTTGAGACCATTGTGTTCGCGACCGAGGTTATGGGCCGGGATGGGCGGAGGGTCGTTGAACGGGAGGCTGGGTTCGTGAAGAAGGAGAAGAATGACGAGGACGCGATTGTCATCAAGGATGAAGAGGATGGTTAGGAATGATGGACGTGAGAATGATTGAGAAATGAAAACATGAGGGGCTCTGGTATGAACAAAACTGGCATGATAGATTTGGGAGGACTACTCGTACTCATACGATTGCATCCTTGAGGTCGACGAATCGATGTATTCGACCGGCAGTCTATCACGATTGAATGGAATGCCTGAGGTCGACGAATGGTATTGATGTATACATAAGCAGTGTACCGACCGCTGAGACCAATCTCCAGAGTCATCTCGTTCCTTTCAGAGTAGTTTCTATTCCACCACCAGTTCTATCTCCCTCCCGTGGTTGCGCCCCCATCCAACGCCCTCGTAGCATGCCTAACAAACGCCTCAGCTTCCCTCCTCACACCCTCAACATCCACACCACCACTCCCATATGCCCGGGCGATCGCCGCCTGAACCTCCTCCTCCGCCCATACACTCTCGTCCCCCTTCCCCTCCACCGCGACCACAGTCCGCCAATAGTCATCATCCACGCCCTTCAAGGTGGGATCCCTTACCACAGCATTCCGCGCAATACTGTACGCCCTCAAATTCGTCCCCGCCACCTGCAACGCCAGCGTCGCCTGCGTGACAGTCTCCTCGGTCCTGCGGCGGCTGAGTTCGGGGTCTGCATTCCCACTGCTGATCACGGGGAACAACCAGAACCGGCGCGTGGCGTGGGCGTAGATAAGACCCGCCACCCCCACATCAAAGGCCACAAGGCACAAGTATCGGAGCGAGGATCCCACCCAGAAGGTTCCCCCTGGGGCGGTCGTCGTGGGCGGTACAATGGGGGCGTATGTCGTCGTTAGAAACACGTCCAGGGCCGCGAGGATCAGGGCGCACAATACGGTGCCCTGTCGCCAGGTGCTGGCTTCGTAGCCTGCCACCGGCTCGGAGGTGGCGAGGCCGAGGGTGAAGATGTGGAAGAGGTGCGGGAGGACGGCGTGCGTGGGGAGGTGGTAGAGGAGGTACGAAAGGGTATCGTCGGGGTGGCAGAATTGGCATCCCAGGAGGGTTGAGGGGCCAAAGCGGAGGTAGAGTTGGCGGAGGCTACGATAGCGTTTTGATCAGTCGTTCAGCCTCACATAAGGCAGGAATTAGGGATTACGCATCAAACGTGGAGAATCGGGAATGGGGGTGAGGAACGACCCATCGATTGCACATCGACGGCTGGGTTATGGCGCACGTGCTGTAAAGAACGCGCAGCAAAGCGAGGATAGACATAGACATGATGATAGGCATGAAGCATCAAGAACGGGGAATCGGGAATGGGGAATGACACACAGCGAACGCATTTCAAAGGCTCGGTTCTTGCGTGCATGGGACAAAAAGCACAGCAGAAACAGGAGATGACTTACGCCGGCGACGTGAGCTTCGCCCGTAGCGCCTCGTCCACGGGCATGAGCCGCCTCCCCTCCCTCAACAGCGCCAGCCTCTCAAAGAGCACATCCGTCGCAACACCGAGCCTGCTCTGCGTGACCACGAAGACGTTATGCTCGCTAAGGTCGCCGCGCAGGTTCGGCCACGAGGCGTAGAGAAACGTGCATATCGATCCGAACAGCGCGTTGAGGCCGCGTGTTGTTTTGCTGTCCAGGGGCCGTGGGGGAGGGCGTGTTCGGTACGCGACTTTCAAAGCGCGGTAATAGGCGAGTGCCCTTGGGAGGATGAATGTGAAGAGTAGGGGCCAGAAGGGTTTTATGCTGTAAGTGGGAGGGTTCTTCGTTAATTTACCTTTGGGGTTTCTTGTTTTCGAGTGGGACGGGGAGGGATGCGTAAACGTACCTGCTCCAGAGGGTCATGGCGGCGAATTTTCCAAGGGCGAGAGTGGTTACATGGTAGATTGGCAGTCTGGCTTTTGAAAACTCTGGTACTCTTGTTTAGGATTGCCGTGGTCAAGGGCAGAAGCATTCTTGAGACGTCGCCTCGCTGGTTTGTATGCGGAGTCGGAAAATCGATGGTCCGCATTGCGAGGCTGGAATGATGCCGGTGCTAGGAGTACGGAGTACAGCCTGGTCTACCGTGTCGTGCGCTTGGATTTATGTACTTGATACTCCGTATATCTACTGTTTTTGCAGGAGAATGCGAGCAGGGCACGAGGGAGTGAATATCTGAAAGCCAGTACTCCGTACGCAGTACACCATCTGAACATGGCGTTTTGACCACATCCTTGGTTACAGTCTGGTCATGGCAACTTCTGGTAGCAAGCAAGATGGCCTGTGGCCTCTGTGGTCGTCGGGACTGGAACCTCTACGCGTCACGCAATAATCACTCAGAGAAGGAGCAAATTCGAACGTCCGTGGCCACAGAATGTGGGTGGTCCAGCAACCAAATGATCGAGATGTAGCCGACTCTAGTATTGACCGCTGTTCGCTGCATGCACCTCTCACAGAACTCCTCGCTAAGCCGCTTCATATCCATTCCCAGTACGTCCACGACAGGAGAGAGACTATGCGTCTTGAACCGTTGCGAGGAAGGCGGGTCATTTCTTCTTCGTGTCCGCCCCCCCTTCTGACTTTTTGGCTTCGGCTGTCCCCAGAAATCAGAATGAAATCTATGTGCCCAACCTACACAGTAGAGGAATATAGAAACCCACCTTTTGCCTGCTTTTCTCGCATGATGGCTGCCTGTTGTTCTTTCGTCCGCTGAAACTCGGTGCCAGATTGCGTGTTTTTCTTTTTCTGTCGCAGGACAAGTGTCAGTGTCATACCCTTGCACGTCGTGGATCCCGTCTGTCGAGCCGGTGGAGTCTCGTAGCTGCTGTCTGGCGAGAGGCTCGAGAAGTCGGCGAGTCTGCTTGTGAGGCGATAATCTTACCTGTCCAGCTTGCTCTTTGAGATTCTTCTCGCGCGCCTTGTCTCTCTGATTACCTCGAGTCATTTTGGTGGCGCAGGGTGTAGAAGGGCGTCTAAATTTCCGTTTGGGAGCAGACTATTGTAGATTATCGACGAACGCGACTACCCGTGAGAGAGCTGTAGGGAAGTTCTGTGTTCAGTCTGAGTCGGAGCCTTACAAGGGCGAGCGCAGGTTGTCGGCAAAAAGAAATCGCGCGTCCGAGGAACGACCGAAGCAGATTCGATATCAACCTCATCTCACCTCGTCGATACGCACCACCTTCATGCCTGACTGATCCTGATCCTGATGGCGCTGAGGTGTCCTGCCGGTCACTCCACGAAAATCACTGCATTTCTTCGGCATGCTCGAGGCTGTGGCAATTGGGAAACGGTCTGGGCGTCAAGGGCCAAATAAGGCAGCAATTCTCAAGCGCGTTTCAGATTCTGCTGACCCTCAAGTGTCGTTACACCTCATCCACTCCTTTCCCTCGCCTCGATCAGGCCTGAGGAAAACCATCGAGTCTGCTTCAGCTGCACATTCTTGACTACATTGGGCATCGGCAGGCTCGATTTGTCTTGATATCGCCACGCGCGAGGACCCTTTCCTGTCTGAAACTGATCCCGAGGTCTTTTCAGACAGTACAACCATCTGACCAATGGACACGTCCGGCTCGTGGAATACACAATGGGTTTACTACAGCTTCATCTCGCGCTCGCGCGCTTATTGCGACTGTCATTCTGAGACGAAAGAATGTCGAGACGACAATCGACTCCAGGCTCGACAAGAGTCATTGAAGAATTGTTCATTTCTGCCGCTCCCCCTCCAGCTTCTGTCACTTGCAGCTTTCCTTATGTTCATTCGACTCCATTGATGTCCGCAGACTCAATAGCCGTCACTAATCCTATTGTTCTATTCTTGAGATGCTCTCACTGTTGAATTGATCTACACAAATATCTTCTTCTTGCAAACTGTACAGTCCTTCTTAACCTGTCAGAAAATTCTATATACCCCGGCGACAGTGTTGAGCTTCAGACGACACATATCGCTTTCTCGAATCAAGTTCAACCAGTCCAATACAGCAGAATGCTCTTCTTTCCCAAGAAATTAGCCGGCGCTGGCTACGTCGTGCTCAACGTCCTCCGAGTCATGAACATAATTGCCCTTCTAGCCGTGATTGCGGCGAGTTCAGTCATGCTGGTCAAGACTTTCATTGTATCAAAATTTTTCTTCTTCGATGCCTGTGAACACATTATCCGAGTCGTAATGAGCGGTGAGTCTTTCGGAACGCAATTGCAACTGGTGAACTTTTGCTGACTCTCGTTCAGGCTTCCTAATCCTTACCGAGTTGTCGCTCTTCAAGTCGTACATTTCCAAAAATTGGCCTCTTTTCAGCCCTCGATCTAGCTTCGTCATGCTTGGAGTAGCCATGATCTTCCTCGGAAATAGCGTGCTCGGAAATCTCAACAAGCAAGCAACAAGCCAGGAGAGCATTGGCTTGCCTTTCTGGCGCCTTGTCATTGCTGCGGGGATCATCATCTTTGTGATGGGCTTCATCAACCTCTTTGCAGTGAGTACAAGCGCTCTATTCATTCGAGTACCATTGTCTAAATGTCGTCGCAGAGCTTCATTTTCCGAGACACCAAAGCCCACCTCACAGCTCGACAAGTCAGATCCCATGGTGCCGTTGCATCCCACAAAGCTGATGTGGAAGCGTTCACACCGAAACCTCCAAGCCGGAAAAGCCACTACCGATCCTTCTTCCTTGGCAGCAAGCGAGATACCCTACCTTCATACTCCCGCAAGAACGACGTTATGGTCGAGACGCCGAAAATGCACCTGGCCATCTCAAGCCCTTTCCCTCAGGCAGCGCAGAGTCCTGGTGCTTCAAGCTCGAAGTACAGCGCGAGTCCCAAAAGCGAACGATATGCCATGAGTCCTGAACTCAGCAGACCCGATCTCGCGCATCATCCCGCAGTCACCCACGGTCAGGCCTTTTAGTGGAGGACATGATCCGAAGGAGTTGAAGGCGGAAATGTGCTTGTGAAAACATCGAACATCTGCGAGACGCGCTGAAATACGAGGACCTACATGGTATTTTGAGTCAGATATCCATGATAAACGTTGATGACTGGCTTACGGAGGCGATTCTGACACCAGAGCCTCGCATGAGCAAGATTTTGCCACTGTTTCTCACACAGATACCCAGGAAAAGCCATACTAATACATGATGAGATACGAAACACAAGATCAGATCCAAGTTGTGATACAGGACGAGTACGAGTACGAGTATATGAACTTACCTCCGACTGCACAGCCACGTACATTATGTGTATGACCTCGCAGTCAGCCCCGCAGTGTTTGTGCTATCCTCATCTCCGCAAAGACGGTCCTGCAGCCAGGACCTCCGATGGCACGGCAAGCTATCGACCAGTGTCCAAAAGTTCCATCACGAGCTTCGTTGGGTACTGTACTTGCGCGCGTGTTAGTAAGACGGACATGGTCCTCTCCTCCATGGACCAGTCGAGACCAGCCATTGACCCGTTTCAGGCTCAGCCGAAGACACAGACAGCCAGACCCCTCCTTTCGCAATCCGCCACTTCAATGCGTACATATCCCACTATCTTCTCGTGTCGCCCTTCGTCCTATCCCATGCCATCCTAGACCAGCAGACTCAAGCGCTCCACACAGCTCTCCTCGCCCCAAAGTCTGGTCTGGCGCTGGCTCTTGTTTAGCTCCCGCACCCTTCTGCCCCAGGCTTCTGCGCTCAGCCCCATGCACAAGGGTCATGTTCTCTCGCCCGATCGGGTCAACCACTTTCCCAGCACGGTAGACTCGACGCATTTTCATGATACAGCAGTGAAAAAATCGCCACTCATGTGGAGACCTGGGCGTCTATAAGCTTTCCCTCGTCTGAGGGTCGCCAGTGAGCAGCGCAGCGAGCGGTAGTGGGGGGCTCGGTGTGGCGGATGGCATGAGACTGCGTGCTGGCCGTTGGGCAGCAGCGGCGTGCGATGTACACTTGGTAGGGAGTACATTCTACCCGGTAGCACTTTAGCCATAATCTGTCAAGGCCCTACGACTACTGGTGAAAAATTCATGTACTTAGGGCTGTGGTTGTCGTTGTCATCTCACGATGTCTCTGAGCGTAGGGCCCATGCCGCGGTACATAGTACAATAGGTAAGGACGTGCACTCCCTACCCTTTTACACGGCATCCACCATTGCTTCGCTCAGCAAGTTCGAATCCGACATGTGTATGTGTACCTCTTTCTGCGTCATGCTACGATGCCCATTGAAACAAGGCCAGAGGAGCTACACGACAAGCAACTGAGCAGTGAGAAGGCGGACGGAGCAGGTGTCTGAGGTACCTACCTATCAGTAAGCATGTACCGTGCCACTTCCCGCTTGAAGTCGCTCGGTTAGTCGGTCCGTCGTACTCGCTTTCTGGACATATCCACTAATTAGGTACGTACCTTCTTCTCCATCCCCAGTCCGCGCGGATCCCTGTTCTTCAATGAATTCTGGCCTCGGCAATCCTCAGCTCCTTTCAGCTCATGCACGGCTTCCCGGGCCTAGCCCACAGTGATTGCCCATCGAGCAGTCAAACGATTTCACTGTACCCAACCATGAGTACCCAGTATGTACTGTGTAGCACCCTAAGAGAATCTAGTCGCCTGCCGCTCACCTGCGGTGCATACAATCATGGCAGGATCGACATCACTATACTGGCGGGACTGGGTATTCTTCCTAAATGTGAAGTCCGCGTGCTCGCGTACTGTGGACGGAAACAACATCCTTAATTATCCCGGCTTCGGGTCGCCCCCTTAACACACTTCGTACAAGGTTTAGAGCAGGAGTAGTTCAGAGTACTTGTACGTACTTCACTACCCCACCAGAACCTTGACCTTGCGTTTCCATTGTCGAGATCAAGCCTCATCCGTCCTGGAATTTGCGCTCAAGAGCCGAAAGCCTCCCATCTGTCATGCTAGGTCGTCGATCAACTTGGGGACTAACAGATCAGCTCGTTACTTCAGGGCGACGCCACAGAAGAGGACTGAACGCATGTCAGTCAGCTGTTCTTTAGACGCGTCGAGACTCACTCACAAGCTCCATCTTGGCTGAGTTAGCCCGTCATGCAGACGATAAGATCACCCTGCCCTTTTTTGCCCCTCTGGCCCCTGAGGGTACGAAGCACCTACCTGATGTGCTGGCGGCTGGCGGCTGGGACTTGCTACTGTACGTGTACGAGTACACAGCGACTGGCAGACCGATGGGCTTTAAGTCTACTGTACCCCGTATTACTTTACTTTCGAGCAGGAATATCTATCTAGGTGGAAAGGCGATGCATGAAGCACCAGAAGGGTCGGATTGGGGCACGTCGGTACCTACTCACTCCACTGGACGGACCCTGTACCGAGTGCATCCAACATCAAGCCCTGTTCTCTGCCTACTCAGATACAATCATCTATGTATCTCGCCCGGTAAGTACAGGGAACTTGTAGTCTCAGTGCACAGTACTCCCTACGACCGATATATCGGGATAAGGTAACTTTACGGAGTACAGGTACTGGGATTTCCTGGACAGGGGAGTTGGGTTCAAGGAAACGCGGCTGCGAAACCCCCTGAAGCACCGCAGATCACAATGTCCGGACTGCACTGAGCGCTCCATAACGGATTTGAGTGCCGCTTCACATAACTCGTGTGGAGCAGTCAGTCTCTCTGTTTGAAGGAGCACGCGACGCATAAGAAGCAGAGAACGAGGGGCTTGTGCGTGAGTTCGACGACGCCTGCTGTAAACTCTATTCTTTTCTCGATCACTTACTGATTTTCAGCGCGGGTGCTGTGGAGGGCCTGAGGTGTGGTGAACGTGTGATGTGGTGAGGTGAGAAAGTGAGAAAGTGAGTGAGTGCGTTACGGTACATAAGCATGCTGGGCTGCGTTACGTACCGGTTCCAGGTGCTTGTGTAGAGAGAAGGGGGAAGATCAAGTGTGTCTTTTGTTATGTGTATAGAAGAGGCGGGAGGATCAAGCGTGCCGTTTGTGATCTGTAGAGAATAGGGGAAAGGGTCAAGTGTGCCGTTGTGATCTGCAGAATGCTTGAGAAGCAGCCGGGACGAGCAACCATGTGCGATGCGTGAATAGACACAATTTACCTCCAAGCTCGCGAGTCTGGAGAGATTTGACTTGACCTTGCTTTTTGGCTTGGTACGAGTGTATTGTGTCCTATGCCACATGAGAGGAGGATGACAATGATGGTAGTGATTCGTAGCTTTGATGCTTGATCTCCGCTCTCTGATAGCTCATCCTTGTACTGTACTTGGACATGCGCGGTACGACTCGACTGCTGGTATGACATCGCTTGGCATATAAACAAGTAGACACCGAACCGTAACATTGCGCCTGACTCTCCCATGCATATGACATTCCCTGTTCGTTCGTGACTTCGTGCTTTCGTTAGCAAGGAGGAGAGGAGAGGATCGGGATGATCACCCTTGAGTTCTTGGACACTGCCAAACCGCCCTGTCTCCCTCATCAGTCTATCGACAACGTATTTTCTTCAAGTTGTGCTGGCCCTTGCCCTGACATTCCTCGAGCCGTCCATCCCGTCCCCTTCCTCAGGTCAACAGCCACCCTCCGGGGGATTTACTCCTGGTCCGCGACTTCTCCCTCACCACGTACATCTTGTCACCTTTCTTGACAAAACCTTTGGTGTGGGGCGTCAGCGTGGTGATCGTCTTGGTCTCCTTCACGTATGGTCCCGTGATCAACTTCCGCTCCTTCAGCCGGCGGGTATGCTCGAATAGCTCGTCCTGTAACGAGTGGTCGATATACCGTTTGATGATGATAAATTCGTCGTCACGCTGTAGGACAGACAGGAGGAAGCAAACGATTAGCGAAAAATCCAATAGGAGGAATGAGTGTCCGAAGAGAAGATCGCACGGAGACGGATATCAACAGAAAACGAGGCGATTGTGCAACCCTGCCACCAAACCAGAGCAAACCACAGTACAACAGTCAAGGTAGGGTGATACGTACTGCGTCCCATTCCCAAGGCAACCCGTAGTGATCCAGCGTGTCTGGGTGGAGATATTTGCGATTAACCTTGATAAAGGTCGGACGATGGAGGTCGATAGCCAGCGTGTCGCGCTGGGCTTTCTTCTTGTGGAGCACTTCTTCGATTTCGTCGGGAGTGTAGCCTGTGATACCCAACAGAGTGAAACCGTTAGTCTGTGGTCCGACTTGATGCAATGGTTACCATCATTCCTCAAACGAGTGGCATCCGACCAAGCGGATCATAGTCAAACTCTCAACAAAAAGAGTGACGATCTTGCCGAACCCAGGACGTGAACCTTGAGGGTCTGAGTCCCGGATGACCGACTAATAGAAATAATCGTGATAGCGATAACGGGACCTGCGCATACCAGCATTCATGAACTTCTCCTTGACCTTCCGCTCGAACTCTTCCTCCTCGGCCTTCTTCTTCTGCTTCTCCTTTTCGCGGCGCTCTTCCTCGTCCTTGAGGATCCTCTTCCTCAGCTCGTCTTGCTCTTTGTCCTTGCGTTCTTTCTCCAACTTGGCTTCCAAGAGAATTGCCTCCCGCTCCTTCCTCTTGCGCCTCTCTTCTTCCTCCTCCTCTTGCTTCCAGCGCTTTCTCTCTTCTTCGCGGTCTCTCTTTATGCGCTCCATGACTCGCCGCTCTTCTTCTTCCTTGCGTTGCGCCTTGGCGAAGTCGAGCTCTTTTCGAAACTTGTAGGGTAAATCTTCTTCGTCAAGCGGGTCTCGTTTGCTGCTTGGCCGGCGCTCCTTTTCAGGACGAACTCGCTCTGGGCGATGTCGGTGTCGCGATCTCGAGCGCTCACTGGAGTAGCTGGAGCTGGAGGAGGATCCGTCGCGATGGTGATGGCGATGGTGGCTGCGGCTTCGGCTGTGGTCACGGCCACGACCACGGCCGTCGCGCTCACTGAGGGCGCCGCCGCCTATATTGATGATCGCAGGTGCCACGCCCCCACCCTGGCTGGTTGCACGAGGGCGAGCATGTGGTACCTCGAGGAAATTGTTCACCTCAATGGGTAAGTCATGGTGACGGCGGCCTCGTCCTCCATATTCGCTGCCGCCGTGGACGCTCTTCACGGGCATCAACACATATTCGTGGTCGGAACCCGATGACCGTCGAGAGTAGGCCATCTTCGTCGGCTGAGCCGTGCCCCTCCGGTTAGCGTACCTTCAGCCCCGTCACAGAAATCGAGAAAGTCGGGGATCGGTGGTGGGGCAGACGCCCGATTGCTATGAGGCACTACAATCGGGCGTGGCGACGCAGGTCGGAAATCCAAACAAGGATACGCCCAGTAGCCAAACAAGCCTCAGACGTCTCTTGTCGTTGTATTAGTCTTCGTGCTCACAGGTGACAGCGATGAAAAGAAGGAGAAAAGGTGTTTGCTGCGGGTTGCTCCGTGGTGGGGAGGCCGTTTGCTTTATGGTGTCCGTGGGCTGCAAGCCTAGCCCAAGCCCAGTTTGAGGCTGGACTGCTGAACAGCACCCGCAATCTGCGCTTTGGGGGCCAGGCGAGCTAAAGTGGCGAGCACGCACGTAATTATGGTGCACCAGCGACAACTGGAACCAAGCCCGAACCCGAAATGACCGGAAGATTAAAACTTGCCAATGAAAAGCGCGCGTGTAAAGGCCTGCCGTTTTCCACCTCTGCCAATACACGAGAAACGAGCACTGCCACCCCTCTTCACTTGCAACAGTCTGAGAGTTTGTTTGAGATCTAGCTGGGACACGAGCCACAGTGAGTCTCTCGCCGCCGATCTTGAAAGGGGCTGCATCGATGCTATATTGAGATTCTGTCTAGATTGTCTGAGGGTTTCATCTCTCTCCGGTCACGACCTTGCACGCTTAGTGGGCCTTGGACGCCTGAGATGCACGTCTGGAAAGCAGGTATGCGTCATTCAGCATGCGTAGCCATGGGTGAAAAAGAGCTCTTGCTCCTGTGGTAGGCTTTCCATATGGCATGGCATAGTCCCTGGGACACCAGTGAATCGAGCCCTCTCCGCACAGGTGTTCAAGTACACAGTAGACTGCTAACGCCTGCCAAATGCGGGCTCAATCCTGCATATATGACCTGGCCGGACAAGTCCCGTCTATTAGACGCAGCAATACCGCTACCCAGCATTGAGCCTCGAATCTTGTCAGGATTGGCGTAAGTGACCACGACAAACTTATTGCTTGGCCAACCATACCCAATATGATTTAACAGAGCCGACATCCCTGAGGTCAGCAGCGCACAGTGGTGGCCTTTTGTGAGCTGCACTTCGCCCATAAGACCTCGTGTCAGAGCCGGAGTGCTGTCTCCCTATGTTGCTTGTGGTTCGGGGTGTCTGTCCAATGTTGCCAATAGGGTTGATCAGATTCAACACCATGTGACAGCAACAGACATACACAATTGTCGCGTGCTGCCGATGCAACAGCTAAATCGGATAACCCTTTGTTTGCGTCCCAAGTGACAGTCCATCTATCATGGCTTCCCTCATGGGAAAGAAATTGCTCACTGGGTTAGTACCAATGTATCGTCGTCAGCGAGCACCAGTTTGCAGGATCTTCTCAATATGTTGTCGACTGTTCTTGAATGTTGTCTCTTGGTAGTGTAGTTTCTTGTCCAGGTCGGCGATAATCTTCTGCAGAGCAGCCGACTCAGACGATAACCGTTCATTGAGCGCTGTCATGGGCACAGCAACGAACCTGGAAAGAGACGTCTCAGTGCTAGCAGAAGGGTTAATGTAAAGGCTACCTACAATTTCCCAACACCTTCGTAAACATTCGTGTCTTTAGACAGAGATTTGAGCTCATTGGAAGTTAATTGGTTCAATCTGGCGTCACGGCGTTTTGCAGTGAGTTCTGCCTGTGTCTGTGTGATCTTCTGTTGGGAAAGCACGGCCTGTGCTTCGACCTCCTGAAGTAACTGCGCGAAAGTGAGCAAGAAGTGAGAGTATGGCAGGAGAAAGAGCAGACCTTCTGAAGTGCCGCGTTCGGTATCGCCATCGTGACAGAAGTCTAAAGATAGGTGTGTGAGGAACCAACTGCAGATAGTCGAGATTTTGAGCCGCAACTCAGTGAACTTTGATGAATGGCAATCAATATCCGCGTGCCCTGGAGACGTGGAACAACGCGCTTGAGTGCCCAGTACACTAAGTTGAGTACCGAGGGATCGTCACTCCGGGCTTCACGAGGCCGATGGAGGAGCCGAAGGGTCGTGCGAGGGGCAGTCATTCACGTGCTAATTAGGGCTCAAAAGATCTGCCTGCCGGTTCGCCTGCTGGGTGAAGCAACGTCATCCCGCGTCCGAGACAAAACACGTTATGTCGTGGTTCTACTCCACTGATATGTCGTGTGTTGTAAGTGACTCCGTTTGTTCAACATCCAGTCCATCCGCTCCCGGCCTGAAGATAGTTTTTGGAAATGCAAAAGATACAACACCTTCTCATCGATATGTTGTAGCCTCAAGCCACGAGCTCACAAATCGAAGCGATCCTCGAACACATCAGCCTCGACAAGCATGCCCTCATGGCTTCCTTCAGTTCCTTACCCGCCGCCAGGGCAGCCTGGGTTTTGGGATCCAGTCACTAGCACTCTGCAATGGTGCGAAGAGGTATGAGAATACACCCCAAGGTGGAAGAGCTGTCCCAGCTGACGTGACAAGGACTACTATGCCACCTACTACTCCGCCGAGATCATTAACACCTTGACCAACTTGATGTTCATATACCTCGCATACAAGGGTGTCAAAAGTTGTAGAAAACATGGACATGACACGGTCTTTGAGGTGGCATATTATGGATATTTCCTCGTTGGATTTGGGAGCTTCATGTTCCACACCACCTTGAAATACCCGTGGCAACTGGTCGACGAGCTTAACATGATCTACACGACCTGTCTGATGGCCTACGCGTCGCTCTCCTACTCGCAGCCGAAGAGCACCCAGATCTATTTGGGCGTCTTCTTTGTCCTCTTCTGCGCCGGCATAACCGCATACTACCACTACCTCCAAGATCCGGTATTCCACCAAACCGTATACGCCCTCCTCACCGTATTCATCGTCTTCCGCAGCATTTACAGCATGGAAACCTCGCTTCGACCGTCCCTGCGAAAGTCGGAAGAAAAGCATCGCCTCGAGAGGAAGAGGTCCGGTGTGCCTGACGTGATCAGCAAAGAGCAACAGGCATATGAAAATCAAAGAGACCGGCAAATTCTCAAAACAATGTGGATTCTCGTGGGGTTCGGCGTGAGCATTTTCCTCACCGGCTTCTACATCTGGAACCTCGACAATATCTACTGCTCCACACTGAGGCGCTGGCGGAGAAACATTGGCATGCCCTGGGGTTTCGTACTTGAAGGGCATGGCTGGTGGCATCTGATGACCGGGGTCGGAGCCTACGACTACATCGTTTGGGGGATTTATCTGCGGCATGTCCTGAATGGAGATCAAGAACACTTCAGAATGGTGTGGCCTAGTTTTTTCACGCTGCCGGAAGTTGTGAGGATGTCAGATCCCCCAAGGGATGCGGGAGTCAAGAAAGGCCAGGGCACTTATCGTGCTGTTTCTGCGGATGGAAATGCAAACGGCAGTGCTAACGGCAGCGCCAAGGGCCATGTCAAGAAGCGGAAGTAAGAGATAAAAATTCTCAGGATAGATTAGAGTGACCTCTATCGAACGATGCGATTCTGACATATGTAACACTTAGAATTTTCGTTCAGTCCTGACCCGTCGGCTGTAGTCTGTAAGAGGAGCATTTGCGGGGCAACATCTACGGAAATAAGAGACCAAATATGCTATACAGGCCAGCTGCGAATCAAGCTGTAGCATTTATGATTGGGGACGAGGATAGATACCGTATCCAGGAAACAAAGGAGAAGTGACGTGGAGACGAAAGGGGATTGAGGCGGGAAAGTGTCTTTCTGGTCACGTGCATGCTTTTGTTCTAACCTTCGCCCGTGCTCTTTCGTTTTCCTGCTCGACAGGCAATAGAGGAAACGATGGCCGATCACTGGGCAAAACCACTGGGTTGTAGGGGGGTAGGAGATCTTTGCGGTTGCTGTGTAGACCGAGAATGAAGAGTCGGTCCCCGCGGTGAAGAAAGCGCTATCGGCCTGAGCGGGCATCCAGCCTCCTCTCCTTCTTGACCACACTCACGTTTCGGGTCTCTCGACACCAACACCATCGAGATCTTAGCATGGCCGAATATCTCAACATGGCCGGAGACCACGGCATGGTCGAGGACTACAGCGCGGCCGAGGACCTCGGTATGGACGACCTACCACGGAATTCAAACAGAGAGTCAAATGTGGTCTCTACGCACAATCAACTGCTAGACGCGCTCACTACCTTTCTGACCGTCACAACACACCATATTCTCTACCTGCGCCGGCTTTATCCTCCAACCTCCTTCCTTTCCACTCGTGCGTACGACTATCCCGTCCGCCAAAATCGGCATCCGAAAGTGTGTGCGTGGGTCAACGATGCAATGGCCGCGGTTCGTGATCAGTTGCAGAAGGATGTGGTCGAGAAGCTTTCACTCTGCGTATATGAGTGCAAGGCTAATCGCGTTCTCGAACGCTGGACATTCGATCTTCGATCATTTCCTCAAGTTATCAAACGCGATGACAACATCCCTATCGAGCCAAAACCACCAAACGAGGAGGAGGATGGTTACGACGACGAAGGCGACGACGATGATGGCGATATTCTGCTTGAGCAACTCAATCTGGCTGACCTGGAAGCCCATTTCCGTGCCACCTTGAGCCGAGTGGCCACCTCAGCAGCCCGACTCATGCCATTGCCAGAGGGGCCTGGGGCTCCTGAGTCCAGCTTTACCCTCGCTCTCGAGGTCAAGGACGAGGCTGACCGGCCTGTTGGTCGCATGGAGAAAGAGGAGCGGAAGTGGATTGCTGCGGAACCAGCGTCGGCTCTCAACCGTCCCAGTCCTTCGGTCCCTCCTCTAGAGCCACAGCAAAATGAGCAGGTCCTAGACAAATTATCACCCAGAACGCACCCAGTACGCCTTTTGGAGGTCGGCGAGCTTCGGCTGGAAGTCTGGGTGGAAGAATCTGCGGCTAAATTTGAGTTTGATCTTCCAAAAGCTGGGCCCAGCTCACACCTACCTCCATAACACAATACCGCGAAAATGTCTGGCAGCAATCGTTCCCGGCGGTATGTATGCCAATCATCTCGAACACCGTACGGCAGCCGCGACCGTTACGGGACAATTGGCAGGCTATCAGTACAGCTGAGTCGCCGCAAATGGTGGACTCGATTCCGCGACTCAGCAAAGTCTTTAGGTCCATGCCGTCATTCGCGCTTCGGCCCTTGTGTAGTGGTGCAGAATCATTGTTACTGTACCATTACCCACGGAGACGGCATTGGAATAAGATTACAAGCTCACTATCCTAGGGATTGACTTCGTTTGCAGCCCCACGATCCACCCACACCGCATTCATGGGTCGATGTCCTGGGCCGGAAGCATATTGCTTGTCAGACTGTCAGCCGCGGCTTTGAACTCCTGAAGCGGCAGCATCAAGCTATCTTCTTCGGACCCAAGCAGACGTATTCGATTCTGCACTATCGAGCCTCTGGTAAGTCTGGGGTTTGACACTCGCCCATGCCGGTCATATCTGGATTCTCGATTGATCTAGAAAGCGACCAGGATGCTTAATGGAAGACGAACGCGACTTGCCTTGGGTATCATCCCGGATTTCAGAGACAAGTTGAACCGTGAGGGACAACTGTGGCAGAATGGAGCAGTACATACTTGATTCCAGGTCTCAACTATTGACCCGCCTACAGTTCACACCACTGCGGAATGGTCTGAACGTCTGTGGTCTGCCCAGGAAGCGCAACACCGGACGCAGCTTCTCACGACTCCAGGTAGCCATGCGAATAGAAGGACACAGTGACTTTGTTCGTGACACTCCACTTTTCACAAACGCCTTTGTTCGGATGACTTCCTTCGTTGTCACTACAAACCAATCTTCACCTGTGACAAAGGCGATTGTTCAGGAGGCCTCCTGATCACTGACCAAACACTCCTGTCAAGGCATCTGAATAAGATCATCTTTATTGTTTATAACACTCCATGGCTGAGCTGCCACTTTCTCACTTGAACTGCCTCGTGACAATGGGGCGACTGCCTTTGATCTCTATATCGAAACGCCATAGTTCTCTGGAAGGTTTGGACTCTTTCTCTATCCCACACAATATTCACAAAACAGTTGACCTGAAGAAAGCACACAGGCTCTCAGAAACTTAAACCACCAAATGACCTCGAGATTCTTTTCGAAGTTCCAAAGACCCCACAACACTCCACACCCGTCATCATGCGACCTTCGACTCTTGTGTCCACTCTTCTTGTTGGAGGTGCCCGAAGCCTCTCAAACTATCAACTCGTCGGGAATTACTCCGGCGTCGCCTTTTTTAACAACTTCCAATTCTTCTCCGACCCCGATCCTACGGCAGGTTTCGTGAAGTATGTGGACCAGGACACTGCAAATTCGACTGGCCTCGCCGGCATAGCTTCCAGCGACCAGTTCAAAGATGTGGCCTACCTAGGTGTCGACTCTTCATCGACCGTGCAGGCCGGAAGACCATCGACTCGTATCGAGTCTCAGAATTCGTTCAACTCGTCCACTCTATTCGTCACTGATATTCGTCATCACCCTGGTGGCGTTTGTGGCGTCTGGAGCGCTTACTGGCTTGTTGGTCCTAACTGGCCATATGGTGGTGAGATCGACCTGCTCGAGAACATCAATCTTGCGACCACGAACAAGTATGTGTTGCATACTGGAAGCAATCTTGCCGTCTCGAACTTCAGCGATCCTACCGTTGCCAGCTCTACTGGCATGAACATCAACGGTCATTTCAGTAACCTCAACTGCTCTGCAGCTGCTGAGGGCAATATTGGGTGCGTTGTCGAAGGCCAGAATAACACCTTTGGTTCTGAGTTCAACGCCAATGGCGGAGGTGTCATCGCTCTGGAATATTTGCCCGAAGCCATCTCGGTTTGGCAATTTGGACGAACCGAGATTCCTGGTGACATCTTTCATGGCACTCCGATTCCGTCGACCTGGCGTCGTCCAGATGCCCATTTTATGGCGGGTGATGGTTTGTCCCTCGAGGACTTCTTCTATTCACTGAGAATGGTCTTCAACACAGATATCTGCGGGTCTTGGATCGACAAGCTATGGCAGACAAGTGAGTGCGCTGCTCTGGCTCCTTCCTGCGCAGCATATGCCGCACAGAATCCTGCTGCCTTCAAAGAAGCGTACTGGCTCATTGGGGGAGTTCAAGTCTACCAGCCTGTCGCCAGTGATGCAAGCGCAACTGGGATCACTGTGGTTCCCGTTGCGAACTCGATCTCCAATCCCAGCTATCGTCGTCATGTTCGTCGATTCTCGCAAGGCCATGTCTGGTGATTGATCTACCGCCATCTCAGCTGGGGTCCACCACACCACAGACATGTTGGTCAATCTCATTTTGCCAGGATGAAAGCCCACAGTGAGATAATAAGACACGACCAATTTCAATTGGACATGGCTTTGGAGGGTGTCTGCAAAGCTATCTTCTAGGGCAAAGGATTTCAGTTCAACACTTCGTGCAGCATATCTGCAGCTTGTGATATCTAGGGAATGTCGTGCTAGGCCGGTATGGAACCTCAGTCTGTACTTGTTCATGATAAGCTCCATGCCAGCAACACAGACTACGTATGGTTTCGAGGATAGGGTACCCAAGCATAGCAAAACAATAGGAGCTCAGAAAGAGATATCTGGTTCAGCTCACTCTTCCCATTCTCCGACTGATAATTATTCTCTCCCGGGATATGTGCTCATGTTCCTTATTTGAACCATCCGTTTCATGCTTGTCGCCTTGTATGCAGTCCTCTACACAATCCAACATCAACAGCCCGCCAGTGCTCTACCGTCGTCCGCTCTATGCTGGCTGGCCCTATTCTGCCGCACCCGAGAATATGACACCGCATCACAATCACTGACTGCACCCCTCGGCGCAGGCTGCATTCACTGATTCCGCGCTAGGCCCATCACAAGATTCACAACCATGCGCACAATAAATGTGTCCGAAACCCAGGACCGCGTGCTGCGTCCTCACTTGCCCTGTAGGCTTGTCGATAGACAGACAGATATCTCTCCTCTCCATCCGCAGAATATACCTCTACCTGTGACCATGCTGCTGCTGCTCATCCTCCTGGGCTTAATCCCTGCGATCCTCCTCCCGTACAACGGCCACGACACTTGCACACCAGGGTTTGTCTCGGCAGGGCGAGTGCCTTCCTCATATCTCACTTCCACCTCCACCTCCAATTGCGATTCCGACTCCACCACGCTCTTTACCGCACCAACATCCGCACAAACAGCATCGGATCACACTGTCTTCACTCTGTCGGTCCCAGTCCCGGTCCAGGCGTCGAGATTCAAGAACCAAACCCGGGGTCTTGACGCCATCACATTCGTCAACGGCACATTCGCCGACATTGCCGACGGTGCTGTGGGTCGTGTGGCTCGAGTCTCCGAGGTCCAGGGGAATGATGGAGCTGTTCCCATCGGCGTGAGTACATCCTTTCATACGATGCCCCGTCCAAGCATAATTCCAACCATCCGTCTACCCAGCCACTCTCGCGCAGCCCGACATCTGGAGTTACCCTGCGTTGCTCTGCCCTTTCGTACAGACGTACTTCCCATGCTCTCGACCGCGGTCTCCTAATTCCGGAACATGAAAGTTCCTTTTGAGGTTTTGGGTTTTAAGTGTTTGCTGCGTAGTGTCAGGTGTTAGATGCTGAACGATCAACGCTAACTTCCATGCAATGCAAAAGATATACATATGCCAGTATCCGAACTGGACGGGGACCTGCTTCTGGACGCAAATTTTCCCATCTATGTATAATCACTGTATGGTGATTGTGGCGGGTGGTGGATGGGCGTCACTTGGGCCCGACGGGGGCATTGCTGTCAATTTGTATCGGTATGTGCGTCTGTGTTTCTTCTATTGTCATCGGGTTGTGTTCTGGTGTGCTCTGTTTGATTATGTTCTGTTATGTTCTGTTTGATCGTGTTCTGTGGTGATCTGTTTCGTTGTGATCTGTTCTGATGTGTGGTCCTATGCCATATTGTGTTGTGTGTCATGCCGTCTCCCCTGCTTCCGTATGCGTCGTGCTAATATCGCTTACGCACACCCTAGGGACTCCTTGTGTCGGGACATGTTCTGGAAAGATCTGACCTTCCCTGGCGACTCTGATGCCTCCGCGCGGATTGCGAATGCGGGTCTCGCGCCCGTGGAGAGTGATTTGATCGGAGCGGTTTTCAGGGCCCAGGACGTGACTTGAATTACCTCTTGAGCTGGCTCATCAGACCAGACGCACTGTGAAGTGGGGACAAGAGGGAAAGAGGAAGGGGGGAAAAGAAAGCCCTGTTCTGCTGAATGACTGGATACCATCGGTGCTTACAGACAGTGTGAAGAAGACCCATGGAGATCGAGGAGTCTACCGTTTGCTGGGTTCAGATACTGAGGTAGCGGTCCTGCGAGGTCGGACTGTCAATGAAGTGTGTTGAATTTCCTTGGACTGGAGCGAATATTCCGAAGCTAGAGAGACACTCTAGTATACTCGAGTGGTTAGTGAGTATTTTACACCATCGGTCAGCCTTGAGACAGTGAGTGGAGGCCGGTCCGCCCAGTGACTATGTCATGAGAGATTGCCCCTGGTCCTCTCCATGGCCCAAGAATTCTTCCCAAGTCCTCCATAGTCAAGCTCCAGAGCTTACCAGTGTCCCAACGGTTTGAGGTGTTCAGTTGTGTTGATTTCGAGCGCTGCTAGCTTCCGCTCGACGCGGACAAGCGCTGATGCGTCCATGAGTCTTGCCGGAAGTCAAATGACACGGGTGTCTTTGCGAGTCGCCGATGATGAAGCCGCACGGGTTAGATTGTGGTTAGAAATGTAAAAGATTGAAGCCGTGGGTAAGGACATCGAGACTGGAGTTTCTGCAAGTACGGTTTGCGAAGGAGACGCAGACGGGGATGGAAATTGGAGGACTATTGTATCCCAGAAACTCAAGAGATGCTTGTTTCCCACTGTGAGAATAGGTATCTGAACTGAATTTCGGTCATAATATGCTATTCGGCTCCCACTGCTGGCCGTGCACCGCTTTGTATACCACAGTCCTGGATAAGCCGGTGCATGTGCTAGTGAAGACCAAAAGGAGAGCAACGGCGCAAGGAGACACGGGGTGGTGCTGCGTCTGATCAGGGAGGCATCTCAGGATCCAATTATCGTGCTGTCTTTCGGGACACCGCGATACACCTACTTGCCGACTCGGGACATTCCATGCATGCTGAAGCCGGGTGGCCAGGTGTTAGGTTTGATGATCGCTGCTAAGGGAGGAAGTAGCTCAGGACAGAAGAGGAGGGGTACCAGTACAAGGAAAGTTGAAGGTCAAGTTTGACTTGAGTGGTGAGGAGAATATCATCCCGCATCACCACTGCGATACACCTCACCCTGATCAGTCTGGCGGCGGGAACCTCATGCCAAGGCATTTCATGTACAGTACATCGAACTCGCCTCGTCGTGCCTAGAGTTCTTGGATTCTTGTATCTTTGATCCCTCGTTTCGTGCATTTACAGGGTGGAGCAGAAGCAACAATGCACGCAGAGGTACAAGGTGTGCAGGTGAGGATGTTTGGTGTGAGGTATGAGTATGGAGATGCTCCGTACTCGTAGACAGTGTATTATCATTTTCGCATTGGCTTGTTGTACGGGGTACTACTGTACCGACACTTCTTTCAACACCATACTCTGTGATTCATTGAGGATAGATCTGTGGGTCGGTAGCGAGGCCTCTAAATCTCCACGTCGAGAGCTGGGATCCAGAGTCCGGCAGTGTACATTACTTCATGTGCCGGATACTCCGTAGGTGTCAAGTCCTCCGTATTGTGGTCACCTTTGGCCAACAGCGCGAGAAGCAATACTCCTTACCTTATGTGCTTGAGAATTATGTAAGAATATAGGGGAGTCACAATGAGTATAAGATCGTAAGGCACGGTATAGCTTGCACTTTTACTTCCACCGCAGCACGTGCTCAGTGTCAGTACAGGCAGACAGGTAGGTCGCTCATTCATTCACTACAGATAGGTCATTCACTCATTCGCCGACTCCCGCTTCCTCACAATCCCAACAACAACGCTAATATCATCCAACTTGCCTCCCTCGGCGGCAATACCCTCGTCAAAGGCGCGTTCCATGTACGGACTCTCGGCGTTGGGATCCATGGCGATTTCTCTCGCCGCGTTCATCAACCTTCGCGCCACGTATACGACGCCGTCCTTGGCGTCTCCGTCGTCTTTCCCATAGCCGTTTTGCTTTGGTTTCGCGCCGTCGTGGGGATCTGACGAAGCCGCAGCATCGTGCCACTGGCGGAGACTCTCACAAATGTTCTCGCAGATTTCATGCTCCCACAGATTATCCGTCACGCCATCACTCAGGACGGCGACGACATCGCCGACTTGGATGTCTTTGATGGTGTCGCAGACTGCGTTGCCCGTGGGTGTGTCGGGCGAGTTTGTGCCTAGTTGGCGGGGACAATCGAACCAGTGCCACTGTTCTTTGGAGTGGTAGAGGATCGTCCCGCCACTGGTCTCGGAGTCCGAGTCCGAGTCAGAGCTCGAGGAAGAGGCTGACTTTGACGATGAAGGGGATGAAGGAGAGGGGTTTGCAGACGGCGATGGGCGGATCACAAGGACTTTACAGTCTCCCAGCGTGGTGGCGAGGATCACTGGCGTGGATCCCGAGGAATCTTGTTTGTGGTAAAGCAGAGCGGACGAGGCGGTGGTCGTGCCGAGGATGTCGTTCTTGGAAGACTCCTTTGCCTCAGCGGACTGTTTGGATGACGACGACGTCGAGGGCGTGCCGCCTGGGGACGAGCCGTCGTTGGCGTCGCTTTCACCTTCGTCCGCTTCCGAGTAGACTTCCTGGTCGGGATCCTTTTTGAATGTGCCTTCCGTGGCTTTCTTGGTGGCATCATACGCTGTCTCCAAGCTCTTCACAGGATCGACCTCGTGAGCGTTCGCATCTCCGCCCTGCACCAACGACTTCTCGACTTCGACGTCCCAGAAATGCGCTATCAGCCTCGACCACAGCGCCGCGTGGCCGCGTTCCTTCTGTGCCCAGGCGCCGACTCCGTCGTTTACGGCGATGAACCTCTGGTCTGCGCCGATAACGATTGCATCGTCACCGTTTGTGATTCCCCGAATTGGTTGGCCGTTCACCTTGGGTCGACGAGCGTTGCGAGGGATGGAGGAGGGATTGTGTGTTGTGAGCGGGTCAGAAAAGGAGCCGGAGGGCAGAGAGACGAACGGAGGTGGGAACGGGCGGGAGGGTCTTTTCGCAAAGATGGAGTAGCCGGTCTCAAGATAGTAGGGCGAGGACGGCTGGTGGGTGTCTGAGGTTGCTGGACTGGAGTCTTGGTCTGATTTATGGAGCGTAGTACGGCCTTCGGAGATGAGGTAGCGACGGGAGAGTGTCGTCGAGCTTGAAAAGTTACGTAAGTCGAGGCTGCAAGGTCGCCATCTTGGAGGTCGTTGTCGTCCTGAGACGAGTACTCGGGGTGAGAGGGGACGGCACTCGACCAGTTGTGCTACAGCGTGCCTGGAAAGTCGGGCCACCTGAGCAAGCATGGAAAGGACCAGAGCGCTCTCATAATGAGGCGCGCTTCAATCCTGAGACCTTGTCCTGGTGACAACGATAGCCTGCGGTCAGCGATAGCAGAAGATACGGAGCACCAAGACGCGGGACTATGAGGTGTAGGCTTCGGCGAGACTGCGACGGGTGGAGCGAGCGTGGACCCTGCCAAAGCTTCGCAGCGGCCGACCTCCGATCCATTTTCTCCACGGCAGGACGAACCGAATCCACCCGGTTGCAAGTAAAATATACGAGTATCGAGTAGGTGGAGGAAGTGACGAGCAGTGATAGGGAAATATCAGAGGCCTGCCGTGTGGTGTGTCCAAGAGGCGCTTGCTATTGATGTACACAAACATATATATACACGCTCCTACGATGGTGCTGCTTTTGCCTAAAGTACATATGTACATTTGAAGATGTTGAGTGGTGATCGACTGTTCCCAGACATCGCAAGGTCCAGCGCGCAAATCTTCACACGATTGCTCTCTCCTCCTCGCGCCTTGCGACAACTCGCTCAGCTCTGCCAATGAGTTCCTCATACACTGTCCATGCCAGGGCCGAACTCAGCGCCTTTCTCCCCATCCTCAGGCCCAATCCGTCGAAGAATGCCTTGACGCCATCCCCCTTGAGCATCAGCCGCGTGGCTTTCAAGGTGTTGCCATACTTCTGCGGCATGAGCTGCAACCTCGTCTTGACCGCGTCAAACGGATTAGTGATGCCAGTCGCCAACCCCGCTGCCAAAACACCGCTCGAGGCGTTGATGGTCGCCGAACTCGCAATGGAAGGCCGCCCTTCTATCCCATCGAGCGCAGTCGTCTGCTCCCCTGCGAACATCTTGTTCAGACGTGTTTTGCACTGCTCGTAGAATAGCACGTAAAGCCCCGCATACGGTGCATCGCGAACTGCCGTGGCACCGAATCCCGAGAAGAATCCCTTCAAGCCCTCCGACGCATAGATGGAGCGGGATGCCGAGGCGATGGACTTGTACGCGTACAAATCCGACTCGTAACGCACTTTGATCACCGTCACCGGCATGAGTATGAAGCCCGCGAACACTCGCGCTGTCGCCCCTGTGATGAGATTTTGCGTATTCGACAGCTTGGGCAGCACGGAACTACCCTTGCCCGTCGAGATCGCTGCTTCCCTGTTCCCGAACGTCGTCGCCGCGGTCTTGTTCGCGAGAAGTTGCCGCAGCGAGCTGAGCGAGGTAAAGTAGAGGGCGGAGCCGAAGCCGGTGCGTAGTGCTGAGGGGAGAGTGCCTCTCCAGAGGCTGGCTATGGGATGTGGACCGGAAAGGATCGATCGTAGGACGGGTACGAGAGAGGAGGAATGAGATTGCTGCACTCGAGTCTTGAGCAAGTCCGCCGGTTGCAGAAGCACGGCGCTGGACACGCCAGACGTCAAGCCGGCAAAGAAGTGAAAGGTAGGATGGGCCTTCTTGGAGCTCTGGATCTTGCCCGCGCCGCCATTGGACATATTCCGGAGGGCCCGAGAGCCTTGACCTGGTGGGAAGAGGCTTGAGATCAGTTGTCTGCAGCTGTCCTGTTCCTAGAAGGACTGCGCATGGTGAAACACAGCTGTGCCGGCTCCTACAAGTTTCTTGAGAAGCATCAGCGTCCACGAACCGACGAGCATGCGTGGATAAGCATCGCTGCAGCCAGATGATTTGCGAGTACGTGCAAGAGGAGCATGAAGGCACCTAATATCATGTGACTGGCCATTCCACTAGTTTCCGCTACTCGATGAAGTCATCGTTTTACGGGACGCTTATAGTGTGGGTATATTATACTCTCGATATTATTAAAAACACTTTCTATAGAAGTAGTTCTAGCTATAAGTAAATATATATATAAGTTTTTTATTAGGTAGGTCTAGGTATTGTACTCCTATAGTTATTATAGTTACACTAAAATACACTTAAAGTCGGGAGTTTTACCCGGTTCTGGTGCCAAATCTAAGTGGGGACCATCCTCTCCGCACCCGGATTGCTCCATTTTGTCATTTGAACTCGTACTGTGTAGGCATGCCTACCTCTGTACCAGTTTAAATGACGAGATGGAGCAATCCGGGTGCGGAGAGGATCACTCTTCAGCATTTAGCGGAATGCCGAACGCGCTCGCGTAAAAATGTTTGCTGTATAATTATATTATCACAGAGCCTGTTTACTGTCCGACTTCGCCTGCTACCACCGTCCTACGAGCTCTAAAAGTTACACAACACACATTTTACAACATTGTTTTACTGAGCACGGTAATTTCGGAGCAGCCCTTAGGACTATCAGGCTGCGATAAAGTTCGATGGATTTTGTTTCGCCACCTTCCGATTCCACCCCTAGGGACTCGCTTCGACCTCTTGCTCCACGACAGCCAATTTCTTCAGCATTAGCCGGATCACACAATACCTCAGCCAGACCGCGACGTTCGCATGCGTGCGATCGATGTCGTAATCTACGTATAAGGTGCTCAGGAGGAACTCCATGCGATAGATGCAGCGGCGATAACGCAGAGTGCATCTTCCGCGATCGGAAGAGGGAGACTGACAAGATGTACTGTCGCATACACTTCTCGGATCGTTGACATGAGCTAATGCAGATTTCAGAGCGCTTACGGCGATTAGACAGCAAGTTGAGGCACTCAAGGTCCAGAAGTATCTACTTATTCAGACTTTGAAGGATGTCGCTGCGATTCCGAGTCTGGACCACAATGTATCTGCTAATATCAGGGAGGTGCTAACCAAAGTCTGTTCCACGTTCTCCTGAAATGCCTGACTAATTGTCAACGCAGTGTGAACGAGAACCGGAGACTACCGCCTCGGAACCTTCAAGCACGTATACCGACCGTAACCTGAGCGTCTCAGAAACTTCCCAACAGAGCCCAGCTGGTGAGGATCATATTGGTGCCACGGTGGGATCGCCGGGCCCTGAAGACTCGTTGACATATTTCCCTGATCTGGGTGATGGTGTGGGAGCAGCAGGCTTGGTGGGAAAGATATCGGAAATATCCTGGGTCTCGCGGGCTTCCAGCTATGTTAGCGCCATGGAAAACCCCGACGCGCAGGCTGGGAATAACAGCGCAATTGCCACTACACAGCTCAGCTATTTCATGGAGGATGAGGACCTCTTGATTATCGATGAAGATGATATCGACGCTCAATACTGGCCAGGCGGTGCTTGCGCGCAGATTCTCAGCGAGGCGTTTTTCCATGCACTTCATGGAATCTTCGACTGTTTCGATAGAGACCAGTTCTTGCAAGAGCTACGCAGATTCCCAAGCCGCCACCACGTCCTTTCCAGGGACTTGCGGAGATGGCTTGCGCTAGCCAACCTAATGTGGGCAATCGCATCAAAATGGTTACATCTGGCCGAACTAGCTGATAACCCCGATATTGAAAGCCACTCAGTATATTATGCCAGGGCCCGAGCCTTAGGTATTGACCACAGAGTGATGCTCGACCGTCAGGGTTTGCATGGCGTCAAGGCCGATGGCTTGCTCTCGTTCTATCTCTACTTAAACGGATCAATTTCCAGGTATGTTTAATTTTTCGCATGACAAGAACGTCGCTAATCGAGTTCAAGAGCGTGGTCTTTGGTGGGTTTAGCAATCAGGAATGCATCTTGCCTTGGCCTACATCTCCGTGCTGTGGATGATGCTACCCCCTCTGCTCAACTGATGGAACGAAGTCGATTGTGGTACTCACTTTACAACCTCGAAGTGGTCATTTGCGAGGTACTTGGAAAGGTGCCTTCAATCTCTCTAAGTTACACTGCAGTTTCCATCAACCTCCTTGAAAGCGTTCCAAGTCAAGAACAGCGAGACTACTCAGATGATGCTGATCCAAGAGCGTTGTGGATGAAATTTATCCGGTACCAGAGAAACATGACACAGACAATGCGTGGAAACCATTTTGCCTGGCAAGACTTCCAGTTCATCGGCTATGGTGCACATCAGAAATATCTAAGGAGCCGGACACATCTTTCTGTGATCAGTAACCGGATCATGGCACAGCTCTATCTCCCGAGTCAAGTCGACACCTGGGCGTCAACGCAGCGGAAAATCACCCAACTCCATGGTCAGTTGCTCGAGTGGGAGAACAATCTATCCACCGACTTAAAGTTACAAAGTGACAAGGCCGTGAGCGCGGATCCTCGGGCGAAAATCGAACTGGTGACATATTACCACAGTGTCCAAATGGTCTTGTTCAGACCTTGCTTGTGTCATATCCGAATTCCAGGCGAATCGGTCACCTCGAAAGAATTCAATCTCATCAACGCCAGAAATTGTGTCAAGGCTGCGGTGTCGTTGATCGATATCTTACCGGATGACCCGACTGCGCATGAGGCGCACCAGCTCCTTCCCTGGTGGAACTTGCTGCACTATCTTGGTCAGACCTTGGCGGTTTTTTCACTCGAACTCTCTATGAACATGGAACATGTCAGCTCGACCATGTCACTTACACCTCAGATTCAAAAAGCCATGTCATACCTCTGGTGCCTTACTGCCAACTCGAAGTCATCTTACAAGGCATGGCGGATCTTCCGACAAATGCTACTGGTACTCGAGTCTCGTGTGGATCGTTTTAGTGTTCGTGGCCTTCAGGTGGAGGCGCACATTCCTGCCGGATGGACAGCAATCGATGAAGCTCTACTGATTGATGCACTTAAATCTATAGCGAATAGCAGTTCTTGAAAGACTGTCATAGTCAGCAGCGCATAAACGATGTCAATGCAAGTCAGAAGTCGTATACATGTCCTGACCGCGCGCTGTATTTGAATATATATATGGACGATACCGCCTAGCAGGCAATCGGGTAGCAATACTCCGTACTCGGTAAGCATACCATGCAGAAATAGTTAAGACAAAGTACTCCGTATGTGCACAGCCGTTAATTCGTCAACCGCCGGAACCTGAACACACATCAGTGTGGCTCGGAGCAAGGCCATGAAAACTGCATCGGCTAACCCTCGATGGCCACCTCTTCTCAAGTGGTATGCGTACTCAGATAGATGTTTCCTACCAATCCGGAAGTATCTGTTCGCCCTTGACGTTTGAATCATGAGGAACGGATGCGCGTACAACCATCAAACCTATGCCGTCCACTGGCTCAAAATTCGGCGATGCACATCTCCCTCGGTCAGATACGGGCCCAAGCGGAGATTGACGGAAATAATATCCCACACCCAAGCACACGAGATCACAGCGCGGTGTTGAACCCCTTGGACAAGCACGCCTCTCATCTTAGGGCATCCGCGATACTTTTGGCACGCACCAAACGAACCGAGCTGCCCAAGCCACGATTCGGCCCATCGACTAGGCACTTTTGGGAAACGAGTTGTGCAAACGGTTCCAGGCGATGATATTCTACTTTCGTATGCCTTGTGCGCAAGTACGCTAACCTCATCCGCACAGAAATGCGGCAGGGAAGATCTCCACTTGGATGAATATTTCACCCGCATCACGGGCGGTTACGATGCGTCAGGTGGCGGCAGGGCTGGCGCCCGGAAATGCAGGACATTTCCTGTCCAAGCTCCCACATGGCCCCGTGCAAACCATTGCCGTGTTCTCGTATGCATCTGGTCCTCGCCCTCGCACCATCCACAAGCTAATCACATTAGTCCGAGCATTTAGCACCGCATGAATTGTAACCGAGCTTGTCGTCCACGTACTGTAATTAGCCACAGTATCGCTGTGGAAACACACGCTGCGGTCTGACCTTGGAGGTTATGGAAATACTCTGGGTTAGAGAGTGGTACGGTTGAACTCGGGTCGACGGTCCCAGCCAGCGACAACGGTGTGGGCAGCCATGTGAGATCCGTGAGCGTTTCGTGGAAGCACAGCGCTTCTCTACGGGACCCACATCGATTGGGTGGAGGATATTTTCGTGCGCTTAACTGACGAGACCTGAGAGCTTGTGCGCCTCGGCGCGGGGCTCGTTGCGGGCTGAAGATGAGATCACGCCGGAGCAAGAATGGTAGACCTACGGAATTTCGTTTTATACAACGCGTCCGAATTTTCCAGATACTGTGCTGCGGGAGTGATCGTGGGGCTGACAGTGTCGGAAGATAGCTGTACACATCTTCGCGGCCTCGAGATATTCGCTAATTTTGTCCCGTGTGTGCCGGAGCTGAGAGGTTCGCTAGCGGCGAAGTATAACCGAACATTACGTATGCGGCGAAGAAGTATTGATCCACATCCAGCATTTACAAGAAAGATCACGTCGTTTGTACGAGCAATACGCCGAGATCCCGGTGACTTGTCGCGCCGACCAGGGACAAGATTCCCATGACCGCTGCGACTTTTCGAGCACGAAATGTCGATTGTTGCGTAGGCCTGCGTCCGCTGAATTCTCAGGCCTCGCCGGCAAGGGAGGATTAATGTGTACATGTACAGCAGAGGGAGGATGGAAACATCTCGAAGACCGTTGTCTTGGCTGTTCCCGCAGAGTTGCGCAGGTTACATGAAATGTGGCAATTTCTCCCACGACGCTTCGGGCTCGGCTTTGTATTTATCCAACGTCTTTCTGTGACAGTATTGGAGTGATACGCGTCCTGGAGGATCAGAGCTGGCGCGCAGGTCATGCTGTGCAAGCATCAACCTAGGATTTTTTTAGGGGTGGGGAAGACACCCGGAAGACATCTGAATGTTCGCATTGCGCGGAGACACAAACACTCCTATTTCTTTTGGAGAGGGTGAGTGCGGATCCCTCTTTGCAAACCACAATAGTGCGTGGGCTTTCACTTTCTTGATATCGGGATCGCAGCGGGCATGCGATTGCGAACGAATAGGACGAGCTCCATCAAGTCCACCACACCCGCCCCTCCTCGAAGAACCCGAGAAGGCCGGTGGAGCTGACCAATGAATCCTTCTGGAATAAGGATGCCGGAAACTGCTGATTGGGAAAGAGTGAGCGGGTATCGCTCCATTCTGCCGGAGGGTTGAATCCCCTCGGTCCCTGATCAACACTTAAGCTGGCGGTGACACGTTTTACAAAACACCGACGTGGGGGCAGGATATGTATCGTCAAGTACGAGCCAATGCGCGTTGAAAATGTTCTTGATCTAACCTGGGATGACCAATCAAACGACACCGTTTATATATTCCTTTGGGCTCTTATTGGCCAACATGATCTTTGGAGGCACAATGGGCATTGCCTCGTAAAGGACCCGCTTACCAAGGAGGAACTGCTTCAATCGCAGCGGCTTCGCGGCATTCGAGCATCCGGACAACGGCCACTCCAAGAATGGTCGGTCCATACACTCTGTCCTCGAGCCTCTGTTCGTCAGCCGAGACTCCCTTATCTCAGATAGCAGCACTTTTTTTCAGATGTTTGCCTGCACTCCACGGTAGAGTGGCAGTACAAACGATGGGAGCGTTCGGCACAAGTCAAAAGAAGAGGGGAGAGCACCTCTGGCAACAGGCTCCTCGTTTGACTCTCTTCGTTACATGGACTCTCCGGGAACAGCCACATTCTCGCGGCGACCTCTGTCATCGCGTGTATAAGCAGAGATGTCGAGCAACGGCCAGCAATAATTGCATGACCATCAACGTCTTACTCGCAGATCCGGCAATGATCGGCTTTGTGAAGATCTTGTGGTCGGACTAGCCACTTGTGAAAATGAAATCTCATGCTGCTGTAGCAATGAGCCGTGGTCGGACTTTGGACGACTTGGCGGCGGCTGCAAGGGCGCCATTGAGGGCTTTTGAACGAGGCAACCTCCGAGGCAGGGCCTTGCCCAGTCTGAAAGGACGCCGCCTGGTAGCTGAAGGCTCGGACGGCGAAGCTGATGTTGGGAGTCATCAAAGGAACGTAGGTTTTCCTTCACCCACGCTATGTCGGTCTGAGAAGGTTGCGGTAGAGACCTGACCTTTCTGCTGCCACAGTCCATGCCAACCACTGTTCGTAAGTTGCATGGTTGATGGTCCTATCACAATCAACCGCTTCCTTGCCTGATAGATAGACGATGTTCTGCTCGGACGTGGCACGTTGCATCACGGCTGCTGTTTGTATGTCTGCGTCGCGACGGACATGTATCGCCCTCCATACAGCGTCTTCAACACTCTCAGCCCAGACAGTATAGCCATGACCACGCTGGAAGATGACCTTGTGCCTAGGAAGGTCGTGTGACGACACACCGTCCAACCTCATCTCGCCGTCCCGGCCTCTATAAAGCGCCTCTGCCAAGGCATCACCAAGATACTGACAGTTTACCATCAAGTTTTGTGGTTGAGATGGTGGTAGAGCGTCGTAATATTTCGAAGGATCGAAGATAGGAGGCGAGGGCCCCAAAAAGCCTGCCATTAGATAGCTAGGCTGTAACATGCTGACTTCGCTGTCACAAAGGCCGTAGATGATTGCTGCTCTACAGTGCGAGTGTATAATACTGCGGACACCGGGGTATCGGAAGTAGATAGAGCTGTGTGTGTAATGCTCCGACTGTTCCGGGACGGACTCGACTTTGCGACAGCCGGCGTATGGGTTTCTTACAGGGGTGCCATCGAAGACGTGCCACTGCTCGAGGTCGCTTTTCGAAGAGACTAGGATCGCTGGACGGCTGCTGGTGAAGAAGGTCGAAGGATCGCGAGGATTTCGTACGGATATCTGACCGTGCTCGTCTATAACCTCGTGTTGATGTAGTATGTGAAATGCCGTGATCAACTGAGAGAGAAACTGATCCAGAGAATCCATTTCCATGGTCTCCATGGCAGGATGCGGTTCTTATCAGCAAACGAGAGGACATGCACAATTCTACGTGTCGGAGAAAGCCACCTATATAGTTTGCGGTAGGCGTACTATTTCTAGTGATCTAATGCTTTGCTCACTGGCACACAAAGGGGGTAGTTAGATCGCCTGAACAACATGTTTGTGATTGGGGCTCGGCATGCGACCGGGGATCGGTTGTCGTTATGGTTTCGAGGGATGGAGGTTGAACTCGGATACCGTGCCATCCATTGGCCTGCAGCCTCCAGCCAATTGTAAATCCTGGAAAACGGCTTCCACTGGCTGAGAATAAAGTGGAGAAGCATCGCCCTTTTGTGCCCCACCAGGCCACCTTGGTTCGGTCAAACAATTGCACGCTAAATCGAATCAGCTCGGGTTGGCATGATGATTCGGCGGCTCTAAACCTGCATCCAGATCCGGCCCATCACTATAGGGAGACTGTCCGCAGCAGAAGAACGCGGTCAGCGATTGCCCATGTCTCGCGGCACGACCGTGGCCACCTGGAGGACGTCCATACTTCAGCCAACATGGCACAAGGCCCCGTAAATAGCATGCGCCCAACCGCCCTGTTTCCTGCCCGACATAGAATTTGTGATACCGCGCCTGGCACGGTTGCGTGTGATAAGTTTGAGCCTTGGGTCCGTTTTTGAGGCCGACAAAGGCCTGCAGAAGACCACGTCTCCCCTGACTGACCACTGCGAACTCTGCCGCTCCCTTCTACTATGCATTCCAATCAACGCGGCAAATCTTCTGTTGTCCCCAGAGCACGCGTGTCTCATGCTTGCGATCGCTGCAGGGCCATGCGATCAAAGTGCTCCGGCGGCGACACCTGTGCGAGATGCGTCAAGGACAATGCTGTCTGCGAGTACGGCGATCGTAAAAGAGAAAGGGTCAAGAAGTGCTGCCGCCATCTCCCATTCCTTTTCCACTGTTCTAATTTATTTTTGTGCGCGCCCAGGGAGCTATTAACAAACCGGGAGCGAATGCAAGAACTGGAAGAAGAGAACACCATGCTTCGCGGGGAGCTGCAATCCGTGGTCCAAGATCCGACACTTAGCTCGGACCAGCACAGTAATCTGTTGGCGATGCTGTCCAAAGTGTGCATTTAGGTTGTTCGTCCAGGTGGAAAACAGGCTGATTGATGAACAGTATCCTTCGGAGCCTCTGCCCAGCCTTTCGCGCGTGTCAGGTTTTGACCTGTCACGCGCGTCGAGCTCTCGACGTGCAGATCATTCTGGACCGGCGATGTCATCGAAGAGCTACGGTTTGGAAGCTGCGCCTTCAGCAGGCGAAACGGAGGTGAGCTCAAGTGTAGGATCTCCCGGGAAGCAGGGAGAACTTGAGCGAGTAGTGGGCTTGGGCCGCGGCTCCGGTCTGTCTGGGTTCTGCGGGAAGATGTCAGAAATGTCGTGGGTCCAACGTGCTTTCGAATACTTACTTAACGGTCCGGCCGACTGGAGAGTAGGTGTTCCCTTATAGAGAACAGTAAGAGGTCTGCTGACTGTCAGATCCCTTCATATTTTACAGACGAGATCGACATTCTGGCTGTCAACGAGGATTATGTCGATCCGAGTCATTGGCCTCCTTTGGAAGCGGTTGAGATCCTGACAGAGGCATATTTCAATGCCTCACAAGCCGCTTTTCCCTTTGTCATACGGGAGCGATTTCTGGAGCAGGTGCTCACGTTTCAAACCCGTGGAACCTCTACATGGTGGAGCAAGCGCTCTTGGCTAGCGCTCGCAAACGTTATATGGGCGACCAGCGCACGATGGCTACAGGTGGCGGAGCTAGCTGAGGTGGTGGACCCTAATATCCATCTGCTTTATTATGCTCGGGCTCGAGTACTCGGTCTCGACCACCGGGTAATAATTGATCACCCAACCATCACACAGATACAGGGACTAGGTGTCCTCAGTTTATATCTCCTTACCAATGGATCCATTACGAGGTATGCGCGTCTATAGTCTTGCGCAATCTCATCTTACTGACACAGTGGTCAGGGCGTCGAATGTCCTTGCTCAGGCCATTCGACATGCAACCGCCTTAGGCCTACATCTCCATGTGTCCGACCCCGATGTGAGCGAGGCGGACATATTGGAACGTGCTTGGACCTGGAGTTCCTTGTACAGTCTGGAAGTCCTGGTCGCCGAAATCACAGGCTTACCAAAGTCAATCAATCTTTCCGAGCGGATATTTCTGGGCCATTACGATACAGAGGTCCAAAGCAGTGATATCCAGCTCGATCAAAGTGTTGAGAATTTTATACTAGAGACTAGGAGAACGTGGCTCACTTACTTGAGCACCGGCAGGGTCACTTCACAGGACACGCTTAGTGGACTAGCCTCAGCAGAAACAGGGTACATGCCGAAGCACCTTCCGTCTTTCTACTTCGAACAACGACTTCAGCTTTGTCTCATCAGCGATAGGATCGGCCGAGAATTATACAACGACAGCCCACCCAGTACCTGGGTTGAGATTCAGCGCAGAATCGCTGCATTAGAGGTCGAACTGAGGAGTTGGGCTGAAACTTTCATACACGATGATGACCCAATTGATCAAGCACCTTCGAGCATCGACGTGACCCTGAGGCTGAACTTAACAATGTACTATCACAGTCTACAAATGATCCTTCACCGACCTTGTCTGTGCGAGATAGTCATCGCATCCGAGTCTCAGGAGTCTCAGGAATTCAACCAAAATTCAGCACGAGCGTGTAACGGTGGGGCCCTGTCTCTACTAGCAGATCTACCCGACACGGGTACTGGTCAAGAAGTATGCCAGCATCTCCCATGGTGGAATCTGCTCCACTATCTGGTGCAAGCTGCAGCAGTGCTGCTACTGGAGCTGTGCCTCGAAGGTCAACATTGTGAAGGTCAAGTGGAGGAGATTTCAAGGTCTTTGCGCAAAGCAATGGCGTATATTGCGCATATAGCCACCAGCGGTCTCTCGGCATATCGCGTTTGGAGAACTTTTCGTCACCTCTTGTTTGGGCTGTCGTTCAAATATAGTAGCATCGAGCTGCAAAACATACCCACCGAAATCGCTCAGCCTTTTAGATGGAGTGAAGAGAATGAGAGCGATTTACGGAGCATGCTTGCAAGTACGGGACGAGATCTCCCGAATAGTTAGGAGGACGAAAACATCAGTCATTCCTGTAGACAAGCCAACATGGCAGTTCTGCAAGTTGTCTTTGTCTTTTGTGTGGTTTGCTCAAAGGGTAGTCCAGGATGGACATCTTGTGCTATGGGGATGCTGGGCGTAACCCGGTCGTGTGAGATTGCTCTCGACATAACGCTTTCTTGTACGAACCAAGGATACCTTTCGCCTTCTTGTCGGTGACCCGAAGGCCCGCCTCATGATATGCCAAAAACAGGGTGGTCGTATTGCAAAGGTAGATCTAGATAGGACTGTCAAAAGGGCACGACTAGAATTTTAAAGGTCATGCATCCAGGGAGAAGCCGTCTATAAGCGTGGGTGCTCCAAGTTCGATCCATGACGGACCAGTCAAGAGTCGAGTCGACAGTTGGCAGCAGTGCTGTAGTGCAGCTGGCATGCAATTAAATGGACCGTAGCCTTGAGTACGTTCCCGACGCAACCTTGGGGATGGAATCAATCTAGATTGATCTCGGGAGGAATAGCAGGATGCGACCAGCAACCTCTGCAACTGGTGCTTGCAGGACAGATAGTAATTCTTGGTAACATCTGCATATCTCGAGCGTGCGCATCCAGTTAGATCGAGGCTTCCTGTACGGAGTTCCTCTCAAATGCACCTTCTTTTTGCCCAAACATGGAGTGCTACTGTCGCGATTAGCACCTCTGAAGCAAGCGAAGCAAAACCGAACCAGGGTGCTTGAGCTTTCACTTTCGAGGGCTCCAAGCACGAATCTCAGTCATGCAAAATGATGCAACCAGGACAGGTCGTCCTTGTCCCACAAGGATACAAGCTGATTTTTCAGAGAGTCTTCATGGAGGCTTGCTTATGCTGGAATTTCTTGGCGTACCGGGTGTGCTTTCTTACGCGCAGCGCCGATATGAAAATCGAGGCCATTGACTCACCGAGCAATCAGGTTGGTGCATAATACGTACCAGTGATCACACGACGAATTCCGGACGGATTCGCAACGGCGTCCGTGGATCACGGTGTGATATATCTTGCCGTATCGCGCCGAACTAAGCACATTGCGTATCTAGCCACCCGGGAACGGCACTGTTGTGATCTTCCGGACAGTGTCGCATTTGATCTCAGAAATACTGTGTGCGGGGGTTCAGTTGTCATTTTCGTAGTTCTCAGTTTTCATGTCTTTCAGGCCAAGGTCTTCCATTTCCTCCTCGGTCCTTTCGTATTCTTCTGTCTTGACTTGCGGGTCTTCGCCAGAATCCACGTTCAGCTGCACAAATGAGTTTGCCAAGGGATCTTCAAGTGTGATGGAATAAGGAAACTTGGCCTTGATGGCGGAATCCAGTTTATCGAAAAAACTGTCCCACCTTGACTTCGTGTCGGCAGTCATGGAGTCACCTCCTGCAAGATCTTCATCTCCAATGTTATAGATCTGGCCATGGAGCTGGTCACGAACTTGAGTAAGTAAGCCCTCCAACGTGGTGAACCGACCACCTAGCGTGCCAGGCTGTACCTCTAGCCCAAGGTCATGACTCTTGAGGACACAGGACTCTGACTTCAGGACATCTCTGGACATGTCCTCTAGCGTCTTGACCTCGAGAGTAATCCGCTTGCCCTTTTCGGGGACTGCACCACCCGTCTTCACATCGCTGGTCCTGAAACCGCAGTGTTCACATACCGTTGCCATGATGATGACTTCTTTAAAATGTGGGATGTTCGTCTTCTTCATGTTTACCGTGCATGGTTTCCCACAAGCAGGGCATTCGGCGTGGAGTTCATAAACTTCGTTGTCAACGATGTCGACGCCTTCCATGGCGTTGCCGTCGGCGTTGTCGTCATCATCAACCACAAGGCCAAGCTGTACATTCTGTTGATGGCTGCGCAGGTAATCGGTGCGAACATACTTGGCACCTTTGTCCTCGGTGGATGGCTCGATGAAAGAGTTGCCCGAAATGTCATCCAACGAGACCGTGAAAGGGAATCCGCTTCCCTCAAGCATTTTCTCCAGCTCCTCGATGATTGCTTGCAGAGCATTGTATAGTTCAACGCTTGTTTCTTTCCTGGCCGGCTGATCAGTCTCCAGGTCTGTCTTGATCTTCGAGATCAAGCCCTCGAGATTCGTGAATTGACCCGGCGCAGGGGGCATTTCCAAGCCAAGGTCTTCAATGCGGAAGACGCCGGTATCACTGCGGACTACCTGTCTTTGAAGGTCGCCTGTGGTGTCCAATCTAAAAGTGAACTTTGCCCCCTTCTCTTGTATCTCACCTGCGCTCTTGACCGTGTTGTTCTTCCAACCACAGTGATCGCATGAGAATGACTCGAGCAGGATTTCTTTGAAGAACGGGATCTTTATGGGGAGGATTCTGGTAATACCCTGCTGCCATTAGCGCCGTCCGTGAAGGTTGGCCAAGCCCATACACACCTCATCGCGACAATTCATACATAAACTCTCGATCTCGTAGACCCCAGTCTCATTTGGGTCTGCGTGTACAACAGAAGGAGCCTCAGCATCTGCCATGATCGTGTTCAATTACCGTCTCGTATACTTCTGGAGTATGTAATTGCTTTCGGGATCGTGGTTCGTAGCTGGCTGCTATCCCGGCGGCTCTTATGCTTGACATGCCTGCTGGTACCAGAATTTTTATCTTCTCGAATGACGCAGAAGGATCGACGTACGCCAAGCCGGCCGCTAGCAAGAAAGTGAGCGAAGTCGCGATTGGACAGCCTTGTGCGGCGAGAAGGCTGAGCTCTCGCTCGTCCTGCAATAGTGGAAGGATCATTTCTTCATCAGGTCCAAGAGGTTGAGGCTCGGAGGAGTCTTCGTCTGTGCACTCTTATGGAGAAGTGCTTGCAAACCTTCTCGATCTTTTCGTGCCTTTGCTCTTTTCTTGCTGGTGGACTTGGTGTTGCTTTCCAATACCGGCTCAGCGCGCATAATATTCTCAAGGGACGATTGAGCAGGAGCAGCCGCAGCCGGTTGCTTCTTGTCTTTTCTGGGACTTGATGCAATGGCAATGACATTCTTCGTGACATTGTCGCATAGTGAGCAACAATGAGAGCGGACCTTTTGCCGTGTGACTTTTTCGTGGTTGAGGCCCTTACGACCGCGTCTTGTCCTTTTCGCTCTGATCTTGCTTTTCATCGTCCACTGCGGCAGGAGTATGGTACCACAAGCGGCACAGACAAGCTGTCCACGGTTTGGAAGCTGCGAGGAGGCCTCATGGCCCAGCGCCTGGCTCTCACGCATCAGCTGCCTGGACGTGGCCGGTGTGCTAAGGAACAAGTTGAAGGCCGACTGCTGCAAGAATTTGACGCGCAGATTTTGCGCTTCGCTCATCTTGCTACTATCGCCTGGAAATCGAATTGTAAGATGGTACAATATTTCCTGTGTACTCCGTACTTTGGCCGTGGTGCCAAATTCTTAGCGAGAGAGGAATTGCGTCAGATGCCCGAGAAAGTTCGGGTGAAGCATTAAACTCCCTTTAGTGGGCCCAGCTATCGCCCCTCCCGGTGTCCAGTTTGCCCTTACAGCCAACATAATATCTCGAATCAAGATGTCGCCGCATACACTATCATTCTGTGGTGCAAAATACACCGTCCATACAGCAGTGCTGGGAGTCCCGAGGCTTAGATGTCGCCAAGGAACGTCTTAACAATCTCGCCGGCGAATGGCCGCCAACTACAACCTTGCGACGGCCCGCGGGGTCGTGAGATCCGTGGGCCACCCATACATATCTCCAGTGGTAGATCAGTCAGCAAGTTCCCGTCGAACTCCCACCCGTGAGCGTCACCAAGTCTCCAGGACAGATGAGCCCGCCTCAAAGATATTCTTTCGTGAACGCGCGTCCCCAGACGAAGGCGGAAAAGCGACAGACACGGACTGCCATCCGATCGCACATTGGAAAATGGACCCAGGAGAAGCAGCAAAAAATCGAGAACAGTACGAGCTCGGGTGGTGACAAGAACTCACCCCCGGAATCATCGCGCGCTGTGTCGCCTCCGCCAGCACCGACAGATCAGACACGACTGCGCCCTCCCGAGCGACTGGGGAGCGTGTGGTCCGATGGGCCGGACAGCACAAGCAGCGACAATCCTTCCGATCGCGAAAGCACGGAAGATGAGGTTCGAGATTTTTCAGAACTGACCGTCACGGCCCCGCCGCATTTGCGACGAGCATTCTCTGCAGGCTCGATCACCCATTCGAACTCTGCCATCCAGGTTCTAGGGTCAGGTACCCTGGATCCATTCCGTACCTATCCTTCAGAGTTCCCCTCAACATTAGTATCACAGTGCCATGACTATTGTAAGCGGTCTCGTCCAAACAGCCCCCGCCATCCACTTCACTGCGAGACCCCCAAGCAAGAGCTGACAGGCGCCTATAACACAATAGCACTGAAAGTACTATGGCCTGGGTTGACACCCCGGCCTGCGGGTGGGACGGATCCTGCAGCGAGCAAAGGCTGGTTTCCTATGCTGCTCAACGATACCGTCGCTCTGCACTCGCTGTTGTTTGGAGCCCTGAGCCACAAGCGGCTCAATCTGCTGAAAGGGGCCGGGGACCATGTCGGCCTGGACCTGACCAGTCTGGAGCTGGACATGCGACGCTGTGAGGCAGAATCCATTGCACTAATCAACAAAGCTCTTCGCAAAGACAACTTCATTACAGATGCTATGATCGTGTCAGTACTCTGCATGGCAGCAAATGCATGGGACTTGACCCTTGACCGATTCTTGAACGAGCCTGCCCCTCCACCAATATTTGATCCCATGTTGAAGAGTCTGCAGTGGTTGGACGTATATGGACTTCTCAGCGATCATCCAATCCATGCCGCCGGTCTCATGCAGCTGGTCAAGCTGAGGGGCGGCCTGCACGAGATCCGAACGCCGGGTCTTGCTGCAACAGTATTTTTGTAGGTCAACCTCAACCATCGACTGACCTTTCTTATACTGACCGTCTCATTTTCTGTAATAGTTTTGGTGTTCTCAACGCAAGCAAACATCTCACCCCGCCTCTGTTCCCTTTTGTACCTCTTGTCGAGGACGCCGAGCAGAATCAGACACTGTGGAGTCTGTTGGGCACATCCCCGACTGAACTTCGAGACGAGTGTGTATTCGGCGGCCTGTTCGATCTGGGACTGACGAACGAGATGGCCATGGTCATTGTTGCAATGCAGCGATACGGACAGAGTGTCCAGTTGTTCGTGGATGGGGCTCTTGCAGATCTTGATCTCGCCCGGTTTTGCGACAGAAGAAACCTTATCCAACACACCTTGCTATCGCTACCCCCACAAACAGACTTACCGGCCTCGGATGCTCCACGACCCATCTATGAGCCAGCTCGACTCGCCATGTTAACATACTCTCTGACTGTCATCTTTCCGCTGCCTCCACAAGCAGCGCCCATAGCTCTCCTAGTTGAACGGCTCAGATCTGCTCTGCGCGAGACCAACATGCGCGCCAGCTGGTCCTCTTCGCACCAGGTTCGGCGCCTCCTCGTGTGGATCCTTTTTATAGGCGCCATCGCCGCAAGAGACATGCCAGACGACCGGTCATGGTTCGTTGCCTTGCTAAGAAGGCTGACGGTGAAAGAGAATCGGCTCAAAAAGTACGAGCATCTGAAGCGAGAAGTGCTGAATAGTATCTTATGGCTTGACCGGTCTTGTGACGCTGCTGGTAGGATACTGTGGACAGAGATCTTGGGTCCCGGGGAGTAACGGTCATGGGCAAAGAGTACCGTGGCAGGAGATCGAGGAGGAGTCCTCACCAGGAAACCCATCCGGAGTATATACACCCGTGCCCATGGATTTGGGAAGGGACGGGCAGGAAACCAGCCACCATTATATCTGTGATGCTGGAGCCACCAATAGGCACGAAAATGCAAATACTAGACCGGGCACAATCAGTTGCCTGGCCCGGTAGTCTGCCGTGCTCGTCAACCATCATGCCAAAGAGGCATCCCCTTTCCTCTTACGGAGTATAAAAAGACAAACCAGGTGTCGGGACTCGTTCGTTCCATTCGTCAAACAAGGACCCCTGGATGTCGACACCCACCAGCTGTGCAGGTAACAACGCACTGAGAAGGCTGAAAGACGCTGCCATTTGTTGTCTGGCGGTTACCCGGAATTGGTTACAACCCTTTTGGCTCGAAATGATGTGGGGGCGTCTGTGTGTGCCGGCGGATCTCCGCCTCGATACAAATTCCCACGGAATTGGTCCCCAGCGCGGGGGCATCGTCGCTACTCTGTGTAAGCCGGTATTGGGACGAGACAGTGCAGCCTTGCTTCTCAACGACGCCACCTCCAGCTTACTTCTAGCGCCAGTGGACACTTGTCCGGATCGGAGTCAGGAACGCCAGCCCACCAAGGGAGCAGCGGAAGGACGCAAAATCTGGCGGAAACAGGCTTAGCTCCATCAAAGCTTGCATACCTAGCAGGCGAGCAGACAGACAGACAGAGAGATCTCGCCTGTACTTAGGGTGCGCGTAGTCCCCACGTGGCCGCCGCTCTTGAATACATACCAGAATCAGCGGCGCACCGTCGTCAAAAGTAGCTGTCCCACCTCTACTGGCGCCTTCCGCCTTTTCACGTACCTATCACAAGTATTGCATGACAATGTCTACCAATTCTTTTTGCTGCAAGTACGTCGCCGGATTGTATGGGTAAGAGGCTCGTCAAGACGCATCAACTCGATACCATGGGCATCTTCAAAAGCGCCATTGCCGCTGCTTGCTAGAGACTCGGACAGGAACGCAGTTATCACCAAGGGCGGTCGATGTATTTGCATCCGGAGAGGAACCGTGCGTTAAGCAAGCCTCCTGTGGTAGGGAGATGGCTGTCACGGTAGCACTGACTTGTGCCGCTGCTGGAGGATCTCAACGCATCGTGCTGATCAACAATTACGAGGGTGGTAAATTTCAGGACGACCGAGGTGGAATGGTCTGCCAATGACTAATATCAGATTTCAAAGAGCACACAATCTTGCAGAACCATGGGCACGCGAAACCGCACATTAGCTGTCCACGGGTCCTTTTTATGGTTCACAGAGGACAATCGGTACTTGGGGGAAGCCTAGGGGGGACAATCTCTCACCGCCAGGAGACTTGCTACCGGCTCCGTATGTACGTCAATCCACTTACTGTACGAAACATTTCATGGTCTCATGCTATGCGGAACATCAGGAACAGGACCGACATGCTAACGAAGTCCTCGTGCACAGCGCTTTTCCTGCAAGGCTACGAGGCTAAGCTCTAAGGCCCTTTAACTCCATGTACCGGCCAAGCTTGACTGCATGCAAGCCTGACCGCTCTGGGCCTACAATCTCGACGCAACTTAGGCTCGGGACTATGGATTTTGCTGCAGAGCCGAGGAAGGTGCATGAATCCACATCGCCAGGCACGGATCTCCAGTGGACGAGGGATTTCGGCGTTGATTTGACCACAGACTGCCAGACAGTCGACCCGAGAAGTCCTTGCCAATGATAGTGAAGGGTCGCTACTGGATAAGATGCAACCTCGTCTGCCAGTCCACGGACTTAAGGCCTGGACTGGTCATCCACGGGACCTATTCGCTTTTCGACTACTCGAAGTCGGCCACTGTTTTCAGTGCAAGTAAAGGTATAAATACTGGAACGCGATGTTATCACATCAGACAAGCACAGCAGCGGAAGCAAAGCCCGTCTCTCCAGAGTCACCTACGTCCAGTGAGCCAAGATGACAGCAACCACTCACCCCGAGTTCAACGCGGAGACCGAAGCATTGGACGTCGCAAAGGCATTCCCTGATGCGATCCGAGGCAAGACCATCCTTGTCACCGGGGTCAACCTCAAGGGAATTGGCTTTGCCACTGCACAGGCTTTTGCTTCCCAAGCGCCTGCAAGCTGCATCCTCGCCGGCCGCACCAAGACCAAGCTCCAGGAGTGTATCGAGGAGCTAAAGAAGGTGTACCCAAATGTCGACTATCGGCCACTGATCCTCGACCTCGGCAGCCAGAAGGCCGTCCGGAGTGCCGCGCAGGAGGTCCTCTCCTGGAACGACGTCCCCCGCATCCATATCTTGGTCAACAATGCTGGACTGGCCACTATCCCTGAGCGCACCCTCACCGAAGACGGGATCGAGATGACCTTTGCGACAAACCACATCGGTCACTTTCTCTTCACATGCCTCATCATGCCCAAACTCATCGAAGCTGCAAAGGCCAACCCGAAAGGCGCAACGCGAATCGTCAACGTCAGTTCCCGCGCGGCCGAGGGAGGCGGGATCCGTTGGAGCGATGTCAACTTCAACAAGAAGTCAAGGGAGTTGCCTGAAGTTGAACAGCCAAATTACAAACTGCTCGAGATGTGGGGTATCCACAATGGGGCAGATCTGTCGTACATTCCTTTGGAGGCCTACACCCAGAGCAAGGCTGCGGGTATCTTGTTCGGTATTGGACTTACCAAGATGTTGTATGAGAAGTACGGGATCTTGAGTCTTGCGATTCACCCTGGTATCATTAATACGGAACTCGCGAGATATTCGACCAAGGAGCAGATGGATGCCATCAAGGCCAGAGAGCGGAGCGGGCTGATCAAGTACAAGACCCTGGGTCAAGGGGCGGCAACGTCACTGGTTGCAGCTCTAGATCCCAAGCTCGGATTCAGCGAAACGCACGATGGCAAGGAGGGATACGGGGCTTACCTGGTGGACTGTCAGATTTCGCAGAATGCGCATCCCCGTGCAAAGTCGAGTGAGGAGGCTGAGAAGTTGTGGAAGCTGTCGGAAGATCTTGTCGGAGAGAAGTTTTCTTGGTGAGCGGCAACAAGGTCCTGAGGACCATTCCATTATAGACATTGGGGCACAACGGAGATGCACTAATGTCAACGCATTAACGTACCTGCACCTTCGATGGTTGATGGTGTTATACGATTCAACTCCTGCTTCGACGCCTCCTGCTTCGACTCACCCTCTGCAAACCCTGTCCACACCAGGGCAGTCATCACCTAATAGCGAGCCAACCCTTCCCTTTATAAGGCATATAATCCAGATCATCACAATCGCTCCCAAGAACCTGAGGACACCTTTCGTGGTTCGTAGTGGGCAGCAGCTAGTCTGACCAATGCAGCCTAGATCTGGTGGTAGAATTGGCTTGTCTTAACACTCATCTGTCTTCCAGTGTCTACCTGTTCTCTTCCTTGCAGTCAATAGAAATGGTAGAGAGCCAGGTGTGACTTGTCACAAGAGACCACAAAACGTTCCGACACGCCTTGTGCATTGAGGAGGGCGTTTCCTCTCTCTGAGAGCTTTTGCTCTTGGAACTGCTGCTCTCTTTGTTGACTGGGGCAGACCTATCTGTATGGTGTGAGTAGTGAAGACTGTGCGGCAAGGCGATTTTCACCTTTGATCTTGGAAGTGGAAGGACCGAGATGCAGGATGAGATGAAAGTGAATGTAAGATCGACTGCCTCCGCCAAGGCACCGGACTCAGCGCTTTGGTGTCACAGTATTTTCTCCGTGCATGACACGCTCTTTCCGATAATTGTTCCGGCCACTTTCACCTTAGACTTGCTCGTCGGCCTCAGTCAATGCGGCGAGCACTTTTATCGAGGTCACAATCATATGTCTCAATCTTAATCTCGGCGAGAGGGGCCTATTGTCTGCATTCTTCATCCAGAAGCACTAGCTGCTCATCGTACCTACCAAGACGCCCAACTCGGCTCTTCTGTCACTCAAGCGTCAACCGTCGCATACAGAGGATTCGCGCCAAAGATGTGCTAGCGCGTTCTGTCTCTACCCCATGGTGCAGCTCGACCAAAGCGAAGAGCAAGATGTCGGGAGTCGAAGAGCAAATACCAGGAGGCGTCAGGGTTGCGGTCGAGGGCTGTGTGAGTTAAGATCCTTCTGAAGTCTCTGAATCGTTGCTGATCTCCCGTTCAAGGGTCATGGGACACTCCATGCAATCTATGCCTCAGTTGAGCAGGCTTGTAAGGTCAAAGGTTGGGACGGTGTTGATCTGCTCATCATTGGTGGCGATTTCCAGGTCAGGTTCCCGGTCTTCAACGCCCGACAAGCTAATGGTTTCCAGGCAGTGAGGAACCAATATGATCTCAACGTCACCGCGATGCCTCATAAATACCGACGCATGGCCGACTTTCACGAGTACTACAGCGGCAGAAGGACTGCTCCTTACCTGACCATTTTCATCGGCGGCAACCATGAAGCAAGCAATCATCTTTTTGAACTCTACTACGGCGGATGGGTCGCACCCAATATCTATTACCTAGGAGCGGCCAATGTTCTCCAATTCGGACCTCTCAGGATTGCCGGGTTGTCAGGAATCTGGAAAGGATACGACTACCGGAAACCCCACTTCGAGCGACTCCCCTACAACCAAGAAGAAATCACCAGCATTTTCCATGTCAGAGAGTTGGATATCAGGAAGCTATTGTCGCTACGCTCGCAGGTTGATATCGGCTTGTCTCATGACTGGCCGCAGGGGGTCGAATATCATGGGGATTACAAGTGGCTGTTTGACAAGAAGCCGGATTTTGGGACCGATTCGTATGCTGGAAAACTGGGCAGCGTAGCTGCAAGACAGTGTTTGGACCGTTTGAAGCCCCCTTACTGGTTCTCTGCGCATCTGCACACAAAGTTCGCGGCTATTTTCAAACACAACCAGGAACAGTCCGCTATGGAGGGAACTCAGGGACCAAACCAAGGCAGCGGCAGACGGGCTGAAAATTCTCCGCCCAAGCAGACAAGCGAGTCCAGCCAACGCAGCCGTGTCGCCGCCCCAGCGAAAGGTCGTCGTCTCGCCTCGGCCTGGCAACAGTTCCATGTTGGCGCTCAACAGGCAGACGCGGAAGAACGAGACAAGATCCTGAAAGACAGAGAGGATCAGCGGCTAGAAGAGGAGAGAGTCGGCAAGTCGCCCCGACCAGAATACTCATTCAATGAAACATTCAATCAGGTCGTGCAGGGAGAAGGCCTGACTCGTACAATCGTCTCGACAGCTCAGAGCCGACTTCACAACTCCGACGAGTATCAGCCTATTCCACAGCTCGATGGCTGTTCCTATTCAAGACCGAGCAAGCGACAACGTGTCGAAGACGAGCAGCAAGCAACTGCAAGTGATCTGAACCACAAGGTTGCTGAACAGACGGCATCTCGGGAGCAGATGGACAGAAGCAGTAGTAGTCTGCTTTTACCGCCGCAATCCGCGGTTGCAAATCCCGATGCTATTGACATCGAGATGAGTGACGACGAGGATACTACGGCAGTAGGCAGCGACACGACCTCCCAAGCCAAATCTATCCCGGTTGGTAACACTACCGTAAAAGCCAACCAAAGCAACGGCCAAAAGAAACCGGACGTCCCCAAAAGCCACTCGGAAGAAAGCGATGATGGAGGCGTCACGCTCAACCCACAAGCCGCTTCATTTGCACCCGTGCCTGGCCTTACTATTTTGCGGCCAGAGCAAGCCGGTACGGATTCGGTGAAGCCGGCCGACCCAGCTTTGGAAGAGTTTGTTGAAGAGTCTCAACCGCAAGATTCTTCTCGGACTGTCGCTAGCGAAAATCCAACCCAGTCGGATCAAGATCACACTGCTAATACTACTAGTCAAGTGTCCGAAGAAATGAGAGCCCAACTCGCGGCGCTATCTAGCAATTTCACAGCCAAAGAACCCACCGAAACCTCCCCGCCGCTTCCGTTCCCCGAGGAAATCACAAACAAGACAACTCACTTCCTTGCCCTAGGCAAGTGTGAGTTGTACCAGGAATTTCTGCAACTTCTCGAAATCGGCTCCCTGACATCTCCGTGCGAAACTATCACTCGTCCCCTCAAACTCTCCTACGACCCAGAATGGCTGGCGATCCAACGAGTGTTTGCACCTGAACTGCAACTCGGCGGTGCGCCGACTGATAGAGTCAGTCCTCACCGTGGCGAGACCTATGACCGGGCGCGAATCGAAGTGGAACAACAATGGATTCTCGAGCACGTCGTCAGACCCGGCAAGCTGCAGGTTCCTGAGAACTTCACGGTAACAGCGCCGGTGTATGATCCTAGCCTGCAAGTCAAATCAGACGAGATGCCTCGCGAGGTGACGAATCCGCAGACCAGTGCATACTGCGAGTTGATCGGGATTGAGAATAAATTCGACAGCAGCGAGCAGGAGCGAGACTTTAGGATGCAGCAGGGCCCGCGACCCGAGAGTGAAGGATACCGCGAGTACCACAATAGACCCCGTCATCAGGGACGCGGAGGGAGTCGTGGTGGCCGCGGCGACGGACGGGGACGGGGGCGCGGAGGTGGCAGAGGAAGAGGCCGAGGCCGTGGAGGCGGACGAGGGAGCGGTCATTGATGCATGCATGGTCCTTGAACCGTCGTTCTGCGAAATTGCAGATGTGCGTCCGTTGGGCCCATTTGACATAGCCATGAGATGGTGTGCGCGCTGGTCGCACAACCTGTATGCATACAGCGTACGTGTACAACACGCACCATTGATACCCCTGAGCTTGCAGAAGGGAATAGCAAGATACGGAGAACAATAGCGTCACCATTGATACCCCTGAGCTTGCAATGGAGGGAATGCACGACATAGAAACAACTGAGTCCGTAAAGAAGGCATCTTTACTTCAAAAAAGGATGTGTCTGACACCCCGTAGAGCAGGCTGGCCCGAGCATACTGGCACGACTGGTGGCAACCACCGACGAGGATAAGACCAGCCGCAAGTTCACTTTCACTTCCACAGCCTAAGCCACAGCGACAGCCGCAGGCGACTTATCCGCCCTATCCAACCTGTCCAGCCTCTGCAGGAACTGCTTCTTCCACTTCTCAAACTCGCGTATGCGCTCATCGCCCAAAAAGTCCACCCCGAGATGCATCATGGTATGCAGACCCGGGAGAAGCACGCCCTCGGGATCTTCCGCCACCTCGTCGTCTAGTTCTGTACTATTCCGCCTCCGCCGCCTCCTCCCTGAAATGATCAGGTCGTCATCGTCGCCATCGACGTCGTCATCTTCGTGGATTTCCTCTTCCTGTCCAAATCCGTCATCATCCTCGTCCTCTTCTCCCTCCTCGGCTCCGTCGCCGCCAGCATCCGGATCAAACTCAAACACCCGCTCCGGCACGCTGCCAAACCACTCCTGCCCCCTCGCATACCCGCGCTGATTAATCCTACGGATCCAGCCCTCCACGCCCTTCACGCCGGGCGTATACGCCAGCACCTCCACGGCCCGAGCACACGTGGCCTTGTACACCGCGGTCGTCATCTTCGAGGCCCTCTGCATGCGCGTCAAGGTCATTAGGTACAGCGCGATGAGCAGGCCCGTGATCTTTTCTTCTAAATCGTGTTCCTTCTCTCCCAATGCGTCATGCGCCGCATCTCCCCACAGCCCGTCCAGCTTCAACACGACACACACGCCCGTGTAGACGTGCGGAGCGAGCAAAGGGGTCGCGAACGTCCGGCACAGTCGGCGGATGAGTGGCATCACGTAGCGCGGTGCGTCTTCTGCTGCGTCCCTGTGTGCGAGGCCATTGACTTTGCCGAGGAATGTAGAGCTAGATCTAGAGCCGGGTTTAGATTTAGATTTCGAAAGCGTGGTCGAAGGCGTCTTCGTAGGCGTCGTTGTTGCGAGGGTTCGACCCCCTCTGGTCTCCGAATCTATACCTGTTCCATCCACGCCGGCGCCCGTTTTGATTGACCCGTCTGCCGTCCGCTTCTTCCGGCCGCCGGTGCCTGGGGTGGTTTGCTGTGTCGATGTCTCATCAAGCACACCGCCAAAATACGCCACCAATTTCCTATACGTCGCCGGTTTGCAGGGCGCGCCGCCCGTCTTGGGCGCCGGGAGCCTCAATTTGGCCCGGAGTCGCGTACATGCTATTTCGCAGCACGCGTGTGCGCGGGCGATCTCTTCCTCCGGTTTCAGGTGGGCCGCTCGTTGGCGGGACTGCGCGAGAAGGGACTCGGAAAGCTGGATCAGGCGCGCGGGGAGTGTGGAGGGGGTATAGCTCGGGAGGAGGGAAACGAGGGTGAGGTTGAGAGAAGTGGTTGGCATGGCATGGATAGATAATGGATTTGTGTCGAATCGGTGGAGTGTAGATGTAGAAGGGGGAGGCAAGGGAGCAAGTATGGTCTGGTCCGATTAGAACACGGACGGTTGCGAGTACGGGATACTCTGTACGGAGTACATTTCACAGATTGAAGTCGGTGGCACTCTTGAGGTGCGAAGCGAGGCTGAATCCGTTGTGGGCGCGGGCGCGTCGACGCGTAAAGTGGACAGCGCTGCCGGGATATAACCTCCGCAGTAGCGGGAGAGGCTGCAAATTACGGTCGACCACGAAGGTCAAAGCAAGTATTCTCGATCGCAACTCGACAAGTTGCCATACTCCGATACTCACCGACGCCTCGCATCATCTTCTAAGCATCCTTGAGTAGACCGAAAGTGCGTTGCGTCCGAGTTCTATGTATTGCGCCTAGCGTTCAGAGCTACGACCCAGCATCAACCTGGGATAAGCCTTCTCGCAATACAGCCAATACAATGCGTCAATGTATACATTACGTCGATGACATCTCGCCGCTTGCGGCAGATTGGACAGTATGGTGCCAGAATCGAGCAGGGCGGGCGTACTGAAAGACGGCAGGGTCAGTACCCGAGTATTGTTGCCATCTTAGATCGGAATCTGAGTCAGGGCAACACGAAGCTCAGAGTATTCCCCCTCTGGGTCGGTGGACAGCGGCAGCGCCAGAAACTTTTCTTGGTACTGCGCACTCTTCCACCAGCTTTTAAGCTCCCTCTGACTCGAGCAGAACAGCAGGAAGTGGCGCACCATGGAATAGCTTGCGCACTAAAAGCGCCCTACAAAGACAGTTCCGCTGGTACATAGTATGCGCGAAGGAGCCTTGTGTTTGTACGCACTCCCTATTGACCTTCGTCGTTGTACACCAGTTCTCCTACTCGAAGCGAGTCATCAATCCTTTTCTTTTGCTCCCAGAACCGGACCTCGGAGCCGTGCGTCCCAGTCCGCACATTGTCAGGGTCCATCAAGGACAATCCCTGATCCCACAGGATACGACGTGGGAGGAACAATCAATAGAGCAGAGGCCGTGACCGACGTGCCAAGCACGTTCAAATACAGTTGACCCAGCCTCCCGGCTTCAAGAAAGCGGCCAATGTGATGGAAGGAATGAGCCCATTCTCCGCATTTAACCCGTCCTCAAGGTCTCCGCGGTCACTGAAAGATTGACCGCCACCAATTGGCCAACGGCGCAGATTGCGTTCGGAAGAAAAGACAGCTAGGTATGTGGTGCCGGATTCGACTTCATGCCATATCCGTCGATAAATCCCCGCCGGCCGAGACAGAACACCGCCCTAGGTGAAGAATGCGCTGCTCGAGCGTGAACAACAGAGGTGTTGTCGCGGCGTGGAGTGTTGAGAGAAGAAAATCAGCGCTGTGCTGGCACTCTGGCGAAGACACTGTCGATTGACGATTCGACCGTGTGTATTAGGTTTCGAGGTCCATGCCCGCGAACGGGAATTTCCTCCTTCTCCCATACGCCTTGTTGCATGTTTCGCCGAAGATGCTGTGGGAGCTTTTTGATGATTCAGTAAAGATGATGATAAATATACTATGAACATGACGTGACAAAAGTCACAACCGATGGGGTATCAGATAGCCGCCCTTTATAAACACGAATAGGAACAAGTGATGACATAAACTGGTTGTTTAGGGTCGAAGTCGGTCGCAACAAGTACCAGAATTTTGAAGGGAAAACGTTCGTCACAGTTGGCATAATGTCTTTGGACCTCATGATCACATCCGGTGCATGTCGATATATTGTGCTGGTGGAGGCGAAAGCATCATTCCGGGCCGAGAGAAACACCTGTAAAATGAAGACAGAGACATCAGAGTTCAGATTTTAGCGGCATTGGCGACGGTGATATGGTCTCGGGCGCCCTCGCGATGCAACACGGTTCGAGCATGGCCGTTGCCGTAATAGTAGCCGTTCGAGGGATATGCCGGGTCGTCTCTTGAAAGAATGCCGGGACCGATGATCTTGTCCTCGTCGATACCCAGGAGTTTGGAACAGGCATTGCCGAGCAAGCCGGCTGCCTCGTGCGTGAGCTCCCATCTGGTGCTCTCGAAAGACTCTTTCAAGATCATCAGAAGGCCCAAGCATCGGTTCTTTCCCTTGACGTTCTCAAGATCGTCTGGAGCCCGTACCCCTGCGACTCGGTCGAGATACTGCCGCATGTCTTGCTCTTTCTTCTCCCAAGTTGCGAATTCCGCTTCCGAGGGAGGAGGCTTGATAGGGCCTTCGAGCGCGAAACCGTAGCACCAAACAACGAGAGCTGATATGTAGAGCACCCACGGCCTGTTGAGGAGGAAGTCGTCTCGAGCAATGTACTGGTTATGCTCGAATGCCTGTGGCAGGATAGGGCTGGCGTGACCATACAGGCGACCACTGATTCCATCCAGACCATCTCCGTCGGGAGGAATAAGTACTTGGACGATGAATTTGAGCGCATAAAATGCCGCATCCCGTGCAGAAGCCTTGGTAGCCCAACGCTCGATCTTTTCGCGGACTACGCTATAGTCCTTTGGCGTTATCGAGCGTCCGAGCAAACGATTGGCGCCTGCGAAGACTTGACAGTCGACAACGTCCACATGAGCAGCGATATGAGCGAGATGGTGCAGAACAGTCCTTGACTCGAAGATGTTTTCGTCGTCCACTGGCCGCAGGACCGGATGCGGCGGCACAACAGGGGTCCGCAGTGGTGAAGAGGGGGCAGGGGTAGCTTCCGCCAGGGCCTCGTCGAAGTCTCGTTTCCAGTTGTCAAAGGCACGTAATAGAACACCTTTCCACTTGTCCGGACCTCCAAATGAATTTGCGGTACGAGGTCCAAGTGAAGAAATTTGTAGATCTCGCTGGCTCATATGCCACGAGACCGACAACAACCCTGCCATGAGGATGGTACGACCGAAAGAGTTCGTGCGCACTCTTTGTCCGTTCAGTGTCCGCTTGAGCCCTTCGAGGAACATAATTGGCTTGATGCCGTTTGTTTGCAGGGATGATTGAACCCGAGAAGCCTCTGAGGGAGACACAGCCGACCACAGACCTTCGTCACATGGTAGTGGTAATCGCATCTCATGCGCAACCATTTTGGCAGCGTGACCGAACATAGTCGCGTGGATAGAGTCCAGGACGAACGCTCCAAACGCGGCGCGACGGGTAGCCTCTGTGGTGATCCATCGATGCCACGACTCTTCTGACTTGGACGTTTCGGTGCCATTAAAAGGTGCCGAGATCCTTCCGTTATCCTGCTCTCCCCTCAGGCTGGGTGGTGAATCGGATGCGGAGCGCCCCAACAAGGAGCTGCCACGGCGCATAAGCGTCAGAGTAGAGTCATGATGGATGTGCGCTCGTTCGTGCAGGGCGCGAGTTGCATACATCTTTTCATAAACCTCGATGAGTAGGAGTGTCTGAAAAACCCATAACTTTGCCGGAGGTCTGAAATCCACATCCCGCACGATCTCCCATCGAAGGTGCCATACTACGAAATTGGCGAACTCGGCGGCAGAGTCGGTCAAATTCGTGCCGTACGCCTTGTCCAATGTAGCGGCTCCGATTGCGATGACCATGAGTAGGAGTAGGTTTGGAGTTCGATCCGCGGAAAAGGTGGGCTTGTGCAAGATCGGCAGTTGTGCATGCTGATGGTACCAGTATGATCCGATATAGGTGTGCATCATCCGAAGACTCAGTATGTGGCCATCACTGTCCATGTCGCCTTCGAAAACGGAGTCCTTCCGCTTCTTTACTGCGTCATGCGGGCGCTCCAAGAACTGACTCTGCATCAGGTCAATCAGCTCGTGACGTTTGGCTTCGGACATTATGTACTGGCTTGTGGCTGTCGAATCGAGAATGCTTGTCACACTCATTGGGTGTTGCATGCCACCTGTCGAGTAGTTATTACTGGATGACGAGGGGCTCTGGTCGAAGTACGGGCCTTGGATTGGCTGCTGCTGGTCATGACCGCTGAACCCAGGAATGTAGTTCGGCGGCGAGAAGTCGTTCGAACCAGAATGAGCGTCATTGAAAAGCCATTGAGTAAAGTCGTCGGCCACTGCAAATGGTGTCTGAGTATATGGAACTTCTTCGCCACCAAAGACCGGAAAGCCAAAACCACCGTTGATGTCCACGCTTGCCATACTGGTGTTGACCATGCCGTATGGGTACTGATCACTTCTGGTCAGTCCGTGGGAGACGGCGGCTGCGAAGGCAGCGTCCGCGGTGCGAGATACACCGGCCGGGGGATAGCCTGTAGAGACGTATGGCGGGCCAGAGGCCATGTCGATGACCTGCATGTAGCCATTCATTCCGTTCCTGTCCATAGCATGGTCGGAGTTGGACCTGACTGGTTGAACTGGGGGTGCCGATGACCCCGAATACTGGCGAACGGGAGACGGCGGAACGTTCTGGCCCGAGCTCCTGTCGAGTGCTTGCATTGAGGCATATGCTGGCTGCTCCCTGTGATAGTCTGCGCTGTTGAAGCTTTGCCGTCGAACTCCAGAAGACCAGCCGGTCTGCTCATGCTTTTGAGGCGGGCTCATAGGGTTACTGCCAAGGCTGTTTGTACGATGTAATTGGGGCTCCGGCCTCGCGACGACGGCCTGCGGTGTCGGTGGATGATATCGTGGCTCATTCGCCACTGGGGACGGAGGAACCGTGTTGCCAGCCATGTGTGTTTGCTGCCCGTAGTGGTCTGTGTCGGGGGTTTGGTGCGCACTCACAGACTGGCTCTCCCGACGGATGGGCGCATTGGGTGCAGACATAGGGTAGGACTGTGGTTGACCGAGTCCGTTCTGAGATGGCGTTGGGGGGACTGACTGATCGTTAGATGTGGATTGTGCAAAGGCATCTCGTTTAGCAAGCTGCGAACCGTGGGTCGTATGCCGTTCCCGGTGCCGGATGCAGAGATCCTGTCGTACGAAGTACCTGGTACAGTCAGGATAGTCGCAGCGGTAGATGGTCTTCGGTGTATCTTTGCACACAATTAGAACGGTTCTAGCCAAGGTAGTAAAGTACACTTACGGTTCAGCTGATGTCTGTATAGGTGTTCGGCACGAGAGTAGCTTTTGCCGCAACCCTCGTGCTTACACTCAAACTTCTTGTCGGGGTTGGGCTTGACGACTCTCCTCCGCTTCTTCGGTGGCTGTCCCGAACCCCCTTCATTGCCTGCTTGCTCAGGCTTCGCATCGTCCGACGAACCATGCTGGGTGAGCGTTTCCTGGTCTGGTCTGTCAACGGGGTCATTTTCCGCCATTGGAACGAAAGCTTGTCGCCTGCCCGAAGACTGATGACGATCCGGTCGGAGGCTTAGCAACAAAAATCACGGCGCGCTCAACATGATCAGCGACCAAGTATCCGCACAAGATTTCCGCTGTGATTCACAGTCAATGTTCACTGGAATTCAGCCTCGTCTCCAGGCTGACCAGATATCGGTTACAGTGATGTAGGCTCAGAAGCCAACACACGACAAGAAGTTTGTCATAAGCGGCTGAGCTGAGCACTGTGTATTTCTTCCTGATGCGGGGTGTTGTACGCTGCTGACCCTATGTGGCTGGAACTTGATTTCCTGGCCCACGTTGCGATTCTTGGGGGTTGCTAGACTCTGTAGAAGGCTTCTACGCGCCTGTTGATGGTTATCGCGTGGTGGAGGGAGGGTGCGAAATCGGTGTGCGGCGCAGATGGAATGAGCGGCGTCTCTTTGGATGCAGGTACCGGTTGCGCAGAATGAAGTAGTTCAGGTGACCTCGGGGTCTAGCGCTCGTGGAAAATGAGCGAAGGGCTTATTGCTTCTGCTGCTCCTCATGGCCTGTGTGGCGAAGGACGGTCGAAGACGCGAGGACGAGGCCCGGTTCGATGCTTGGAAGCCAGAGAGAAAAGGGTCTCTTAGTCGGCCGGATCTGCGTTGCTTCTGTAGGAGGCTGTACTGGGGCGATTGTTGGGGTCTAGGTTGCAATTATGCTTGTCTCTGGCTCGTGTTCCGTCAACAGTCGCATAGTTCGGTATTCGCGCTAGATGTGAACAGGCAATGGCAGGTCTCGTCTTGCAGAGCGGAGTGCAGACCAGTCACAGGCACGAGCACGGGGGATGAGCTTGGGGTGATGCAGCGACGCGGGATGTGTGGATGGTGATGCGTGGAGAAGAGAAAGCACGGACGACAAGTCTGTCAGTGTCGCAAAGTAAAGAGGGGAAATTGAGTCGTGCAAGCGGGCTGACGATAGAAGAGGCCGTCTGGTTGGATGCGACACACCACCAGGCATCGACACTGCACTGGCACGACTGGTTCCGAAGGGGGGGGAGGGGGGTGTGTGATGTGGGTTTTGACTCGAATCTCTGGCACGAACTCGGGGCGGGTCGTCAAGGCAAGCGGCCTGCGGGCCCCAGATATCGTGGCATTTGACTGGGGTCGGTTGGCCCAAGTCAAAACGGCACATCGACGAGGTTATCAGCCTGATTACCTACGCTCCGAGCACGCGGGAGCGCATAAAACCCGCCTGCACAAGCCTTGTAGTTGCATGGCATCGCATCGTCCACTCGACTCGAGTCCCCAGGCCAGCAGGCATGTGCGCAGCAGACAATATGACTGCGAAGCAAGCACGCGAGACCTCGGCGGAAGAGACACAAGCATGAAAGGCCGCCGCCCGGGCACAATCATCCCCCCAGCCACGCTTGCCTGCGAGGCGCGCTGTGCGCGATGTCAAGCTTACCGGCAATGGCGGGGTTGTACAGTAAGGCGCGCAGCCAGGCCGGATAAGAAGTGCCATCACCACTAGCAGCAATGTGACTATCATCGCAATAATGCTCTTCTCTTTTATCATTTGGCTGACGTGCTTTCCATCAATCGAATCGCTAACGTAAGATCCAGGTGAAACATGGCAGTGCCTTTCTTCATGCCCACCTCGCGTCCCGCAGAAAGTTCCCGTTCGGCGCGCACTGTCTAGCTACCGAGACGCTTGCCCATTCGAGTTGCAGGTCGTCATCTTCGACAGCAATTGATCACCTGTCCCCGAATCTTGTCGCACTCTGCGAAGCGAGAGGCTGCCTGATGCCTGACTTCCCCACGCTTGCGGTCTTCCTTGACCCTTGCAGCAGCACCTCGAGGCTGGACGATTATCCGAGTCCGTGTCGAAGAACCAACCACCTGGGCTCTCTTGACAACGTACATACACTGTTCTCCGCACTCCTTTGGCGCCTGAACCTCTCATCAGGACGCCCGGCCCGAAATCACATCATCCCGCATGCCTTTGTTACCCATCACGATCTCGTGTGATCTTCAGCTTGTCCGCATTCAACCGGAGACGATGTATGGCGGACACGATCATTACGGATTACTGCCCCAGCTTTCAGATCAGATATAGATACAAGGCCTTGCGCGTTCGTCAAGCTTAAAATCAGACCCAGCAAGCACGAGGCTTCGCTTATCCACGGAGAACTTGATCCTCCTAGCGATCCTTTTCTTGGGACCAGTTGAGAATACTAATCGTACCATCCAATGTCCATTGTACGGAATGCGGCTTCACGGCATATCGTAACTCAGGCGCGTCCGTTGCGAGACCTTCTGCCATTTATCAGTCTGGAAGCATGTCTTTGCCCGGGCATCTCTCAGCCGAATAGCGCTGTTTCCGTCGTAGACCGCCGACATCCGAAGGTTTGTTTTCGAGCTCACACGATGGACCCCTGAGTGACCACCTCCACCGTTGAGTATCCAGGCACGCCACGGTAACGTACTCGAACAAGCCACCTCTGAGCCCTAGTCCTCTATCCTGGGAGCCCCTGAGTCGTGGCAAGCAAGACTGCTGCGTCATGGTGCAAAAGAAAGAAACCAGAAAGACATGCAAGATGCAACGTTGGACCAGAAGAAAGGACCTGGCAGGGACCCAGCAATAACCGGCATGTGACTGTCTCCCTTGGTCGCCTCTTGGGGCCAGACTCTTCTCGGAAGACCCGCCTGACAACGCTTTATAGGCTTCCTCAGAGCTTTGAAGCCTTTCTCAGTTGGCCATGCCCCTCTTTCATCTGGCGAGAGATGCGTTTGCCATCCAATCATGAGGGTAAAGAAAAGTCGAGCTAATGCACCTCTCCTCCACCGACTCACAGCTCATGAAGCTGTTGATTTCTAGCGGATCTCCAGCTGCAGTGGTTGACTCTGTGCTCGCACACCGCAGTCCAAATACGATTCTCAACGAATCTATCGTGCGTTCATTGATATTGCGGGATCGAGATCGCACAAATCAGGTAACCTAGACTCGGGCCCTCACTTGAATCGTGGCCAGGAAAACGGACAAATTTTAGTCCGTTCCCCGACTTGCTGATCGACCGAAACGCCGGCGACCGAGGCCACAGCAGACTGCTGCAGCACAAAGACAGGAGGCCGTGTAAGTCTCCACCAAGCACGATATTTATTAAAGGAGTCCTGCATGTCAAGACGCTCAAGATGATGGGCTTGGGTCTCTGAAGTCTCTGAAACGGAGCCATTTCTGAGTGTCCAAACACAGCGTAACATGTCTGGAGTAACCAGCCCGATCAGCCCGACGGCGAAGCCGAAGTCCAAGACATACGAAGGATCATGTCACTGCGGGAAAGTCAAGTACGGTCGACAGTGTGAGCAGTGTGCTCAATGAGGTTGCTTACCCGCACCAGATTTTCCATGAAGCTCTCTCCTCCCGTCGAGGACGGTTTGGTGACCAGCTGTAACTGTGAGCTCAGTTCCTACTTTCTTTCTCGTGCTAGTTTTGCGAACGATTGACTGACGGCTGTGCAGGCTCTATCTGTTCCACTAATGGGTATCTTATGGTCTATCCCTTGGAATCCAACATCACATGGCATAGTGGCTTCGACTCAATGACAACCTACACATTCGGCAAGGAAAAGATCGCGCACTCTTTCTGCTCGACCTGCGGGACGAGCATTGGCGGGAAAAGCACCGATGCATCCTTCTTCGCCGATAATCGAGCTGTGAATGTAAGTTAACGGGCCCACACCCTTCTGAAGTTTGCAAATCCTTGCGTTTATAGACCCCCGTTCGTACCACCCGAGGAAGGAAACATGCCTTCGTCAGCATTCTCTCCCTCTATCCTTCATTGTGTTTGAAACTCGTCCATTTTTCTGGCGTATCTCAATCCTGGATTTCCTAGCGGTTGTCATATCGAAGCTTATGTTGATGGATACAGGTGCGCACTCTAAAGGGTATCGATGTCGACTCTCTACGACTGAGGAAAGTAGACGGCCGCGGCTCGGGGATCAAGCTCCCCTCCGAAGCACCGCGGCGGATGTCACAATCCCATTGAAAACCTTTAGCAGGTCCAGGCAGAACGTCTTAAGCTTGATCAAGCGGAGTAGGCGTGGCTTGAGAGGCGACTTGTCCAGCAGCAATCGCATTCGGGTATATGTATAGGTGCGCGTGTAGCAGATGTCAGGGGCACAACTACAAAGCCGATGAACTTGGAAACTCCTCTCGGTGCCAAACACGGGAGCTGAGACGCTAGAGCAGTTGATAGACCGTCTTTTGAACGCCTCTTTCTTGCAATCCCCTTGTAGGCCCTTGAGAGGGTTGTGTTTTCAGCATACATGTAGTCAAACGCCTTGCAAAGCCCAACGCCACCGCACCTGCATGCCATAGCTGATGACATGACAGCAATATAAACCTCTGCACGAGGGAGCCCCCGGACGCCTTTTCGGAACGGTCTTTCTGGCATATCCCACAATCCCACCCCAGAGCGACGCAGACTGATCTTCGTGTGGAGTGACAATCTTCCAGGTCGCACAGTGCAGTAATCCCATTCCAACCATTTTATACGACAAATCTTGCACGCCACGCAGAAAGTAACCCATCCCCTCACGTCGAGGTAGGCAACATGTACATCACCGTACCCAGGGCCGTGAGCCCGACCCCGGCCCACCACCAACGATCCGCATTGTAAAACTCACTGACGGGAGTTTGAATAACGCCATCCTTCCCCCCACCCATCAACACGTGCTGTGGCTCGCCATCTCCTCTCTTGGCCTTCGCCTTTGCCGTAGGCTGCGACACCACACTCGTCGGGTTTAAGGTCTGTGTCGGCAGCATCTGTGGCGGGTTATATACCAAGTACATGGGCTGCAGGGGCGCGCCGTCGAACTTGAACAGGTTCAGGCGCGGGACGTTGTGGAACGGATCCGTCAGCACTTGGTAGGACTTGAACAGTTCGGGCTGTTCGTAGCGGATGAAGATGGCGTCGTCGTAGGAGCAGGGCGCACTGGTGAGCTGGCGGCCGTCGACGCCGAAGGGCGTGAGGGTGATGGACCCGTCGGCCGCGATCGTGTACGTGCCGTGCTGCCATTGCATGATGGTGGAGGGACATTGGGGGGTCGTTGCTGGGGCGCGCCTTTGTGTTAGTATACGTATACTAGTTAACCGTAGTGTATGCCTATCATTTCCTTCCGGGAGAGGAACGGGCACAATGGGAGGAGTGACTGTAGGGTAGCTGGAGCGTTGACAAAACATACGATTTGGAATAGCTCGATAGTATGCTTCTTCGTAGAATCCATCTGCTGTGAACGAGTATGAAATGCCCGCGAGGTCGGGCTCGATCAACTTGTCGGCCACGGGGTCGTAAAAGCCCTATTTCACTCATATATTGCGTTAGCATTCGATGCCTCCCACTTATGTGCCATGCATTTCTGGCTGGGGTGGACTGACTGGTCCGGTGAGGACTTTCTTCGACTTCGTCGTCCAGGTGCCTACAAGGGCGGCGTCATATTGGGCTCTCGCGAAGCCGAGCAGCCCGAGGGACAGCGCAAGAACGTGGGATATTGAGTGCATCATCGCTGCATGGCTTTGCTGTATGGGAGATCTGTATCCGTGTGGAAGTACGGGGTTTGGGTTTCGGTCTGGGTAACGGCGTGTCGCGCGGGAAGGAAAGTTTCCGGTGACACGGAGTAACGTGCACAGTACAGAGGGGAGAACAAAGAAAGAATGGAGGGAATATCTCGTATGATCTACTGCTTGTCGTTTGGATTTGTGAGCTGGAATCTCACCCTGAGGCGGCCTCAGGAATGTCGAGGCCGGCAGGCTGAGGCGCATGTGCAGGGGTCTTTCGACGTGCGCAGTCTGGCTTGTTTGAGGCTGGTGGGGGGTGTTTGATTCGCTGGACATGGCCCTGAAGATCGTGTCCGCCCACCATTCGGAGCGAGCAGCGGATTGCTTCAAAAATAGTTCCGTTGCCCGGCTGCTGACTATCACGACCACGGCTTGCAGCTGAACACAAGCTTATAGCAGACAATCCCGGGGCATGCTCTAGAGACCGCGTCGCTAGAGTTACGAATCAGGTTCTCGAATGTCATGACATGTGAAGAGTGCCGCGTTGGCCATCTTCCTCGATGAGGTCGCGGCTCTGTGTCCAAGCTCTGCGGACAGTGTCAACCATGGCTCTGAAAGAGCAGAAGAGCGCGCTGAGGAAACGTATTGCGGAAAAGCTAAAGGAACTTGACTTGGAGGAAATCGAAAGACAGTGTAGGCGACCTCATGTTTGCCTCGAACTCTTGCTGATGACGCCAAGCGGCAATCGTGACCAAGAAGGTGCTGCAAAAGAGAGTCTATCAAGAAGCAAAGTCCATTGCCATCTTCTTATCAATGCCTGGCAGGGAAGTCTCGACGCGTGAGATTGTGCTTCATGCGCTGGGCGAAGGCAAGTCGGTCTTTGTGCCCTATCTTCATTCAGGCCAAGAACCGAAATCAAAGATTATGGACATGTTGCAATTGCAGGACACGGACGATTTTCATTCTTTGAAGCCGGACGCTTGGGGAATTCCCTCCCTTTCGGAAGAGTCAGTCCGCAGAAGGAGGAATGCTCTTGGTGGAATCGGTCTCTTCAATGATTCGGTTGACAACCAGCAAGCATCTCCGAGTTTGAACCTCATATTCATGCCAGCAGTAGCTTTTGATCAAGCTCGCCGCCGACTCGGCCATGGCAAAGGCTTCTATGACCGCTACCTCTCCAGATATAAGTTCGCTCTTGACACCGGATCGACCATACGTCCAATGCCGGCGCTTGGTAAGGTGTCCAATCCCGTCTGGCCTGGACTTGGCACTAAGTCGTCTCTTCTAGTGGGCATTGCTTTGCGCCAGCAGGTTTTGGCACCCGAAGAATCTCTTCCTGCCGATGAGAATGATTGGCCGGTTGACCAATTTGTGGTGGCCGATGCTGAATGATGGCTGAGCAAAGCTTGTCCTCTGCCAGTTTCTGTTTCTGCTGTCCGGCTCGGGCGCAGACAACGACCTAGTGACAAGAAGACCTAGGCTACAGGAGACTTGCGCGCGTGGAGTGCCGGAAGATAACGAGACCACGGTGTCTCTCTAATCAAGAGACTGGATCAACGAAACATTATCACCCTTGAGTAAAATCTGGCCTGAAACTTTATTAGTTCAGCGTTCTTATAGCGCCAGGGACAAGTCCTACCAAGCTGCCTTCTCTTTTGTGGAGCATCTTTTGTGGCTAATTGCACCTCGACCGCGTCGTCAATCACCAGGTTCATGAATTCGTCGAAACCCTGCCAAAATATTAGCATATTCGACGACACTAGGGCATCGAGCAGTCACGTACCCTGATCTTTCCTTCGATGCGCGTGAGCAAGTTCTCGTAGAGCCATATTGAGACTGTTGAGCGCTTCTGCAGTAGACTGAAAATGAAATGAATGGGCGCAAGCAGAGTCTTGCGACCACCTCCACCTCCACGGCCGGTCATCGTGCGCGGATACTACTTCTGCAGCTGGATAATACCCAAGAAGCGTGTTGCTCAGTGTCACGGTGATGGGAGCCTGGTGTTTGTGTATTGTCGTCACTTCCAGTGGTTAAGGAAAGACAATTTCCGCGCTGTGGAAAATGCGGAGGAAAGCAAGGCTGAAGTGGGCGGTTGGCAAGGCTGAGAGGTGCATGAAAACTGACTTGAGGTCATATCACAAAACAATCACTTTCACTCCATTTCGCTCACGGTTTCTTGATTCTCCCACTAATCTGCGCCTGCCTGCATCTTCTCTCCAATCCGTCACTCCTTTCTTGAACAGCCCTTCTTTCTCTGCGCGCAGAGGTCAGCGACCAATATTTTACTGCTGCTGCACGGCCAGTTGTCTACTGCTGCCCCTCATTCTGACCTCACCCTCCATCTGCGGCGATGGCAAGCGGTACAAATTCGCCGGCAGGCTTTGCCCCGGTCCTCTCAGCCTTGAAGACCATGCAAAGCAATGCCGCCAGAGATGACAAATCTGGCGCGCATGAATTCCTTGAAAAGTTTCAGAAATCAGTGCGTCAGAGTCCATAGAACCGTGTGCATGTAAACTGATCTTGCGATAGTCGGAAGCGTGGAACACCACACATGCTATTCTTCAGGATTCATCGGCCCCGTTAGAAGCAAGACTGTTTGCTGCGACCACTCTGAAGGGAAAAGTGCGACCATCACTCCCGCTGCGAGATCCAGGACTAATTTTGTTTCAGATTACCTACGACCTGCATCAACTCCCACCCGAAGCTCTTACACCTCTCCGAGATTCCCTCCTCAGTTTGCTTCAACTATATACGCCGGGACCCCGACCGATACGAACACAGCTATGTGTATGCCTGGCGCACCTTGCGATCCAATTGACGTCGTGGAAAGATGTCTTGCGGACAGTAGGATCGGCTGTTGGCAACAGTAGCGATGGCGGAGATTGTCTACTCGACTTCCTGCGAATCCTGCCAGAAGAGGCTACAGAAGGCCGCAAGATCAACCTTTCAGTATGTTCGACCACACAACATTCTATGCTCGACTTTGCAGCAACTCAGTCCTGGCGGCCGATCACAGTCTAATCCAGCATTTTTGCAATTTTAGGAAGAGGAACTCGCCGATAGGACCAAGGAACTCCTGGAGGATAATTCCACTCAGGTTCTGAACCTTTTGGTCTCTTACGCTCAGTCATCAAGTAAGTCCTGTGATGTTTCGGTGATCGAAAGCGCTGACAGACCTTCTCTAGCCCAGGCAGCCCATAACCCACGACTCTACGAATGTATCGCATCATGGCTTAGGGAAATTCCAACTTTGGACGTTCTTAACTCACCTCTGTTGAATGAAATCATGGATGCTCTGCAAGACAGCGATTCCTTCGAAGCGGCAGTGGATTGCCTAAGCACCATGTTCAGAGATACCAGGGACATCGACGAGTCACAGAGTGCCATCAGAATTCTTTACCCCAGAGTGGTCAAATTAAGACCTATGATTGCCGAAGCCGCCAAAACCGAAGACAACGATCTCATGAAAGGCATCACGAGACTCTTTGCCGAAGCTGGTGAGGCGTGGGTTATCCTCATCGCACGCATGCCGCGCGACTTCCGAGAACTAGTCGAGTGCATCCTTGAATGCTGCATGCGGGACAAAGACAGAGATGCTATCGCCGTCACATTCATGTTCTGGTACGAACTCAAGCAGATTCTGACGCTTGAAAAATACATGCCAGCCAGGACTGCCCTTGCAGATCTCTTCTCCAAACTCGTCGACGTCATGATCAAGCATCTTGAATTCCCTACGCCAGAGAACGGCGATGAGAAAGATCTGTTCGATGGTGATCGGGAAGCAGAGGACAAATTCCGCAGTTTCAGGCACAGTATGGGCGATGTTTTGAAGGACTGCTGTGAAGTTATTGGTGTAACCCAATGCTTAACCAAAGCCTTCGCCCAGATCCAGTCCTGGGGTCAAACTTACGGTCCGCAAGTCTCGGGCACCACTGTGCCGCACTGGCAAGAGCTTGAAGCGCCTCTGTTCAGTCTGAGGGCCATGGGTCGTATGGTCAGTCCAGAAGAGAGCACTGTGCTTCCACAATTCATCCCTCTCCTCACTTCCGTGCCGGATCACGAAAAACTCAAGTTCCAAGCAATCATGGCACTAGCTCGTTATACTGAGTGGACAGCTCAACACCCTGAAACACTCGAGGCACAGCTCAACTATGTCATCTCGGGCTTCGCTCACCCGTCGCAAGAAGTTGTACAGGCATCAGCATTGGCTTTCAAGTTCCTAGGCACCGACTGCCAGAAACTACTGGGTGACCACATCTCACAACTCCATCATTTCTACGAGAGTGTCCTTGACAAGCTCAAACCAGCGAGTCAAGAAGAGGTCACGGAGGGAGTCGCCGCGGTGGTTGCTGTACAACCAGTCAACAAGATTTATGAGAGCATGAAGCTGTTCGTCGATCCTGTCATGCGGCGCGTGGTATCCCTGGCGTCACAAGCAACCGATGAAAATGCCGAGAAGAGCGTGGCAGACTATCTCCAGCTCGTCAACATCTTTTTTGAATGGGTTCAACCCTACGTCTCCCCTTCTGAGGAGAACCCTGCGGTGAAATATTGCCAAGAAGTTCTTCCGGCTCTCTCACAGATCGCAAAGCACTTCACTCGTTCAATGCCAATACTGGAGAGAGTCTGCAAGTGCTGGCGGACCATGGTTGTCTCATACCGAACTGCCACGGCACCTCTCCTCCCCACTCTTGCAACCAGTATTGCTGAGGGCTTCGCAGCCTCGCGGCAGGGCTGCTTTTTGTGGGCTACGGACGCCGTCATTCGAGAGTTCTCCTATGGTGCCGAATTCGTCGATGAGGCCACAAGCGACAATGTCTATCAGTTCTTTGCTCAGCAGGCGACTGTCTTCTTCAGGATTCTGTCAGAATTGCAACCTGTCGAGCTCCCTGATGTGATTGAGGACTTCTTCCGGCTAGCTTCCGATGCAGTGCGATTTTACCCAAAGAAGACAATCACATCCAGTCTCGCCTTGCCGATGGTGCAAGCTTCATTAACAGCTCTAACATTGACATTGCTGGAGCCGGTACAAGCGACGTTGCATTTCCTGAGAGACTTCCTGGATTTTGGGTTTGAGAGACCACCAGTGTCCAGTTTCAGTGGGCCAGACGGAGAACCTGCCCCTGAAAATTCTCTCGAAGTTCGAGCCGCGGTAAGACAGGTTATCAATTCAGTGGGTCAGGAGCTGGTGCACCGAGTCTTGACGGGCATGATGTTCAGCTTTCCGGAGGACTGCTTTCCAGACGCCTCTGGCATCCTACTCTCTCTCTTCAACCTAACACCGCAAGCCGCTGCTCAATGGGTGCAGGGCACACTGCAAGCACTGCCAGCTGGAACGCTCAAGCCAGCAGAAGCAACCAAGCTGATGCGGAGCATCGGCGACAAACTTCAGCAAAACGAGCCACGTAAGGTACGGGTGCTGCTGCAGGATTTTACGAACTCGTACCGAAGGCGGAATGTGGCGCCTCGCGAAGGGCTAGGGAGGTTGGAAGCAGCAAGATTCAAGTTCAGCGGATAAAACCTGGTTGGCGGTATCATCCCTGTTCGCGAATAGCGACTGCATTTCCCAAGAGTGCCGGCTCCGACAGGATACTTGTGACCAATTTGGTAGCAAAGCAAAGGCAGTTGATCGACATGGTTAAGCATTTGCAGCATCCTGTATCAGACGCATTGAAAGCATCTCAGGTCACTTTGGGACACTTAAATACTCATCTGCGCCTGGGACTACTTCATCAGCTGCCTGATACGACGGAATGGGGTGCTCACAACATTGCCAACATCAGACTTCTCTATCGTACCAACCCCACCTAGAAAGCATATACCCCTCTCATTTTCGCAGCTTTTCCAGCATCAGTGCCAGATTCCCAGCATTAGAACCGTCTACTATCATCACAGCACGACTCCCGAGGAAGATGAGCTATAGGCACACCCCTGGTGATCATGTTGAGGTGTACCGATCGCATATGAGACAGGTCAACGCTGTCAGACAGCCTTGGACTGATGGCATGCTTTGCGACCAGAGGGCGGCAAGCCTCGAGGACTCTGTTCACGAGCGGTGAGATGCTCCAGGACCCATTCCCCGCGCGAGGGCAGAGATTGCGACTTAGCACGAGATGGAGCTGGGCACAGCATCAAACGAGCCCCGTAAAGTCGAATCATGGACTCCCTGGTTGAAGGCTAGTTATGTCAACGAGATAGCCACGAACTGGTGGATGTATGAGGCGTAAACTGCGCAAGGAGCCGTCACAGCCACACCAGATTCTAGATACCTGTGACACGATCTTCAACCTTGATCCACATGCTCCTTTACTTGTTTCGGCTCGCATGCAATACCGTGGCCTGTCGTAGTCGTACCGGCGCGGAGTCGTACCGGCGCGGACGAGACATTCCATATTGATCGTCGTTGAATCGAGATCTACCTAGTCTTCCAGCACCATCACCCATACAGTGTACAAATACCCCTTTGAAGCCCTGATATTCCTCTTCAAGAAAGAGCCATCCAGCGATCCACTATCAATCTTTGTCGAGATTTAAAGACTCAGGTAGAGGTTTGACACCAGCGTCCAGTTCGGCGCATCTTCACCTTCGAGATGAGTACTTCTGTGTTCAGAAAAGTCGATGGATTTGTCCCGCCGGAGTCCTAGATCCAGGCGCCAATTGAACGCCTCGACCAACGCTTCAACCATGCCGGCGAGTACGGCGTGTGTGACGGGGTCTGGGTGGTTAGGGGCTGAAACGCGACAGCGGCGCCACGAGGATCCGTTGTGGAAGAAGAATAACTACTGGCATTCGTAGCCCGTTTGGATCAGATCATCGGAACAGATAACCGCGCCGAGACGATAAAGGGGAACAGAGCGACGTATCGTGCATCCGAAAAAGAGGCGTTGACGGAGCTGCCCTGATGCCCGTGCCTTGCTGCTGTATGCCTTGGATCCTTTGCTCCATCGCGTTCGAGCTCAGCCACGGTGTTGCGAGGTGCTGGGCGGGAATGCTATTGAAACAGCCATAGAACACGGGCGCAGCAGTCTCCATGGGTGAGGGCAGAGCTGCAGACATCTGATAAGAGGTGCGTCTTTTGGGCGGAGATGCGCTCACTATAAGAATGCATGGAGCCATGTGTGCTTGTTAACTGTCAATGGGAAAGTTTGTGAAGGTGGACTTGTCTCCTTGTCATCAAGTAAGGGCGAGGTCTTCCCGTACGCATCGATTTGACTTTGGCGGTCTCACAAGCAACGAGGTTCGCTAGGAAGCATGTTTGCATCTTGGCTCACTATACTGTTGGAACTCACCTTGCTCAACGAGAGGAGGCAGTAGCTGGCAGGGAGCACTCCGTTTCCATCTCCGCGGGCAAAGACTGTAAGTAGTAGACTCCCGCCTCGTCGATCAATTATGAGCTGTCTCGTGCTGAGAGCGATAACTAAATGAGCGTCGTTCGGAAACCCGTCTGGGCCGTCTCAATGGCATGCCTCGAACCGTTGAGGACCTCGAGTACTAGGAGTACCACGAAACTCGCACCAAGTAGACCGTACTGCTCCGGAGAAGCAAGTGCGCAGTTCTGAATGGCTAGCACGGTGTGCCACTACTACTTTAAGCGCAACTGGACTTTCCCCGCAAAAAAAAAGTTCCAAGCAGCAAAGAACGAAGCCAGCAACACGTTGTGCGCCTCTCGAGACTATCTGCGCCGGGACTGCACCGAATCACGCCTCGTCATACTACACAACACCATACAGTATCGCACCATCTACGGAACACCCACCCGCCGCAATCCCCGTCGCAGTTAGTCCGCCGCCAACATGCGCGCCCGCAGATCGAAGAGATACCGCAAAATCATGTCCTCGTACCAAATGTCCTTCTCCTTCCGTGAACCCTATCAAGTGCTCTTAGACTCTCACTTCCTCAAGGCATGCCACTCCTTCCACATGCCTCTGCAAAAATACGTGGAAAACACCCTCCACGGGAAATGCAACCTGTTCGTCACGAAATGCACGCTCGCCAAGATCATGGACGCGCATCAGAAGCAGAAGGAGCGCAAAGCAGCAGGAGGAGGAGAAGGAGGTAAAGCGAGGGGTCCAGGCCGGCCTGACTTTCTCCCTCCACCCACCGAGGTGCCCCTACGGCATTGCAAGCACAAAAACGACGAGGGCGAAGAGCTGGGCATCGTGAGCGAGGCGCGGTGTCTGCTCGATCTCCTGGCCGGCCAGCCGCGGGGCAACGAGCACGCCAAGAATAAACAGCACTATGTCCTTGCGACGGCGGAGGCCGAGGAGAGGGAACAGCACGGGCGAGGATTCATCGACGTGCGCGAGCGGGCCAGGTTAATCCCCGGTGTGCCGATCGTGTATGTCAAGCGGAGTGTGATGATTCTGGAGGAGTTGAGCGGGGTCAGCGAACGGGCGATAAAGAAGGTGGAAAGGGAGAAGTTCGGCGAAGGGTTGGTAGGACTGGCTTCGCGGAAGAGGAAGAGGGGCGAGGGCGAGGATGATGAGGAAGAAGAGGGCGAGCGGGATGATGAGGAGCAAAATGGCGCGACTGCGAAGATCAGAGGCATGAGGAGAGCTAAAGGGCCGAACCCGCTGAGCGTTAAGAAGAAGAAGAATAAGGAGCGGGTATCACAGCCTGCGGGAGGTGGTGGACCCGTCGATGCAGAGGCCGAACCTATACGGAAAAGGCCGACAAGAAGAGGCGGCAGAAGAGTCGCAGCAAGGAGGGACGCCACGCAACAGGAACAAGAGACCGCAAAGGAACCCTCTGCTGTGGCGGAACCAAAAGGGTGACCGTGTCTCATAGCCGTGGCCAGCCAGCCGTGGTGGCGGTGTTTTCTTTCCTTATTCCCCCGAGATACCCTGAATGCGAAATCAAATGCGAATGCGCATGTGAAATAGAAAGTGAACATAAAGACCTGATACATATTTCATTCCCCCTGGGACTTTTTATACACAGCCGACCCTATCCTACCTCTCATCTTCCCCTCGGTCTCGTCTCATCTCGTCTTCTCCCTCCCGTCGTGACTGACTCATCTCAGTTCGCTGCGTGTGTGTGTCTCTCACTCTTCTCTCTCAGATCCCACTCCTTCCAACCCTCAACCCGATCTCCACTCACTATAGGCGCTACTTCGCCAAAAACGCCCTTCCATACACAAACAACCCCGTCGCAGCCAACACGCTCAATCCCGCAGGGAGGGGCTTCCCCGTCCTGATCGCGCGGGGGATCGAACTGCCCGCCAACATAATGGACGCAAGCAACGCGAGTTCCACGCCGTAGGGTTGCCGTTTCGAGATGCGGTAGCCGCCGAGACCGTACTGCGTAACCGCAAGAGAAGAAGAGGATGTTAGTGAGGGTGTACGGAGTAGTCACCCCAACAAAACGTTCAAAGTCAAAAGGTCAGAACGCCAGAAGAGTACACGTACAAGAAACCCGACGGTGAGGCCCGCTGCGATGGAGGGCACGGATCCCGTGCGCGCGTAGCCTGTGATGCCGCCCACCGAGGTGAGGGCCGAGAGGATGTAGGCTGGGTTTTCGGACTGTCATGCGTGGCACGCACGGCGCGTTAGTACCTAGGCAACGTCCTGACTCTTGCGAAAGGGAATTTTACCATATTGGATGTTTCAAGGCAGACTATCAAGGATTGATTGTTCAGGAGGTTTCCTGGTGCGGGGAGGTGAGAATCGTGTCGAGGTGGGTGAGCATCTGCTGATGTTTACATACAATGACGAGACTGCGACCCCGACACTCGGGCGAGAATGTTCCGCCTTCCGAGTTGCGCAAAGCAGACACGACTCAATCCCGACTTTTCGTGGGCTCGAGTGAGTGCGAAGGGTTTCGAGGAATCACTGGAAAACACACGGGTATTAATGATTATAATTATGTCTTAATCATCAGCTCAGCATGTGAGACACTGCTATCCCAAACCAGTCGTGAACAGCTGTCTATAACACTGTGTATAAGAATAGTCATCAAACCAAAACCATGAAAGACATCCATAACCCAACCGCCGTCATAATGAATGAGTGAGAACGTAAAGAAGCAGCACCATTGCCGCTTTCCGAAGGAGTATTCGTGGTATTTAAGATGGCCGTGCCATCGTCGTTATCATTTGCTCGGTTGTTAGTCGTGGGGTCGGTCTCGTTGTGGCTGGACGTTGATTTATGGGTGCTGTTCTTGGGAATAGGTTGATTGTGGTAGTTACGGATGATGGTGCTAGCTTGTTCGGCGATGCCGTATGTCGAACTCATCAGATGTGCTGCGAAAGAGATTGGAGGTATGCTTGCATCTGCGACACGGACATTGGAGAGGCCGTACACGCGGAGGTTCGCATCGACGACACCGCCTTGTTCGAGCGGCAGCATGGCGCAGGACGACGATGGATGGTACTCTGTGAAGACGTTTCCTCGAAGCCAGTCTTCCCATTCTTGGTCAGATTCAACATCCGACCCAGGCCATGTCTCCTCCGTCATACTGCTTGCAAGTGGTTGAGCATTGCCCAGGCGCCGTGCAAGCTTGATACCCTGGCGTAGGATCTGGACATCGGCGGGGTGATTGAGATAATTTGGGTTGATGATTGGGTAATCGAGCGGGTTAGACGAGGCGATGGAGATTTGGCCATGGCTGAAAGGATGCTGTAAGTTAGCACCGATCTGGATGACCCCGTCCGTTGTGAGTCCTATCACAAGCTCGATCAGGCCAATGGGACTGGTAAGAATGGTGTTGGCCGTCGTGTCGTAGATGGCCTTGAAGCCATCAATGACGCCAGTGTCGGTGCTGGTGTTGGGGATGTACTCGTCAATCGCATCATTGATGCTGCTGTGCAGACTGCCTACTCCGTTGCCGAAGAGCACGGAAGCATTGACATAAGCTGTTGCAGAATTCACGTATGACAAGAAGGCAGCATCATTCTGTAGCAGTCAGAAACACGTGAGGGCTGTCAAAAGGGCTGGACGGTACCTTCTCGGTGCTAGCGTTGTTGGCGTATATGCTGCCTCCTGTATCCGCATCTGTACTCCATTGGATTGAGACGCTCTGTTCCAGTCAGCTTGCAGCTCATCTCACATCCATAAAAGGACTTACTAGGTGATCCTGCAGATGCTGTCCAACGCCGGGCAGTTCTGAGACGACAGGAACTCCAGCGGCGTCGAGCACGTCCTTGGGTCCAATACCACTGTAAAGTAGTACAGCCGGACTTCCGATTGTGCCTCCCGCTAAGATGACCTCCTTCTTCACACCAACCGAGAGCTTCTCGGCACCGCCATTCAACGCGTACTCAACGGCGTTCGCGCTCAAGTTGCCCTTGGGAGATGAGCTGTTGAACAGTAGCCGAGAGACATGTGCATTGGCGACCACATCGTAATTCGCACGCGGCGGCAGGGGATCGAGATAGCCAGAGCGGCTATATGAACGCGTCCAGTTGGTTGGGTTGATGGCGGAGGTCGCGACGTATGCGCCCCAGTTTTCACCACCGTAGGCGTCGGTGGTACCGGCAACGCCGACAGCACTGGTTGCTTCTGACCACGCGCCGACTTCAGGAAACGTGCTGGAGCATGGTCAGTGGTATGTCCTACATGTACGAGCCGTCCACTTACTAGCCAGGGTAGGACATGTGAACCGGTCCTTTGGTACCATGACTTGCCGTGTTGAAAGTAATGCCGGCTTCCTCCTGCACGGAAGCATCAATGGGAGCGCTGAACGCCTCGCTCTTCTTCATCGCCGCATACAGCGAGTCCCATGACCAGTTGTCGGCGCCCTTCATGTCGCCGAGCATAGCCTGCCATGCATTGACCTCGATTTCGCCCGGTCGGTTCATGTAGAGTCCGTTGATTGCTGACGAACCACCGAGCACTTTCCCGCGAGGCCATGGTAATTGACTGTTGTTGGCATGAGCTTGAGGCGTTGTCGTGAAGTTCCAGTTCAGGTCCGTTGGCCATAACGATTGATAGTATGCATACGCGGGAGTATCTGGGGACAGGTTAGTGATCATCCTGCGGATCCGGTAAGCATTAGGCGTCCTCACCTATACGGGTCTTAAGCTCGTCTCCAGTGGTCCCAGCTTCGAGAACAAGGACCGTGTGGTTTTTATCTTCTGATAGACGCGCACCGAGCACGAGACCTGCAAGGCCTCCTCCAACAATAACAAAATCATATGAGTCTGCGATGCTCGTGCTGTCGATAATGTTGCGCGTCCGCAGCAAGTGTGGTTCGTCTTGAGCGAAGGGAGCAGCAAGCGCTATCCCGGCGGCCGCGGCCCAAATGATAGACGTGAAGCTATGCATACTGTCTGCTTCATGAGATATAACTGCAATACGCGTGGAAGGGAAAAACAGATAGAATCGACGGCATGCTGGTAGAGAATAACACGCGATTGCGCGGCTGCCATGGATAAAGGTTGTCTGTCAGTCGCCGTTGACTCGTCGCGTACCTAGTGCCTCGTTTCTGCTCGTTGCGAGGCAGGTGCCAGTGGACTGAGTGGACTGATCGCTGGTCACTGACGTTGGGTATGGCCCAACCCCACCCATTTTAAAATTGTTTACTTAGTACGCCACTAAGCTTACCTGTCAGAGATTGGGACATGGTCTTGTTACCCAGCTAAGTCAAGGTCAAGAAGGCAGGGCGGAGCCTAGCAACGCCACCCGGGCAACGTTAAGTGTTTCACCAAATGACGATCTCGTGCTGGAGCCACCATCACTGACGAATGAGCGACTATTTGATGGAAGCGAATCGATAAGAACGACCGAGGTTTTGTCGAAGCAGGGTTCTGCACTCCTTGCACATGCAAGCGAAGTGAGACACGAGAACTCGCAGCAACCGTTCACGCGACTGTTGACAAAAGGCAAAATCCAGGGGCAGAAAACTTTATCCAAGTTAAGCTCCGAGGCTCGAACACGCGAGGCTGGAGATCGACATCACGAGGCTGTGCGTGGCTGTGTGGCGGTGTTCGAGAATGCCCAAAGAAGCAGGTCGTGCGGGTGTCGGCCACGTCGCTTCAATGCAGTGACGGTGCACCGCTTTTTACGGCGGTCAGCAACACCATCAAGCACCGTTGTTCCCCGGCCGTTTCGCGCCCGTTGATTATTGCCTCGACAATGGCGAAGAAGCCCACAGCCCAGTCGCCAGCGACGAAGGCGCCCGCCCCCGTTGCAGCGGCCAAACCTCTGTCACCAGCAACTCACAAACCTTCGGGGTCGATCTCATCAAATCCCACCCCGCCCACGAAGCCTGCACCACAGAGCTCGTTGTCCACTCAGTCGTCGCCGCAAGAGATCATCATCCATGTATGGAACAGGTACCTCCAGGATACGCCCTCGAGGACCATGCTGCTTGATGCCTTCATGGCATGGCTGGTGGTGGTTGGGGCTGTCCAGTTCCTCTACTGCATCCTAGCTGGAAATTACGTATGGCACCTGCGACCCTGTTGGCGGTGGATGTGCTGACCGAGTATTAAAATAGCCATTCAATGCTTTCCTATCCGGTTTCTGTTCTGCAGTCGGCCAATTTGTCCTCACAGCCTCGTTACGCATGCAGACCTCGGAACGACCTCCATTGGGCGCATCGGCAGCGGCGAAGAAGTCGACAGCCAAGACTATCGACGGGATCAGCGGAGAAGTGATGGAGCAGGGAAAGATCAGTTCTGAGAGAGCATTCGCAGACTTTGTGTTCGGCAGTCTCATCCTGCATGGCTTCTGCGTCAACTTCATCAACTGAAGAGATCCACGTGTACAATTACGGATGTGAGCTGAATGGACGATGTTTGTTCTTTGCATCCCGACATCAGCCTTGACCAATGTAGAGCGATGTGTTGCTGTTTCTCCCACTGAGCCTGGAAAGCGTCCGGGAACCTTGCCTCTTGTGGAAGGAAGCGAGGCCTGAACCAGAGGATCAAGATGGCATAAACACCAAGACATACCCTGTATGCACCAAGGCAAACGGTTGCACCAGGGACTAGGCGATACCGGGGACAGTCCTGTGTCTGCTTGCTGGACTAAGGCCGCAAGAACCCTTCAGAAGGACAAAAAATGTACTTTATCGGGCATAGAGAAAAGCCGACAGGGCCAATGAAGCAGATGATTCGTGTGAGATCTCGATAAATCTAAGCACGATTCACGCGTGGCTTACACACCACAATCACCTAATTACAGCTCCGTCTTCCTACTCCTCCAACTCGAATGCCTTGTCGGATCCCTCGCAATGCCCTCCCACTCCCTGACCTTATCCTGCCCCACACTCTCAAACCCATACTTCAACCAACTCGCCTCGGCCGCCAGCTTGGCGTACTTCTTCGCCCCCCTCGCACTCCCCACACTATTGTACATCAGCGCAGCATGACCGTACGCATCGTCTAGAAACGCGTCGAGCCCTTCTTCCTTGTAAAGCCTGATGAGCATCTCGGCCTTCTTGACGCTAGCCGTGGAATTGGCCGTCCACTGCGCCAGCGCCCACTGCAGGGCGATGATATCCTGGGTGGCCCTATCGCTGTCCTCGAGTGTGCGGTGCTTATGACTACCGTGACTCTCAGGGGCACAGCGCGGACAAGAACAGGTGAATTGGAAGGTATTTTCGAAATACTGCTGACGGTCGGCGTGGAGCCGGAGAGGCGGAGCGTAGGATATGGTGAGTTCTTCGTCCTCGTCGATAGGCCGCACGGCGTGGACGTAGTGCGTGAGTAAGTCGCTGGAGAGGAAGTATTGGGCGCTGCCAAAAGTCAGTATGACGCGAGTCTAAATTGAGTATGTTGTGAACAAAGAGAGACGTCGACGTACTTTGGCGCGCACGCGTGGTTGAACCGCGATGACTCCGGGAACACGGCCAAATGCATTAATCCTCCGATCTGGATCTCGAACGCGTTCGCTTTCACCACGTCCTGGGCCACGACGCTGGGATCGTTATAGGTCTTCGCAAGGCCGAGATAGACGTTCCGGCTCGCCGTGGGGAGCTGGTCCACGGCCAATCTGAGATAGTACTCCCGATCCTGCGTGGAGAGGACATTCTCCATGTGCGCCAGCAAGTAGGGTGTATAGGCGGTAATCAAATCACCGCGCTGAAGGGCACGAGATGCTAACATGCCCATGCCCTTGCCGCGAATGAGAGCCGTATACCATGGTTGGGTCGGGGTGTCGTCCGACGGTTCCGGGTTAATGCCCCGGGAGGACAGTGAACTCGGATCCTGGAAGGGCGGGAGAGCAGCAAACTCCTGTGCGATTCTAGGCGTCGTGAAAATGGATATCCCTCGTCCGTTACTGAATGTTGCGTTCGTATAGACGCACAGTTTGTCCCCTATGCCGTCGAGGTATTCTGTGCAGACTGGTTTGTGCGTCCAGGGAAAATATGAGTCCGCGGTTTCTTGTGATCTTGATAGAGACGACTGAGTGGCGTCGGATCCGGCCTGAATACCTTCTTCACTCGATAATGTATTTGAGACGTCACCCTGCACAGCTGGCGCTACCGGTTCGGTACAAGCAACAAGCGATACCACCAAAGAGACAACGCCTAGAGAGACCAGCTCGAACTTCATTTTGGGCAGAAGATATGAAATGCAAATGAACTCCGATAACACAAACCCACGCGCGAAGAAGGGTAGGACAGTTCTACGCAGTAGATGCTGTGGAAGGTGCTTTGCTGTTCAGGTCCATCTTGAAACATGAAACACGACGCCCTGGGGTAAGGGTTTCACATTTGGATACCCTTGTCAAGTGCTGCCAAAGGCTAGAGTAGTGCCTCGGGTGCCCTTGTGTGTCTCTTGCTCCAAAGTAGCTAGGTATGATCTTTCATAGGGATCAGCTTGACGAAGAGATTCATCTGATCTACTTCCTGGTGGACATATCAGACACGCGTGAAGGTGATCGATTGAGACTCGCAGGTGTGTACGGAGTATGGCGTGTTCGAAAAGACGGGGATTGGGTGAAATGACATGGGATAGGCTGGGGCTTTCCTTGTAATGACATATTTTGATGCAGTCAATTCCTCATCGGCAGTCTTAATCTCGGTGACCTGTCCTACTCATGAACATCTTCCTCCCTTTGCTAGTCAGCATTTTCAACCCTTAATGAGTAGCCGTCGATATCGCGTTACAATCTATACATGGTCTTCGAAACACTTGTGGTCCTCGGCCCTCCACCCCATGCCGCCTGCTAAGCTGGCTTTTACCGACATCAATATGGTCACAAAGCATAGGAAGTGAGGTCGATATATGGCAACCAGATGGACAGTGACTTGAGGAACCCTTCGAACAACCCCTGGTGCTCGTCACCAATCCAACTTTTGACGCACGTAGAGGCATGCGATCAAACACTGTCATATCGACTGGAAGCATGAAAGGTCATTCAAACGCCACCCCTCCTAAACCACGCCTCCAACCCAGTCCTCCAGGCACAAAACTCGCCATCGATCTGCGCCACAATCTCCAGCGTCCTCGGCTCCAATCCGAATGCCTCTGAAGCCACGCCCTCACCTTTCATGGTCCCGTGGTTCATCTGATCGTAATCCATTTCATCATGCTGATATTCGTAGCTCACGCGGCCCAGATCAGCCGTCACCACGTCTCGGCTCCGCACACGATCCTCAGAGAACTTGATGGCGCGGACCTTGTCCATCCCCAACGGCCTGACATAGGCGCGGACCTTGTCGAGCGCATCGACCATGGCCTCGGAGCGCACTCTGCCGAACAAATGCTTCTTGGTGACGGGGTCGACCGTCCATTTTAGCCGCTGTACAGACACGGCAGGCTGCTTGGAGACCTGCGCGAGCAGCAGGCCGAGGACGTCGAAGTCCCGAAACTCGGCCTCGATTTCCATGGAGGATTCATACTGGGGAGCCTCCCGTGAGAGGATCGAGGAGCCCGGTTTGAGCCAGGAGTAGGAGCGGAATGTTGTCACGGAGAGGTCGACGATTGGAGGCTCAGAGTCCCCGAGGGTAGTCGTCGTGTTCTGGTTCGGAGGGGTCACTTGAACGAGCGGTCTTAGTGTGAATAGAATGTCGTCGGCTGTCTTGCGCACTGAGTCGGCGACCTTGTCCTGCTTCGGTCCCTCGGCGTATATTCGCAGAGACACGAGTGCTCGGTTGGCAGGGACGCTGATGCTGGATTGTCCCTCCAGGTGGACGGAGATGGGCTTTGGTGCTGATAGGTATGATGGTATCCCAAGCACGCAGAGCACGGTGATGATCGTTTGCTTCAAGTAAGATGAGGCAATCATGGTGGCGAAGAATTGCCAGAATCCAAAGAAGTTGGAGTTTTCCCGTCCAGAACTGGTGCTTTTGTTCGTCATGCTCATGCCCCTTGATGGACGTGAATCGTTGTTAGTGCGTGCAAGGGCTGATACTTAAGAGAGCATGATTGAACATTATGACAGGTGGTCTCATTGTCCGCTGGTGTTTTATTTGTCTGCGACTCTGGCGGTACAGGTCGCTTCACAAATTGACGCTTAGGGTACCAAGTCTGTCTGCTCTGAATTGCTCTCTTGCAGGGACAGTCCTGGCATGGTAAAGGCCAAGTTGTTGTCTCAGCGGAAGTCCTGGGTCGGAAATCGTTTCCGCGCTTCGGTCGCCGGCTTGGCTTTGCCGTTGAGCGAGCGCCTTGCGAAAAGGACCCAATGCGAAGGATGTACTCCGTACAATTGTTCAACCTGCAATGCGAGTGATATGAGAGCATCAATCTAGAATAACATGCGCTACTCTGGTGTCATGACTTTTCGATTTCTAAATGTCCTTTGCCCTTGTATGATAACACTTTTGTAATCCTAATATCGCTTGAACGCTCGAACATCGAAATGAGACAGCAATGCACCGTCCTAAACGCCGACATTATCGGTACACGCAGCCATGACCGAGAGAATCGTGGACTGGTGGATGACCGATCCTGCGCGATGGGAACTTCCATCATGGTGGGCTCTTCAGTGGCCGTAGACACGTAATTCATTCACCATGGAATTCCTGACCAAACTCTGCGTGGTCGTCGTCGTGTTCCACGTCATCATCATCCGACCCTGCGACATCCATCCCTTCATCATCTTCAGAGTCCGTGTCTTCGGGCTCTTCACCGGCGATGCCCTTCCATGCAACGTAGTCGCCTTCGATCCAATGCTTGCTAGTGGGCAGATGATATGGATCGTAGGGGAAATAGCCTTCAAGTATGCCATTGTCCCCAACCCAGCTCAAGTCTCTGTCGGGATTGCTGATGGTCAAGTCTGACATGTCGCGCCAGTGAGTCGTAACCCGCACATGCCTATTTTCTTCCAGCTTGGGATAGATATAAAACAGCTGCAACGAATGCGTGAGCTCGGCGAATTGCTCGACGATCACTGGGGTGCACACGCGCAGAGGGTTGAGTGGCGAGTACATAGCTGCTCGGAGCGCTTCGCGCAACGACTCGGGGAAGTGGTAGGTCTGTATTTCTTCCTCATCGACTTCGAAGTCGGATTCATCATCGGAACAGGAGGAAGCAATGTCCCGCCATCGGAAGCAGAAGATGTAGAGGATCGCTTGAAATGCAGCGTAAAAGTCACCATACCGCTTGAGGTCCGGGCCACGACAGCCGGGTTCGTAAGACTTGCGCAGGATTGTCAAGTGGTCGCACAAGAGTTCCAGGCAGTCCTGAACCACTTGCGGCGATACATGCGCACCGCGACCCACAAAGCCGGAGAAGTAGGCAGCAGCGCTGTGTCGGAGATGATGTGGTTGCTTCTTGTCAACTAGCACAGCCACGCAAGACGTGACGAATCGGTCGATAATGATCGGATCTGCTTGCGCGAAGTGAAAGACCAGGAACTGTGGATGTCGGGCTCGGTATGTCGGGAGAATCTGAGTGTGAAATTGAGAAATAATCTGTTCGATGGTGCTGTCACGTGTCTGTAAAGTCGTCGAGGCCGTAAGTTTGGCATAGTACTGAAACAGGATGTCCATGATTAGGTCGACCTGCTTGATGTCGTCTTTCAATTTTCGTCGACGAGCAGTGGCGGGGTCGACGGTTTCGTCCTCTTCCATATCTGACTCGTCGGTCGTGCTTGCATCATCGCTCTGGTCATCGAGGCCACCCTTCAGCATGTCCTGGGAAGAGCCTGGGACGAGTGTTTGTGAAGACGACATGTGGCTGAGCAAGTCATCTTCAGCGTCCTCTTCCTCTTCATCCAGGTCCACCTGTACCGCCACATCCAGCTTGATCAGCTCTCTCAGCACCAAGTTCAAGATTTCGGACGTAAGCTCTGGCACGTGGTTGATCATTTCCATGAAATTGCGGATGTATGTCATCCGCTCCTCGCCTTTTTGGAAATCGAACTCCAACCGCCCAGCCATTCGATTGGCAAGTGCGGCGGGCGACGAGGGAACGTTATCGACTATGTGCTGAATAGCTCGCAGGACTCGCCGATGGATTTTTGGCTGTCTAACCGGAGCTGCACCTTGAATTCGGCGTGTTTTCTGGGGTCCAAGCAAGTCGACCAACACCGACATTATCTTCGACTGGTATCCACGCTGCGCTGCAGCGAGGTTGTTCAGGAATCTAACAAAAAGGGCGTAGTATTGCTCCTCTCTTCCGATCCATTCGCTGTACAAAATCGCATTCACAAGGCCGCTGCAATCTTTGTCGAGCGATGTGACATTGGCCAGCAGAGCCTGAAGGTGCAATCTGAGCGTCTTGGTGGAGGGTGCATTTGGTTTGTCTGGCCTGGTGCTGAAATAGCCCTTGATCCTCTCGTACGCTTCGTCTTCTCTGAGTCGATGTCTCTCAATCGCCCTGCGGACTTGCTCTCTGAGGACGAGAGGGTCGAGGTCTTCGTCGTCGTCGGCAGACACTATCTCAACATCGGAATCAAAGGTCACTCGGGAGCGCTTCGAAGGACTCGAAGGGATGTCCATGGCATTACTTTCGTCCAATGACCGTTTCAACGTCGTCCGTCTCGGCATCGGTTGAGGTCTCGCTGGTTTGGGAGAAAGAGAAGGGGCTGAGAAGCTGGGGGGAAGAGCAGGCCGACGGGCCTGTTGGCGCGGGGCTATCATGACCGCAACGGCACCTGAGGGCGAGATTTTGGCGTACCATGAGAGGGATGAGAAGGCATAAGCATACAACTAGACTGATAAAGGAGATCGCCTGCTAGATGTGACTGTAGAAATCTACATTCAAGCTAACAAGATGCCATCATTCATGATTGCTGGCAAGTTGAAGAAAAATAATACAAAATTCACTTCGTGCGCGGAAAAGCTATACCCTTTTGGGCTATGAGGCACGCATGCATTCAGTCATCAGTCACCACTCCCTCATTTAGGTGTTACTTCGACTTGACTCACTTCACACTCCATTCCTAGCTTCAATGTCCAATAATATGAATGACTCAATGATCTCCTACAGACGTTCCTACACAGTTTTACAAGTAAGCCCTCTGGCTAATTCTCTCTGTCCCTTGGATCTTATCAAAGTTTGATGCCTCATCCTTGCCAAACAATTCGATCCTGTGTCCCAGTGCTCGTCTGAGGATCCAGTCCTTGCTGTTTATATCCTCTTCGACTGCACCTTGCTCGAGCGGGGGGATTTTATCGCTCCCGTCCAGTCGCTTCAGTTTTACATCGTTCTCCGGCCTATTGAAGTACACCAGTGAATACCGGGTATACTTCGCCTGCTCTCCCGGAGGGGCAACGACACGGTGAATGTTCGAGCGGAGAAGGCCATTAGTAAATTTCACCATGGCATCTCCGAGGTTTATGATGGCGTGATTGCTATGTTATTCAATCAACATTCAACAACTGTATACTGATGACGCGACCCATAGAGTAATACTTACGGAAGGGGTTTGACATAGCACCACTGTGCATCACGACCTGGTGGAAGGACTTGCAATCCGCCGAGCCGGTTGAAGAGGACCGTTACGCTTCCGAAATCGGTATGTTCGCCCAGAGCTGTCCGTCGGTCGTCGATGGGTTGCGGTGGCGCCTTAATGAATCGGACTTGGTCCCCAGAGTGGCCGTCCAGACGGTGCATGTTCTGCAAAGTGTGTGGTGGTAGTTGCAGGTGGTCGTTGAGGAGTTCATGAACAAGTGTGACAATGCTGTGGGCCGACGACATGAATGATTTGAAGAGTGGACGTCTTGAGCTGAGCACTTCGGGGGCTGCTAAGGGATCCATAAGTCCAAAGATATCGTCTTTGGACACCTGCCTGTTGTCAATGGTGTGCGTACGGTTTTGAGGCTGTTCATCACTCACATTGTAGAACTCGTTGCGATCGAGATTGCCAGCTTTGTCCACCACATTGGCACCATAGCCCTTATATCCAAAATATGATTTCTTTTGCTGGAAGTCGTACTGCTTCTTTTCTTCTAGTGGGAGGTCAAACAACTTCTCGCCAACTCGGAAAAGTTCATCAGCATCGGCGAGAATAGAGTCGCCTGGACCAGAAAGGTCGAGGTAGAAAAAGCCGAGATCCTCACAAGCCCTAACGAACCGATTTAGTTCCTCGGGTTCTTGGTCAAGCAATTTGGCGAGCGAAAGCCGAAGAAGAGGCGCCGTTGGCACATCATCTGGAAAGGGTGGAGCATTTTCGTATTTCTGCTTCGGCGCAGAAAAGGCTTCGACTTGTTGAGATGCCATGGTAATGTTCCTACAACCGTTTGAAAGGCTTCAACAAATAGTCGGGACAATGGCAAGTTAGCCGGTTTTATATAGCCGCTCGGCTCTGGCCAAGGACGTCTATCTCCACTTGCTCTCCACGTTTGCTGCCCTGCCCATGACGAAGCCTCCAGACCCCGGGTGGGGGAGGCAGAGTGAGATAGAACACAGGAGAGCTGTTGTGATTGGACATGCTCGGCTAACGGCTCGGTGTTCCCTCGGGCAGAGTGTCAGATTCTATGCCTGGGATATTGGATGCTTAGAATTGAAGTTCTTGTCTTCCACCAAGGCATGCAATCCCTACGACGTAGCCCCTGGGGATGCATGTGCATGTCATCACGGCCGTACACTTCGCCATAGATATTGGGGGATTGTCGACCCCAAAGCGACAGTACACCGTGTCATCTCCGTTGACTGAGTCACCTTCCAGTGCAAGGTCTCCGTTTGCTGGGGTCTTCTCCTGTCTTTCTGGACAGTTTACGAACCCAGTCACGAATGCTTGCGTGGTACTACGCACCTGCATTCCTGCATCCCACCGTCGCAACCTGAATTTTCACAGACGGCTGGTCAAGCGTCTTATAGCAGACCTCCCACCCCAAGAATGGACGATGAGGAAGGTTGCCTTCAGTGAGAACAGCGGATTTTGACTGCTCCACCATCACATTCAGTGTCGGAAACACCGAAACATGCTGATCGACCGTCAGAACGGGAATTGTAAATCTCGATTTGCCTGGCGCCGACTCCGCTAGCATTGCTTGAAAGCCGTCTCTTCCCTCTCCGAGAATTTCGTACACCCTTTGTACGTCAGACTCGGAATAGGGGCGAATACGAATCCTCGATAGACCTTCAATACTGTCAGCCTGGACACGGATCCAGTAGCGATGGTCCCAGAGCAGCCATGATGACCAGAGTCCCTTTTCGCAACACTTATTGGTGGAGTAATTCGAGTCACGTTCGCTGGGGTATTCCCCTTCAACAATCTTACATTGTCTTGGGAAATTGAAACCCATCGAGGCGCGGCGAAGCTCTCGGTTGCGCATAGGCGGCCGCGACAGCGTCCAGACAGTGCTTCGCTGACCCCGCTGAAGCCAGCGATGGCCACCGCCGCTGTTATCCTCGTCGCGGTATGATATGGCCTTGTAGCGGTTACTCCTCGGCATGTTTTCACTTTTCTCGAGTAAAACCTGTTGCACAGTCATTTGCTCTCGCACCCTTCGCTGATTCTTCTCAAGAAATTCCCTAAGATTATGTTGAGGTACCAGAGTTGGCTCGGCATCGTCTCTTGACTGTGGACTCACCACACTTGTCAACCTCGCCAAAGCATACCCGCCTGCTTCAGGGTCGGCTTCGCATGAGGTCTGAACGTGGGGCGGGAGAGAAACAATCATACGACCAGATCGTAAATCAAAGGTCTCTGTTGTCATCATCCGCAGAATCGCCTCTCCTCGTAGAGCAAGAGACTTCGCAGAGTTTCGGGCCTTTCTCTGGAGCTCTAGGACCGAAGATTCCTGCAACGCTCGTGGTAGGCTGTAGTGAGTCCTCAGATGACGGACAGCGTTCCGTAAGGTCAATTTCGGATTGAAATTGGTCTTATCGAGGACATATGGAATGCCATTTGTAGCGCAAAACTGGAGTATAGTAGATTTCGGGAACGCCAGAAGCGGTCGGTGCACCTGGATACCACCCGAAGAAGGTGCAACTGTCTTCTCTTGATGAATGCCAACATGGTCATCCGAGGCTTTCCTCACCACCCGAGGATAAGAAGCATTACGCAAAGAGGCCTCTAAGCTAGTATGTCGAAGTACCGTCTGGGCGCCTCTGATGTCTTCGCAGCAAGGTATTGTGCCATGCTCGGGTATGCCTTGGCGGCCAAGAAAGGAGTCGTTGGAGTTGCGTATGAGCCGCATGAGGATTGTCTCAATCTGATCATCCTGGTGATGACCCAGAAAGATGTGACTAATCTTCCTTTGAATGGCCGCTTCGGCAATCAATCGGTAACGAGCTCGGCGAGCTTGCATTTCGAAGTCAGGCAGACTTGCAGGATCAGTAGTGGCGGGCCATTGCATCTCGAGGATATCGCTCTCGATCCCTACGAGTTATCAGCACATTGCCTGTGAAGAGTAGTTGCATTTCTCACCCAGTTTCTGAAGCTGCGAGCCCACATACTGAGCTTCCTCGCCACTTTCTTTCCTTGCATTATGATTGACGACGAATGCCACTGGCTTGGTCATTATATCGTTGGATCTCAGGGATATTTGCTGGAGCAGAAAAGCCAATGCCATGGAGTCAGGACCTCCGCTAACGCAAATACCTAAAATTGTCAGAACGAAGCCACCTCAACGATACTGATGCATACCAATCGGAACAGCCTGTCTTTTTCCAACTTCCAGCTCATACTTGTTCCAGATGCTTTTGAGAAAGCTGCGGGCTGCGGCAACCAGCCTCTGCTCAGCATTGTGCATTCGACCTCGAATCGCGTGCGTCATTGTGAGCGAAGCCTATTTTTTGCGTTTGACAGAGACTCTATTACCCCCCTGACGCACTGACAAAACCACTTCTACCACCAGCAGGCTCACGCCAACGTACATGTAGCTGACTTGAATATCGTGAGATGAGAGGCATCCTCAACCTCTGCCTCGGCATAGGTCGCGTTAAGGAACCTGCAAAGGGACTACTAACAGCAGTCTCGAGGCAGCTGCTCGTTGGTTGCGATGCATAGATTTCTGCTGACTTCCCAGAAGTAAAGGGTTCAATAAGAGGTGTTACAAGCTTCGTGACAGGCAACGGTGATTTGCTCCTCTACGGAGCAGCAATGCGACCGTGATAGACACGTCTCTGCTCTCGTCTACGTCATCAAGCAGCCTGGGGCTTTGGGCAATCTCCCACTGAATTCGGCAGCTTTGCTCGCCGCTTTTGAAGACCTTCCGAGCTTAGAAAAGGTGGGAGGTCAGCTAGCCAGGTACAACATGCTTAAGGAGGCTTCTCTTATTCAGGCTCTGTCTATATGGACGTGGCAAAGGAAGAACGGTATGGTGCTCCAAGACCCCTCTAGCCCTCTACCCCTCTATCTGAGTCCTAGACGCTGAGTAGGCGTGAACGGCCTGTGTTTGTTCGCTCTCACCTCTGTTTTTTCTCAATGCTATGATCACTCTTCTTGGTCCTTTCCCACATCAGACCTCATCATCCTCCGTCTCGCAGAGTGACTTGCATTCCCAGCTTCCTGCAGGCAAAGTGGACTCAGCCTAGGCCGACATTTGCACAAGCCTTGTCCTTGCTGCAGACAGCAAAGCAACAAGGTCAATGGTCGTTCGTCCATAAATCAACGATGCACGCGTAACCTGACACTGTGCCAGGCAGGAGGACATTTGCGGATCACCGGGCGTTCTAGACCATCCTTGGCTGCAACGAAAACATGACGCTGATTGGGACGACTTTCACCTTGTTGAGCAAGCCACTTCAGCTTCTCCCAGCTTGAGGTGATGCCCCCAGCTCGCAAACCATTCCGGTAAAACGAAGCGAGTTTGAACACGTGGGAGTACAGAGTACCACGTGTGGTATCTGTCGTTGGCTTAATAAGGCCTGAGGAGCAATCCTCGTCGTTCGAAATCTAGGAATTCCATGCTGAAGCTTTCACCGCTACCGAAGGCATGATGACTCCAGATCCGAACTCCAAATGGATGAAGGGACCCATAACCCTGGAAGATCGCATGTGCGGGTTCACATGCTTCACAAACGTTTACGATGCCAAATAGTGGAGTCCGGACAAAGTTGATGCAGTGCAAAAAGCCAACACGCCGCTGATCCAACGCGCGACTCCCGAGGATTCAAATCGAAAACTGGAGCTAGAGAGCCCTCCTCCCCAGTGCCGAAGCCCCCTTTGCTGCTCATGACGGACTACAACGCTAATAGTCCACATGAAGTATGCCAAGGCACGATTCGTCATGAAGAAGAATACTTTGCTCAATTTTGGCAACACATTGACATCCTTGTTTACTTCGTACGTAGACACATTGCCATCCCTCGACCAACGTGGGCGAATGCCGGCCATCGCATTGGTGCACAGGTTCTTCGGCTATTAATATTCGAGGGCGACGACGATAAGCAAACTGCGGCCATGTTGGAAGTGGATGGTGATCAAAATTGACTAGCTGATAAATTTGCACAGATGGCAAGTTGCTATGGCTTCGACGGATGGCTCCTCAATGTTGAGGCCAAGACCTACGGTCTAGACAAGGAAACCTGGCGAGATGGGGAAGCCATGGACGAATTTATCAGGAAGCTGAAGGAAGGACTGGTCAATCATGGGGTGCCGAACGAGGGTAAGGTGATCTGGTGAGTGTAGGCCTGAATTGATGTTACTAAATGCAGACTGACAAAATAAGGTACATAGTATGATTCTCTCCTTCTTAACAATACTACTCAGTGGCAGCGCACCCTCAATGACAACAATCTGGGCTTTTCGAGGAGGCAGGTTCAATGGTAGCCGACTATGAAGTGCAGACAGACGAGAGTGTCATGATTGCTGGAAACACAGCACTTCAAGCGGCTTGACTCGAGACAATGTCTACCTTGGCCGCATCATCTTTACAGCAATGTCAAACGGCCCATTCCTTCAGCCGATGGCTAAGTATGGGCTGGGTTCGGGTCTTTTCGCTACAGGGTGGTGCTTCCAGAAGTTCAACCCGCCTCCAGCAAAGCCCAATGTTGACATGAAGATCTATCGAAGTGACGCAGACCGATACATGTGGACGGGTGAGCCTAATCTCGCCGATCTCGCCGAGCTCAAGAAAGCCGATGTGTTTGGCGAAGATCGTGGAAATAGCTCGACCAATGCAGTCGATAGCTATATCAACAAAGGGGAAGCAATCCCAAGCATGCATCACGAATTTTGCCAAGATATATCCTGCAGGCTCGAACGCCTTTTTCTACACCAACTACGGGACGGCCGTCGATTATTATGGTCCACAGAACTATGCAGCTCACCTCGGCGAGCAATCTATCTGGCCATCTCATAAGTCAGCGCCGCTAAAAACCCCTACCGCTACCATCGGCAGAATAATCACCAAGCTCTTTGGTACCCCAGCACGATGTGTGATTGGCGTAGAGCTCGGTGCTGGGTCAATGACCGATGGAACTCAGGCTGATGGAAGTATTATTCTTCACAATGTCAACATGCGAGGCGATCTCGACCTGAGCCTCACTCTTAAGTGCAACGCTTTGCGGATCTCCCGGGTCTCAAAATCTCGCTTTCGCCGTGGCTGGATCTCAACGATTCAAGGTAGAACTTACCGGCGCATCGGACAAGTCAGTCACACAATCGCTAGCCCTGGGCGGTGGACATGATCCCATTACTGCAGTCGGCATCCAGCTGCAAGGTCCAACGTCCCTCTTTGCGCCTGGCAAGAGGACTCCTAGACTGGAGATATCCGAAATGCTAGTCAAACCTCAGGAGCACTACGATGCTTACAAGATCCAAGGCATTGACCTTGTTCACGACGGCCCGACAGAGAAGCTCTACTCGAGACTCAACTGGACCGTGTCGCCCATCCCGCAAGGGAAGGAAAACCCATCCACCTGCCCTACAGCAGTATTACCGGGCCTTCCTCCCACTTCGATGTGAGCGTTGGGGGAACAGAAGTGGGTCGAGCACATACGCTCTCATTTGTGTTCGACCAGGATGCGGTCAGTAAATTGAATGTCAAAGAGGGTGCAAATGTCGAGGTCGCTGTCACTGGGGTTGCGTTTGACGGGACCGTTCTCGACACGTACAAGCAGACAATTACATGGCATTGAGTGGAATCGTTGGCGGGACTATTTTGACGACGATGAGACCATCTATATACTTTACTGCTGTATTCTGAAATCTCATTGTTGACCTCGTTGTTTCTTCATGACACGAAGGCCTCCACCTTGCTGAATGGCTAGGTTCAAATGAAAGCGGGCAAATTGAGATTATTTTCGATGGTAAGATTGCGATAGGACAGTACAGCCGCCAATGGCTAGATTGACTATTGTTTGGTTGCGCTTCTGCCTCATGCGTCGTTGCCAAAACCGGGGTATCAAGCAAGCTGAGTTCTCTACCTGCAATCGCGTAGGGAGACATTAGGGAGAGCGTGGGATGGGGCCATTTTACCTTACATTCAGGAGTGCGTTACCCCAGTATGGAGTACGCTGAAGGCTACGGGATACTGTTTAGGATTGGCTACAAGTACCGTCCTCCGCATTGTATAGAGATGCTGGGTTTAGGGGGTAGCCCGTGAGGTTGTGGTAGGAAGATGGGTCGGACGGTTGAGAATGAAGAGACCCAAGACAGGCGGGTCGCAGTCGCCTTGGCCCAACGCTGGCCCCTCTCTGGTCGATTCAAGCTCAAACCAAGACCAAAAAGCTCGTCTAAGCGTCCCCAAGAATGCCCAAGCAATCCCGCTTACACGTAGCCGAGACCGTGCATTGGAGGGGCCGTTTTTTGCCCGCTGGGCATCAGCAACGCCCCCAGCAAAAACGAGCAGGTCCCCTGCTGAGATCATGAGCAATAAATCACAGACGCCTTTTCGTGGCAAAGGTTCGGATTTCTTCTGCCCGGAGTAATCGCAAGTTGCACCGCCACACGTCCCCGTGCCCATGCAACATGACTTGACCTTGAGTGGAAATTCGTGCGCCAGCAGCGCACTAAAATCACCGATCGAGGCCAGGAACAGCCAAGAGCGAAACGCCGACAGGTTGTCTTCGGGTAGGGATCCGTCATCGTGCAGATGGGGAAGATGCTCCAACGACGGGACTTCGCTGCATTTGCCTTGAAAATGGCGTTCATGATCTCATTTTAGCCACCTCCCATTTCCCACACCACGGTCGCGTCTTCCAGGTTGTTTGGGTTCCTGGCTCGTTTACAGCATACATTTCTGGTGCTTCAATCTCCTCTCGTATGCCAAGAAGATCCTCCTCTCAAACGCTCACTGACTGGTCGGACTACGCTGTTTGCGCCAGATTCCTTGATTGTCATCATCAACCCTTTCCCTTCACCGTCTCGTGCGGCATTCATCACTAGTTCCGGTCGCACTGCTGGCAGAGAGGCTGTGCAACTCCCTCACCTCCCACTGACGTCCTACCACCGTCCTTGTATTAAAGGCCACCGACTGCTCGCCCCCCCTACGCAATCTGGCTTTGGCGCTTTCCCAACCCTCCCTGCACTAATAACTCTTCCATCTGAATCAATAGGGTCTTGCGACTCTACACGATTGTGGTATTCAACGCGGATCGGGCAAAACAGTTCAACCATGCGTAAGTTCCAAATCAAGTTTCGCTGCGCCCAATCTGACTTGCGCCAGACAAATACCGCCATCAAGCTAAAGTCGCGGCCTGGTACGACGACCCGAACGATGAACGGAATTTGAACTTTCCCATTCCAAACCCGTTCTCGAAATGGAAGTCAAACTCAAGGTCAAATACAGACCGGAGATTGGAGAATGGGTTGAACGGAGCGCCTTTGGCCATGACACAGACAGACGATCCGAATGACTACCGACCCTCGAGCGAAGGCAGGGGTGAAGAGCTTGGTGCAAACCGTCGCCCGCGACATGCAGTCACAACGCCAGCAGCTAAATCAGCGACAACGCCCTATGCGGCAGGCGACGAAGTCGACATTCCTCGATCATCGAGCCCGATCAGTGAGGAGAAGGCCGTGAAAGAGGAATTCCCCAGTGCACGGCGTGGTGACGAGACAAGCAGCGACACCGTCACGAATGGCAGACCTAGCCAACCCGAAGACACGGTCTCAATGCGGCAACGTGCTGCGGGCGACGGGCAGAAGAAGCGCGGCCTGAAATCATGGTTTGCCCATGGCAGGAATGAAGAGGCATCGGACGACAACAACGGCAAGGACAAGAGGAAATTCACAGTTTGGAGCCAAATCCGCGCAACCCTGTTCAACTCGTGGATCAACGTCCTCCTCATTGCTTCGCCCGTCGGCATCGCCGTCTACTACGCCGGTGTCAACCCGGTGGCAGTTTTCGTCATCAACTTCATCGCCATCATTCCGCTGGCTGCCATGTTGAGCTATGCCACCGAGGAAATCGCCCTCAGAACTGGTGAAGTCATTGGCGGTCTGCTCAATGCCTCGTTCGGCAATGCAGTTGAATTGATCGTCTCAATCATCGCCCTGGCAAAGGATCAAGTCCTGATTGTCCAGACGTCGTTGATCGGCAGTATGCTCTCCAATCTGCTCCTGGTCATGGGTATGTGCTTTTTCTTCGGCGGCATCAACCGCATGGAACAAGCTTTCAACGTCACCGTTGCCCAGACCGCCTCGAGTTTGCTCTTCTTGGCTGTCAGCAGTCTGATCATCCCTACCGCTTTCGAACAATGGGCCCGGACCGGAAACAATTCCAGCACCACCACTGCGACGACCGAAAACGCCAAACCTGGCGTTGCGCAGTTGAGCAGAGGAACAGCGATCTTACTCTTGGTTGTTTATGCCTGCTACCTTTTCTTCCAGCTCAAGAGTCACAAAGAGATTTACAACGCACCCAGTGCCAAGAACGAAACTCGACCAGTGGGCGCCAAGTTCAAGAATGCAGTCATTCCAGGCAAGATGCGGTCGAAGAGACCGGTTGAAGCAGAAACGCCAGATGACAACGCGGACGAACCCGAAGAGCCGCAGCTATCAGTCATGGTTGCCATACTCACACTAGCAATCTCGACGGTCCTCGTTGCTTTGAACGCCGAGTATCTGGTCGATTCTATCAATGCCATCACTTGCGGAGGTGGAATCTCGAAGAACTTCGTCGGTCTCATCCTGCTCCCGATCGTTGGTAACGCAGCCGAGCACGCGACTGCTGTCACCGTTGCCATCAAGGATAAAATGGACCTTGCCATTGGTGTCGCTGTCGGATCCAGCATGCAGATCGCCCTGCTGGTGCTCCCACTTGTTGTGGTTCTAGGCTGGATCATCGGCAAAGACGACATGACTTTGTTCTTTGACGGCTTTCAGATCGCAGTCCTCTTCGTGGCGGTCCTGCTGGTCAACTACCTGATCAGTGACGGCAAGTCACATTACCTGGAAGGTATCTTGCTGATGATCCTGTACATCATCATTGCGGTTGCTGCCTGGTTCTATCCTACCGCTCCCGGTCTCAGCGACTGCCCGGGTGAATGATGAAAATTCCATTCGTACATCTTTGCGCTTCGTCATAAAAATGGTTCACTGTCAGCGCGAGCGTTGGAAAGATACGACAGGCACACGGCAGAGTCAGGTTCTTGATTTCGGAGCGACCTTCATACTTGTAATTCAATCTCAAAAACGAAACAAGCTCTTTCTTAAGCTGACTGTGCTATGGCGACATCGGCTCACCTCATCGAATTGCCACTCAGGAAGATTTTCGGAACATGTGGAAGAGCGAATGATCCGTCGACCAACAGCGAGGCATGTGTCGTGACTCGTCCAAAAGAGACGACATGTTGAAAGTAGTTCTTGCAGGTCGCGGTCTGCTAGACAAGCGGCAGTTGCCTTGTGGGAATTTGGGCTGCGCCGCAGCAATCAGCAATGTTCCTGCTGCACAGCTAGAATCTGACGTCCGAACATGAGGAACTATTCCTAGCCGACACCGAATGCTGGTACTCCCTACAAGCCATACGCTAGTGAGGCGGTTGGGTGCGTCATGGAAACACTGGGCCCAAGAACCGTTCAGGAGATCGCGATACCAATTCGATCAGAACGCGTTGAGCTTGAAAACTCTACCCTTTCGATCAATCAGAATCCAGCATCTAGTCGTGACGGCTCAGGGCTCTAAGGCATCGGCTGGGGGCTGTGATATGTAGCTTGCCCGACTGTATGGTCGTATGTTATGAATCCCTGGAAGATACTTGAGATAGGCCTTCATTTACTACACTCACTAATTACAGTTCGTGCGTACTTGATCCTTACACTTCCTCGTAAAGAACGGGGAATTGGCAAGGAGCAGGCAGCCTCGTCAATGGTACCGCACATTTGCCGGTCCAACCACTGAGGCGGCTGCAAATCGGGAATCCCCCCGTCGAGGCTTCAAGCTGCCGTCGCTTCTTCCAGCTTACCCTACCAGATGGTGTCGACAAAGGGTTGCCTGACTAGGAGCTTGGCCTTGCTCTTTCCGATCCTTTGACCGAAGTTCCAACGACTTTGTATACTTCCTTTGGACGTTCGTTGATTTCTTGTTTGTGTTGGGGAAACCTTTTATCGTGCCGTAATCAGAACTCCGGCCTCCAATCTCCATCTCAATGGTAGGCCGCAACAAGATCCCGTTAGCGAGATATCTATTCACCCGCCTACGTCAACAAGGTGTGCAAGCCATCTATGGCGTGCCCGGGGACTTTACCCTCAAGGCACTGGACCACGTGCCCCCAGCGGGGCTGAAATGGATTGGGACCTGCAACGAACTCAACGGCGGCTATGCAGCCGATGGATACGCTCGAGTCCACGGTCTCAGTGCGATCATGACGACGTATGGCGTGGGTGAGTTGTCCGCGATCAACGCCATCGCGGGCTCGTTCGCGGAATGGGTGCCCGTGGTGAGCATCGTGGGCACGCCGCAGCGGCGATTACAGGATGGACGCAAGAACGTGCATCACACGTTGGGGAACGGACGGCCAAGAGTATTCGCTGCGATGGCAAGGCACGTTACTGTCGCGCAGACGAATCTTGTTGATGAAAGCACGGCGGCGGACGAAGTTGATCGAGTCATCGCCACGAGTCTACGGGAGTCACGGCCCGTTTACGTCGAGATGCCTGCCGATATGGTTGGCAAGGAGGTCGACGCTGCGCGATTGGACGAGAAGATCGACGTGGCGAAAGGAACCGTTGGGAATGAGAGCGAGGAAGAAATACTGCGTGAGGAGGTGCTCGACAGGATTTACAACGCAAGACAGCCGCTGTTGCTGGTCGACAGTGGAGGCGGCGTTCGGGCATTGCGCGACGAGATCAACGCCTTTGTCAAAACTACTGGGATACCGACCATGTGCATGCCCTCAGGGAACAACATGGTCGATCACTCGCACGCGAACTTCTACGGCGTGCACTCCGGTCCGGTGGGACAGATCGATACGATGCCCTACGTGCGCGACACGGATCTAGTGCTCGCTTTTGGGCCAATGTTCTCTGACACGCAGACGTTGTCGTGGAAAGTCGTGCCCAAGGAACACAAAATAATCACACTGAACAGGAATACCATCCACATCCTCGGGCTCAATGGCGGAGAGGTCGCGGAAATCGACCTGAGCCGCTTCCTCAAAGGCCTTACCGAGCAATTCGACCGCTCGAGACTCACCACTCCCGACGTGAGTTCACTGGGCGACTTCCGCACTGTTCAACCGCCCGCCTACGCCAAACCTGACGGCGTGACCCTCGACGATTCCATAGACCAGACGTCCTTCTACCTCCGTCTGTCGCCCTACCTCAGGCCACACGATACCGTCATCCTAGGCAACGCCACGCCAATTCTGGGCGGTCGTGATCTCGTCCTCCCGCCAAACGCCCAAATCATAGCCTCAGGCCAGTGGTTCTCCATCGGCCATATGTTCCCGCTCTCGATGGGCGTTTCACTCGCTCGTCAGTACCAGTCCCAGGAAGGACGTCCCCCTGGCCGCACGATATTGCTTGACGGAGACGGTGGATTTCAAGTCACGGCGCAAGAACTCGGCACGGTCATCCGATATCGTATCCCCATGACGATTTTCCTGATCAACAATGCCGGGTACGCTTACGAGAGGCAGATCCATGGCATGCATGAGGATTACAACGATCTGGCGCCGTGGAGGTATACGGAATTGGCTAGGGTATTCGGCGCGACTGAGGCTCAGCTAGTGGGGAGCAAGACGTCACAGAATGTCAGGAAAGGCGAGCTGTATACTGTGAGGAATTATACCATTCGCACGTGGAGGGATCTGGAGAATCTGCTTGCCGACGAAGAGTTCTGTGAAGGGAAAGGACTGCATTTTGTGGATGTCAGGGTTGGGAAGTTCGATGTGCCTGAGAAGTTTCGGGTCGTCTTTGAGAGGGCGGGTGAAGCGTTGGGCAGTTGAGAGAGATGTAGTGTTGATCCCCGTGCAGGCAAGATCAAGTAAATATAATGGCATATATGAAGTCTATTCCACAGCATGTTGTCGGATGCTTCGACATTTGCATATAGCCGGGTGGGATACGAGGTATCATGGGCATGAGCACCTTCCGTCCACGATCCCTGTACGGAAGATCGAGGACGCGGGACCATCACTCACTCGGCTACAGTACCGATCGTGCTGTGTGCTGGGTGCTGTGTGCGAAGGTCAGCAAAAGCATCTTGTCGAGGAGAAATCGAGAGCCCCTGAAATCCGAATCGTGGCCGAATCCCCGCGCGCAGCGCTTACTGACCCCACCGTCACGTCACGCAATGTGGGCCAATCAGAGTGTGCATCACCTTGGCTACTGCATCTCGGATCTTCCATCTCAGATTCTCTTCACGTTGTCCTCACTTCATCCTCAACTCGGATGAGTTCATACCGCACCTCTCTGTGCCATGCACTGTCCACAATACTGATACTGTGTGTTTCCACAGTCGCTCATGTGGTATGCATTTCCCTGCCTGTCGTCAGTCCGGACTGAAGCCGGCGGGAACTTCGACACCGCGCTCGTTTCAGATCTCCTTGAAACAGCCAACATCAAACCGTTGGCTCCTTAAACGCCCGTCAACTCATGACCGCCTCTATTGCTGGCCCCGCGAGCCACAGATTTTTCGGCTCTGTGACAAGCCGGCGTTCACAGCGTAGCAAGGCATTCGTTGGCGCGACCGGTCTCAGACATGGGGTTTGAAAGGTCCGCTCTGATCAGACCAAGGACTCCTGACCACTCGTTGATATACAGAACTGACAATATTCCTCTTCTGCTCCCATCGCTTTCTCTTTCGTCAGCCTGGTTGCTCCTCCGTCCATCGCCTTCGCCCTTCCCTACCTTCGGTTGCACTGCTTCATTCCATTCCATTCAATCCACTCCATCATTCTCGCATGGCAGGCCATCGCCCAGTGTTTGAAGCATAACAGCATACATCACATAACATAACAGAGCATATCACATCATACCATATCATTCAATACATACCACGCCATACGACCGAGCTCCCCGCAACAAGATGTCAAGAACACATCCCTCGCGCCTCCCCTTCACGGCGATAGGCCCCCTCTTCCTCATCCTCTTCTCGCTCCTCACAATCTCCACGGCCCTTTCGGTGCCAACGGAAAGCCACTTCCACTTCCTCGCCACGCGCCAAACCAACACCAACACCAACCTTTCCGACCCTCTCTGCCTCCAATACAGCACGATCGCAAACCTCTCGATCGTCGGCTCCAACGCGACCTATCGCTCGGCCTACCTCCAAGCGTCGCCCGCAGGGGGCGATCCCGCCCGCGCACCGCTCGACTCGGCGATGCTCGAGCTGCCGAACTGGCAATTCAATAAGACCGTCAACGACGCGTGCGGAAACTTGACGACCGTGGCGTTTGAGAGCGCGGCCACGAATTTCACAAACGGCGTTGTGCTGCAGTTCAAGATTGGGGCCGTCAATGCAGCGTCTGCGGTGCAAGTCGGAGGGAGCGTGCTAGGGATGGGATTGATTGTGGGACTGGTAGCGTTGGGGTTGTTGATTTGATTTGATTTGATTTGATTTGGTTGGATTTGGTATGATGTGATGGGACTGCCTGGAGAGGTGTAGATGCTGAGCTGCGGGATTTATAGATACATACCTATATGTTCATACGATGGAATGATCCAGTCCGAGCAGTACGAGCGATGCGAATGATGCGAACGATGCCAGTCTGACGATTCAAGTCTAATGTCTCTAGCCTTCCCACCTACATCGCATGAGTACTCTGACTTGGAATTTCGGCAGGAGCGGGAGGTCAAGGTCGTCGTGATCTACCCTACCGAATGCCTGCCTGTCTGCCTGCTTTCGAAAGTACTCGACGGCGTCCGGTCAAGGAGGGTCAGTTGCCCGAAGGCTTCCCCCGCTGCCGCGGACATGCAGTGGGCGATCGTGGTTGGGGGTGCGGCGATGACGAGGAGTCAAGTAGTGCGCTGGTCGGTTGCTCAAGTCCTCCTGAAGCGTGCGGAGAAATACCTAGGTATGTACTCCGTACTCGTGACTTCTTGATGCTGGCCAGCAACCTGTACACCTGTCCATCGTCCATGTTCACTGTATATAAGGTACTGCGTGTACGTTCCTCTAGATACTAACGTCAAAGCTTGCTCTCCGCTCAATTGGTTCTCCAAACGAGGTGGAGTGTCCGCCCAGTGTTCTACTGCCGCCTGTGATTGTCCGCCTGATGGTCTGAGTCGGCGTCACTGGCAGGGCTTGTTCTGCTTCGTCCTCGTCACCGCCGCCGTCGTCGTCATCACCTTCTCCCACACCGGACGTTAGCTCATTGCGAGGCTCCCTGTCTTCAGGATCGTCCATGTCTGCTTGTCTCTGCAGCCTTGGTAAATGCGCCGGCAGGATGAGCAGAGCGGAGACCGTTGCGAACACTATGGCCACAATGAAGGTCGCTCTCAGACTGGCGGCGTACGCGGTGATCACTTGTTTCTTGTGGACCGGGCCAAGATGTCGGATGGATTGGATGGACGCTCGGACCGTCCGGATGATGTGTTCTTTCGTGGTCGGATCCGCGGCGGTGATGTACTTGTTCAGGTAGATGGGGAGCACGTTCTGCAGGACCCAGCTACTCAGGGCGACGCCTAGGATGGAGCCCAGACTGCGGACGAGGCCGAGCGTGGTAGTCGCCACGGCTTGGTCTTCTTGGCTGTTCAGAGCTAGAACTGCAATCGTCGCGGCCGGGAAAAAGGCTCCTTGACCGATCGAAACGAAGGGGATCAGCCAGGGGAGCAGTGCTCCCGGCGTGTCTGCCGACAGGCAGGTCACAGCGATGGCGCCGCCTAGTGCTGATATGGACCCCGCAATCATGGGCGGCTTCAGCCGTCTCGTGAGTGTGATGTAGAATCCCACCGCGATGGCAGTGATGCTGGCCCCGACCAAGGGAGGGAAGAGATAGAAGCCAGAGGTCGTCGGTGACGTTTGTCGGACTGCTTGCAGATAGAGTGGGACGTTGAACAATACAGCGTTCACAGTCATGGAGGCGACGAAGTTGCTGCCAATGACATTCGCAACCGGTGTGGTCGTGAAGAGCCTGAGTGGTAGGATGGGCCGTTCAGCGCGACGTTCCACCAGCACCAGCCCGATGCCTGCAATGACAGCCACCACCAGATTGCTGATAACGAATGGGTGGGTCCACGTAAAGACGTTACCGCCCAAGTTGACTCCAAGAATGAGCCCAGACACCGTCAGAATCATGCCAATGGTACCATAGGCGTCGAAGCTCTTGAAGCCTTCACGGATGGTCTTGCCTTGAGTCTTCGCGAGATTGGGGCCTAGATTGTCAGGGCACGAGAGAATCGCGAGGATCCCGTACACAGCAATGAAAGGTAACTGTACATAGAACGCCGCGCGCCAGCCAAGTTTGTCGCAAAGGAAGCCGCCCAGAGCGGCACCAAGTCCATTTCCCACGCCATATGCCTGCAATATGCACGTATTAGAGAAATCACTGGTATGATTGAGAGGCACAAGCGGGGGAACAGTGTTATGATGTGGGAAAAGGTAGTTGGTTCTCACACGCAGACTCACCACATTATAATAGCTTTGATAGATGCCCCTGTACTCGATCTTGACCATATCACTTGTCAGAATCGAGGCCAGCGACATAACGCCACCAGCGCCTATTCCGCTTACGGCTCTTGCTGCGATGAACGAGCCAATGTCCCCAGCGGCGCCGCACCAAGCCGTACTAGTGAAGAACACGACAATAACAAACAGCAACACAGGTCGCCGTCCGACATTATCAGAGACACGTCCGAAGACTGGCTGGAACACAGTCGAGGTCAAGTAGAAGACCGTACTTAGCCAGGAGGCTGCATTTGACGCGTTGAAATAAGAGGTAATGACTGGGTGGGACGAAGCCATCAGCGTGGTGTCGAAGAATGCAATGGTGCAGCCGAACATAATGCTCCAGAACAGAAAATGGAATCGAGGCCCCGAGATGACATCCCGGTAGGGTACATCGCGGGGGCTTTCAATATCGCTCTTGGGAAGCAGGGTCGTTGTTTCGGTCGCATGAGGCGAAGTGGGCTCGATCACGTCGGCTGTGGGACTGGTCGCCTTCATCGAGCCGACCAGAGACTTCCTGTCGATGTTTTTGATCTCTGCTTGGTCGGTACGGTAGACGAGTATGAATGAATCTTGGGTGAGGAGAATGTGTTTTGTCCCAGACTCCTGAAGCAAATGCCTAGGTGTTTATACTGACCTCCGGTGATTAGTCAGACGTCATATGGCCACCCCAGTACGAAGCCGCTATACCACGAATGACCCTGTATGATGAGAGGGGAGCCTGTAGTCAGGCTCGCCTAAGGTCGGTAATAGTAAACAAGGCTGAAAACAACAGGATGCTGACCATATCGCATCTGGTGCTCAGCCCGGAATACTGGAATAATAGCTCAAGGCCTGGTACTCTAGCACAACATAATCAGACGGGTAACCGGGCGGGCAGGAAACACGTTCCTCATCTCAGAAATACCTTCTCCGATGACCTTGGTGCGCATATATCGTACATGGCTGACCACCAAATATATGCAGGTCCGCCGGCAGTTCTGAGACTAAGAGTGGTGGCTGCTCGACTTTAATAGGCAGAGGAGGCCGTGCCACCCTTGCTGTCGATCACCGAGCAAAGCTCCAGACAGTCTGATGATGCTGCTGTGAGCTTAGCTGATTGGAGCGGAAGTGACCTGAATATGAGGAACACAAGGTGACAGGGTGAAGAAGATGGAAACCGCAACATGAGCGATGAAGCGGATTTGTGCGGCATGAAACAAATGTTCCGTCAAATGACAACCACAACTCAGCCGTTTGGCCGTTGGTGACATGAATGACACGAATGACGCGCTATCTAGGTATCAGTTGTCGATGCCGCAAGCTCCGCCGCCGCCTTGTTGCGGACATCTTGCATGTGGTTTTACCGTGGGATAGCCCTTGCTTCTGGAGTTTGAGTCTGGCTGACAGCACTGGGCAGCGTGAACCAAAATGAATCTCAAACTCCAGCGCGCTCTGCGCATTGCGGTGCTTGAGTGCGACACGCCCTTGCCGGAGACGAAGAAAAGATTCGAAGGCTATGGTGGTGTGTTTGAATTCTTGCTTAGGTCAGGGGCAAAAGCATTGAATCGGCCGGACTTGGATCCAGAGAGCGGCCTGGAATTTTCCTTCTGGCAGGTTGAACTGAATCCAGACAAGTATCCCGATCCCGAGGACATTGATGCGATTCTTATCACCGGCTCAAGTGAGTGGTATTGTCCTTGTGTGTGGATGAGCGATTTCTCGGCCCATGCAAGCGGGAAGCGACAAGGAAACAGTCCAGTCGTGTCCTGTGCAGATCTTCAATTGATTGCCGGGTGTAGTGTGAGCAAAACGGCAGCTAACACTAATATGAATAGAGCACGACTCGTTCGCTGACACACCATGGATCAACAAGCTGGTCGATTACACGGCGAAGATCTTGTCGGAAACGAATGTTCGAGTAATAGGCGTCTGCTTCGGGCACCAGATTGTCGGCCGCGCACTGAAGGCCAAGGTTGGACGTAATCCCGATGGCTGGGAGGCGGCGGTAAATGATGTCCAGCTGTCTGAGAAAGGGAAGGAATTGTTTGGCGTTGACAAGCTTGTATGTTGTATCTAAGACTGGGCTGGCCGCGAAACTGCTGACTGTTTCACAGCGTATACACCAAATGCATCGCGATTGTGTCTTTTATTACCCCGAAGGCGTCGAAGAACTAGGCTCCTCTCCTGTCTGCAAGGTTCAAGGCATGTATTCGCCGAGACGACTCATGACCACGCAAGGACACCCGGAGTTCAACAAGGAAATCATGAGGGAGATTGTCGACACCCGTCATGCGACCGGCATCTTCGACGATAAGGCTTACAAGGAACACATGGGCAAGGTAGACCAGCCGCACGATGGCCTGATTGTCAGTCAAGCGTTTTTGAAGTTCTTGTTGGAGCCATAGTAGGCTGTCCAGGGGATTTGTATGCCGGGAGTTGACCCCTTCAAGCACGTTGGCATTACCGATAGACGTAGAGCGTTCTGGGATATGGAAACATGAGCTTTGTCAAGCGTGCGAGCCAAGTTCGAGTCTCGGACTTGCGATTACCCTGCCGTCAATGCGCGGAAGGCTTGCCACCCTCGTGTGCATGGCGTACTGTGCACATTACACACTATGAGACCATCCTGTCAGCATCAGCTGCACCAGCAGGTATCCTCCCCTCAGCCAGGTCCTTTTCGATTCTTTCAATCTCCTGGAAGCTCTTGGCGTTCTGAATCATACGTTCCACCCTCCTCTTTTCCGACTCGGTCAACTTCGTCCGGACGCCCTTCTGGGAACGGGCAGTCTCGCCATTAGCACCGACCGACGAAACGTCGAATGTCCGGCTCTTCACTCCCTTGATCTTCGCCGCCAACTCCGTGGGTTCTTCCGCTGTACCAAACAATTCTTGGGTCTGCTTTTTTTCCACGTCCTTCACTTTCTGGAAATCGAGGAAACGGAGTGATGGTATCGACCATATCAGGTAGAGTCTGTAATGCTGAAGGCCGATGTCAGTCGCTTGTCCATCTTCAGAGTCTAGGCTGCTCCCACCTCCTTCTTTGTTACCGGATTTTCCAGTAGACTCAAATGAGTTAACGCTCCGCAGCCACTCAGACCCTCCAGATCGGCCAACTCTCTGACATGGTTGTTCGTCAAGACCAGGGTCGTGAGGTTCGGCAGCTGTTCCGCTATTCTCTTGTCCACATTTTGTATTCGATTCCGCGCGCACAGCAGCGTGTTTAATCTGGGGGACAGAGGGAAGTTTGTGAGGGTGGTAATGTCGTTGTCAGTGAAATCGATGGCATCTTGCGAGCCTGCGACACCCAGATTCTCGATGGTAGGGATTTTATGGCCTGTAAGATCCGCAAAAAGACAGGGATGTGTGGTCAACTATGCCCTTGAATCAAAGTGTAGCATCTGCTCTTCTCAGACATACCTCGGAGGTCAAGTTCTCGTTCCTTCAATGGGTTTAGGTAGGAGAGGGAGTTGTGGATGAGCTCGGCCGTGAGCCTCATGGCTAGAGGTACCGGCGGTGGTGATACTGTATTGCTTTCTACCTCAGCACCGTGCAAGATACATGTCGAGATGGTCGTGTGCAGAGGAGCTGCGTTGACTTGGGTTCACAATAATTTTGCGACCGAGATGTAATTGGCTGACGATTCGCAGCCTTGTCGTCCGGAGTTTGTGCCTGCCAAGGCTGCCACTTTCATTTTCTCTTCAGTCCATTCCCTCTGAGTCATTCTCGAACCTCTACTCCATCGATCCATGTACGCCCTCTTCCCTGCTACTGCTCTTTAGCACCCCAAGCGCCAAAAATTCCGAAAGTTTGCGGGCCGTGAAGCCCATTTTTCACCCTACTATTCTCTCACCTGGAAGAAATCTCTGAGCCCTGAGAACATTCTACGGTCGGTGTCTTGAGATGGAATATTCGGGTACTTGGCGAAGTCATTATCGGATGTGGCGCTTGGGGGTGCATTGTGGCTACCATACTACTCCTCGAATTTGCATCTCGTGACAGAGGAAAGTCCATCCATGACCACCCCAGGATGATGGGGACAGGTTCTAGGAAAGGGGTTCCTCCTGCCTTCAAACATCAAGCCCGTGAAGACCATGCTTGAATATGAGTGATCAGAGAAATGAAGAGAGTGAGCATTCATGAAATGTATCTCACACGGAGACTTCAACCACGGCACTGATCTTCTAGCGAAGTATTAACCGCATTCGCATCATTGGCGACCACCCTAGTTTCGTACAGTGTGCCCAGTGTGCCCTCAAAGCGAAGCACGACGTTTCGACCCTGCTAGCTTCTGGGACACTTGTCTATCGCAACATAGCATGCGTCCTGGGCGGAAGATCAACCACGTGGTGCGCCTTCGGCCATCGATCGCTGGGTCCCAGTGTCTCCAGTCGGGCCTTCTCCAGCGAATTCGCCTGCAGTGGTATTTGCAGAGACAGCACCTCCGCCTTCATCAGTAGACCCTATCCCTTTCAGCGGATCCGACGTTCTTGATGTTTCGCTGGAAGACGTCTCCTTGTCATGGTTGGCAGCCTGGCACAGGAGAGCGTCAGACAGTTGCTACTGAAGACAAACAAAAATTCGACCTAGCCTTGCCGGAAAACACTCGATCACGAAATGCATATGGATTATTGAAACAGATGCCTTTGGTCGCATGCGCAGCTGATTTAAGGGTGCCTCGGGATACATAGAGCGCTTTGGCTGTGCATTACTTGCCTTTTGGCCGCTATCGCCGCTTGTACCCCCAAGATATCGTTCTCCCACATTGCTACTATGCTCCCCCGACGAGCTCTGACCTGGCGGGTTGTCTCTTTTGCCCTCTTGGTTGGCGAGTGATGACATTGTTATTCAAGAATGAGATCCGGTCTCTTGCTTTGTGGATAAGTATTGTCAGTGAGTGATAATATTCAAGAGCAAGAGCGATAACAGATATCTGTAACTGGCTGCGATAGAAGTCAACTGTCCAGTCAAGAGCCGCGCATGATGGACTACGTCAGAGTTCTTTTCCCAAGCGGCATACGTCAACTCTTGCAGGGGTGGGCAAGTCTGGACAGAACGAAGGCTGCCGGAATACTCTCGGCAGGCATATGTGTAACGCCGAAGTCCATTATCCAGGCTATGGAATGAGATGAAGTAGCGAAGTGCGAATGTCATTTCCAGCCTAGTCATTCCAAAAAGCAGGCAGCCATTCTTTGATGAGGAGAGGGCTCCGGACAAGGCCGAAGATGATGCAGGAATCGCACCCACGAGGCTGCGTCAGGCTGAGGTTCTTGCTGACATAAGCCGTGACGTGCATGTGGTGCATCATACGGAGTAAACATGGGGCAACTTCTCCACGTCCTCGGTAAGTTCGAGTGTTGAGACGTGCAGACACTCGTAGGCTTGCACGTTGCGCCCATCCAGCCCTCTCCAACTTGCGAACAGTCGGTCCTTCTTGATGGGCGACATTCTCCGCCCTGAGGGCGAGGGCGCTTCCCAAGATGAGTCGACCGATCACAGCATCCTCACGCGAATGCAGCGCTTCCGCGCCAACCCTTTCAACTTCGCCCACGAGATTTCGCTTTTCGTTCGAGGCGTCGGATGGCGTGCATACGACAGACCCATCGGACAGCCCGTCTTCTATTCTGGCTATACGGCCAAGATCAAAGCGGCCACAATGTCTTCTCCGCTTCTGCGACAGAAAGTGGTCGATTTGACAGAGCAACGCTTGAAGGTTGAAGAAAAAGAACACCTCCTCGACAGTGCAAGCCCGACATACCTCCCCGATCGAGAGAAGCGAAGACATGAGATCACATCGCAGCTGTTGGAGATCACGGCCGATATGCTGGATAAGATGGTGTGCAAAATGGAGAGCAAGACCTACATTCGGACAGCCTTCTATGGAGCCACCCAATTGCTCACCCGAGCATACAGCGCAATTCATGTTTCAGAGTCGGAGGTGCAAAGATTGCGAGACGTTGCAACTCTAGCAGCCAAAAACAATCAGTCTATTATCTTCCTACCGCGCCATACGAGCCACGTCGACTATGTCACTTTGCAGTTGGTCTGCTATCGTCTAGGTCTCACGTTACCAGTCGTAGTGGCCGGCGATAATCTCAACATCCCGATTTTGGGAGGTTTTCTCCAGAGCTGTGGCGCCATGTGGATCAGGAGAAGTTTTGCAAATGACCAGCTATACACAACTTTGGTTCAAGCTTACCTCGATTCCATGCTCCAGCAAGGCTATAATTTGGAGTGCTTTATTGAGGGAGGCAGAAGTCGCACTGGGAAACTGCTTGGCCCGAAATTCGGGTTCCTCAGCTTCATCCTCGACTCTATACTCTCAGGCCGAACTGAGGATGCTTGGATATGCCCAGTCTCCCTGCAGTACGACAAGGTTATAGAGGTTGACTCGTACGTCAACGAATTGCTCGGGAAACCGAAACGGAAAGAGAATCTTGCGGACCTTATCTCAGCGTCCTCCGTGTTGTCGTTGAACCTCGGTCGCATCGACTGCAGATTTCATGAACCGTGGAGTCTCAAGGACTTCATCAAAGTGCAACAGGCACGGCAAGCCCTTGATACTGGTGTCATCCAGGACGCGAGTAGCAGAATCCGGCTGCTGCGCACTCTCGGTTACCGAGTACTTTCTGATATCAATGCGGCTTCAGTCGTGATGCCTACTGCCTTGGTTGGGACAGTTTTGCTTACGATTCGCGGACGCGGTATCGGGAAGTCCGAGCTCATAAGGCGGGTCGACTGGCTCGCCAGAAGGATCAAACTGAAAGGTGGGAAGGTCGCGGACTTCAAGGGAATGACCACGTCGTATGTAGCTGAACGAGCTTTGGAAGTGCTTGGACCGAAGCTCGTCGGCACTGTGGATGGTCTGGCCGAAGAGACATATTACGCGGTTGATCGTTTTCAACTATCATTCTACAGGAACATGACCATCCACCTCTTCATCTCTGAGGCCCTCATTGCGGCTGCGTTGTACAGCAAGGTCAAGCAGGGCGGAGGGAGTGCCAATGAGCGCATGAGTGAGGCTGAATTGATCGACAAAGTCACCTTTCTTTCCCAGCTCTTCCGAGGCGAATTTATCTTCCCAGCGGGACAGGGTTTACAATATAACCTCGAAGAAGCCATGCATGGCTTGGTACGAGACGGCGTCTTAGCGGCAACTGAGGGCGGCGAGACAATGATCGGGTTGTCAGATGCAGAGCGGAGGTCAGGCCGAGAGAATTACGACCTGTATTGCTTCCTTATCTGGCCTTTCGTCGACGCCGCATGGTTGGGTGCAGTGTCCTTACTGGCTTTGGCTCCTCCAACAAGATCGTCTGTTGGATGGATCGAGATGCAAAAGGCTCAAGATATGGCGCAGCTTGCCGGTCGGACCTTGTACCATCAAGGTGATTTGTCTTATTTCGAGGCAGTCAACAAGGAAGCCCTCAAAAATGCCTACAGCCAATTCCAGGAGGAAGGGATCATTCAGGTCGCAAAGGCTCCGGACGCGAGGAACAAGCCCACAGTCCGACTGGCACTGGAGTGGACGCCCGAAAGGGATGGCTCTTCGGGCGAATTGACGCCGTCGGGACGCCTGTGGGACTTTATCGAGAAAATTGCGCAGTATCGGCGTGAAGGTAAGAACAGGCGCGACGAAGCAGCTGTCTCAATACGTGTGCTTTCTCTGGCCGCAAGGCTAAACCAGCAGATATTCGTTGGCGACAAGCATACCCTGGTTCAGCCTCAGCCGGACCCAGTCAAGGAACACAGACGACGATCGAGACTATGATCTTTATGTGGCCAATCTCTCTCTCCAGAAACCAAGCTCTCTGAAAATATTCGACACAGCATAGCTTGCCGCTTCGTTTCAAGGGGCCTGTGCAGAGTATGAACTCTTGCCCGGAGAACGAGGAGGAGTGCCAGAGTTTGTCCTCTAAAACCTCGAGGAGTGCAAGGAGCCCCCTGATGTCGGGAAGAACCCCTTCCTCCACATTCCGCCCTGCTCATCCGCCTTCGACTTACCCTCCACCGGAACTATGTACCAAAGTACAACGCGCCATTTTGGGCGGGCATCCAATTTGCGATAGGGTACAAGACCGTCCTCCACTGCTGGGCCCATGAGGTCCGGACGAGCAGTTAGTTAGGTTCCCCACGTGGGTTGCCATTTGCATTCGGTACCGAAGCTACTTCCTCCTCGGACTTCTGTCAGCCTTGACGCGAGGATATGGATGATATGCCTCACTTTATGTGAGGACTAGTCCTTTCTGGCGACGAATCGGGTCTGTACATTCCGAGAAGGAATACCACTTGCTGCCAGCGTTAACCATGAATTTTTTGGAAGAGCGCGAACTTGATGGGCACCACAGGCAACGCAGTCTTGGTCAGCATTGAGATCCTGCTTCCTCGGCTCGGCTCAAAGGCAAGATGATCTGCTAACGACATAAGTCCCACGCACCAGAGCCCTCGACAGTATTGTAGCCTTTCGCGCCGCGCAAACACCTATCGACTCGGACATTGAAGAATGGCCGCATACATCAAGGTTGGCTTCATTGATACACACTAATCTGCGGGGCCAATCTATCTAGGAACCAGCGGCCGACTTGTCCAAGGATATCGACAGACGTGGCTACGGTTGGCACGGCACATTCCCGTTGGACAAGCCTTGTAAGACGTCTTGGCAATGCGCCCGGCAAGTCTGTCTTATGGAGACTCCGCTCTTATTTTCTTGGTATTCGTGAGGAGGCGGACATCCACGAATTACAGTGCACGAAGTCCAAAGAGAAGCTCCCCAGCCAAGGATGTGTGCCACATTGTAGCCTCTTACCCTTTCAGGGTGTGATATACAGCACATCCAATGTTTTCGCTTCCCCAGAATGGACCCCAGGTACATGCGCTCCAACCTCCAAATGCCCCATTACTCTGTGTGGGGAAGATGCGTACATCCACATTGTAGCCGACCTCGGGAGCGACACTTCAATTGCTATAAGTGTTCCTGAGGAGCGCGCTTTCTCGTAGCGTGGGAACACTACAGGAGGAATCTTCTTTCTGCAGATCGAGGGCGAGCAGCACTACCTGTAGATTGCCAGTGCAGCTTCAGAAGAGACAATCATGGGTATCAGTGAGGAGAGAAAGACCCCTATCAGGGCAAACCTGAAATGTCTATTTATATGCCTAGCTGTATCGATGGCTAATTGCCAATATGGCTTTGATACAGCAACTGTCGGTGGTGAGTCTCCTCATGTGGACAGCGAGCGTCGCGGTTCGCGGGGATCCTTGCCGGCCTAATTCAGAGTTACAGGCTTCCAAGCCATGATCGGTTTCCTGGAGATCTTCGGTTACAAGAATCCAGAGTCGGCAAGTGGATGGAGTATCCATACGGAGACGCAACAATTGATGACATCCCTCATCAACGTTGGCACGATTGTCGGCGTGTTCGTCACAGCGCCTTTTGCCAAATATTTTGGCCGTCGAGAAGGCATTTGGGTGGCCTCATTGATCAATTTCGTCGCTGCCGGAGTTCAAGTCGGAACAACAAACATCGGAGGATTGTATGCTGGCAGAGCACTGATCGGTCTGGCCAACGGCTACTTCATCACCTTTGCCAATATTTATGTTGCTGAAGTCGCACCTGCACATATGCGAGGCCTTCTTGTCTCGTTTTTCGGTGTCTGGGTCAACATCGGTTCCGTGCTGGGATCTGTCGCGGACAACTACTCCAAGCAGCATCTCAACAAGTTGTGCTACCAGATTCCGCTGGCGAGCATGTTTGCCGTGCCTGCGCTGTTGAGTGTGTTTATGTTCTTCGTTCCAGAGTCGCCCAGGTACGTCGCTACAGAAAGTGGGAGAGGCACGACTGACAATGCGCTAGGTGGCTACTCTTCCACAACAAACCCGAACAAGCCAGACGCGCTCTCGAACGGATCCGCGGCCACTCTCTGAGCCCCGAGTTCCTCAACGAGGAGTACGTCGAGATGGCTCGCGGTATTGAAGAAGAGAAAGAACTCGCCTCTTCGGCCTCTTACTTGGACATGTTCAAGGGCTCCGACCGCCGAAGGACAATCATCTGCCTCGGCACCGTCATGTCCCATTCTGCCGCCGGACTGTGGCTCATCATCGGTTACGGAACCTTCTTCTTCCAGATCGCGGGCGTGGACAAACCCTTCGAGGCCTCGATCATTTCGACATGTGGTAGCTTTGCAGGCGTGCTCATCGGCCTGTATTTCACCACCAAGCTTATTGGACGGAGAACGTCGATGCTCTTTGGCTCGGCGATGGCGTCTCTCTGCATGCTGGCCATCGGTATTGCATATGTCACGGGCGGAACCTCCAAACCTGCGGGCTCGGCCATTGTGGCCTTCATGGTCCTGTACGGGTTCTTCTACAACGGGTTCTCCGGCACGTTGAGTTGGCCTGTTGCAACTGAGGTCTGCAGCTCCAGACTGCGTGTATTGACCATTGGCGTGTGCACGGGCATCAACTACTTCTTCAACTGTAAGTCGTTTTCCGTCCTCCGTGTGATGACGAGGACGACGATGATGATGATGGTGGCTAACTAACTGAACCTGCAGGGCTCACCAGCTACACCGCGCCATATTTCATCAACCCAGACGAACTCAACTGGGGTGGCAAATATGCGTTTGTCTGGGCAGGTTCGAACTTTTGCGTGTTCCGTAAGTTGGGCTCCGCATAAACAGGTCTAGAGTTAGCTTGCTGACCTTGCCGGCCTTTAGTGTTCTTCTTCTTCCTGCTCCCCGAAATGAAAGACCGGACGCTCGAAGAACTGGATGAACTCTTCCAAAACAACGTCTCTGTGCGCAACTTTAAGAAGTACCAGTGCGTCAGTTCTGAGCGGGCCAAGGAGGTCGCGTTGAAGGAAGTAGGCCTCGAGGGGAAGCACCACGTGGTGGTCGAGACGGTAGAAGACACGCATGCGAGCAAGGTGTAGAACACCAGAAGAAGTGGACACGGCCGCGAGAGTACACAGTATGGACCTGGTTAGAGCAGCGTACGACAGTGTCAGTGTCGTGAACGCACAGGCAGTTGGTCACTGGTCAGCAAGATGCCTGTGTTTGGGACATGGATGGTTCATATGGTTGCATATGGCATTGTCCTTGATGCCACATATGGCATGATATTTCAATTTGCATGACCCTCGATTTCTCAAGATGGGCCGCTCGAGGCAGGCAGGCAGGCAACTAGACAGGGCCTCGTACGACGTGCCCGCTGTCAGTTCAGCATGAGAGTTGAGTTGACCATAACGTGGCGCATCTCTACAAGTGGCTTCTGCACCAACGACTCCACCGGTCGGTCCACCGGTCTAGCCCCGCCGCCACTCGCGTTACAGTACAGTACAGAATTCACCAGACTGACTACCTTCCTCTAATCTAACGCATGATTGACTCGCACCAGTGGTGTCAGCGACGAGGCCCATCAGCGTCGACCATCACATCCCGTCCTCACGGTATGGGTTTCGACCGTGGGACCCCGAGCCTGGAACTCGGAACTACTGTGGTAGACACCTACCTGGAACTTCCGTTCGCGAGGCCGTGCTTACTTAAATGTTCACGTCCCCGTCGCTCGGTGTCGCCAAACTGGGTACTCCGTACTGTTAGGCCACGGCAACGGCGTCCCACCTCGCCTATATTACTCAACTCAGTCTGACAACGTCTTTACACCTCTTACGCATCCGTGGTAACAAGTGTTGGCGCAAGATGTAGCAGTATGCATAATTCCGCGGGCAGGGTAGCGGTGGCAGAGCCCAGGACAAAGCAAGTAGGGAGATGAGCGTGCAAGAATCAGAACAGCTGCCACTAACTTGCTGGTGCACAAGAGGCAAGTGTCTCAGTTCTGCCCTGTGGATATTTGCTGGTATTTAGCCGCAACATGCTGGCGGCTTTCAAAGCCTTGCCTTCTGATGAGCCGGTACGTGTTGTAAACCTCATCCGTGAGTGCTGTCAGAAACTTCTCGCGTTCTGATTCTCACGAGCGGTGTTTAGTCCGCCGCCGCCGCCGCCGTTGTCCTTGGCCTTGGCCTGCGGACAAGGACTTCCCCATTCTGACGCCAGGTTGCGCGTCAGCTGATGTACCCCGGCTTTGGAGGCCGCGTAGGCTGCGTTTGGCGTGCCCCGCGCGCCGTATGGGGAGTTAGACCGCGACACACAAAACGCGCACCCGCATCCTTGTTCTCGTACGCAACGCACCTTGTTGACCACATACCCGCTCATACCCGCGATGAGGACAAAACTCGCCGACGGACCGCCGTTCTTGAGCACCAGCGTGGCGGCGGCTTGGGCGCAAATCAACGTGCCGATCAAGTTGACTTCGACGATCTGCTGCGCTTCCTCTATGGGGAAGTTGATGGAGGGCTCCGTCCAGCCGATGGCCGCGCAGTGGACGAGTCCGCGCAGAGGGTACCGCGCGCGGGAGACCGCATCCCCAAAAACCGAGGATGTGGATTCCAGGTTTGAGATGTCGCAGTGGTGGTATGTTAAATGCGTGTTGGTTTCGTGGGCTATTCTTTGGAGGTCTTGATGTCCTCATTGAGGGGTCAGTGGAAGCCTTGTTAGGTGAGGAACCGTCACAGGGGAACGGAGAGGACGGGAATAGTGCATGCCTTCCTGAGCAGAGCTTGCTGCCTCGTGGCAGTCTACGGCGATGACGTCGGCGCTGAATTGCAGGATCGCTTTCACCACTGTGAGGCCCATCCCGCCGGAAGCGCCGGTCACTAAGTAGAGCGTGATGTGAGTGTCGATACCATGGAGCTGGGGATTGCAACAGCAGCCGGTATGGCGAGGTCAGTCCACGGTGCGGTTCTTGCTTTTGACATACCGATGATCGTTCTGTGGTCGAGCGAGAAGAGGTCCCTGGCGTTGATCTCTGTTGGAGCATTGGCACCTAGATGGGTATGCTGCACATTCGTGGCGGTCTCGCCCATAGCTTCGGCCACTGTCATGAGGTGGGTGAGCGTACAGGTCAGATAGACCAGATAGTATGCCTTGAGGTAAAGGCGATGAGCGGTGCTTTTGAGTGTCGATTGTTATTTTGTACAGGATCAAGGGGCCATCATTTCAGAGCCACGACATGGCACACATCTGCCAGCGCATTGTCGAAGTGGGTTGCGATCATCATTGGCCCGGGGACACATCTTTGGAAAAGAAGTCCAAGCATCTCGTCTTCGCCTGCCATAGCCGATAGATGGCCCATAGAAGTATTCCTTTCTGCTGCATGTGCTAGCGGCGGAGCGGTGAGCCGCCAACGAGGGTCAGGAACGTGTAACCTTTCTCGAATGTGACGACGGGCTTGGCAATCTCCCCGTGTTTCCCATTCCAGTCCTTCATGCCCTGATCTCCACCACTCCAAAGGTCGAACATTTGCCAAAACCACGAGCGACATGGTCCTCAAGCAACACGCCGTCCATGCGGAATTGGGCTTGAGCGGTGGCGCAGAACAACTGTTTCGCTCGAGAAGGGAGACCAGGCCGCGCTTCGGGTCGTCCTTCGGGGGTTCGGCGCAGTAAGTTGACGGTGCAAGTAGACAAGACACTTAGCATGCTCTTATGTGCAAACCCATATTGTGCAACCTGAGTTGTCAATCTGTTCTTGTTCTGCACCTTGTTTCCCGAACACGTATACTGGTACGATGGCTGCACGATCTCTTCTCGACCGGCTTGAGGAGCTTTGTAACCTGGATGTCGACGATGTCGAAACGGAAGTCATCAAATCAGTACCTTTCACTCGGCATAATCGTGAGTCTAATCCGAAGATCCAAGTGGCGGCTCGCAACTCACCAATCTCAACGGGTCAGAGACTTCCAACCAGGCCATCATCACGAAGCGGTTGCTGGAGCCGAAGAACACGGCACTTCTCCAAGACCTCGTAGACAAATATGGCAAAGAAGGCTAGGAGCATGTCTATAACATGGCGGTATGTCAGCAGAGCCCTGCAATTGTAAGAAGCGCACGCATTACGTCGAGCCTCTGACAAACCCACCTTGACATATATCTAGGCCGTTACCTTCTGCGCCAGAAACGTTCCCTACCTGTCGGGTCGGGTGCTCGTTCAGACCTCGCTGCGACAGGTTCATGACCGAGATGCAATTATCAAGCATTGCCTCACGTACGCAGCGGGTTTCGAACAAGCCGGTGTCCCGAGAGATCGATTCGCCATCAAGTTGCCATTCTCGGGATCTGCTGTCTCGGCGGCTCTTGAGCTCAACGCACAAGGTATCCGCACGCTGGCTACGGCAGCCTTCTCTCTTGAACAGGCAATCGCAGCCAGCCAGTCAAATTGTCTGTTCATCAGTCCATACTACAACGGGTAGGTAGAGATGTGCGACGCCAATTGTTGGACCTCTTCTTGCTGACCTTGGTCCCAGAAATTGCGGCGCATTTAGACCCGTCGGTGCGGCCCGTGGCCGAAGACCCAGCTCGCGAAGTATCCATCCCAACCATATCAAACAGAGAGACAAAGTGTGCTCGATGATCATGCAGCATCCCATGTCAGCCCGTGTGGTACACATCCTCAAGATATACACAGTAGCGTACGCGCGAACGGGCAAAGAGCGGCCGATCTTGGTCATCGCAAGGTTGGTCCGAGATTCTATTCACCTCCTCAATAGGAATGACGATCCAAATACTGACACTTCAACCTCGTGACAGCCACTTCAATACCGCTGAGATTCTTGCCATGGCCGAGCTAGGCTCCCAAGATGTGACCGTACAAGCGCAAAACCTGCAGAAGTTGATGGAGACACCGGACACGCTCCCACCCGTGGTCGGTGCAAAGCCTAAACATCCGTATGCTGACTTTGTCATCGCAAGACGCTTGCAGACTCTGGCTACGCTGGATCTGCTCGCAGGGCTGGGATGGGACGGAGTTTTGGCGACAATGGACACGGATTTTGTGGCTGACGGCGGCGCTAAGTGTAACAGGACGGATGCCAACGAGTAGAATGAGGAGCTCAGACGACAGTCTCAATGACTGCAAGGGCTGCAAGCGCCTTAAGTTGTCTATCTGAATTGCTATCGAGAGAGAGAGAGAGAGAAGAGAGAGAGAGAGCGTTACAGACGTCTTAGCAGGTGGGAGGCACCTTCCCACCAGCTATATCAGGCTTAGTGGCGTCATGTGACACTAAGATTGACAGGTTCATCGATACGGATGCTGTTCTGAAGAAACTGTTCGGAGACGCTTGCAAGCTGTTCCTCGGGGCCCGAAGAAGAAGCAAAGGTGGCTATTGAACAACTTATGGTGGCAAGAGGCCTATGAAGACTGCAAGAGAAGTCGCGTGCTCACATGAATGCTTCAGGCCTGGCGTTGAGGTCAGTCATAATGGCTATAGCTCAATTAGCCGAAAGCGAAGGCATCTATGCGCTCATGTTGAGATCGGGCCCGGTCGGAACAGCGCAAATCCCGACCCGGCAAAAGTCTTCAAAGCTCAATGGCAGCTAATATTGTCGATTCAAAATCATAAGCAACTTGTTTTGATGGCAATGCGTAGTCTGACTGATCCGTTCTTCGTACTGACGCCCCGTAGCAGCATAGTTTGCCATTGAGCTCTGGCTGTTACTAGAAACTCACAGCTCGATGCTCAGCATTCCGAAGGATTGCCAATGCCGACAACTTCCAAGAAAGACGACCCCGTCCACGAGGGAGCTTGGGATTCGAACGAACTGATGCCGTTGTACTGTTGTCTTTCTGATGGAGTAAAGGCTTGTGAGAATAGAATGAGGACTTCTTGTGGTGCCAAGCCACCGTGCTTGGAACCCTCAACACGAAAGCGGTAGCTTCCTTGACATCATTGTCTTATAGCACCTAATACGCAGGCGGTGACGATATGCATCAAGTACGTCAACGATGGATCGAGCACTTGCCTGACAGATGGCTCCTTCACGACAAAAATGGTGGTAAGACGTGCCATCGCAGAGGTATCTGCGGCGTAATTCGAAGCGTTCAATGGGCGGACCGTCCAACAGGGTGACTCCGCAAGCGTTGCTTTCTGTATACGGAGCTTATGATTTCCAGGCCGCACTCGATGCCGAGCCGGCGACGGCCCATGGCTTCAGAAGACCAATAGCAGTCTCCAGCAGTTTGAGGCAGTCGCCGACCGCATCGGCAAGTATGGGCGTTTGAGCAGCAAGTGCCAAAATGAGGGCATAACTCACCACGCTGCACAGCGGCACACCACTTAGCGAACCACAACTTGACGATACAGAAAGGAGATGCAGTAAATAATACTCACCACTGCGTTGTACTGAACGTGTATGGCGTCCTTTCCGAGAGGACATGCCCAGCGGTGAGGATAAACATCCGAGTTGCAGCAAGGCACAGCTCGCAACGCTTTATAGCCGAAACTGGCACACTGACTTCTTCGTCTGCCGCTCTTGAGGTCACGTAAATGACAAATGGTCTGTAGATGTTGTGCCTAGCAGACCAATACCGGAGACGCAAAACATAGGCCTGCCCAGTTGCTCTGTAGGTCCCATAAAGATCTGGTTTGATAGCAATAGGTAGCGACCCGTACCATGTTAGAGTCTGCTCAGAGAGTTCTCTGTACACTCTCAGTAGCGATACATCGGGATGGCCTGGCAACATGGAAGAGGAGCTTGGTGACTGACCGTTGTACAGGGATATGCCATCGGTAAAATACATGGTATGGTGGATGCGGTTGGACAGAGACCTGGCTGATATGTCGGCCAATGAGTACAAGCTCTCCGTCGCCGTGGCGTCGCCGTAGGTTGGAAAGGGCATCTTGTCGACCAGCAATTCAATGCCACTTCTGGGCTGATGGAACTCGGCCAGGATATCACTAATTGCTCATTATATCAGTAGCTATCCCTCGGTCATCACATTGGATCCCAGAAGCGCACCATTCAATCAAGAAGCACGTCCATGCGACTCTGGTGACACCATTAAAGGTCTGTTGGGATAAGTGCTCTTTGCGCCTGAGGACTTCCGTCAGATTATTCACCACAACGCGGTGCAGTGGCATAGCAGCCAAACCCAGATTTGCTGAACACTTGTTGAAGCCATGTGGACAAGTCTCCAGGCCATCAATGGCTCGGCAACATAGCAGAAATAAAGCGCGCAGAATACGAGGGCCTTGGAGAGAACAAGGTCTCCACGAAAAGTCGCGGCCCAGGAGGGGAGAAGTATTCGAAGAGCTTGTTTGATCGGTCCATCACCCGAATACCGCAGTATGGTTGGGTCAATGGGATCCGACGCTGTGATCCCCAGTGCGAAGATAGCCAGCAACAATGCGGACCATGAACTGTCCGACAGGCCCTCCCTCATTGTTTTGTCGTACTGTGGCTTCAACTCCTGCCACTCAAAGAGAGGCCGATATACATGAACCGCTAAGCGATATCGCTCCAGGCAATCATCCGCGACAGATCTTTCTATATGGCGCCAGTCCTGGTCTGCCCCTCCGTGTGCTGCAAGGAGGTCCTGCAACGAGAACGATCCCGGCCGAGTTTCTTTGACTAGAAAAACAAACTCCTCGGGGAAGTCACCCATCAGACAGCGCATTTGTGGAAGTATGAGAAGACTGCTCAAGCTTGTTTGGTGACCCAAAGGAATTGTCAGAGGCGGTACTTCAGGGTTCTCATGGTCAATTTGGCCGTCCGGCGCACAGCTCATAGTGTCAGCAAAGTGCTCTGAACTGACCGCTTACTGCTAAAGCTCATGTAGACTACGCGGGACGTGCTCTGGCGATCCGTAACAGGTGGGGTCGTTGATGAATGCTGGAGGGAATTTGACACATGACGAGCTGACGAGGCAATCGCTACAGAGTGCTGCGGCAGCACATCCTCGACCGTTTCCAGCCGCCGTAGATATTCTTCCGAAATGCCATACCTGTCACTCCTGTCAAAGCTTAAACGCGTTCGGATGGGTAAACGTTTCGAAGTCTTACTTTGGCGACGGCGCATCTTGATACACGCAATCCAGACCTCTCTCCCGGCAAGTTCTGCACATGGGAGTCTGTCCGTCACAGCGTCGTTTTCTGTTGACCAAGTCAGCATTAAGACTCCACCAGCGGGTCTGGCTATGGGTTCGATTCCGGTACCGGTAGCGGCAGTACATGCATGCCATACTTCTTCGCTTGGACCCAGCACTCATATTGCCAGCTTCTTAAGTAGAGCTAGTATCATGCCTATGCAGAGCGTCCGGGATCTCAGCAGCAGTGAAATCATTGTAGAGGCATCAACGCTGATGTTGACCATGCACAGCAAGCAAGAAACCAGCTCCTGTGTACATAAGTACAGTAAGTGACTAGCAGGCGACTAGACACTCAGGCAGATGCTCACCGGCAGGCAATCTCCATGCTCGTGCTCAGCTCGGGAAAGTGCTTGTGACACGGGGAAGTAAAGGAGCCTACGCCGCTGACTAAGAGGGCCCTTACCAAAGTTTAGGGGAATCGCGTCGTCTTGCTTGTCCACCAATCAGAATCGACGAATGCGGGGTCAACAGATTGAAATGCATCGCAGGAGGATGATCTGAGCTCGCCATTTGGGAGCTTCACGCATGGGATTAGTTATCGGGCCTCGCTGAATAGATTTGTAAACCTCGAGCACATCATCGCGGGGTTGAGCGATCCCAAGAAGAATAGAAGGATCGGACTCCAAGGTCAAGTATATGCGTCATTCGTTGACCCATCATCTCTCCTCGGTCGCCGACTTCACTGGTACTAGTAGCTGAGCGAGCTCTCTCGTCCCTTCTGTCACTCCTGCCTCCAATCTTGCATGACAGCTCTTACTTCACGAACTACTCAAAATAGGCTCAGCAGTGAGGTTCAAAGGTCCAATTGGCCCACAATGTCGTCGCAAAAGGCTTGGGCTGTTATCGCAGGTGTTGGGTCTGGCACGTAAGCCTTCCTGCTTTTTAACGCTCTCAGGCGAATACTTACGCAATTATTAGCGGCGCCTCAGTTGCTCGTCGTTTCGCCAAACACTACGCTGTAGCCCTCTTAGCTCGGAACCCGGACAATTACGAACCCATTGCCAAAGAGATAAATGCTGCAGGCGGCAAGGCAATTGGCATCAGCACCGATGCGTCGGACAGCAAGAGTGTGAAGGCTGCGTTTGAACAACTGGAGAAAGAGTTCGGCGGAGCTCCGTTAGCTGCTGCGATATATAACGTGGGAGGGAAATTCATCAGGAAGCCCTTCCTCGAGCTGACTGAAGATGAATTTGAGTCAGGATGGACAGCCAACGGGTAGGTGGAGGCGGGACCAGGCTGAAAGTCCAGTATACCAGCAACGATCTTTGCTGACTTTGGTCCTTACTCAACAGACGAGGAGCGTTTCTTTTCTCGAGAGAAGTTCTGCCACTCATGCTCAAGAACACAGATGCCGAATATCCACCCACGCTCATCTTCACGTCTGCGACTGCAGCTATGAAGGGCTCCGCCCTCTGCTCATCTTTCGCTACCGGCAAATTCGCGATGAGGGCTTTGGCACAATCGTTGGCAAGGGAATTTGGTCCGAAGGGCATCCACGTCAACCATGCCATCATTGACGGGGTTATTGATATCGAGAGAACCGCCAACTGGAAGTTCGATCATCCGGAGGCCAAGATCAAACCCGAGGCCATTGCCGACGCTTACTGGTACTTGCACACTCAGCCGCGGACTTGCTTTACCAACGAGATCGACATAAGACCTGCAGTCGAGAAGTGGTAAGAAAGACCGGGAGAAGGCCTCGGTGACTACCCTGCTGGTGACCACGACCACATTCCGGCCAGTGGGAGCGCTGGTGGTCTGTATCACACTCGTGCCTGCCGCCGAGCTGTGTCGCTTTGCATCACATCAGTGTCTGACGACAGTGCCAGAAGTCGGATCCTTGGCACGTCGCTGTACGTCCTTCAAGCAATCGTCGTCTAAACACTGGATTGACAATCGCCTATTTCCATGTGTCGGTCTTGATGCGGCACAAATTTTATGTACCTATATCAATACCAGCACCAGCGTACGTCACCGCTGGGTGTAACCTTCCATCTCCTTAGCGGAGAATGCTCAGTCTACATGTTTTGCGCGCGCTCTCCTCCATGGAATACTGTTCAGCTCATATAGGCCACTTCACCTTGTTCATTTCTGTGATAGTGTGGCTCGCGAAATATCGCCTGACAGATAATTTCTACCGAGCAATACGCATGAGCATCGATATAGCCTCGGCCTCGCCCACAACACGGACACGACCGGAGAAGAGCCGTTATGCAGGGGAATCGAACGGAGCGCACCTCGGTGTGATTCGGAGCCGTTGAAAGACATTTTAAAGCAACCATGTGCTGGACATAGCGGGTCAAGCGGCACGCCTGTACTCAATCATGCACAACAAATGTGATGTCTTCTCCACATGGGGACCCCGGCGCACAGGTGCTTGCGTGTTCCTAGACTGGAGCGCTGGGTCTCCCACATCTTCAAAGCCACCACATCATCGGCAACCTACCTGGTATGACGCATTCACTACTTGCTGCCCGAGGCTCTTTGCCACGTTCCAACCCTGGGAATCACCGAATGCTCGTCCCAGCGGAATGACGACCAGGTTCCCGAACCACACCCAACAATAGAGCTCCGCAGAAATAACGTTGACCTTCCTATTTGTGTTTTAGTCAAGCAAATTGCTTTGCGCCTGCTTCGCGTCGTGGCCGAGCGCCGCATGCTTCTTCCAGGTGGCATCTCTCCGGCCCAGGGGGTTGATTCGTCCATCACGCGCTGGCAGGCCTTGCAAAGCTTGTGTCTGAGTCAAGCACAACGCTACCCATGCACTTCGGCACCTAATCGGCAAACCGGTCCTGACCTGCCGAATCGCTTGTAGGCTTCGTCATGACGTCCGAGGACCTTCTCTCAGCAACAACCGGGGGTATTACTCGTACGAGTTACTGAGGGCGACAGGCGAGTATGGGTCCAGGTTGCACGCATCGTCATTTTAAGGGACGTACATTTGCTGCCCACTGTGGTATCTGTGCGTAATTGCGCCCACTCACTGGTAGCGGCTTGTGGACCTCTGCCTTTTCAGCCCGCTTCTTCATGAGAGCGTACGTTCGTGCATCACCGGTAGGTCCGGGATGATCAATACTCAGGTTGGTCACGAATCAAAACTTTTTTGCGGAAACTCGATGTGGCCACGATCCGAGGTCAATATCATGGCTCATAGGCGTACATCAAGGGGTCGTTCACCCCAGATTCTCTTATATTTCTCCTGATTTTTCCTCCACCACGTTTCCCCCAGGTTTGGCCTCTTCCCCAGGTCTCTGCGCCCCATCAACCCCGGGTTTGTGAATATTGATCAAGAGCTCTCCGTCGCAAAAGGGCACACACGAACACAGCATGTCAAACAGTCAACCGGATCCGCTGGTTCGCCAGCACACCAACGACATCGAGTTGGGTGTTTCAGATGTCTTGCAACGTCATGTCACGAGGCATGTTGTGGCGCCAAAGCCGGTGTCGCAAAAGAAGCTCAATTTCGAGCACAAGCGACCGCGTATCCTGCGGGAAATGATGGCAGAAGCGTACGTGATTCCCAACGGCTTCAGCCCGTCGCAGTCGAGGTGGCAGCTGCGACCTCTACGATCTCAGCTGAAATGCAAATGATCGGCACTGACGACAAGACAGCACCGGCGTCTTCTTCTACGTCTTCCCTGGCATTGCTTCAGTCGCCTCATTCACGTTAGCCACCACCAATGGAGTTGGCGCCCAAGTGGGGATTCCGGTCTTTGGATCTCTTTTCCAGATCGGTTGGGCCTTTGCCATTGGCATCGCGTTTGCCATTATCGTAAGTCCGCCTCAGTTCTGGCCTAAGATGCCAGAGCTTGGTATCTAGAGGCAAATATGCCTACTGCCTACTGCCTAAGTCCGGGGCGCCTACGGACCTTCAGATTTAGTCTTGGACGTCGACGAGCAACGCTAACAAGTCTGAACCTGTTAGACTTGTGCACCTGTGAGTGGTGGACACTTCAACCCGGCCATCACATTGTGTTTCGCCATCTGGCAAGGTGAGTTGCACACGCTCCTTGACCCTAACTCCGCCTCCACCTCTAATCCACGCCTCTCGAGTATAGGATTCCCATGGCGCAAAGTCCCGCACTACATCTTCTCGCAGATCTTCGGCGCCTTCGTGGCCGGCCTCTTCCTCATGGCCTGCTACTGGCCCCAGATCCAGGCGGCCAAGGCTATCGACCTGAAGACGCACGGCACGGCCGTCTACAACGGCGGTGTGGCCAGCATATTCTGCGCGTTCCCGAACCCCGATCAGACGAACCAAGGGTACCTGTTCTTCCAGGAGTTCTTTGTCGATTCCTACATTGGCATCGTCATCTGGGCGTGCTTGGACCCGGCGAATCCGTTCGTGAGCCCCACGAGTGCGCCCTATACGATTGGCATCGCCTATGCGGCTATGGTTTGGGGGTTTGCTGGTAAGTCTGTTCCCTGTCGTCGCTTTGGGTCCGCGGTCATAAAGGCCGTGTTATGTTGACGAATGACACTCACAGGTAACACCCTTTCGACCAATTTGGCAAGAGATCTGGGTACGCGTATTGTGGCGGCGATCTTCTTCGGTGGCGAGGCGTTCAGCTACAATAATGGATACTCGTGGATTTCGATCCTTGTCAACGTTCCCGCCACAATCTTTGCGACAGGTTACTATGAATTCCTTATTAGGGATAGTTTGCAGAAGATTCAGGGTGGGCATGCTGAGCATGAGGGTGGAGAGGAGGGTTTGACGAGGTATTTGAGTAAGGTTACAGGTGAGGATATCCCAACCGAGAATCAAACCTCCGAACGTGGGATCATGAATGCGGCAAATGGTGTGTACGAGAAGCAGTTTTGAGCTAAATCGAGCGTGTGCTTGAAAAATGAGACACAGGAAATGTCTTTCAAGGAGGGATTGTCCCATATATTAGCAATAGAAGTTAAACGGGTTAGAAGGTACGATGTTCCTCCATCTTGAACAATATCCAACAATTTGAAGGTATTCCTGTAGGATGTCCATAGGAGATTTTGCCTCTGGATAGGATGCGGAAAGTCGTATCAAGTGAACCAGACGCAAATCTACTGTAAGTGTTGGCTACGCATCAGTCAACGGGGTATTCTAAGTAGGAGCAAGCAGTAAAGAAACTATAGTGAAGGAGAGATTGGAAAAAGAGGTACGAGTCTGTCCCTCGCCATCAAATACATTCAACTCAGAGGACGCGTCCTAGTTGACTGTCTGCCGGCTAGGCCTCATGCTCGATTCAAAATAGGTCAGCATGGGTAAGAGTCAATATGCGCCAGCCGTATACCTTGGAAAACCACGGGAGGGAGGTAGACAAGGAGATAAATCTGGCAGAACCCATCGTGACGACGTATCTCATGTTCGAGGATGAAAGCGAGTCCATGTGGTTGCGCTTGCAGAAGTCGCTTCGTGGAAAGTCGTGACTGCCGTGGCAGGCAGGTTCGGGAAGAGCATGGTGAGACTGAGAACGAGAACGAGAAATGCCTGTGGTCTGGAAAGCATGGAGCGATCACCAACGACAACTGGCATACCAGCGAAGTGCTGGGCCGGTTCCGTGATGTAAGCTTCATGCCCAAACGTGCATCAAGCTGGCGAGCCAATATTGGCGCAGCCTACTGTGTTTCTCAAGAGGACTTGAAAGGAATTTCGACCTTTGCGACTTGATGCTTTTCATTGAGGACATCCACGTCGGGGTATGTAGGATGCCCTGCTTCTATCACCCACTTGCAATGCGTGTGTTGTGTTGCGGATGCTCCTCGTCTCGGGGTATTCCCGTGCTTAAAGCCAGCTGAGAGCGCCTTTCAATATTTTGATTGTTTTGGGCACGCATCGCCAATCATTCTTCACAACTCACCAGCCCCCTGACTTTGTCGGCTACTCCTTCGACAATTTTGATTTGATGGCCTCTCTGCCCTTGCCAATCCTCTCAAGAATCTTCTCCCGGTCCTTATCGAGCTTCAGCTTCGTTACGACAACCTTTGAGGGGTGGACGCCGATGGGCACTGATTGACCGTTGGACTTCTCCCGTGAGACTCGCTCGATGTGGATGAGGTATTTCAGACGATAGACGGAGGTGACTTTGCCTTCGCGGCCTTTGTTGGAGCCTCGAACGATGGTGACTTCGTCGTCTTTGCGAATGGGGATAGAGCGGACCTAAATACACGGAGAAGCTTGTGAGAACGTGTCTTTCCCACGTATCATTCCTGGATGATTCAGCCGTACATTGTGCTTTTCTCTTAATTCTTTGCTGAGGGGGGCGCTCATGATTGTTCGACGGATGCTGGAAGGGGCTCCGAAATGTAGTTTGCGAGACTTGCGCCTCGACGCGGCGATGCCTGCGACTGTGTTAATTTTGTTTCCATTGCGCGAGTACGCTAATATGTGAGCAACTCGTACCATGGTTCGACTTTGTCATGGCTGCGGTTGTTGTGGTGGGAAAGGAATGTTAGAGCGACAACGAGATCTTAGACCTCAATCTGTGGAATTTTCGAAATGCTGCAAGTGCGAGCGTGGGTGCCAAGAGTTCTATGCTCCGGTGAATTATTTGACCATATGATGCAGAATCCGGAAATCGCCTTTACATTGTACTCCACCTTGACTTCAGCGCGTCGGTTGCGACGAGCGTACATGCAGGTGTCCAACGTCTTCAACAGTGACCACTAACACTCGCATCGCGCGCAAGAGATGCGCGCAGCAGGATGAAAATGACCTATCGCATACCGGAGCGCAACCTTGATCTTTCCCGGCGACCGCTCGAATGTGTCCTCGTCCGCATGGGTTCGCCCACGATAGTAAAGACCGGAGAGATCTTTGATACTATGGTTGGGGCTCTCCTGCCAGTCGCCTTCACTTTCTGAAGAGAGGGGATCATAATGTCGTGTGGGCACGTTCATAATTATGGGAACTACTATGATTCCAACCAAGGCCAGCGGGATCTAAACAACTCGTATAACACCTCTAGACAACCCACCTCGAACAACCAGTACGCAAAGCAAGCATCATATGCGGGTGATGTCGGACATTCACGATATAACTCCTTGGGGTACGATGGGTCAAACCAGACTCAGCGACAGGATTACTCGAGTGGCTCGCGCCAGCAATCGACTTATGGAAACGATGGCTCCAACGATGTGACCACCCAGGGCACGTCTCAAGATGATTGGGCTCAAGTTGGACATTACACGGCACACGCTGCAGGAGGGAGTTCAGGCCATAATTACTACAACACTGCAACTTCGACGAGCCAGAGTACCCAAGGATTGAATAGTCTTGCGTATGCTTCAGGACTGGATGATGCAGGGTCACAGAGACACGGCCATCATGTACCACGGTCGAATGCGCCATCCAACTCGGGATACTCTATGTCTTCCACCTCACATATGCGGGATGGCGCCCAACGGCCGGCTGCCAACCAGAGTACGTTGCAACACAGCACGACTGCTTCAAATTACTCCTATTCGAACGGCACATCTTCATCTCAACCCCCAGCTAATAATTTGTCCACAGCGGCAGCAGCTCTCGCAGGTGCAGTAAGTGCACGGTTTTCACAGGCTACACATTCCATGGGAGGCTATCCGTCGAAACCACCTGTGGTGGAAACTTCCACTTCCGTTCAAACGTCTGTGCCTGCAAGATCTGCCTCACCTTACTACCCACCTCAGTCAATCTCAGCCCTATCGCAGAGACGTCAGTCACGCAGCCCCCAACAATCAACTCAGAGCGCGCGAGATATAGGAGCATACCAGCATAGACCACAGCCTGTAACATCTACCCAGCACGGCGAAGCGTCGACTCAAAATCCCTCGTCACGGGCGTCATCAAACAGTGCTCAGCCGGTCAACACGATTTCAAGCCTCATAACTCCGTCTTTCGAAGAACCAGTCCGACAAGGACATTCAAGAGCAGGCGAGCAGCGGGCCATGCCAAACTACATCGATCCAACGCAAGTCTTCAACCCTTACGCCAAAGAGTATGAGAGGAGACGCCGGGAAGCAGCAGCTCAAGCTGGGGCCGAAGCAATAAGGAAGAAAACAGAGGAAGAGGCTGCTGCAAAACGGAGCGCACAAGAGGCGGCTATGGTAGATGCCGAGAAGAAAGCGGGCCAAGCAAAGGCTAATACAGCGAAGAGAGCCCAAAAGTCACGGCAGAACCGACTGAATCCTGTCGCAAGTGCTCTTCTGCCAGCAAGTGCATCTGCTGGTGTAACCCCTCCTCAGCCCGTCCATGCAGCAACAGAGGGAACGGCTGATGATGCGAGCATGGCATTAGAGCTCAAAGCAATGGTGGAAAAAATGAAAGAGTACCGGAGTAAAGATCCTGCCCTATTCCAGAAGCTATGGGACGACATGCGCAAGCCACTTTCCGGACCCGCGAGTGCCATGCCTCTACAGTCGCCGTCTCCTCAGATGAACCAACAGCAAACTGTCCCTCCCACAAGTATGCCGGCCCCCGTCCAATCTACGCCGCAGCAGCAGTCTACGGTCGAACCCATAATTGCAACGCCCTCTGAGGTCAAGGCACCTCAGGATTCTGACGCCATGCCTAACGTACCACAGCTATTTAAGATGAATGGATACAGGGTTACAGTGTTAGACAACCCACAAAACCTCCCTGATCTCGGCCGCTTTCCTGCTGAGCGACGTATCCGGATGAGGGCCCTAGTGCCTCCTGCAGAGAGCGCTGCTCGACCTGCACCAGCTCAGCCTGTAGCTGCTCAGCCAGCTGTAGCTAACCAGGTGCCCGCTACTTCTAAACAAGGAACCCCTGCTCCACCTTCGCAACCTCAAGCCGGAGCAGCAGGGCCACCAGCTGAAGCTATGCGTCCGCTTACTCAAGGACTTCCGCCAAGGGGTCCTGCGGGTGGAACCATCTGGCCGGAAGACAAGCGTAAGGCTCTTGCAGACGCTGCGATCAAGTCGCTCAAGGCAGTGCCGGAAAATGCGTCAGTTACTATTTCACCTGCGGACATACATGACATGCTTGAGCAGAATCCAAGCTATATCGATCTGTGCGAGTTACTTGAGAAGAAAGGTCTGAAATTCCATAGGGGTCAGTTTGCGAGACAGCTTCTGAGCAATGTACCCTATCTTAATGGTCCTTCTGGCAAGACGGTTCCGGCACCTTCCAGTCCTGCACAAAAGCGCGATGCCACTGCTTCTGTCCCAGTGCAGGACCTCCCGGCGCCACCCACGGCCGCCACGGTATCAGCTCAAGCCCAAGGCAATGCAGGCAATTCTAGGTCTCAAGTTTTACTCGGAGGAGTGGGTGGTGAAGTCTTCACATTTGAGAGGCCCCTCTCTAGCCCCCAACAGTCGAACGCGGTCGCAATGCCATTGCCACGACCGAGACCATCCAGACCTCACCCTCTCGCACGGCCTGAGCCGCCACTGGGTTCGAAAGAGGCTAATGCTCGCAAAAGAGATTTCTCAGAAGTGGTCGATCTTACCGCGTTGAGTGACAATGAGGACTATGTGATGTCTAGGAAGCAGGCACAGGTCGAGAGTCCTCCATCGGGGCCAGCGGTTCATCCACTATTTCAATTCAATAGTGACCCGATCAAAACAAAGGCACAGTTCCTTCAGGCCGTGGGACTAACCCCAGACGAATATGTGCTGACCGCGCAAAACGGAGTGCCTGAGGAGCCTCTTCGCTTCAACCCCGATCCGTCTGCGTATCCGCAGACTTACACACCACTCCCACATTACGCACCACAGCAGCCAGGTCGGCCATTGCAGGTACCACCACCGACACCTCAGCAGCAGGGACCATTCAAGTGCCTGGCCAAACCGGTCAACAAAGCAGAAGCCCTGCGTAAGACATGTTACGACGCCAAAACAGTGGCCCGTGATCTCCTTATTACTATTGGCAGACATCCCACGGAGCGCCCACTCAATGCACACTTGGCGGGTCTGTTAGGGAAGTATATCGAAATCGATTCCGACCTGAGCACGTTTGATTGGGATGCAATAGACCCAGGGGGTCCCCCAGTGCCTCAAGTACCTTTCGTGGATGTTCCAACAGGACCACCGCGACTCGGATGGGGAGACCGCGGTGTTCAACTTCCCAAGCTCGAAACCCAAACTGATGTTCCTGGCGCTGAGGCGCACCCGGCACGCTTTCCTAATTCGGACAAGCGCAAAGTGCCTGCGCCCTCTACAAACCGTGTGTCTGCTCCAGCTCATCGAGGGGAAGAGAACAAAGCTCAAGCACCCACATCACCACTGCAGGTCAAGACTGACTTGGGACCGTCTCATATCGTGCGGCGCAGTCGTGGTCGCCCGCCACAGGAGCCTGGACGTTCTCGTAATTCGACTCCAAGCTCAGTCGTACCCCAGAAGCGGAAAACGAATGGTGTCGTTCCCCTTGATGCGACTCCTGCCCCAGAAGGCAAGCGATCTACACGGAGTGCCTCTACACAACTGACGCCGACTGTCACGCCGTCCACCAATTCTGCGAACAAGATGGAGTCCCCGCGCGTGTTCTCCAGCGGAAAGCGGGTAGGTCGGCCTCCTGGGTCTAAAAACATTCACCCTTCTTCTGGAGCCGTGAAGATAGCCGTAGCTCAGATCAGTCAGACGGGAGTCAGCGTTCCTCCAAAACCTATGTCACCAATCAATCCCGTCTTTAGGTGTCGCTGGAAAGGGTGTCAAGCCCACCTCCACAATCTCGAAACCATCCGCAAACATGTCTCAAAAGTGCATCATCCCACGAGCCAACAGCTAAAGGAGCAGATTGGCTATGTCTGCTGGTGGAAAAAGTGCAAGCTCCTGGTTGAAGATGAGGACGGACAACTCGGACCGTCGCAGATCTTTCACACCCGTGGAGACTGGCTGGGACACATTGAAGAAGCCCATCTGAAGGAGGTCGCGCAGAAACTTGGGTCTGGCCCGTCACTCAAGCACATCGGTAAGCAAACACAGAAGCGGACGTCATTCCCATTTGACCTGGCGAAATTCTCATTTAATCCTGCCTCGCTTGCACCTCCAACACCACCCTCCTCAAGTCCCGTACCAGTGGCTAGAACGTTATCTCACACAGATCCTCAGACCGTGCACCAGGATAGAACGCGATTCCTCTCCGACTCGGAAGGCCGGGTCACCACCCCAGACGTTACAAACCCATCTACCCAAGAAAATCTTCAGCCAGACACCATGCGTCTGCTCAAGGCAGATTGCAAAAACAACGAAGAGCAGGCGCAGAAAGCGTTCATGAGGACTCATCGGCAGGAGAAAAACAACCCGAGGGCTATCGCGGAAGAGACTCTGAAGGCCATGTCTGCTCGGAAGGCCAAGATCGGACCAGGCATTGACAGAGGAGGTTGTATCCTCGTCACGGAGGAGAGAAGAGCCACACTGATCCAGAACCCGGGCATCCAGAGAGTCGTGGAGGGGGATTATTGATGTGGAGGCACATTCCAGCACGAGAACTGGAATACCGGATATGTGTTTTCTATCGGCATCGCCGCAATGGTTGAAGCTTTCACACCGCCGTGCGGATCAGTGACGGTGTGCATTAGTAGTCACGACACCGGTTGTTCAGTGAGCTGTGATCAAGACCAAGCCGAGGACATCGTGAGGTCGAACGAAGACGATTAGACCGCGCTGAGGATAAGGTGTGGACGGGATGGAGATGGTACTAGAGCAGCCAGTAGCTGTTGACGGACAACGACATGCGAAAGTACTTATGAGTTTGAGGATGAGTCCCGCACTGGACCATCGCAAGTCTTGAGAGTCAAGTCGCGTCCCGACACAAAAGTCTCGAGTATGGAATATGAACATGGGCGTAAACTCGAGCATGAACCTGACCTTGAACCTGTACTTGGACTTGGACGTTAGACCTCAGGCTCGACAGGGGGGTTCGCTTTCTACGTATCGGTATCAGGTATGGCTTGAGCCCGACCCAGCTTCTGACTACAGTAGATAGCCAACTCGGCAATCCAAGACAGGCGGGTGGGTATTGTGAACAGTAGAACACAGGAAAATCGATCAGGAAAGCTGGATACCTATCTAGAACTTGGGACAATCTGACGGACGACATTGAACATGCACTCCAACCTGAACTTGAACCTGAACTTGAACCTGAACTTGAACCTGAACTTGAACCTGAACTTGAACCTGAACTTGAACCTGAACTTGAACCCGAACTTGAACCCGAAGGTCAGGTATCATCTATTCAGGTCTTTCTAAATCTCACCCCGGTTCTCACTTTTATTTTTGGTCTCACTCCAATGGTGGAACCACCAGTTAAAACATCTCCCTGCAGCCAGATCTGGGGAGTACATCTCTCTCGCGCTGGTTGTGTGTGGCTGGCTGGCTGGCTGACTGGCTGGGCAGGTAGAGTATACAGGCCACGAGCGTGCCGAGCTTTTCTCTGACTTGGATCGAATGCGGGTTGAATGTGCTGAGCTGCAGTTGGCTTGACTTGGCTTGAATTGACTCCTCTTGACGAATGGGTGTGCGGGCGTGCTTTGATTGCGTGGACGGAGTCTGATTTTCACGTTCTTCATCTCACACCCGCTGCTGCCAATACCATCACGCTGCACTACCCTCCAATGCAATGCGTTCCAATGCAATACAATCCATGTACCGCTCTGACTTGGAAGTGCGTGATATGTACTGTACCGCACGCACCGTGCCCTGTCTCGACACGCCACGGACGGAAGAAACCAGAGGAAGCGCGACCGCGAGAAGGCGGATCAAGGTGCTTGCTTGGCTCTTTCTGGCCCAAATGTTTCGAGCGCCGTCCATCCAGTCTGTCCTCCCAATCTCCCATCTTCAATGCTCGACTCTCGACTGCCTCTGGTCCTGCTCAACGCGCGTGGCATCCCACTTCCTTTTGCCGTACGATATGATATGGTCGATCGATAGGGGGCGTTCGTTTCGTTTCGTTCCATTCTCACACCCCCCAAACGATCATGTGTCATACCATATTGTATTATGATCTTGTTCTTCCCTCCCAGCGCAGTGCAGCCTTCAACCCCATGCCCATGCCCAACATCTCCCTATCACAGTAGCCTGACTGCGATGGAATGACGCCATTCGTCCCAGAGCCACACGCGTGCGCTCGAGAAAGCAAGCATCCCTCTCCCTTCTCCCTTTTGATCCTATCCTTCAAGCCCACGACGACCACCTTGCCGACCGAATCCATCACGGCAGTAAGTTCCTCAAGGGCCAATCACGCCAACCTTCGCGTTTCGGCCACGTCCGTAAGAACCTTGGAGAATACTCCGTATGTATCATGATGACTTCACCGCCACAAGAAGGAGAATACCACAGTGTGTATCATGAAGACTCCACCGCCACACCCACAGGCTTCACGGCCCCAACCCCGGCCTTCTCGTCCTTCTTGAGGTCGGAGGCGGCACTCGACTCGTCATCCTGCGCGTTGACTTCGAGGAAGTGGTACAGTACGATCAATAGCATTGCTGCGCTGCCAAGGAAGATGGCGAGGGAGTATAGTTGGGAATCGGAGATCATATTTGCGCTTGCAAGGCGTACTCTTGTAACTCGGTGTGCCGGAGGGATGGCGTGGGCAATAAGTAGCGGTATTTCGCGGGGAGATCGTAGGGTAGGATGTGATCGATTGAGCGTATTTCGGTACTGACTAACGGTACTTCACAGACCGTAGGATTTGATCGATCGAGCGTGTAGTTCGGTGAGTGTTGTGGTGAATTGAGATGAGATGAGATGAGAATGAGATGAGAATGAGTGAAATGAGATTGAGTGGATGAGGTATGAACAGTCGAAGTGTTTCTGGCAAGGTGATCCTGAATAGCTGAACGAGTACAGGGATGGGGAGCTGATGGTAGGAGCAGAGTTGCGGAGGTAGAGGAAGTGAGAATGTGAGGGATTGCGTGAGTTGTTGGTGCATACGAGGTAGCAGGAGAGGAAGCAGCTCAGGTACAGTAAGTACTCCGTAGTTCTGCGGATACGCAATGAAGACAAGGGGCGGTTGTTGATTGGTTGGGTCGTAGCCTTGTCAGGCCTCGTGCGACTGCGAATACCTCCCCCTAACGCTCCGTACGGAGTACTTGCACTGTGACTGTACGCGACCAAACATGCCGCCTAAATGATTGTCAAGGCTTCCAGCTTTCTCTGGTATGAGTAGAGGGAATTTTGTCAATCCCTTAGCTCTGCGACCGTCTATTACGTCTATCTTGTGTTCCGAGATTACCATCCATCCAAACTCACCAAATGCGAATGGTAGTACACGTAGACCCGCCAGCAATTCAACTCGTGCTGTCCCACTTCTCACAACTCCGGTGCAGTAACGAAGCGCTCGGGCTCGGGTCTTGCCGGTGTCGAGGAGCCTTCCTCCTCGTCCTTGTCAGACTTCGGGGCCACAATAGGCTCGTACCTCTTCTCCTGTTGTCTCTGCTCATCCGCCGGAACGGCTTCCCTTGAGATATCAGGCTCTTGTTGCTTCTCGCGTTGAATCCCGTCGCTAGACGAGCTGGAGCCTCCAGGCGATGAACGGCCACCAAGGACGGCAGCACCCTTCTCCGCGTCCCCATCAACCTCGCGCTTCTCAGCACCGGACAAATTACTCTCCGTTTTCACCAACGCAGAGTCCGCTTTCTTATCCTTGCCTTGGAATTTCTTCCCCTTGGGCATTCTCGCCAACCAATAAATCGCCGTCGCGGCAAAGACATTAAAGACAATGTAGACAAGCAAAATTCCAAAGTCCCGCCATCTATTGGAAAAAGAAATGCTGACATATGACAGGAAAGTGTTGGTGTTGTCGATGGTGCAGAACTCACAGTTGCTGCTGCGCGGGTCGAGGAGGTAGCCGCCTGCAGCGGAGATGAGAGGTTCGAGGTATTCGCCGCATGTCTGGCCGGACGGCGCCGTGAAGTGGAGATATTCCGCGTCGGCACAGGTGACAGGAGCATCGGCGACGCCAACGCTAAGAAGGCCTCCGACAAGGTATGTGAAGGGGCTAGTCGAGAAAAAGTCAGCGAGTGGCGCAACACAAGGCGACGGTGAGGAAAGCTTACCTGACTCGGTACATGAAAATCCAAAATCCGGGCATGTCTTTCGGACCGACCAGGACGCCATTGAACAACAGGCAGAGCGAGAACAGGACGTTGGCAATGTTCGACGCCGTCTCAGCCGTCGCGATCCCCGCAATCATCAGATGTGCAAAGGTGCTGCTGAACAGGATAAACTCCAACACAAACAAGAATTGCGTTGCTCCCCGTGAGGCCACGGCGTCCGAGTAGGTTGCATTGCGGTAGAGTCCGATAGGATAGTACCAACAGAAGAACAGGACGACGGCGCCCAAAGCCGCCCAGGGAAGCTCAACGAGGATGTTCGAGAGCATGAATGCCTTCCACGAGTACGTCTTCGATGGTCGCTCACGGACTTCGTAGAGACTGCGCTGTGTGACGAACAAGGGCATAATCTGCTGGACGAGCTGGGAGAAGAGGATCAGAAGCATGAAAATGCCGAAGAGTTGGTTGTTGAGTCCCTGCTGCGTGTTGGGAGCCTTGAAGAGTGAAAAGCCGATGAAGAGGCCCTGTTCCGCAAAGTCAGCACGTTAACAATCCAGCTTTCTCAGGCCGAAAACGTACGGTAAGACAGCAAAGGATCAGCTTCGAGTATATGTACGTCGGCGTGCGCCAGTACTGCTCAAAGACTCGCTTCTGGGTCTCCAAGTACTGCTGCCAGAAGGGTGCTGCGAATTCGTAGTACTCGGTCTTGTTCGCTGCCACTGGAGCTACCAGTTGGGATCTCTCATCCTTCATTTGCTCCAGTTCCCGTTGGACTTCCTGGTACTCGGGCGAGTTTCTCCAGACTTGGAACCAGTCGATGTCTGAGTGGGATCCCGGCGCTGCCCCGATAGCCTCGAGCATATACTCGGCTGGGTTAGCACCGGGTGGGCAGTCGTGGGCGCCGTTTCTCTGGAAGTAGTCAATCAAGATGTTGGAGTCCTTGCCGACTGGTCCGAAGTACACCGTCTTCCCACCGGCAGCAAGGAACAATAGTCGATCGAATCGCTGGAACAGAATGGCTGACGGCTGATGGATGGTGCAGAGGATAGCTTGACCGGCATTGGTGAGTTTTTCGAGGAGGTTGAGAATGGACCAAGAAGTCTGAGAGTCGAGACCTGAGGTAGGCTCGTCAAGGAAGAGCAGTAACTGGGGTCGCGCGGCGAGCTCGACTCCGATTGTGAGCCGCTTGCGTTGTTCGACGTTTAGACCTGCGGTGTACGAAGTCAGTATCCCGCCTGTGCATGTGAAACTCCTGCCCTAACCGACGAAGCAGGCATAGGAGGATATTGGGAGAGCTCAACCTACCTTCACCAGGCACACCCACGACGGCATCGGCGTACTCCTGCATATCGAGCAGTTTAATGACCTCTTCGACGTAAGCAATCTTCTCAGACCGGGGTGTTTCTCTAGGTTGTCGTAACAGAGCACTGAAACGGAGGGCCTCGCGGACCGTACTCGTCTCAAGATGCAAGTCTTGCTGTTGAACATAGCCGGTCTTTCTCTGGAAGGACTCGTCTCGTGGTCTTCCGTCGACAAGCATTTCACCCGTGATGATGCCCATTGTGACGCGGGTTGCGAGACAGTCGAGTAGTGTGGTCTTACCAGCCCCAGAGACACCCTATAGCAAATCAGCAACATTTCGGGTCTCAGGCGTTGTTATCAAGCCTACCATGAGCGCAGTCATTGTTCCCGGCTTAACCCAGCCATCAACATGGTCCAAAATCCGGCGAGGTTTACCCTTGATCTTGATGTCGTAACAAACATCTTTCCATTGGAAGATGGCTGTCTGTTTTTGGATCACAGCACTGACTTGGCGCGTCAATTGTTCGTCCATGGTTTGTTTCCTCGTCAGAGCAGCGAGGTTGGGATCAGAACCCTGCGACTCGGTATCCGATGCTTTCTCCTTCAGAAATGCTGGTTTGTGCCCTCTACGGAAGAGAAGAACCTCGCCTTTCGACTTCTTAGCAGTGACGGTCTCGGTCGCAACGAGGTAGGCGAGACAGAGGGCTATCATGAAGGCAAAGGTAATGCCCACATTTCGCCACTTGTGCGACGCATAGTACCTGTACGAAATGTTGATGTAGTCGTCGCCATTCACCACAGTCTGCCCAGCAACGGATCCGACAACGGTGCAGATTTGAGATATTGATGAGCCGTTGCCGAATTGAGGCGCCGGGGGCATAAATGTCGAGCATCGATAATCTCGATTGTGAAATTCATTGACCATTAGACTCTCGAAGCCATATGCTGTGGGATTGATGTAGTTGATCCACCGAGCCCATCCGAGCATATAGTCGACGGGGATAACGAAACCTGGAACTATGGTTAGACCAACAGAATGACCAGGCCATGCAGAAAGTCGAGGTACTCACCTGTATAGACGACAATAGACACCATCAAAATGGCGGTGGGGACCAAAGCTTCTACCAAAGATCTTGACACTGAGGCAATGAAGCGGAACAACATGCTCATGGTGAGTGTCAAGATGAAGGACATGAAGAGGAAGAAGAAGAAGGCACCCGGTGTGCGTCGCAGGTTGGTCATGAAGTAGAGAATTAAATTGAATCCGATGGTGTTGAGCACTTTCGAAGGTATGTCACATAACATCGACGCAAACGCTTCGGCCGAAGGGTGATAGAGTGCATACCGTTGGTGTTTTTCGACGATTGGTCGTTGGGCATACAGAGTCAGGATTTCAAGAGCGCTGCCAAAGGCGTTCAGCAGGACTGCAAAGAAGACGAGAGAGCTTCGAGCCCGTAGAGAATCGCTGGTGGCCGGCAAGTTGTAGAACAGTGAAGAGACAACCAGCGCGTTGATGCAGTTTGCAAACAATTGTGTCAGAGTAATAGCAGGGTCGTCCATGAGCCGTTTCCAGCCTCTCCACACGCACAACTTGACTTGGCCGCTGTAGGACAACGTGTAGGGTGAGGACCTGCGCTGATTCTTTGACTGCTGGATACGCCGGGATTGCTGGAAAGCTTCGAGATTGGGTCCACCAATGGGATTTGCTTGCTCAAAAGCGTCGAGCTCGGCCAGCATTCTCTTCCGTGCTTCGCTGTTGTGCCATCGTTCGGCAAAGTCGTCGGGTGTACGGGGCACCTGCGACTCGTATCCCTTCTTGACCAGGCGCTCGATCGGATTGGTCATCGAGGTCAGGAAGTCGGGCACTGTCTGGCGCTTTGCACATTCAAAACCCATGTCTTCAAAATACTTCTGGGCTTCGGTGGTGCGCCCAAAGTAGATTTCTCGGCCTTGGTACAGAACAATGACCTTGTCGAAATAGTCGTAGGCACTCTGCGGAGACTGATAGATGGCAACAGCCGCAGTCGTTTGATTCAGATCCGTCGACGTCCGTAGGGTCTTGCAAAATTCAATGGCATTCGCGGAATCAAGACCTCGAGTGCTATTGTCCCAGCACTGCAGCGGCGCATTGCTAAGAGTCGCCTCTGCGATGGAAACTCGCTTCCTCTCACCACCGCTGACGCCTCTGACGAAGTCGTTGCCCACTTTGGTGTTGACGGTATGTCTGATGCCAAATGTGGCCATGACCACATCCCGTAAGTGCGCGGCGTACATTTTCTTGGTGATACCCTGGGGCAACTGCAGGTTCTGGGGCGTCCGAGCTTGTGCAGCGAACAGGAGTGTGTCACCCACAGTCATCATGGGAAAATGGACATCTTGTTCGGCCGTATAAATAGCTTCACCCTTGAAATTCTTGTGCATTTGTTTGTAGCTGATGCCCTGATAGTTGATATACGAGTCGTCGCCGAGGCTAAAGCCATGAGTTTCGCCCGTGATGGTCTTCAAAAATGTAGAACAACCGGACCCGGGAGGTCCTAGCACGACAAGCATTTCGCCAGGCTGCACAACGCCCTCAAAGTTTCGCAGAATGTCCACACGATGGCCTTTGTGGCCGACAAGACCTCGAGCCATATCCATCAAGGCGACTGGATAGTTGTCGACGGTTCTCTGGAAATCGCTGCCTTTGGAATAGCCGAACGCCGAGAGATTCCGGAAAGCAAAGCCAGCAGTTCGACCAACATTTTCTTGGCCAGACTGCTTCTGTAGCCTGAGCATGGCTTTCGTCCAAGCCCTGCCATTGAAATTGTCCGAACTAGGATCGATTTCTGTGCCAGCGATGGACTCGTCGAACGGATGGAACGGCAGGTCTGCACCTGAAGCCCGTGAATATTGACGAGCAAGATGCTGGATCTCCTTGTTCTCGTCCCCACTATCTTGGACTACCGGCCCGCCACCAGGAGAGAATGTCTTGTCGTTGTAAGGATAGTCTGCCGCTGGGCTCTGAGGAGAAGCGCCCGACATCCGACGACTTCGGTCATAATTTACCAGACTCGTCATTTTGATGGTAATCTATCAACACTGCATGGGAAATACTGGTCGCGGCGTTTGTCTGATAGCCAGACCCCGGTGAGGGAATTCGAGTGATCTATCCGTAGAGGCGTGGAGGAAGATTACCAGCCGATGGGAAAGGTAACTAGTATTACAATGAGTGAAGCTTGAAGGCAAGAATTAGGCGTGAATGAAGAGCAGAAGACTGAAGAAGTATGAAGAACAGGTTGATATGGATGTCGATGTCGAATTGAAGATTGAGTTCGGTCGAAAACGGAGCTGCCGTGCATAAGACAGTAACTCGGGAATCCCAGCAGCTGGTCTCCGTGGCCGCATCGACTTGAATAGGCAGTTACGAATACGGAGTACGCAGTACACAGTACTGAGCATGATCTCAGTCAGGCACCAGGCAGAATGAAACCGAATTTCCAGGTGGGATACGGTGTCGGGCGGCAGATTGCTGCTCGCAATCTGAATCATGATTCCCGCAGTGGACTTGGCGAATTGGGTCGAAGACACATTGACGGCAAACGAGATCGCGTCGAAGGCTAAGTCGTCGCTCTCAGTACTGTATCGGGTTTAGACAGCGTCACTGTCGCCTTGACAAGCAAACCAGGTGGGAATAGTATACGCGAATACGCGAGTTTCCCTCTGGAACAATCGTGGATTCCACGAACCTGCGCCGTGAGTGGCTGAGCCCGGCCGCCACCGCCGCGTGCTATGGGCTAGGCGTGCCCACTCATCCTTGCAGGCGGCATTCCTTGCAGCCCGGCGGAAGGAACCCTCTCCACAGGGGCTCTTAGGCGACACTGCTGCCGGCCGAGATGTGCACCCAGGCCCCTTTTTCAGCACGATTTGTGCACCGGGGCAGCCTTCCGATCCGAATTATTCACGCACAGTGCACACGCACAACTCAACAGGGCAAGTACAACTGGTGCAACCTCGTATAACGCGACGTTGGGCACGTCTGTTCCCGACGCACAAGACGCCAACGCCAGGGCGGATGCACGTGAGTCCGTTGCTAATATTGACCTCGAAGCCTCGTTCCACTGCAGAAAAAAAAAACAGCGCGCAGAGACGGCTGAGGGAGTCATGGACTGATGCATCACGGCTGTGCCAGTTCCGCATGGCCCTTCCTGGTCGAAACATGTCCTTACATTCCGTTCCATCTCGTCACCAAGGTTGAGCTGAAGTGGTGGTGTTCTGAGTCGCGCAGAAGGATATTCCCTCATCCTTGACTGACACAGTAACATTATTTCCGACTTCGTGAAGCAGCACGAAATCGTCGGTGGTTCTGCACTGCTTCTGCTGAGATGCCGCGTCTGTCGCTGCTCGCCCTGTGAAAGAGATCAGAGGCCAGTATCAGTTTCGAGTTTGTTCGAGGATGCTGCTGACGATGATCTTATTTCAATTCAGGTTTGATCGACTTCATCTGCCTCTTACTCTTCCCAGTCTCGTTCTCCTACCGGGACCTCGATCTGCCATATCTTGCCTGCATTCTGCTCATCTCGGCCCTCTGGATTGGGCCACTTTGTCCCTTGTCTCGATCAGCTCATCCGACCACCTTCCGTCATGTCCATGGTTTCCGTCGACATATCAGTTCCTCTGAGCGAGCACCATATGCAGCTCTCCAGAGCGCCGAGTCTGGCGGAGTTATTTTGTCCTTGACACCACCATTGTTGAGACTCGGTCTTTAGCCGGCGTTCCACACCATGATCATGGCTTCAAATCACTTCAACTTCAGCAACATCAAAGGACATCCACATCTCTTGCTTGAATGGTGACATTGAAGACCTCACTGCGCGGTCATCCTCATCCCATCGTCCCACATCACAGCCTCAGTCTCCACTTACAGGACAAGAGGCGCTCACTGACAAAGGCATCACTGGTCCGACCTGCTAGACCGACCGGGAGAAAGTATCACGCAACCCTCTGTCAAACGCCGCCGGAGTCTATCTCGTTTTAGCGCGCCATTCTCTGCAGCTAAGTAGCACCTGCGGAATCGAAGCTAGGTCATCTTGAGTGTAGATACCTACCTGCTTCCATGGCGAGCTCTTCCATCGCGACAGCGCTAACTTTTTCCTAATCCTAGGTTCCAGCTAGGGATTGTCTCGTCCCCTTCATCAACTTGTCTTCTTTTGCAAGGGTGTGCCGCGCTGCCATGACCCTCCTCCATCTTACCCTGCTTCGCTCGGCACTGGAAGTTTCTCATCTGCATCTCCAAAGCGAACCTCATAATCGTAGGATATAGCATCAAGGATAACTTGCCCGCTAGAACAACTGGTCCACGGTCTTTATCTGCAACCATGTTCAGGCCGTCTATAAAATACTCACTCCTCGCACCGAGTCCCATCTCCGTGCTCCTAACCCATGTATCTGCAGCTCTCAACCACCCCAAGCGGGTAGCATGCTTGCTCGTCCGCGGTCATAGATCGCTGGGGTACGCTGTTTCCACCGAGCTTGATACCATCAAGCCGAAATGTACGGTGCGGGCAGCGAGTCCGGACTAGATGTCCCCACGGACTAAGTCGTCTCCAGGAGGAGTTCGATGTTCTCGGCCACCATCTCCCTGTTCTTGTTTCTGTCCTTGTTGTCAAAGTGCTCCTACAGAGTATGGGCGCGGCACGCAGACGTGACATGCCAGATGGGCAGAAAGTCAATGGCACAGAACACCACTCTCATAGCCACGCCCACGCTGCTACATGCTCGAGTCTACTACACAGTACAAGAGAGTTGGCTGGTCAGTGGTCACGCGGCGGCAAAGCGATGACCTTGACGGGTGGTGGCCGTTCCGGGGAGTTAGAGGTCGGGGAGGTCGTTCCCTCCCACTCACGGGGACTCAGATTTGTACGTGCCAGGCAGACACCACAGACTAGATTCAAGTACGATTCCTGTGAGCGACAGATCATGGGTACACGAAGGCCGATGAGAACTCGATATACCCATCGACAAGTAGATGAGTACGTCCACTAAAAGGCTGGAGTATTTGCCTGTAGTTCAGAACTTGATTGACATTTAGTGTATGTTATCGTTCACCCCCCTCTGAGCACATACAGAATGGTCGCTCTGTCCCGCGGGACCTGTATCTGGTCACCACACCACACAAAAGTCCTTGCATCTTTGCGCCTCGCAGCTTGCAGCTTCCAGGCCCCGATTCCCAGATTTGCAACTTGCACAAGAGGTTGATGGGTTACGGCCATTCGCAAAACATATATCTCTTCCAACGGCATGGCGCCGTCCACACGAAGCGTACCGGTCCTCTCAGCTCAAGAGATATGTCCCCCACCCACGCCTCAATGCCTCATCTGCACCGCAATCCTATTGGTCATATACTTGGAGATATCACCGATCATGAGACATCCAATAATGGAGAGCACACCAAACGGGATGCTCGTGTACCACACGTAAGCCAGCGCGTCCGAATACGCCCAGCGCGATCCCATGGTCGCGGCCTCGACGATAGCGGGCGTCACCCCCACCACATCCGAGACATTAGCAGGCAGCGTGAGAAACGTCTGGACGAATGTTGCGGCCGACGAACGTGGCAGACCTGCCTGGAGGGCGAAATCGAGGACCCGTTCGGGAAGTTTGCGCGCCAGCTTCTCGCTGAAGACGTTGTAGTAGATCGAGTAGCCGATCGAGCCGCCTACGAAGCGGATGGTCAGCGTGAGTGCCGTGGCTGTCGCGATCAGCGAGTCGGGGCAGGCCGTCATGGCGATGGTCGCGGCTGGGACGATGACGCCGCCGATGCCGAATCCCGCGACGGTGGCCAGGCCGACGGCGAGGCCTGGGTTTGTGGGGTTGGCGACTGCCATGCTGCCTGTGAAGGCGGCTGAGAACGACGAGTCAGCAAAAGTACGGATTCACACCAAGGGGTGTTGGACACAGGCCGGATCAGTGGTCACTTACTCATCAGCACGCATGAGGTGAGGAGGAGTTCTCGGTTGTTGCCTTTTAGGATCGTGAGGAGCGCGTTCATCACCGTGGCGCCGACGGTGATTGCGATCGAGTAGCCGAGGCCTTTGACGCCGACTTGGATGGGGCTACGCTGTGTCAGTGAGTGCTGGAATTTAGGTGCGAAGAGAGCGACTCACTCGGGCTCGTAGACAGTACCATATGTCAATGGGGCAAAGTTGATCATCGAGTCTGCAGATCTTCGTTAGCCAGTCTGCAGGGCGCACAACGTGAAGTCACAAGCTCCTCGGAAACGGAGCGGTCTTGCGGAACTCACAGAAATTCATCCCGGAGACGAACGCAACCGCAAGGGCGATGGCGACAATACGCTGGCCAGCAAACAGGTCCTTCGGCACCATAGGGTATTTTGCGCCTTTCCATTCCCACATCACGAAGGCGGCTATAAGTGCGGCGCCGATAAACAGCATGCAGAGGACGTATGCGCTTTTCCAAGGGTGCGATGATCCGCCAGACTGCAAGGCGACCAGACTGGGTACGATCAGCTGGTGACCGCAGCAATCTCGTCAGAGTCACTTACAAGAGGATCACACCCGTGATGGACAGCACAGCGCCGATATAGTCGATCTGCTTTGCGATCTCTGTTCTGCTCATGGTGCCCTTGCGCAAGATATGCGAATCCGGGAAGTAGAAGAGAAGAACCCCTCCGAAGAAAACTGCATTATAGATCCTTCGTAGTGTTAGTGTTGGTGTCTTGTGAAGCGTGGGGTATGCTTACACTGTGATCCACAGACCCCATCTCCAGGTCGCATGAGCCGAAAGCAGCTGGGAGTACAGGACGTAAGGAAAGAACGGGCCTGCAGATAGATCAGTACGCTTGCGCGGCGCATGTCTTTGAGTTTATGGACAGACATATGAAGAAGGTGACGCAGGCAAGGTAGAGTCCACGCTTTTTGACGGGCACCAGCTCCGCCGTCCTGAAGACCTCTTTATCAGCAAATTGGGTCCCGACCATGCTTGACGGCATTCCTGGAAGCCGACTCACCCAGCTAGTGCCGTGAGCTCACCGATCGCTGCGCCTGAGCCAGCAATAGTCATGCCGGCCACACCCTGGGCGAAGGAGTGAGCCGTGGCGGTGACTATCGTGCCGATGAGGATCAAGACGGATCCTAAGATGGAAATATTCCTCTTCCCAAACATGTCTTGAAGGTAGCCACAGAACGGGCAGAACGCGGCAAGTGCTAGAGAGTTCGAAACTGGAATCCACCCAGTCGAGGCCGAACCCAGGTCAGACGCAATGTAAGTGAGTGAGCCTTCTCCTTGTCAGAGCTTTCCTCGGTCCGCCGAACCGCAAGCTTACCTCCGACGAAGTATAGCGGAATCTGCGATCCTATGGATAAATGACAACTTAGCATGGCAGTCCAGATTGGAAGAATCGTGCATAGAGATGACTTACCGACATACACGCCACACAGGGAAATAGTTGCGAGGATCTGTCTCCAGGTCCAGTTGACACGTCCGTCCGAGTCGTCGCCTTTGGCAACGCCGGTCTTCTCGTCCCACTGACCGACAATTTCATCGTGCCGGACAGTGGTTGGATTCTGCTTGTCATCGAGACTGGACTCGAGATCCCGCTCGGGTTCTTCTGTGTTGTTCATTGTTGAGTAAAGGTTTCTCTCCTTCGCTGGTCAGCTGTGGGTGCAAGGGTGGCACTGATGTCTCGAGAAGAGGTTTGGAGTATTCTCCTCATCCTTAAACATTCCGGGAAGGCTCCTTCAGTATATGTAGCTAAACTCTCGTTGCTCCGCGTCCCATGGGGTCACTAGCTCGAGGATGACTTCGGCAAGCCATACTCTTGAATCTGGGGTTGGCATGGTGGTTGAGTCTCGACCGCAGTCGGTATTGTTCAAAGAAGCCTGACCCGTTAACGAGCACGCGTTGTTTCTTGTTGTGGCGCGTCTGAGAAGCCAAGGAGATGCCTTACAGCGGACGAAATCCATAGACATGGCCAATCATCGCGGACCAAGATGGAGTCAGTCCTGGCTGACACAGAATACAAGATCAGCCTCGAAGGAAATAGTCGCACCGTGACAGTGAGAAGTCTGACACGAGGCTTGCAGTTCTCCACTGCTGACGGTACAAAAGCTCAGTCACCATTCCCCGCAAAATGCACATGGCTTTCTCCACTGTCGCACATCCGGGGTATCTTTTCGTGGTCGGACACGGTTCGAGTCATTTGCTCCGAAGGAGGCCGCACGTGGCTTCCCATCCTGCATACATTGTATATTGATGACATCCCCCGAATGGGCAGCCCGGAAAGGGGTGTAGACTGGAGTAGGCGGATTGACCTTCTATGCTGAGTGATCAACATGGCGAGCTTCACAGGCAAGAACGTGGTCGTGACTGGCGCGGGATCAGGAATCGGTCTTGCCATTACACTGACTCTTGCAGAGCGGGGCGCATCAGTTTGGACAATAGATCTATCCGCCAACCCGCCGGACGAACTCAAGTCATGGATCGACGCCGGCAAGGTGCACTTTGAAGGCGGCATCGACGTTGCCGACCGAGAAGTCTGCAGAAGGTATATGGAGAAGGTCGCCGCCGCAGCAGAAAGATTAGACGGCCTTGTCAACAATGCTGGAATTGGCCTGTACGAAGGTCCCATTGCTTCAGATGAGGCATATGACCGAATGATCTCCGTCAATATCGGAGGAGTGTGGAATTATGGCACGGCCGCTCTTCGCGCCATGGAGAAGCAAGAGCCACAAGGTCCATTTGGCTCGCGGGGCAGTATTGTCAACATCGCAAGCGGTGCTGGACTGAGAGGCGTGAGCGGCCTGGCCGTCTACTGTGCCACCAAGCACGCGGTGATCGGTCTATCTCGGGCATGGCAGGAGGATTTTGGCAAATTTGGGATCCGAACCAACTCTGTCGCACCAGGTAAGTGAGGAAGGGGAACTCAGGGCTCAAGCAACTGCTGATGTTGTCAGGTGCGACGGCGACTGCGGCCTTTGTCAAACGCGCCGAGGAGGAGGAAGGCTTCCTGGATACGCTCCCGAGCAACCCTCTGGGAAGAGTGGCAAAGCCATCTGAAATTGCTTCGGCGGTTGCGTTCCTCCTGTCAGATGAAGCAAGCTACGTGGCGGGTGAAGTCTTGTCGGTGACTGGAGGCCACACATAAACAGCTAGAGGCATGCGAAGCGATGAGTATCTAGACCCTAAATCGATGACATTTGAAATGTAGCGTCTCAAGGCTTCTTCCGCTGAATTGCTGTAAATCTGGGCTTCTGAGTAACATCCATCGCAGGAAACGATTAATACGACGGCGACCTGATTTGGCGTCGAGCGAAAGTCGCGTTGTGGCCATTTACTCGCCCGTATGATGCACGTGCGACAAGCGAGCAGCTTACAGTCCCCCGTAATTAGAGGCTAGTCCTTTTGTGGTCGTCATCTTGGCGCTCCCGGCTTCTCCAAAACCAAGGCAGGGACAGTAATTCATCGCTGACTGTTCCCATCTGGCCATGTCTGCTGGGACGAATGCCGAGCCATTGGGTGCGTGGAAGTATCGTCGGCCCTCGCCCTTCCCCAGACCCGAGCGCCCTGGCCACCAGTGTCCAAACAATGAGCATTGCGGCGTCCAAGACGACCAACCGATGGCAGGAAGCACCAGAAGAGAAAACAAACAGGACAGCGCCGTTCCCCACGATATGCAAGACAGGGGTCACTTCGTTCCCGTTCCGGTATGGTCGGACTGCCGAACGGTGGGATATGTACCTCAGCTGTCCATATGGGGAGTTCTGGCTTGCCTACACGGTACGAGAACCACACATTGCGAATCTGCCGTGCCATACACGCAAGCTCGACACGCCCGCTCAGTAATCGAGCATAATGGCCAAGGTAGGGTCCTATCGGTACCATCGAACTCGGGTCATGACCGAGGCTGCTTGTCTGCAGTTTCGTACATCTCGACTTCCAGCCGAGGTGTTAGACTAAGTTATCGAGTGCTGCAAAGACAAGAACTAACTCGCTGCTATTCCGTGAGGAGGCCGACAAACCACCCAATCCCGTGGAGTTGCACATGCACCACGCTGTTCTGACTTCCTCCATCGTGGTAACTACTATTAAGAAGCCTTCTCCTCGCTCGGGCACTTGACCCTTCTCTCACGGACGCCGTAGGTACACATCCACACAGAACTGCAGAGAAACTCACAAGATGATTGCGAAACCTGCCACTGAGGCCGGGGAGTACGAAGTCCTCGACCAATACCAGTCTCAACCACGACGGCTCAAAATCATCCACGTCGGCGCCGGCGCCTCGGGACTGTTGCTAGCGTACAAGGCTCAGCGGCAATTGCGCAACTACGAACTCATCTGCTATGAAAAGTAGGTCTCAGACATCGGGCCGACAGGGTCATTATCTTTGGGTGTCTCGCTGGCGATGCTTCGTACCCAGCCAACCCTAACTAACTCCCATCTTTCGCTCTTGGCCAGAAATCCAACTTACGGCGGAACATGGTACGAGAACAAATACCCGGGCTGCGCGTGCGACATTCCCGCCCACGTCTACACGTACACATTCCAGCCCAACACGGAGTGGTCGGGCTTCTACTCCGGCGCGGACGAGATCGAGCAATACTTCCGGCGATTCCACGACCAGCACAACTTGGCGCCATACATCCGGCTGGACTCGGAGGTCGTGAGCGCGACGTGGCTCGAAGATGCCGGTGAATGTCAGTACCGCGTCGATGCGTATGATCTAGCAAAGCGAGTTCAGAACTGACTGACACCGTCCCGAACGACGAACTGCAGGGGAAGTACAAGTCAAGGTCAAGAATGCAGCCAACGAAAACGAAACAACGACAATCACAGACCGGTGCAACGTTTTGATCAACGGCTCCGGCGTCGTGAATAAGTGGAAATGTGAGCCCCGCCCAGCCCAGCCCACACGTCCTCCAGTATCACATCCAGTACTCAAGGAGTCATTACTTCTGCTGCTCATCATGCAAGACCTGCTGACACCCATCTTTCCCTACCGTCAGGGCCCGCCATCGAAGGCATCTCCTCATACAAGGGCACCCTCGCGCACAGTGCGAAATGGGACACCTCGATCGACTGGCAAGGCAAGAAAGTGGCCGTGCTAGGCACGGGCTCGAGCTCCATCCAAATGGTGCCCCATCTAGCCAAAGGCAAGCCGTTAAACACGCTCTTTTTGCCTTGACTTTCAAAGATTCTGACTGAGCGCTGTTGCTGACAGGCTCCCAATCCCTCACCGTCTTCGCCCGCAACATGACGTACATTGCGCCCCAGATCGCGACCGACGCCCAGCAAGTCGACCCGAACGGCCAACCCCCCGCCGCGGCGGGCAAGCACCACTACATCGAGGCCGAGAAGGCGCGGTTCCGCACGGACCGGCAATTCCACCTGCAATACCGCAAAGGACTGGAATCGGCGCTCACGGCGGCGTTTCCCCTGTTTCTCAGAGGAACCAAGCAGAACGTGCAGGCAAAGGAGATGATGCAGGCGAGCATGCGCGCCAAGCTGGGTCCGGGGCACGACGAGTTGGCGAAGCGCTTCATCCCGGAATGGTCGCCTGGGTGTCGCAGGTTGACGCCGGGCGAGGGATACCTCGAGACGTTGACCCTGGAGCACGTGAGCGTGGTGCATGATGAGATTGTGCGGTTCACCGAGACGGGCCTGGTGACGGCATCTGGGCAGGAGTTCGAGTTCGACATCATCGCGTGTGCTACGGGGTTCAATATCGCGTATACGCCGCACTTTCGGATAACGGGCGTCGAGGGCGCCGTCATGCAGGACGAATGGAAGGAGACGCCAAACATCTATCTGAGTATCGCGGCGCCGAAGTTCCCCAATTACTTTGTCGTGAATGGGCCGACGGGGAATTGGGGCCAAGGGTGTGCGCTTCCTTCGGTGAGTCTCTAGCCAATCCCTATCCATGATCATGGCCCATCGAGCTTTACAACCACGACGACGCTAACCGTCACGGGTGCCAGCACGAGGTCCAACTCGAGTACGCTCTGCAGTGCTGTCGGAAGATGCAAGAAGATGGCATCCGCGCCATGGAACCTCGACAAGACCCGACCACCCAGATCAACGAGCATCTCGATGCCTGGCACAAAAAGTACAGCGTGTGGGCCGAGGAGTGTCGGTCGTGGTACAAGGACAACAAGCCCCACGGCCGAGTGTACATCTGGCCCGGCAGCCTGCTGCATCATATGAAGGCGCTGAAGACGCCACGCTACGAACATTATGACCTGCGGTACCATCATGACAACGTCTGGGCGTTCCTGGGGAACGGAAGGACAGATCTGGAGATGGAGTTCGAAAATGGCAAGCAGGTCGATTTGGCGCCGTATATCCGCGACGAGGATGTGCCTTGGAGTTTGGACCTTCCGGAGAACCTGCCGCTGCGGGAAGAAACAACGAAGGGTACTGCACCGTCGTTGGGACTCTGATGGATACATACTGTAGATTCAAGCCAGGTTGACTCACTCTGCAATTCAACCAAGGGATTTCCGTTATCTTCCGCTTTCCATATTTCAGCAATTTAAGCATTGTCACACAAGCCGATCAGCTCCGTTGACCTGTGGAGCGGTCCGGTGCGACCGGTATAGTAAGATGCACACCTGCGATAGCAGTTCATTGCCACGTCATCAAGAGGTTGAGGAGTAGGCCAGGCGATCTTGTTAGACGACCTGAGGGCGATCCCATGAGCCACTTTGGCACTCGGTTCGTAGAGGTGCGGGTACCTCGCGAACAGACTAGGATCCAGATGGTATTCTTGGATTCCTCGCCCGATCCCGAGTTGATGGTAGACCCGCTGCGCGTATTCCCTGGTGTGCAAGAGCGTGTACAGGTCCGGTGCTGGGAGCTTGACCTCTGGCTTTGGGCCGCAAGCATCACCATCTGCCACTAACTTGGGATTGTTCTGCATGCCCCAGATGATATCATGGATGCTGAAGTGGACTGTTAGAGGTTCTGCGCCGACCACGAACTCGGAGAGATCGGCCTGGACCACATATGCCAGACCGATCTCGCCGCAGATGTCGTCCAGCGCGGGATCCGAAGAGTGGTACTGGATGAGCTTGTCCCTTAGAAAGGCGAAAATACACCAATCGATCACGGGAGGGTGTGGAACAGCAGCTTGTAGCTGCGTGGGCAACAGCGCCGGAGGTATAGCCGCTAGGGTCTCCGGGCTGGGAGAAATGCGCCATGCGGCCACGCGGGTGAGTGTCTCTTTCCCGTTGGTGCAATGGATCCAGGGCTCCATGCCGCGCCACGCGATTTTGACGAACGCCGAGACCAGGCTGGAGACGACCTGGTTGAGGCTGTTCGGTGTCAGTTACCCGTAAGGACTGGACCCGGTCCGACACGTACCTCTGCAAGTCCGTGCGACGTCTCTGGCTCTGGTAGCTGACTGCGCACATCTCATACGCTAGAATGTGTTCTGAGTACTTCGAAGGCGCCATCACTTGGAAGCTTTGGCAAAGCGGCATCATCAATTCTGGAGAAAACCCCTGCACTGGTCCCGTCGTTGCTAACACCGAAAGATCCCGACCAATAGTCACCTGGGCATGATCTTCGCTTGTGTCCTCGCTCGTCGTTATCAATACTGTCTGCTCGACTGAATGCATTGCTGTAAGACATGCCTCGTCCGAGGCAGACATGGAACGGCAGGCTTCCGAGCATACATCCAGGTCGGTTGTACTGTTCTCACTCGAAGAGGCATCCTCGATATTGCCTTGGCTTGAAAGGATGTCGAGGGAGACGTCTGATCTTCTGCTCTGGTTGGATGCGCCCTCGGTATGTTTTTCGGTGGTCGCCTGTCAGCGAGCCTATTAGAAGACCAATAGCAACCGTTGCATTGATGCTATTGAACACAGAATTGTTGCACCTCTGGAGGCAGCAGACATCAGTGTTTGAGAATGCCACTTACGAAGTCATTGTCCCTAGCGTCTGCCATGCTGTCGAGTATCCCTTTGAGCGATGCTTGCAAGCTTCGAAGTTTCTTCTCGGATTGCCATAATAGTTGCCGTAGCCTTTGATTCTCTGCCACGAGGCGAACGTTGCGATCGCTCTCCGAACCAGAGAACAATGCAAGCTGCTGCTTCAGTTCGCTGATTTCGAGGTTCTGACGAGCTCGGAATGCCTGCTGAGACAGCCGATTGCGGAGTTTACTGGATGTCGGCGTATTTAGCATCAGCATCAAAGCAGGTGCTTGGCCGCGTACCGCTTTTCTGCTGCAGCATTGCTTTTCTTGGGTAGGACTGGCACGCAACCTGCTATGTCTCCATGGAAAGACATACTGGTGGCCTTTGGGTCTTTGACGAGAGGTGATATTTCATAGTAGGTTAATTGCCACTGATTTGATTGAAAGCAAGGTGCAAAGAGTTTACCAAAGTCTGGGGGTCCTTCGTGGTCTGGAAGACCCTCTTGTCTCTGGGCTGCAAGCTAGAGCGGGTTTCCTGGGGTATTTTGCGGAGATAGTGACCTGTCGAGTCAGCCAAGAGTCGACCTCGGCTATTCGGGTCGAGCTCGCGAGGTGACTCTGAGCGGGCTGACGGCGACGCAAGGGTTTGTTATGAATAATAAAATATGAGGCTATCATGATCGCGTTATGATGACCGCAACACAGTGCTCCCGCCGACACGTCCGGCTCAAAATGATCAACAGAGCTGCGAGTCGATAGTGACGGGTGAAGTCAGACTGAGGGAAGAACCACGTTGAAACTGAAAGTGATGTGAACTTCACCAAACCGGCAGGTAGGAGCCTGGCACACGCGAAGAACCAAAAGTGCGACGACTCATGCACCAGCCGCTGCGAACGACATTCAACATTCCACCGTCAATGCAGGAGAGCACCTCTGTTCATATATGATTCGGTGCGTCGAGATAGTAATGGTCAATTCCTCTCAGCTCTCTCAGAGGACGAGCCCTGGTTCTCTTGTCTAGTTCTCCTCGAACTTGGGATGACCAGAACGAATTCCGGGCTATGCGCCCTCCTGCAACAGACGAAGAGAAACGTGAGCATCGCTTCAGCTGGCCAGAATTGTCAACAGCAAACAGACCGATGTATCTGGGAGACAGCCAAACCCAGCCTTCGCCGCAGGCTCGGTTTCAGGGCATTGGAAACCGAGCGACAAGTAGCGGCGGGCAAACGGTGAAATGATGGAAATTTCTTGTCGATGAGTGGGTGATGAGAAACACAAGGCGAGCTTAGTAATCCTCAATGGAGGCGGCTCGAGGCCTTCTGTGGCTGAGTCTAGAGTGGCACACGAGTGGCGGACAATGGCGCCAATTGTGGCACCGTCTGTTGCCAATTCGTGCAACTTGTCGCGGTATTCCGCGGGTCACATGCAATACCTGACTCTTCTCCCACCAGCAAAGTTGCGTTCCTTTCCAACCATTTGCCGACACGCCCGTGTCCTTCCCTTGTGCTCCTGCTTATCTATGTGCCATGTGGTGGTGGATGATGGCGCACATTCCATTGTGCATCCATCCTCCCTACTTCTACTACCGTGGAGACTCGCGGTACGACATATGCACCCACAGTATTTCGTACTGGGTACTGACTACTTAGGGGGCAAGTTGAGGCGAAAGCAACGCTGACAATTTTCCTTGCGGGACTGTTAACAAAATGTTAACAGAACGGAGCAAATTCGGAAGGGTTTACGAGGCACGGCGTGTGCGGGTCTCTTATTTCCTCCCTTCATTCATGTTTGAGGCGAGGAGATTGGCCACCGAAGGGAGCAAATAGTGTGTGGTTTTCAACACCGAACAAGGGTAGAAGATTTGGGTTCTGGATACCCAGTATCTCAAGATCGTGGATGGTGGGGAGACTCAGTACGTACTGTGGTAGGTGCCTTCGAACATGCCACCCCACGCAGCGATAGAGCGGTGTCGGTCTGCTCCTGGGCGTCGAGCATCGGAGCCCAACGACGGCCGCTTTGTTTTCACTTAGAGAAGCAAGAACAGCAAACAGTTCGTCATGAAGAGGTACATGAAATGTCGACTGCATAGCATAGCACTTGGGAATCCAAAGTTCAAAGTCGTTTGGAATAAGGACCGAGCACGAGTAGAGGCCCAAATGCGCAAAATTCGGCAACACTCCCGTCAGACTTGCATACCACAGTAGTAGTACTCCCTACTGCCACATGGTTCATCGTCATTTGAACTTTTTTCATCACGGCTCTTCTTGAACTACTCGACCACCAATGCCCATACGGAAGCACGAGGGAGGATTCATGCGGAAAGCAAAAGCGAACATCGATCAGCTACGAGTAACTCGTATACAGTACTCCAAAATCTGACTCGTTCAAAGTTGTGAAAGCATGTCCTGGACTATGTGATCGTGCGAGCACCTTCGCAAACAAAGCCGACACCGGGAGCATTTTGCGAGATTCGCAATGTGGGTAATTAAGCAAAAGAGGCCCACGCAGGTCTTGGTCGGTGTGGGACGCCGAACGAATACGACAATTATCATATACCTACGGAGTACCTGCACGACTCTCGGACATGACGGGCAGAAATCATGAACTGTCGCCCAATTGGCTAGGAGGGCCTCGGAACCAAGAGCGTGTCGTTGATCGGGCACCATGACTCATTATTTCACGCTGTGCTTCGTGAACTCTCGTGCGAAGCCGTGGCAGCATCAAGTTGGGGATCGCATACAGTAACCTTGGTGCCAAACCCACGCAAACCAGCCTTCCTATGTACTCGCGGAGAAGTAAACCGAACCTGTTTGCTGTTTGCTCACAGGAGGCGACGGTCGCCCTGCTTCCAGTTTGCCAAACAGGGCCGAACCGAACAGGCCGCCACGTCGCCCTCGCAAGCAGGTTTTGTTTGTCGGTTGCTTGGGCTGAGTTGGGTGCCTCATGTGTGGCCTTCCACAAGGCCGTGATTCAGGCATCAACACAGCGACATTGCTGGCCTAGCTGCCATCGCTCGCCGACATCATAGTGATGACGACTTTGAGTTTTCCGCCACTAGTCGGCCTACGTCGTATTTGGGGCTCCCTCTTGAAAGGGTGGCCGGCAGACGAAAAGCAAAATGAGTGCAAAGTCTCGCACATACCTATCACTGTAACCCCACGTGACTCGATGAATCGGCGGATGCTTTCACCGCCGGGTGGTCGGAAATTCTCCATCATGACAATTGATGACCGAACGAACTGTGATCATCGTAGCGTGAATCTTCTTCTGTAGCAAAATCGGTATTCGAGGTGTTCGGCTAAGTGTTGATCAAGGCAGTGGGACACGTTCGAATGGCCTCGGAACTGGATAATTGTACCGAGCAGAGAAGAATTGATTGTCGTGAGATCACTGGATCCGTGGCCTTGGCGAAGATGTTTCGGTACGATTACTCCGTGCCTGAACCTCGTACCCCGACGGTCGCCCGGAATTTGGGGTATCGTCGGTGACTCATTACTCTGGAGGCACGGCGGCGACAGTTCACAGAAAAGAAGCACGAGAGGAGCAGGTATTGGTTTCTCAGTGATAGATTAAGCTAATAATACTATTAACAGAGGGTTGAGACCTCTGCAAAGGGCGAAGTGGGAGTCGCACAACAATGACTCGACCATTCTCATTCATAGTCCAATCAGCCGGGTATGGCTGGGGTATCGTAGACCGTAGACCGTAGACCGCATGCAAGTATGTATAAGGCGCTCAATCAAAGTCAAACAAAGATGTCGCTTGCTGTTAAGACCGCTTGCCCCGAGGGGCGACAGAACGTAAGAAGTGGCGAGGACCTGCCCCGGTCGCTGCCTTACTGAGGACCATTCAGGCAGCTCATGCCGCGTCGCACGGTAGTCTGGCGTCTCTTGTTCGTGCTAGGTCGGCGTGGTTTGCTGGAGCTGCTGGCATCCTGGCTCGCAAATCGCACTACTCTTCGTTTTGCGTCGGCGTGCGTTGCTGCCTGGTACTGTGCAGAGGCTGCTTCCTTTTCTTGCAGCTCACGCAACAAGGCGATTTGCTCCTCGGTGGTGAGTTCCTTCTTGGGAGCCAAGGCAGGAATGGTCTCGACGGGGAGGTTGAGGACTTCAGCTGAGCATAGAAGATCGTCATCGGACAGATAAGAGCTTGGTTCCGCGCCGAAGGATGACAAGCAAGAGCGGTAGGGACTCGGCATCCAACTCGAGTTGCTACTGTCGCGCCGCATAGGTACTGATTGTGCCTGGGACGTGGTGGCTGAAGTGTTGCTGTCTGTTCGAGCAAGAGGTTGAGATGATGGCCACGCTGAGGTTGGCGACGCGCTTAAGAGCGCGCTGTACGCAGACATAGGCGCGTGGGATGTGTAGTAGTTTGTGCTGGAAGATGTTGAGTCGCGAGAATCCGATCGCGACATGGCCACCGACACCATGGCGGGGGTGATGTTAGAGCTAGGTGACGAGAAGAACATTGTGATTGTTGAGGAATGAGACGTGCGTGCACGTTGGTGAGTAGACGCGACAGCCAGGTTCAGTTTCGATGTATCGAAAAAATTGGGGCCGGGGGATGTTATTATGATTGTTGTTCTGCCACGTCCGGAGTATAGATTCCCTGTTATGGTGTGTCGGAGTGGCGGCTGTTTGCGGGTGGTGATGCAATCATGAGTGTGCTGAGTCGGCGGCCGAGCGTCGGCAAAACGCGCTCTGTTTCTGGGGTTTAGGAGCAGGTCCGACAACGGTGACTCGGCGTGATGGGGAATCTGATCGGTGGAGGTGCCGCTGCTCCCAGTACGGAGGGTGCTTGTTCCGATGCGTCAGCGGTGATCCCAACGGTCAATATATGTCGCGCCGGCGGTTGTGCTGCGCTGTCTGGGCGGCTGCCTGATGGTGATGGATGCTTGTGAAAGAGTTGTGTGCTTGGAATTTGGAAGGGATGTAGCGATCCTAATGTATCCAAGGCAGGGTGGTAAGAAGCAAATTAAGTATTGCCCCTTCCCCGTGCTTCGTTTGGTTATGGAGAATGGCGAAAACCCGATGGAGCGGATGGAGGTGCTTCGATGCGACCTCGGGCTTGGGCGAAAGTGTTCCCTAGGGACCCTAGCTGGTGTCTGTGCCCGGAAGGTGGGACTGCGAAGGGACGGCAAAAAGTTTGGCACCGCGTCCACTTGTTCCGCGAGCAGGCTAGCGATTTCGCGTCTGAGTGGCTGCACAATGGCTGGTTTCAGACACGACGGAATCGACCTTCCGTTGGTGACAGACGCAGGGGGGTTGATAGAGACGTCGATAGTGGTATCGATAACTGCGAGGGTGAAGCTGATGCGAGGCGAAGGTGATCAAAGTTGACAGCTCGACAGGCAGGCGCGGTTGTGTGTATTTGAGTTGACTCAGAGAAGAGGCAGAGAGTCGACCCAAATGTGTGATTTGTTGTCTGTCGGCCGCAGCGCTGACTACGACGGTGTATGAGTGGTCTGGTTCTGGTGTGTGTCGGTCTACTGACCGCCTCAAATGGGTGGTTATGAGTGCGCTCAGGGTGAATGTGACACCGACTGAAGGCGACGGGGGGACAAATGACAAGTCGGGCTGGAGGCGCAAGCCACGGGGTTTAGACGAGGCGCGAAGACGGGGGGTTTCGAATGGGTAACCGCCAGCGAAACCGCGGATGTGGGTGGACGGGGAGGCTTCGGAGAACTAGAGGGCTGCGAAAAGTGTCTTGGAAGCTGAGCCGCGAGTCGTCCAAAGGATTTAGCGGTGACAGGGAGCAGGGGTGACACGAGAGACGGAGACAGCCTGAGATGGCTTGAGCCGTGCGGGCGCACGGGATGGCGCCTGTCAGAAAGCGATCAGTGCTCCAAGCCCAGAGTGAGCCGAGATCTGTCCCGATGAATTGCCTGAGCGACCCCACGCTGACTCGAGGTGTGATTCCTTTGTGTGAAAGGATCGGCTAAAAGGCCTCGACTGCTCTCGGCTTGACCACTCCCACGCACGGAACGCAGGGTAGAGTCGAGATTTGTGCGGATAGGGTACAAAGAAGATGTACTCCAGATGTACGCGTCAACTAGATTTGCACAGACTTGGGACTCGGGGTGATATCGCCCTCCAATTAAGGAGCAGTGTTGCTAATTGAAGAACTGACTCGCGGCGATGACAGTGACAGCGACGAGGAGACTTTGGCCAACAGTCACGAGTAAGCCGGACTCTTCAGTGTGATTTCACGGCTCTGGGTAACCTTGCGAAGTGCACCGTCTGATACCGAATTAGCCACAAACGAGCAGCAATCATAGCAAGAATCCTCGTTCGGATGGTAATTGACGGCGACATGCCATGACTACGCAAGCAGCCTGCGAATCTTGAGTATGGGCATCAAATCGCATCTCTTACTCCGGACAACTGACAACATTATGATTGCAGACTACCGCGATAGGATTTCTGACAGCTGTCAATCCTGCCAACATCTCGTTTTCGCAACTCGAAATGCCGGTTGTCGTGTACTCGTACGGGTCGTCTCTGCGGCTTGGACGATTGCGCAAACCGCGATCCGTACAGCACCACCAGAACATGGCTCCTTCCGCAGTCACGGCCTTGCAATTCCCTCGGCCCGTCATGTCTCATTATGATTTGACTCTCGTGTCACGGCACCCTGACCACCATCTTGGTGCCGTGTGTGGTTGCATTTTTCTAGAGACTGAGTAAGAAGGCATTAGCATTGCAACATTGTGCGAGCTGGACCATACAAGCGCTCGTTAGCAACGGCCGGAACGGATTACTTCAGCGCAGGGAGCCAAGCGTTGAAATTGCCGCATTGGGAGATTCGCCATGCTTCCGGCAACACTTCAAGGACTCATTTGTCAGGTTGATTATTCTGCCAAAGGAGAAGATGAAATACACAAACGTCATTTGTATAGACATTCCACCCGTTTCTCCTATCTCCCTGATCATTCACTTCTTCTGCCGTCGCTGTTCATCTACGGACTACGAGATTAACCTGCTAGGTGCCCGCCTGCGACCTGTCTAATGACATCACCGCTTAAGGACACAATAGCAAGAGATCCCGGTGGCTTTCGCGATACACACATCTCTGGCCTGAAAACAAGGCAGGCAGGGCAAAGCATGTTTGCATGAGACTCACTTTGGGCTGAGCGGCCCGTCAGCGCAAAGTCGCTGCCCAAACCATCGCGGAATCAAGGCTTAGGGGCTTGGTGAAGCCTAGGCAGCCACTACCGCCACTTGCAACATTGGCTCGTCGGTCGTTTCCGGGCGCCAGATAACGACGCGCCTCTGGGGTTGCCCCGGGCCTGTGTGACTGAGTTCACCGCCCCCAACGTAGAAAGGGCACTTTCCGATGCAATTCGTGGAATGTCAATCAAATGGATGTACTCCGTACATGAATCAAATTGTAATATATTCGATCCGGCATAATAACGAAGGCTCGTCCCTTTCAACCATTTCATCCGTCCTGGGTACGGAGTAAGAGTTGGAACCGAAGAACAGCCACTGAGGGCTGCTTCGTCTGGCCTTCGTGCCTTCCTGTTGTCCCGATATTGAGCCCCGCGCTCGAAGCAGAACAAACCCGAAGTTTTCGCACACACTTCCGTCCGGATAGTTGCGACACGTCCTCGGCGCTAGCACTATCAGGCACAATGTACCTTGCCCGCGAAATTTGCCGGTCGCGATACCGCCACCAGTCTGAATTTTCTTCGGAAGCCACCACTCAGTCTACTGTGTACACTGGATCTCGTCCACAGTACAACACCGGCCCTCCTTTCCCCGTCTTCACAAAGGCGACAGGTCCGAAAAACATTCATACCCTCTTTTTCTTTCTCTTTTGCTCCGCGTGACGGTACATCGCCATTGTCCCACCTCAACCACCACGCAAAATTTCTAGAAGATTTGGTGCATTTCGAAGGTCGCTGCAACAATGGGGAATGCATCCACTTGGCCGCTGGTGCAGGCAACTGTGCCGCCAGGTCAACGGTACTTCGAATCCAGGACAAAGTGGGTGCAGCTGTTTGTACTAGTACCCCGTCCCCAGCAGATCTAGGGCTCTGTCAAAGTTCCCCTACCCTGACTAGCTTTGAGAAGACCCATAAGCCGGGAGGCTAGGGGTGTCACTTAGTGCACCCGCGGGTCCATCAATGAGACCCCACGACCCGTCTCCTCGGGACGCCAGTGCACCTCGCCAAAGTCGTTGTATAGCTCCTTTGAGGCAACATCGATTTCGCTCTTCATCCAATGAATGCCCGGCATCTCAGGTGAAACGTTGCGGTGTTAAGTGAGTGCAGTGTACAGTACTCCGTAGCACAATATGGTTTTGCTGACGGGCTTCCTCGTGAAAGGCTTTGCAACCGAGGTTGGCCGACTGTGTTACCGAACCGTTGATAGAATCTGACTTGCACGACCGAAGACATCGTTCTCCGAAGGCGGCACACGGCAAGTTGGTGGGTTGCGGGCGCTCTTCTATGGTCGAGCATCTCTCCCCTCCAAACCTTAGGGTTTAACCTCAGTCATCTCGGGAGTGCTTCATCGTATCACCCACGAACCCGCCAAGAGCCGTTTACCAGAGTGTGCCCGATGAATTCAGCACCATTTGCAACACCAGCCATTGTCTACCCTGTTGTGGTCCCGAAGGCTTCCAAAGAAGCAGTAAGATTCCAGTAAGTTTCAGACAGTAGGGTTACTACGAAGGACGATTCGTTGCCCCATGGACCTTCACCTCGCACAGGCGCAGCCGAGGTGGTAATCGACGCCAGAGCGCGAGCCCGAAGCACTTGATCGAGTTCTCGTGGTCAAGACAACTGTGCCTCGGCACTAGGCCGCAATCACTTTTGAGGATTAGGCCGGCTCGCCTCGTCCGACCTTGCGCTGAAGATAGCATTCTCCGGATTACACACATGACACGCATGCAGTACTCCGTATGTTTGTCACACATGCAGGGTCCAGCATCTCAGCACTTGTGCAACACAACTGACTCTCAGCCCTGCGCAAGGCGACACAGCAGCTGACATTGGTCCAGCTGAGCCACGTTTGTATGCGAGTCTTCGCATGAGCTGGCACGGCATGTTCCTACGATATACGAATAGTTGTCGTTCTCGGCATTTGCCCGCGCCGTGATTCGGGGCCCCCTCCTCCTCGTCGCTGATACGAGTAGAAGGCTGATGTCCGGATCCGAACAGCCATTTTCCGCACAGTGAGAGCGTCTCCTTCCGACGATGTTGCGAAGCCTCACATTCCATTCCCATGCAGAGTAAGCTAATTCATCTATCCGCGCGCTTGTGCCTTCAGCACTCCGGATTATTCTCTTCGTTTGCGGGGCTGCGTGCCAGATCCCCTGAAACAGATGCACAGAGTGCTTGTGTTGCTGGCTGCTCCACAGAAATAGTGTGGCCATCAAACCATAACATTCCGATGCCTCCCCACACTCATCCAACAAGCAAGGCTTGCAAACTGGGAATCATAATCCGGTGTCGACGCTTGTCTAGCCTCTTCCACTCGTCGGTGAAGAATCTCGGGTCCGAGAATCGCCTTTCTGTTCCCAAGGACGATGGCATCAACCTCCACTGCCGAGGTCTACGACTATGGCAGAGGTTGCCCAGCTCACAGCAGCCCCACGATCAGCGCTCATAGCTATGGCATCTCAGCCCAGCGGAGGATAGACGTCCCAGAACTCCAGGCTACCGCCCTGGCGATGATTTGGAGGTACGAATACTCTGCCAATCCACCGAGTAGGCTGGGGATGGGAGTTCTCCAACCAAGGTCCCACTTTGGGAATAAGTGAAACGCCCGTGAGCATCTTGGAGGTTAGATCGGCAGGCTCGGGGTAAATGGAACCTACAGTAGGTGAATGGTAAGCTATGCACGTGGATACAGCGGGAGTCTTTGTTGATCATCGCTCCACTCAAGAGTTGCGCTCGTGACCGCAATGCAGAGGGGTCTGGGCCTCTACAAGACTACACAGTACGACCCGCTCTCGAGTCCAGGCTTTGTCAATCGAGGCCCAGGCTGGCCCTAGGATCATGTGAAGGTACACAGACGGTACCTCTTTGTTGACGGCACAGTTCTAGACTTCATATCAGCAACGGCAAAGACCGCAGACCATCTGCCTAGGCTCTTCCAGAGTCGACGTGTGCAGGAGGTCCGAATACGCACTGTGGAATGTGCGAGATCCTGACAGGAATGGCACCGTGTGCCCGCCGGCTTGGGTGCTTGCTGTTTGACCTGTTTCCACATTCCACCGCACGCTCCTTTCAGTGCCTTCTCCAGGTTCATGCTGCGCGAGTACCTTGTGGCCAGTACAGATAAAACTAAATCACCGAGATTCCGATGCCGACGGTAAGGAGCATGAGTCTCAGCTTGTCGTCCCGACCAGGACCAAGGTCATGAGAGGTCGGAATAAGTCAGGGACCCCGATTGCCCTTGACACGACGCATCCGACAGCCGTTGTGCATTGTTCAGCATTGTGCCTTTCGTTTGGACATGGGTGCTTCGTTCCAACTGTGCCTACGGGCTCCATTCGGGAAGCTTGGTCTCACCTCGGAGGTATCTCATCGATTCTGTCCCCTCTCATTGATCAGTGATCTATCCTACCAGGAGACGGAGCCCGCTTCGTCGTTCGCCTTTGTCTGTGCTGCAACGGAGGAGACCCGGACTGTTTTGACTAGCTGCAAGTCGTGCCAAGCACGTAGTGGTGTCTGGTGATTCCGTCGAACAGTCGTGTCGAAAATCTGATGCACGATGGTCGTGACTTACCAGGCCAGCAATTCAAGGTACAGACACTCGGGGAACCAGCTGAATCGCATGTAGCGCCTACCGGGCTAGCTGACGCGTATGGCGAGGTCCAAGGGGAATGGAAATATCTTCGTGCATGCCAGGAGTCGTTGCTAGTCGAGCTGCCCACGATTCATGTAGGCGCTTGATTTGGTGGGCCAGCATGAGCGACGAGCAATGACTGTACAACTTCCAGTGCGCTGAGAGATTGACCCAGCCCCGACGTCCCATCCCACCCATCAAGATACCATCTTGCACCGCAGGTAGTTCCATTCTCCAGTCCCGTACAGATTCCCGCGGTAGCAAGCACAGATGCTCGAAGCACGGGGACAACGTGCCCTGCCGTCTGCGGCATCATAATAGTAGTCTTGGCTAACCAGCGAGCCAGGTACGCCCTGAAGCTGTACTGGTCGATGTTGCAAGCCCAGCTAAGCTCGCAATGTTCGTACAGGACATCAGTGGCGTTGGGGAAAGGCGACACAAACGTCTGGAGCGCGGAATTCAAGAGTCCGGTCGTCCGATTCGCCCATAGGTCGGAGCCACTGGTGTAATTGTACAGGACGGCTGTTCCGTAGAGGTAAACGGCAACATTGTAGCTCCAAAGCGTATGGTCAATGTCCGTGCAGTTGATCTTGTCATCCGAATCGTGAAAGACATTGTACGAGGTATCGATGAGACCGATGGTGATGGACCAGTCCCACACTCTCTCCGCCCAGTCGTAGTACGTCTGATTACCTGTGAAGCGCGCCAAGCGAGCAGCGAGCTGGAGAAACCCGCCATTGGAGATGGCGTTCTTGTACTCGAATCCCGCGCTTGTAGGAAAAACCTGCCACTTCAAGCCGCCACCACAGGTGTCGCTTGCCGCTATCCATCTGCTCACATAGTCGTTGAAGATGTTATCACAGATCTCCAGCCACGTGGGATACGGCGCTGGAGGCTCTCGAAGCCCATACTCGGCGGCAGTCAGCGCGGCGAGAGCCCACAAGGCAATATCGTCGTTGCCCTAGGCTCAGGCTGCAAGTTAGCCATGTGGCTGAAGAGCGATTGGTTGACTCTCAATTGATCTCGCACGGCTCACCTCATCGAGCTTCTCAGCCTCGGGAAGGTAGTTGTGGGTGTCTGAGACCTGGGAGACCAATGCGTCGTAGGTGACGTTGTAGTAGCTCGCGTCGCCGGTGTAGAGGTAGTAGTCGACCATCCCGCCCCACGCGGCACCGCTGAGCCACCAGTAGAAAGGCGGATATGGAAATTTGCCTGGGACGCCGCCGGTCTGATTGCCATTGTACGTGGACTGGAGGCCATATGCGATGCTGGCGGCCGCATTGCGAATGGAGTCTGTGATGGGTCGGATCTCTGGGTGAGTTTCATCAATTAATACCCAGGGCTGCATATGTACCTGGGTTATCGACCCGTAGATCCACAGCCGACGTGTATGTGCTGAGCCACAGGATTGTCCCGACAAGCATGATACAGGGACACATCCATGGTGGCGCCATTTCGTAGGACAAACTACACGCTGTATCAACTCCGACTATAACGAAAATGAATGGTCAGGAGTTCGAGGTGGGCGAGGGGAAGCCGCAGGATCGTCATCATCGCTCAATGTAAGCGTTGTTGCGCTTATTGTTGAAGACCTGAAGAATATCAACGGGGTTTCAGCCAGAGTTCTGACTATTCATATAGCCGTACTCGTTATGAGCTCCTGCCGAAGAGAAGGGCAACTTGACAGAGGCAATGAGAGGCAACTGCTATTTACAGAGGGGGGGTGCACAGTGATACTATGCATATCGAGCTAGGCTGCTTCCGGCAAGGCACCTTGTCAAGTTCCATGCTTTGACCTCAACGGCGGTGCATGGACAAGACAGATTATATTGTACCACGCATGCAGCTGTACCACTTTTACACTAACCGCAAAGATGGACTCACGAGGCTTGACACTGCGGAAGAAGCGCAAAGACCGGCCGACCATTAGCGCACCTCAAAATGCCACAGGCCCTGGCATCAGCGGCGGTCGACCAGGACTCCCCTCGCAGAACAAGGCAGCCAACGCTTTGAACGTGCCACGCGACCGGAATGCCCCAACCGAGACTTCAGATCTTGTCAAGAGGCGCTACTCGACGCGATATAACCAGCTGCCGGACTTCAGCAACATCGGGGCACCACCCGTCCCTGCGCTTCCTGGAGCTGGCACTCTCAAACGTCGTTCAGGAGGTGGCTCACCACGCCGACCGGGGACCGGCGATCGTTCACGTCCTCTTCATATCGACCCGGATGCCCTCAAAGATCCCAATCTCCAGCATGAGCGATACGTTGCCGACATCCTCGCCAATGCCTCCGAACAGGATATTCAAGACTATCAGAATGGCCTGCAAAGGTTGAAGAACCGCAACTCCCAAGAGCTGCAGCAGAATGTGTACCAAAACAGAACACAGTTTATAAAGATCAGCAAAGAGGCCGAGAAGTTGAAGTCCGAGATGGGCATACTACAAAACCTGATGTCCGAGCTGACCGGTACATTGGGCACGGGAGATGCAGGCACGAGCAGTCCCAAGTCGCCTGATCTGAATGGCCCTACTCTTGCTAGGCGCAACACGAACAGGACTTCGGTCGCAAATCTAGAGCATATGTGGAACGTCCAACTACAAGCCCTGTGGAAAAACATTGAAAAGTCCCAGAAATTCCTACCAGCAGCTCCTGGGCGACACATTGTGGCCGAAACCGGCAACTGGATAGAACTCGACTCGGCTACATGGAAGCCTAAGCGACCTGTTCACATTGTGCTGTTGAATGACCACCTTCTCGTAGCGTCTAAGAAGCGCAAGCGGGTCGATCCAAATGCGCCCCAACAGGGACCTGCTCCTACGAAACTGGTGGCAGAAGAATGCTGGCCTTTGGAAGACATCGAGATCGTCGACATGGCTGCAAGTATCACAAATGGAGGCGGGACAACACCAGCCGAGGAGAAGGCGATCGCTTCGGCCCTGACCATCAGCTCAGGCGGTCGCTCGCTAATTTATCGCCACGAGAAGCGTGACGAAAGGGCCAAAGCTGGTCTGTTATCTGCTCTCCGAAAAGCCACAGAAGACCTTCGCAAAGCCACCAAAATCGAGGAAGAGCAGACCAAGCCCAAGTCCGAGAGCCTGAATTACTACGCAGCACGAGACCCTGCGTCAGCGAAGAACCCAGAGATCCTCGAAGGTATCGGTGCTTCCAAGGAGAAGCCGGAAATCCTGGTCGAAGTCGACGGCCGACAGCATAACTTTCGCTGGGTCGAGGGACAAATCGACGATCTGGACATCGAAATCTCGATGCAACGCTTTGACGAGGCCGTCGAAAAGGTAGAAAAGCTCCGCAAAATCGCCAAAAGCTTGAAGGGCAACTCGATCGCTCAAGAGCTAGTAAGCGTCAAGATTGACGAGCGCGCCGCGAAACTCGCTGCCATACTCTGTCGAGAGCTCGTCGAGACACCGTCCTTCATGGAAGCCACGAAACGCAAAGTCTCCTATCTGATCCGTCTTGGATTCGAAGACCGCGCGAGAGACGCCTACCTCCATGCGCGAAGTGAAATGCTCACCAAACGCGCCAGACAGTGTGTCTTTGAAGGCGACCTCCATCGCTACGTCTTCTCCATCTCCTACGTCTACTTCACCGTGGTGAAGAACACGGTGCTCATCTACCAAGCCGCGTTCACGACTCCGGGCGCGATCAGCGCGTGCATCAAGTGGGCAGGTGTGCATTTGGAGACTTTCAATACTCTACTGGTGCGGCAGTTGAGTGCGATTGAGCACGAGGGCAAATTGTGGAGGGAGTGCATGGATGTCGTCTGGGGGCATGAACGGGAGATGCTGGGCGAATTCGGGCTGGATTTCAGAGAGGTCATCGGCAGGGGACTAGAGGTCAGGGAATTCACCGGGAGGAGCGAGCAGGTTGGAAGTCACAGGGAGCAGAGTCGATCAAAGTCGAGAGCACGAGCTGGTACGTGATTGATAGGCAGATCAAGCACTGACTGGCTGGCTGGTCTGAGCGGAGATCAAAGATGTATTGGGTCCTCTTATAAACTACACAAGGTATATGCAAATGTTCAAAGGTGAACGCCACCGCGCGCTTCCCGCTCATGCTCAGAAGACAGTTTAGTTTCTCTTTTCACATTTTGCATATGCTGGGGCTGGGCTGGACCTCCTGGAAGCTTAAGCTTGGTCGATGAGCCAGAAGAAGTGCTGCCGGTCTAGTGGTACAGTACATGGTGTACATCGCAGCGCGACCTGGACGTGGCGCCATATTGACTCATGGTAATATGGCGCCGAGACTTTGTGGGCCAGATTACTCGTTGATCTTCGCAAGCAACCTGCGTAATCGCTTAATTAGTGAACCGGAACCGGTCGACCGTTGATTCCATCCGCGGATGAAACTCGAACTCACTCGTGATCCCTGAACAGATGATATTCCTCCTCCCCAACCTTGACGGGGCTGCCGCCATACTGGGGGATCAACACCTTGTCGCCCTCCTGCACGCTCATGGCCATTCTCTTGCCTTCCTTGTCGAAACCTCCGGGTCCGACGGCCAGGACTTTCGCCTCGTTGAGTTCCTTGACGGATGATTCGGGGAGGAAGATGCCGCCCGCGGTACGTGACTCGGCTTTGACGCGCTGCACGAGGACACGGTCGAGGAGGGGAACTAGCGAGCGGATGGATTTGAGGGCGGTGGACTGCGCGCCAGGTAGTTAGTTAGTTCTCCATTACTTGTCTAGTCAAGCTTCGACTCGAGCATCCCGGTTACAACGGTGCTGGGACCGGGGAAGACGCTCAAGCGTGTGCAGAACGTACCATTTTGACGGTGTTATTGTTCCAAGGAAATGGCGTGAGTCTGACTGTAGCAACGGCAACGGCAACGAGATGAGGGCGTGGAAGAGTGAGTGGTACGAGGTAAACAGATGGAGCATGAGCACGACAGGTCGGTCACTTTTTTCTCGAAGCATCCGCCCCGTCGCTCGCCAGACCTGCTCCATCCGGACTCCGCTAATGATTGGACAGGAGCGTCCAGCCACAGACTCTACTGTAGCATACCGACTAACAACACCCCCTCTGTTCCCTTGCTCACTTCTTGTTTACTTACTAGGCGATGCTGTCAGAATGATGGACTCGGACGAAGACGACATCTACCCGGACAACGATGACGTCTACGGAACAGGTCTTAAACAGCAGGGTGAGGTGACCATGGGCGACGTCGACGACGGCGAGGAGGAAGGTGAAGAAGTAGAGGAAGATGACGATGTATGAAGAGGCCCGAAAAGCGGAACTTGAGGAAGGTTCTCCCACTGACTGTTTGGGCCACGCAGGACGACGTCGACTTCATCATTGACGCCAAAGACGAACCCTCCAAACCCGCCGCCGACTCGACATCACAACCCAAACGCCCACCAGGGTCGTCCCAGACACCAGCACCAGCGACAGACCCTCGCAAGGCCTCAATAACACCCTCTCCTGCCATCAAACGCGAACGAGAAACACCTCTGGACACGCGCCTCGACTCACTACCTCCGAACGACCGCGACCGGCCCGGGACGGATTATCCAGCCCGACATACCTCCAAGCTCGACCCCAACGGCAACCCCGTGCACCCAGCCACGGGCAAACCCATCTTATCCACGGACTTCGATGTCGACTTCCCCTCCGAGTCATCAAAGCCCTGGCGCAAGCCGGGCGCGGATATCACGGACTACTTCAACTACGGGTTCGACGAGTTCACCTGGGCAAGCTACTGCCTGAAACAACAGCAGATGCCCAAAGAAGTCAAGGAAATCACACAACACGCAGAGCAAATGAAGGCGTTCGTCGAAGGCATTCCCGGCGGCGGAGGAGGAGGTATGCCAGGCATGCCGCCGATGCCAAGTGGCCCCAGTGGAGGCCCAGGAGGCCCAGGAGACATGAGCGGCGCAATGCCAGGGATGCCCAGTGAAGCACAGATGCAGCAGATGTTTGCCGCCATGGCTTCACAGGGCCTTGACCCGGGCAGTATGGATCCTGGTCAATTCATGCAGTTCATGGCTGGGCCTGGGGCGGCTATGATGGGTGGTGCGCCACAGCCTCCAACGGGACCTGCCGCGGGCTTTGCTGGACCTGGTGGCGGAGGAGGGAGTGGGTTCGATCAGGGTGGTGGACCTGGCGGTGGTGGCGGCGGCTTTGGCGGCAGAGGGCGAGGAAAGGGCGGGAGGCGGAATTGGTAGAGACAGTTTCGTCACCCGGATTCACCCTGAGGTTTCCTGACGTGGGGGTCCAGAAAGGCCTGGATGTGAAATGCCAGCCCATTATCGCGGGAATGGAATGAAATACGAGCGAGGGATGACACGGTATCATCGCATTCGGGAGAAAAGAAATGGGATACAAGCGAGCTTTGATGGCACTTTCTCATTCGAGGAACCGCGGGGAAAGAAATGAGATACAAGCGAGCTTTGACGGCATGATTATCTCATTCGAGGAATCGTCGATGTCGCGTGCCGGCCGTGGAGAGGCAAATCTCGCCAGTTGAGCCCAGCAGGCTATGAGCGTCACAATGCGATGAGAACCGACGAAATGGCACAACCTATTAAGACGAAGGCATGGCTAGGTCTCTGCTTTGCTTTGCTCTTCAGAAAGACTCAGACAGTGACCAGACCAAATGGTGGTGATCACACCGAACCACCTTGCACGAGCGCGCCGCTTGAATATTCCCTCGAAGGCGTCGTGTTCAGAAACCTCATTTTTCGCATGCGTGCGGACTGGACAGCCTCGAGACACGCTCATAAGAGTCGCGTCAGAAAGAGCACCTTCTTGGGACAATAAGGTGGAGAAATCACCACCACCGCCTGAATATATGGAATGCGCCCTCCCACACGAACGACCTTTGCGGGTTCGGCTCAGTGAACAAGACGAGGAAGACAGATTCTACCACGCTGCGGACACATATCGCCGTTGTATGTTTACAGCTCCACGCGCTTCAGGATGTCGAAGCCTAGACCTGGTCGGTCGATGAGAAGTTGTATATGTATCAGCATTATCAGCGAGCCTGGGCACATACGCTCTGCTACACTACTGTAGGACCTCGAGCTCAGTGCTCACACTCCCAGCGCTTCCCGCAGCACAGTACAATAAATAGTCACAGTCCCTACGTACTGCACACACTGGTAGAAGTCTCCTGTGTATGTACATTATCTACTTTACCTAGGTATCTACTCCATGTCCTCGACAAGAGAGCGATTTCCCGGGCACCGCCAAATGAAGCATCAGCATACGCGCTCAGTAATTATGCCAGGACCGGCCACTCGCTCGGGCGTGCATTTGGAACCGCATCGGATAAAGGATAGGCAGTACAGCATACTCCAACAACTCAACAAGCCAGAGCCGGAGCCGGCCGGGGTGCGTTATAAGAACCAGATCAGACAAAGGATAGACAAAATTGTAACCTGCGGGGAGAGATCAGTCTCGCACAACCAAGTCGAACGGGTCCCATCATGTCCAGGCCTCCGAGATCAGCGTACACACTTACTGACAATACGGGGCAAGAAAGTAAAACGCCGCCTGTTGCGCACTGTAACACACGAGATGTGTCTATGAGAGGTCGGCGAACCCACAAGGAGCAGCTTTGTCAGGAAGAGATTGCGCAGGCTCGAGGCGCGTTCGTTAGGCATGCTACAATACTCGTAGGAAGATGAGCCCCAGTGGTAGTTCACGTGGTCCGTCCTATCCGCAGCTTTTGTGTTTTGACTTTACGGAATTTATCCAAGCATGACCTTCCCAGATGTCGTTGTATTTGACCCGGCTAGTGTACCGAATTGAATCCATGGTTGTCCGATCAAGTGGCATCTCTGTCCGTCGTACGGAGTACTTGGAATCATTCCCAGGATATCAAGGGCGTGGGCGTCTCATGACAGAGCTTTCTCATGATCGACCAGGAAGCCTTGCCTATCTCACCCACAGATCTATCTCCCAGCGTGGCTCACTCCCGGAACAGAGCCAAGCACGTCGCGAATGTCAAAGGGTGTTCAAATATGATGCTATGTTTCGGCGACAGCGTCCATCCGAGCATGATTTGACGGTAGGCATGGCTGCTTGTGGTAGTGCCAGTTCGTTATAGTCTTCCTGTTCAATACGCGAACACGGGACTATATGAAGGATGGAGTCTTGACTATGAGTATAAGTTTCCCGACGACAAAACGACGGTCGCCCAAGTTTCGGGTCCTTGTATCTTGGAACTCCTCCGCCACCCGATCCCGCCTTTTGAGTAAGAATTATGGAGAATTGTCCATCGTCCAGGATGGAGGCGGTAGTTGTGTTTTGGCGTTGGTAAGAGATGGGTCAGGTCGTGTTTACGCAGCTTTTGAGCGCTTTTCCAAGTCAGACTGCTTCAGCGGGACGACACCGTCAAGTCAAGGTTACCCTCGGGGCATAAAATACAGCTCTGATGAGAGTGCACATTGTGTCGCCACGTTAACTTTTGTCAAGCTCGTCAGATCAGATATCGTGCCGGATCAGTGATAGTTCAGGCCGAGGGACGCGTTGAGGTTCGAGTCACTATCGGTTGCTGGTGGCGGTCGAGGATGTCAAACATGCAAGTGCAATCTCATAGCTGGAGAACGGGGCAAATCCGATCTTGTGAGTATCTGTCCTAGAGTGACACGAGCAAGTAATCACATGCTCGCTGTGTACCCACACGTTGAAGTGAAGAATATACGATTCCCCCCTTCCCGGCTTATAGCTAAGCAATCTTAGCGAGCTTTCGACGTCACTCACATATAAGCCGCCGAAAATGGCCCATCAACGCCTGTCATATCTAGACTACGACGTGCTGGATGGGTGAATCTATCTAAGTATGATCAGCATTGGACGTCGCCGGAGGCTAGCAGGCTTACTAGCATGATGATCGTGATGTTGATATCCGTCAAGAGATCCAGCGATTCCCGCCCCACCAAATTTCGACCCGAATCGCACTGCACTAGAGTTCTGCGCAGAGCCTGGCATCTTAGTTGCTTGGTTTGGTTGGCGACGAGATGAGCCCGTCAGTGTTTGCCCAGCTGCAAATCCAGGGCGAGAAGCCGAGGTCGGGATCTGCGCACGGTTGACGGTAAGACGAGTGATAGCTGGTAAGGTTGCTCTAGACGTAGGCGTGCCCGAGGTGACAAGGTTTGCTTTACGTGTCAGCAATCTGCCATTGGCGTCGTGGAGTACATACGAATCCTCGAGGCTCGCGGTCCTCCTGGTGGTGGCATCTTCAGGTGGTCAACCTGACTACCAGCGACACTGCTCCCGGAGCGTTGATGCGGATGTAGACGCTCGAGCTCTCCTTGCACTGGCATATACTGTTGAATCACCCTTTCTACCGTTTCGCGATGTTCAGGTACACGGAAGCCTTGCCTTGACTCCCGGTCATGCTGCACCTCGTCAAGTGGAGGTATAACACGGATGGAATCAAGCGTGTGGTCAACGTCATTGTTGGCAACGACGCCCATCTTTTCCACCTGCACCTTTTGCTTGATAGCGTCGTAAAGCTTTTGGGTCTGTTGTTGTTTCTTGCTCTTTTCTTGATACTGACGGAAGAGGTCGGCATATTTCTGGTCCATTGATTGTCGATCACTGATGAGGTCCGTAGAGACGTCAGCACCATTCCAGTATGTCACGGTAGGATTGTGCGTGCCTTGGACCTGAGCCTCCAATGCTTCAATACGGGTGTTGGCATCATGGACAATTCTGTCAGCGTCGGTCCTGAGCTGTTGACATTTTTGCATCAGGTGTTTCGCAATGCACTGTTGATAGGCGCTACTTTGGGTTAACGGAGCTCCCAGACCCAGAAGACGTGCATAGCCTCACTGCTCCTGAGTGTTTTGGTATGTCCAGAAATTCAATGCTTTCTGAGCACACTCGACAATGGTAGTGGGATCAAGACCAGCAAGGACGCTCGTCTTGTAGTCGTCCGGCGGCCTCGAAAGGTTACGGACAACGTCATGAGGATTCGGAAGGTCGCTTTTGCAAGCGGGACACTGACGCTGCTCTTGTGGAGTGCCGGTCAATCCAGTCTTGTCGGCGCAGTGGGTGCAGAAGATGTGTCTAGACGATGTCAGATGGAATCCAGTAGAGACACGACAGGGCACTTGCGCGCAAGTGGTGACAATGGCCTCGTGTCTGAGCACGGCTCGACAGAGTCCACCGTTGACCTGATTGTTGCATCGAAGGTATTGGTCCATATATTACGGGTTGGCAAGCTTCGGTGCGCTGGTCGACTGGGGAAGAGAGTGGGAAGATCTGGCGGCAGGAAGGATGAGTGAGGGAAAAGTGAAATTGGCGGTCACGATCTTGTTTGCCTTTGGCAGGAGCGTAGACAGGTCGATTTCGCCACTCATTCCGACTTTAGGCGTCGTTCTGACTAGACTCGCTTTTGTGCAGGGCATCGCGCGATTCCATGTCCATCCCGCTTAGCCAAAGAAAAGCGCGTTCCCTTGAGCATCTCTCCGTCTGCCCTTTGCAATCTCCTCAAACTCCTTCCCGGCCTTGTATTCCTTCCACACACTTGCTGGATAGATGTGCTTGTTCTTTTCGTACCATCTTCTATCGACCACCTTTGTGAGTATGGGATCGTCATTATGGCCCTCTAACTCTCCTTTCTTTTGGCCTGGAACCCTCAGCGAAGCCGTCGGTCCCGGCATGTGGTGACTAGAACTGTTCATAATGTCCGCTGTCCCAGAGTATTCGAATAACAATCTCCCCTCCCGACTAGGATCAGCAATCTTGTTCGCAATGAAATAGTAGAACTCGTAGTGGTGCGGTACAATGACTTCGCCTTTCACCAGCATCAAGTCATCAACGCCCACTCGCGCCCATTGCTTTCTCGAGTCTTCTCTGCTCTTTCTCTGGGCCGTCGAGCCACTCGGATCTGCCCCAGAGACACCAAGTTCGGCACCAACCTTTCTGCATCGTTCCAAGAACAGCCAGACGTGGTCTCCTTTCTTTACTCTGACGCTCCCACCAGGGATGTTCGCACCTGCGTCGTAGAACACAAAGGGTATCTCCATCTCGGTCTGCTTGACCCGTTCTTGTATCTCCAGAAATTCCTTGCGTAGCTTCTCCCGGTCGAGCGCTTCAGCGGCTAGTGCTGCTTTCGTTAGGGCGCGAGGTACAGGCAGGCTCGATTGCGGATTCGGCGTAAACTTCCTCCTGATCTCTGCTGCGGTAGGATCAGGCGAGGCTTCGGCTGATGTTCTCGAGCTTTGGGCCGCAGGTGGTGAGGGGGCAGCTGGCCCATCACTCTCGTCATCGTCGCCTCCGAAGGATAGTAACCCCTTGCCGGCGGCCTTCTTCTTGAGCTTTTTCTTCGGTCGCCCGCCTTGCTCCGGTCGGCCTGTCACCGCGCTGTGCTTTGTAAATTAGTCCCGCTCGGTAGGCTGCCTCAGAGGACTTGTGGCTCACGCGTCACTGTCCGGTGTTCTTGCGCCCTCCCTTGCTTCCTTTTCTTTCTGTTCCAGCACATCTGCTCGTCTCTTGCGGAAATCCGCAAGGTTCACAAGGCCGACGGTCTGGGATTTAAGTAAATCCTCCGCGGAAGCGGATTGAGACGTGAAGCGGGGCGTCGAGGTCCCGGACGGCGGATTCGATGCCATGTCGGTGCCCGGCTCAGTGCGCCGTCGAAGAGGAGACGGGTTTGCTAATGTGTGGCAGGAACATGAACATGGGGGTGTCGCGGTATGCTTGATGCAAGACCAAGAAAAGTGCAACTTGAATTGTCACCGTGGCAGCCAATGAGAGTCCCGCTCTCCGTCTGTACCTAGTGAACAGACTCTCATTCGACTACCTGTACAAGGCTTTCGTCGGACTGAGTACGGAGTACCAGGTACTCATATCTCGATCAGCGACCAAAGTGTTTCATGTTATGCTTTTAGCTATTGTACAGTGTTGCCATATGGACGTTCCAATCATGCCATCATACCGGTGGTACCGTTCGCGTGTGCCCTACCTATCCCAACCGTTTCATGTCAAGACTGCTGGGCCCAGTTCAAACAACAATGTACTCGCCCTCATTATTTTCCAGCTTCATAACCCTAGCAAACCGGAACCCAGTTTCTTCATTGTCATGATAATTCGAGTCATTTCCCATCCTGCCATTAGGACTTTTCCGCTCCTTGTCATCATATTTGCGCCACACTTTCTCCAAAAGCTCCAAACAGCTCTTGTTGTTGAGGAAGCCGCTGTCTTTTTGTATATCGAGACATCGCTGCCGTATCACTTCGCGATCATCATCATCCACGCATTCACTGCCCGTGATGAACAGAGGCCAGAGAAGGTACACATCGGACTTGACCGCGTTGATGTACTTGAGACACTCTTGCACCCAGTTCCTGATACCTGGATCTGTGCTGGGCACGCTGGGATTGGCCAACCGCTCCGTGTATAGTAGTGCGGAATACCTGAATGACTCGGATATGTTGCTGAGATCAACACGTTGTTCGTACGAGAGGTAGGGCGCTTCGGGGCTTGAAGAATCGAACACGCTTGTGTTGAGGTTCCAGGTCATCAAGGCTTGACGGATCTCCCTCCATTCTCGCCAAAAGTGCGCGTTCATATCAGGCGCTGCCGATCTGGTTGTAAACAGGTCCTCGTCCTCAATCAAGCGCATCCAACCGTTTCCATCAAACTTGGTGTAGTCAACATTCGGTGCTAAGGACACTTGAGGAGGTGGCCGAGAAACAATGGTACTAGTCTCTTCGACAGACTTCCCCTGGCTCAGCACGTTTAGCCTGCCAAGTTTGGCGATCGTCTTGAACAGTTGGCCATCGCAACCAGCGAGATTCTCCAGCGCCCATTCCTCGTCAGAAAGCGCGGACACATCCAGATGATAGCCCTGAAGTTGCCCTTCGCGATCGTTGACCGTTGCAGTCATTGCATCGAACCAAGTAAACATCCTTGTAAACCACTTTGCTTCTTTGGTATTGAAGGCTGGGTCATCTTTGCGGAGACACAGCAGCTTCTTAACACCAGCAAATTGGGTCTGAAATTTGGCCACACCCGAGTCACAGATGTGGAACAAGCACAATATCAGCAGCGTTGCCAGCGTCGAGTCATCCTTTCGCAGGGCCGGGTTGGCAAGTTGCTTGTTTAGCGACTGGATTGCCACAGTTTTGTGCAGGGATTCCTCTCGTGCTTGCTCTTGCGGACTCAACAAGCCGGCCTCATGCCATGGCTCGTGCGTCAGAGTCAAATGTGCTATGGACGATCGCCTTGCAGGATCAGTCTTACATGTAGACAACCCGGTTTCCCGCCGCTGTCGCAGGTTACTGGCAGCAAGTGCAGCTATAGCGTGCTGGAGCGTTTCGCTCTTCGTGGCCAGTCTCAGGATTTGTGTTCGATAAGGATTCGAAGGACCATCGAAGGCGACAATGACAGGAGAGATGACTTCGGCGTAGTAGTTTATAAGAAACTGCATCCGTGGAGTTGCCCCTATCGACCCCGTGGTTGCAAACGGCGTAAGCGATAAACCGTAGCCATTTAGCGACAGTTGTGGAAAGCCAATGACAGAGTCATCTTCGACGATGGCACATTCGTCCTCGTAGGAATTCCGGGGAACCTCTTTCACCTCCTCATCGGCGTACTGCGAGACTTCGTGGCGGGCTGCTGGTTCCACTTGCTGAGGCGTACGAGGATGAACATAAGCTTCGTTACGAACGTATGACTCGTCCTGCCTGTGATACGGAGGGAACTGACCGTGATCAGGAAAGACCCGATCAAAGGGAGAATGGATTTGAGGTGATACGGGATAAGATGATAGCGGCGCCGAGACGTTTGAGGCGCTGTGGCTCAACGCCCGCCCGAAGTATGCAGACTCTGGGCTGGGAGCAGTATATGGCGTTGGTGTCAAGCTGCCGGACCCGGCAAACATAGAATTGGGGTTTAAACCAGCGCTCAATGGAGGCCCGTGCTGAGGAGATGTTATGCTCGCAGAGGAAGGAGTGGGATAGGTAGATTCCCTTGGCTCTAACTGTATGGTGACAGCTGTGGTCGGCGCGACCCATGCCGTGCTTATGGATGGATAAGGAGTCGTAACTAGCGGTGGGGGACGTGATCGCTCGTACTGGAAGGCATGGTGGCTGCCAGTGGCAGAAGCGGGAGACCGAAGAGCGGCGGGAGCAGTCCGCGCTTCGGAGGACGCTATGGGAGGTTGCAGCTGCGGTAAATGAGCTGGCGATTGTTGCTGCGACGGTCTTCTCTTGGAGCCTGAAGTGAAAGTCGGCATTGGGAGTTTCTGAGTGCCTGCAATCGGCAATGACAACCCCCGAAGCTTGCCTCGACTTGCAACGCCATTGCCCCAGGTCAACTGCGTCTTGTAGCCTGCACAGTCTTTGCCATCATCCAAGCATTGGGAGCAGTATGGTCTTCGTCGGTCGCACTTGACCGAGCGACTGGCGCAGGTAAAGCAGTCAGCCGCTGCTCCAGCAGCAGGTGCGCGCTTCCTCCTCTTGCGCGGAGGATTTCCAATGTCTGCATTCGGCGGCGACGCAGCAGGTCCCCGTTGAGGCTCAACCTGTGGGGCTGACATGCTTATAGAAGCCACCTCGAACACGAAGTAGAAGCTGACAGTCCAGGCAGCGTAGACGTCGTCATCTGTGGACTTTGGGGATATCGATTTAATCCGATGCGAAAGGTGGCAAATCCCATAAGATCTGCATGCCGGATAAAATGTCGAGTAGAGGAACGCAGGACGAGACGGCGCGACTGGACTGTCGCAGTGTCCGGACGTGGAGTTCGGCGTGGACCAACCGCGTAAGGGCACAACGGTATATGCTGACTGGGAAAGCAGTTGAGATACAGGAGGGAAGAGAGCTAAGAGCAGTCCGCTGCGATATAACAGTACAGAGTAGCGATCACCAGCACTGGATATGTGTGTGTACTCGTACACCAAGAAACGATCTACAATGCAGAGAAGGGGGACGCCATCATGGCCAAAGGCTTCCAAGATGCGAGGATGCGCAACAAATGGACTTGGACTTGGGAACATTCAGAACCTGGAGAGAACCGTTGAAGCGTGCCGGAGGGGCGACAGGAAGCCAATGAAAGCTGCCGAAGGACAATCAGCGATAGCGACTTTTAGCCAGTCGGCAGTCGTTGAATCTGGGGCGCAAGGGGGATGTGAGGATGGGCTCGGGAGATGCATTTCGGGGCATTCACTGCCACTCACGCCACGGATATGCGCTGCATGTCTGTGCTTTAATTGGATCAACGGCGACGCTGCTCGAATGACGGGAGGGGAGACACTTCCCCATGTTCCCTCTCGCGCCATTTCACAACGAGATAGCTCCGTCCCTTACTCCGTACTTCAAAGTCTGGGCAGGATGAAGGTGACAGAACGATGGCAGGGCTTTGAGCAAAGCGGCGTGTGAGCAGAAGCACAGCACCCGCCTGCAAGTGCGAGCAGAAGTCACACTTCGGGTGTGACCCTCTTATCTCGCAGGACGTACGGAGTACTGGTACGAGGCACGCCGGTGACAGGGCTCGCACGCACCCCCGGTGAGTTGCTGGCCACTCAGATGAGAACCCGGAACGTGAATAGGAGGACCCGATTGGTGGAAATCGTCCTAGCCAGGTCATGGCCATGTGAACTCATTTCTGTGTCTGCACAAATGCTCTTTCACAAGGCTATGGAGTGCCATTGGGGACCACGAGGTAGCAGCCTATGTGATCATCTCCGCGAGTGTTATCGCTCCGCGCAGAAGTCTACGAGAGCGAGGCCGAACGATGCAAACCTGAGTGCACGCAATATTCATGACCATCTTGGTCAGGCTTGTGTTTTCAAGGCCTCAGTCGACCAACCCTAGGACTCCTGCTCAAGCTTTGTATTCAGATCGTGAAGGTGCTTGCCGGCTGATCTAACCGACCAGCTCGTGGATCACAGGTTCGGAGTCATCTGCTTGAAGCTATTGCAGCTTGTACGAGGTGAGAGTCCCGGCTAATATATTCTGGCACCGAGTGCATGATGCTGGGTGGGATCTCCACATGCCTCGCCCAAAGCCAACAGCGACATCATTTGACGCAATAACATCACGTTGAACAATTGTTACAGAAGACAAGACAAGTCTTTCAGTTTCGATCTTTAGCACGCGGCAGTCGAGCAATTTTCGAGGTGCCATCAATGCCAAGCTTCCCTGCCACTTGACAGCCAAAGATTTTCAATCAAATTTCGAAACATGGCTTTTGCTGGCTTTGGGTGCCGGTAATGGGTCTGAGCTTCCGGGCAGGGTTTCCAGCCTTGACCACCTCGCACACATCCGGCCCATGCGTTCACCGGCGGTATCAGGCTGTCAGCGCCGGCGCCAAAGGTGGCGGCGGGGGAGAAATTGCCACCCCTCCCATACAGGGGTCTACTTGAGCGATCGCAATTTGCAATCCAATTATTTGCAGGGGTCTGGGCGCCAGCCAAAGCCTCGTTGATCTAGCCTTGCGCTTGCAAAAGAGGTGACAATGTTTTGTTTCCCCAAATTTGACCTTTGTGTAAGTAAGTTCTTTACGGGGTGGATTCGTAGCGACATTTCCAAGCTGTGACTCACCGCCGTGTTCGATCAAAGACGTGCCTGACTTGAGCGTCAGCCATTATCACCACCAGAAGGGTGAGGTCGTGTAGATCAGCCCGCTTGAGAAAATGAGCAATCCAAAGGCCGACACCGCATCAAGACTGCGAGGACCAGCGGAAAGTCTCCCATTCCCAAAGGACGTTTGGGCAAATGCGTGTACGGAGTACGCTGCAAACATCTCCAAGCATCCAATAAAACAGTCCAGCTGTTTGTGCCTCGGTGATCCCAAACCAACAGGGAACACTGAACTGCGAATTCTCGTCGCGCCCTGGACCCATCTTCAGGTCGCGCGACCAAAAGTTGAGTCATAAACTGAACAGCGACTGTCGTTCATTGTTCCATTCACAGAATGTTCCACTCTGGCTCAAGGCTTGCGACCCAACGGACCTAATCTTGAACATCTGAAAGTGATTTGAGTCTCGGAAACTTGGTAGTTCCATAATGTTCGAATCTTTGCAGGTAGAACCTCCGCCTTGTCGGTCCTGAGTGGCTTGTTCTCCTTGAAAACAGTCATGTATGACGATAGTGCTTAGGGTCCGAGTCCCAACGAGTGCGTACCCAAAGGGTCGGCTCATGCGCAGCAGCGGGACGGGGCGAAGCTGGCTTTGGAATCCGAGCCACGCGAGTTGCCTCGATTGCCTCATTCTCAGCAGAGTTGATCAATAGGAAGAGAGGTGTATGCATGAATTGCAGCGCTGAAGCGACTTCGGTGAGGCGGTAAGGAAAGCAGGCACTCGAGTGGTTGACTGAGGGGTTGATGCTGCCCAAACGGCCGCCAAGGCGACTGTTCCTAATGGATCTGGAATGCGCTGGCACCACTACCCAGAGTACAACACGCAGCCAAAAACAATTGAGTGCATAGGAGCTTTGCGAACCAATTTACCATGGCCCATGGTAAGGTGAATTTCAAGACTGTTTCTAGTACCACGGATACAATACCAGTTGATGGGAGGATTGAAGGATCCCCATGCACAGACGTATGGGTTTATGTTGCGAGACGATTTGCTGTGACCAAGACATAAACAAAAAGGCTTGGGCTCACCCATCGGCCTGCGGATTCTAGCTCGTCTATTTGCTGTGAGGTGCCGCACTGTCGAGACAGAGGCCAAGAGCATGTCCACTTCAACCATGATATCCCTACAATTCCGATGGTCAGTATTGAGATGTTGACTGCACGGACAGGGTTTGAGAGTGATGTGTCACCTACAAAGCTGAGGGTCCACACGATTTCAAGCAACCTTCTGAAGTCTTGCGATGGTCTTCCTTGAGGTGGCCAATCCAAGTCGAGCCTTCAAGACATGTGACTGTGTCCTCCTGTGCTCGCTGTCCTTCTGTACTTCGACTCGTAAATAAGCCATCAGTGAGTGCAGCAGGAAGATGGTTCTGGCCCCGTTGGAGTTCCGGCATTCGGACCCAAAACACGGTGAAACAGGTGCACCTGACGGCCTGACGAGGCTCCATCGTGCATATTCAACGGCCCGATTGGACGTGAGCCGAGTTTTCAGCTTGCCAGTCGATCGGCCAGCTGAAGATCATTGTTAGGACGTAGAATAATTGGTTGACAGGGTCGCCAACCAGGTCAACAGCCAAAAAGCTATCAGCTTGAGTGGTCGATACAGGTCATATTGAGACAGTCTAGGTCCTTGACGACGAAGTATCAATTGACAGACTTAGAGCCCTAAAGTGTGAACTCGGATGCTGTGGAGGCATAGTCGGATATTGACCGCTCCACACAGTACTGTGCATATTCATCCTTGAAGTCGATGGATTGCACGAAGCGATGAAGGTAGGCATAGCGGACATTCGCACCTCGCTGATGCTATTTTGATGCCGTAGTGCTGGGAGTGCTCGCGAATAAAAGACCGGATGCGGCGATACGGAGCGACCATTTGAGTAACTCCCAGTATTTCCGTTGCAGTGATTGGGGTGATGCAGTAATGGTCACGTCGGAGGGTATGACGAAGAGTAAGCTGACGATGCACGAGGCGGCGCAGCATCCGTTGACTCCGACTTCTGCTGTCGACAAGCGCATTGGGCGTGCCTATGGTGATCTGGATGGATCTGGCCGGAGACCTTCCAGAACGACAATGTGTGCACGGGCTTTGGCGAAGGGCAGCGAAGCCTACTGTGTACCCAGTAGGCGCGAGGGTTTAGGCATGGCTTCGCCTGTCCGTTTAACCCGGAGCGCTCTCTCGCTCCCACCCAGACTCCCGGCGTCATAGGCTCGTGCTTAGAGAGAATCGAAACCTCGGAGCGAGCACCTTCCGCGGTAATTGCTCTCAAATCGCTCTGGGTGTTTCCTTTACTTGCCACTGCTATCGCTGGCGCTTCCATCATCCTCACATCTTGTTTATTCAGCGGCAAAATCAAAGCATAGACCTGATTAGGCTACCATCAATCGCACATCACAAATGTTATCTCCGTCACTGTGACAGTCAACCCAGTCAGGCTATCCACTACAAGTACTTGGCTACTTCACATCCTCTTTGCCATCTGAGCACACAATCTTTGTCGTATTACCAATACTGTATCTTACCTGTACCGAGCCATTTTCCGTGTCTTCCCCCCTCGTTCCCACCAACGTCGGCAGCTTTCTTTGTTGTTCGGTTTGCCAGGGGTTTCTCCTCATCCCTGCATCCCTGCGGCACGCTCAGGCATGGGCCAGCCTTAGCGTTGATTCCGTCAAGCCATCCGCTGAATCCACTTGCACTCTGTCACTTCAAACCATTCCATACCAAAACTAAAAGGGCATCCAGTGTCCACTCACACCTGAACCATCGACTTCCCTCGCAAAATCCTTCTTCAACGCTGCTTCCCCTGATTTCCCTTTGCTGCCGTCAAATCTCCTTTCCAACAACGATCTCTTGAACAGTCCAGCGCCCCTGCCCATTGGCCACCTCGAACCTTCTGGCTCCAGCTGGTCCCAGACTCATCCACGAGTTTCCAAACTAATCTAGCACCGAACCAGCAAAGGTTCAGCCGCGGCAGACGCGCGGACACGGCTTCAAAGACCCAAGATTCCAAGATAGCCAGCCTTCTCTCCATCAGACCCGCGTCGACTCATCGCGCAGTGGACTCATACCCGGGTGGCTTGTTCCGCCATCCCCTGTGCCAGGAATCCACACTGGTGCCTTAGGTCCAGGATCCAACATATACTCCTCCATCGCTTTCACCAGCCATCTGGTTTTTCTACTTTTCCCCTCCTCACATCGCACTTTCGCGTCATTGCAAATACTGCACACTGCAGCCACGGATTTTACTAGCCTCGCTACGCAAGATTGAGTCGTCAGACTCAATTCAGACCCACCCCAACCACCTTTCGAGGCCAACCACGCTATGATATTCAGCCAGTCCAACATCTTCCGGACTCACCTTTTTTCGCAACCATACAGTACACGACCAGGACAGACGGACATAGACCGAGATCGAGGGGAGGACTGCTGAGGACAGGGGCAGGTGTGAGGAGAGTGAAGCGCATAGTCGGCACAAGGTCCACCGCCCGAGGTTCAACATGAGTTTCCATTACGGAGTGCCGCCGTCGCACTACACGAAATATTACGGGAGCAACACGTCACCATACAGCAGCGGCGAGTATGTTCATTACGCGCCGCAGTACGATACGCCCAAGAAGCACGCACGCAAAACCAGCTACGCGCCGAGTCCTAGAGTCGGAGGCTGGTATTCGCCTGCCGGCTCACCACCACCGTACTATGACACCAATGTCCAGTATGTCCCGCGGGAGGAGATATATGTGAGTGAGGCAAGGGGCAAGACCCGCAAGCAAGAGAGCTACAGCACCTTTCCAAGCTCAAGATATCATACCCGTTCATCATCGCGCAAGCAGAACCAACCCGTCTACATCTACGACGAAGATGCTGAATATGCAGGAGCGCAGCCAGCCTATGTCTACCGCGAACCAAAGACAAAACCAAATCATGCGAGGAAGCCAAGCACTGACACCTACTTTTACTATGGGCAGGAGCAGATAATTGAAGAGCAGCCGAAGCGTTCCAGGGCTCGACGCGCATCCACCGCCAGCAAACCATCGCCCAGGCCGAAGTCGCGGCCTGCAGCGCAGGCGACCGAGCAGGACGCAATACGTGCAGGCATCCCAGCAGGCTACTCTATCAAACATTGGGATCCCACGGAGTTGCCGATCATCTTACTCGGCAGTGTCTTCGACGCAAACTCGCTGGGCAAGTGGATCTATGACTGGACTGTCTTCCACCATGGTGCTTCAACTCCCATCGCTGATATCGCCGGCGAGCTCTGGCTTCTCCTCATCAAGTTGGCGGGTAAGATGAAGCGAGCTGAGGAGTGCGTTGACCGCATCCGCAACGTCGAGAAACAGGAAACAGTCGAGGACTTCATCGTCAGTGGCAAACGCCTCTGGGAGAAGTTCAAGGCCCTTCTCAAGGAATGCGAGCACTACATGCTCAAGGCTGCCAAACGCGATGGCACCAAGACCATGGGCAAGAAAGCAGGCACCGAGTTTGTCGACTCGATCTTTGGCCGCGATCGCCACCTCGAGCACACTGAGAAGATCATGAACCAGATTCGTCTGTGGAACATGCGCTTCGACGTGAACTGCGAAGAGACCCTGCGCAGACCTTCCGTTGCCTAGAATCGGGCGGCGATACGAATTGCTGGCTATGGCTGGCACGCAGGAAAACAAGAACACCTGCAGTGGCAAATTTCTTACATCGACTCCGCCACACACTACTCGTACTACACAACAACCAATCACCTCTCCACATCCGACATGAACACACCTCACCACCATGACGCTCAACACTCTTCGCATATCTATGCGAGATCATTGGCGCTCATTGTTAGGCAACTGTAACAACATCCATTCAGCGCTGCATGGAAGGGCTACAGTATGAGTCACATTCGCTTGAAACCACTCATACCGAACGGCAAAAGTACAATCGTTATACTCTTCGGAGTTTTTTTCACTTAAGCATGGGAACCAGGGTACCAAAAGTTCTATCATGAGGCCATGATGGACGGAACACATGACCACAGAATGACTCTGAATCTTGTACCAACATGTGTTACGGATACGGCCAGTCTGGGGGTTTTTGTTATTCGGGCTTCAACAGGCCGGCGTTTTGTCGTCGTTCAGTTCTTGCTTCATTGAGCACAGAGATACCCCCTCATGTTACTTTCATGGTATTTGCTGGGTCTGGGGTTTTGGATCTATCATGGTGCGGGCGGGCTTGAGGTTTTTGCTGTACACAAGACGGGGGAGTCCGCAAGGACAATACTGCTTGCAGGAGTTTGATGGGGGTGTGCTTGACTTATATGCTATTTGCTGCAACATTGGAAGAAGTATCGCGAGGTCCGACAGTACCTTGGAGTATATGGAACAACCAGATACTTTTGTAATCGTGGAGGAGTTTGTAATATCAGATCGAATTGTACTGCGCGTCACAATCCATACATTCTCTTGCGTTTCTGTTCTGAGTACACCGTATTCGTCCACAGATGGTCCAATTAGCATTATTCCGTCTCTGGTCATATCTTTTCTGTATTCACTGCTTCAGGTCTTTGGTTCCTTGGACCTGGGAGTTCACCATAACGTGCTCCGTTCTCTGTAGCCACTACCGAGTTCCCTACGTAGATACTCTCACATCATACTGTATACATTTTCCGCCTATGATTGACGTTCCGTTTCTGGCCCCATCTCTTGCGGCATCTGTGATCTACACTGCGCCGCGTTACTGTGCTAAATCTGTACCTAGGTACGTACTCGTATGACGGGCTGGCAGTGCGAGGCGGATGGTCCACCCAGCAGGGCGCGCGTCTGCGAGCTAATGCCTCAGTGATCAGGCAGCCAGGTCAACATCCCGCTGCATACTGGTATTCCGCCATATCAGTACTCCGTACGTATGCCTGTTACCACGCCTTTGAGCCACTCACAACCTGTACTGTCTGTCTGTGCCCCTGTAATGGAGGTGCGGGTGCAAAGACCGTGGGCGCTTAGTGAGCCTCACAGTCACGACTTGGCCAAGAAGACCACATGGCGCTATTGGTCAGCCGAATACGGCAGCAAGAAATGGAAGGTGTGGAAGGTGTGGAAGTTTTCCCTTAACCACAATCGTTGCCCCGAGTGCCCGTTTGGGGACTGGTGGGTGCAGTGAGTGGTTTCTGACATGTGCATGCAGGCGACCGTCAGCGGCTGCAAATGGGGGAGGGGGTGGTCCACTGATTCGCTGCTGGCCGTGGCCGGGACTGCCGTACTGTGTACTGTGGTAAGTCGCCTCATCGCTTAAGAACCATGTGACGATTTGAGGTTCAAGACCGAAGACGGAAGACAGAAATCTGACCTGAGTGCTCGCTTATGGCCTCAGGTCATTGGTGTGACGGTCGGATGGATGGGATGGATGTGCGCTGCGAGGGCTGTAGGTTTCCCCGTGTGTAAGGAGCATGCGCGTGACATCTATCATCGTATATCACATCATGTCTTGAGGCCGCCCGGGAGTTATCTTTCAGGTAAGGAATGCGAGCAGCTCCTCCAGAGTGAGTGCTGCTCCACGTCACAGCACTTACTGTGTACGTCCCGCGGACTCCGTACCTCGTACCTTGGAAGAGGTAACGTCCTTACGAAATGCAGCAATGGAACGTACTCGGCAAGCGAGCGAATGGCGGTGCGGAGTAAACAGTACTCGCGTTCAGCCGAGAGCAGCTGAACACACTCAACCTCTGCGTAACCCACGCTCGCTCACGCCTAAACGCTTTGAGCAACGTGCATGAACCGGTGGTCATGGCTCCACGGCAATGTGGGCGCGGGTGTGCTTGAGACACCAACGCGCAAACTTTGCTACTGTGCGCACGTGAATGTGCTTAAGCTGCTGTGCACCCACTGTTCGCCCCTTGCTTTCCATTGGGGGAGTTGATCGGGTTTGCGAATGCCAGCCCCATGTTACTTTTGTGATCGTCGGGTTCCTGGGACTGTCACTGCAGTGGAAAGCGAACACTGAATTGCCTCTTGATGTGAATACAAAGCATGTGATATCGCTGTTGACTTGGTACCACTCAGGTTCACACTCCGTGACTAGCCCTCCTGTAATCACATACACAGTACGAGTACTTCCCAGACTCGATTGCTCCAACTAACGGCACCTGGTATGCAGGAAAAGGGTTTGCTGGTTACTTCGTGTTTGCAAGGCTGGGCGTTGCGGGCGCCCGGTCATGCACTGTGACAGCCCGATGATACATGACCTACGGGCGAGGACAACTACAGCGGCACAGGGTGAACTAGGTATCTGCGCAGCCGAAGGGGTCGCGACTGGCCATCATGTTCGCATCTTGTGGTCACCAAAGGTACAGACTAAGTCGGTTTCCTTTGAGTATTCCGTACTCCGTAGGGCTGACCGCATCGCATCGATTTGTCGCATGCGGGAAGCATTATCGTGGCTTATCTAGTGGTTGGATCTGCAACGTCTTCAAGCTAGCAAGGCTCACCTGTGATCAAGTATTTACGCCGACCTACCCCGTACACCCACCCTATATCAACACAAGTCCGTGACATGATCCTGTGAGTCGTGCATGCTCTGGTTCAGCCATGCAAGGAGGGGTTGTACGACGCAAGATCCACAAGGATATCTACGCTGTGGCTTGCTTTCATGAGTGCGAACCTTGAAGTACTACTCCGTGCGTCGTTGAATGTGTTGCTGGTGATGCAATCCTACCGGACGGGCACACCTCAAGCCTAGGGAGCAACGGAACTTAGAATATGATCTGGGTTGCGCAAGGACATCCAAGTTCCCAGACGCAGAGTTGTTGGTGTGCAGTCACAGTTCCGCCTGCTTGCAAGCCATGCACAACGAGCCGCAAGGGATGAGACTAGACAATACAGAATACCATTGCCCCTCGCTTTATTGGTCTGCTTCGCGCCCGCGCCAGAGGGTGGTCGGCAAGCACAATACGCCCGTCTGTCAAGGTGACTATCACTTTGGACGCCTTCGCTTCTGTTCGAGGCGCGCTCGGCGCAGCCATAGCACGCTCGTATTGCTGCCTTCAGGGAGGCGAGATGCTGAAGGTGTGAGTGCCAAGGCGCTGGCCATTATCCTGTCAGAGTACGGAGTACGGAGTAATTTCATCGTAGAATGGTGCATTCGAGAGAGTGCCGCACAAACGCGATCACGCCCCTCGTGAGGCCAAGCGGGGGAAGCGCCCGTTGCGGAAGGGCAAAGCGCGGGGTGCCTGCCGCTTGAGAAACCTGAAACAAACGCCCCCTGCGCTACTGATCGGCCGTTCACTCTCCAGCCTCTTGATTCTCCCAATCGCTTGGTAGGCCGCACAGTGGCTGCAGCACTGCTGCCTGCAACCCAGCGGCAACCAGTGCTTGATTTGATGTCTCGACCTTGAGAGCATTCTCTGGAACCTTTGTCACGCCCTCGGCAAGCCAGGCACCAAATCCAGACAGTCTCACATCCGCGAAAGCCAAAGATCCAACCAACAGTGGTGTCATGCGCCCTGCCGCCTCACATAGCTGCTGTCGAACGAGTCCTTTGACAAGTCAAAAGTCAACACGAACGCGCTCAGCGCTTGGGTGTGAAATGACAAGGCTGGCACACTGCAAGGAATAGGGGGCCACATGCATGATGGAGGTCGAAACAAGCGGCTGACTGGTCCCTGGAGCGGCTGCAGGTACCGTTAAGCTCGGGGGCTAGACGTCCCGCATCGCCCTCCACGATCGGTTGCCTCTTTGGCAAAAGGCATCTTCACCGCCTGTTTGCCTGCCACTTCGGTAAGGTTTTTGTAAGGTATTGGTATTCCCGGAACAAGACAGCACGACACAACGAGGACGAGGAATGCGGCTGAGATCGGATGGTCCATGCTTCTCTAACTGTGGGATGCGTAAGCTCAGCCTAGGCCAGCCTTGTGAGCGACAAGTACAGTACTGAGGGCGCATGAGCCTCGTAGGCGTAAGGCCACCCTCAGACACAAAGCGCGCATCCCCATCCGCGATGCGATGCCAAGAATGCATCAAGTTGACTCCAGATGACCTCAAATGCGATGGCGAACCAGTACCTTTCCACGACAGCTTTGCCGCGTTCGAGGCCTTTGCAAGATCAGGATGCGAGCTCTGCACCGTCCTGTTTTGGAACATTCAAAAGTTCAGATGGGGACGGGATGAGCGCCTGATACGGCATGCCGAACTTGCCAGCTCCTCTGATACGCTGGCTGTGCGCTGGTATGACATGGGGAAGGGTCTCACTGGACATGTCATTCAGGGTTTAGAGGTCCTTTATCGCAACACGGCCCGCAAGCAGCGTGTGACCTACTCTGTTCTGCAGGATCCTGCCGAAGTTGACCTACCTGGTGAGTGAAATCGAGGCTCCTCTCTTGGTAGAGGCTTAGGTGCTTTATCGTTACAGTCCTCGACTCAGTAAGGCGACCACCGTACACGGAAAGGATCCACGCATGGATGCAAGTTTGCAACGAGGAGCACGAGAAATGTCATGCCCACAGCGTCCAGCAAGCGACCAACCCAGCTCGGCCTGCCCGCTTGTTGGATGTTCAGCCTGAAGGGCTCATTGGCGACGTGCGGTTGGTGCCCTTCGACGAGGCCCAAGGGCCTTATTCCGCGCTCTCATATTCATGGGGTGACCGGCCGCATGCCGCGACCACGACATCTCTGAATATTCGGCAACGAATGGATTCGATCTCGTTAAACGATCTCCCCAGGACTTTTACAGATGCAATTGCCTTTTGTCGTGAGATGAACGTTCGTTACCTGTGGGTGGACGCCCTATGTATCATACAGCCCCGGCCAGGAGATGTACTGGGACTGCAAGACTGGGAGACTCAAAGTGCAATCATGGGTTATATCTATGCAAATGCCATCTTCACAATAGCAGCACAGGGAGCCGCGAGCGCCGATATAGGCCTGTTTCCGGACAAAGCGCCCTTTGATCTCAACCCCAGGTCCTGCCCTCTCTTCCTAAACACAGACGGTCCGTCCCTCTATGTGAAAGCCGAGCCACCAGAGTGGGTCGCATCTGTGGGTGAGAGTGCTCTCCAGCAACGAGCATGGGTCCTCCAAGAGAGACTGTTATCTACCAGGCTGATCCATTTCACACAGCATGGCATCTTTTGGGAATGTGCTGAGCGCTGTGCATCCGAGTTCGAGCCCCACAGCACCGAGATGGGGGGCTTACGCACTCTCTCAGTCATGTTTCCGCCTGAGGACGGTCCAGAGAATGCAGCGAAAACGAAAACGGACATCATACTCGAGTGGAATGGCATCCTCGCAGATTACAGCGAGCGGAATCTCACCGTCGTCACGGACAAGTTCCCGGCCGTTTCTGCCATTGCGCAACGCGTCGCTGTTTTGACGGGTGATACATATCTCGCGGGAATGTGGAAGTCGCACTTGTTCGACGACCTGCTTTGGACCGGGTTGTGGAAGTTCCCGTCTTTTCGAAAACGGCCCTCCACCTACGTGGCCCCGACTTGGTCCTGGGCCTCCGTCATTGGAAAGACCTCGCACAACTTGGTCAGTACTTATGAACGGCGAATGGCGCGAGTGGTTTCCGTTTCAGTGGACCTCGCGAACCCGACAAACCCCTTCGGCCGAGTGCAGCCTGGAGCCTCATTGCAGCTTGCAGGGCGCATCAGGCATAATGTGTTTGCCACTTTGCATGACACGGCCGAAGATGACGCGCCCTGGCACGACTTATGGTTTGAAGTCCCCAAAGGCCATGCTCTCGCCACTATGACAGGGGAGTCGGTGGGAGCCGCCAGACACAGCGGGCTTGCAGCGGTGTGGTTTGACGTCGGGGGCGACCACGTCACTCAAGCGTTCAGTGCTCTGTTGATGACTGGAAACGACAGGAGAGATGCATGGGATAGCGATACCATCATGCCGGACCCGGAACCTCAAAGGATCAGCTCCACGGCCATGCTCATTATTCCCGAAGGTGATGACGGCGGTCCATATGTGAGAATTGGACAGGCCAATATCAAGGACCTTAATTTCTTTGTTGGTTGCCAGGAGGAGGTTGTTGAGCTCTTTTGACGCGATGCAGCACCCGGCTGGTCCTCCGAAAAGAAGTTGGAGGACTTAATGCGTTTCCTGCGCAAAATATCCGCGTCATCAGCCGTATCTTACACGTGGGCTGCCGATACAATCAGAAAAGACATGTTCTGTCGCCATTGGATCAGCGTACCTTTTTGCGAGTCACGTTCCGTTCACACGGCCGCAAGACAGATCTGGGCCGTTCCGCCGCTGCTCCCTTAGTCCCCCAGCTCTTGGAATGTATCACATTGGTCTTGGTCAGATACCTTCGACCACATTCTCGCATGGGCTTTAGCGAAGCTTTTGGAGGGTCTTGATTTTCGAATAAAGCAATAAAAGAATAACCTCAGAGCCTTCCACCACTGGTAACGAGATGGGAACCTGCGGGGCCAAGTAAAGCCCATGCTGATCGACACACTTAAGTCTATGTAGGAAAGAACGTGTAGATATTGGAACCGTCGAATCAGCACACCCACCCGCGCAACTAGGAAGATTTGTCCCAATACTGCAGGAGCCACCACTGATTAGGGCGGTCCGGAATAATCTCATTCCCGCCAGACCCTCGCGTCCTATACGGGATGCATTGCACAAGACAAGCTGACAGCTCAGGTACTGTTTCCACGGTGTTCTACTATGCCGAAGGCCATTGCCAGGAGGTATCAATCTGAGGTAGGGGTCGCGGCCAACACGGGGAAGAACCAGAAGCGAGCCGGCGAAGTGGTCGTAGTACGGGTCCTGTCTGTACAAGTACACTAAGGAAGGTGTGCTAGATGTCGTTGTGCACGCATGCGGGAAGATGGTGTTTTGGTGGAAGAAAGGGAATCAGCGGGCAGGGCTGAATGGACAAGGCTGAGTAATTTCAGCTAGACCAAGTATGGAAAGACCAGCCGAGGTCAATCGGGCCACAAGGCTGCGTCGTTTTGTGGCTACGTAACGCTCCATTTCGCCGCAAGGAGGGTCGCCCAGACGCTCGCCCTCAACGCCATCTCAAACATTTCTACGGAGTACGAGTGACTCGTAATAAGATCATTCGCTTTCCTACAGCCACCTAATCTACCACTTCTCGTCCCTCTTTCCCCCTCTTTTGGCTTAACCGCAACGACTGCTCTCCCTGTCTTGTTTTCGCGAGCTGGCTGGTCTCAGGCGCGGTTTGATTCTCCAGGCATGCGATGAAAGACCTCCGCGATGGTCGACGGAAAAGATGAACGCTATGGAGTGGTCCTGGATGCTGGCTCATCTGGAACACGAGTTTACATATATCGATGGCTTGGGAACTCGGTTGCGCGTCTCGAAGCCTCATCCCTACCTACCCTCCCCGAGTTAGAAACAAAGGACAAATGGACGAAGAAAGTCCACCCTGGAGTATCGACCTTTGGAGGGGCACCCGACCTTGTCGGCCCGAATCACTTGCAACCGCTGCTCGAACACGCTCTGAAGTATATCCCTCAAGACGCCGTCCCTGAGACTCCTATCTTCCTCCTCGCGACAGCGGGCATGCGCCTCCTCCCCGACCACCAACAAAAAGCCCTCCTTCGAAACATATGCTCCTACATCAGAACCGAGACGGATTTCTCACTACCTGATTGTGATGTCCATATCCAGGTAATAACAGGAGAGACGGAAGGACTATACGGGTGGATCGCTGCAAACTATTTGCTTGGAGGATTCGACTCGCCCGAGGACCATCAACATGGAAAAGGACACCACACGTATGGCTTTTTGGACATGGGCGGCGCATCCGCTCAGATTGCCTTTGCGCCCAATGCGACCGAGGCCGAAAAGCACGCCAACGATCTCACACTATTGAGACTGAGGACAATCAATGGCCTGCCCCAAGAGTATAGAGTGTTCGTGACGACATGGCTGGGTTTCGGCGCAAACGAAGCCCGGCGCCGCTATGTTCAAGATCTGGAGGAATCCTACGCCATCGATGGCGTCCTCGAGGTCCCCGACCCGTGTCTGCCAACTGGTCTACGACTAAACTTCGACGGCACAATCATCTCAGACGAGGGCCCGTCGTCGTCGAACCATTACCTCCGCGGTATGGGCAAATTCGATGAATGTCTAAGGCGAACGTTCCCTCTTCTGGAGAAAGACATCCCCTGTCCGGATGAACCCTGTTTAATCCATGGCGTCCATGTGCCTGCGATAGATTTCGAGGTGAACCATTTCATTGGAATCAGCGAGTACTGGCATACCACCCATGAGATCTTCGAGATGGCGCACAAGGACAAGGCATATGATTTCAACACTTACCAGCAGAGGGTAAAGGAATTCTGTGAGCAGGACTGGTCAGATATTCAACAGAGCGTGGAGGATCATGTTTATGGCAAAAAGGTTGACGAAAAGACCGCACTGGAAGTCTGTTTCAAGGCGAGCTGGCTCATCAATATGCTTCATGACGGGATCGGGATTCCGAGGGTGGGGCTGGAAGACACAAATGTCTCGGACCATAATGGCACGAAGGAAGTCTTACAAAGCGGGAAAGACAAGGGATTCGTCGATCCGTTCCAGGCGGTGAATGAAATCAAATCCACCGAAGTCAGTTGGACGATGGGGAAGATGCTCCTCTACGCCTCGGCCGAAATCCCACCCGCTTCCAAGGATGTTCTGCCCGTCGGATTTGGTAGCAATGTCCCGGGCGTTCCGGAGGATTTCCAATACCCCAGCGGCGGACGCCTCCAAACGATTCCGGAGTCGGGCTCGGGCTCGGGCTCGGGCTCGGGCTCGGGCTCGGGCTCACCAGACTCTAGCGGCGGAGTCCAAAGCATAACCGACACCATCCACGACACTCTCTTCAAATCGGACGCGCCGCACCGCCTCCCAGGCTTCATCTTTTTCCTCCTCATCCTCATCATCGCGACATTCTACCTCTGCGGCCGGGACCGACGCTCGCGCGTCTACCGCGCAATATACCCCTCGGGCCCTTCGTCGGCACCGCCATCCCACGCCTTCTCACCCTCGCCTTTCACCCCGAAACTGCACAACCCACTTGCATTCCTCAACCGGCTGATCAACGGCCGCGGAGGCCCGCTGCTCCACCACACTCGCGACCTAGAAGACCAACGCCTCTACAACCCCGCCGACTTCGAGTTGAACGACTTTTCCGATGACGACGCGGCGGGTCTCGACGCAGACAAGGCCTTCGGACTGTCGGGCAATACGTCGCGCCCGACGTCCTCGCATTCGCATGGCCGGTCCTCGCCGCGGGATAAGGATAAGCCGAGTTCTAACGGTACCGGAGGTCCCGGAGGCGGCAGTCCCGGAAGAACCGGGAAATTGAGGCCCACGACGGCCATTGATCGCGCGGGGTTGGTCGTCCGCACGGAGAGTCGTGAGAGTTTGGCTCCCTTGGCGGGTGCGAGTGGGCGGAGTAAGAGTAAGAGCCGGGGTGCTAGTCCTAGTCGTACGGTTCCGCGATGATTGTATATAATTGAATGATATAACATGTCTGACTTTTTTTTTGCCTTGAAATGAACGGACCATGTACAGGGGGCACGAAGAGCACCTAAATATATATAATATATAAACATGCATGCATCGGAAGATGAAAAGCTTTTCCCCCTTGAATCGACATGAGACGATACGCACCGGAAAGCCCATCTGCCCTACCTTTACTCAGTGTTGTCCAAGTACTCCGTAGTATCTATCTGTTCCGCACTGCGTGATGACTATATATCCGTCGCACCGTACTGGTATGTGCCTGTCCATGTCCATGTCCACGTCCCACGTCCGTCGAATGTGCAATATAAACATGCAGAGGAAGATAAAAAAAAAGCCTTCGCATCAAATCGACGTATTGGTGCGCACTGAGACGCCCCGTGGCCCCCACCGTGTACTCCGTACGGACGGTATCTATTCTGTTCCGTCCCTCGCGCCATAGAGGCATACCGGATCGCCAAGTCCATGTCCATCCACTCGTACTCGTACTCGTACTCGTACACGTACCGTCGACACTCGTCGCTTCATGATAGCGTGCGATCAGTCGACCAGTCGACCATCCCATCACCCCTGTGCGGAGGACACGCCGCCTGCACCTCCACCTACGCCGCCACCTGCACCTCCACTACCGCCACCCCCAGCCTCATTCCCACCCTCTGTCTGTTTCCTCATGGGCCCGTACTTCGGCCCCGGCAATTTGAACTCCGGGATCACTTCAACACTCATGCCGTTGCCCATGCCCATACCTTCCGATACCGTGGCGGGCTCCCTAACGGGCCTGAGCAGACTAGAGCTCGAGCTCGTCTTGTTGCCCGTGGTAGTAGTGGTACGGACCCTCAACTCCTTCCCGTGTGTGCCACTCGCGCCCATGTGCGGCGAGGACGATGACGGGGCCACATCACGCAGACCGGAGGCCTGAGACGGCGCGGGCAGCACCGTGGCCAGCGTGACTTCCTTGTAAAAGTCGTCGAGCTGGTCGACGTCGTGGCAGAAGGACTCGATGTCGTCCTTGATTTGCTCGGGGGTGACGTAGTGAGTGAGGCCCGAGGCGATCAGGGCGCGGCGCGTGCCCAGGACGTCGGCTGTGATGAGCTTGGGGGTTTGCGGGATCGCGACGTTGGTGCTGGGGATGAGTGGCTGGAAGTGATGGTGAGGAATGGTCGGGGGGGCAATAAGTCCAGCGGGAGTGCTGGAGGTGTTGTTGCCCGTGCCCGTGCCCGTGCCCGCGTCGAGTGACGAGGAGGTCCGCGCGTCAGGCACAGTTGGCGGGATGGGCGTCGATTTGAGGGGGCGGATGAGTGGTGACGCGTACGGCCCCGTGTGTGGCGATTGGACGTTCAGGCCGATGATGCCCGAGGCTTGCATGCTCGGGCCCGGTGCTGAGTGCGTCGACGTGAGTGTCTGTGTGGGCCGCATGAGCATGGAGCTAGATGTGTTTGGCGTCAGATTGTGGTTGAGATTGTCCTTTTTGCTGGTGTCGAATTTGGACGTCTCCTTCGCCGAGGCCTGGCGGGAATTGTACAGTCTGTTCGCGAGGAGGAGAAAGTCCCCTTCATCAGTGATTTGAGCGAGACAGACGCCTGAGCGGTGCACGAATTGTGTGTATCGGTAGTCGAGATCACCCCACGAGTACTTGATCTCGACGTTCTCGGGAAACTCGGACGGCGCTTCGAGGTCGAGCACAAAATTAAAGCGCTTCAGCAGGGCTTTCTGGTAGAAATGGACGTCCTCCTTAAGAGGTGCTTGCGGTCCGAATGCCGCTGCCGTGAAGTACATCGAGGTGGCTGCACTGCGGCGAGGCGGCTCCAGTGCAAGCTGGACCCGGTAGGCAGCACGGAAGGGTTCATGCTCCGGTACTTTGAAAGCTTCTGCGATGGGCACTTCAACCAGCTTGAGGCCGTATTTCTCGGCCTGGGTCGTCCAGCCGACAATGGCATCGTCGACCAGCTTGGACGTGGTGTTTAGCCAAGAGAGCTCGAGATGATAACAGTTCTCCGGGTTGTGGATTCTGTCGTAGTGCAGGTTGACAATTTCCGGCTTGTTGGACCGTTTCCGCGTGTCCACGTCGATGCGGATCATCTTGCTCAAGGTGACGGTCCGCTTCTTCTTGTCTGCGAGCGTCTTTGCAAGCTCCGAGGCAGCTTGTCCATGAACCGCCGGATTGGAACCTGAACGAGATCTGCCACCCAGTAATTCCCGGTTAGGGTGTTCAGTCGCCGGAGTAGGGGGAATCGACCGCTCTGAACGACGGCTTGCGGGGAACCACGATTGTCTCGCGTCTGTACGCTGCGTTCGATGTTCCGGTTTGATCGAGTAGAAATAGTTCCCGTCCTTGAAGTTGTGCTTGCTGTTGACGTGCTCGAAGAGGTTCTCCTTCATGAGCTCATTGCCGAGCTCGACCGCTTCTTCTCGCGTGTCAATGTCCCGGAAGTTGTGCACAAGCCAGTTGGTGAGATCTTCGCCCATGAAGCAGCTGTAATGCAGTCGCCAGTGCCACCTTCTCGTCTTGATCTCGATGCCATTCTCGCCTTGTAGTGCTTGAGCCAACTTGGGCAGGGCGAACGAATCTCGGTCAAATTGTTCGGCTTCCGGTAGCAGCTGGGTGTTCTGGCTTTCTCCAGCTTCTTCGGCCGCAACAAGCTTGTCGAGCTCGGTCGCCACTAGCTCGGACGGATTGAGGGTCTCAAGATTGATTCTCAAAGGGTTGCGATCTTTCCTTTTCATGGTGCTGAGGCGATTGTGCGCTGGTCTTCGCTCGTCCAGCGGAACGTATCGAGCTCTCTGCCACATTTGGGTCAACGCCCGGATGCCGCGCAGATGGATTTCTTCTTCACTTTCCTCGGGCTCAGCGGACGCAGGTCTCCAAGAGTTTGCCGGCGGCGCTACAGGGATGAGCACGAATCGAGCACGCCAGAAACGAAGAGCTTGCACATCCACATCGGGCTGCCTCTGCAGATTCTCGAGATACTTGTCGGCTGCCTCCCAAGGGTATTGCTCGGAGAAGCCGCTAAATTGCATGTCTCGAAGCTTGTATGCTCCAGAGAGAATGGTCCGGATGTTGGGATAATAGCTGATGTGTTGCGGGGCTAGAGGTTTGACTGCCGGTGGTCTACGGAGATACTTGGTCACCTGGAGGCGATCATGTTGTTGGAGCGATATCTTCTGTATCGTGTTGCCCATCGACATGACGATGAAGGAACCATCGGGCCTTACCAGGTTGGGTGTGAAGAAAGATGAGCTGTCGCATGTACCAGGCCCCATAGCCTCGAGCAATGCAGGACCAACGACGAGTTGATACCCGTGTGCAAATCTCAGAGCCAGCATTTCTCGGAGAAGGATATCACGAGACTCAGGTTCCTCGAGCAGCTCGTTTGAATGCGTCAGAGTCAGCTCGTAGATCGCAGAATCAAAGTCCATTTCAAGCTCCTCCTTGGTTGGGAAGTCTTCTGTCGTTAACGGAACTGAAGCAGGAGTACACAGGGACCTCCATTTGACGGTTGCGGCACGAGGCTTGCGAGGATATAGATGCTGCCATCTGCCATAAAGTGTCTCTCTTTCAGGATGCCTTTTCAACGGATTCGACGCATTGACATTGCGGACGAAGGGAAGTGCACTCTTGGGCACAGAGCTGGCCACCGACATCCCGAGCTGGCTATCGGTTGTATCCACACCGTCTGAGCTATCGGAAATGTCGCTCTCTGTAGAGAATGATGAGTCACTATCGGGTTCGTGCTTGGATCCGGTGTCGGCTTTGGCGACGGAAATGTGCTTCTTAATGCCCCGTGCCGTAGAATCCGATCCCTGAGCCTCGCCAAGTCCATCATCGCGCACCTTACGCAACGGTGTATTGATGGAGATCGGCTTTGATGGAGCGTCATCCAGACGACCCTGGAAACGAGGAGATCTTTGTGAAGTCGCGGGGCTTGCATTGTGCTTCTCAGTGAGCACACTATTGGTAGAGACAGAGCGGATGCTGGCAGCTGTTGTGGCTACAGTTGGCCGTGAGTGGCCTGGGTTGCCGAACGGCGGTTGTGCTTGGGCATTGGTAATATTGACTTCGGTACTAGGAACAGCACGGACAGGAGGAGCCAGACCCCGTAACGCGTAGTTCAGCGTGCGATTGACCTTCGCAGCCTCGGGTGTCTTCTTGATCGTCATGTTAGGACTTGAAGCATCTGCCGAGACAAGTGAGGGCAGCTGCGGTCGAAAGGGCGAGTTCAAAGACTTATTCGTGAGTACCTTCGTCAGTCCTGACCCAGATTTGGGTGCTTTGGGATCCGGTTGAGGCTTCTCTAAAAGGTTGGACGGCGCCGTATCGATGACTGCCAAGGAACTACTCTGTGCCTTGGATGCTTTCGAAGCGGCTTCCGATTTGAGCTGCGTCTGAAATAACGCCGAGTCATATTGATCCATTCGGTCGAATACGCTTCCAAATGCTTTGGCATGTGAGGAGAGCAGTCCTGGGGCTGGTCGCCAGCGACCTGCACTGAGGCGACTTTTGCGCGATAGAGTGGGAGAGTGCGACAAACTGCGACTCCCGTTCGTACGTTGGCGTTTTGAGGTCCTGCGCTTGACCCGCCCTGTAGCCGCACCCTGGGTCTCTGCCATGTACGGTATGCTCATATCCGCCATGCCCAGTTCCATGAGACCCATCATTTGGATCTCATACATCCTGACTCGAGGGACAAAAGGGCCCTTCTTGCGTCTGGACGGGGGCCCCGTAGCCTTGCTTGGACCCTCTACTACTTTGATCTCCAGGGGCTCGATGTCGGCTGACCAGTACGAGAGGTCAATCCATTGAGGAATGCCGTAGCTCCACCCGTGAAGGCCATCATTACTCCGTCCTGACATGAAGCTCGCGAAAAATCGGGTGCTGTTCGTGGCTGTGGATGAGACTGCCGGTGACAGTTTTCTGGGCTGAACCGAGTCAAAGAAGCTCGTGCTAGATGAGTAGTGGCGATCTTGACTGCCGGCATCTTCGGCCATCGAAGACAAAAGCGGTTCTTCGGCTCCGAATGAACGATACTTGAACAGAGGCACAGAGTGCAGCGGCATCCTGGACAAGCAAACAATGTCAATGCCCACTCCATTGTTCGTCAAGTTTTGCGATGTCAGGTTGAGAAGATCTCGGTTGACTTCAAACAGTCCCGTGCCGGCGGTGACGACCACGATGGAGACCCCAGTGCGGATCAGGTCTCGGTCTTCGAAGTCGTGTGCGAATTGAGTACTGGCAATATTGATGGCTTCGAGGATGTTCCCCTTCATGGCGGTACTTGGTCTTCCAGCAATGCGTACTGGGCGCGCCTTGGTATCGTCCTCGACTATGTCATCCTGGTTAGACGTATGTAGGGAGATGTCTCTCAGAAAAACACGAAAGTCTTTCTTCAGCTCATCCAGAATTGTGGTCCACTGCGCACTAGCCATATCTGTGACTACGACCCGATAGAAGTCCTGGTACTGGCGAGCCGTCATGTTGGGCGCGCCTGAGGCCGGCGCCACTTCAAGTCTCCTGTCCTTGTTCCTCGCAAGGTCGACCTTGTCGTACTCCAGCCGCCCAAAGAGCACAATGCTGACCAGGTGTCGAACTTCCAAGTCCGTCCACCGCTTGAAGAGGTCCGGCAGGAAGCCATTAATAACCCTGTTGAACATGATCTCCCCATTGCCCTCGGAATCGAAGTCCCACATTTCGCTTGACATCTGGATGAAGAGCACATAGCGTGCAGCTTCACTGCGGAAGATGGGGATTGTCGTGCCAGCGAAGAATGCCGTCGAGGCCCTGTGATGGTGCACATGAATCGCTTTGACTGTAAGCTTGATCGTGCCCATGTAAGTGATCCTCTGTCCGGCATATACTGTTCGACCAGCCAATTCCTGCCCGACCAACCGCCACATGTCCGACCTTGCAAGGTAGGTGTCTCTGAAGCTGAATTCGACATGAGACGCTGTGCATTCCTCGAAAGAAGCGGGGACTATGCGGACATGGGACCGTGGCCGGAAGTCAAACGCCGTCGCAATGTGAGCCTTGATAGAGACCTGCAAATTAGTCTGCCTCGCCTTGAACTCAGCAGGCGCAAATTTAGCTATGCAGAGGTAGTGATCCTTCCAGCCAGAGATGCCATCGGTATCCGCCAGAGGTCCCGTATTGCGCCTCGAATCGCCTTGCTCACCGTCTGGCGACTGGAAGTCACGGACATCGGACGTCTCTGGTGCTGGGTATATTCTGATCAGGCTGCCTTCGCGGATAGCCAAATCCTCCAAGACGGATTCGTTGATGAGGACATCCTCCGGAGAGAAGTTGTCATCATGGATCCAGAGGGAAGCGCGAACTGACGGTGGAGGTGGTGGTGCCGACTGCGCGCTCAGCGATGCCCGCAAGGTCGAGCCGCTACTGGTTCTCCGGTGCACCGTCTTCTGATCCATGGACGGGCGCGTCTCGACCTCATGGTCGGCGGTGAAGTAGAATGTCGAAAGACTGTAGATTGCTGAGCTCGAGACCAAGGTGAATCAAGTCGTCGAGCCACACGCCAAGCCAAACACGCAGCCACGTGACTTGGCGTCTTTGGTGGCAGTTGCGCTCGGTGGACGCCCCGTCCAACTCAGGCCAGCTGGCAACCCCGATGGATATTGGAGGCCTCGGGTCACAGACACAGCGATCGAAACTGCACTCATGGCACGGTTCAAGCTTTTGCTCGATTCGCCTGCGTGCAAAGTACCTCTACTACTAACACATATCTGCTCTAAAGGGTATCATGGTGTCGGCACAGCGGCCACATACAGAAAGGGGTTCATCAGTCGTCATATGTACAGCCCGGGTCCACGACGCGTGTCCCAGGCAACCCCTTGCTTCTTCTTACCATACGCTCCTCGTATCGACATTGAGGAGCCACTTCTTCACTCCTTCGCGCAAGACATTGTCCTGCTTCATTTCTTGATTTACCGCATCCCCATCGATGATGACCCGGCCATCGGCGCCATGTCGGCGCTGATGTCTGGCCAAATCATCATTTACACTTCTTACCACTTCCTCCAACGCTCCGACCACGGCCTGGCGGCAGCCTGACTGGGCCGTTGTAGACGCAGGATGCCAAGCCCTGTTTTTCCCGGAACCAGAAATAGCCAGTGGCATGGATCTGGCAGAAGTCGTCGTAGCAGCAGACGCAGTACGCGAATGGGATCGAGATGTCGCAACCGACTTTTGCCTCGCCGCCTCGGTCTCGTTCAGGACACGTTCAATGGCGTCTGTGAGAGTCGTGTCAAAGTCCAAGACCTTCTCATGTTCAAATCGCTCAACAGTCGTAACTTTGGCGCGTGCCGGTCGTCTTGACGAAGCTGCGGAGCCAGAGATCCCCTCTGAGTTTGGATCAGCCCCGGCGGTTGCCGGTTCGCCGGTCACATCTTGATGCATCATCCGTTTCAATGTCAGGCGTTGAATGGAGAAAGTCCGGAAATCGGCGAGTAGAGTGGTGCAAACATGAGACCATCGTTCCTTGGTACGTTGTCCTGATGGTGGTATACAGCACGCACCCATAGGGCCTTCTTCCCTCGACATGCTCTGCTCCACTTCGATTTGTAGCTCGGGATAAGCTTTGACTCCTTGGAGAACGAAGTCCTCGTGGTACCGCTTTAGATAGCCTGCAACCTTGGTAGGATTGGAGCCCGCCGCATCGACGCCGAACGAGTGGGAGCTGTACGACGACCCACCTTCGTCCGTGCTGGCGAAAGAGGGAGAATGATGCAGTAGTGACGATGAAGGGGACTTCCTTTCATTCCAGCTGATAAACCCTGGAAGGTTCAGGTCCACGTCAATGACACCATCTTTGGCGTCGACCGTCAATTGTGGAGGGCGTACCTCACTCGGATCGATGGACGGATGACGATTCGCTGTATGCCCCATTCCATGATCTGTTGGGGCCTCTTGTCGCGGATGAGCGGCTTCGGCAACCATGGCTTCCAATTGGCTGGGCAGTCTGCCCTGAATTGGTACTGATCTCGGGGCGAGCCTGCGGCGGTCGCTCAAACTCCCCGTGGCTGCTGTGGTGGAAATCTCATTTGACGAACCTGTAGAATCTTGTCTTGTGTTCCAAAACCCAGAGACATTGCTGACCAAAGATCCCCAATTGATGCTCGGCGGTCTGGAGCGCGCGTGAGTAGTGCTATCTCGTCGGAGTATTCTCGCTAGATCCGCCTCCGCAACAGTTATATCGCCATCGACAACAGCGGTCTCGGGGAAGTAACTGTCGGTCTTTGTCGCAAAGTGGGGGACTGGAGTGCCCAACCCAGGAGTCGCTGTGGAACTGGTAGCATTTGTCTTGTGAACTTGGCCCTGCCCATCTGTCGATGCGAAAACAGAGGTCTGCCTGCTGGAGCCGGGCTCGATTTCAGTACGCGAGACGGGCAGCCGGGTGTTACTGCGAATTGCTCGAGAGATGGCGCTAACACTTTCAGCGGATGACTCACTGGTGGAAAGCCCGGAGATATCACGACGGGGGAACGAGACAGGCCCATCGCGGGACTTGTTGTGAGCATGGCGACGCAACGAACCTTCATGGAGCCCTCTATTTGCTGGTGAAGAAGAGCTGATGTCGGGAGTCAGGAGCGGCGAGAAGAAGTCGCTACCTTGCTTGGCGAGCGCATTGCGTGGCAGAAATGATGCAAGTAAAAAGATTATACGACGCGCCGTAGACCGGTTATCGCAGATGATGACAGTCCGAGATGCAAGATTGCTGTGTGCAGCTTTTCCCCTGTGCAGCGCGCGAAACTGTTTGCGATACGAGTCAGGGCTTAACCTCTCCAGCCAATCTGTGTGGCTGCCCAGAAAGGCCGTCAAAAGGTTGAAGAGGAAGAAATTCTGCTGTCTGGTCCCACAGAGGCGTACGAGATAGCGAGCTTCATCCAGCCAATGGCCACCGTTATCTAGGCCCAAACCGGTGAGCACACGTGGAATGCGCAAGGCATAGGAGATTCGCCACAAGGTGTGCTTGGCAGCGCGTTGAAGATCTGTAAACTGGCTCAATCTGTTTGGCGACCGAAGATAGATGTTGCGCTGGTTTGTGCGTTGTTCATAGGGGCCCTTTGGCGCTTTGGCAGCAGAGCTTGTCAAGGCAAAGTCGACCTCCTGGAGAAGCCCACTGATCTTGTTGTGCGCCAGTGCCTCGATTACAGCGAGGCTCCTTAGTATGACATCCCAATTGCGGACCACGATTTCAATCCCTTTGTCGGTCAGGTAGCTCGATCCCTCATCCGTCCACAAATGCTCCGGAATAGCATTCATGAATGTCCAGGACGAGAAAGACCCTGACGCTTGAGAGTTAGGAGTCGATGACGCAGTAAATGAGGCTCTTGAAGTAGGGCGTGCCGAAGAAGTACTAGGGCGCACGTCCCCAGGGCGAGGCAGATAGAAAAGCAGACCCATTGCAAATACGGGAGTCTTCTTCTCCACCAGCTTGGGCTTCTTAGCCTGTATCGGGGAGTCGGATTGCTCATCCTTCTTATTGGACATCGGACTGACTGAATTGCTTTGTCCAGCAGAGGACGCCCGGTGGTGCCTTAAGTCGTCCTGGGCCTCAGGTAGTGCAACGGGAAACATACGAGTAACTAAGATGGCATCGCGCGTTTCAGGATCTGGCCCTCTTACAGTGGGTGTTGAAGCATGGGTATTCTCAGCACTTATAGCCGTTTTTGCTCTCACTAGAGGGGTACGAGGGGGTGCAGTGGCCGGAGCATTAGATGTTGGGACGCGTGGACTTAGGTCGCTCAGAGGGCTCCGGTCACCGGGGAGGAAGTGCAATTTGGTGCTGGATCCGGATTTTGCCGCACTGCTTACACCGAACATGCAGTCAAGGATATTGCTGAGATGGTCCGTTGTTTCCGAGTCTTTGTTGGGGCGTGTCCAGGATGCCGGCCCTCCCGAGATCGTTGAGCTCCTGTTTCGAAATTGCCCCATCATGGAAGTGCCGGAACCCCCACGAGCCGCTTGTCCAGCAGGCTGAGACGGATTACCCGTCCTCTGAGCGGTGGTCGAGTCGCTGGCGTCGACAGGTTGAGTGTCGAACAGCAGCAGAGGACGGTCATTTGTGCCGAAAGCATCCTGCGCCACGATGAGTCTCAAATCTCTTGTCTCACTCAACTCCAGGCCAGCTCGATCATCGAAGGGCGAGATGCGGACTGTAGGAGAGCCGAACGGAGTGGTGGGCGGTGAAGCTGAACTTGACCGTCCATCATGATGGACTTCCGGCCATAGAAGGGTGCGTGTATGGGTCTCATCCGTCGCACTTTCAAGCTGACTGCCTCTGGCATACCCTTGAATCAACCTCCCCAGCATCTCAGATAGATACCACTGCCACCAGCACCACCGTCAAATCTTAAAGAGGTCAAGGCGCTGTCGGCCGGCAGGATCTTGCGAGGGTCGAGACAGGGAGCGCGTTGCGAACAGGGCTATTATGGCGCAGGCGTCGAGACATGTTGTGTATGACCTGGCTGTTGCTGCCCCCAAAGCAATGTACGAGAGGAGAAGAGGCGGCAAGGTCACTTCTCACTGCCGTACTGGTCTGACATGCTCTGACTCTTGCTGTCGCATTCAGCGGTTCGCTTGGAGAAGGACAGGGACGGACGTGGACGGAGCGTCATCTCCAAAATTACGGTGAAGAAAACAAGCCACCAGCCGCTAACCATATTGGGTTCGGCCGGAGTCCGGCGCAGGGAAGGTGCCACGGGTGCTCATCGGCTCCAACTCGGATCAACTTCATTGCAGCATCAACAGGCATCAACAACCTACCTAGTAGTCAGTTCCAGCATGCCGTTCAAAGGAGACGCGTCCGTGTGCTTGCGGCTCATGCATGGGCAAGGCGTACTCATGAACGGGGTGCTTGCTTCCTAGTGCGGCGGCCTCCTTCAAGAGTTGAACCAGGGTTTTGTAGAAGCTCGAGCTGACTTGAAACAGGTGCTGCTCTTCAAAGGCAATGTCTGCGATGACCTGTTGGAACGCGCTATATCCAACAGACTCATGTGTTGGGTCGTGTTGGTTTGTGTTGCGTGATGTGCCCCAGGGGCCCGTCGAGAAGCAATGTTTCTCACTCCCACCTCACATGGACACAATCACCTCTTCCTCCTCCTGCTCCTCTTCCTCTTCCTCTTCTCGAACGTGTATTACCGATATATCATGTCAGATTTATCGAAGTTACATCGATTTTTACTGCATACGGGCCGGCGCCCTACAAGCATAGAGCGGGCTGCCGTGCGTGCTGACGCGAGACACGAATCTCTCCTCTGTTCTACTCTGCCTCAGCCGCGAAGTTTGGAACTCGAATCTCTCTACTGGCTTACCCTGCTCTACCCGAGAAACTTGGAAATTCTTTTCGAACACCTTGAGAAGCAAGCTTCACTTCGCACATAGCATCAGCATGGCATAGCATAACATCGAGCAGCATAATTAGCAGAATGTATCTCCCTTGAGCACACATCACACGTCACACAGCCAGATACAACACTTAGCACAATTTAGCGTGAGAGGACAGCACATCAGAGGCAAGAGGTTAAGTCCATTGTCATTTTCATACTCAACCTTGCGCTCTCTCTTCAATTTAGACCAGACAGACAGACGGTAGGGGTATCATATAAGAAAAATGCAGACAGACCGGGTGCATGCATGCAGTCTCAGTCTCTGATGGTGTAATGCTCCTGTCCAGAGGGATGTGACAAAGGGAACTCGTGCCGTGCCGGCCTATTCTCCGTGCCGAGTGCTGATTCTTCCTCGACGCAGACAGAAACAGGCTGTATGTTCGTGCCCTATCGAAGGGCATTTGGGCTTGATGGCCACCTCGGCGCCATCCATCAGCTTTGCTGAGCTAGAGGATGAAGGTGTATCCTGATCTCAGCTCCAAGCTCCAAGCCTAAATTTCAAGTCTCCCAATTTTCAGTTCTGATTCGTGTCTTCACTCACAGAGATGCAGCCGCCTGTCTAGCTGCACCCTGTCTATTTTGTTTTTCCACCTCCGAAAAAGTGATTGCCTTGGTCCATCTCAACCACCTAACTCGGCTATGGCTTCCTTCCTCTTCTCCAGCACCTCTTTCCTTACAACCTTCGCCCGCAGGCCCTCACTCGCCTGGACCAGCGCGTCAATGCTGATAGCGTGGTTGGTCATGTTGTGGTTGATGTAAGTGTAGACCTGTGCCGCCGAGTCTAGTGCCAGGATTGCATTCTCGTTGAGCTTGAGCAACGCCAGGGCGAGTTGGAAGAGGAAGGATGAACTCGTCCCGTCGTGCTCGTCAGAAGACTTGGCATCAGCGGGTTCTGGTGGAGGATGTGCTGGAGTGACGGGCGTCGACGGCGTACTCAAGTTGAGTGAAGGCAGGTCCACCCCAAGGGTGGCCTTGGATTGAGTCAGCGCATACGGTGACGCATCCGAACTATTCAGACAGAGAATTACATCCCAGACTCGGTAGAGAGCTTCACCTCCAGTCAATACACCCGTGTAGAGGGACAGAAACCAGTGGAATGTGCAAGCCTCCAATTCCACGCCCAGCTCGTCGAGTTTGGCACTCAGCTTGGGTAATACCTCGGCGACGTAGTGACGAAGGACCACTTGATCGGCACGGGCAACCAGCAACGTCGAACTGAAGTACTGGCTGGGCAGAATCACGTCAATGATGGCGACGAGCAGCCAAAAGCAATCCTCGGCGGTGGCGCAGATGAGCAGAAGCGAGGCGGTAATGAGGTTCATGCCTTGACAGTAGCCGATGCGCGGATTGTGCAAAGAATATGCCCTCAACAACTCCTCCAGTCTTTGCACGCCAGGCCCGTGTCGGAAGAAGACATTGTCCGTCAACGTGCGATGCACGTCAGCCTTGATCTGACTGGCAATGTCAGGATCGATATCGGTGCCTTCTATCGACCGTGCCACCAGGTCTTCATAATAGCCTGGAATTCGTAAAGCACTGGCGCCCGAGCATTCCGCCCAGATCTTTGGTCGCAGTGAGACAGGGATTCCACCGAGTACCAACGACCTGAAGTGCATGTACTTGGCTTTCGTCTTGGTGGAACGCCCAAGTGTTGCAATTCCGATCAATTCGCCTTCCAGCAGATCGGCCTCGGGGGTGTTGTTGGTGGCACGGTCTGGATTGTTGGCACGCTCTGCTCTGACCCGCCGCAAGAAATCGTTCCACCGTGCAGCCCTCTCAGATTGGAGTGCGTCGTATAACTCGGTGAGCTGTTCAAGGAGTAATTTGGCCGAAGTAGAATCGGCCAGGTTTTCAGATTCTGAGTCGAGGCCAAAATCTGTCGACGTAGCGGTGACTGCCGAAGATTGCGGCTCCATGACCACGCTGCTAGTTGGAAGTGCCTTCTTCGAGGCCGCAGAGATGGAAATAGAAGCCTCCCGACTTCGGTGCGGTGGTGTCAAAGTCCCTGTCGCATCGGCAGTGCTGACCGTCACAACAGCGCCAGCAGAGGGTGTATGTGAGAGTAACTCCTTCGGCCTCCCGGAGGACAGAGCTGCAGGGACCTTGAGATAATCTTGCCATGATTTCTTCGGCGTTTCATCGTCAATCGAAGCAGGAGTAGCTGGTCTGTCAATCAAGACCTCGGTAGATTGGGGACTTTCCCCTACTCTGAAGCTGGCTATGGTTTCATTGGCACTCAGCTTGTTCCGCCTATGCCCACGAAGTGGCAGGCTCTGTCTCTTCCGTCGCTTTTGATCGTAGATGAAGCCGAATCTATCTGTCAGTAGTCCCGTCGCTTCAACGCTATGGTTTGTCATGGTCGGCGGCAGTTGCGAGCTTTCAATCATAGAGTCCAGCTCAACGGTTGGAGGCAGGCTGCTTGCATTCGACTCTTTCCGAGTATGGCCTGGGCTGGGGGTGAGTCGACTGGCAGTGGGTACGCGTTTTGGCGGAGGGCGACCCTTGACTGTGCCAGTGGCAGGCAGGGAGGCTGAAGATTTATTTGGTGTTAGGGCAGTGTTCGTTCTTGTTTTCGAAAGCGCCGTCTCAGCTTCTGCTGTCGGAGTTTGACCCTGGCCAAGTGACGATGCTCTAGATCGACCAGCCTGGGTCTTGCCGCTGAAAATCTGAGTCCAGGAGGCAAAAGAGCGGCCGGACTGGTTGGATCGTACACTAGCCTCGTCAGCCGCCTTCGGCTTCCTGGTGAGGGTCTTGCCACCAATGAAGTAGCTGGACGAGTTTGAAGGAGGCTGAAAGATAGCCTGGAGAGCTGAACCCTTGTTGACATTGGAGCTCGAGACGCGGGGACGCAGTGTTGCCTCCATGTCCTGGCTGCTGTCGCTGCGGCTACTGTTTGCTCGGCTCGGTGTGCGACTTGCCCTTGCCTGAGAAGACGCCATTGACCCAGCTCTACTGCGACTGGCTTCAAGCTCCGCTTGTAGAACTCCGGTTGGACCTCGAGGGTCGGTGCCAGGAACTGGAGGAAAGGTGCTCTCCAGAGGGCTGCTGAGCACGATACCGTCAGCCATCGCTTCTGACATCATGCCATTCAGCGAGGGAGGAGTGCGATCCACAGGTATGGATGATGCCCCGAGGCTAGGGTCACTCTCTCCCTGTTCCAACCGCAGCAGCCGCTTTTCGACCTCCGCAGTCGGCACATTGGTTTCTCGCAGGATCCTCTTCAACTCCCTCTCTCTATGGTCCGCTCTAATCCGTAAAGCGGATATCTCAGCATCTCTCTGGGCCAGATCTGCAGCATATTGTCGAACCAGCTTGACGGCCCCTGTCCTGGCAATAAGTCTTTCTATGTGTTCATCGCTCGCCAGATGCAGAGAACCTGGAATATCCAGAGACGACCGCGGAGAGTCATCGAACAAGGCATTTTGTTTTAACGACGGGGAAGCACTCGTCAAGCCAGCTAGTGTAGCCTTCCGGTCCCTTGCCTTTTGAGAAATTGTTCGGAGTGGTTGGCGCAGGGCCTCTTGCACAGTGCTTTTTGACGACTTCGTCTCCAGCTCAGGGGAGAAGGATGGAAAGGAGGTCAGGGCAGGATCATCTTCGTCGATGGACCTTGAGGAGTGCTTGGAGCCATGGCGTTTGGGTTGCGCACGAATTGTCTTCGACAGCTTCTTCTGGTCGGCGGAATTGTGCGAGGTCTGCGAAGAGGATCGTCTCGACTCGTTGCTGCCATGGTCCGACATGTTGAGTGATCACCGCGTCGATCGGTGGGTTGATCTTCTGCAAGCCAACACCCGCATCTTGCACAGCCAGAGCTCAAGTCAAAATCGAACGGTGAGGGAGCCGGCGATCCGAGAGTCCGATGATGACGTGGGCCTCAAAGGCGGTAATGAGATGGATAGAGAAGTGACGGAGAGCACAGTGTGAAAGCAGACTCAGGGCAGAGTGAAGGCCTGGAAGTTTCTGAGCGAGCGTAAGGGCAAACACAACCTGCAACCACCAGAGTCTTGGTTGGGCATCTCTCTGCACAGAAAGAACGAACAATTGCTTCACATTTGCTTCGGTTGTGTATGACGACAAACTGCATCCAATCCCCGTATAACAAGGGGGGCGGTCGGTGGCGGTCACGTGATCAGGCGCTGACTTGGAGCCTGCCTGTTGGGTCTGGGCGTGCAGTAGACGCAGGTGACAACTCCACCCCTGTATCTCTTGCATATTGTGTACAGCAGCAAATCGAGGATCGCGCTATCCTTTATTGGACAACTCCATCGTCAGTAGACGTCCTCGTACTCCTGCGAATCTGGCGGCGGTTTGCTCTGGACTCGCTGAAAGAGCAAACGAAATGGTTGTCGTGCATTCACCCATGACCTGATCAGACATGCCTCCGTGGCCGCGTGCACAACTTACTCAACCTCGAAACCGCCACAATGGGCCAAGGGTATTCCATGACCACGCTGTCCGCGGCCTCGGCTAGCATCGATGTCCCTGAACTGGCCGACTTGGTGCACGAGAAGACGCTGGCGTCTGCCCGTTTCATGAAAAGCGTCCGGGCTCGCAGTCAGCATGGCTATGTATTTGTCAAGGCGGTCATGAAACCCTACTCGTCCTTTCGGGTCCACGAATATGTTCGCCAGATCACTGAGGAGAGGAACATCCTCGCTGAGATTCCGAATGCATTGGCCTACCAGCGAATTGTCGAAGTCCCGAGTGGAGGCTTCCTCGTCCGCCAGTACATGTTTAGCTCGGTATACGACCGAATGAGCACCAGACCTTTCTTGGAGGACATCGAAAAGAAATGGTTGGCCTTTCAGCTTCTGTGCGCCGTGCGCGACTGCCAAGCTCGCAATGTCTACCATGGCGACATCAAGACGGAAAACTTGCTCGTCACCTCCTGGAACTGGCTCTATCTGACTGACTTCTCCTCCTCCTTCAAGCCTACAAACTTACCAGAAGACAACCCGGCCGACTTCTCCTTCTACTTTGATACGTCGGGTCGACGGACGTGTTATATCGCTCCCGAGCGATTTACATCGACCGAGATGCCGGATGAACAGGGAGAATTGAACTGGGCCATGGACATCTTCAGTGTCGGCTGTGTCATCGCCGAGATATTCCTCGAGGGTCCGATCTTCTCCTTGAGTCAACTGTTCAAATACCGTGCCGGAGACTACAATCCCGAGCATACTCATCTCAGCAAGATCGAGGATCCCGAAGTGCGAGGGATGATCCTCAATATGATCGCACTGGATCCCGAAAAGCGGTACAGTGCAGAGCAACACCTGTCCTTCTACCGCTCAAAGATCTTTCCCGAGTACTTTTACAGCTTTCTGCATCAGTACATGCTCGACCTCACGCGGTCGGCGACAGCCTTGAAACCTGTGGAGCTGACTCTTGATAGCCTCAGCGAGTTCGATGAGAAGATTGAACGAGTCTACTATGATTCCGACAAGGTCTCCTTCTTTCTCGGCTATGGGCCAAGCAACTCTAAGTCATCGTCCAAATCCCCTTTGACTATGAGGGCGAACAACAAGGCGAAAACTACAGACGCCGACCCCAGCCTCTACGACGGAAGCTTGTTGTTTCTCACGCTTGTGGTTGCAAGCCTGAGAAACACTGCAAAGGCGTCGGCACGACTCAAAGCATGCGATCTGTTGGTTGCTTTTGCTGAACGTCTCCCAGATGAAGCCAAGCTGGACCGGATACTGCCTTATATTGTTGGGTTGCTGAGTGACCCGTCGGACGTGGTTCGCGCGGCGGCAATCTATGGCATGACCTCGGTCTTTGAGATGATTGAAGTCGTCTCGCCGATCAATGCATACATCTTTCCTGAATACATCCTGCCGAGGTTGAAAAATCTGGCCGCTGGTCATTCCGGTGAACCAAGTATCTTGGTACGGTCAGCATATGCATCGTGCCTGGCTTCCCTGGCATTGTCGGCCGAACGGGTCCTTGACATGGTTCACGCTATCCGTGCTGATGGGCGGCTTCCTTCCCTACGAGAAGATGAGCTGCCTCCCCAACAATCCTATCAGGCTCTTTACGACTACAGCAGACGCGAGTTCCTTCCACATTTCGAGGATTCAACGGTCGCTTTAATTACAGACCCTGAACCTTCGGTAAGGCGAGCCTTACTCGGATCGATATCTCGCCTATGCGTCTTTTTCGGTAGCCAACAAACCAGCGACGTCATTTTAACGCATCTTAACACCTATCTCAACGACAAGGACTGGATTTTGAGATGTTCTTTCTTCGAGGCGCTCGTAGGGATTGCCTCCTATGTAGGAGCTACGAGCCTGGAGAAATTCATCTTGCCTGTGATGGTTGGGTCTTTGACTGACCCAGAGAGTTTTGTGGTTGAGAAGGTCTTTCGATCGCTGGCTCGGATGGCTGCGTTGGGCCTTTTGCAGAAGAGCACGACCTGGGAACTGGTCAGCATCGCTGCCAGGTTTTCGATCCACCCAAGCATCTGGGTACGGGAAAGCGCTGTCCAATTCATTGTGCTCTCGGCCAAGTATATCTCTGCGGCTGATCGGTACTGCATCATCCTGCCTATTCTACAGCCATTTTTGAAAGGACCAATACCTGCCCTGACAGAAGAGCGCGTCTTGGACAACTTGAAGCGACCTCTGCCCAAGATCGTGTTTGACTCGGCCATTAACTGGGCGGCGAGGAAAGCAACCAGCCTGTTCTGGACGGCGGCAAGTCGCGACGCTGCACTGACATTATCCGATCCTACGACGCCGCAAAACCCATCAGCACTTACGAAGCGACTGTTGACCAGGATACCGCCGTCCCAGAAAGACAAGGACGATCAGATTTCTCTGGAAAGTCTTCGAAATCTTGGTATGACAGCCGACGACGAAATCAAACTCCTAGCACTGCGTGAGTATTTACTCAAAGTCTCCAGGCATAAGCTCCCAGAAGATGCCGATCAGCGACATCGCATGCTTAACAATATCATCGCCCTCAATCAAATTGAGGTCACTCCGCAGAACGTCTTCTTCGACTCGCGCCAGCCACTCAGAGAGAGCACAGGTGGACCCAGGCAGACTCAGCAGATGTCACGCCGGGATGAGCGACACAGTCTTGCCGACGCCCTTCTCGACGCCTCGACGACCATAGATGATCATAGGTTGCGACGAATATCGCCTACGCAACAGTCCAGTGGCACAGCTACGCCGTCTACACAACCGATGGATATCCAAAGTCAAAGGCCGTCAGGTGCCCGCGCCACTGCAGGCCCTGCGATAGCGATTGAATCTGCAAGTGTATCTTCCAGACCAAGCGTTTCCAGTGGGACACCGTTGAACGGAGACAAACTGTCCTTGCGCCGCAACACACCTCTGGAACTCAGGCATCGAAACAGCGGCTTGAACCTGATGAATCGCGCCGATTCAGCCAAAGCGGAGGCGGAAATATCCACCCTCCCAGAGAATGCGTTTGGTAGAGTCGAGGTAGATGGGGCGTTGCACCGTCGCAGCACGGCAGGCCCATCAGCTTTGTCTGTGACGGCTACCGCAGCTGCAAAACCAAGATCGGTGTCGCCTCGGCCGCAGAGCGGTGCTCGAACGCCCCTTTACGAACCCAATCATTCATACCAGGGCAGTGACGCAAACGTCCTCCGTCTTTTGGACAATCACTTCCTGGAGAACTTCCCCATCGACCAAATGGACTTTGGCGGCAATCGCCCCTTCGCAGAGACCAGAACGCCAATAAGGAGAGTTACAGACGTCTTGCAGCAACCCACTTCAAGGGCTGCTCAGCCAGAGGAGAAGTTCGGGACAGAACCATGGAGACCTTCAGGACAGCTGCTAACCCAATTTTCAGAACATACGGCTGCCATCAACAGGGTGTGTGCTGCGCCAGATCATGCGTTCTTCGTAACAGCGTCCGATGATGGAACGTGCAAGATCTGGGACACCATTAGACTGGAGAAGAACGTCACCTCACGGTCGCGGTATACCCACCGCCGTGCGGAGGGGGTAAAGGCCAAGAGTCTCTGCTTTGTAGAAGGAACTCATACATTCCTCAGTGGTGCAGACGATGGCAGTATTCACGCTGTGAGAGTCGACTATCGAAGCGTCGAGGGTGGGGAGACTTCTCGATACGGGAAGCCAAGTCTCGTTCGAGACTACACGATCCCTGACAATCATGCCGCGGACAGCAGCCACGAGTCAATACGAGAGTATGCTGCGTGGCTTTACCACTACCGAACAGCAAGCTCGCAGTCCATCCTGCTCTCTGCCACCAGTAAAGGACGTATCCTGGCGATCGATCTGAAGAACATGGAAATCATCCACAGCATGAACAATCCAGTCCATCACGGCACCCCAACCACGTTCTGCGTCGACCGGAAGCACCACTGGTTGCTTCTGGGAACGAACCAGGGCATCCTGAATCTTTGGGACTTGAGGTTCAAGCTGCACCTGCGCAGTTTCGGCATTCAAACAGACTCAAGAATCGATCGGATCCTGATCCATCCAACCAAGGGTCATGGGAGATGGGTCATGGTCAGTGCTGGCGGAGAAATCAGCGTCTGGGATGTCGAGAAGATGGTCTGTCGGGAGGTGATGCGGCCCAGTACCATCAGTCCGAACAGTAAGAAATCTGGCTCGTACGAAGCATGGTCGCCGGACGAAGAGAACAGTGAGAGGATTCTGGCTCGCTTCGCCAGGCAAGTTTCAGACGACAAGGACACCACTCTGACCGAACCACAACTGCACGACTTTGGCCACGCAGCTGATGGCTCGCCGACGAAGAAAAAGGCCCCTGCGCCACCGTCGGCATCACTGCCCATTCTCGCCATGTCTATTGCGACAGACTACACGGCGAGCTCTCACGCCGACAGCCCGAACAAGCACGCCATTCTGTTTACCGGTGGTGCAGATCGTGCTCTTCGATATTGGGACATTGGTCGACCCGAGAACAGCTTCATCGTCTCCGGACCGCAACTGCACGACTCTGAGGATGCCGCGGTCACAGCCACGAGCGTCGGCGTCAGCGTCAAGGCCAAATACAAGTACGAAGTCTCCCACCCACTGAGCCTCAGCGCGGGCGCACAAATCACGCTTGTTCAGGAGAAACTCCACGTTGCCGGCGAAGCACCCAGCAGGACGCCCAAGCGAAGAGCAGATACTCCGGCCCCGACGTCTGGTGGGACGCCGAACTCTCATGCCCCGTCGAATGCCACCGCAAACGCCACTGCAAACGCAAGTGGCTCCTCCACACCGTCGACTCCGCAGGCAATGAAGCCGCCGAGGAATACCATAATCAGTGCCGCGCAGCAGCAGTTGCTCCGGACGCATTTGGCTACCATCACCGACGTGGTCATGTTGAGGAAGCCATACGGATGTGTCGTCAGTGTAGACCAGGGTGGGAACGTATATGTCTTTCATTGACGGGCGAGAAGAGTAAAGGCGAATTCGACAGAGATGAAGTCTCTGCTAAATAGAAGCGGTAGGGGCGTAGCTGTCTCTAGTTGACATAGAATCTGTAGACCAGCGCATCGAATGCGCTTGATCACTTGGGCATTCGTGGTACACTACGTTAGACAGTACATCTATTCGATCCCTTGGGCATACTGCGTGGTACACTGCATCCGAATTAGGATATACGTGGTTCCACACCCCAGCTCCGCAGGTGTGTGTCGGCACGTCGTCGACTCGTGTCTGGCCCGAACCAGTCCTTCCTGGTTTTATCGACGGAGGCCTCTTGACACAGCTCAGCTGTATAATCTTTCGGTCACTGTGACGAAGGATCTCCATGCCTAAGGTCGGTAATTATGAGTGGCGCTCCCCAAGGAGGGGACACCTGGAAACCAGAGCTGAATCGTCGGCGGAGTTTTGGGTATTTCTCATTGTTGGTTCCCATAATGAGTATACAATCAGATCACATCTACGAAGTACATAGGAATGCCATGATTAACACTCTACACGCCAGTTTGCTTACCCGATGAAAACGCTTTAGTCTTCGTCGACAGACGACAGAAACCTCTCGACGGACTAGCAAGTCTGGTAGACTTTGATATAAGACTCTGGAAGCCTGTTTCGGGCGGTAGAGGGCCCCTTATCGAGTATGGCAAACTTGGAACACGTCTGTGTTGAGAAGATAGATGTGCTTCATGACGGGATCCCTTTGCAGCCGTGCATAAGAAGGGCATCTCGCGGAAGCTCACTCCCTAGAGGTAATTAGATCCTCTTATCGTCCTCATCGTCTACAGCGTCCTGGGCAGGTGTATAGTACTGTACATGTAGTGTCGTGCAAGCGTCAATCGCTCGCTATATGACCAACGTCAGACTCGACTTCCAAGTTTGTCATGTCGTGGCCACGCGGTGTCTTGTCTTGATCCCCCGACGAGGACAGTACCGTACCATTCATGTATCGAGTCCCATGCATGACATCCCATTGCCTCTTCATGTCAAATCGTGACACCTCATTTCATGTCAGTCGCGACGTCTTTTCCTCTTCCCCCTTCCCCGCCCCGGCACTCTCTCCAGTACCGGACCATTCTTCCGTCCCATGACATTCCAACCCTCTTCATGTTAACTCGTCTCATCTCATCCGACGCTCCGTCCTCCCGTTACGACGTCGTCGCCTACTTCTCCTCTCCCTCCTTCCCTGCCTTTTCCTCCCGCTCAAGCCTCCCCTGCAAGGCGACAACCTCGCCCAACGCGCGATCCCTCACCCTAACATCCTGCGCCGAAGGCACCCCGTACGCGCGCACAGTCTGCTCCGTGACGACCCTCTTCCAGTCACGCACGGATGCTGCTTCTGCCGCCTCTTCATCCACCTTCTCACGCATACCTTCGTGCACTGCCTCGCGCACACCCTCACGCACAGCCTCCCCCTCCGTATCCATCACAACACCCCCACTCTCCCTCTGGCGATCAACATCCTCCCAGACCCCCTGAATCGCCCCGCCGATATTCTCCAAGAACCCAGCCACCCCCCTTTGGCCGCCACCGAAATTATACATCCGGAACGGGCCGCCGACCGCCCACCTCGGCCCCAAACTCGCGCGGACGACCTCGTCCAACTCCTCGACCGTACACACGCCGCGGGCCACGAGACTGCACGCCTCGCGGAACAAAATAAACGACAGACGGTTGGCCACGAACCCGGCCGTCTCTTTCTGGATCGTGATGGGGCGGTGGACGGACGAGATGGTGCGGAAGTAGGATTCCGCGAAGGATACGGACTCGGCGGATGTGCTTGGCGAGGGGACGAGTTCGAGCAGGGGCATTAGGTGGGGTGGGTTGAAGGGGTGGACGACCAGGAGGCGAGAGCGGGCGGAACCCGAGGCCGAGGTGGAGGTCGTGTCCGTCGATGCTGAAGTTGAGGTTGAGGTTGAGGTTGAGGTTGAGGTTGAGGTTGAGGTTGAGGTCGAGTCTGGGTGGGCGTGGGACGTCAAGTGCTCTAGCTGCCTCGACGCGGGAATCCCGCTGGTGGAGGACCACAAGCGCGGCGTGTTGGGCCACGTGCACCGCAGGACTTCAGACCACGTGGCCTGCTTGAAGGAGAGCGTCTCGGGGCCTTGTTCCTGGATGACGGTCGCGTGGGCGACGGCCTCCCCCAAAGAGGTGCAGAAGCGGAGGCGGCGCGAGGTGACGAGCGAGGAGACGAGGGAGTCCGCGGACGAGTCGGCGGGCGGGGAGATGTCGCTGGTGCTGGCGCTCGTGCTTTCACCGGCGCTGTTGTCGCCACAGTCGGATGTGCCTCTTCGAGGCACGGGCATGTATAATGGCAGCATCCTCGCGACGTGCGCCTGCAGGTCCGGCCGCGGGTCGTACACGGAGACGGTGGCCGACGTGTATGTCAGGTGGAGGGCGAGGAAGGAGATGCCGATGGCGCCGAGGCCGATGAGGGCGATGTGCTGGTCGCCATGTGGAAGGGGGAGCGGTCTCCCAGAAGTGGTGGTGGTTTCTTCCACCGGTGATGTGGTTGACATTGTTTGAAATGAGAGGACAGGAGTGGAAGTTAGGTACCTAGTGAGGTAGTGAGGCTACCAGCGGTTTGGTTGTACGGGTAAATAATGAATGGCGTCAGGTCGTCAGAAACAAACGGATCGACCTGATGTAGTGTGCTGAGTCCGTTTTCTTCTGTCCTCAGAAGCTGGGAATCAGGAGCTGGGTGATGAAGTAGTTGCCACTCTGTTCAGAGACTGATCAATGTATCTCCTCGGCCAGGTTATGCAAAGTCCGTTGTGAGCAGCGAGTCTCTCTGTTCCGTCTGTCAGACTACCGCCGACTACGCTCCTTTGCACGGCAGCCGGATAAGCCGTTGTGGTTGATACAGTACGTACCCTCTATCGGTCGAGTCAATGCAATTGTCCTCAATGCAGCAATGCGGCAGTTGCTTTCAGCAGTGAGTGGCGGAGCCCGTGCTCATTCGCTAGTACTCACGGCTTCATGTATGATGATATGCGTACTGTAGTCCCCAAGCTCCATGGAGTAGATTCGGGTCGCCTGTGATCTGAGAGGCACGATGATGCCGAGTGCTAAACTTCGGCCCTCGGCACCGTGGACTGGCACGCACCGTCTTCCTGTCATCCTCATTACAGCGAGTCGATGTACAAACGGCGCCAGGCGTATCAGCAGAAGAGGAAGTCTTCAACAAATAATGAGCTGTTATCAGTACAAAGCAACTTTCAAAGAGTAAATGAGTCATTTATTGAGGCATATCGGGACCCCGGGCCAGATGGAGGACAAAATGTGGTAGACAGCCAACAACAGCCACACCAAGAATTACAAATAGAGATGACACGACAAATATCGAAAGGGCCCTGTTATCCATGACAAATTGAGGCCCTTCGGTATTCCCTCAAAACCAACAAGTAAATAGAAAGCCGTCTGGGCTGGACACTACGCCAAAGCTCCTTGCCAACGGACCTAGATCCAATCCACGCCATGCAAAAATTTGTCGGTCACTGTTGTCGTCGCTTCATGCTTCCAAGACTCGGCTGAGAACCGCGCCTCGACCGACAGGTTGCTTGACAACCTCTTCGGCAGCAGGCTCGCCTTTTACGCTGCCGCTCCCGCTCCCAGCAGTCGCATGGGCACGTTCGGCGTCGTCGTCCTCGACGATCTTGGTCCGCTCAGGCCCGCGAGTGTTGTGGTTCAAGGATTCCCGGTTGGTATAGTTCGTGGGCGCGGTGCTAGCCATGCTCAGCGCGGTACTAGATCTTTGATGGACTAGATCTGGGGTAGGTGGAATGGAGCTTCGTTCGCTCTGCGGTGTCAGATGACCAGTGCCTGAACTTCGAGCATCAGCGGCAGCCTGATCAATCGGCGACAAGTTGTCGCTATTCTGTCGGGTATGGCTCGACGATGACGGGGCACCAGCTTCCGCGCCCTCACCCTGCTCATCATCCTCAATTTCAGCGGCTTCATTTGCAAGCTGAAGGCCCTCGACGGCAGCAGCGCATTGCTCACTAATATTGCGAATGATATCCGCAATTGCATCAGTCTTGTCACGGAGATGACGATCCGCAACATCGGACATGCTGAGCGTTGAGTAGCGCTTGCTCGCCCGCTTGCTGCTAGCCAGGAGTTTGGTCTCCATCTGAGGTGTGACATCTTGGCCGTCAACTGATGCTGATCTCGACTGTCGCAACGACGCTCGCTTGGTCACGTTCTTGAGTCTTTCTTCTTCGGGCATCTCGTCTTGCTCCTCGTCATCGTCTTCCTCAGGCTCCTCTTCGTAGCCCTCGTGGATGTATTCCGCCAGCTCTGAGGCCGAGCCAATAGAACGAACAATGTGTTCCATGTGATGGGTTTGACCGGTGATGAGGGATCGGAGATGGAGAACCACCCGCTGAGCTTCATCCCGCTGTCTCTGCAGAGTTTGGTTGGTGTGCTGCAGGGCTGCAATTTCTTTTCTGTTCCGGCTCCGCTCCTTCTCGAGGTCCTCGGCGATGCCCTGTTGCAGAACAAGTGCTTCGAGAGCATTGTCACGCTGTCTCTCTGTGCCAGACAGCCGGAGAGCAAGACGGGCAGCATCTTCTTTCTGCTGGTCAATGAGGCCAGTAAGTCTGCGGTTCTCGCGCTTGTGAGATTCAATCTTGACCCGGAGTTCAGCCAACTCCTTGTTGAGCGATTCGACGAAAGCCTGGAACTTCTGGAACTGCAGCTTCCACGTCTCGACTTCCTGCTCCAGGTAGTTGTTCCGCTTGGCGACCTTTGCAAGCTCGGTATCCATACGTCCTTTGAGGTTGATGAAGTCTTGCCATGCTTCGAGTGCGTCACGAGAATATTGGTTCCGTTCTCGAACAATCTCGTTCATGTGTCTCATGGAGATCTTGGTCATGAGAGGTTTCTTCATCGAACCGCCGAACAGAGCTTTGACACCTGTGTTGCGGCCTAGCTTTTCGCAGACGTGATCCATGACGGCCATAACGGCGTCCTGGTTCCACCATGAGGGATCTTGCACGCTCTCGACTTCGCCACGCAGGACGATAATCTGACCAGCCGGGATGAGCTTGCCGCCTCCGTAGGCAGACTTCAGATGCTGTGGCACACCGCTGATCTCTACATCGCTGTTCAAAGCCTGAGTCAAACGGTTGATGAACTTGGTTCGCTGGCCGGCTGTCAGAACATTCGGGGGATGATCAGTAATGACCAAGTTGCGATCCAAATCAACCAGCAGAGCATCCTTGGGAGGCTGGAAGAGCGACCGGCACTCGGTGGTGATACCCAGGATGTAGGGCCCAGGCTCCTGAACCATCTCACTGGCATTTCGTGCATGTACGACTGGCACATACAGCCCGCTCCACTCGTACACGCGGACGCAGAATCTGATGGTTTCTGCTGCGATTGTGAGCATGGCGGGGTGGTGGCTGGTGAGGATGATGCGACGAGTGGGTGAAACAGCAGCCTCGATAAGTCCTACGATGTTGGGAATACTCAAGCAGCAGTACAGTGGCCACATGTTGAAATTCTGGAACCCGGTGGGCGAAGACGGGAACTGGTAGCACAGAGCGTAGTCCTTCATGTCGATGCGCACCAAGTCGTTGAGTCGCGGAGCAGGGAAGCTGAGGATTCTAGACACCTCTTCAGCGTGGAACAGGTTGGTAGCCTTGTTCCAGTGAATCCACATGCCTCGCAAGTAGTCGCCCAACAGATTGTACAGAGGATATCGCGACAGAAAACTCAGACAGTATGGAATCCAGTATGTTTCGTCGGCGACGTCTCGGTAGTCTGTTTCTGTCTTGCGCCGGAGATCGCGGATGGTCTCTGCACGTTTCTCGTCGGCTCGCGACCATACTCGCAGAGCAATGCCGTACAACGTGTGCTGAGAATCCTGCTGGAGGACAAATGAGTGGTGCACACAATGTGGCTGGCTCCTGCCGGTGCAGATTTCAACGTCATGGGGGAAGCAGGCCTTGATTCTCGTCAGTAACAAACATGGGACCTCCTCGGTCTGTAGCACCTACCCTCATGGCGCTGTGTAGAGCTCTTGCAATCTCATTATCGGTTTCTAACCTCGGGCTGCTGCCCAATATTTCGGGGAGCCAGAACTGCCCGACAGCTCCCTTCATGTGTTGAATCTTGCCGTGAGACGGAGGTGGGGCCTTGACCCATTGCGAAGGTTCTCTTCCGACACCACAAACCATATACGCATGGGTCAAGGTTTTGGGTGTAGGTCGATTGTTTGACTTTGCCAACGTGGATGGTAGAGGCTGGGTGATACGGGAGTGCAGAGATGAGGTTCGGCTGGGGACGATAGCATTGTCGACGGTCTGCTCTCGGGTCGCCGGGCGGTTTGTGTCGCGAGTCTGGGGACGAGGAGCCATCGAAGTCATTGAGGTATGACCCCTTAGAGATGGACCCATGGTTGCCAACTGGGATGGACAGCCCTGCCTGTTATCCGTACCAGACGGAGCGTGAGGTAGCTCTTGCTGACGGATATCTCTGTTTTACTGGACAGCGTTGTGGCACAGAGATAGCCCCACGAGTGTGAAGAGAGAAGAAAATCAACGGTCGAAGCCCGTTGCCAGCTAGAAGAACAACACCACACCGAGGAGCGGTGTCGATCGCTGGGAGGTCTCGGATTGAAGTGAGGAGGAGATTGAGATTGATGCGACGCACACTCGGAGCTACAAGATTTCAGGAGTGCATCTGGCATAAGAAGCGAACGGAAGCGTGACAAGAGATGTCAGGCCAAGCGGACCGGGCGCACACCAGGGTGCCCACAAGAGTCAAGACCGGCACCAATTGCTCCCTGTGGACACCGGATATGCAGCTAGCAGGACGAGACGCACAGGGGTCGAGTTTCTCATCTGCGCGGGCTTTGGCTGCTTTCGGGAGCTTTCGAGCTTAAGCGAGGACCGGGCCCACACGGAGCTGGGGCGGTCGTTGATGACCTTCCAGATGGTCGGTCGACGGATTCAATGGTTGAGCTGCTAATGTTCAGATTTGGGGCGTTAGCATCATTCTCGGACAGGACACAGACTGACCGCGAAATTGATGGTACTGTGCGCAGTACAATAATAGGCTCAAGAGTCAAGCCCACGACCACGCCCGCCCGACTGACTGCCTCCTACTGTGTACCTGCACGCCTCGGGTGCCCGGTGCAGGCTCTTTAGGCTAGCAGCCTCCCCATCTGAGTCTAGCCAGGGGCCTGGGCGTGGTGCCTCTTTGAGACCAACCGGGTCAGGCGCTATGCCACCCGGAAACCAGAGACATGGAGTCCAGCCAGTCACGGTTGATCTGCCCCTGGTGACGTGCAAACCCCTGCCAATCTCGCTCCCCGCCTGCCCTCAATTTTAGCTTTCACCTCGGAATTATCCACTTGTCTGTGATGAGCCTGGCACGCCTGGGAGTGCGCACTGTGCGTGGTCGCCTTCCCTGCATGTGCTGGCACTCAACACGAACACGAGAAAACAGCAGCAGGATGTGTGCTTCTTTCCACCACTGGTTCTCAGCCGGCTTCCGTGCAGTCATCGAGTCAGTGCACAAATCTGAGTTTTCGCTTCTGCGTGCCTCAGGGGTTATGTCACTCCTCACTGGTGTTGGCGGTGTTCCCGTGCTACTTCGGGCTGAGGCATGCAATAAGCCTTCTCATGCCCCTCAGCCTTCCCGTTCACGGCACGACGACATCATTTTCTTCCCAGAAGGCCTGGACCCAAATTGACTTTACAGTGAAACCTTTTGGTATCGCCATGTCGATCTCAAGGAGGCCGTCACGGCGGACTGCTCAGTGTCTCTTCTTGACACAAATTCAGTCCGGCGTGGCCTTTGGGGGCTGTGAAGATCGCACCTGCGAACTGAGCTGCTGGTATGGTGAACGCCTGCAGGGCATCTCATTAACACAGTAAGCAGTGAGTGCGGCACATTGTGCAGAGCAGCACCAGGGACTGGACCACGGCACTGTTGCAAACAGGACTAGCGTAGCTTCCATGTCGCAGCCGTGGCTGTCAAACAACACGAGTGTGGCCGCCATGTTGCGATTCTGGACGGTCAAACAAGATTAGGTGTGGCTTCCATGTTCACAGCCATGCGCTGGTCAATCGGCGGGATAAGACGCAATAATTGGCGGTTCAATACACGAGCACTGCATTTCTCCGCGCTCTTGGACGTGGTGGAAACCTGGTGCGGGAACCTTTTCAGCTGTCTGAGAGCTTGATAGCCAACACCACGCGCAACGCCACGGAACTCAGATCCTGATGATGCCTTCTATCCTCCAACGGCTTTATTCCTCCAATGTCAAGTCTGTACTCCTTAACACTGAGGCGGTAATGGTCTCACCAGCATTATCCCTGCAAAGTGGACAGAGTGACACTGGGGACACGGTTCGATTACAACGAGATTAAGCATATTCTTCCGATTGCCTCACAAGCCCGCCAAGCTGTTTTTGTCCGATTTGTTTCACGGCAGGCTGAATATTCATTCCATCCTGCACCACATCCCTGACATCCCCTCGTTGGTGGAAAATGTCATGATCGTCATGACTTCTATTCGAAGTTCCAGAACCAACGGCGCCGAACTAGCATACATACCTACTTCCACAGCGCAAAAAAGCCGATGCATCGTTCACAAAATAGGTAATCCGCATGCGGCAGGCAACGTATGATGCAGCATGCAAGGCCTGACGAGATGTTTTCCCGCTAGCCGAGGATGACTGCATGCAGTGCAGTGCAGTGCAATGCGGGATTCCACATCGAATCGACACACCTGATTTGCAGACTCTCTGCTAGAACATGCCGTAGTGGCAAGCGATATGGAGACCGCTCAACAGAACTCTATCTGCAAATCTACGGGGATGTGTGATTCCATTTCCAGCGGGGCAGAGGATCGAATGAGCATTAGGTTTTATGCTTCTTAACCTCTAGAAGCAAGTCACGACATCCCCTCATGCAGGAGCCCCTGAATCCTTGGTCCTGCACACGACTGCCGTGCCTCTGAGGGGCGTTCAGGCAAGTCGAACCGCTTGAGTGAGCCATGTTGAACATGTGAATGGGCCTTCGGAAACATCAAGCAGCGGGCAAGATCTCTGTGTCGCACCTCGATGGTCTAGATTACCTGGAGCCAATGGAAGCAAGCTAAATACATAACCATATCTTACAGAACCAGATCGTGTAGAATCCTATCGTGTGAACTCACTGATAGATGGTAACTAGCCAAATCCATGATGGTGTCAACCTGGCCATTATTGAGGGCCACCGCATTAGCTCCGATACTCCTCGGGTAATATATCCCCGAAGCGTCTGGATTTCGCTCTCGGGGGTCGAGCGAGTCCACCGGGCTGAGGGATACCTCGCTATGGGTGCTAAGTAATGGGCACAAATCAACAATGCGCATTGGTTCTTCACTTGCACATGCTGAACGGACCGTCTTCGAACGAGGATTGTAAATTGATTGGTCTTGCACCCCATCAGAGGCCAGTACTTCAAGAGTCGCAGCTCAAACATGCGGCTGGCCTTTGCCTGAGAAAGAGCCAGGACATACTTGACGTCGATGAAGTCTGCGAGAGTCTCAGTTGAGGCGGCTCTTTTTGGCCCCTCTTGGACGTCTATGGCCATGCCGATGATACTTCGTAAACTGATTCGACCAGAAGACCACGCGACTCGTGAATGGACGAACCCTCGCCATCACTCGGGCGTCACCAACATGTTTAACAGTCTATCGGACTTTGGTGGAAGGCTTCCATGATAGGACGAGTGGGCTGTACCACGATTCCGAGCGCCCTCCTCAGGCGCAAGCATGAACAAATGGAAATATGATCCTGAGCAAATTACCCAGTCCAGTCGAGGAGGTCGGGTGGTTTTGGAACAAGAGTTCACGCGGACAACACTGGAGGACTGCAATCATAGGTATTGAAGCTTCATACACTCAGTACCTTGACATGTACTCTGCAGCTCCATGCCCGAGCAGACGGGCACAAGAAGACCTTGGGATCAGATGAGTTGTAGAGCCTGAGTTTCTGTCCATGATACCTTGTATGTGTCACTATTTCACTACCGATTCTACTCGCATCGGATTGGGTGAAATGCTGTCCAGCCGCAAAACTGGGGGGTTGCGCCTCAGCCTTGCCATGCCCTACTGCAAGTCTTCAGATGCGACCATTGGGGAGCGCTATGTGCTTTCTACGGCAGTGTGGGCAGTTCGCGTCATTGCTTCCCCGCATGCGGAGGCTTCAACCGTGATTCTACATGCCAAGCCAAAAATTTACGAAGCCGCGTCTCTCAAATGTGATGTCCAGTCCACCTGTGGCTTGATATTGCAAATTGCGTTGCTATGCCGGATGAGGGCAACGAGATCTTGCTGACTGACCTCTGTGCTATTTGGTGAGCTTCACGTACTTTCGCCGTCACGCAAGCAAGCAGCTAACCTCATAGCAGCCACATCAATCCGATCAAGTATACCTGCCCTCGATGCGGCATACACACTTGCTCGCTACCGTGTGTCAAGCGACACAAGTCTTGGGCACAATGCTCGGGCGTTCGGGATCCCGCCGCGTATCGCAAGCGCGCTGATCTAGCCACGCCGGCCTCGATCGATCAGGATTTCAACTTTATCACCTCTGTCGAAAGATCGCTGCAGCGAGCCGATGCGCTGAACCCAACTCAAACGATTGACCTGGCCCCAAGTGGCCTCAGACGCGATCGCAAGACAAAATTTGACAACGCTACTGAAGAGAGAGGCATACGCTTGATCAAGGCACCCAAAGGCCTATCCAGGAACAAGCAGAACAAGTCCCATTGGGCCGGTGAATCAAAGGGTGTCGCATGGACGACTGAATGGATACACTACGATGGCCGCAAAAGACATACAATTGTGTTCGAGTCAAGCACCGTGGGGGAAGCTTTTCAAAACGTGTTTGCGCGGAAACCTATACACAGCCAGAAACGCAAGCGAGGGACCTCTGAAACAGACTCTGCGCCAGCTGCAGGGCGGGAGATTCCACCCATTCTAGCAGACGGAGACAGCAAAAACAGCAAGAAGATTGTAGAGGAGGCACAAGACGTCCCACTGGATATAAGGTCTCGGTCATCTGATACCACCCCCGTCCAGTCTGGGGCCGTGGTCGAACATATGTCGGACAATGATCAAACCAACGCGCGGCAACACGTTGCGGCACAACCTCTGGAGGATATCCACTACTACCTCTTCAAACCCAACACGACATCGAAAGTAAAATGCCTGATCCCAATTGCCGCAGACTCAAAACTGGTTGACGTCCTGCGCAATCGGACTCTCCTTGAGTTTCCAACCTTGTACATTCGGCGGGAGGCGCCGGACGCATTGCCAGAGCCTTTCGTGACAGAGGCAAAGTACAATGCATTGTATGGACAGGACGTCTCCGCCAGCTTGCCGACATACGCACCAGACAGTGAGCTGGAAGACGGCGAGGTAGCCGATCTGCACCGCATTGACGAGAACAAGGTATTGGAAGTACTTCAGAAAGATCTCAGTGGCTGAATTTTCGATACGGAGTCTATGGCATGCTTCAGGCAAGCTTGCCTGGTACGAACGGATGTCCAGCGCTCAGTCCACCACAAACTGCCCAGGCCTGCCCATTGACGTAGCTAGCCTCGTCACTTCCCAAGAAGAGAGCAACTCTGGCGACCTCATCGGGCACAGCACCTCTTTGAAGCGGATTCAACTGACCAATCTTTCGCTCTGTCCCTCGACTTCGTGCTTGATCATACATGCCCTTGGTCATGCCGGTCTCGATCACACCAGGACAGATTGCATTGACCCGTACCCCTGTACCACTCAATTGGTACGACATGGTCTGGGCCAACGACACCACAGCAGCCTTGCTGGCTGAGTAGTCCGTGCCTCCTGCGTTCGACCTGAGACCAGCCACCGACGCCGTACCGATGATACTCCCGCCAGGATATTTCTTCTCCGGGCCCGTCTTCTGCATGGCAATGGCCGCATACTTGAAGCACAAAAACACGCCCAGAGCGTTGACCCGCATTGTGTTCATGAATGCCTGACTCGAGATATGCTCAAAGGTATTGGGCACGCCAGTGATTCCTGCATTGGCGAACATGATGTCCAATCTACCGTATTTCTCAATGGCCTGGTCCACCACTGCCTTGACTTGCGATTCCTCGCCAACATCAACCTTGACTGGGTGGATTTCGACTTCCGGGTATAACTGGGTTATTTCTCGCTTGTGCATTTCCAGGTACTTATCATCGTAATCGCAGATGTAGACTGCTTTGGCGCCGTTCTGGGCGTATTGATGTGCGGTGGCTCGACCGATGCCGATGGGGGAATTGCATCCTGCAACGAAGCGTCAGACACGCCATTGGCATCAAATATATGTGTGCTCCTGCTGATCCACCTACCTGTCACTATGGCGACCTTTCCCTTCACTCTCGGCCCCGTCGAGCTGTCTGCGACATGTCTCACGCGAGGTATCTCTTCGAATGTACCCTCCGAGGGAATGCCTTCGGCCAGCTGCTTCGAGAGCGCCGCTAGGCGTCGTTTCGGGACGGCCGTCATATTCGTGCTCGAGTGTGTTCGAGGCGGTTGTGGTTGTAATCCCCACTCAAAGCAGTCGTCCCGCCGACTGCGTGTCCTGGTCGGAGACACTACAACTTGCTCAACAGAAGGACCCGATCGGATTCTCGAGAACCAAGACGTGCTGATCTGGTGGGATATACAAATATAATTGCGCAAGTGCGTAAGCAAGCCAATCAGTGCGTCTGTTTGAGCGTTGCGCTTCAGCTAGAACGAGCTGCAGGGTGAATGTATGCTTTTCGGTCCTCTTTATCTATGGTTACACTCGGAATCTTGCACGAGCGGCGGCCCGTCTTTCATACAAGACCCTCGGTAGACTCGACTGGTTTCGTACTGTACCCGGTACCAAGTAATCTATACACCGCATGCAGAGGACTGAGTACTTCCCGCGCGGACCCGGACGCAGGCAAGATGGAGAAGAATGGGTGAGAAAGAGCCGAGGCTAGAAATCCATTTCGAGCATAATCCGGGGTGGAACTGGGTGGATCACCTCGCGCGTCTACTTGCTACGAGGTACCTCGTACTCCACCGTATTCGATGCTTATGTCAGTAATTGGAGAAAAACAGAAATAATTTTGAACTTCACAGTGCGGAGTGTCTGCGCCTGTGCGGCCCATTTCTGAAGTGCGCTGAGAGAGACAAGAAGCTGACTGAAAAGCTGACCTTATCATCGGGTAGCAAACATGTCGAAGCGAACAGCCGAAGACCAAGAGACTCTAGAGTCCCTCAAAGCAGGACAGCGACCTGACGGGGGCGCCAATGGTGAAGCGACCCTCGACTTTGAAGACGAGTTTGAAGATGAATATGAGTCCGAGGACGAAGTCATGGAAGCCGGGGTCGATGGGCGACCGGATGCTGAGAGAGAAGTCGAGCAAGCACAGGACGCAATGGAAGTCGACTCGAATAACCAGACCTTCATCCCTGGTCGAACGATACTACAGCCGGGAATGTCTCTCACGCCTGATCCTTCTACGTACGAGATGCTGCATCTGATGTCCACAACTTGGCCTTGCCTATCCTTCGATGTCGTACGAGACAACCTCGGGGACAACAGGAAACAATATCCGAGGACAATGTATGCCGTTGCGGGCACGCAGGCCGAGTCCGCACGATCGAAAGAGAATGAACTGTATATTTTGCGGTTGAGCAGTCTGTCCAAAATGGACCGCGGGAATCAGACAGATTCAGAGAGCGATAGCGACGACGATGAAGATGATGAAGGCTCGTCGGATCCGGTATTGGAGTCCAGGTCAATACCACTCCCAAGCACGACAAACCGGATACGAGCATTTCAGCCTACCTCTGCTGCTTCAGACCCAACGCAGATATCTCAGACATTGACTGCCACATGGCTCGAGAATGGTCAGGTCCTTATCCACGATGTTACCCCCTACCTACATGCGCTCTCAACCCCCGGCTACAGCCTCCCTCCTAATGCCTCAAAACCACTAAGCACCCTTCGAATGCACAGGGCAGAAGGCTACGCCCTGGATTGGGCTCCAGCTTCTTCTCATCCCAACGGCCGACTCCTCACAGGCGACAATGCTGGCCAAATTTTCAGCACACAACGAACAGAAGGCGGCGGTTGGGTTACCGACACGAGACCATTTGTTGGTCACACTGATGCAGTGGAAGAAATCCAATGGTCACCAAACGAGAAATTCGTGTTTGCATCTGCAAGTTCTGATGGCACAGTCAAAGTCTGGGATGCTCGGAGTAAGAGTCGAAAACCGATGATCGACGTCAAGATCAGTAACACCGATGTCAATGTCATGTCTTGGTCCACCCAAACGTTCCACTTGCTGGCTACCGGTGCTGATGACGGTCAATGGGCGGTATGGGATCTGCGGCAGTGGAAGCCCCAGCCTGGAGCAGCTCCTGGTTCCCAGCTCAAACCTAGCGCGGTTGCCGACTTCCATTTCCATAAGAAACCCATCACTTCGATAGAGTGGCATCCTAGTGATGACAGCGTGGTGGCAGTCGCCTGCGCAGACAATACCGCCACGCTCTGGGATCTGGCGGTCGAGTTGGATGATGAGGAATACGGCAGAGAAGCAGGTCTCGGGTTGGGTGAGGGAGCTGAAAAGGTTCCTCCTCAGCTATTGTTCATTCACCACGTCGAAGATGGTAAAGAGTTGCACTGGCATCCGCAAATGCCCGGGACCGTCGTGGTCACTGGTGGCAGCGGACTGGGCGTCTTCAAGACCATCAGCGTCTAAACGAAGGTCGGTGACGACGTGTAACGTGAAGGCGTCACCAAACGGTTCTAGTGCGCAATGATGATCTGTAGAGCAATGGACGACCATTACGAGAGCACTTTTGCGCCACAGCGCTCCTTCACCTTTGATGAACGAAGAATGTCACTTTTACGATCAGTCTCAACTTGCCGGACTCGAAATACGCTTCCAGCCCACCTAGCTATCCACTGGCGCACGAAGCATCCATCAACCTAAAGCATTCTCAGGTCACTCTAATCGGCCGAGACGCATCTCATGCACAACTCTCCTCCCTTCTTGACTTCTGACATACCCTTTCAGATCTGCTTCACGATCTTTATCAGCGTTGCTGGACCACTGTATCTCGCTTTGTGGACATTTGATATCCTTCTAGTCTTCGTTCTCAACAAGCTTCACCCTGGTCTTCAAGCAATCTGCTGCACCAAGGAAGACATGGACCGGTTCACACGTATCAGAGAACATTATCTGAGAGGGCAAGCTCGAACAGATTCAACAAAAACGGAACAACCGCCCGCAAACCCTGCAGCGGCGCCAGTACCGGCAGCTGATCTTGCCTTCGACTTTGACTTCTCGGCACCGAATATCGATCTCACACTCGGCGTGGGGAGCAAGTTCTCTTCAACCGGGCCAGCACGGCCTGGAGACCTGCACAATGGCCAGATCGGTATTGCCATTTCGGACTACGGGGAAAGCCCGCAGCGAGGACGCGCGAGGGTACGAACGCCCTCCACAATGTCCATACATAAGCAGAACGAGCCAGCTGCAAACCATGAAGAGGTTGTCGCGCCCGTGCCACCCGCTGATGATGAGATGCGCCTTAGATCCACCAAAGGGGACGAAGGGAAGTCGTGCAGACCATCATGCTCCACCTACTCGAAAGAATGGAGGCGGCGGGGAGGGAAGATGGTCACCCCAACGGAGCAATCTGCTGGTGGTGGACCAGCAGCAGTCACCAGTGTTGACTCCGACATTGAGTTTGGTGACAGGGTGCCCGTCAACAGACTTGTTGGCGCTGGTGAATCATCATCATTCGAAATTCAAGGATCCGCCGTGGCGGAACGACAAACACTGGGTGCTGTGTCAAGGACACTTCAAACGAATGCCTCGGATCAACACGTCCAGCGGGAAAAGAATAAGAGGAAGCGATCTCCGACCATCAGGAAGATTCTCTGCGCTTTCAAGATACGGTGACCCGAGAAAAGGACCTAGCTATACGGCCCTGGACTCCGAAGAAGACAAGGTGATGAACATGGCCAAGCCTACCTCGTTTGCTCTGCTTTCAACCTCTGCTTCGAGCGCACCACCGACTCTAGATCAAGGCTCTTCAAACCTGGCGCCCCAGCTTGGGAACCACCGATTAGGCGCCGCTATTCTTGCAACAGTCGCAGAAAAGCAAGATCGAGCCAGAGCTCATGATGATACCGACGATAGTGCCAGTTCCTCTGGGCAGCTTCGTGGTGGAGGCAATGCCAACTCCGTCTACCCAGAATATATCTGGGAGGATGAGGAAATCCGCCGTCTTGCGGAGCACTGGGGGCGACCATTACCGCGAACTCAACGACGAAGACGTCGTACGACAATCCGCATGGCTGATATGGATGAAGATGATGAGATGTCTCTTGATAGCTCTGCTCCAGGATCCCGCCACCGCCCTCGTCGTCCTGGTTCTTCCTATGGTCTCCTAGGTCTTGAAACACTCTGGCGCCGTCCACGCTTGCTGCGCCGCAGTCCACCTAGGAATGGAGAATTTACTCCTCCGCCTGGAACGCCACGGAGTGGATCACAGGTAGATACTGACCCCTTTCCTAGCCCGGAAAGACGTCGACCACAGCGCGGACCTGGATCTGGATCCGGGCCCTCCCACGAACAGCAGCGCCGAGAGTCTAGAAACCACAGAAGGGGTCGCCGACCAGGGAGGAGACGTGAGCGCGAACCTGGCGACCGAAAACCCGCGAACAGAGCACGAAGGCAGCAACGTCAAGAACGCTCGCAACTTGCTTCGATGGAATCAACCAAGCCGCATGGAGGAGAAAAACCCCCAGCCATTCTAGCAGTGACTCAAGGTGCACCAGACCAGCAAACTTCGCCGATCCCTCTTTCCCAAAACGAAGCCTCAGTCCCAGTCCAGACAGACTCACAACAGTCAGCCTCCCTCCCTTTGCGGCCTAAGTCGCCTCTACGATCTTCTCCATCAACGCGCCAACTACGAGCTCCCCAGACAACAGGCCCGGAATATTCAGACACTAGTCTCCGACCATCCGTCCCCATGGCTGACTGGAATCGAGGCGCGAATTCCCCACGAGAGATATACTCCTCGCCAGGAGAGCTCACCACACCGATCCAGATTGCCCTAAACGACGGCCGAGCCCTCACCCCACACGAGTACAACGCCCTACAAATCAAGCGCGCGGGCAAGACTGTAATTCGCGGTCCACGAACACCATCTCCTGAGCGCACAGCACCGCATTGCACGCCTAGGCCGACAAGCCGTGCGGAGATGAAGGAGGAGTCAGAAATGGAAACCCTAAGCGCAATGAATCTCTTCCGCCGAAGCAGACTCGGGAGCGCGAGGGGGAGCAGCAGCGGCAACAACAACAACAATAATAGCGAAAGCCCAACTCCAAGCGGAGTTTCCAGAACCCAGGTCCTGCCCATTGTCAAGGCCATAAAACCCACGGCTCTGACCGTTCAAGCTCAAGCTCCATCTCCCACTACCACCACCACGGTCAGCACCACGGCCACTACGGTCCACCTTCCAACAACTTCGGCTATGGCGGGACTGACCCCGATTTTAACCTCGCGCATGACCTCTGGCCCGGGTCCAACCTCATCATTGCCCCGATCATTGAACATCACGAGACCTCTAGGCCGAACTCCCTCCGCCGGGCTAGGCAAGAGACCTCTCCCCACAGCCGTGCAGGTCGACGCTAACGCTAACGCTACGTATCCCAGACACGGCAGAGACAGAGACAGGGACAAAGATGCAGAGGGGCAGGACGCTTGGAGTTTTGCGAGGTTGAGGCCGTGACAGGGGCGGAGAGAGAGAGAGAGAGTCACAGGTGAACGGACAGGCGGGCGGGGACGGACGTACAGGCAGATGCACGCTCAGACACAGAGGCACAGAAAGGTTATATGGCTCGACCAGCTCCCCTGCTTGACTCGGTTCGGGATATGCCATGATCTATGACCTATCTTGGACGCAGTCAACAGACGTGAAGACATGAAGACATCAGCCTTGAGGGACTGGATGTCGGTGTTGATTTGGAAAGAGCTATGAGCCATGAGCTATGAGCTATGAGCTATAAACTATCGTGGACGTAGATAGTCAACGGATATGATCACACCAAAACATCGAGACATCAGCATTGAGGGGACGGGATATCAGCGTCGTCACTACACACGTAATTTCAACCAGGCCGGGCGGGTGGGATCATTGCTGGTCGACGAGCAGACCACCGAATGAGCCGCCGCCATGTACTGTAGTGGAGACGGACTTGTTGTTATTGTTGAACGCGCTCTCCATCCGCGCAACGTGAATGTGTGAATTTGGGTTTTCTCTGCAAGTCAGCTGGAGGACCGAACTGTCGGAACAAATCCAATGCATGATAGATAGACATGATAGCCCGAACAGAACCTTCATGGTACTACGGAGGACGTAACAAAACGCAGTAAATTCACCACATGGTAGACACGATGGCCGGGTAAATACAGATATGCATAGTATCTCTATCTCCATGGTACGGAGTACCTATCTACAAAACCAATGAGTTAGTTACCCAAACCGCGAATCTGCCTCCATCAATCTGTCTGTGATGGGAATACTCTCTGTATGTAGATAGATAGGTCGCCCTATCGATGCCTGGTTCCATCTGGTTGCCCCTTCTTAGAACGCCCGTGGCAGAAATAATCCCCCAAAGCAATGCTCCTATATTCCAAGCGATATCCCAAACCAAGCAATTTCTTTCCTTCCCTCGCGGGAGACCCGTCTCGTGACGCAAAAACGCCAGTATGCCCATCCGTCCAACCATCCAACAAACCCATCCCCGGTCACGATCGCGCGTCCACTCCCAATCTTCGATCCTCGTCACTTCCGCAAACGGCCAGAGTCGTAGCCTTGGATCTTTGGGAGTCCGCCGCGGTCCAGTCACATGGTCTCCAACAGAGATAGACCGCGGGTCTGCGATGGATGCAACGATCGCAAACATTGGCTCGGTCAGGTCGACGAGAGAGGTCCTCAGCCTGTCGCCAGTGGCGGGTGAGGGAGATCCCGATCCTGTCTCCAGAGTGCTCTGGGAGGAAAGAGATGAAGAGGTCGTCGCAATCGAGTGTACCATCGCCAACAGGAGTAGACTCCAGTTACTAGTACTCACCACGGCCATTAGATGTTGTCTCCCCACCACATCTTCAGCAATGTTGCTTAATCCCTCATTGTAAGCTACGATCAAAGTGGACGACTCGACAAAAACCGCTCGGGCGCTCAAGAATGCCGAACTCGTAGACCTCGATACCTTGTTTCCTTCTGCTCAGTAATGATAATGCCGTCTTTAGATCCTGAAAGTCACTGCAGCGCGTCCTATAAAGCTTTAGGGCGTGCAGGAAGGGCTGGATTCCCGAGTAGCCGTGTCAGATGGTGACAAAGTCGCGCACAGTATGGACAGGAGTGCTGAACATCGAGCACATCATCTCCATTCAGCGATACATTGATTCTTGGTGTTCATGAATGGTGGCGGCAACTGAATTGATATAAGTCTTTTTGTCCGTATGATATTCTTCAGGATAGGCAAGCTGGCACCAAGATTTTGAGAACTGGTATGTAGATGGATGTCCATGGGGTTTTGCATGCAATGAATCTTGACCTCGTTCGTGGTCGACAAAATGTGCAGCTGTCCGATGATATCGTGCGGGACAGTCCTTGAGGTCCGATGGCGACTATACCTCTGGGGGTATATCCTGCTAGGCGCCTGGCGTGGTCCTGAAGACTTCGAGGTGGTTGGGGTCAAACTCCAGAATTTGGGTACAGCATGATGTACCCCAGCAGTCGACCGCCGGAGCCAATCCTGCGTAACGGACTTTGCATGATGACGCTGCTCATGTCCGGGCCGAGCTGGAAGTATTGATAGAACATGGACAAGAGGTGGTGCTGATGATGCGCTCGTAGGAGCGATCGGTTGGTTCGCAGGCCGTTGTCAGGTTGTGAAAAGAGGGACGGATGAAACGTCCCAAGAACGGCGGCATTGTTCCGTTGTTCTCTGCCTGCACCGTTTCTGCTCTCATTGGAGTCCGACGTGTGCGAATCGCTGAGTGGGAGCTTCCCAGCTTGGTGAAGGAAGAGGTGAGCTGCAAGCCAGTGCCGCCATCCTGGAAGGCACGTTGATCGCTGATATCTTCCAGAAAGACGGCAGCTGCAAACCGATCGATCCTGAGAGCAGGTTCTACCATGATCTGCCACACGAGCAACAGAACTTCTGGACAGCAAGTCGAAGCACCACCCAGCCACCTCTCGCAACGTGAGTTGACCTAGATGGATACAGCAAGATTCCAGCCACTTACCTCTACTGCGAGAACAACACGCCCTCGTCTCCGGCAGTGCGGGAGATGATGGTGAAGCCAGCAGGTCTTGATGTGCAAGGACTGACGTGCGGAGTCGGACATTCACCATTCTTCAGCCAACCGCATGTCTTTGTCGGGAGCATACTCAAGTCCATACCCAGTGGACAAGCGAAGCATCCCTGGGGAGTGTCCAGATGGGCTCCCACTGCAAATTGGGAGCGGGTTGTGGAGACTGTTCGGAAGAACTTGGAGTTGGCAGTCCATAAGTGCCAAGTTCTGTCGCCGGCGTACGGTGGTGAGGGTGGATCGGGATTGCAGTGGGTGAAGACGAGTGTTGGTAAAGCGAGTCGCCTGACGGACGGTGGTGAGGGTGGATCGGGATTGCAGTGGGTGAAGACGAGTGTTGGTAAAGCGAGTCGCCTGACGGACGGTGGTGAAGATTTGGTGATTGCACAACTTCCATCCATAGCCCAGAGCCAGGCTCCTCAAAGATGTAGTCCCACCAAAGATATGTGCCCATGAGTTCGCTAAAGGCTCGCCATTCCGAGACATATGGGACCCGCTCGACGTATTCACGCAGTTTCTGTACGAAATATGGCTTCTCGGGGGTGTTGAGGGACGCCAGACCACCGAGAATCAAGGCCCACATCACCATAATGTTGTGGTCGCCAACATCATGGCCGTTATACGTAGTAGCGGACCTCCCGGCCTCGAATTTCTCGAACTGCTCCATAGCAGCACGAAGCTGTGTAGCCAGCCGAGGTCTGACTTGAGTCGTGGTTGGTAATGAGAACAAGACAAAGTCGCTATAGATGAGACCGGCCAGACGGCACATATCGCACAAAAAGTCGAGCCTCGACGGGTATGGTGGCATGTTTACTCCGATACTCAATAATTTGTGGTGAGTCTCGTTCGCTGCATTGATCAGATCAGCCAGACGTGGCGCATTCGGTCGACATTCTTGGTAGTGATCAAGAGCAACGGTGATTTCGCCGGCATTCCTGAGAATATTAGCCAGCCTCAGGTCGATGGAGTCCAGCTGTTTGAACCCTGTGCCAATGACTCTTGAGATGGCGATTGCTTGGTGATCAGGTTGATACCTGGGTCCTTTGAGAATCGGAAGAGAAGGCCGGAGCCATGGAAATGAGGGCGGTATTCCTAGTCTCGAACTGATCATCAAATCGGCACTAGGCAAGAGTCAGCTTCACCGGAATGCAAGGAAGGGGTCTGTCATTGACTCACAACTGCAGCAACTGCGAATTTCCAAAATCACGAGTTGACTCAATCCCGCCACGCTTAGTGACCAGTTCTAAGAGTGCTCCGATCAGATGGGGCACAATCGCCAGCCTTGCATAACGGTGAAGGTTTTGCGCAGTGGCCAAAGGTGATCTCCGGAAACTGTCAAGTGATGTTGTCTGATCTGGGGTGGTCAAAAGAGCCACCATGATCTGCGCCATGATGAGGGCATCGGAAGGCGGGCCTTTGAGCTTGCTGAGAGCCTTTCTGACCATGTTTAGACCTCGCTCGGAATGGCCCTGTGCCATTGCGTCGATCTCCTCGGAAAGCGGTTCCATATCGGCATCGGCGCGGTGCAAATTAACAGCAGCGGCTACTTGCAGGTGGAACATCATGGGCCATTCTTGGCCAACTCTCCTCCAGGAGATCTTGATCATCGAAGCTTCATTTTCCGAGGCAGTGGACAAGACTTTGGGATGGACATATTCATAGGCTTTTCCACGAGACTGAGGTCAGTATGGCAGAAGCGTTTGCGGAATCCAGGACAACGTACCCCAGTCAAGGATGGATTGGAGCTGGTTTGGGAGGATGGTATGGGGGTTGGTCTCAAATGGATCCACCTTGGCTTGTGACAACTGTGACCATGGACTGATTTCGAACTGGGCTGTCATGGGTGGATTCCTTGCGACGAGCTGAGTTCTCGTCGCACGAGACTTCACATTCTCATTGACCCATTTGACGACTGCTCCGCGTTTGGCGGCTCTCCGCTCATGGGTGACTTTGGCGGCATGAGCACGGGCTCGCTTCTCGACCGCCTTCCGGCCACCTGGAGCGTTTGTCGCATCGGGCACGAAGTGATAGGTCCTCGGTTGAGCCATTGCGAGGGTTTGATGATGGGCCAACTGCTCATGAGGCGTCGGGAGAAGCTGAGCGCATAGCTCTTTCGACGTACGATACGATTAAGGTGAGGTTGGTGACGGTGAGCCAAGCGAGCCGAGTTGAATTGGCTGAAGGAGCTGACACCGGCCGAGGTGCGCGGGCTAGGCAGGATTGGGTTCGCACGACTCATTCGGCTAGCGCCAACAGGCCGACGAGGGGTCGTCTGATCGGCTGCCTTTCCATGACTGCAATCCAGCACCGCGAGCCATTGTTGCTGTCGAGCAGAACGTATGCCTGTACGATGAAGGTTGAATATAAGCTCGAGATCACATATGCAAACTAAGATGCCCGGCCAGTCAACGTTGTCCAACGTTGGAGATGCGCATGCATAGCCGGGCCAGTGGACGTGCAAGTGCGCCGCTGAGCTGGCCAGCGCAGAGTGGCCACCCAGGCGAGCCCAGAACCCCCTCCCAGTGGGGGCGAGGGGAACTTGGGGCAGGCATCGGCAGCGGCGACACTGGGAGACCGGCTGCTTCACGAAATTGAGCTGCCAAGATGATGACGGTTATGTGACAGTGTCACGTGTTGTAACTGCCAAAGCACGTGATAACGCGTGAGGTATTACCACGTGACATACCTGACGATCACCCTCAGCTTTCTCGAGCCAATGTTCTTGGCGTGGCCATTGGCCCAGGGCTGCGTGACGCCTCATTTCCGCTCACGACGCGATTGATCACTTCTTGAACTGCGCTTCGTCAATACAACGTGAGATCATTTTGAACCTTCCCATTGGCCATATGCACAATCATCTATCACGCGTCTTGCCCTTGGCTCATTAGCTCTGTGGTCATGCCGCTCGCCGCTTGTCGCTATGTGCACTTTTCAAGATTACACCTCCATCTTCGGCTCTGCCTCCTCGCCTTCTATGGTCTGCATACCATGCACGATTGCCATGTGCCTGCATTAGTTTCCGCTATGGCGACCAAGATCCTGGGGAAATATGCAGTGGATGAAATCTAATCTGGGTTGGTGTCTTATTCTTCACGCTCCATGCGGCCACAAGATCATGAGGCTCTTTAAGAATCAGCTGCCGCCCAGCTGGTTTCGCTTCCAACTCGCGCTCTACATGGTGTGAGTCTTCTTCCCGGTTCTCTTTGCTTTCTTTTCTTGAATCTCGTGCTCTGCATCTTGCGAGGGCTGTCCATTCTTTACTCGAATATCTGTGTTCGCCGAGAGCTTCCACTCCTTGTCTATGCAACTGTCTGTCAGTCTTTAGGTGAAAATGCTTTCTCGGCTTTGTTACTTGTCTCTGCTCCCAGTGTTCGTCAGCTTCGTTCACACCGCGCCACTCGCACTCGACAAAAGAGGTACTTCCTGAATCCCAACGGTGACCTTAACCCAAGGCTGACGCCTCTTGGGCAGCTATTTCCCAGGATTTGCTCAACGAGCTGTCGTTCTTCGAGCAGTACTCTGCAGCGGCATACTGCCCAGAAAACAATGTGCCTACCTCCAACACAAGCATCAGCTGTGACGCGGACAACTGTCCTCTCGTCCAGTCCGCGGGCGCGGAGTCGATTCTTGAATTTCAGAAGTACTTCCACCCCGTCTTGCTCGAGCGACCGCAAGTCGTTTCGCAATGGAACGTGACCGTGCTAATTGCCGTGGCATGCACAGCGAGGGGTTGGCAGACTCGACCGGCTTTGTGGCCCTCGACCACACAAATCAATTAATCGTAATGTCATTCCGGGGCACCACGTCCTTCTCCAACATCCTCGCGGATATCAACTTGGTCATGGTCCCCTGGGACATCTGCCCTCTTTGCACAGCACACTCTGGCTTCCTCGACTCCTGGACGAGCGTAAAGCCCCAAATCGAAGGGGTTCTCGCGAGCGCACGACAGAGCTTTCCTACGTATGGGATTGTAGCAACGGGACATAGTCTCGGTGGCGGGATCGCCACGCTGGCGGCCGCCGATCTGAGGAAGAACTCTGGCTACGATGTCTCTTTGGTACGTTCAGCCGTGCTCGCCTCGCCCCACTGCGCTTTTCTCCAGAAGTTGACACATGCCACCAGTATACTTACGGCTCGCCGATGGTGGGCAACTATCTCCTCGCGACGTTCATCACCAACCAATCGTCGAACAACTTCCGGGTTACACACGCACAGGACCTCATCCCAAAATTGCCTGGGTACCCAATCTATGCGCACGTTTCCCCGGAATACTGGATCACATCGCCCACAGACGCGGTCGTCACGCCGAACGATGTCCAAGTGAGTAGCGGGGTTATTAATCTAAAGGGCAATCAGGGGCAGTTGGACAGCAGCATCGACGACCACGGCTGGTACTTTAACGACATTTCGGCGTGTTCGCCGGGGCTGGGGAGCGAGCTGGGGAGGTGACGTCGTCGAAAGGCCTGGAGAGAATGAGCTGTGTCAAGGAGAACTCTTCAACGACCAGTCTCACGCTAATGACCACTGCCGAAGCTTAACAACTTTTAATTAACGCATATCTTGATCACACCTCGATCGTTCTGGTTCGCAAGACACTTTGTAATTCAGACCAGCATGCTGCGCTTGTAGTGCCGCTGTCACGCTGCCATGACAGAAAGCAAGTAACGACATCACGAGGAGCAGCAGACACCCGCTCCGCTTAAACTTGAAGTATCCATTCGTAAGATGTCTTCCCTCGCCTGGCTACGGCGATGTCGTCTGCTTTGCCACGTTTGATCAATCTGCTGCGCACCGCTAGATATACAGCTGGCATTTCATGATCGTTCATCAGTGAGAGTTCGAGACCCCGGGACGCCCGACCCCTGCCTGGCCCCGACATTTTCAGTTATTGTCCAGCCCATCCCATCGGACTTGACTACCAACGCAACACGAACTCGACAGCTCGCGCTCCCTTGTTTCTACCTTAGTCAATTTCAATCTATGTATGGGCTACTACCTCTTGAGCCACGGATCTTGCCACGAGTAATGCGTAAAGCCAACGACCCCAGACCTCAGACTCAATGCGGTCCTGTCTGCGTGCATGCCACGGCAATCGGATCCGCGACCTCGAAGCCACAACCCGCGTCGCCACCAATAAGACATCGTAAACACTCACGACGTGGACCTTAGAGTTCCCTGGCACGATGACCCTTCACAAGATCTCGGATTACGAATCCCCCCTCTTTTCGATGCCGCGGGCTCTGCCACCACAACACCCCATTGATGTAGCGGTTTTTGAGTTTTGAGTTTTGAGTTCCAGGTCTCCGAGCACGAAAGGTCGGGATACGGATATGGGATACCTGGGGAGAGTCTGGGTGCCTCTTTACCCCGCATCATGGGTTATGTACACAGTACCTATTTTATGGATCGAACAATCCCGGCCAGCTTCTCCCTGCTTCTTGAATGGTTAAGGGACGTGGGACATAGGACTCGCGCGTCACTGTGTTTCTAAAGCTGCGTTGCTAGTAGTGATTGTGAGTCGCCCGAGGTCAACCGAGGTGAGCCACTTCAATTGTCGTGGACCACGCGTTTCACCACTTCTTTCGTATCTTAACCGAAGGGGTCGTTCGCACCACAAAGTCGAAAGAGCCAGAACCACAGCAAACAAACGTTCTGGCAAGTCCGATCTCCAGGTACAAGGATGGCATCTTCCAACACGGCGGCCATGCTTGCGCAGGCTGGCGTGCCGGCGTTCAAGTGTCCCCCGGGCACAAAGATGCACATCTTGGATCTGGGTACGCTGCAAGCTGACGAGGGATGGTAAGTTGCTTTCCCCCCACGGGGCCGGTCCAAGCTTGCAAGTACCAGAGATCAGAGATCAGGGTCACTGACGGGCACCGTATTGCAGGCTGCTTCGCGGCGGAAACAGCAGCTCGCTAAGCAACAAGAACCCGGAGAACAAGCGGCGGGATCTGATCATCTTGTCTGCTCTGATTGAATATCCTGGCGTTGGACTGATTCTGTATGAGACCGGCTGTGCCGAGGACTTGCAAGTCGTACGTCAGTCCGTCCCCTGTGTTCTGATTCCACCCTGGGAACCATATGAGGGAGTCGCCATATACTGACCAACCCGGCGCAGGCGTGGCCGGCGCCGTTGACCGACGTCTTTCCTCGCATCGGCTATAGTGACGAGCAAAAACTGCCCGCCGCGATCAAGGCCACGGGCAACGACATCAAGGACGTCAAGGCCGTGGTCATAGGCCACCTGCATCTCGACCACGCCGGCGGGCTCGAGCACTTCATGGGCACCGATGTGCCCATTTACGTGCACGAGGAAGAATTCAAGCACGCATGCTGGGCCGTCGGGACTGGGGCCGACCTTGGCGTTTACCTGCCTGGCTACATGTCGCTGGACAAGTTGAAGTGGAATACCTTCAGCGAAGACCACTTGGAGCTGTACCAGGGCATCACGTTGCACCATTCGCCTGGCCATACGCCCGGCCTGTGCATCATGCAGGTGAATCTCGAGCGGAGTGGGACGTGGATCTGGACGACGGATCAGTTCCACATTGCCGAGAACTACGAGTTGAGTCATCCGCACGGCTGGCTTGCGAGGGATCATAATGCGTGGATCAAGAGCTTGAAGATGATCCAGCGGCTGCAGAGGTTATTTGATGCAAAGTTGGTGTTTGGGCATGATATGGATGTTGCGAAGAAGTATATGGGGAAGGTGCACGATTGAGGTATTGCGACATGTCGCTTAATGACAACTTACGGCTGGAGAAGGGAGCCACTCAACGGTCAATGTGTAGCTGGCTTGAGAGTAGTTTGCCTTTCGATCGGGGTCGTCGGTTGTTGTAGTGTAGGACCTTACCTAACGATTTGTTGCCTACTCACCGTCCGGCGCCTGCATTATTGTCCGTCTGTCATTCCGCTTCACGAGTCGGCTACAATCAGGAATCACGTATTCGATGCTCGTCAGTTGTGGCTTGTGAACTAATCAGGTCGAAGAGAAAATATACCAATGTAGGTTAGTGAAGTTTGCGTCTGCTAAGGACCGCGAGACGTCCTTCCTGTTGTTCCGCACGGCAAGGTCAAAATCGCTGCGATGAATAATCTGCATCACCCTGCACCTACCCTGAGCATTTTCGATGATGAAAGGTGTGTCGTGAACATGCAAGGTGCTGGTCGGAGTGGGCCTGAGGGCCATAAATAAACGGGCAGAGAAGCATTCGTAACCGACATCCTGCAATGCTGATGTGTTTCTCAGCGGCAGCTCTCCTCATTGAGTATAGTGAACAGCATCGGAAATGGCCCCTAAACTGGAGCGTTGCATGACCGTGCGAGGATACATCGCGGTGGGCGACGACATCCTTCATATAAAAAACGTCCTCAACGGGCCGCAGAGGAGCTTCATTCCGGTCACAGGGGGTTACATCAGGGGCGTGGGTCCAGCGGAAGGGCTTGAGGCAGAGATCAGTCCGGCGTCCTCGGATGGTGTTCTGGTATGTAGAGTCGGTTGCTGCTTCTGGTGGAGAATAGTTGCACCTGGGGATGTGCTAGACAAGCCTCTCTTTCTGACTGCTTGTTGGGTGGAGGTTAACATCAGTATCTCAGATGAACCCCTCCACCAACACCGCGCATCTTAATGTCCGAGTCGGAGCGCGCTCATCTACCGGAGCGGCCATCTTTGTCCAATACCAGGGCATAATTAAAGTCAACGAGGCGGGGGGCAAAGTCCTTTCCGGTGCATCAGATGCCAAATCCACAGAGTATGGAGAGCAGGAATGGTTCATTTCACCGCTCATTGAGAGGAGCGACGAACGGTTGAAGTGGATGGAGGAATCGGTGTGGGTTGGACAGGGACACTGGGTCGTTGATGAGCAGGGCAGTGCCGTTGAATACCAGGTGTATAGGCTAGTGAATTGAGTTAACATGGCGATACTGTAAAGACTGCCAATTGCAGACGCCTCTGGTGGCACTCAGAGGGCGCAGATATTTAATTGAAGATGCTGCTGCTGAGCGTGTCGGCGTGTCAAACGCGCCATCACCTGATCAGCGGTGGAGTTGAGTTGGTCCTCAGCACCAATTCCCTCTCAGGCCATCTGACGCCAACAATTGCATTCAAGTTCATCGTAGCAGCGCTGCTGAGTCCGAAGCGGTTTCCAGCACTGGGAGCGGTGTAGCCTTCGGGCGTGAAGGCAATGAACAATGTTGAAACGGTAGCCCTGCGCATAGCAAGAAATTGCTTACAAGCTACAACATGTCGACGGTTCCCGTTATCCGCCTCGCAGCCACGGCTCCTCGACCTGTTCCCCTTCCACAAGAAACAGCCTCTTGCCACAGGGCACCGTCCTTTTTCCCAGCTTACACCCTGCCGGTTCAGCCAGTCTGCAGTCGCTCGCAAACTCAAGCCATATGGATCTGACAAGAAGCCGGAACAGGGATTGAGATTCCAGGACAAAGACTTGAGCGATGACCAGATACTAGCCATATTTGGGCGTGATGCTCCTCCTACGCAACTCGCGAATCGAATACTCCGCGTCCTACATGGCCGTCGCACCGATGGGACCCTCGATCTGCCACTGCCGAAAGACGTCGAGGCGCAGTTGGAAGAATACCCTCAAGCAGTCGAGGAAGGGCTCCAATACCTGAGACAGGCGTATCCGATCGACGAAGATGAAGCCATCCTGTACCGCATTGAGCGGGAAGAGGATCCTCGCGAAAAGGATCATCCATCGGTATTGATGCAGCGGGGCCAAGACCTCGGGCTCTATAAAACACAGTCGGCACCCCAGGATGAAGCTTACTATGGTCCTCAGAGTGGTTATTACCAGGCCGAGCTCAGTGACAAGGAGCACGATCCCTACGGCAAGAGCGAGCTCGACAGGATTCGAGCAGAGAACGACGCCAAAAGGGCCAGGGAAGAGGAGGAACTACAGGCACAGATTGACGCAGAAATGGCAAAGGCTCAAGAGTTGCACGAGGAACGGACCAGAGCCGTCGCCCAGCGTCCAGAACAGGGCTTAGAGACGGCCAAAGAGCTGAGACCGCCCAACAGCTTTGAACGATGGGTGCTCCGGGCCCGCAATCGAGCACAGTCGAAGTTGGCTCTCGATTCGCCCGAGATCGCTCATATGTCCACGTTTCAACGCGTGTTCCCATCATTCTTGCTGGCCGCAGCTCTCTGCGTCGGTTGCTATTTCTTCGCCCAGGCGTGGACCCGACCAAAACAGTCGGACCGGTTCTTTCCAGACGTGTCTCTATCCTCTGCTACCGTCGGCGCCCTGGTCGCGCTCAACACCGCAGTCTGGGTGCTATGGAAATTGCCTCCTTACTGGTCGATGCTAAACAAGTACTTCCTATTCGTTCCGGCGTATCCTTATGCTCTCAGCAATCTGGGCACTCTATTCAGCCATCAAAAGCTATGGCACTTGAGCATGAACATGCTGGCTTTGGCCATATTCGGGCTTCCTCTCCACGAAGAGATTGGCCGGGGCAATTTCCTGGCCATATACTTCGCCTCAGGCCTGATAGGAGGGTTTGCGAGTTTCGCGCGCCACGTCATTCAGGGCAACATGGCGACATCCGTATTGGGTGCGAGTGGTTGCGTCTACGGCGTCATGTCCGCCTACCTTGCTCTCCACACGAAGTAAGAATGCTCCTCCCCAGGGCCTGACCACAAGGATAATCTGATACTGACATGATAACCTATAGTGATCGGTTCTCTCTTTTCTTTGTACCAGACAAGTACACAGAGACGCTGTCTTTCAGTGGTGGTGCAATTTTCTTCCTCATTGCCGCCGGCCAGGTCTTTGGGGTGGTAGGACGCTTGGGAAGGTCCGACTATCTCGACCATTTGGTTGGTATGATGGTTGGTTTCTTTTCAGCTCGATGGTGGCAGAACAACGGCGTGAAGAAAGAAAAGCCAGACAAATCGGTAAGGCTCGGATCGTGGTGGAATACTCTGCTCGGCAAGGACAATTAAACTTCGGGGCCTGTCATCTAGAGCTAGCAAGCACCACAGCGGGCATGCTCAAAGTCGTTGCTCGAAGATTGGGACAACAAAGTCACCGGCTCATACAGGCTCTGAGCACATTCGTGTGGGTGATTGACGGTAATGAAAGGTTCAGATTCCATGAGAAGCAGGTTGCGTCGCTCACCAGGTCTCCACTTTGGCCAAGTACTGGGTCTCTTGTCGAGCCGTACTGGAAGTAGGGACAGGGGACAGCAGTGGTCCTGTCGGACACGTTCTTTGTGCCTCGTCGAGCTGGGAAGTTGTCAGTCGAAGTGAGCGTGAACATCATGGTCCCACTCGTCCTGTCCGGGCACTGGAGCGTTCAGCACGGTCTGGTTGAGACCGTCGACTCCACCGAATTGATCAGGAAGTAAAGGATCAGACCCCGGTCTACGGTAGGCTACCACAGAACAACGGTTCCGGGGGGCTTCAACGCCCGTAGTCAAGTATTATATCTCGAAGTAATTTCGTTGTGGCCCCTTTTGTGGGAGGCTTGCAACGAGGGCCAGATGTCTTGGGGAGTATTCCCCTTTGAAGTGCTCTATGACGATAAACACGCACTCACCTTCATCGTACATAGCCCACAGCCGTAGCACGGCGACGAACGACAGATGTTGATGCTGATGTAGAAAATCTAGATTGTTTCCTTGACGGATCTTGGTCCCTGAACCGTATTCAACAACCAAGTGCGCACCTACCAATAGCCTTGGCTGTCTGTGTGGAGCGCTGGTGCTATGTAGTGCCGGCTGGTCGAATCTCCTGCGTAGCAGGAAGGGAAGCTGGAAGTTGATCTGGTGCGACGTAATATGGATCATTCGGCGGTGTTCATATCTCTTTCAAGGAGTGTGTCTGGTGTGCTCAGTGTCTGCCGAACCATCGTGCATAACCGGTAAATGAGCTCCTGAATTGAAGAGAGCTGGCTTTCTTTGTTTCTTGATTATTCGTGAGAAATCTTCATCAAGCGTAACGAGAGGCCTCCTCAGAGCCCGTGTCGGATTAAGATAGCATTGCCTCTGGGCAGCGAGGCCAGCTGGGGTAATTATGGCGTGTGGTAAGCGTAGCAGAACTTGCGGGAGAAGACTTCCTGCTACTCGTACTTCCGGGTTCTGATCTGCGCAGTCCTCCTTTCTTGTCCTACCTCGTACCTTGACACGATAATTGGGTGGAGAGCGTCGAAGAAGATTGTGGCGGCTAGAGGAGCTCAGGGACAGCAGGTTTTGGCTTCAAGTACTGTGAACGGAATACGGTGGATCAAAAACGGTGAAGCAGGAAACCACCAAGCTGCTTCACCGAGCGCACGCGAACCCCGCCATTGACCCATGAACGCTCTCAGCCTGATGTGTACTGTAAGTACTACGTGCTGGACGGTTTTCCCCTTCGGCCAGGGTCGACCACCTGGTCATGCTTTAATGCGAAAGGCAGGTCAACCGAGGGGAGCAATCGCGGGGAGATGCAAGGCCACTTCAATTGCCCGGTGGGTGCTGGTGGCACATTGAAGAATCAGCATATATCCCAATAAGCTGCTGCGAGATCAAAAGACATCATCCATGATGGGCACCGAACCTGCCGAGACTTGCTATTTCTTCGTGGATGACTCCAACATATGGATCGAGGCCCAGAAATTCGCCGCCTCGGGCAACAGCCGGATGCCCAAACTGACAGACAGCGACAGCGACCCGCGCCTCAGGATTGACGTCGGGAAATTGATCGACATGCTCCGCAAAGACCGCAGTCAAGGAGCTTCGTTTCTCTATGGCTCGCGCCCACCACCTAATGATTCAGTGTGGAACGCGTTTGAGAAGTACAAGTTCAAGACCAAGATCTATGATCGCGCGCGCGGGAAAGAGAAGGAGGTGGACAACTCCATGGCGACGGATCTGAGCCATGCAGCCACCGATCTCAGCGTTAGGGCCGAGTACGATGTGAAGTTCAAACAGCAGAAAGCCAACACGATATTCGTCGCCATCACTGGAGACCGCGACCTGCTGCCGCCAATCAAGAGAGTGCTGGAGTCTGACATCCGGGTGGAGGTCTGGGCCTGGAAGTCCGGGATCTCGACGGAGTACCTAAAGCTGAATTCCGAGGACGGTCTGCTTTCGGTATTCTATCTGGACTGGATTTTCGACAAGATTTCCTTCACCAATTTCCGCTCTACCCGACGGAGCAAGGCCGGTAAGATCGATCCGAGCCAGACGATTGTGCTTTGCGAGTTTGCGGACCTAGGCGGGGATCACCTCGAATCTTTCGTCCACGAGCAGCTCATCCAGTTGGGGCGCTTGTTCTACACGACTCTGTCGAAAGCGGAGACGGAGGTATTTGTGGAGTTTCCGAAGGTAAAGAACATCGAGGCTGTAATCCACAAGGCACGAGAGCTGTTTAAGGGAGTTTTGACCGTGCTGGCATGGCCCGAATACTCAAGTCGTTTCCGTGAGGACCTCCCGGCCATGGTCGAAACCAGCAATATGTATGCGCCGTTGACGGATGATAATGACCAAAACTCCACTGATGTCACAGCGAAAGAAGAAGACAAACATGTCGAACGCGAAGTCAAGCCGTCTAGTACCACAGATCCTGAGAGTGGACGCAGAGAAAGCGAAGAGATGCAAGGTCTCAATGACCCCGACGACAACGATGGCTGGCAAGTTGCGGCTCGATCCGACCTAGGAAGAGACCATCGTCGCGGCCTGCGCCGAACTCAGCCATGTCCTGACCGCGTTCGCTGCAAGAAAAGAGGCGAGTGTGGTTACCGCCATAGTGATGAGGAGCGGAACCTGTTTCGGGACAATCCAAACCTGAATTTCCAGCTGTGGAAGACCAAGAAGTGCACCCGCGCCTACGGTCACTCCAGCAAACGATGTGCATTTGCCCACGGGCAGAACGAAGCATGGTGCCTTCGGTGCCGTCATGAGGGTCACTATAACGAAGAGTGCCGGTATAGAAGTTCAGAACCTGGTAGGTAGGTGCCCCTGATCGACACTGGCGAGTTATCCGGTCAGAGCGGCCATCAACACTGCCGGATTGATACTCCAACAGCCGTCCAGTGGCGCGCTGGGTCAATATCGCAACGTGGCGCAACCAATTTGGGTGGTGCGCTAGCTCAATGGACAGGAAGCCCGCCTCATCTAGTGGACCTATATACGTGACCCGAACTTGAAAGTCCACAAGCACGTCTCTCTGACCACCTTTGCCCCAGTTATATAGGCACAAGCCACTCTAGCCGAGAACTGGCTCGACTCCAGAGTGGTCACATATCTTCAGACAGGGCTCTGACCTTGCCAAGGGAATGATATTCTTATGGTAGCCGTGATGATGACCGTGAATCACGAATCCCAGCAGAACGTACGCCCTCTGCCACTCCGCCTCACCAGGGAGTAGATCAACATCCAGTATTGGCGTCATAGCACTCTGGTTGAGAAGAGTACCAATGCTTCCAAGTCCACTGAGGGGGGACGGAAGGTACTCCCATGACTCGTAGCCGCCGCCTGTTCCTGGACAAATCCAGAGTCTAGAGAGACGCCATACTTTCCAAGGGCTTTCAGGAAGTCTTCCATGTTTTGCAACCACGCGATGCCACATAGACACCCATCAAAACTGTCCATCGTGGTGCTTTATGTTGAGGTGGAACGTGCCCTTTCCATGTGATGTTGATTGATCAAATAGGAGATGCGCGTCGAGGCATCGGAGGTGACAGAGAAGGGTATAAGAGCTTGGAACCACCGACGGGAGACGACGTGGCGTTCTTATCGTCATGTCAAAAGCGGCGGCGCGGGGCCGGAAGGGGCAGGGGCCCCTCAACCGGAGGCGGGTTTCCTGGCTACAATTTGACAGTCCGAAAATGGTGCATATGAACTTTTCCCGAGCACTGCTTGTGCTTCAGACTTTGGATGTTATTGAGCCACGACCATATCTCTACTGTCGAAGCCCTAGTGTCTTGTCATAGGGATTTCTGTACCTAGCCGGCGCATCCCTTTTGTCGCGCATCACGCGCTTCATATGTAGCTCATTTAACCCACCGCTTCTTCGAGTACCACACCCGCCATGGCGGATCACTCAACCACCCCGTCACCAAGCTCCCTCACCCTCCTTCACACGCTGCACCACCCTGGCAGCGGCTCTTCGCGCTCATGGCAGTCCCTCCCGCACCCGGACCCCTCTACCCCGCTACTGGCAACCGCCTCGGCCGATAAAAGCGTAAACATCTACTCGCTGAGGGATTTCTCCCTCGTGTCCACAATATCTGGCGGACACAAGCGCAGCGTGCGGACCGTGGCGTGGAAAGATTTCGGCCGTCCCAAAAAGAATGCCAGAAGGAAGCCCGTCGTGCTAGGAACGGGCAGCTTCGACGCCAATGTCGGCATATGGGTGTGGAATGACGAGCGGCGGCGCGCGCAACTGGGGCTCGGACTCGACGGTGGTGAAACAGGCGACTCGCACGCCTCAACATCAGAGGATGCCTTTGAGACGGACATGAACGACGACATGGAAGAATGGCACTTCAGCACCCTGCTTACAGGTCCGGACAGCGAGATCAAATCCATTGATTTCAGCCCGCCGCATTACCCTGCGAATATTCTGGCCACGAGTTCGCGAGACAAGAGCGTATGGATCTGGGAGGAGGTGGAGCCCGAGGAGTGGGAGACCATTGCCGTGTTGAGCGAGCATACGGGCGATGTCAAATGTGTCGGGTGGTGCACGGGCGCAAAGAGGAGGAAAGTCCAGAAACGGAGGAGCGGCGTCGCGCGAGGACAGGGAGACGGAGATCTGGAGATGGGTAATGGGGCTGAAGCGCAAGTTAATGGTCTTTCTTCATCACTGCAACACGGCAGCGCAGAGGATGAGGATGAAGAAGACGAGATCGTGGGTGTTCGCCCCATCCTCGCGTCCGGGTCCTATGACGACACGATCCGTCTATGGCGCGACGTGGAAGAAGAAGGTGACTGGATCTGTGTGGCAGTGATAGCTTCGCATACAGGCACGGTCTGGGATTTGAAATGGGAGGGCTACATCAACTACTCGGTCCTCGATAATTCCCACGGCGCAACAGCCGAAGAGGAGCATACCGCGATTCGGGCCTTTGAAGAGGATTGGCAGCCGCGCATCGTTTCCTGCTCCGATGACTTGACCGTCCGCGTATGGCGGAAGCAAATGAGTGCAGCTGAGAAGGAGAAACGACGGCAACAAAGGCAAGCAGGTGCAGCTACCAACGCTGCTGCGCCCATGGGATTTGCGTCGAGCAGGATACCCTCGGTGATACGGCCCATGAGCGCGATGGAAAACTGGGTCGAGGACGCGATTCTCCCGCAAGCTCACGTGCGGAGCGTCTACGCGGTAGATTGGTCCAGACGTACAGGCCTGATAGTCAGTTGCGGAGGCGACGGGACGATTGCCGTGTACAGAGAGGTTGCGGCACCCGGGCCGGAAGGAGAGGATGTCGTTATGAACGGCACGGCTGCAGATCCTCCGACCCCCGAGAATTACACGGCTGAGGAAAGCGAGCCCTATAAGCTGCGTAAGTCGACATGGGAAATCGTAGCGCTGATGGAAGCAGCGCACGATGAGTACGAAATCAACCACGTCTGTTGGGCTGAGAGGAGGGACAAAGACCGACGCTTTGACGGCGAGGAGATGATCGTGTCTACAGGCGACGAAGGCGCCGTCAGGATATGGACTTTACCCGAGGATTTGGTGAAGGATGTACAATGATGACGATGCTCTAGTGTGTGTGTGAAGCGAGAATCAGCACAATTGTCGAGATAGAAGATAAATACCTAGTGTCCCCCCAAAACTACAAGTACCATGATCGCTTGTGCTTGTGCCTATGCTGTCTTCAGCATATCATCTCCACCGTCTGAGTCCAGGTGCCTGCGCTGACGCCTACACCCACGCCCATCTACCGTGGCTGACAGTAATGCCAACTCCGTTGCCTTGTGCGTCCCCGGTTGACAAGCGTCAACCAGGTCCGGCAGAATCATACCTATCCCTAACTTCACACTCACAACCACAACCACGTCCCTCATTCCTTGATCCTTTCCCCCCTTCGACACTGTATTCGTCTTCATAGCTTCTACCTTCTCAATCCCTATCACAATCATCCTCTCGGGCTCCAAGTTAAACCACACAGGCGCGGCAGGGGCGAGTCCGAGACGAGACGATATTGTGTGACACGAAAGTCAAAAGTCCTGGGAGGCAGCTCAACTCCCGCCGCCTGGGCACTCCGAAACGAAAAGCCGAAATGATTGGACGCGGTCCTCATCCTCCTACTCCTCTTCATCAAACGATAGAAGAGGTCATAAGTGGTGGACAATATAAGGCACAGGCTCAGCAACAACATACACACAACGGTTGCATGCAAACTTGACAAGTCGAATCAGCGTGGTCTTTCTCTTCGCCTTCCGATTGAAGAACGAAGAACACCAACCCATGAGATGGAGAGTAGACCAGACCGGCAGCGTTGGCCACCACTGGGTATAGCCATATCGTACTCGGTAACATGAAATTCACCATGATCTTCGTTCGAGTGGAGGTTGTGATTGAGTTTTTGACCTTGAGCCCTATCGTCGAATTGAAATTCATTACAATCTGCTGCTGAGAAAAGGTTGTAGTAGAGTTCTTGATTTTGTGTGCTTCGGCACTTACTTGTCAGCCTGGTATACGAGGCTGTAGGGAGGGTAAACTTCACTTTGTTGGCCAGAAGGGGTCGAGGAGGGCTCATTAACTGATAGCGGTGTTCGTCGTCGTACTTGTAAGTAGATGATCTTCTGCCTTTGGATTCCTGCACACTCCGTCACGCGATTCAAAGCTCATCCTTCGGCCACGTATGCCTCCTTTCGAAGTTGCTTGGCTGCCTTGCGGGCCTGGTTCATGCTCCCACCCAGCAACTCCAGCTGTTGAGTCCTTTCGGCCAGGGCATCCTCCGTCACGTCGTCCAAGATGAATCGGCCCATCTGGCCGCTCCTCCACCGTTGAACAAATTGCAGAGCCGAGGATTCAAAGTCCGGGAGTCCGCCCTTCTTCAAGCGGCCCTGCTTCCGTGCGAGACCCTCCAGCACAGCGAAGATATCGTTACTAGGCTCCCAGAACATATTATACAGTTTTGGGTCCCGAAGATTGAGGTGGTACAGAAGATAATCCGCAATGGTTGTCGGCGGGATGATGGTATCCTTGACACTCCCGCACAGGGCCAGCTTGAGCATACTCTCCGCATCCGGGACATAGGGCACAAACACGCCGGGGGTGTCGAGCACGTAGACGGCCTCCCGACCATCCTCGGCCTCTATGATCTTCACGTCGCTCCCGATCTTCCTCGTCACCCCAGGCTGATCGCCCGTCCGCGCAGCTTTCTTCTTCCCCAAGCTGACGTTGCGGAGCGCGTTGAGAAGAGACGACTTGCCCACGTTAGGCATCCCCACGACCATGAGGCGAGTGCCGAATAGAGAGGTTGATGCGTTGGCGTGGGCGCGGGCGAAGTCGAGGACTTTGCTGATCGTGGCGCGAGCCTTGATGTCCGTGAAGAAAGATATCGAGGGGGCGTCCCATTTCTGGATGATCTGCTCTCTCTGCACCATCCGTCAGCATTGGTTCTCACTAGATCTCTCGCTCCGCGCAACTACCTGCTTGTCCTCGTTCGTGAGATTGCTCCCCAGGTCCTGCTTGGTGTAGACGATCAACCGTGGACGCTCGCCCAGATTCGCTTCGAACATGGGATTGCGGGACACAATGGGTGTGCGATAGTCACGGCACTCGATGACGAGGTCGATCTGCGACACCATGGATTTCATTTTCGACAGCCCGGCGGCATGATGGCCTAGGTAGTAGGATCTAGGAATGGAACCCAGGTGCGGATACATCTGGCGCGGGACGAACGTGGCCATCGTAGGTCACGTAGTTCGGGGTTCGTGTTCGGGTTCGCGGATGGCGGAGCCATTGTGCTCACTTTGTCTCCTCAATGCATAGACGCAGGGGCATTGGGATGGTGAAGAGGGATACATTAAAACAAGGCGTTGAGGTCAATTTCGATTCTAATTACGTCGAAGTGGTTGTGGTCGAGATCACATACGGTGGAGCAGAAAGGCAATTCATTCATCCTTATTCTCTAGACTCTGCCTCTCTTCTTTCTGACTGCTACACGTACCGTTCGTGCAATCAAGCCAGCATCACTCTTCTTGTCCTTCCACGGCGGTGCTGCTGCTGCAGTCGATTGTTTCTAGTTTCGCACTGATCAGCGTTCTATCCTGATTGCGGGGACTTCCCATGACGCTCCACGCACATCTGACGGATTGTGCGGTCTCCTCTGCCATTCATAATCAAATGCTCGCCTTGACAAGCTACCTTTCAGCCGACCACCTTGGCTAACGAGCACGAGGCTCCGGGAGTAGTCGGCTCGCGATAACTCTTACCGCACAACTTGGACTTTTGATTAACGTGGCATGGTTGATTAGCTCTGCCCACCTACGTCCGCAGTGCGTTACGGGGCACGAGGTCGCCTATTTGCCTTTACCTCGCGGGTTGCGCCCGGCACTTCAATCTGAGGTATTTTGGGAGCCGCAGCAGCAGAACCGTGCAACTACCTCTTCACCGCAACAAATGCTTCATCTAGCGACATGGCTCTGGATTTGCTCACCATTGATCCCTGCTACTTCCACAGCTCAGCTGTGAGTCCAAGCCGCATGCGGCTGTGGACAGTCATAACGCAATGGAACAGACTTGCGGACATATTGTCCACCCGCGGACCACAAACACGAATCGAGGACAATGATGCAGAAGAGACCACTGTGCTGCCGGACCTCATGCCTGCAAGCACGACAGAAATTTCCTTTTGATCATGTCAAGCCCAGCCTCCTCCCACCTGTGATCTCTCTCTGGCAAGAAGCTGTGCAAGGTGGGTGCTGCCCTGGACAATTTATCTATTGTTGGCATCAATGAAACCACAACTCGTGCTGTCGAGCAATCCTTCATGGACCTGGAGAGCGCGCAACCGTAGCATGGTAACAGGATAGCCTCAGCCGTAATGAGGGCGTAGGGCTCATTGTCACACTTACTGAAGTAAGGGACCCTGGAGTTGCGTTTCTCGGCTACTACGATATTGCACTGAGCCCTAGGCCACATGACGGTATGACCTGAATCCACCAATCCTGAAGCATTATCCCAGCGCCAGAGAGCTGTGACCGCTAGTTGAAATGTGCCAGATGCTATTTAGCGTCGACGATATTATGGACATGGTGGTTTTGAAACAAGCTTTGCCCTGCAAGGCTGGATGGGAGCTACTTGACCCGAGCAGCCGTACCGAATGACCTCGACCAAAGCGCTTATAAAGCCATGGAACCATATGATTTGCTACGGGAGCCACTGGAATCGCTATGCAACATATGCGGAGAGTCCTTCTGTCACTCTGACAACCAGTTCGTTTCTCAAGCATCATCCCACACAGCCCTTTCAGAGCCGACGTCCCACGATCAGCAGGCCAGAAACAAATCGGCGAGTACCCGGGGAGTGGTAGCCACGTGTGATGTGCCTCTATAATTGGACAACAAGCATAGCTGGTGTAGTACCGGGTGTACAATTTATGGCACGCCCGTTGCTTCGAGAACTCGACCAGGCCACACAGACGGGAGTAATCGCTGCACAGGAACATGGGTACACCGTCCTGGAGAAAGATTGTGTCTCGTGCACACTGCAAACATGTCGCACCTGAGAGCGTCCATGCTCACAGGCTCGCTTGACCTGGGATGTTGCCAGGTAGCTACCTCGAGGCCAACAAGCTCAAACCCGGGATAGATTTGCCCGAAAGAGGAACAATCCAAGATGGCGAAATCACAGCGCGGCGGGGTGGACGCCCGCCAATCAGAAACAGCCCCGCGAATTGATTCGTTATCTTGGTATTGGCCGAGGGCTAGACCTATTCGGGCAAGACGGTCCGTGCAGCCAACCGCAGCCACTTCGCGTTTCGACGACGGCGACTTGCTCTGCCTGTCTATCTGCACAAGAGCTCGATCGACCTCCAGTCAGGCACATTGGATAGTCTCTCCACTGGCCGATTTGCCGGCTAATCCTGCTACGTGCATCTGGCATGCTGCATAGAATCAAGCAGCTTGCCCGAGGGCCCTGTCACGAACCGCTGCGATCACCCCTCGACAACAGTCTCGGTCGCTACAAGTCCAGCTGTACTGTCTCGGTTTGAATGGCCGGACGGAAGAGCTTTTCTCGACGGTGTCTACCAAGAGCTTTTCCTTCTCCGACCCTCCAATAAGCTGTGGCTTTCACAGTTCCTTCTAAAGATGGACCCTGCTTGCTCTACACCCTTTTGAGCCCACTTCTCCCTCGAACAAACATCATCATGTCCCCTCGACTTCCTGTGCGCCGAAACTCCATTCACTTATCAATCTCGTCCGCTCTCTGCGACCTTGTTAGACAACCAGGACCTGTCTCACCACTATCCCAGACATGTCCTAGCGTCTGGGTGGCGTGACTTGATCGATTGTCCCTGTTCCTCCTGGCATTTTGTCCTGTTCGGGAGATCGTCGAGCTCCGCAATCATATTTATACCATCAGCCGCCTTGCTGTGCCTTACATTGACTGTCGACTGGCTGCCCCCGGTTTCATGTTCTTCTGCTGACATACGTCAGCGGCTTTTGTCAGTTGTGACACTCACTGTTGAGAAACAGTGTCACAACTTCACACTGGGACAGTGAAGGTCTGTATGAGACCGTGCTGAGTTCGCCCGTCGCTGTACATAACCTCGCAAGATCCCGACGCAACAACACGTTTCCACCCTGAGTTCTCAGAGATGGCCTCGTTCGTCGATGAGCGGACCCTCCTGTATGCAGGGCTCGCTGTATGTGTCACCATCATCACATATCTGAGTCTCAGTCAACGTCAAAAGGAAGTCGTCTTCCGCAGATTGATACTCCGAGGCCGCCGATCATCCAGTGCGGATACTCCTCCTCGGTCACTCTCGCCAGAAAAGGTCCCTGCCAACTCGCAACCCAAGTCATCCGAATATGTTAGCACCTTCCCGCCTCTGACCCGAGAGAACCTCCCAGAAGCAGCTGCCGAGTTACCCGAAGAGCGACGCAAGGCCTTAGAGACTTCGACGTTCGATGAAAAGAAGTGGACTAACTCGGTCCTCGGATTTGAAGACGACTTCCGCAAGGCTGACCCCGACAAGTACATCTATACTGGCTACAAAGTTAAGGAGATCCGCGCGTTAGGAGATTTCCCCAACTACTCCGCCCTGAGCGGTATAACGCTTCCACAAGCCTATCCTCAACATGACATCACCAAGGCCTTGCCACGGCCATACCGGCCATTTCGTTGGGCTTACCACCAGACCATGTGTGAGTACCAGTGATGTGCACTACAATCTGCTTCTACTAATGGACCCTCGACAGCACTGACCAAGCTCGAGCCCGACTGGTGGCTCGAGTTGGAAAGCACCTACGTCTCGCGGATCAACCAACGCAAAAAGTTGTACGCCGAACACGGCGAAGCAGTTCTTCAATGGCTTCCCGGCTCGGAGCTGGCATGCAAAGAATTGATGGAGACAGCTCTACAATTTCTCTGCGCCCGCTACCCTCAGTACTTTACGCTCCACGCCGACAAGAAGACGTTTGAGAACAAGATCCTCGGCACAAAGCAAGACGTCTCGGCCAAGCACCCGTTACCCGTCCTGTTGGACAATATCCCCGAGGACTTTGCCATCATGCTGCGCAACCCGGAAACTGGGTACTACCATTTCCGCGCCGGGATGATCTGCTCGGCTCTAGGCTGGAACGTCGGCTCCAAGATCGGCCTGCAATTGCACGAGATCCATGCCCCGATCCCAGACTATAAGGAGAAGATGCAATTCAGCATGGATCGGTACGTTATGCGAGTCCTTCGTTACGGAGTGTGTGGTCACGCTAACTTTGCTCTCTCCTACAGCTTCTTCACCAAAATGCCCGCCTCGAAACCCATCCAGCGCGGGTCCTGGGGCCTGGAGGTCGACCAACCTCTCTACATGCCCCCAGGCGACCCGCACGAAAAGTTCCGCGACTTCCAGTCGCCCGACCTCGACGTCTCGCGCATCCACCTGCGTGTGGACTGGCAAACGCTCCGCCGGCTTCCGCTTTCAGGCGGTATCGTGTTCAACTTCAAAGCCCTCTTCACGCCCGTCACCGAGTTTCGCGACGAGCCGTACCTTCCGAGTCTCGCGCTGAAGGTCCTCAAGGAAGGCAAAGAGAATCTCATGAAGTATAAGAATACCTGGCACGTGGAGCACGTCGTCATCCCGGCCTTGGAGGAGTATGCGCGCGAGCAGGTCGCAAAGGGTGTCGTCGAGAAGGATTGGCAATGCCATACTTTGGACGAGAGTCCCTGGTTCCCGGGCTGGAAGGAGAAGTGGGTGAGACAGCAGGGGTTTGCGCCGCCAGAGTAAGTAAGGTTTGGTCGAGTGAAATCAGAAGCGGCAACCCACGGCCGTTCGGGTGGTCAGGGAATGGCTTTATCAGACGCATACATGCATGCATAGCATTTGACCATGCTAGATTCAGCATCACATTCGCATTGACATTCCAATTCACAGCCAGCTACGTGGGTTTGTCTCCTTGGACGGGGACGGCCAGCAAACCCCGTGACCTTGCCGAATCTCGCATTCCCTCTGAGTGAGCGACCACAGCGTGGTACTCTGCATTATCTTGTCCTTTCCCACCCGAAGATCACAGTACGGTGTGATGCGATCGATGAAACGGGCAGTTGCATCCAGGCTATAGACAGGAAGATCCCGACATTGTCGAATGTGGCCATTGACTCAAAGGTCGTAGATACACGGCTAATTACAGAATTTATTTCCCCCGTATACATATATGTATGTGAGGTACCTCGTACCCAATGTAGGTATACGTATACGTACATACATAGGCACCAACGGAACGCGGGGTCCTGTCTTCGATAGCCAGCCAGCCACCAGGCACCTACCGTTGCTATCTAGCAAGGGATCCATAGGAAGAACAAGCCTCACCCAATCTCGCAGCGGGGATCCGCGTCATCACCGACATCACCTGCAGCTTCGACGCCGATGTTGGACGACAAACGTCACTCGATGCTCGACTGCGCTGCTTGCGGGATTGTAGATTGTAGATTGCTGCAGATTGCATGTGATAATCATGGGAATCGAGGGGGGAATCCAACCCCCGGACGACGACCCTGATCTACATCCCCGTCAGTTCTTCGACCCAACTAATTATTTCGTCGGACGGGCGGTGCGACAACCATAATCAAACAACAATCAATTTTCACACGTTCAGTAGCCGTAGCGAATACTCAACGCGCAATATGGCCTCAGATGGCGTTTCCCTGCTCGACCTACCCGCGCACTACGGCCTCAAAGTCTCGGACATGGTGCATTTCCGATCTAAAGACTCTGGGTCTGGATCCCCGACTTCAACCTATCCGTACGAAGATTTCACCGCCGGCGCGGGCATGCTTCTGGTCTGCAAGATCATCGACGCACTACGGCGCTGGGATGCGCATGGGATCTACACCGACGAGGACATCGCCAAAGTCGGGAGCCTCGTGACGAGTAATGTGAAGACCGTCCATTCTGCGCAGGTGCGCAATGAGATTGCGCGTGTCACTTGCGCGACTTCTGAAGGTACTCCGTCTGCGTGGGACATCCGTCGCTTGGCGGTGGAAACTCTGCTTGGGGGACTACTCGATAGAGACGTCATGCGGGACAGCGCCGTGCATGTGAACTCGAATGAGCCGGTGGTGCTGGTGAACTTGGATGGAGATAAGGCAGGGCACCTGGACGCTGAAAGACGGGACATGTTGAACTATGTTGTGGATATTGTGACTACGGAATTGCGCAGCAAGTGGAATATTTTGCCTGTGAGGGTTTATGGGGGCCATGGCCTTCCAATGCCGAAGCCAGGGTATGTTCAAGCGGAGGTCGACGAAGTCTCTGTTCCTGGATTCTCCATCACATTGTTGAACGTAGTGAACACCGACATTGGGGGACCGAGCATGCCGCAGTTGTTAGATGCGCCGTGTGACGCGACAGAATGGAGGCAGGTCATTAGGAAGGAACTCTGGCGGGAACGCGAGTTGATAAGCCGGGAAGACCATGACTTTGTTTCCGACCAGCAAGTTGGCGTTACTGCTGATGCGGATAATGCATCTGAGCACTCATTGAAGAGTGAAGATGATGACGACGGCTCTGTCGGATCGGATGCTCCGAGACTGGCGACCACGGATAGTCCTCCGCAGATACATGTTGGTTCGCCGGCTCAGGAGCCTGAATTGACCGAGTTCGGTGGAGGTGCGGAGGAAGGTCACCACACTGGACAGACGACCGAAGAGCCCCAGACACGCGACAGTCAACCTCCAGCACATCATGATAACCCAGCGGCAGGCGATGGCAGTGACAGGGATACCGGCAAGCAAGATCTTGCAGAAACGGAAACTGAGGGACAGACCCCTCGGCAAGATATTCCACTGCCAGAGCCAATCCGCATCGAGCATCCAACGTGGGATAGGCACGACGACAGCACGTCGTTGCTTGACTTGATGAAGGCTCAGGCATCAATGATCGCGCCATTTGGGGCAGGAACTGCAGGACACAGCATCGCTGATGTGGAAGGGGACGTTGCCGTGTCGAAAGCCGAAGACGATGCGGCCGATGTGAAATCTGCGAGTCCGGAGTCCGGCAGCAAGGCTGAAGTGGTCGAGCCTGCAGCTGCCGGAGCACCACTGCCAAAGGACACTTCTCCCAGCGACGATGAATATGAGGTTGTTTGAGACCATAGCTCCGTCCATCAGGTTTCAGTGAAAGATATTGGAGATAGCAATTCTTTCTGTCAACCGCTCCGCTCAATCGCTGTATGATCTGCTCCTTCCACGGCTCCGGGTTCGACTTCGCCTTCAGCTCCGACTCCGACTCCGACTCCGACTCCCGCTTCTACTCCTGCTACTCCTGCTACTCCTGCTACTCCTTAGCGACCTGGGGCTGTTCCCATTCTCGCTAGCAGACTCATCCGTCCTCACATCTTCCATCAAGTCATCTGGATCACCATTCTCCTCGTCCATAGCATCCAACTCAGCCTGCAGCGGACTGACCCTTTCTTCCAGCTGGTCTAGATCCTCTAGCACCTGTCTAGCTGGTAGTTTCCACAAGGTTGTCCCGCAAACTCTGTCCTTAGTGAGCAGATTATCCACAAACTCGTCCATGTGAATCAGGACGTATTCCTCTTTTCTCCTTTGTCTCAACTTCCGCGAGTCCTCAAGGAGTGGTTCCAGAGTCTTGTATACGTCAGCCGCATTGAATGTGAGGCGCACGTAGAAAGCGGCCAGCGCGCGTAGGTATTTCCACTCTTCACCCCCGTTCTTCAGATACTCCAGAACGATCTCCCGGTCAGGAACCAGCGTGAGGAGTTTGAATGCCAGGCAGATGAAGGGCGTAGGTTTCATGGCAACGCCGTATGTGCCGCCGATGTATGTGAGTTCGACTGCTCGGTCGCAGAGCGTCGCTGCGTTGAGGCCGAAGCATTGTTCTTTCCAGTACAAAGAGTCTGTTATGCGGTCGCGCATGGCAGTCTCGAGAAGGAGGGCCGGGTTTTGGCCCCTGATGAGGGGCCCGCTGTACCCGCGGTTATCGAGCGTGTTAGAGGCATCCGCGCGATGTGACATTTTGAGTAATTTCGTTAAGGCAAAGTGAGTGATTGATCGGAATTGAGTCGTGATTGAAACAATTCTATCGCAGCCTCGTGCTTGGTCCGCGTCTAAGCCGAAGATACTCCGTGGCCAGCGACGTCATGGCAAGGCTGGTTGTCCTGGGTGACGAGGCTGTCAACACCCGAAACTCAGCAAACCAAGGGGACGGCACGGCATCTTGCAGATACGAACCGCATCCCTGGGTCTGTTGAAGAGTACCTCCAAGTCGGTCATCTGGTATCACCAAGCCAAGGCCGAAAACAATTAAGGAAGTGCCCTCAGGAATCATCGCTGCATACGAGGAGAGCTCATAGGACCTGATCTGGTCTTTGACCAGCAGAACGGGAGAGCAGGTACCACTCTCACCATCATGGTGCTTCTGACTTCGTCCACCGTATCCGCCTTAATTTCGGGAGGAGTTGTTTGCTTATTCACATTCCTGCTGTTTCTATCCGGATACGTGCTACAACAACAATCAGTCCGCTCGATCCAGGAAGCCATCCGACGACCACCCGAGCCACAACCCGTGCCAACTTTACCGCCTCAATTCCGAGAGCCTGAGAATGAGACCGTTGGAGTTGCATTAGAGCCCCCTGAGCGGGATGCGGAGTCCGTCATTGGTGGAAGCCGGGGCCCATGGGCAGACTCTGTACAAGTACCTGTGGTTGCGTCGACTGGGGAGCAGAAGCCGAGGAAGGACTCGCCGCCTCAACGACTGGCGTACATATTCGCCCTTGAGGAACCATTGCATCTATGTTCGGCACTTCTCTTCGCCAAGCAACAACGATCAGCAAGTCGATTGCCACAGGAGCCGTCGATCGTCCTCCTCTACCCGTCGACGTGGGAGTCGGATCCGTCGCCGTTGTTCACCTCCGTACTGAGCTTCATGCGAGATGTCCAAGAGCTATATGATGTCGTGTATCGGCCGGTGCAGATACGCGATGCATGGAATACTCGGGCCTTACTCCTTGGGGAGCTTCAGTGGGGAAGGTGGGACTACGATCAGGCACTGTACTTGCGTTCACCGGGGATGGGTCTCGACATCCAGACTCTGGATAGTACGCTCGCGTCTCTAGACACAAGACAGTCATGGACACCGTTGAACCCTTCGTCCGGAGACGATCCTGAGGTTCTCCTCAGAACGTCTCGAGGTCTGCAGAGTCCGAGGGGTCCAACGAGAAAGCTTATTGTCTCAGCAAATCATCGGGTCACAGAGGCTGACGAGGGCGGGGAAAGTGCCGATACTCTGGAAAGAGATTCTGCATATATGTTGTTCTCCGACCAGCGTCCTAGTGATGAAAGCCAGATTGAGTGGTACGGCGACTTGAAGCACCAATTCCACGAGGGCAGGAGAACAGTGTGCGAGGGTAGCGGCTTGTTGAGTGACACCAAGATGCCATAGATGGTTGGTATTCGATAATCCAGCCACTGGCCAGCGGAAGTTTGCTCAGAAAATGGTGGCGCACCAACCAGGAGGAGACAGCCTTCCGGACGTTAAATAACAGATCCACGACTGCTGGAAGACAAATTCCCCTCCTACACGACGCCCTACCCAATCAGCGCGTCGAAGGGAAATCGCCTCTATATCCCACCCAGCGCCTCACAAAGAGCCAGGAGATGTTCACGTGCAATGCACAGTCGCGGGTCGAGGTGCTAAGTCTACATAAACGGAGAGAACCTTGCTGTGTGCCAGGTCATGTGCGTCATGAGACTGGGCCCGTTGTCGAGGTAGGCCGTGTGACCTTTTCCGGAGGAAGGCAGAATTGGGGCTTCTATAGGCCAGGACGGGGGGGTTGGTGGTATTTCGATGACCTCGAGCAGCATGATACCCGATGCAGTATGATGTTCTGTGAAAAGATGACTGGAATAGAGAGTTGGTTTCATGACCTTGTCCGCCGTGCCCGGTGCTGTTCGCTAGGTGGAGGAAAAATGGGGAAGAAATGATGAGATACGATTTCATGTCGAATCCGTACTCTGTAGGCGAGGAAGCGTTTTAGAGTCCTAGGATATCAAGCCTTCTTGCCATAAGAGACCTCGCAATACTAATCATCAGTCCTCTCACGCTTTTCCTGATCGAGCATCCAGACAGAAATTGATACCTCACCAGGAACGTCCATGTTTGTCTCTACTCCTTGTGATCCTTCTTCAGAAATGGAGTCCTCACACCCAACCAGCCCCGGGCCAACCACGTCAAATAATACCACGCTACCGCCGTAGCAATCACCATACTCATTTCCAACCAATTCAATCCCAGAGCACCGCCACGTAGGCTTATCGCAGCCTTGACATCGCACTGAGCAAGATTGTTCTCGTACAGAGTTCGTGCATCTTTCTTGCAGACCTCATGCTTGGCTGCTTTTTTTGCTCCAGCGTATTTCATATAGGGGTAGAGTACGCTGCAGAATGTGACGATGAAAAAGAGCTGAATGAACACTTGGAGTGCATTTGGCGATAGCCACTGCTGGTAGGACCTGACTCTCGTTGGTGGTTTGGATCCAAGCTCGACCGAAGAGGGTTCACCTGTCTTGACAGCGTCAGTCAATCGTAGCAGACAATGACTCTGCTGCATCACACTACCAAGAGAGCTTCCGCTGGGGCTTCCATTGCTGCGAACTTGATTGTTCGACTTTGACGTCCTTCGGTGTGCAATTCGAAAGCAGCTTTGACTGGACCCTCAAATTTTGTAAACCCGAGTGCCAGTGGTTGATCTTGATTTTGCAGATCAGTTGGTGCTTGACGTTCGTCCAGTTCGTGACTGGCGTCGATGACGGAGGTGGTAACGCGCACACAATCGTCGTGGGCAAACACCGAAAGAAGAATGTTCATTGAAACGAGGGTCGGCTGTCGTCATAAGTAATAGATACAGCGGAGGCCGCCAGAGGAAAGGTAGCATATGTGCGATGTTGAAAATGGTATTGCTCGAGCGTCCCTTCCCGATCACGAACCTGCGTCAACGAGTCGCAACTCCCTCTATGTCAGTGCTTGAGGTCGGGCGCAAGTTGCGAATCTTTGAATAGATCAGTTTTCATTCGAGTCCCTCTTTGTCGAGAATACCCTGTTTTGCCCTCTGCATCATCGGGCTCATCAAATCATACGTATCTTCTTCAGATAATGATACCGCTGCTGTTAGAATTTCATTGTAAGTTCAGTCGTTGCAAAATCCACAAACAGTGGGAGAATCTCAGCCGCATTGTGATTTCGAAGCAGTTCGACTTGATGTGCCACGCGGTACATTGGACGACAGCATGCAAAGATCCGGGCCTTATCTCTTAGGGGCGCCAGAGGCTGAGTATGTGCTCCGTAGTCGACCGAGAATTCTGTCTCTCTGCAGAGACACATGGTGCTTTCCACCAGCATCGGGCGCAGATTTTCCAAATCATGATTTGTTGATTACGGCCGAGCAGCAGCCACGGAATCCTCCGAGGAGCTTCCAAATACCTGCGAGCCCTTAGAGCCCCCGGATAGGCCGCTGCCAACTACCCGAAGCAGTTCACTCCCCGCCTAGGTACCTAGTGGACAACCCTTTCTTGGTCAAGGGCATTCAGGAGGGGAATGGTTGACAAGGAGGATTAGTAACAATCCGAACTCCCATCAACACATGGCTCAAGCCACACGGGCTTCCCTGCTGAGTCACGGGCGTGAGTTGCAGGCGCTCGCAGCTGATTTGGCAGACGCGATGACAGTTTCTGTAAGGAGCTCCGCAATTCGTTTCTGCGGGCTTTGGAGCTCCTCGGCACGGCGCTACGTATTCCAGTCCCTGCATGACGCTTCGATATCTAACTGTCATGCCGTTGAATACTCGCGCATGGACCTGGGCTAAGCCGACGCGAGTGACTTTGTAATGCAAGCCACGGTTGGTTGTGGATCTGTGTACATGGAAACCTAAGGTAGGAGCACAGGAGAAAGTATATCATGCGACATCTCGTCGCACCGGCCCAAGCACTTCATCTTCAACAGCACAACCTCAGTGCTTCAATAACAGTACGGACAGGGCGAACACTTCTACACCACAACCGCGTCGCATCCCTAACGCTGCCCGCCCTCAAACTCTTCACAATGTCGATCTCAACATCTGCCAAATCTCTCGTCCCCAGTGACCCGGCGAAGGTCATGGTCATTCGTGACATCACTCCCAACATCACCACCCTCAGCGTACCCTTTTTCCGCTTCGGACACATCAAGGTCGGTGGTCGAGGCACCCTGGTCAAGCTACAGACTGGCAATGTAGCTGTCTTCTCGCCCGTGGCCTTCACTTCGGACGTCCAGGCCAAGCTCAAGTCCTTAGGACCTGTCAAGTACATCGTCGCGCCGGATATCGAGCACCACATCTTCGTTTCCATGTGGGCCAAGGAATACCCCGACGCTGAAGTCATTGGCATGGAAGGCCTGCCAGAGAAGAGAGAGGGCGACCCCGCGACAAGAGGCACGAAATTCGCACACGTCTTCTCTGCGAAGAACAAGCTCGACCTCAAGATCAGCCCCGAATTTGACGCCGAATTCTCCTACGAATACTTCCACTCCCACGTCAACAAGGAGCTCGTTTTCCTGCACAAGCCAAGCAGAACAATGATTGAGGCAGATTTGATCTTCAACCTTCCAGCCACTGAGCAGTTCTCGAGAACTGGCCTAGATGCCAGAGCCGGCATCCTCACCAAGATTTTCGGAGGCATCATGAACACCAGGGGCGACGCAACCTGGCATAAGCGCTTCCTGTGGTACGGAGCTGGTAGCAAAGACCGGACAGGCTTCGCAGAGTCGGCCAAGCGAATCAAGGCGTGGGACTATGACAGAGTCATCCCCTGTCACGGCGACGTAATTGAGACAGGCGGCAAAGCTACTGTCGATAAGATAACGAGCTGGTTTACAGAGAGCAAGCATTGAACCGCCAAGGTCAATTGAGGAGTACTTTTACCTGTTTGCACATTCATAGCCCAGAGATACCAGTGTACATGCGTATTGATAGACCCTAATAGTGTGAAAACTTCCATTTGATCTTGCTTGGCCTACGGAGTATTGAAGTGTCCTTTCCCATTGACTTAGCAGATTGAAATGAGTTAAATCTGATCGGAGCTCAGCTGGCCTTTCTTAATACTCATCCATTATCCTACCCTGCTTCATAGCGCGTAGCGCGCAGATGTGAGAAGTTTTGAGGCGCACTCCGTCTTCGTAACTGTGTAGCTAGGATGGAACCATGGACAATGAGACACGTGTGAGCCAGTGGTGAGGCCAACGGAGCATCAGCGTCATCCGTGGCCGGGGTAAGCCGCCAGCAGTCTTACCTAGGCACTTGGCTCGGTACCCAAGAACACGCCTCAGACGCGTTTCATGGACACTTTTGGAAAGATAAACATCAATCACCGAATGTAGTCGAATAGTGACTGAAAACAGCCATTTGAAGTGAAGTGTATAGTATGAAACGCGTATCTCGGTTTCTCAGTAACTCAGAGCTTTGCCTCCTCTGCTCAACTTCATCCCATCTACCACTCAAACCACATGTTCTTTTCCCCAGGCTCCACTATCCAAACTTGAGATACGGCCTAAACTCTAAGACCATGTCGTTGGATTCGTAAACACGACATCATGTCTCCGACACCCCAAGAACGTTTCACCGAAGCCTCCAAGCATGCCACCCTCATCCGCGCCCTCCTTGCCCACCCTTCAATGCGGCTCAATTGCGAGGGGCTTCCCGACCGTTCAGATACCCCTGCCACACTCTACAACGTCGCCGACTTCGAGCTCAGCACTTACAAAAAGTATCTCCTTCCGATCTTGCCGCCTGATGCCGACAAAAACTCAAAGGCCCTAGCCATCTCAAAAGCAGACAAAGTGAAGGAGAATCCAAGCTTGTTGACCGACGATATGTATCCGCGCATGAACGTTGGGGGTTTCATTGAGAAATGGCAGGATGCCATTGGGAGGACTGTGATGATTACAAGTATCATTTTGGAGCCGAGGAAGCAGATCCTCTTCGGTGGGTTTTTGACTTTGGGGAGGCGGTAAAGGAAGCGGCGCGGGTGTTGCTGCCTTGAGGTGCGTCTTTCAGACAGATGATATGACAGGACGAATGAAGCTGGTGTGGTTAGGACCGCGGAGACATATCTTTGGAAGCCAGCTGGGGGACCATCGTTAGGGCTGTGCAGCTGCGGTGTGAGGGTGAACGCCCTGCTCACACGCCTCTACCCCATTTCAAGGAATTGCCCTTGAGCATTTCCAGGGAACGAAACACAACGGAAAAGATCGCTGAGGGCCTCCGGGTACTACAATATGTAGATTGCTGAGGCCTCATCCCCATAGGCCCTTTTGCTTCGTTCTCTCTGCGCGCCATCTGAAAGCGCTGTCACGCCAATGAGTATGCCGAAGGATCGACATATGTACCTATTCCTCCCAAAAAATGCAGGCCCGATAACTGTTTTAATGCACTGGCGGTAAGGCTGGGACCATCGGCGCAACATACATGCTCGTGCGGCGTTCTCTGTGCCGTGTACGAGTTACTCCGTAGAGGCGACGCAGGTGCAGAGTACCTACTCGTAACGAGGCTGGCCTCAGCCTTGTCCTACGTCAGCGAAGACAGCCGCCGCATGGATCTGCAATTAATTTCCGAGAAAGCATCTCTCGCTTTCCGGTTTTCATTCGCACCTCTTTTCGCTTTCGAGGTCCGTTCAGCCTGCCCAGCTTTCCAAGTCTCCGGAGTCTATCGTATTCACCGGAATTTGCCATGGATGCCGCCCAGTTTTGGTAGGATGTTGTTCTCAGTCTTCAGCTCATCCAATGGCGTGATGCCAGCACCATGTAAACACGTTCCATGCTGTGTCACGCGCTCCAGACCTGGGCTCAAATCAAGGTCTTGGTAGGACAACGCGCCTTGTCGTTGCACAAATTCAGGGCATGGTTTGTCGATGGTGTAACGGTGGCGAGTGTACGAGAGCGCTCTGAGAGCCGTGATGCATGTGGCTGGCATGGCGCAGATGGCAAACAAGTTGGATGTCGGTGTATCTTCGTGTTGACAGCCACCAATACAAGCGGTCAATCGTCACTCATAAGGTCTGCCTCACCTCCATCATGACCACCTTGAGAGTTCCTCCGATTCGCCTTCCTCATCTTGCAATCTGTCTTCCTAGATCCAAATTCTACCAGCATCTCTCACAGACGAAATTTCAAACACATCGGCACAAAGCCCCAAAATGCCCGTCGTTTCGAGACTACTTTCTGTGGGCCTTCGTGCCTGCGAGATCGCCTTCGCCGCAGTGAGTTCGCATTGAGCATATTGCAAGTCGATCCCTGACATTCTGCAGGTCGTCGCTGGCATCGTCGGCTCTTACCTTGACGACTATCACGACGGCAATGGCTGGCCGCTTGCGCGCTTGATCTACATCGAAGTCGTCGCTGGGATCTCTCTTCTCCTCGGGTTGCTCTGGTTGCTGCCTTTCTCCGGCGGCTTTTTCCACTGTAAGTTCGGCATGGCTGTAACCGCCCCAATACAGTAGAAGTGAAAAGTGACCAAAACCACCGCGTTAGGGCCTATGGACATCCTCCTCTCTTTCGCATGGTTTGCCTCCTTCGGTCTCCTGGTTGAATGGCTGGGCGACTCAACCTGCGATGGAGACACATTCGACTGGAACCAAATCAGCTTCCACGGCTTCTGTGGTCGCTACAGAACTGCGGAAGCCTTCTCATTCTTGTCTGCGGTCTTCTGGCTCTTGAGCGCGATAGTCGGTCTCTGGTTCATCCGGCGCGAAGGCCGTAAGAGGACTACTGTGGTTGCGCCTGCTGGCGAGGGAGTGTAAGTCTGCATATCCAGGTGCTGGTGGGGTACACGTACTCACAGAGGGTCTTAGGCGAGTTCGACGTCCATGGTACCGCCGCAACCGCGTCTAGGCGCAGACTACAAACTATCAGGGGAATGAGCCAGAAGATGGGCGAGCAATAGCTGGTCTTGGATCAAGAAAGATTTTATCCTGGTAGCGGATGCGGCGTGTCAAGTTGAGCCCTTTTGTTTTCTCCAAGATACCCACTTTGCGAACCGCTGTGCTATGCGCATGGTACTGGAACGGAGTTTTGCTGGCTCACCACTAATACTGATGGATGAGATTTGCACAGTTGTCAGTACCGTTTCCAGCCTCACTAATTCACATCCCTGCTGTTAATACGGTCCTATTCCCCTGCTACAAATACCTTTTTCTTGTGTCATCTGGATTCGCGGCATTCGACATGATAAAAACGCAATAACCTATGTTGAAGGCGTCCCTGCCGTCAGCATGCCCGAAGTCCAAATGAGGACGATGAGCTTCAGCCCCGGCCTAGGGCTGTTGTTCAGACTGCCGCAAGAAGTCCGCGACATGATCTACGCATCCTACTTTGAGCGAGCTGAAGTCGAGTGGGACTACGAGAAGTCCTGGCAGCCACCGGCGTTTTCCATGGCCTACCGCAAGTGCTACCCTCGAGATCTGCTTGCCGCGTCCAGAGAGGTCTACGCTGAAGCCCAACGATACGAATATCATGACCTTTGTCTCGTCATCTTGCACAAGAAGGCCCGGCATCCTCCAAAATTATATGGGCTTGTGCGACACATTCGATTTGTCGAAGCTGCGGTTCCCATGTTTCCAGGACATCTTCCCTTCTTCACCAATACAAGACTGCTTGCGAACCTCCGTACCGTCACCTTTGTTCCTTCGGGGTCCTGGGTGTCCGCCTCCATGGTGGTGATGTACAAATGGCTCGAAGAACTGCTTGTACAGGGATGCACGGAGAAAGTTTTAAACGAAGCGCGGCACCAACTACGACTGGCGAGCTGCGTCCCACCCATTTTCACGGCGCCCCCAACCGCTGCTCCTGATACGAGGCTTCATTGGCTTATCGTGCTCCCATGCAGAGTCTGCAGGTGGGACGTGATAAAGGCCAAATCAGAGCACGTTGATATCGTAAGCAATCGAGCTCCCCGGTCCTGACCGTTCTTCAGCCACAGACCCGTCTCTGACTGCCGTATAGGATCTGCACATCTCCGCTAAGCCGCTACGGATCGAGTACGTTCAGTACGGGCGCTATCGCTATCCTGTCCCTCGGTCTCCGAGAGAGGCGGCGCTCGGTTCCTCGACAACATGGCCCCCGCCACCAGAGCATGCTTCGGGCGGGCAAACAAGTGTCGCGAAAGGGAGGCTGATCGATCGCTTGCTGGTACGTAGAATTCGAGTAAGGGTGAGGAATACCACTACCGCGACACTAAAACTTGCACAGAGCAAACGCCGCGATCTCCAGCTTCTCTTGAAGAAGATGCAGCTCACTGAGACGAAAGCATGTCCCGAGTTCCTAGCAGAGCTTCTCGCGCAGCAACCTCGACGATTCGCCTCTCCTGAATGTATCTACTCCACTGGCGATAGACCTTGCGAACGGTATCTCGCCAGCGTGGGCGGCTCTCCGAACTTCGACTTCGGACAGCCGAGCATGAGACATGACAGACGCAGGGATCTTGGGCTTTTGGCGCTGCTGTTCCAGGCCGTTTACTGGACGACCGTGCACTTTCTTACCGGGGGAAGAGTCGACGGCCGTCGCCACGGGGGATGAGAGCCACTTTACCGTACGACTTGCAAAGCGAGCGTTGACCCGTGCGCTCAGGGCCTGCACATTGTTCGGCTAATCTGTCAGCATTGGAGGGCAACGAACGTCACGTCTTGGTTGTCTATCGGGTGTCCAGCAGGCCGGGTGGCGGAGCGCAAAGACACAAGCCATGAGCGGCAAAATTACCATCAGCCCTCAGGACTGCAACTTGCTACGAGGCGGGTAGCTCCCAACTTACCTACAACGTACGTGGTCCACTAGATCGATCGCTTGCTATAGCCTGGACCAGGAGACAAGGTCGTTGCTAGACCAGTCCAGGACTAGCCGTCGTCCCAACCTTCCTGGCCTTCCACTGTATTGCTTCTTCTCAGCAGGTCAAGTGTCGGGCCCGTGGGTAAGGAAAGACCACTCCGTAGACCTGGCCAGTGTCATGGACTTTCATGGAGGAGATGTTGCTTTGATATCGTCATCTCGTCACGCAACCACAATCCTCACACCGTGCGCCCTACCAGGGTGTAGGCAAAATACCATGTTCAGCAATACTCAGACTCAAAAACACAGGACCTCCACCTTTCAGCACAGTCATAGCAGGGATCTGCCCGATGATTTATAGCGCTGTGACGGAGGTACATGGAACAGAACAATGATCATATGTGTTCAACCGTCGTTGGGATCTAGGTCCTGTACAACTCCAAGGAAAAGGGATAAACATCACATTGGGCCGTCTCTTGGGTAATAATAGCAGCACGTAGCATCCCAGTCATTGGCAACGAATTCGCCCTGTAATGCACCCTACCCTGGGTCTAGGCTCTTCGGCGTCTCAAGAGCTCAATATGGCAACTGTTTCCCGCATCAAAAGCCGACAAGGCGTATAGGGTTCGTGCGCCGGTGTTACTTGACGCTAATGAGGTGCTTGGCGGAAAGAGCCTTAAGGCTTGAAGCGTTGCGGATTGCGACATGAGCTGCGACTAAGCGTGGCCTTGTGCGGAGAAAACTACGAGGAGCGAGACCTTGTTGCATCAGTCCAAACTCAAAGACAAAAAGGGGACATTCAGAGCTTCTGCTCTCGCGGCGCCAGGAGATAGTCTTCGAGGTTTTACACCGGTACCGATCAAAGAGCGGCCAGTCAACATAGAAATAGAGGGCATCTGGAAGACCGTATATACACAACCCCATTTCTGCTGACAGGAATCCTGAGCAGAGACGGAATGACTGCTGCATCGAAGGAGTCCACAACAGCTTTTTGAGCCTGATGATATTGGCTGTTGACTCAACGGAGCATTTTCGGCCGAGCTGCTGGCCACCGACAGCGAATTTTAGGCTGCCCAATCGCCTCAATTCCCTTTCACTTTCTCTTCAGTTTCAGCGACGACCGAAACACACGCTGTTGACTGCTGTTTGTCGCTTGAAACTTCCTGGACTCTTCATTAATGCGACCTCTGAACCCCAGCATTTACCGGCTCGCTGCACTCTTTGACTTTGACTGACGCGTCAGGCGCAGGCTATTAACTGCGACAATATACAGAAATGTCGATACCTTTCACTTGCGCAAGCGTGGACATGTTGGTAGCTTATCTCTTAATGTCATTTAGTGTCGACGCCTCTAACAGCAAGCTTGTTACGAGCCAGTCAACTCTGAGCCGTCGGGCTATTCTACCGGACTATCACAAAGTACGAGGTATACTCATTCACCCGAAATGTGCCTTGCTAGCTTCATCCCAGCCAGGACCTTCGATGTGACGTCAAGTACCACGCCCAACACCGGCGCCTAGACCAGTGTAAGCTGCAGAAGCTTGCGCGACAAGGTTGCTTCGGCATCCGCAGCCGTAGATTGTGCGTTCAAGGCTCCGCCGAGCCTTGCCAAGGTCGATCTCCGCCCTGGGCGGTTGCACACAGAGTCTTGAGCGAGTCTTGGAGGCGCCCGCCCGCCGTTACATCTGCGCCTGTGCATATTCTTGGTGCGCGTTCTCATCGACTCCGCACCCCACCACTTGGATTTCCTGCTCTGTTGATCACGAGGCATGAGATGCTGCATTGTCGTCGCGGAGGACATGTGAGATCTGTCTTGGGCATTGAGATTTCCAGTGCCGCAACTCCTTGTTCAGACACGTCCGTTGACTTTTCGAGCGTCGCCACGTCAACCTTGTGTCGTTCGAGAGCGCATGGCCAAAGTATGGCGAGGCGGCAAGAGTCCGAACAAGGCCTCAAGGACCGTGTGTGGTAATTAACTAGGCACTGTCGAATGACATGTGCCAACCGCAGCCTGCATCTCTTTTCGTGATCATGTGGAGCTCTTCTCCGCTGCCAAGGGCGCGGCGCAATGATAACAGTGGAGCGCATTGTTCTTCCAGAAGAGGCCGGGGCTGTTCTGGTCTCGCAGGTGGACCGTCAAACCAAGATGCGCCCGCCGTCACTGGGCCGCCTTGCTCGTCAACATGAAATGACGGATTGAACGATGTTACCATGCTTCGTCCACTTGAAGGCAAGTTGATCAGCGAGCGGGGTCCCCACGAGAAAATGTCCCTACTGTGTAATGTCCTAGTTATATCAAAGATGACCCCGTGCTTTCCTTCCGTTTCAACTCGATCCATCTTCCTGTTTACTGTGCCCTGCCATCACGTCGGCTGGCCCAGCAATCGACGCCAAGATGTCGGACGCGAAAGACATCAGATACTCCACCACCGGACAGACTAATGGCCACCAAGCAGACCACTATGAGAAAGGCCCAAGCACGGAGCGCCGCCGCTCCTCTATCGTGGACCTTAACAGAGATAAGAACCTAGATGCCAAGTATGCGAATCCTCTTGTTTTTCTGGGGCTTCCGCTGACCTTGGCACAGGATCTCGAACCCTCTGGCCGACATACCCCGAGAAGATCTGTTCGCCGATGTGCGTGTTATCCGGATTGTCTCTACTCACCAACTGACGCGGCGTGAGCCAGGTCGAGGAATTTGCAAACCGCCATGGTCTTAACGCGGAAGTCGAGCTTCTCCAAAAGGGCGCCCTCGTGGCACAGAACCCCGGCCAATTCGAGAACCTCAGCGAGCTCGACGAAGCCGAGAAGGACTGTCTCCGCATCGAGGTCAACCGGAAATGGAAACACCCCATGAAACTCTACATGACGGTCATTGTGTGCTCGATCGGCGCTGCCGTCCAGGGGTGGGATCAAACGGGCACCAACGGTGCCAACCTCTCATTCCCCGAAGCCTTTGGTCTCAATACGCCCGAGGGTCAGCCTGGCTATGAGCGAGACTTCTGGATCATCGGCCTGGTCAACTCGGCGCCCTATATCGGCAGTGCCTTTCTAGGCTGTTGGCTCTCGGATCCCATGAACTTCTACTTTGGACGACGCGGCACCATTTTCACGTCTGCAATCTTCCTCATCGCCACGCCCATCGGCGGTGCCTTCGCGCAGAACTGGGAGCAATTGCTGGCGACTCGCGTCCTGATGGGCATTGGTATGGGTCTCAAGGGTGCCACCACCCCGGTCTTTGCCGCGGAGAATTCACCCGCCGCCATTCGAGGGTAAATACATCCCTTGCGCGCACAAGTAAAGCCGTGAACAAACGCTGACCAAGCTGCCTAGCGCTCTTGTGATGACCTGGCAATTTTGGACCGCCTTCGGCATCTTTTTGGGGACGGCGTTCAACCTTGCTGTTTGGAATGCCGGCGACATTGGCTGGCGCCTGCAGCTGGGCTCGGCTTTTATCCCTGCCGTGCCTCTTGCCGCTCTCGTTTATCTCTGCCCGTGAGTCTGCCTTTTCCCCCCCGGGTTGTGCATGAACCAACGGTGTGACTGCGCCTATGTGCATCTGCGCGGAACCAGAATCACCAGCCTGACAGACAGCCTCGATCGTCTTGCTCGCCGGGCTGATCCATCGCTTCGATTTCGCCAAGAGGGGGGTCCTGTGATCTACATATTGCTTGCGTTCTCGCTAACGTACGCGTGTGTCAGGGAGAGTCCGAGATGGTACATCAAGCACGGCAAAGTGGCCAAAGCATACGCCTCGCTACTGAGACTGCGCAACCACCCGCTCCTCGCGGCCCGCGACCTGTACTACATCAGCACGCAGATCCAGATCGAGCACGAGATCGTGGGCAACTCGACCTACATCACGCGCTTCACGCAACTCTTCACGATGCCGCGCGTGCGGCGCGCCACGCTGGCGTCCTTTGTCGTCATGATCGCCCAGCAGATGTGCGGCATCAACATCATGGCCTTCTACTCGTCGACCATCTTCCGCCAGGGCGGCGCGTCGGACTTTATCGCGCTGTTGGGCTCGTTCGGCTTCGGCGCCGTCAACTTCATCTTTGCGATCCCTGCTTTCCTCACGATCGACACGTTCGGCCGCCGCTCGCTCCTGCTGTTCACGTTCCCAAACATGGCGTGGACGCTCCTGGCCGCGGGCTTTGCGTTCTACATCCCGCGCTCGAGCTCCGCGCACCTGGGCGTCATCGCGCTGTTCGTGTACCTGTTCGCGGCGTTCTACTCGCCCGGCGAGGGCCCCGTGCCGTTCACCTACTCGGCCGAAGTGTTCCCCCTGTCGCACCGCGAGGTGGGCATGGGCTGGGCCGTGGCCACGTGCCTCTTCTGGGCGGCCGTGCTGGGCCTCACGTTCCCCAAGATCCTCGAGGCGTTCACTCCCACCGGCGCATTCGGCTTCTTCGCGGGGCTCAACGTGTTGGCCCTGATCATGATCTTCTTCTGGGTGCCCGAGACGAAACAGCGCACGCTCGAGGAACTCGACTACATCTTCGCCGTGCCGACGCATCGCTTCATGAGCTACCAGACGGGCACGTGGCTGCCGTGGTTCATCAAGCGGTACATTTTCTGGAACAAATCCGCCGAGCTCAAGCCGCTGTACACATTTGAGAATGGCGTCATGTTGGATATCAAGGATCAGAAGCGCCGCGTCGAGCGCGAGAGGGCAGCGAGTCTTGGTCAACAGGAGGCCAAGTCGACTGTTTGAGGGATGTAAATGTGGTTGAGGTACGGTACAGGTCAAGTCGACTATCCACGAACTCTGAATGTGAATGTAGTTGAGGTGTGTACCCCGGGTACGACGAGCGCGCGGAGGATAGAAAAAGGGTAGGAATATTAGATGATTCGAGACTCGCCAAGCGGTATATAAACCTTGTGGAACAAAGTCCGTCGAACTCAAGCCGCCGTACTCCGTACACGTTTGAGAACGGGGTCATGTTGGAGATTGTCAAAGAAGAGGTCCTGAGTCCATGGCCCGTGGGGACCGTCTAAAAAGTCTGAGAATCAGGAAGCGATTCATGCCTGGATCTTGAAGCCCTTAATTGGCTTATATGCCTGTCTGATCGCTGTTCGTGACAGACGTTAAGGACCGAAGCGCCGTGTCGAACGCGAGAGAGCAGCCACTCTCAGCTCAGAGTCAGGACGTGGCGAAGTCGACTGTTTGAGGCCTCTGAATGGCAATGCGGTTGTGGTGCGTATGGGCGACGAGCGCATGAGGGCAGAAAGGGTAGACTTGGGAGTGTCAGTCAATCAGTCAATACTCTTGGATCTTGAATGCTGGAAAACCCCTCGTCTTTGGATGGATGAAGGGGTAAGAAGTCCATTTTATCTTGTATCCTGTATGGTGGCGTAGATAGGGCAAGAAATGCTATACCTAAGGTATAGCATATGATATCCGGTGTACGGTATACCCTGTCCTGTGGGCAATGCGGGCGCAGACCGAGACGTGTACCATGTCTCGACAAGACCATCGTCCAATACAGTGGTCGGTGCAGTCAGAGCTCTGCACTTGCCAATCTGATCAAGTCCAAAGTGCGCCATCCAACAGATGCAACTGACAAGTCCTCAGCATCTTCCTGTGTTGGCTCCTCATACGCCTCGTTCAACATAAAAGCGTCACGTACCGTCACGCGTGCTAAACGTGCTCGGCCTCGAATCTCAAAGAGAGAGCCCCCGGCCACTTTTCGAAGAAGAATGGCGACGCTTGTTCCCGGAAACTGGTAGACGACATCGCCTGCTTCCGTGCGCGCCGAAGCGAATCCGAGGTACATCCCTTCCAAGGACCGCTCTCCATAGGCCAGATGCGTACGCTGCCAAATAAAGGCAAAGAGATCCCTAGGTGATACTGTCCACTGATCGCACGGCCCCCAGATATCGGCGCAGTCTGAGGGAATGCCTGCCGAAAAGTATGCGTCAGAGGCAGATGTAGCCTCCCGGATAGGCTGGATGTTCCTGCTGATGGGAAAGGTTGTGTCAAAGTGCGTGAGCCCTTGGCATCGCTCTCGCAAGGCCTGTGCGCGGCCGAATAACGCTACGTCGTCGACTCTGGATGATGTGACGATGCCTCGCCTACAGAGGGTGCTGACGACGTGGCAGTCGCGGCCACCTGTCTCAGGACGTATGCGGAGAGCTCGGGCTGTGGGAACGAGCTCGTCCATCTTGATCCCAAGTTGTTTTCCCAGTGCAAGAGCAAAGGGTATGGCCTTTGTTGGGTTCAGGCTCTGCCGAGCAGATGAGAACTCGACGGTGGTCAGCAACAAATCAAGCTTGCTCACATCATAGGAAACAGGGAAGCTTTCGCTGGCCAGCCTCGACATCGACACTAGCGCGTATACATTGTCCAGAGGTTCGGCGCACTCGGTAGAGGCGTAGTCGCGCAATAGCTGCTCCAAAGTCACATCCGGCCCACGTGGAGATCCTTGGAGGTCGAGAATTCGAGCTGCGAGACTGTTCTCAATGCTACCTGCACGGCGCCGTGGAACGTCTCGACCGCGATAATTTGTGATCCATGAGCTGTACAGCTGGATCAATGTCCTGACATACGTGAATGGGACGGTGAAGGTACCGCAGCATATCAGGGCGGATCTTGCAAGAGCGAGCTCTTGTATGATCCAGCGCCTGCGCCAGTATTCGTGGTCGAAAAAGGCCTCAATGGCGGCCAGATCAGGCCTCTGATCCTGCTGGTAAGTATGATCGTGCTGGTAAGTTGGGGAACCCAGGCGGAGTGCTCCGGATACTGATACAACACGAGCGTCGTCGTTGGAAGCCAGCGGAAAACGATGGTTCTTCAGCCATGCCACTACGCCAACAGCGGTCTGGAAGATCAAGGCCATTCTGCGCACCTGCTGGATGTTAGGACTCCGAACACTCTTCCAATTCAAGCGGGTTCTCTTAAGACAGGCTCCGCGCAGATGTGCTTGCAGGAAGACTGACCTGGGCGCTCCTCTCTAAGTTGTCCCGTTGGTTGATGCAGATGGCATCAATCCAGTACGTTTGGGAGTGACGAGGATGCCGAAGGTCGAGCAGTAATTCATATAGATTCTGTCTTACCCGAAACTCAAGGTCGTTGACAAGTATTGTCTTGTCGGCTGGGGGCTGTCCCCACGTGTAGGATACGGCGTTGTAGAGTGGCTGTGCCGCGAGACGGGCAAGCTTCAAACGGCATCTTATCTGCTCGTTCTTGTTTCCCGGCAGCAGTTCCAGGAGTCGGAAATCATGAGTTTCAGTCAGGCTCTCATATACATATTCCCGCCGTTTCAAATGGTTGGGAACGTCTCGGCGAGCAAGATGAATACGTGTCGCTGGAGCCGGGAAAACTGCCCCTGACTCTCTCGCCCAGAAAGGCATGGCGAGATTGTTGTCAGCCCACAAGGCTAAGGCTAGGGACGTCCCTTGCTTTCGTGGCTGAAGCGCGCTCTGCTAAATCTGCTTCGTCCCACGAGGACGCTCCATTGCGGGACCAACACGCTCTACTCGCAGTGGTCGGTTGTGGTGAAGGAGGAAGAGAAAATTTTCATGCCAGCCTCACGCGGGATGAAAAGGCGCCGAAAGGTGAAAACGGCGAAGCCAACAAGAGGGGCTGGGACAGCGAGGAATACGAGCGCGGCTGAGCGACCATCCCCGCCCGCGTCGATTGATCGGGCGCGGAGTCGAAGGGTCACTAGGTCAAATAGGTTGGAAACACCACAACATCGAGCGTCGATGGAGATGAGAAGAGGCGACTGAACGAATGCCTGCGACAGGGTAAATCACACTACCAAGTCTCATGCGATGGTTAAAGTCATGTTTGCAAAGCGCGACGAAAGACAAGGCAGGCATGCCATCTGGCCCGGCAAGAGCGACTATAAGTATAAGGCTGAGTTATTTGTAGTATAGTCCAAGGCATTGGCACTGGATTGGGCATCAGCGCCTATCAGTGTCACATTGTCGGCTTCACTCTGCATCATCCCGCCCGCCGTAGACGCTCGCTTCGCCCTTGGCCATGTAGTCGAAGGACTCCTCGCTCGTTGTCGTGGCTGGTGGGCTCAGGGTGTCGTCTCCGTCCTTTCGCCCGTCGCCGACCTGCTGAAAGAAGTCCTCAGGGCTGTCACCTTCTACTGATTTCGCCTGCCGTCCCTGCCACAAAACACCATCCCCAAATCCCCAGCCAAGTCCCTTTTTTGTCCTCTTAATTTCCTCCTCTCTCAAACTTAGACCAGCCGTTTCGCCAGAGACACCCTGCAAGGGCAGATTCCGACTATGCCACTCCCCCAGGAACATGCCTTGGGGATCACTCTCATCCCTCACCTTCATGAACTCAGCCATATCACCACCGTACGTCTGCTCGAGGTACCGGCCCGTCGTCCTTGCGGAGAAGTTCTTGGCCCAGTGTGGCTTCGCTCCCATCTCGCGCATAAGATACTCGAAAGCCTCGTAGTAGGTGTCGTGACAGGGTGGGTCGCGGCCGTAGGGCCGATACAATGTAGCATTGAGGTAAAGCGTAGGGCTTTGCGCCATCGTCGGGTCGAGATAGGGTCGCACTCCGGATCGGTTCAGGTCCTCTTGACCGGTATGGGTCACGCGCACTTCGACAGGACAGTGGACCCAGATGCCCTTGCTCGAAACCGGGATCTTCGCCGTCGCGTCGTCATGGTTGATCCATGCCGATAGACGGGTGATTGCCTCGGGACCTTTATCGAGCGGCAAAGCCCATTCATTCACAAACTGCGAGTACAGGCAGTCCATCAACAATCCCTCCCGTGCAGGTTGGACAGCGGACATTTCGAAGCGGCCTGCTTGAAAGCCATATTGCATGCCGAAAACAAACCACTCGATCCAGGGCAGAATGCGCGGGACGTAGTTGGAGAGATACAACAGGTTATGGTAGATGTAATAGCCGAGTCGTCCGCCGTAGAAAGTCTCGTTGGGCGGGCGACGAGGAGACTCGGTTCTCTGCCCTCGCCAAATGACCGCGCGCTTCAGATACGGCAGCCACCAGACGCGAGTGAATTCGTCTTTCGTCCAGAGGTCCTTGTCCCACGTGCCAAGGACTTCGTCCAGGCTGTGGAGCGACTGGGACCAGGAGATGTCAAAGTCCGGCACAGCCTGGATGGTGATTTCGACGATGATGCCCAAGGCGCCTAGTGAGAGGAGTGCGGCTCGAAACAGCTGCGGGTTCTTGGTCTTTGAGCAGGTGACCAACTGAGAGTTGGACAGCAAGATGGTCAGTGACGTGATGGATTCCGAAATCAACCCGTGCTTGAGACTAGAGCCGTGAGTACCGGTCGAGATGACTCCGGCGACGGATTGCACATCGATAGAGCCTAAGTTGGGGAGCGTGTACCCGTCCTTGGCCAACTCGATATTCAGGTCATGCAAAGAAATTCCGGCGAGAACGCGATAGAGGCCGGGGTTGCCGTCCACGTCCTTCTCGAGGACAGCGCTGAGATGGTCCAGATTAATCAACCAGGACGACGTGCACGTGAGGTCGGACGGCGAATGGCCAAAGCCCGTCACACAAATGCGTTTGCAACACCTCCGGGCAAGGGTGACGATCTTCTGGAGCTCTGGGATCGACGACGGCTGGAAATACAGTTCCGGGCGCGAGAAGAATGTCTGGGCCCAAGTATGGTGGAGATATCGCAGCTTGGGGTTGAATGGGACGGAATCACTGATCCTGACCAGCTCGCGCTGGAGTTTGGGGTCGAGGTTGGCAGTGGCGGCGGTGCTGGGCCTGGCTGAGGGGTCCGAGGCCGTGGTGTTGGGTTTCGTGTGTGGCAAATTGGGAGCGGCCCAGTCCATGGCTGTCGTCGCAGGGCGCAAAAGGAGGAACGTGCTCAGCGATCAGGGCATATTCGACGGAAAAGCGGGCAGCGGGCAGCGGCGGTGATGAATTGACCAGGCGGGCAGATGGGAACCAGAATTTGAACCGGAGGTGACGATGAGCCGCGGGCGAAACAGAAGCACCACAAGCGCCAGAAGCGCCGACTCGCATTAGATTGGCGCCGCGGCCTCTGATTGGGCAGCGGCTGATAACGCCGGCTACAGGCATTCCACGCACATTCGACGTCTTCTGTGTATGTACGTACCACAAACCCCGTGGAATATGGACTGTAACTTTTCCACACGCCCAGTTGGCCAAAATGTTCACAACATCCGCCTCGTTTTTGTAGCGCCGTAGCAGGTCATATCACATTCAAACCGTGAACTGTACAAGTGTACACGAATCCCAACCCATTCAGTCGAGACATCTCACCGTGGTAGTCCCAAGACCCTCTAGCCTGAGCAACTACTCAGAGAGGAATGCCTAATTCCTGTACCACCTCTTCGACACGCAGACATGACTGTTCCGCTGGACGCGACGATTTCTGTGACGTCCATTTCCGAAATATTGACTTGATGTGCTGCGGAGGCTCACCCATCACAACATAACAAGACGGCAAAAGAGGCCTGTCTTGGACAGAAGACGACAGGACGGCTATCTCTTGGGCGACCTGCACCGCTGTGACAAATTCGGCGGGCTTTTTGGCGAAGCTGCCGATCAAACTGCGAGAGACAACAACGTCAATACATGGACCCGAAAATCGAACACGCTTAGACTTACACATAAAGTTCTCGATAGACATCGAGGATGTGGATGTGATGTCCATCAAGGTCCTTCTGGCTGAATGGAGCGATTTCTTCCACCAGAGCCTTGAGACTTTGTTTCGGCGGCGAAGATGCCCTCAGTCCCCAAAAGCCGCCTAGGCCACCTGACGACTTTGGACGGTCGTGCTCGACGCGATAGAGTCTCGGTGGATGGCTGTCGCGCTCACCGGCTCCGCTGCTGCTCTGAGGTAACATTCGCTTGGATGAGCCGGAAGGCAGCGAGTCCCAGAAGCTTGCGGGTTCTTCGCCCTCCGAAACTTCCTCGATCTCACCAGTCAATCCCAAGTCCATGCCAATCAGCCTTGCGCATCCCACGTCTTCCGGGTTGCTGCCTCTGCCTTTCCATAGGTAAAGCTTGCCGAACTTCGCCGAAATGAGAAACGGGAGTCCCGTGCACAGGCTGTCGGCTGAGAGGTCGACTTCATCAAAAGCGACATGCCCAAGATGCCTTCTGCCGCAGACCATATATAGCGCTGAAGACTTGTTCCGCCGTACGATGACGATACCACCCAGAGCTTGGAAGAATTCTGAGCTCTCCTTGCCTTGCTTGATCACTTCCAGTTTAGCACTATTCTCGCGCGCAACTTTTCTGCAGAATAGTTGAGCATCTTCCACGGCTGCTTCGGGCACTTCGTCCCCGCACCAGAGATACACCTCGGACAATTTCGAGCCTGAGGGCAGTTGCATCGAATGAACACATAAATACAGGCAATCCTCGAAGAGAATATGTTCCTGTTGCGGCGGCATCGGCGTTTTCTTACCATCGCCGGACACTTCCCAGATCTGGTTGCTCAGAGTCTTGGGCTTCTCTGGTGTCTTATTCTGGGCAGAAAGGAAAGCATGCGCGTCAAACTCCACCTTTTCACCTGCGGTCGGCAGGACGCCAAAGAAGCTCTCAAGCCGGGATCTAATTGAAGGCGACGATGTCGTGGGCGAAATAAACTTTCTAGGGGATCCTACTGCTCGCATTGCTAGCGGTTGCGGTTCCGGCGGTGGCGTCAATACGGGGGCAGCAACCAGCTTCCTTAAGCCAGTTCCAAGCTGCAACCCAAGCCCATTGGCTTTCGGTGAGCTAGTGATGTCAGGCTTTGGAGCCTTTGGAGTGTTGAGCTTAGATTTGTTCGGCGTCAAAGGCAAAGTCGGCGCAAAGGCTGGAGAAATCGCCGTCGTCTTCCTCTCGCCATCCGAGTCTGGAGGTGATGATACCAATTTTGAAGGATCAGGCAGGACTTCGACCTTCTTTGGCGTGCCAGGTTTCGCAGGCGTGCCAGAGTTGGATTCCCTTCTTAGATCCGCAGACGTCTTAGGCTTCGGTGGAGGGGCCAAGTCAACACTCCCAGTTGGTGCACCCTGATTTGACACCCTTCTTAGTTCCGCTGATTTGTTGGCAACGGCGGGCTTCGGCTTTGACTCCGACCCCGTTTGGGAAGCAGGAGGTGGTTTATTGACAGACTGCGTTGCAATAGCCGCTTTGGCAATATTGGCCGTCGGCAATTCCGCTTTAACTAGCGTTGGATACGATTGTTTGGCTTCAGTCAGGTTGGGCTTCTCAATCCCTGCTGCGGGCGTAGTCGGCAGCGACCGCTGGACTTCCCCCACGACCACGTCTGCATTTTGGAGTCCCGTTGTGGGGTTGCTCATACTTGTTTTCGGCGCGAACGAACGTCGCGGCAAAGGCGCTGTGGGTTCCAAAGGGGACTCTGCTGACCCTACGGCCTTTGCTGACATGGAGGTGGAGTTTGTTGCGGCCTGTCCAGATATGGGTTTGCTGCTCGCAGTGGAAGATGCAGCGGTCTTAGGAGCCCTTCTTTTGGGGCCCTTGGAACGCGCCTTAGTCATATGAGTCAGCTCCGCAGGATCTTCTTTCGTGCTTTCTCGCGGGTTCTGATGAGTGTCGCGGACCTGCATCCCACCTCGACCGTTGGAAGACGCATCTCCAGGAGGCTTCGGGCTACCACTTCGTGATAGTATGCCAGCAAGTGCAGGATTGAGCCGAGCAGCGAGTTTGCTATTTTCAGGGCGCTCCACTCCGGAGAGTGACTCGGCTAAAAGGGCAGGTTCTGCCACCCGGGTCTCTGGATTTTGCTGGCTTACTCGAGCTGGTACATCGGACACCGATCGTGGAGGTAACACAGTCGCTGGAGCAGCATCGGATTTCTCGGGGTTGCTTGCGAGTATTGTCGGAGGTGCCGAAGTTCGCTCAGATTGTGACAGAGGTTCTCCCCTTGCTGGAACTGGTTTGTCGTGGAGAACCTGTGGCTTCGAACCCACAAGAGATGGCTTGGTACCCAAACCGTTCAATGGCGGTTTCCCGCCGACTGCCCGAGGCTCGGACGCCAATATATTGGGTTTGCCCGCCATATCATTCTGCCTCTTGCTTTCGGTCTTCTCAGATGAAGTTCCCGTCTTCTGCAACGCCATACGCCTGGCCAGCGCCTCCGGTACAGGGTCGTTATGTTTTTCTGTGGGGCTTGTCGCTTCAGGACGTCTGACGATTGCACCACCACCTGTCTTCATTGCTTCCTTCTTTTGCAGGATGCTCTCTTTGAACTCGTCGACCCTTTTCGTCTTCTGCGGGCCACCTGTGACGTTGAGCGCTGCCTTCCCCATGGTGATGTTGTCCTTTAACTCGTCCGGGGCGACATAGTTCTGAGTTTGCGCGCGCTTCAACTTTCCAAAGACGGCTTTGAACTCTGGTTCCGTGGTGTTATTGCCGGTTGGGGCTGCTTGACGCGACTTGAGACTGGCTCTGAAATCGGGTTTTGGAGGGGTACTCGGCTTTGGCTTCGGAGCTGGCATTTTTGGGCCAGGTTTGGGTTCACGTAAGGTAGGGTTCTGGAGCCCTTTGGCCGTGTCTTGTTCAGCCTGCAATGGTGTAACAGACGTGCTAATCACCTTTTCGGTCGAGCTTGACCCAAGCTGAACCGGTGTGAGATTTCTCTTGGCTGGAACAATGGGTCTCTCCTCCTTGGTCGACGTGGAGGATGTATTACGTTTGTGCGCATCAATGGCATCTGAAGACGGCGTTGCTGTCGAGTTAGATTTCTCAAGCCCAGCTTTCGTCGAGTCTAGACCTACAGCCACACCGTTCGCGGTCGCATTTTCGAGTGTCTTCGAGTCCTTTGTTGATGATGTGCTGAGGGCTTTGGTTGCTACTACGGGCTTTGACCAGGCGTCTTTGCCGGCTTCAGACGGTTGGGACTGTTCCTGCTTGGCACGCTGCATGCTCAGCCTCCATGCTGGCATTTCGGGTTTCGCTGCTCTTGGAGACTCTGGCGGCTTGTTTAGGGCGCTCTCGAGCCAACTGGCCTTTGTCGGACTCCAGCGACGAGGATCTATAGTCTTCGAAGGGCTACGAGATAAGATCGTCTCGGACGGTGGTGGTGTTACCGGACGGGTCTGTGGTGGTAAATCAGAAACTTTAGCTGCTTCGGCTTGGGCCTCTTGCTTGGGTATGGCGTCTGGAGATGCCACTGGATCGTCTTCCGGCCGGGGTAGTGAGCGACCTTTTGTGATTATAACAGGCTCTCCGTGACCTGAAACAGGTCTCGAGCTCGAGAGTGGGGAGGAATGACCATCGCGCGAGCCTCTAACATCTCTTGAGGAACCACGACTGTGACCAGAAGTATAGCCTGAGACGGTAGCAAGGTGTGCTGGGCGGTTGGAGGCAACCGAGTCACCTCGCTTCAAGCCTGCACTTGCTTGTACACTCCATCTCTTGCTAACACTGTCCGACCGCTTCATCATTGCGCTTTCCACAAAACCACCCAGACCCTTAGTTGGCGACGGAGGACGTCCCGAAGAAGACAAAATGCTGGAAGTCCTTCCCAGACCAGGTGTGTCTACAGCAAAGGAGGTGTTCAGGTCTAGTGGCTTAAAGGTCGGCATGTCCAGCGCAGGAGATTTTGAAGGGGACGAGGATACCATGGAGACTGGCCGCGGTCTCGGCAGGTCTGAGCTCGACAGTTGTCGCTGGCTAGAAGACAACGCATGAGCCGATTTTGGAGGTGACGACGGAGGCGTGGGTTTCCCGTTTTCTTCCTCTGAGCGATCTTCTGCAGCATTGGACATGCCCGGGAGCCGCATGCCGCGGCTCGCGGAACCAGTCTTTGTGTCTGAATCCGTCTCATTCTTGCGGTATGCCGCAGAGCCCACGCCTCGATCAGCAGTCTGACGAAACCACGAAGGATCTCTAGTTTCCAGCGTCGCAGCAATATCTTTCCTCGACATCTCGTCCTCGGCTTTCTGAGGGGCGGCACTCGGAGCGGAGGGTCCTAAATCCGGGATGGATGCAACAGACAACGGCCGGGATCGCACAGCGCCTCCTCTTGATAAAGGCCTCTGGTTCCATGACAGTGTGCCACTTCTCGAAAGTGTGGTGGCATGAGCAGACGGGCTGGGCAGAGTCGGTTCGTCGTCCGTCAGTGGAGGTGGAGGTGGTAGAGGTCGAGAGAAGTCTAGCCCTGTAAAGGATGCTCGATCTTGTCTTGGGGATATTGAGCCAGAGCGGCCCAGAGTTCGTGATTGAAGAGGAGGGGTGAGAGCAACGGGAGGTTCAATGCTTTGTGTCGGCTTCGGCGCAGCCTCTCCCCTGGGCCTCGAGGACGCTGCAGGGCCAGTCTTTGAGGGTGACAGCGACCGAGCGCGTTCTGCATTGCATCAGCATGCCATCCCATTCTCTGGAGCAGACCATGTTTGAACTGTACCTAATCTTCTTGCCTGTCTCTCTTTTCTGGCTTGCAACAACTCTTCCTCCGTTCGCTTTGATCGCTCAGCCTCCTCGGCAGTCTGTCGGGAACTGAGGCTGGCAATCCGAGCCAGAAACTGGTCGACTGACTCGGAGCCATCGTTTGACACGTCCATTCTGCGTCTGCTCGTGAAAATGTACTGTTCGGTTACTCGAAGCCGACCTGGTTTAGGAGCACGCGGCACTCCACATGGGAAAGTTGGGGTTCAGGTTGAAAGGGGACGACAAGCGCGCGGTAGAAGAAATTGATAAGCGAGTGAAGGCGAATTGAAGAAGCCGAGAACAGGCCGCAGAGAGGATCTTGGACGACAACGCTCTCAGGTCGCCATATGACTCGTGGGCTGGATTAGTATTTGTTGATGTTGATGTTGATGAACGGGAAGAGGACGAGGGCGGCTTGTCGGGAACACGCGCTCGTCTCCGCAGCAAAATCGGAAACTCAACCAACGGCGATTTTCATTGTTTGTTTATTTTAACTTGTGTCCGTCAGCGCCTCCAGATCCCTCTGTCTTCGTCAGCTTTGGCGCAGCGGGTGCTATATGGAAAAGAAGATATCTTCAGATAGGGCTGATCATGCGACATGCTGCTTGACCTCCTGGTCGGGCTAGGCCATTGAGAGGCCAATTTACGGCCTGTGCATCTGCCCACCAGGGTCCCATGTGGCTCGTTCTGCGCCTCGTTTTAAAGTGACATCTAACGGCCAAGTGGGCTTCTATTTGCAGGCTTCCTCTCTCTGACTCCATGCTATACTCTGCCTCGGATCCTGACGCCGAGTGCTACATTCAATACAAGAAGAGCCGGTCGCGTGCGTCTTGAACCACCCAAACCAAGCCTTTCTCCAAGTTCTCACCCGTCATGGCGCTGCATGGAACCACCACCCATCGATGCGTCAAAACGGAATTTAGGTCGAGCAGCTGTGTAGCCTCTTGCTCGCTCATACCACCAGCAACATCCGTCTTGTTCAGAAATACCAGCAGACTCGCTCCTGCTAGGCGCTGAACACTGTCAGCTCACAGCAAGTGTCGATCCGGCATGCCACCTTACCTCCTCTAATAGAAGTCCTTTGAGCTCGGCCTTGCAGTCCTCAACTCGTAGCCTGTCAGTCGCGTCCACCACCCAGATGAGAGCATCAGTCTTCTCGAAGTAGTTCCGCCAATACGACCTGATCGTCTTTTGGCCCCCAACGTCCCAGATATTGAGCTTGTAGCTGTGCATGAATCATTTAGTTTCTCCTGAGGAAGCTCAGGGGGAAAGAGCATACCCTTGAAAGTCGATCGTCTTGATAATGAATCCTAGTGTTGGACTAACCGTATGAACGTCTTCATTCATTATCTTTTTGACTATGGTGGTCTTTCCCGCATTATCCAGTCCTCTACAAAAAGATTAGCGCTCGTCTATCTGCGTGAGAAGGGGGCCTCACTCACAACATCAGAATCCGCATCTCCTTGTCCTTCAGCCGAGCCTTGCGGAGTATGGAAAGCATCTTGACCGTATGCTGGCAGCTTCTCAGGCAAGGAATCCCGCTGCTTCTTGGCTCACGACTGAAGCTTCTCAACGAATTGGCTAGTTCATGTCTCTAGACAGTTCCACTTCGATAACAGTCTCAAGTTACTATCACGGACGTCTCAGCCGCTCGCAGCTCAAGCGATTGTGCTTCCATTAGAGTGCGCTTCTGAAATGCGTGTACCTCGTAGTCAAAATCCGTTGTCTCCTCATGACTGATTAAACCAGATAAACAGTACTTACCCAGAGCCCATCGGAGCTGTTACTTGCTGTGCTAGTCTCCATGAGTCGTCCACGGCCGCTGATTCGTTTTGGGACCGCAGCCGCTAGGCAGAGAATGGTAAAGCGGTGTTAGCGGCATCAACATGTCCTGGTGTCTCTCCCTCACGTCTTCCTCCACTTACCAGTCTACTTGCTCCTCTTCAAATTCACAGTATCCTCCTTGTTTGCTGCTTACCGCCATGTCAAGCTCTGCCTAGGGTCCAAAGTGACTCTCAAGAGGCAGTGCCCATCGACAAGTGGACATAGCATGGCCCAAACACAGGCTTCAGTAATTAACTGATCATCTTCACACCTGAGTGAAGAAGACTTTGCTTCTCACCCACATACCCTCAGCCCACGTTCACACTCTCCTAAATTTCTCCAGAGGTCAGAAAACGCAGCAGGGGTGGATGCCATGTCCTTCCCCTATGTCGGGGCGTCTACAATGGACAACGTCATGGGTATGCAAGGTCCTTCGAGACTGTCACCCGGAACATTTCAGGCCGCACATGTTAGTGACAGCACTGGTGCTCTAGCACATGACCGAAGTCACTTCACTAATGCGCAGGACCACTGGGAGAGGGTGAGTTCTCTTTGTTAAGCCCTCATTCCCTCAGTGTCGTCTTCTTGTTCTCCACCCGCGTCCTCGAGAATTTGCTTATTCTTTGCTAGATTTATTCACATCGAGCCATGGCCTTTGATCCGGATGCGTATGGCAACCCCATGGCCAGAAACAGGGATAATGGTGCAAAAAAAGGGCCATCAGAGCTAGATCGACACCCAGGCTGGCGTATCCCTCAACACCCACCAGCTAGTGAGCGGTCTTCTGGGGTGTCATGGCACTCTGCGCGAGGTGGAGGTTGGACACAAGGTCGAGGTGAGGAACAGATGGCGGAAGCGGAGCTGGAGGGTGAAATGACGTCTCTGGATGTCCAGTCGACAGCACCACAAAATGTTACAACAAATGGGAAAGTCAAAGAGAGTAAGCCGGCGCGGTTTGTACCTCAGAACCCTGTGGCGACTGTCAATGGCAACAACCACAAATTCGATGCTTCGGCATATGGTGATCCCTCAAGGAAGAAAATGACCAAGACAACAACCTACCCTCCGACATGGAGACAATCCCGATCGAGTTCTGTCAATACCCCAACTGGACAGCGAGATGGTCGGCCGACGGTTGCAACCGCACCCACTGCCAAACCCCAACCTTCACCACCTCACGCGCAGCAATACCGACCCACCTCCTGCGTCACACTCGATGCATCAAGAAATCCGCCGGAGTCGACTGACAACAACACGCCTCAGCCGAAGATAAATGTTGACCAAGAATCCCATCCTAAAACCACTTCCAGCCGGAATGATTCGACGAAGAAGTCAGCGACACCTCGCCCGGAGACCTTTGAGACCCTCAAGCAAGGTAACGAAACACCACAACAACTGATCGCTCGGCTCCAGGCTGAAGGTAAACGTGATGTCTTCCAGAGAGTCAAACGGAAGGATCAAGGTGAGATCCCTACCAATACGGGCCTGGCCCTATTGGATCTCCTGAGAAAACCCTTGCCTCCAGCCTCAGATAAGCCTCAGTCGGACGCGTACACAGCTGAACCACAACGGAAATCCTTGCCCAACATTGATCCAAGCTCGTCCTGGAATCAGCCCCCAGAAGAGCCCCTCAGACCCACTAACCACCTACTCACAGAGATGAAACAGGCGAACAAGGAACAGCGACACTGGGAGCAGGACATGCAGAATCCAGCGTTGTGGGAGCACGCAGCAATTCAGTCTGGCAATGACACCAGCAATATCCAGCTTCAGGGATCAGAGCCATCATACAACACCAAGGACGTGCAAAAGACGACCGGGCTACGGGATGAATCTGATGTGCGATCGGTCAATGACCGCGATACGTGGAACGTGGGCGCAGCTCGGCCGGCGAATGAGGTCACTGTACCCCTCATACAGCAGTCCCAGCAAGGCGGTGAGGACAGCTGGGCTTTGAGGCAGAATCCCGACAAAGCAGCACGCAGAGCCTCTCGCTGGGCGTCTGCTGCAGATATGAAGGCTTCCAAAGTTAAGACGGACAGCAACGCTGAGGGCTCAGAGGAAGTGGAAAGTGACGGCGACTCTACCAGACCCATGGCTCGAGGGTTTGGTCGTCTCATCCGCAGTCGAAAGCCTCCGGTGCCAGAAGAACGACTCGTCGGTTGGGATGGACAGTTCTTGCCCCCTCCAACTGACTGGGAGTATCGTCCACGGTTCTACAACAACACTCCCGATTACATCAGTGGTTTCGAGAACTGGCTCGGTGACGTTACAGTGCGTACCATGTCGGAAAAGTCCGTCGCAGAACTGAGCTTCGGCGTCCTTCCCACTGAGCAAGTCGTAAACCTGGACAATCACCCAGACGGAATTGGCTTTGCTCCGAAAGAAACCGTCCTCGGTCCAAACAACTCTGAGCGTTACGGACACAGACTGATCAAGCCAATCATGCCCGATCCTCAGAATCCAATTGATTTCGATGGCGATGCAAAGCTGGATCTTTCAGACCCTGACAATGCTCGATACAAAGATGAGACTGCACAACTTTACATTGCCAGACGCATGGCCCAGATCAAGCATGTCCAAATGGAGGCAGAGGAGAAAGCAAGACTTCAACAAGAAGCAGAGCGTCGAGAACAATTTGAGCTTGGAATGGACGCCAAAGCAGAGGAAGACGACGCTGCCGTATTTGGCGGGAGTAGCAAACCTTTGCCTCCTATCACAATCAAGAACATTTACCTCCGCCCTGCCGTCCAAGCCGATGCACCCGGAATGATGGAAATCATCAACTGGTACATTGCCAATGGATTCCGTCCACCTGAACTCGCGCCTATCAGCGAAGACGATATGATTGAACGCATGAGGATGGCACAGCACGCTCGTCTCCCCTTCATTGTGGCTGTCGAGCGTACTCGCAAGACCTCTCGTCCCAAAGGCCGCAGATACCCACGGGTCAACCCGAACCACCCTATTCAGAACATCGACCCGGATTACGTCGGTGTGACGCGCGATGAGCCGATCGTGGGCTGGGTGAGTGCTACAGACTGGGCCGCGCCCGACTACTGCGAGTGCATCGCCGCCGATCTAGAACTCTACGTCGCGGCCTCTTCCCGCAAATCCGGCGTAGGCCGCTGCTTGATGGATGCGATCCTGGACGCGACGGACCGGGGGTACATGAAGAAAGGCGGCTATGAATTCCGCGTCGCCCCGGAAGTCAAGCATATGTACTCTGGTGGTGGCGGTCGAGATCTCCACAAAGTGGTCTTTCAGGTCCGCTCGTACAACAAACCTGTCACGCCCGAACAGATGGACAGAATCCGTCGCTCAGCAATGTACATGCATGATCCGCCTCTCGATCGCAACGCATTCCGTCGAAACAGAGACCTGCACAGCCGTGCGCCGACTCCTGGCCTCTCTGCAGATGAACGAGAACCTCCGAAGAAAGACTTCTCCAAGTCTGCGCGCATCGACGATCGGGAGGATGACTATGAGATTTGGCTGAAAGACTGGCTTGAGTCATATGGCTTCGAGGAAGAGGCACGCCTGAAGATGATGGGCACCAAGCGTGGACGCTTCATGGACGTGAGGTACCTGAGTCGCGAGACGTGCTGGCAGCCCAGCGAGGGGAGGATCCCGGATTTTACCCATGGATATTGATCTGCTGGAGAGAGATCTGGGTGGGGATGTTCAAGGCGAGGGGGACGGAGCGACGAAAACAAGGCTGTGAGAGACAGTTGAAGCACGCGCGGAAACGGGAGGTCAAAAGGGACGGAGGTTCTTTAACAATCAATCAACACGGAACGGAACGGAGACCTCTCAACGACGACATGGAGCAATACGAGACATGATGCGAGGAGACGCGAAGTACGACGCACAACGGACGATTTCTTTTCTTTCACCCCCTTTCAATCGGATTTTCAGCTTCTCGGCTCTTTTATTCAACACGCTGTCCAGCATTGATGGTAAGCCTTCCATTAATGGCACTTTTGACGGATCAAGGCCATTTTCTTTCACAATATTGCCACGGTCAGTCAGGCAGTTGGCGACAGTTCCTTGCGAAGGACGGACCTCAGAACAGCGCAAGGTCTACTGATGCCGCGCCGTCAGGAAACTTGGCATGAGCATTTCCATAGTTCGTTTTCCCCTACTTTATTGTCCATAGAGATGAGAGCACGGCGCCGGAACAGGGTGACGATCCATTTCAGATAGACAGCCATGGGGCGAGCGAATCCTAGCACGATTCAAGCACATACGTAGTGTGATAGCTTGGTTTATCCACTATGGCTGAGGGTTTCGGGTCTCTCCATTAGACCATCGTCTGCCCACCTAATTCCATGCACGGTACACCCCCCGGCAATAGTAAGCCTCCGTGGCTGCATTGAGGCAGCTTCGGACCACAACTTCGGGACAAATACATAAGGGACTCTCCGTATTGTATGTAGCCAAGGTTCAGCTTCACCAGGGAAAGCTGCGGTGGCAGCGATCACCCTTTCTTGCTTCGCTAGTGCCCGGCATGTCAAGGGTGTCAGGAATCCTTCTTTTGGCAGTGACAGGAAGCTCGAGCTTTTCTTTCTATCAGAGCACATATCACATCCGAAGATGTAAGAGGCTAGCGTGTGAAAGGGGACTCTTTTCCAAGGCTCGCAAGCCACAGATTGTAGCGCGAACCGGATATGGAGATGGTCAGCCGCAAGAGATCGATCTCCTGTACAGTACTCCGGACTACGAGTAGGACTGGGTACTGAAGCCAGTAGCTTGGGACAGCTGCGACTTTACCTTGGTCTCTCTGCGTGCTTCCCAAGGCTCACAGGCACGGAGCTCGCCGCAAAGCCGAGTGTTGCCGGCCAGCTGTTGCACAAGACTTCCGCAGCTGCACTTTACGAGGTGGCAGCGAATGTTTACAGTACCACAGAAGCACCTTCGGGGAAACTTGAACCACAGTGGAGACATTGACTGGGGCTAAACGACCCTTGCGTCAGACGTCAAGTCGCGAGCCGATGACAGGCCAGGTTTCAAGGCATCGGCTGGTATTTCCGAATTTCCTTGGGGGTGACAGGTGCTTGGAAACCGTGATCATGACTACGCACTCACTTGTGGCCTTTGATTATCGAGCCTGTGGCAGCGTCTGTATAGGCTCAGCTGGGATGGACAACGCCCCCACCGATGATTATCGATGACTTCTCTCTCCGGTTGCGATATGCGGTGGAGATTCCTTTTTGTGTAACCAAGAGGATCACCAAGCAGCGATGGGGTTTCCAGATACGCGAGGGCGGCGGCTGGACGATCGACCAACTCATGATCCTCGGTATGCAGGTCATCGCCAGGCTCTGATTCGCCCTGGAGGCTCGGCCACGTTGCGCTCTCTTGGGTATTGAGCATCAAGGGCACATCTGAGACCTCTGAGCACTCGTATGGTGAGGCTGCACAATGTGAGATTGACACACGCTGGGGCACCATGATGTATCTGCATCTACCCGATCAAGAGCGCAGTCAGATGGCCTGAACTCGGGGTAAGGGGGGTAAACATGGTCCAGATCCTGGCTCTTATCGACGCTTCTCCGGGTCCAACACGAGCGTTCTCGCCCATCCGGAGTCGCGCAGCGCGACGCATGACAGCGCGGGATTAGTCAAGATATGGTTGAAGCAAACGGATTTACGAACCGGGCACACATCGTGCAATTTTCCTGGTTTTCCTAGTGCTGTCTGCGGCGTCGAAATGTACTATTGTTTGACTACACGATCACTCATTGGACCAAGGTCAACGCGTTTCCTGCTGGCGACGGGCGTCTGTTGCAGGATCTAGCAAGGTTTCTTGGACATATGGCGCCATAAAGATGTGCATGGGTGCATGCTGCCATTGTGGTTGGGACCTCCAGGCTTCCCGCGCTTGCACCGGAGCCGAGCTGAAGACGGGGTGGGAGAACACGCGCGCTGTCTCTCTTGGATCCGCCTACACTGCTTCGCGGAACCAAAGGGGACACGGCGGGGAAGACAGACACACTGGAATGAGGGCGGTAAGCTGATCCGGGATTTTCGACAGAGGACGAAGCAGCGCGCCGAGAGTAGTGCAAGCAGCTCCTGCGTCCGAACCACTTATCTACGTACGTTTGGCGCGGCAGACGCGGTTTGATAGAAGCTCCTCTTCGGGTTTGGGCTTGTCGATCGTCCCGCTCGAGGACTGTGTACACATTAATCGAGAAGTGGGCGGGCGGCAGCAGCGGCGTCTGCAATCGTGCACAGGCCAGCATTGTTTCCGTGCTGAGGTCGTCAGGGTGAAGGAGGGAAATGGCCTGCAAGTTGGGCTGCACACATGTTCGCCTAATTATGCCCTAAGCATTCATAGGCTTGCCTGTCGTCAGACCCTTTCCAAGGAAACTTTAACTAGCTCATATTCTGGGTGACCCCTCGCGCGCCCACACGCCCACACTAGGCACTCGGGCCCTCGACCCTCGACCCTCAACCCTCGACCAGCTCTTGCCCTTCTAACTTTTTAGTCGTCCTTCCCGCACTTTTCCCTTCGTCTCTGCCTCACCCCTCCATCTTCCTCCTCGACTGTCTTGCTTTACTGTCGTGCGCGCGTCTCTCTTAGTATCGCAGCGTTACTTCTGCTTTCCTGCTTCACTTGGCGCACTGCTCTTCTCGGGAGTTGCTCACTTGTTGCGTCTGGTCCGATCCGTGGCTTGGCTGTCCATTTTTGGTCCCATCTAACCACTGTGCATCTGATCTGGTACGTAGCAAAGTCCTCCAGCCATCTCTTGCTTCCCCTCGGATGAACCCTCAAACTGTGGCGCAACTGTCACCGACGAACTGCGAGACGGCCGCGACCGGAACTCGGTGTGCTCAGAGATTGCGATGGTGGGAGCGGAAGTCGCGGACGCAAGGGCAACGTCAACATCAATGGGGACAGAACAGCACACAAAGCGACATCCAGACGACTTTGGACACGGGGCTCCCACTGCAAACACATTCTTGATCCTGCTGTCACCAACAGCTGTCCTGAACCTGGCCGATGCGCACTAGCGACCACTTCACTGCCATCCCAAGGCGCGGTTTTCACATTGAAATTTGTTCGATGCGCTGACTTCTGTCTATCTCCCAGACTTCAGAACAACCTTCAATCGCCATCGAAGTTTCGCGATCGCTTTGTACCCTCCTCCCTTGGACAGTCGCCGTTCGGGATATTCTTGTGGGACAAAAGTTGGGTTTGAGTTATCAGAACGTCCACATAATTCCTTCAACACCCTCTTCATAGTCGTCCTTTACAAGACGCCTTTACTCTGTACGCATATCCAGCACCTGCACTGTCCTCTGCGGAGGTCTCGTGACCGGCGAGTTGGTGTCAACCCGGAATCTGACTCATCTTACAGAAGCTCTGCTTTAGCCTTCGGTTTCGTCATCTCATTTTCCGTCTTCCAAAATGTCGTTCCCCGAGTACGGTCAATTCCCGAACGCCCAGCAAGAGGGTGCTCCAGGTTCAGGTCCTCCCCCTCAGGATGGACCTGCTCCAGGACAGCCGACCGACCCCTCTGCTCCGCAGCAGATGTCCTTCCCGACTCCTGATGGGGGTGCGGCGCCGCAGAATGGCCAAAGTGCGGATGGCAAGACCACTCTCTGGTAGGTTCGAATGCCGACGCAGTGTTGTGATCCTCGAGGGTTGACTTCGGCCTGTAGGATGGGTGAGCTTGAGCCCTGGATTGACGAAAACTTTGTGCGCAATCTCTGGTTCCAAATGGGTGAACAAGTCAGCGTCAAGATGATCCGCGACAAATTCTCAGGGTAAGTTTTGGCAGAGCCACGCCCCTCCTTCGCACGTCTCTGAACTCATGGTAGCAGCAATGCCGGGTACTGTTTCGTCGATTTCTCCTCCTCTCAAGCTGCCGCCAAGGCTCTCCAACTCAGCGGTCAACCTATGCCAAATTCAAGCCGTCCGTTCAAGCTTAATTGGGCTTCTGGCGGTGGACTCCAGGACCGACGCGACGATCGCGGGCCCGAGTACTCTATCTTTGTTGGCGACCTCGGTCCTGAAGTCAACGAGTATGTTCTGGTCTCGCTCTTCCAGAGCCGCTTCCCCTCTTGCAAGTCGGCCAAGATCATGACCGACCCTCTTTCCGGCATGTCTCGTGGCTATGGTTTTGTGCGTTTCTCCGACGAAGGCGACCAGCAGCGTGCTCTTAATGAGATGCAAGGTGTCTACTGCGGTAATCGCCCGATGCGCATCTCGACCGCGACCCCAAAGAACAAAGGAGGACCAATGGGAGGCATGAACATGGGTATGCCAGGCGGTGGTGCTCCGATGGGCTATCCACCAATGGGTCAACCACCTATGCCATTCTATGGTGGTCAACAACAGCAGCCGCAGCCCATGAATCAGTTCACCGACCCGAACAACACCACTGTGTTTGTCGGAGGTCTGTCCGGCTATGTTACCGAAGACGAGCTGCGCTCTTTCTTCCAAGGATTCGGAGAGATCACTTACGTCAAGATCCCGCCTGGCAAGGGCTGTGGCTTCGTCCAATTCGTCCAACGACATGCTGCGGAAATGGCTATCAACCAGATGCAAGGCTATCCCATTGGCAATTCTCGAGTCCGCCTGAGCTGGGGTCGCAGCCAGAACAATTCCGGTCCCGCCGGCACCCCGTACCGCCCTGCGCCGCCTCCACCCATCTATCCTGGTGCGATGGGCGGCATGCCTCCTGCTCACCAGTACGGCAGCTATGCGCCGATGAAGGTCGGTTTCAGTCCAGGCCCTACTCCCCCACAGGGACCATACTGACATGGAGGCAGTAAGCATGTCTAAGAACTTCGGCGCAGCAGGCGTTTCGTCCTTGGCCAATGCCTTATTCCTGATGGGGAGCGGAAAGCAACGTTTTCTTTTGTCAATTCATTGAAAGCAGCGCGCAAGTCGAACCTTTAGCGTCATCATCGTCGGTATGGGAGGGTTTTGTCGAACGAGAGAAGAAAAGTTGCTTTTTATTTCACCTTCGCAATGACCCCTTACCACCCGGTTGGCACAATCGGCTGTGTACAACACGATCGATTCAATAGGGCATTCACTTTTGGTTGAAAGTGATGATACGATACGAACGACAACGACGAAAGATTTAGCATGTGCTTGGGAAAGCAGTCATGGCAAGGAAATGGGAAGCATGGACGGATCGTGGCAAGCATGGTGATGGTGGTGGTGATGCGCCGGGAGGCATTTCTTTCTTTTTTCTCACTTCCAGCCTCTCCCATGGACTCAGTAGTCTCGTGGAGTCATGCCCGACGGACGCTGGTGGAACTAGGCAACGATTGATCAGTACGAGCTGAGCTGACGTGGGAGCCAAAAGTGTTAGGTATTCGACAGTGATTGAACCAACACAAAACGATCATTGACAGTCAAAATTCGTGTAAGGTGACTGCTTTCTTGCATATGCTCAATCGCCACTCACTTGATCCTCACCTCGAGTTGATCTCGTGCCAGGCATTGCACTTGATCCTCAACGGGAGTCGATCTTCTGAAAAGGCACTGAATGATTACCAGGTAGCTCCACCATCTCGCACCCCTCTTCCTCAGCTTGTGCAGTCTAGGCAGAAGTGCTCTCTGCCCACCACCCCAAAACACTTGCAGGCGTCCGTGTTATTTGCTCCTGCTCGCAGCCGCATTGGGGAGGTGGCCGACCGTGCCGCACTGGGTTGTTGCAAGCGCTGAGCCTCGGCTGACCAAGCATACTCCGTACACACGTGAGAAACACCTCGGGATAGGGGAGTTTGCCAGCCAACTTTCTCCAACTGTGCCTCTGTTGGCGATCGCCCGACCACAACACCTACGGCAATCGCTTGGGAATGTAATGTAGTGTAAAACCCACCTGCGATATCGAAGCGGGAAGTGGCTTTTTGAAGAAAACCGGCACTATACATCCCTCTCGGTGTCGAAGCGGAAGTGGCTTCGAAGAGGGAAAAATCCTCCATTCACTAATTACGTACGGCCAAGGTCGTCCCGACGGACGTTGCACGACCACGACGACAGGTTCCGCTCCGAGGAAGTCAACAGTGCGGACTGGACTGACGAGTAGTGATACATTATCACGGCACAGTAGGGTAGCTGTTCTACATAGATACAGATATCCAGCCAGACCATGTCGTCTCGATCCCGCCCGGTCCGCATCGCGGGGGCTTCGGGCTCGGCCTCTGACCGACGCCACGCCATGGCCGCCTTCGCCAAAGCATACCCCATGGACCCCATCGACGTGATCATCTCAGACTACATGTCCGAGGTGAACATGACGATCGGGGCGGGACGGAAAGTCGACGCCTCGGCCTCGAGCCACGCGCAGGACAACGCTTTCTTGGGCCCTGCGGGGCCCGCATTCGAGGCCTCCTTCGTGGAAGCATTGGAGCCCGCACTCGACGACCTCGCGCGGTACGGGATCAAGGTCGCGGCGAACGCGGGCAACGCGGACGTGCGCGGCCTGTACAGCGTCGTGTGCGAGATGGTCGCGCGCAAGGGGCTCGGCGAGAAAGTCAAAGTCGCGTGGATCAGTGGCGACGAGGTGCTCCCGGCGATCAACGAGGGGTTGAAGAACGGGACGTCGAAATTCAAAAACATCTACACGGGTCAAATACTCGAAAAGTGGGAGTTCGAGCCCATCTACGCGCACGCCTACCTCGGGGGCATGGGCATCGCGGAGGCGTTCCGGCAGGGCGCGCAGATTGTGGTGTGTGGACGCGTCGCGGATGCGTCCCCCGTCATCGGCGCGGCTTGTTGGTTCCACGACTGGAGGCGCGAACAGCTGGACGAACTCGCCAACGCGTTCGTCGCCGGCCATATGATTGAGTGCAGCAACTATGTCGTGGGCGGGAACTTCTCCGGGTTCAAAGCCCTCGAGGCGGACGGGCGGTGGGTCGATATCGGGTATCCGATCGCCGAGATCGCCAGTGACGGAGGCGTCGTGATCACCAAGCAGAAACACTCCGGCGGCATGGTCAGCGTGCACACGTGCTCGTCGCAGCTGCTGTATGAGATCCAGGGGCCTTGGTACTTCAACTCGGACGTCACGGCCGTGTTGGACGGCATCTGGTTCGAACAGCTGGCGGTCGATCGGGTCGCGCTTCGTGGCGTCAAGGCCTTGCCTCCTCCGCCGACGACAAAGGTCGGGATCACTGCGCGGGGTGGCTTTCAGGCCGAGGCCTGGTATTTCATGACAGGGCTGGATGTCCCGGAGAAGGCGCGCATGACGGAGGCGCAGCTCCGCAAGGGGTTGAGCCCTTATTCCGACAAGTTCACGACCCTGGCGTTCAGCGTGCTGGGCTCGCCTGGCGAGGACGCCGACTCGCAGAACGCAGCGACGTGCGTGTTTCGCGTCTTTGCGCAGGCCAAGCAGGCGAACGACATTGCGCCGCAGAAGTTTCTCCGTCCCGTGATTGACAACATCATGCAAGGCTATCCGGGGAGTACCTTCCACCTCGATTTCCGGCAGGGCATCCCCAAGCCTTACTTTGAATATTATGTGACATTGCTCGACCAGGCCAAGGTGTCTCACAAGGTGCACTTTGCCGACAAAGAGACGCTGATCCCGCCGCCGACACTGACAAAGACGTTCCCGGAGCGACAGCCTAGCCAGCCGAGGACGCAGTTGGAGATCGATCTCACCAGGTTCGGTCCCACGACGCGGATTCCACTCGGGAGGATCGTGCATGCCCGCTCCGGCGACAAGGGTAGTGATTGTAACTGCGGCTTTTGGGTGGTGCATCAGGACGAATACGTCTGGCTGCGGAATTTGTTGTCCATCGACACTGTGAAACGGTTGCTGGGCAAAGAATACGACGAGACGAGGACGCCCAAGATCGAGATCGAAAGGTTTGAGCTTCCGAATCTGCGGGGTGTGCATTTTCTGTTCCGGAATCTGTTGAACAGGGGTGCCACGAGCACAGCGGTGAGTAGACCCGATCCATGTCCTAATGGTGTTGTTGCCACGATCGTGGCATTGTTTACCTCACCACCCCGGAACGTACAGATACTGTACCGGTGGATGCTAACAGCTGCGAGTTGCAGGGCGTGGACTTCTTGGGCAAGAATTGCGCCGAATATCTTCGGAGTAGACACGTTGATGTACCGGTGAGGTTTCTGGAGAGAGGGAGGTTGTGAGTGACGAACGAAAGTACAGATACATGCTGCGGAGACCGGGTACATGAGCTGACTGAGACGTTGAGGCGGCGCTGCGGTAGCATAGATTCAAGCATTCTCAGGACCGGTTTGTTGCCCAAAAGATAGTGTGTTATTCTCCCTAACCCGGTACCTTCGCTTGCTACGGTCCAACACTGTATACAACACACGTTATCGATGGGTGATCTAGACTGTGATCTTTGACGTTCTGGGGGTATCAGATGTTTGCCTGTGCGTGCTTCGATGCTGGTGCGTCATGGGTCAGTCAATACGGGGGCCAGCCGGGGGATGGGAGTAGCTGTTATGTCGCTCGCTTTCGCCTTTGGTTGATGGCTCATCAACGGGTTCGATCCTTGGGATTGTGGAGAGTCTTGTTGAGGTGTATCAACGTTGCTTCCGTCTTCTTTTGCAGTGCTCAGGGTATACCGGCATTGCCGCACTGCCGCTTTGCTGCATTGCTTTCACAATCCGCTGGAAGTGATGGATGGACGTCTCTCGGCTCGGATTGGATCGGGATTGGCACCGCAATCATTACCACCGTCTCATGCTGATATGCATCTACACATGCGTGTCTCGCCTGTCTGGCTGGTCTGATCCAGGTCGTCCCAATATTGAGGCTCTCGACGTCCCCATTCAATCATCGGGTAGACCAGGCAGACCGCTGAAAGAAGGAGTAGCGTTGACGTGCGTCCGTCCGCAATCGATCTTCCACTGCGTTGCTCTCGCATTGCTTCGCACAGACTCACACGCACACACACGTTCAGACTCACCCCTTCCTCTTCCCACCCCTCGTAGCCTTCCCTTTGCCTCCCTGCGTCGCGGCAATGCCATCCCCCTGCGGGGAAACGCCCCTGTACACCGTTCCCTGCTTGTACACCGTGCCTTGGTGGCCTCCTACCACGCCCACTCCCCTCGGTGGCACAGCACCTTGCGGCACTCGCTGCTGTCTCGCGGCCTCCACCCTCGCTTTGATCTCTTCTTCGCGCTGGTCCGGCGTGCCCGTGGCTTTGCGGAACAGAGACTCCAGGTGAGGTCGGAAGAGGGTGTACGTGGAGATGATGACCACGACGCGCAGGAGCAGCTGGATGTTCTGCCGCGTGAAGTAGGCTTGGAGGGACGGGGGGAGGGCGTCGTGGAGCGAATCGAGGTACTCGGCGAGGTTGGGGAAGAAGGACATCATGTGGACGTGCGTGTGTGGTATGCGTGGGTACGGGCAGGGCTGCGTGCTGCGTAGTCTGGGGGAGTTGACGTTGGGTGGTGCTTCTTCCGCGTTCAAGCACTTACGCTTCGGCCAACCGGTGTGAGTATTCGTAGCGAGAATGTCGAGGACGATTCGTGGTCTCGATGGTGGGAAACTGGTCGGAATTACCTCGGTGTGACCATGAGCATTCCCTTGGCCCCTCTACACAGTAAGCCCTCCGCTCATCAAACTATGTATCAGTCGCATATGTGCATAATGATGCATGTTGCGTGGCCTTACAATACACGAATCACAAGATAATATAATCACGTTGCTGCTTTTGTTACCATCATCTATGACGTCCAGACGGCACCATCTGCCTAGATGTGAGGAACGAAGCTTTCCCCTTAGGAGACGTTTGGGAGGTGAAGAACAGTTCCCTTGCGTCTCCTCTGTAACCACTCGTGTGCATGTACAACGTGCTCTAGCTGGGTTCGCAAGTAGTCCCTAATCCCGTCGCGGGAGGCATGCCTGACCGGGATTGTATCTATTCAGACAGGATTGTTCAGTCTCACACCATAGAGGAATTCGATCAAGGTGCTCACTGTAGCCCGTGATGAGAACGTCCAATCAGCTGCATTTTCTATACTTCAGGTGTTGCTCCCTTCTGCGATGAATTGAAAACTCCCGGAGGCCTCAGCGCTGCCTTGGCCGACCAGCCCGCTCCGAACAAGTGAGGACGGAAGGTGAGGCCATCGAGCTAACCATCCACCAACCATGGCGACGCATTGGGCTTAGTAAGCAAGTGATGATTGCGGACCTCGCATAGTCAAAGTGGTGATACTGTTGGTGCGATGTCCTCATATACCAATGGTCGGAGGTCTTCATCCATTTGAGCGCCAAATGAGAAGAGATAGACACGAAGAGTGCGTTGAATCTTCGACCGAAAAAGCCATGGCGGGTGTCATACCAACAACCAAACACAAACGGATCTTCCTCCTTACGCTTCCGCGAACGGCTTCGAATCTGCTGGTCCGTATGCTGAACTTGGAGAATCAATCTGCTCTTGTGCGACCAGATGGTGATGCTGAAGCAAATTCCCAGTATGAGTATTTTTTCGTGTCAACTGTGCCACTTCGCATCGAGCTTGCCGACCGGCCTTCAGAGAAATGGTCACAGGATGAATATACGCAAGTAAAGCAGCGTCTTCAGGCTTCGGCAGATGGACTGTTGAGTTACCTTGAAGAAGCAGGAGCAGATGGGAGAAGTGTCTTTGTGAAAGAGCACCTTCTGTGGATGCTTTCTCCCCAAGCGGAAGACTTGGTAAAGCGCGTTGACAAGTGGGAGAGGCGGTTCTGGAAAGTGAAGTTGCCTGGAGGGACAACCATTCAACGAGGCTCCAAAGCGGCATCCGACGCTTCGAATGATAGGCAAGGCGATGTGCAGGGCGAGCAGGCTCCCATCGTTGAGAACGAGACAGTCTTTCCTGATGGCTTTCTGCGTATCTGGACACCAACTTTCCTGATCCGGCATCCAGCCTTGGTATTTCCGTCCCTCTACCGAACCTCTGTAGACCTAGAAGGCCGCGACGAAGCCAAGAAGAATGCTGGTGGAATGTTTCGATTAGAGATGACATGGCGATGGAGTCGTAAACTATGGGAATGGTACAACCAGCAATGGCAGGAGGGAAACACGATATTACGTCCGATCATTCTGGATGCGGACGACATCATTCTCAAGCCAGGGGTCATTATCTCATACTGCAAGCTAGTGGGTCTGGATGCAGAGAAGTGCCGGTTCGAATGGGAGCCTGCCAATGCTGAGGAGGGATGGAGTATGAATTTCATCGAGAAGAGAATGAAGTCAAGCCTGCTGTCTTCAGCTGGCATCATACGAGAAGGCAAGGTTGCAGCAGGGCTAGATATAGAGCAGGAGATGCGCAAATGGAGCGATGAGTTCGGAGAAGAAGAAGCAAAGAAGATTGAGGCTTGGGTCACGGCGGCAATGCCAGATTACGACTTTTTGTGCGAAAGACGTTTGAGAGTCTGAGGTGAGCATGTCGAGAAGAGCCTCGATTCCTGGGAACAGTGGCCCTTCATCTTGGTGGCTGTTTCCTCCGCCATAGTGCGTTCTGGTAGCTAATGATACGCCGAAATTGACATCGTTCAAACGCAGTAACGCGTCGACGTGTCGCCGCGTCGCGGCTTACCAGCTGCGGCGGCCGCCTGTCCTCTCAGCCTTCAAATTATCGCATTCAGGCTCAAGCGCTTGAGTAACTCTCGCCTAGGCGATTCCGCCTGTCGCATGTCATGGCTTCGGATACAGACGCAGAATCAGAGGCATTGCAGAAGGTTTGTCGAAGTCGCTCTGGGGAAACGCTTTCCATGCTAGAGTTTGCTCCCCGTCCCTCACTCAGACGTCTCAATGGTTGCAGGACATTCTCACCTGCTGACTCGTTCCCAATCACATAGAAACTCCGATCTGCCCTCTGGTTCCACATTGGCAAAATGGTCGATGAGGAGAGCATTCACCTCGGAGTGAATGCAACCCCTCAATTCATCGGAAGTCTGATGGAGTTTGTATGGGCTCAAATCGGTACGGAACGTCTCCCTTGCTGTCTCCACAAGATTCGGGCAAGCTGACATTGAATATTGTGCAGGAAATACCGCTGTCGATCTGGAATCATTTGCGAAACATGCGGGAAGGACCTCCATCAGACCCGCCGACGTCATGCTCCTCACCCGGCGCAACGAAGGCCTCGAGCAGATCCTGCGCGAAGAATTGAAGCGACTGGAGCAAGCGAAATCCAAGAAAGATGGAACGCACCACAAATGAGCCTACTTTGACATTGTATCCAAACTACACAAGCGCCGTTGGTCTACAGTGGAGGAGGTACGCAGAACTATTCCACAGATATCGGGACATTACACCGTACCAGCTCCCTGGCTCTCGAGCTCTCGACGATATACCGATAGGACAGGCATGAACCTCCTGATGACCGACCTTGGAAGGCCCAGTGAGCTTCTAAAACCGATCTGACCCGTGAACATGACAACATGGCCAAGACAGCCCAAGCCTGAAAAAGCATCGACTTCTCAACCCGTATACTTTTCCACGTGGGCTGAAAGAGCCAGGCCTCGGTATCTTATTCGAGGCCAGTCATTCTGCGCGATTCTCTGTCAACGACAGCTGACTGGATGCAACATGAATAAAGTCGCTTGGTGAAGAACATTTTGATCTTCAGCAGCCCCAACTGGCTCGCCAGTTTTCCCGACTCTGATCTTCAGCTGATGTGGATATCCGAACGCAGGTATGAGCATGCCCATTCAGTCACCATATAAGGCCATTTGTCTCAAGCCTTGCTTGTCATGTCCGCTTACTCACCTTATGGCATGTGGTTGGTGTATTGCTGAGATAAACAACAATGTTGCAAGGTCGTTGAGCTGCTAGAGTTGGGGCTTCTCAACCCGTGAACGGCTGGATTGTCATACAGATATATGTAAGAGGACTCAGCTTGGTCGAGGCGACGAACTTGGCTTTAGTGGTTGTCAAGTTAGTGCTCACGTGCCAGATCTACACCACTGCCGATGCACTCTCAACGTCGCAAAGCGCCATGTGGAAGTCTTGTCGTCCCAGAAAGATCCACTTACAAGCGTGTCGAAGTACGCATTTTTGCCTAGATGCCATCTCTGGGCAACGAATACAAAGTACTCTCGACGCTACTGTATGCGCATCCGGGGAAGCACTGCTTCGGATGCCGGTCCTTCGAGATCAGTGAATTTGAGAACTCGTAGTGGGATTGTGCTGTCGACACAAGCGCCTGGATAGCGGTTCCAGTACCAGGCGCAACCCAGCTAGAGCCATTATCGACGAGGCCAACATTGATCTATCTACTCCCTACGGAGTACTCCTTATGTAACTCAGAGCCACCAACCTGAAGAATGTCCGGCAAGCGTTCATAAGGGTACTGAATAAAGGGCCAAGGAATGTTCCTCCAGCCGAGATGAGGTGGAGATGAAGTAAACGTGGTTGGAGCCTCAGCTAGCGCATCCCGGGGCCTTCGTGCCCACACAGGTCGACTTAGGCGAATCAGATTTTCCACAGCACTGCCCATCGACCGAACCACTGCGCTAGATTCTACGCAGCTATGGCCTTGCAGACCATTACTTCGTACACGCGACGGTCGAACGCTTGCCAGTCTAGGATGGCCGAGTCCCCTGGGACTGGAAGCTTGGAAGTCACGACGGTGCTTAAAGATGGTCTTTCTCGCCGAGCCGTTTCCGAGTCCAGTAGACAAAACTGACGTGTGAACCCTCCTCAGCATGGAGCGAGAAGGCCGGGTGAATCCCAAAGCGACCGTTGTACCACTCTACGACCCAGCGGCCGGCCTATGCTCTCTACTCCACAGACACAGGGGAGATGTATGCAGATCTCCTGCTGGTGCCTGACTTGCCACGTTGGTGTTCATCTGGTTCGGCTATCATAGCTGGGCTCCTTTGAGCTCCCCCAACATGTTCGCCGGAGTGCACACCATCTGCGCGCTATCCAGCACTAGGCTGCAGATCATAGGGCTATTGGCGGGCGATCAGGGTGATCTCTCTTGAGCAGATAGGAGGTTCAGAAGGTGACCTAATATGCTGTGATAGCAACCGAACGTTTTGACCTTGGCAGAGGCGGAGACGCTGCTGGATATTGACGCTCTACCACATGGGGCAATGAATGGATTCAAGATACTCCGTAGACTGGACAAACTGACCGAGAACTACAGTACCAACCCGCCACCATTGACGGTGTTGCGAGCGTTGACTTCACCCGTCGACAGCGAACGCTGCTTGGTTGCTGTCCCGGATGCACTTGCGAGCATCACTGCCGGTATCAACCACATCATCATGGTCCTTGGAATGCCGAGATACCACGAGGCAGCAACTGCGTCACTGTCAAGGACCCGATCACGCGCACCGCGTATGAGACTTGCACGCGGCCTAAACAAGCGCCCAATTTAGTGGTAGTAGACGGCAAAGACGACGTCTAAGTCGGATAATTCGGACCCTACTTCCCTGAGGCAACGGTGGTCTAGAATTGGAACCCCATACTCGTCCCTACTTGCGAAAAGCTGACAGCGGGCCAGCACAGTCATCCACGTATCGATAGCCACGTATCGATAGGTAAGGGACACAGCCTAATGGTCGACATCGAGTTGTCGTCGGGGTTCAGAGAAGATTGATATCCCAACCATGGCAAACATCTCCGGGGTAGTGCGATGTTGGCAACCATGTCAAAACGTGAAATTGTCCAACGGGCTATACTGCGCCACGAATCCACATTTGCGGAGTAGGCAATGCGGCTAGCCAGGGCCAGCTGGGAAGGTGGTCGGGGCTCGGAGTCGGGTCCTTGCGCGCAGGGACATGCTCTACTGTGTACGAGTATGAGAGGCATGTTGTTGCTCTTGCTGGGCGCCTTACTCATCCTTGGGTCCATGTCCATTCTTATCATCAGGTAATTGCGATCGCCACAAGTCCCAAATACACACGTGGCGGTCTCACAGAGTAGACTGATCATGGACCCCGCAGTCGCTTTACGGTCTGAGGCTTATTGAACACCACGCTAAATTATGTGGCGCGGTTTAGCTCCACGTGAAAACGCTACGGCCCGTGCGTCATCTCGCGTAACTGCCCTAACTGGTTTAGTGACGCCACAAAGTGAAGGTCTCCACCAGCACATCTCCGCCTTGCAAACAACTCCAACTTCACCGTTAATGGAAGCGAGGTGAATCTGCCCTCAGTGCTCAGGGGGTGCACGCGGGCCAGACCTTGCTAGGCGGCTCACGGGCCACGGTCAAGATGTCGGTTCACAGCCTGATCACCACCGGCGACCAAGTGAATGTTAGCTCATCCGATCATCTGCAGCCTGTGTACTCTTTTCTGTGTTTAGGAATCCTTCGTAGGTGCTTACCACAATACGGCTGTGATGATAATTATGGTTTACTACTGACTACCATGACTGCGGATGACCTGGCCGTGAGCCTCAAACAGCAGCACCACGAGCATATTATATGCTGAAGTTCACAACATCGACATGATGGCCGCCACTGATCTCAACCAGCAAACTTCGCGCGACAGTCTCTCTTCATACCTACAGCAACCTGAAACGCAAGGACCTCTCCCCATGACCAACGGAGCACAGCTCACCATGCACAGCAAGGAACACAGCGAGGGCCACAGTGACCGACAGGCAGGATTGCTCACGGGCACTGACATACCAAAATGGAAACCAAACTTGACAGAGACCATGATCATGGTGACTTTGGCCATTCTCTCATTGATGGTCTCGCTGGATGCCACAATCATTGTGACCTCTTTGTCGGTACGTACCTCTCCTGCTCTACCTTAGGAATGAGGCGTTATCTGACTGGCGTTCAGACGATCGTTCAAGCCCTGGACGCCACGGCGACTCAGGGATTCTGGATTGGAACGTCCTACCTCCTCGTAGTCGCGGTGACTATGCCGTTCACTGCCTCAATCAGTGACATTGTCGGCCGAGCCCAAACAATGTTCGTCACCGTTGTGAGCTTCACGGTGGGAACGATACTGTGTGCCGTCTCCCGCAATATTGGCCTAATGCTCGTTGGCCGCTGTCTACAAGGTATCGGTGGTGGAGGCGTCATCATTCTATCTCTGGTCATCTTCTCCGATATCGTCCCTCTTCGCTTTCGACCACAATATGTTGGCGTCCTGTAAGAAATCCCTACTTCTATGCATCTTTGCTTGGAACATCAACTAATACGTACTGAAGTCAAGGAGCTTGGGCGCTAGGTACTGTGGTCGGACCAATCATCGGTGGCGCTCTTGCCCATCCTCATCTATGGCGCTGGGCGTTCTACATCATGCTGCCCTTCTGTGGCATCGGGCTTGTCTGCATCCCTCTGTTCATCAGGATCAGTCGTCCCGAGGCCACCGTGCAGCAAATGCTCCGCCGGGTTGACTGGCTTGGGGGTTTCCTCTTCATCTCATCAGCCACAGGCTTCCTTGTCGCTATCTCTTGGGGCGGCACAAGCTACCCGTGGAACCATTGGAGGACACTGGTGCCCTTGATCCTCGGGATCCTGGGCCTTATTGCCACGATGATCTACGAACGATTCGGTGCAAAGGAGGCGTTCCTCAGGCACTCCCTCTTCCACGTCAAATCAGCACACGGCATCTACATCGGCGCGTTCGTTCAGGGCCTTGTTGTAAGTCATGTCATCCTTCGTCGTTACGCCTGGCTTACCTCTCCAGCTTTACGCTCAAATGTACTACATTCCCTTCTTCTACGAGTCCGTCAAACTGTACTCTCCAATCCGCACCGGCATCTCACTCCTCCCCGTCCTCCTCACCCTGATTCCAGCCTCTGTTGTCGTCGGCGCTGCCATCACCCGAACCGGGAAATACATTTGGGCCATCGCCATCGGCTGGGTCTTCACAACGCTAGGCACGGGCCTGACGCTCTCATGGGACCGCAGCACTCACACCGCAGTCTGGGCCGTCGAGTTGATCATACTAGGCATCGGCCACGGGCTCAACCTCAACGCGCTCAACACGGCGTCACAAGCAGTCTCAAAACCAGGCGACGAAGGCCGCGCAGTAGGCATGTACGCCTTCTTGCGCAGCTTCGGCATGGCCATTGGTGTGGGCGTCAGCGGATCGGTGTTCCAAAACGTCATGAAATCGAAGCTCAAGGCCACGGGCCTGCCCACCGACATCGCCACCAACGCCGAAGCATATCTCCTCGTGCTGAAACAGATGGGCGACACCCCGGAACGACGGGCCGTGATCGACGCCTACGTGACCGGCTTCCACGGCGTGTTTGCATTCCTCACCGCCCTCGCAGGCGTGGCTTTGGTCCTCGGTCTCTTCATCCGCCACCACGAGATCAACAAGGAACTCATCACCGAGCACAGGATCGTCGACACTCCCCGCGTCGGCTGGCGCCATGGCCATAGTAGGGCCACCAGCCGGGAGACCTTGGTGACGCCACCCAGGACCGCGGTGAGCACTGCGCCCAGCACCACGACGATCAGTGCGATGCAGTCAAGGGAGCTGGTCTGAGCACGCGTGAGTATAGTGTCTTTTGACAGATGAAAATATTTTCCAGCGCAGGGGAGGTCCAAGCGGGCGAAGGAATCAGGAGTGGTGCGCGGATATGGAGCCCGCGAACCCCCTTTTCACGATTCGACGACTTAACAATCCAGTCACTGGCGGCCGCTGATTCACAACGCTGGACTCAGACGGCTCGCGTGCGACGGGAGACCTCACCTCAGCCGAGTATTTAGTCTCTGGTGGTCTCGTGGGCACGTACCAACATTGGACACACAGGACGGGTACGGGCACGGGCATGGGTACACCATTGATAGCACCATACCATAGGCACCTAGGTACCTAGGCATTGGTCTTACGACCCCGAGGTGGGTAATGACATACGTGATGAAAGTCTCAAGTTCTGGCTCGCCCGTAATCTCGAGAGAAAGGGACAAGGAGAGATCAACAGGTCCCATTATCCCAAGGAAAAGGTACAAGGACAGAGAAACAGGTACTTCGAGAAAGGGAGTACCCAGTGTTCACTGTTTCCCTTGCGGCCCCACTTCCTCGGACTCCTTCCCTTCCTGAGATCAGAGGCCGTGCGGGCTTACTGTGGTACTGTGGTACTCTACTCCGTCACCAATGTTAGATCCGTCGCTACGTAGTTGATCCGTAATATTTAACCCTCTGATCGAAAACCATGAAGTGGTTATCGTCCCTTGTAGGGGGCAAGGTGTGCGAGAAGCCTATTTGAGAGAGCGTGTTCTTTTTTGACCCCAACTCATCATGTACGCCGTACGTTACTCATTACATATATATATACTCCGTATATCCTGCAGTGCTCCAAAGAGTCATGGACAAATCATCCCCAGTCGTAGCAGGGTAACCCTATTGCACGAATGAAATTCTCACCATAAAGTTCGAAATAACTCCTCCCTTGCAGAACCATCGACACCACCAAACTACAGTACTACTACCACGCCAGCACCGCTTGACTCGTCTGGCAGGCCAACCCCGAACACAGCTCTTCATCCTCCCTGCTCGTCACCGCAGAGTCCGAGTCCGGCAACTCCTGCCTCGCAGGCCATATCTCCTTCTTGGCGGCCCTTTCGCGCTCGTAATGCGCCCGCACGACCTCCCGGGCCAGCTTCTGGAAGTACAGCGGCCCCTTCTCCAGCCGGGGGTGCAGCTCGCCGTTGACGAAGATGCGGGCGTTCAGATTCTTCTGCGCGAGCTCGCAGAGGACTTTGTCCTCGCCCACGATCCGGCGGTACATCTGGTTGATGAGCTGGAAATCGTCCTCGGACGAGTTCTTGTTGCGGAAGATCTGGTACTGCATGGACGAGCGGGTCGGGCCGGTGGGCAGGAATCGCTGGAGCATCATGAAATGGGGACTGTGGTGTCCGTCAGCTAAATTCTCCTATCTATATGCACGACTGCTGGTGCACTTACAGGACAGACAGCGAGACGTTCGGAAAGTAGTACGTGCTGCTGATACCGAGACCGTTCTTCTCCTGCTCCTCCGTCAGGCTGGATTTATGGGTGATCCACGCACGCGCCGTGTCGACCTCGTGCGTCTGGATGTCCGCTAGGGTGGGCACATCCGGGTGCGTCGTGGGACAATGGTAGCATTCGTTGAAGTTGTCGGCCAAAATCTTCCAGTTGTACGCGCCTTCCATGTGGTAGGTGTGATCGAAGACGTAGTCGTCAAAGTTGTACTGCTTGAACCGTTCCTGCATGTCGATTCCCGCAAAGTCGTCCTGCCACGCCACCTCGGGTTTCTCACGTCCATCGAGATTGACCCAGATGAACCCATTAGTGTCGACGTGCACGTGAATCTTAAACAGGCCGTTGCGGCTTTTGTCGAAGTCTTCTAGCTCATCGTACTTTGGTGCCTTTGCGAGCTTACCATCCAGCCCGTACGACCAGCCATGATACTTGCAGGCAAAGATCTTGGATGTCCCCTGCTGTCCTTCGACGACTGGGAAGGCTCGGTGCCGGCAGACGTTGTGGAATGCATGGATATCCCCCTTTCGGTCGCGGGACAGGATGAATTCATAGCCGGCGACGTCAAATTTGAGCCAGTCACCAGGCTGAGCGAGTCGGATTTGATGCGTGATGAGCATCCATTTCCGCGAAAAGATAGCCCGTCGTTCCAGCTCGTACATCTCTTGCGAGGTATACCAGCTCGACGGCAGTGCTCGGACAGGGCTCGCGCTTTCCACTCCAGCGGGACGGTTCCCGAACCCGAGGTAGTTCATGATTGTGGATGCCATGATGAACACCAAAGAATCAGATTGTCTTGTTTTGAAAGTCAAGGCAAGTTCGTTAGCAATAGCTGGATTGCTTGTCAAACTCATTCATGCTGCGGCCTGCTCGATATATATGTGAGCTGTTATGCATGCCACACCACGGATACTCCAGCCAAATGCAGCTCATTGAGAAGAGGCCTCTTCGCCACTTTGAGGATGAGATGTCCCATCTGTGCACTCAGGCGCTCTCGGAATCATTACTGGATTTGGGAATTTCTTCCCTGACCAACTCGAGACTGCGACTGGAATTCCAATACAACAAACGGCGGCACGTCATCCGACCATCCATGAGCTTTGATTAGCGATTGTTCACATCAAGAGATAGGAGGAAAGAGGGAGGGTAAGTTAGAGCGATCGAGACCCTCTCCGCTCGAGTTGGCAATCCCCCGCAATGAAGCAACATTCCGCCTAGCCAGATCCGGCAGGGGAAATGAGAGCTAGCGCCAGTTGAATCGATCATGCCGGCCCTGCCGGGTATGTCCCACCTATCATATCACAGTCGCAGATCGGATGAGATCCGACCATTTTCCGGGTGAGTATTAAAAATGGTTAAGCCGGAGTATGGGGCCCACCAACAGAAGAACCGTCGCAGACGAGAGCGATACGGCCTCAAGCAGTGGCGGACCGTATGTTATGCTTCGCAGATGCAACTGGCGGAACGGCAACCACCATCAGGGATTATGGTGATATTGCAGGTTCTTGCTGAAGAGTCCGACCCACTTGATTTTTCGAGTCGCTGCCTAACCTCGTGAAGGTTCGACGTCAGAGGAAAGCTTGGAGAGCGCTTCAACGCGAGGGAACACGATTCGTCGCTGATTCGTCCTTTGGTACTTATGTCGATTATCAGCTGCTGGAGCGGGATTGACCTCTGGCTTGCACAGAACCCGTGTATGGCTGATATCATGTAAGGGTACCGATGTCATTCGTAGTCGTTTTGACCGCCCAGCCTGTCGGCGGTCACCCATGGCCGTTCATCCAGGTCGGGATTACAGCATCAAGAAGTACTGGCCTCCAACCGTGGGAGAAGCATGGACATTTTGGTGAAGGCCACGGTGAGCCAACCATCGTAACAGGCCCCCCAAACTGGAAGCAAGCTCGTGTCAAGCCCGAAGATCAGTGAAAAAGAAGAGCTGACGAATCAAGTGCCGCAAGCTAGAGGTATGGCCCTTCAGTCATATTTCTCATACAACCAACACCTGCATCTGAGGAAGACGCTCCGTCCAGTCCTGCATGGTACCTTGCTTGTTCCAACTTCGTTTCAGGTATTGCAAGGCGGTGAGAATATTGGCAAAGCCGTTACGTTGATAATGCCTCAATAGAACGTTTGTGAAATATTGCTGATGCTCACGGAGAGCACTCTCCGATGCGACGATGAAGATTGCGAATACAAGGATATGCTCTCCTGGTGAGCTCGGAGGAAGCATTTCGAGAGTCCGAATGAACTTAGCCACTGGTTCAGATGAAGGCAGCCCATTCAGGCCCGTTGACGCTCGAGTGACATAGATATCACATGCTTGCTGATTCAGGTCGTAGATGAGAGACATTTGCTGATTATACTCTGGATGGAGGGCGTGATATGACTTGAAACAGTCCCACCCGTCGGCGGCTTCTTGGCCACCTGAGGCCGTAAGGCTGAGACGAGTAACTCCTCGCTCCTGGCTAAGAAAGGGTGCAGCATAGCCACGGAATCTTGTCGGTGTCAGTCGGGGTGTTTAGAAGGGCCTTGAAACAACGTACTTTCGTATCTGCCTCACCAAGAAGACGCCCAGTTCACCTGCCTCGACTGCTGCTTCGCCTCCGCTGGCGGTGAGAGCGGCTTCGAGCAAGTTGAAAACAGTGGGGAAGTCGGAGGACCCATTCACTATCACGGTTGCAAGGAGCACCAAAAGAGCCAGCAAGACTGTCTGCTTGCCGCTTGTATCATAGGCGTCTAGGTTTTGTCTTTGACGGAGGCCACGGATCGCATTGTTGTAGATGATGTTGGGATCGAAGACTTTCTCTTCGACGGTGGCGCAGAAATGGAATACCGATGCCGATAACACTGCCTCTCGGACCAATTCATCATGATGGGCAATCGGCAGGATCAAGTAGCGCCACCCGTTTTGGTGATCATCAATGACAACCAGCTCTGCAGCAATGTGATTTGAGACTAGAAAGTAAGCTTCCATCAGGCAGTTCAACACAATGAGAAACTTACAGTGAAGGAGACAGTATTGCTGCCATGCTGCAACCAGATCAGATGGAGGTGTCGCAATGAGGTCGGGCTCATGGTGAGAGCCTGGGAGGGGAGATGAAGAAGTTGACGAGGACACTTGCGCCCAGTCGGATTGTATCGGGCTGGTCGATGGGAAGCTGAGGTCGGTTCGGCCATTAGACGTATTTCTGGACATGGACATCTTCTCATGATCGGCGAGGAGAGCGTAGATGTCTGACTTGGACTCAGGGCAGGCATAAATTCGTGCAGCCGCATCTTTCGTGCCAGGTTGATGGACGTCAGAAGGAAGTGGTGAGGCCAGATGCTGGTGCAAAGTTTCTCGTGCCCTGCGCCTTCCCTCACTCGAGGTGATGTCGTCGACGAAGCGGTACCTGAGACCCAAGCCACTGCAGTTTAGACCTTTGGCAACGCATTTCGCACAGCTTGGCTGGGTGCGATCACAGTCAATGCGGCGTTGCGAGCACTCGAAGCATCCTAAGAAGCAAGTCAAGAACAAGTCCAAAGATCCAGTTCAGCTCGCCCTCACCTTTCACTTTGGGAACATAATTGCGCTTGGCTCGGACCATCTGGTGGCCACGAGGCATGATATGTGTACATCACCGAACGATGGCTCGAGGCTCTATCTGCTATGACCACGGTGGGAGGGAAAGTCAGTGATATGGTTGCCACAGAGGTTTGATCCTCCTGGCCAAGCGCCACTTGAGCAATTAGATAGCGCCCTAACTTTGCGGAATCCGGAAGAATCTGACACACTTAGTGAGAGGCGGGGTAAATGAGCGCCGCCTTAATTATTGCAGAGTCACCGTTGACTCCAACTTCAATGTCTCAATATTCTCGCGCACAGACTTCATATGTTTTCATTACCTACGGAGTATGCATCCGAGAACCAGACGGGTGCTAGGCCGCTCGAAATGAAGCGCTGTGGACATGACGTGTCAAATCTACGTCCTCGGCGGCTGCCAGTCATTTTTCTGCCTGACGTTTCTATCGTCTCACTTTCACTTGGTCTTCACATACTCACATGGTGATGGCAGTAGACGTCTTCGAAACTGATGCTATTAGACTGCGCGACCTTATCTTCTTCTAGGACCGGACGCCGACCCTGCGCCAGAGCTCTCTTCTGAACTGCGCCGCGCCGACCTTCATTCGTTCAGCCGCACCTCGATTTTCAACGAGCCTGCGAACCAAATATTGCATGCATTCCTGAATGCTGCCCCAGGTCAGACACTTGTACACCTTGGGAATATAGGTGTTAGCCATGGGGGAGGACTTTTCCGCCTTGACCTCGTCTGCGGCTTGAAGGAGCTCGCAACCGATGTCATCCGCCATGCCTTGGAGCTGTCCGAACTCAAGTCGCACTTTCAATCTCGATTGTCTTGCAAGTTCGGAGGCCAGCCGAGCTGCTTTTCGAATAGTCTCGATATTATGGCCGGCGAGCAGAAGATCAACCTCTTCTGCGTCATGTTGTTGCTGATGGAGGTCGGCCTGTGCCTGGAAATTCCCGCGGAGAAGATCCTCCACGATACCATTGTACGACGCATCGGTATCTTCTTTGGTATCGTGTATTCTGGCACGCATCTCATTGGCGATATAAGCCCCTCGGACAAGTTTGATCGCCGGCCGCCAACCTTCCCTCTGAGAAAGCTCCAATTGGTGTTGTACTTTGTGTCGCGCTGATTTCAGATACGCCTGAATGGTGTTGTATACCAGAGCCGGACTTCCAGGTCGATTATACCGACGCATCAAGTCGAACGTCCATTCATCTATGGTCGCCTGCAACACCTGCTGCTCGGCATCGATCCATATACGGCAACCTTTGGAGGCAGCATACTCGCAAATCCTGTCCATGGCCTCCATGAACTTGGCTGGAGCCTCATCCCCGTCCATGAGTGCCTTTGTGATCTTCGTGCCCGCCCCAGTGAATCTGCGCAGTGTTAGTACTTTGTTGTCCCTTCCGCCATAAGAACATCGGTCAAACAGCTTACTTGATACCGAGCCAGTCTCCCGCTGCAATCATGTCCAACGTCTTCATGTTTCCATCCGCCCACTGGTCAATTTCCATGTCCATGGAATTCGGTTTCTCCTTGCCACAGCCTACAGATTCGTCCGCGTGTTCACGGACCTGCACTTCTTTCCCATAACAGAGCACGATACCGGAGAAGCCCAGCTTTCTGACATCCGCTGAAGTTCGCGCGATCTCGGCCGGATTCCTGCCTGCACAAAATTGCTTGTAAACGAGGGGATATATCGCCGACCGCAACAAGGGATTCCGGTCCGGGTTAAGCCACGGGGACTGCGAATTAGCGACTTTCTCAAACGCCGCAAAGCCCGGTTTAAAGAGCCATGGAGTCGTGAAAAATGCGCTCAACACCAATGTCCGAAGAATGCTCGCTGTGGACAGTCGCGCCAATGGAGGTGCCGAAAAGGGAGCAGACTCAGGCTTTGCGGGAATGAGAACCGACACCTCTTTGCCCTTTTCGCTGTCAATGAAGGTATGAGTCGTGGTTGAGGATTGAAGCCTGCATTGTTGGAGATTCGTATAGTTAAATATTTGTCGAATGCTCTTACGGGTCTTGAAAGCAGTGTTTACAACGGGTGAAGCCATGTTATTCTGCCCGATCATAACTCACATTCGAAGGACAACGAAGTGGGTGCCACATTATTATGGTACAGGACCCGGCACAGAGTGCACTGCACTCCTCGGCTTGAGAACCGGGGTAGTAGTAACACAGGGTACTATGTGCCGTGCTGTGCAGAGAGATAGGCATCTCCAGGAGCCTGAATCTTGCGCGGGGTCATGTCTTCGGTCGACAAGATCCGCCAATGCATTTGAGCCACGAGCCACGAGCAGAGAGCATATTGACGGGCGCGGATGTCATGGCGGTTACATTAAGGCAGAGGATCCACGGTTCTGGTGCGAGACTCACAGCGTCGAGGAGATGCCCGTTGAAGCTGGAGATTCACCATTGCCGGTCCACGGGGACCAGAAACAAACAAACAGCAACTGCTAGTGATAGGTGACGATGATATCGGCAGCGAACTCGGCACCACGATCCATGCCGCCTGCCAGATTGATTTACGGCATCGTGTCCGTAGCGTCTCCTCCGGAAAGCTGTTTCTATCGGCACGACCGAACCAGCCGATTGGGCGACGGAGTCGTTCGCTCAATATCCGCTGCATGCCATCTCACGCGCATCCCACAGGCCCAGGGAATTAAGAACCACATGTGGAATGGAGCGACACGGGACTGACGACTGAGCTCGTCGCTGGAGGATGTCGTTGTCTGTTTCCCATCTCCGCTCCTGCGGATTGGGCATGTCGGGAGGCAAAGCCGAGAGGTGTTCTCTCACCTATCTACCACGTACAGTCTCAGGTCCTGCGCAACGTCATCAGCGACACGTTACCTGCACGGGAGCCATAGATGAACTGAACTCTTCTAGGGTGACCACCGCCTCAAGTGATTGTTCGTACAATGCTTGGCTAACGTGATTTAGATACAGCAGGCGGAGAGTCGTCTACAGACGATAGGAGCAGACGACATCCGTTCTAGAAGGGGCAAGTAATTCCGCACAGTATTCACAAGCAAGCTTCTATTGAGCACTCGGGCTCACAACCGCGCTCTCACAGCTCTATCCCGCTCGTCGATAACATCCCTGATCTCCCTTGTGGTACCAATCCTCCAGCTCACGTCATCGCCCCAGTCCTTGCTTCCCTTTCCCTCCGGAATCCACTTCCACTGCCACCGAGACTGGACTTGTCTTCCGTCTCCCAACAGCCTCACCACCCATTCGCCAACGATGGGCATCATCTTAAACCCGTGCCCAGAGTCCCCGGACATTACCACTAATGAGTCTCCTGTATTGGGGACGAAATCGACCGTGTAATCCGAATCGGCCGTATCAGCAAACCAGCACATCCTCTGGTCCACGAAAGGACGATCCTCTAACCATGGTAGGGTTTCCCTTAGCAGTTGCCGCAGCTTCTTCTCATCACTCGCGGGGATGTAGTCTCTCGGGGCTGTGACCGATCCCCCCGGAGGTATTGAAATCCGCGTGCTTTTGTCCGTATTCACGTACCCGGCACCTAACGGACACAGCTTCAGGAGCCGGCTCGCCGGATCAGGTTCGAAGAAGAAGCCCAAATCTCGGACATTGAGAACAGGGATGCCCCGAAGATAGTCGCTTTCCCGCTCGGTAAGTTGAACATGAGCTACCGACCAGGACTTTGCAACGACGTAAGCCCCAATATCCGGAATGAGCGTTGCCGCCCAAGCCCCCAGGCAGACGATGGTGCGACGGGCGTAGTGGTGTTGTCCACTTGCGACCTGGAACCCTGTGCATCGCCGCTCCAAGGAGCGTTGGTCATGGTCGCTGTAAAGAAGTTTCACAGCCTTGCCGTCCTCGGGACCTAGGACGAATTTAACGCCTTTGCCGACCAGTTGTTGGTGGATATCAGCCATTGCGTTAGATGAATGCGCATAGCCTGCGAGTCTGTTGTGGTATCCTCGGAAGCCGCTCAATGGGCCGCTGAACTGCCAATATATGTCCTTGAATGCTTGTGGGGTTTCCAGTGGCGTAATCCCAGCGGCAAAGACAGGATGGTCCTTCACTGACAACAGCGCTGTTTGCAGATGCTTTACTGCTTTTGCGGGTGCTTCACTTGACGTGGCGAGCACGTAGCCGACTTGATGGAAATTGCGCCCCCAGAGTGGCGTTTTCCAGCGGTTGATTGCTTTCTGGGATTCAAATCAGTCGTGCCATCAGATCTTGTCTTCCTGAAGACTCACAAGCGCCAAATCGGTGTAGAAGTCATCTTCGTACTCGGCTCGAACAATCTTGTTCAAATCATAAGCCGCGGAATAGCGGGACGGGATCTCTGATGCCCGGTCGAATACAGTGATGTTTTTGTATCCAGCCTCGAGCAGGTGGAATGCTGTTGACAACCCCCAGGCGCCGGCTCCCAGGATGGCGATAGGTTCAGTCTTGTCTGTGGCCATCTTGTCGTGCTGAAACGTATTCTGAACGAACTCTGAAGTGGAACATGTGCATGTGAACAAGCGACGGTTTGTTCTTATAGGTCCAGCAACATTCCAGAAGTCCTAGGGTACTCGACACTGGCAGGGCAATAGGATATTTCCAAGGATGTGATGCGAGCCATGTCACTATGGGTGACTGGTAACGCCGGATCCGGTAATTGGTGTTTGATAGCGCCGCGTGGATACAGTACCCCGAAACATGTGCGCTTTGGCCACTGAAGGTTCGGCAAGCCTTCCGGTGGCCCAGATGAGAGTCGACCAACAGCACTCGCATCGGGCAGACCCCGATTATCGGACAGTTGTTCCAGGTCCTTCAAATGGGAGCGGTTAATTATACTCGGCATGCCATCTGTCTCGGCGCTCAAAAGATACCAGTGCCTAAGCCACCGTGGAGTGGCCATGTATACAGTACACTTGCACTCGAAACACGGGAGTTTTGGACACACGTTGACTTGATGATTTCTGGAGCAATGAAGACAGGACCATTTCTTGAATCAGAGTGCCATCCAGTGTTATTCTACCCTCAAGTACGAATCTCTTCACACCACATCTTTGATCACGGAATAAGCACAACTTAATTACCAGCATGGGGGCTTCCTTTCCGCCAACAAATCTGGGTGGCGCTCTCGCCACAAATGCCGTGGCAGGTACGGCCGGAGGTGTCGTTTCTGTTCTCCTAGGTGAGCATTGTCCCAGCGTGGTAAGGGAAAATCTCCATCTGACAAAGAAACACCTAGGCCAGCCTTTTGGTAAGCCATCAATGCTGAGAAGACAATGACAGATATCGCGGCTGACAGTATTACTCATCAAATTCAGACCTGATCAGAGTGAGACTTCAGACTCAGAATTCGAGCAATGCATTTCGGGTAGTCTCGAATATCTTCCGGAATGAAGGACCATTGGCATTCTACAAGGTGAGTCCCTCGCAAGTATATACACGACGCATATCTAACTACGACCAGGGAGCCTTATTGCCATTCTTGGGGGTTGGAGCAGCGGTAAGCCTGGCAGAAGTTCCAACACTGATTGCATTGTCGCGATACTCACGACGAGACAGGTAGGCATACAGTTTTCCGTGTTTCACAGCGCAAAGCACGCCATTGAACGACTGAAAGACCAATCCACCCAATCTGACGGACGGAACCTTCCCAACCTGGACTTTTACTTGGCTGGTGGAGTTGCCGGCATTGCAAACAGCATTGTATCTGGTCCTGTCGAGCACATCCGGATCCGCCTTCAGATGCAACCCACCGGCACTGGGAGACTGTACTCTGGCCCGTGGGATTGTATGAGAAAAATATCTGCCACGGCTGGTATCAGGGGAATATTCAAAGGCCAGAACATTGCCGTGCTGCGTGAGTTTCAAGCCTACGGCTGCTACTTTGTGACCTTCGAGGCTTGCATGCAGATGTTGGCCAAGGCAAGAGAGAAAAGGCGTGAGGATCTGCCAACCTGGTCAGTCGCATCTTGTGGTGCCTTTGCTGGCATGGCGTTCTGGCTTGGAAGCTATCCGCTCGATGTGATCAAGACAAGGGTACAAAACGACGGATTCGGGCCAGATCGACAGTACAAGAATGCCTGGGCAGCTATAGTGCAGACGTGGAAGCGTGGGAAGCTTCCTGCGTTCTTCCGCGGGCTGGGTCCTACCTTGCTAAGGACCGTGTTATCATCCTCAGGGACATTTGCCATGTAAGTCGATCATCCTGCGGTTTGATGTGATAGTCATTGTGGAAGCAGGGTCGAAAATGTCCGGCGATTTCTGGGCTGAGATCACCATATGGCAGCGATACGCATCCTGCTCGTATCTCAGTTACCGATCCGATACGACTCCGTGCCGAATGCTCGGCATCCCATCCGTCGCTTATCCCACGCCCTTCAGTTGACCTGACATACACTTCTTCTGCGCTTCCCTACTGATAAACTTCCATTCTCCACGGGGAGCCTCCTTAAGGTCGAGAACCGCTTTTGGCTGCTTGAATATACGATACCCTACGAGCCTGAACGCCGTACCTCAGATTTGCATAATGGTTGAAGTCAAAAAGTACCATCTGCCACCCACTGCTCTCATTCCCAATTCACCACGTCCTCTGCTCCACTACTCAGGGATTCTCTCCACATCAGAAAGGATCACCACTGAAGCATACGACTCGTTTACCAACAACGGATGGCAAGTCCAATGGATCTTCCGCTACGGCCAAACCCAAGCATCACACTACCACTCGGCAAGTCACGAGTGCATGGCCGTGCTCTCCGGCACCGCAACGATCCGATTCGGCGTGGCTGACACGGTCTCTGACCTGGAAGAAAGCACCCTTGGCTCAGGCCAAGAGGGTGGCGGCGTCGAAGTCGAGGCCCGGGCAGGCGACGTCTTCATCATCCCAGCGGGCGTGGCGCATAAAACGTATGACCCCCAGCCATCTGCAGGATTCAAGCTCCTCACGCCAGGTGATGGGCATGATATCCCATCGACGGACGTAAGAGCGGCTTTGGAGAATCTCGAGCTTTCCGGCTTTACGATGCTAGGGGCGTATCCCGTCGGCGGACAGTGGGATTTTGCGACCGGCAGAGAGAACGCGGGTAACTACGCACAGGTCTGGGAGGTGCCGAGACCGACGAATGATCCCGTGTTGGGCAAGGACAAGGAGGGTCTAGTTGGACAATGGGAATGAGGCAGCGTCAGCCTTATGGAGTGATGCAAAACCGAGTAGCACTGAGCTGTGATCGATAGTTCAGCGCATATCAGAGCTTGTATGAACACACGAATAGTGTATCATTCTCTTCATTCTCAGGATCCTTGTCCCTCTCAAAGAGGCAGCTGTACTCTGTGCGTTGAGATGACTAGCGTTGATCGCCGGAAAAGCATATCGGAGCCATATCCGGTCTTTGTCCGGAGGTGGACATCCAACCGGCGAGCACTTCCGTCAATGTAACCATATCTCTGTTTCCGAACTCACTCGAGAACACGCCTTCCAACGAGACCGATAAAGCAACTGCAATACCAGGACTACGCGTTCAAAGCCGTTCGACGCACCGAGTCATCCGCAGAGAGTCCCCCCAGCAGACAATCGCCATGACTACCAGTGATACCCCGTCGGAGCCCAGAACTCTCCGCATCGCTATCCTCGGCTGTGGTACGTTACATTCCCCGTCTTCTAACATCCCAACTCCTAACAAACTGCACCACTAGGCTTCATAGGCACGGCTGTCCTATCCGGCATTCTCAAGGCCAGCGACACCTCCAACAACACCAGCACCAACAATCTCAAATTCTCACTCAGCGCGCCGTCGCAAACTTCTGTCGACAGACTTCACCACCAATTCACCTCCCAGAGATACAGAGACCACATCGACGTCATCACAGCCGACAATGCGACCGCCGCTCGTGACGCCGACGTCGTGATCTTCGCGTTCCAGCCCCATCAATTAGCACAAGTATTTAGCGACACTATGCTAGTCGAGATTCTACGCCCGAAACTAGTAATCTCCCTCCTGGCCGGGGTGTCGTGTCGAGAAATCCTCGACAAATTGTCCCCCGAGAAGGTGAAGGACGAGTCGAAAGCGAAGTCCACCGCCCCACTGCCGCGCGTCACCCGCGCAATACCCAGCATTGGCGCGCAGATCAACGAATCCGCGACCCTCCTGGCAGGGGACACGGACCTCAGCGCCGCGGACCATGACCTGGTGACATGGCTGTTCGGGCTGGTGGGCGCCACGCACGAGGTGCCCGAGCGGCTCATCAATGCGGTCACGGCAATCAGCGCGGCGACGCACGCCCTTGCGGTGGTGGCGGTCGACGCGATTGTGGATGGCGGGGTCGTCTCCGGTGTGTCCCGGCCGGTGGCCATGGCTGTGGCGACGCAGTGTTTGCGGAGCGCGTCGACGGTGTTGAAGGGTGGGGAGAGCGGTATGACGCTTGAGGGGTTGAAGGAGGCGATGTCTATTCCTAGGGGAATTACCATCAATGCCTTGTTGGAGCTGGAGAGGGGGAGCGTCAGGTCTGGGATTTCGGACGCGGTCAGGTATGCTGTTGGGTATGCCGAGGGGATGTAGGATGGACACTAGACAATAGACACGAGAGCCGGGTACTAATATGGATAGATGCAGGAGATGCAATCTCAGTATTCGCGGCAGGAGTTGGCCGGCTGGCTAGACAGGAGGTTATCTGAACTTGAGTTCTGAAGTGTTCAAGCCGATCTGAAATGATGTGCTCTAATACTTCGACGGGGTATGTTCTACTCTATCTTTCCACTCCTCGACATACACTCCAATTCTCTGCTGCTTACTCACAACCGACTACTCATGCTCATGCTCATGCTCACGCTCGCACTCTCGCGCTCACTCGTACTTTCCCAACTCACCGCTGCGTCCGCCAACAGACTCTCCTCTCTTTCCATCACAGCCATCACATGCCTCACCTTTGCCTTGATCTCCTCCGACACCTCCCGTCACGGCCGTCGCAGCCTAAGCAACTCCACCGCCTCAACAGGATCATTACCCGCCCTCGGCGCACTGAACACCGCAGCAGCATATTTCAAGCACGCCACAACCCCCAACCTTGCTCGCGCCCTCCGCGACAGCCAAGAGTCTCTGCAATCTCAGAGCCTCCTCCCTCCTTCCGCACACCCACAGATCATAGATCCGACTCACACTCCTCGGAAACACGTTCCCAAAAGCCGCCCCACACGCCCAGCACTCCCCGCGACGAGCCCAGCCAAGAGGAGAATCCGACTGTCCACCAAATACGGCAAACCTGTTGAACTGGGGGGTGAGGCTTCATTGGCCAAACGGGTATGCCTCTCGTGCGGCGGCTGGCAGAGCCTCTCAAAGCAAACCACACACCCTATCTTGAAGGAACGGCGCCAAGGGTCTGTAGTTGATTGTCTGTATTGCAAGCGTTGCTTGGTTGTCTAGGTGCTATCCGTAAAGTAACCAAGGACAAAAGGAAAAGGAAAGAAGCGCAGCCTTGCGCTAAAGTACCAGCCAATCAGAACGCTCGGTTGCAGGGCTGGACACTGTCCAGAGAAGTGGCAGCCTTGCCAACCCCTGACCTCTCTCAACCCCATTACACTGTCAGGCGCAAACTCCGCACTGAGCCGCGCGATCTTCGCGACGGAGCCGCACGTCAACTTGGCGCCTACGACGTTGCTACTGTCCCGCGTGATCGCGGCGATCATGTCGGAGTCCAGATCCAGCCCGCCCGTCACGCCGGGGAAATTGTAGATGATAACTGGCAAGAGCGAGTGGGAGGCCACATCGTGGTAAAAGCTTCTCACTACCGCCGAGGTCGTCTGTTTGGCCGATCTACGCTGCCGGGAGTACGAGGGCATAACTTGCCCCCAGCGGCGTGGGCGTCGTGGATGTATTCAAGCGTTTGGGCTGTCGAGTGGCCGCTCACGCTTGCGATCAGGGGACAATCCTTGCGAACGGACACGCCGGCCGTCTCGAGTTAGCACGGGCGTTCTTTGCGTGTCAGGAGCATCGTTTCGGCGTTTTGTGCCGAGGATGACGAGGCCCGTGATGCCCGTGCGTGAGAAGAGGTAGGTGAAGTATTTGGCTTAGGCGGCGAGGTCGAGGCTGTCTGTGTCGGGGATCGAAAAAGGTTACCGCCGGGAAGTAGGTTCCTGGTTTGGGAGCCATAAAAGGGTGAGACTGGTTGGTGCTGGTGGCGGTGGTGGTGGCCATCACGGAGGTGCTGGCTGGCAAGGGAGGAGCTTGGTCACCAGGTCGAATGCAGGAGGTACAGAGAATGGGTTCTTGCTGTCTCCATCTCCACGGTACTTGTGTCTACGGTCTCTCTTTTATGCGCTTCATGTGTGAGAATGTGTGACCCGTGCTGTGTTGTCGTTCAGTTGCACGAACGTGTCTCTACGGACGGGATGGGTAGAGCGCAGGTCGGATGCGCTTCCGACGAGTGATCCATGGCTGGGCAGCGGCGCACATGGGCAAAGCGTATCCACCGCCAGGTCGGGTCCGGGGGATCCAAGGGCAACTGTCTTGTGGTCCGAGATTTAACCACGAAGGAGGGTCTGGACGCTGGACGCCAGACTCGGAAGGAAGGCCACTCGCTGGGTAGAGCGCTACAACGGAGATGCCTCGAGTGCAGTCACATGGAATGGAACGGAATGCTGGGAGGCTGAAATTTCCCGGGTTTTGGCAAATGACCGGAGGGTCATCTACATAGAGACTTGAGTTCCAGTACCTCGAATGCGCAGAAAATCCAGCAGCTGGATCTTCTTTACATCAAATCCTCATCAGATGCACCACTGAAAAGAACGGTATCGTCAATTGCTTTTGAATACCGTAATCACAGCTCGGTATCTACAGAAAGCCAGTCCAAGGCACTGAGGTCCATGGATTCCGCAAAATTCACAAGCTGCTCCGCAGACAGCCCGTCCTGCCACTGCAGCTCGTCCATCGCGAACCCATCGCTCATGGCCTCTGAAGAAGGCATATAAGGAGGTGGCGGGATTGTCGAAAAATGCGATTGAGCGCCCGTCGAGGACCGCAACTCTTGCTCATCATGGGCCAAAGACCCACGCGGACCCGAATACCGACGGACTCTCCCTGCTGCCGCATGATCCTCTCCCGTCGGGGACACCCTGTTGAGAATGCCCTCCAACTGTTCAAGCTCCGATTTGGTCATCTGCGCAACCATATTGCCTCGGTAGATCATCTCCTGGAAAACCGAGTACGAGCGCTGCAGCCAGGGTGCAGGGTCCCTGACGAGTGAGGAGTTGACTTTGGAGGCCATCAAGAGGGCGATGCCCGACGTGAATGCTGCGTCGAGGTCGAAGGGGAGGAAGCTCACTATGTAGGGGCCACACGTTAGTCGAAGATGCCACAGTACCGACGCGCAGTCAGCAAGCACATACCGAGGAGACCATGTTCTTGCAAGGCCGAGAGGATTGTCAGCATCTGTTGCGCCGATTCGACGCACATTTGCAGCAACATGCGGACGCTGCCTGATTTGAGCATGGCGATCAGATTCGCGTTCGACTGCTCTAGTCGCGACCGGAGGAAGGAGAAGAGTAGAGGTCGTGTGGTGAGTACGATGCACTGTCGATTTGTTAGGACTTCCATGTCTGGCTGTGGTTTCGTAGAGCTCACCTGATGATACAATAGATGTAAATAGGCGGAGAGCCGTGAAATGGTGGTTCGGGAGCCGCTTTCGAGAATTCCGAAATAAGTGTTCAGTTGATCCGTCACCCTCGCTACGCTTTTTAGTGATTCCTTTGTGACGGTCACGTATCGCTTGTCCAGTCGTCCTTCGGGTCCGTAGACAGCTGCGAGAAATTAGGTCTCGCTGCCCGGGGCAGATTGAGAGACTTAGACTTACTGTTGAGGATCTGGGCCAATATTCTGGACAGCTGTATTTGGATGTTCATGGCGGTACACCTTTCCACTTGACCCGTGAATGTGGGCAGTTCGGCGCTTATCAGCTCGTCCGCAATACCCATGGGTACTCCCATTAGGGACGACATTTGGCGATCGAGAACGTAGACAGTCCACCACACATTGCGGGAACGTTGTGCCAGGACTTGGTCGACCTGTTGACTGCGCATTTCGGTATGCATGCCGTGCTCCAAAGCTATGCGGAGAGCTTGGCCGATCTGGATGTGTTAAGTTGATACGAAGTCAAGCGCAAAAGGAGACCTTACCATGCGGTAGGCCGCGGCGCGGAAATCGAGGCAATGTAGATACAGAGCGGCGCAGCATAGGACCTGTATTGCCTCGATAGGATCGGCACTGTAAAAGGCAAATTCTGGCATGAGGGTCATGGCGTGGACAAAGAACTCGGCACCAGGTGGCTTGCGGCCTTTGCTGCTCTGGGCCACGAATGCCTTGCCGAAGGCGAGGATGAGGAGATAGTGAATGTACCAAAGTCCGGGCTTTCGGTGTGCTTGCGCCGGGTTGTCCTGGAACGCAGATAGCTGTTGCATGAACTTTTCTTCCTCGAAGAGATGGTAGAGCTGGCCACAGTGGAACTTGACGGCACTGATGAGGTATGTGGCAAAATCCGCAGACGGGAGAGCGGGAGGTTCAGGTTGCTGCGCAGGCGGAAACGTCCTCGATCCATCCCAACCCAAGTCGTATGACTCTCCTTGGAACAACAGGTTTTCGGGAGGCAGAGGTGCACGCATCACTTTCTCATGAGCCATCGCGAGCACTCTTCGTCCAAAGGACCAGTTGGACGATGTTCCTAGGTAGACTGGACGGGATGTGTCAGCAGTTGCACGCCGAGGACGGCCGCATGAACATACTGGGTCTGCCGCTGGCGTCCGCAAAGTAGCTGGTGAAGCCATGTGCCAGCGGATTCATGAGTGCCGGGCCCGGGGAGCTTCGGAGAGAATTGGAAGCTCGTTGTCTTGGTGACGACTCTCGGTGCAAAATCTCTGGTTGAGGAGGGACGGCTTCTTGTGGGTCAGCTGCACTGTCTTTGTCTTCTTCGTCATCGCCGTCTACGTCAATGTGAATGTCGTTGTCGTGTCCATCTATGAATGGTCATTCTAGGTAGAGAAAATGATCACCAGAACCTACCAGTTTCTAGATCAGAGCTCTGGTTGAGATGGCCACTGGTGAGACCCTGAGGAGCTATGGATTTTTCGGCGTGTCGCTCGAATGATGCCACTCTTCTCTCGAGGCCGCGAATGTAGCTGGTGGCTGTCAGTCTGAGAAGCGGACAGATACAGGTCGGGGTACCCTCTTGTCACAAGAATCTTTTGCGCGTCGTCATCGAAGTGACATGTCAGCTTCCTCTTGGTACACGGGTCGCAAGGACGGGATCCTGTGCATCTGATCTTCTGTCGACGGCACCGACGACAGCTTTGACCGAGTCGGCATCTCAGCAATGTTCGGGGCTATTCAGGTGGGACCAGCACTCACGCTTTCGAGGCACGTTTTCTGGAATTGCTATGACTGTCGGCAGCCTTGGGCTCCATGGCGTCGCATGAGACAGCATTCCGAGTTCTCGGAGTCTCTGCCACATCTTGACGGGGGTGTGATGGTTAGCAGTGTCTGATAAGAAGCCGAGAGCCCAGATTCTCGGCCCGGTCAAGCGGGGTCGAAACCGGGGCAAGGAACCCCACTTAGGTCAGCCTGTGTCGACACTATACGCTGGCAGGACCAAGTGACGATAGCAATGCAGAGGCTATCTCCAGGGGTCATGTTCTGCTCTCTGCAGTGCCTCTGTTCCTCTTCATCTCCCGGTTCTTCCAGGCGTCCATCGTCGATCGAGCCTCTGAGAGGCAGATACCACTACAATTGACCTTGATGGAGATCGGACGCCTATCTGCGTCTCTGTACTCGTATACACAGATGAGGAACAGATAGGTGCTCGACGCCTGTTGACCAAGCCACAACCGCCGGAAACGTAGCCGGTTCCCTATCAGGATGTCCTCGCTTGTTGCCACGCCTCATCAGGCAAGGCCATCACCGAGCCTCGAACACGATCTGATGCATCCTCAGCGACAGGGCTATAGCCCTCGCTCCGATAGATCGTCTATCTTGGTCTGATCTGGAATCCTCAGCCGTTGCAAGTCGACATCAGCCTGAGCAGTATAAAGGATGCAGTTGACACCCTCAATTCTCCACAATTCTCCCAAGCTCAGGGCGTGTATCAGCAAGTCTCGCCTCTGCAACGCCCAATAGGCCGTTTCTCGATACGTACCACTTGTTTGGTTCCCAGGACTCATCGTTGTCACCATGGACAACACCACGATGCTCGAGAACAAACACTTCGACGAGAAGATGATGTCCGAAGAGGGTGGTGGCCTACAGCTGGTGCTGAGTATCCGCGACGCAACCGTGACCGAGACCGATGAGAATCGAAACGGACAGTTCCATCGTTCCTTCACGCCTCGTCAGGTCCACGTATGTGCATATCCCCTTTGCGCAGACTGTCACTGTATACTGATCCTCTTGGTGTGCAGATCATCTCCCTTGGCTCCAACATCGGTAGCGGTCTCTTCATCGCCACGGGCAAGGCTCTGGCGACGGGTGGTCCTGGCAACATGGTCGTCGCATACCTGATGGTTTGCAGCTGCGTGTGGGCTGTTCTACAATCCTTGTCGGAGATGACCATAGCATTCCCGGTGTCTGGCAACTATATCGACTATGCGGATCGATGGGTTGACCCTGCCCTTGCCTTCGGAGCGGGCTTCGCGGAGTGGCTGGGTTGGACCGCCATTGTTGCCGCAGAAGCTGGCTTTTTCAACGTCTTGGTTCAATACTGGGCCGAGGGTTCGTTTCCACAGGCGGCGACGAGTAAGAACTGCTCCTACACCTGCGCCTACCACGCTAACCTTCTCTCAGTCACCATCTTCCTCCTCGTCTGCATGGTCATCTTCCTTCTGCCGAATACTGTCTTCGCCTGGTTCGAATATGTGACATCACTTATCAAGATCTTTCTCTTCCTTCTCGTCATCACATTGTCTCTGGTGCTCACACTCGGTGCTGGTCCCAAAGGCTATGTCCACCACGGAGAGACGTGGACTGAACACCCTGCGTTTTTGAATGGCTTTTCGGTAAGTGGAAAAGATCAAACTCGTGCTTTGATCTGTGCTGACCTTGCAGGGCTTTGCCAATGCTGCCTTGCTCGCGACATGGGCGGTGGGTGATCAGGTTTTCATCGGCATCATCGGTGGCGAGGCCAAGAATCCACGATATTCAATGGCTCATGCGACGAAACTGGTGCCGTTCCGAGTCAACTTCATCTATATGGTCAGCATTATTTTCATCACGATCCTGGTGCCATCCAACGACGATCGACTTTTGGGCGGATCTGGCGTCGCAGCCTCACCGTTCGTGATTGCGATCCAAGATTCCGGCATCCCGGGAATCGCTTCCCTTCTCAATGCCGGCATGATGTGCGGTGTTCTTGCTATTGCTGCCGAAAGCGTCTATCTCTCTTCGCGAATCCTCCGAACCATGGCACACCAGAGACTGGTCCCTGAGCGTCTGGCTCGAGTGGACGCCAAGGGTCGACCCAGGTTAGCTCTGCTGATCACCTGCATCACCGCCACATTCTTGGGCTATATCCAATTGAGCTGTGAGTGAACTCTTAGCAAATGCTACGCGTACCGGATACTGATTGCATGGCTCGCAGCTGGCGGCCTGACCGCGTTGAACTGGCTGGTGTCGTTAACCAGTGCATCGTTCTTTTCCAACTGGATCATCATTTCCTTCACCAATTGGCGGTTCCACTGTGCGCTCAAGGCGCAGAACGACCCTCTCTTCACCGAGGTATACGCGTGGAAGTCGTCTCTGTGGCCTCTGGCACCGGCCTGGCTCATGCTGATCTCGCTCTTCCTGCTTGTGTGCTGCCTTGCCGCTGGAATCAATCCAATTGTAGGTGAAAATCCCCCTTCTCGCAGTCTCCTGCTTAGCCAGGAGCTGCCTGAGAGATTCGTGTGCAGGCGGTCAAGCAATGCTAACCGATCATTTTCCACACAGGGTGATGCCGGATTTACCGCGGAAAACTTTTTCCAGTACATGATCGGTGTCCTGGTGATCGTGGGATTCACCATCGCATACAAGCTTATCCTGCGGACGACGTGGCGCAATCCCAAGTTTGCCGACCTCAAGACCGGCCGGAGACCTTTGAGCGTTGAAGACATCAACCAGCTCGATGCCTACTACAGAATGAGCACATGGAGGAGATTCTTGACCTATGTACAGTTATGGTAACTGGGCCGTGCCTTGTAGTTGTATGGGAAGGATCGGGCGAAGGCTGGATGATCTGGAGTGACAATCGCTTCGAGATGTTGTGGGCGGTAGCGTCATGAAGGATACACCTTTTCGACTTCTCCAGGCTTTACCCTCAAATTCCCATGAATTAAGGTCATTCGGTTGGCCGATACAGGATTTCCGGCCAGCAAATCCAGGATCCGTAGATCTAAGAAGACCTCTACCAGTATCTCTGCAGTGAGCGGGACGGTAAGAAAGCAGCAGTACTCAGAGTAGTCACACCACATCTTGCCTGGGAGTAACGACTTCAATGGAGTCCTTGGCAACGGCGAAAGTGAAATACTAAGTAATTATACACGTAATGCTGACTAAGTGATTACTACCTTCGCCGGTTCGTGGACCTCGTAAGGGAAGCTTCTCAAAACGATACCGATTGCACTTCGCGTAGTATTTCATCTCCAGTCTTCCGCCAGGCGCGAAACGCAGAGGTTGGAAACGGGAGGGACAATTGACTTGGACTGGACTGTAAAACGCACAAGATGGCCTTGCATTGATGACCGTGCGGTTGCCCTTCGTACCTAGGGTAATGCGAGAGGCAGAAACCAAATTCATGGGTCGCATAGCCTGGCAGGCGTCGCCTAAGATGAACGTCTTCGGGAGGAGAAAATAGTGAATGTGCCTAAGCAATGGGGACTGACGGCCGCAAACGGGTCTCAATCGCGGAACAATTCACGGAACAATTCACGGAACAATTCACGGAACAATTCACGGAACAATTCACGGAACAATTCACGGAACAATTCACGGAACAATTC